TGCAATACAAATTTCGCCAGATTGTAGTGCGGATTGGGACTCCAGAACTTGTCATGCGCAATCCTGTGGGAGTAGGGTAGATCATGCACTTCTTGCAACACAAATTCCAGATTCTATTGTAACGTTTGAGATTGTAACGTTTGAGCAGGTCATACGGCGCGTCGAGACGCACGTCAATAGGCTTGTTGATCGCAACCAGGTCTTTTGCCTGGAACTTCCGCTGCTTCGCAAAAGACCCGACGCCCTTGGGTTTTTTAAGATTGTTCATCGAAAAGGTCTCCCTAGAAGTACCGGCCTCGTGTTGAGAGATAAAGCCAATTGATGGCGCCGCCGTTGAAGATGTAGTAGCCGCGACGTTCTTTCCAGCATTCATCCTGTCTAGGTCTTGCTCTTGTTCTGCCTGCTGGGCAGCGCTGCCTACATCCACCAGCTCCCTCGCTTCAAGCACGTTCAAGCACGCAGACTCCATAAAATCTGCGTTCTCGCGCAGCGCCGTAGCGTGGTGGTTGGTCAGCAGGCCTTGAGATTGCAAAAACGAAACTTGTTTCTCCCGCATGGTGACGCTGCGTGCTACTTTTCGATCGGTTACTTCGATCATACCGATTTCATCTTTCGCAGCCAACGGCGGTTCTGACGCCTCAACAAGTATCGCGGGAAGTCGTTCTTGAGTCTGCGGGTCTACTTCTGTAGCGTCTTGCGGTCCTGCGGTTCCTGTCGAGGAGGGGCCAAGAGGACCCAGACAAGTTTTTTTCGACGCCTCCGAAGCCGGCGCTGCGATCTCGAAATCGCTCTCCTCCGCACTGGGAGGCCGGTGCCGCTTCAAAATCATCTTCTTTTCGTCGATGCTACTGTAGTAGTCTTGTTATCTCATCTTTCTCGTAGTGTATCCATGTCCACCAGTCTTGCTAGTCAGCCCTTGTTGCTGTCCTGTTACAGTAAGTGTGTGTGTGAGACTTCTGTAAAGAGATACCATCTCGAAAGCGCACTAAATGCGCAACGGAAAGACCGGTCAGTAGGTGCTCACGCCCTGCTGCTGGCCCTCCTGCCTTGCGGACATGAAATCTCATTGAGAATACGAGATCGATGGCTGCTCAATTCCCGGAGACTAGGAAGTAAATACTCCGGTCCTCATAGTTGCCCCTCAAATTAATCGAAGAAAAATTCGCCTTCGATCTACGATTTTGGCAATTTGAAGAACATTTGCTTCCTGCTGAATTTTTACGCTCTTTCCGTTCTGAATTTTCGATAAGTATCTTTGCACGCAGTACTCGGATAGAGTCGCGTCTTGGATGCCGACACCTAGGCCTCATGCCCAGACTAGGAAAACATCATTTCTGTCTCTCTTTTGAGATCGGAAAAAAATTGAGTTCTGCACAGCTTTTTGAAATCGAAGTTGATTCATCTTCATCTTACTTAGTCCTCGAATTTGGCCGCTGCTCCTGCATCATGGGGTTTAGCGCCCCGCAGCCATTTGACCCATCTTCATCATGACCTTCTCCAGCTGATCCTTGGCCTGGATTATCACCGAGCACCAAGCTAGCATGTTGTCATACTGGACATGCAAAACTGACGAAAGCAAGCTGCAAAAAGAACCACCCGTGACACAAGTGAGTAAGTAAGAACTACCACCTGCCTGCACCAGCAATTCAACATCTGCATGACAAACATGATCGCATGCTAGCAATTTTACTTATCTTAGGCGCATTCCCGGACAAAGCACCCTTCTTCACGAGGTGGATCGCGTTGATAATGAACGGGCAAAAACGTCAGTGGTGGAATTTGTGATGCGATAGAGCACGCGTGACAATATCCGTTCTCAACAACATTTCACTGACGGAATCACGTCGCAGGAGCTGGTACGCATCACATCTCGAATTCTCCAAAGCGCTTGTTAATTCACATCACAAATTTTACAAATCATAAAAAATATTCCCTTGCATATTCCGCAGCTTCGATAGCACGTTGACGGCACCAATGCGCGACTTCCGGTTTAGCCGATCTGATTTTTTTGTCAAGCGATTACTGCCATAGCCATTGAACTTTCTATTGCAAACATTGATCGAGACTGCGTCTATCGAACCACGATTTATTTTCATTTAGTAGAGGTAGATGCAGGGGCTTTATCAAAACTCTCGAGACGGAATCGGAAGTGAAAATAGTACCCATCTTTTCGTCCCATTCTTCCATGCTTTTTTCCAAGGCTTCTGCCTTCTTGACCGCTTTCGAGTCTTCGCCTTTCCCGCCGGCCAGCTTTTTGCTTTTCGACGACTCGAATTTCATCAGCTTCCGACTCTTTTTCGCTGCCTCGCTGTCGATTTTCGCCATGCGCTTGACGGCGCCCGCGATCTTGTTCTCCTGCTCTTCCAGCTTTTCCAAAACCTTTGACTCCTCAGTCTTCGACAGCTTCTTCGTCGGCAGCGCCTTCATGAACGACAGCATCAGTTCCGCTTCCTGCGACGCCAGAGTCGCGGTCGGGAAAAGTACAGCCAGAAAGAAAGGCGCGGCGGCCAGGGAGGACAGAAGAAACGAGCAGCGCACCATGGCTGTAAAAAATCCAGAAAGTTCGATAAAGAGGACGATTTCGACTAGTTTTCTCTTTTATGGTCGCGCAAAATTTTCTTTCTTGTAAGCGGCTCCGGCATTGCCGGGAAAACACTTCCGAACAGAGAAACAGGTCATGCACTATCGGATCGAAAGTTTGTTTCCAAAAGCACGGGAACACCGTGAGAAATCGCCCGAAACATATTCGATCGACGCATCTTTCTACAAGCAGCTCCTGTGCTTCTGCTCGTATAATATCAGTTTTAGAATTCTCAAATCATTCTGCCAGCCCAAGAGGTGTACATTTTTATTGAAAAAGCTGTTGAATGCCTCTGTTGAAACACCAGATTTATTCAGGTGACCCGCCAAACGCCCTACTTTCCCATAGAAGAAGCGCCCTCCTCAAGGTATACATCCAAACTGTGGGTCTAGATTACTTTTCGTGGTTCCAGAAAATTATTCTTATTGTACAGTGCGAAAAATTCGTCTCGACATGCCTAACTGATTTGCTCCTACTTCAGAGATCAAGTGTAAACTTTTGTACAAGTGAGAAAACATAAACAATCCTGCAAAATGTGACAATGATTCCAGATTCCTGTTGCTAAGCTTCCTAACTGTGATTCTTCCTGAAGGCTTAAAGCTCGCAAGAAGGCTAAAATGCTTAATGTTGATCGTAATCCGAATATAATATAAAATGGGTACATTGTTAAGTACTGTGAAATCAAATTCCAAACTTATGTGAAACATCAAATTCGGTGAAAGAAATGGCAGTTGCACACCCGCTCCGATGCTGTTCCCCTTACCGCCGCAGCGTGTCCGGGGTTTCCAGCTTGGAATTCGGCGGCAGGATGTTCGCCGCGATAGCGCGGGATCGCTTCTGCTCCTGCGCAAAGCAGTACGCGGATTGCAGGCAGGTCTCGCGGTGGGTCCCTCCGTGGATGTTCAGGGCCTCCCGCCGGGGCAAGTTCCCGGAATAGCCTGGAATCGAGGCCACCGGCTTCGGCGGAATGTCATTGCACCCCAGCCGCTCGCGTTCCTGTTGGTTTAGTTTTACATTTACTTTGATAAGAGCACGTTTGCAATAAGATTCGACACGCAATTTCGGATCTTCTGCTCTCGACTCAGTGGAAAGAAACTTCTTGTTCTTCTCCGTGTAGCATTTTAGAATTGAAACCGTTAATACGAATAAGGAAAGCGTAGCTAAGTATACCTGTCGCATCGTTTCCATGGTCTTGAAATGGAAGGCTTTCAACCCCAACGGCTCGGAATTTTGGTACGCGATCTTGGCCTTACTTATGCAAAGAAAAAAATGCGTGATTATGGTTATGCTCAACTTGTCTGCATCGAAAATGCCTTTTCGTCAACAGGAAACCAATGCTGTGCAAGAATCGCTTTCGTTCTTCTTCGTTTTTAATAATGCCATGGCATAGCATTGTACTATGAAATTCGTGACCGTACTGTCATCAATTCAAAATTACGAAATTCTTTAGCAAGTTTGCACTTTTACACACATTTTCTCCCGTCGATATCCTCATCCCGTGTGCGGATCATGTCCAGGTGTTGTTCCGTCGCGTGCAACAGCGTCAGGTTCTTACCCTGAGAGTTTCATTGTGTTGATTTGTGAAGCGTGGTCTACACGCATGACAAAACAAGCTTCTCATGCATATACTAGCATAATGTCATGTTTTCTTCTATGTACAACATTGAAGTCACAAGAACCAGACAGTTTCTAAATTATACCGCCAATCCCATTTTGAACTGCGCTGTTCCTCCTGGTTTCTTCAGCGGCTTGTGCAGCGTGTTGCTGGCTTGCGAGAGAAAGGTCACGGATTGCTGCGACATTTTTGTTTTTCTTCTTTCGTCGCAGAAACTTCAATTGATGTTCTGATTTCACTTTACTTGCTTCGACTTCTACTCGAACTCGTTCTCCCCCCACGACAAGACAAACAAAAAACTGGTGGTGAAAATGTTCATTTTGAAACGTTCACATCATGACGCTTCGATAGTGAGAGGTGCGTCCATTTGCCATGACGAAGATGCAATATCCCGACCGTCCCCATCAAACGAAATACGATAAGGATAAAAACGATACTGGTTAGTACTCGGACACATACTACTTGGAACTGGAAGGTCCATCACCGCATTAACCTCACGTTTTCCACTTATCAGGTGTGGTATTTGATACAATTTCGATTGTTCTACTACGGACGGAGCGATGAAAAAACGAATATATTGGCGCTTGTTGGTTAAGCACTGTAGTGCACCCCTGTTGACGACAAGCGTCAAAACTTCTGAACGGCGCCTTCTTTATTTTGATATCGCGCCATTCGATTCTGAAAACGAAAAAGCGATGTGTGAAAATGCACGATATGACAATGTGAACCGTGGAAAACAAAAAGCGGCAAAGGTAGATATCATATTGATATGATTGCTTTCGTTTCGATCAACAACGACAGTGGTTTTCCAAATAATTTCGCAAAAAGCCAATCCAGGATTATTCTTGGTCAACTTGAAAGTCACACAACTTCCAAGCAAAAAACTACACTTCTAAAACGCTCAAACAGTGAAAATTTCACTGATTCGAGATCGAGAAAGAAGGCCACTCTCTGACACGACTGGCAGCCACCCAACGTAGTCCTGATCAATCTGGTAGTTTGTATTCACGCTGCTCGCACGGTGCTAGCAATTTTCAAGTAGTAAACATTTCAATTTAGAAATTCCATAAGTACTAGCTCCCAGTCCTCCTGAACCAACTGCTCAAGAAGAAGCCTCATCGACGTGAAGATGCATGTCCAGCATGTGTTGCGCCACCGGATCCCCCGATCGAGTGAGCTGCATGTCCAGCATGTGTTGCGGTTGCCCTTGTTCCCCCTGCTCCTGCCCGCCTGGTCGACATCAGAAGAGCCGCGTTGGTGGACCCCGAGGTTGGTTTTGGCGACTCCGAAATCCGGAAATCCGAAAAAGTGATGTTGTACACTTTGTCGTCGCCGTAGGGGCAGTCCTTCTGCTTGAAAACGGGGGGCCAACCCTGGCTACCAACCTGGTCGAACGACCACACGGAGAGCACGAACATTCCGCCCTGTTCCCCCATCAGTCGCTGCAGTTCCTCGTCCGAAGAGGAACCGGCCACCTCCCCCGGCCCCGTGAGGTCTTTCCCGTCGCGCAGCGTCCACCGCGCGGACCGCAGTTTTTCGGGCGGCATGCCCGTGTCGTTGGAGGTGTTCGCGTACTGTTTCCCCCAGGGGTCGTCCGCTTGGTGCGAGGCTGCAACCCAACCGTGTTCCAACGACTCCGCCACGTCCATCTCCCAGCAGGGCGCCCAGCCCTTGTTTTTTTGCGCGTCGCAGTAGTGGTCCTTGTTGGGCGACGGGCCCGCGACGGGGCCGCCGGTGAAGTAAGCGGCGACCATGCAGCCGTGGTCCACGTCCCCGCGGTCGATGTTGAGCTGAATGTGAATCAAGTGCAACAATGTCTGGGTCTGGAAGAGCGCATGTTTGTCATGCTTGTCTGGCATGACTCTCAAATCTGTCATGCACGTTACCCAAGAGCGCCACTTTTCTGTCATGCAGAGACGCAGTTTGTCATGCAGACTAGGCAACACCTAGAAGCTCAGAAACTTGTCATGCTGAGCGAGCACCTGTGGCCTCCTCATGATACGCCACCCAGCATCACAAGTTTCCAGACCCACACATTTTTACATTTGATAATGTGGCTTTTGTCCCCAAATCGCCACCGCGTCAGGCTGGCCTTGTCGATCACGCCGTCCTCGTCAAACTTGGGGCAGTTTTTCACGAGGTAGAAGGAGGACCGCGGCTCCATAGTGCTTACTTTCGTGAAAGTGATCCCGGTGTCCGTGATTTTGTAGTACTCGTCGTCCGGATTGTCCAGCACCTCCTTGGTCGCAGCCACATAGACCATTTTCTGTTCAAAATCTTCCTCCCTCGGGTTGGATAACCCCTCGGGCGCCACCTTGGCCAAAAACCCGTCGTACGGACAAGCAGCAGAAGAAGATTCTTCTACACTGTCATCTTCATCGAGGCCAACATGCTGTTCTCGATCTTCATCTTCCTCTCCCTCGTCCGCGGGGACGCTAGCGCGCCGCAAAGCGCCGGTTTTCGTCGCATGTCCTGCTTTGGTGCCGACGCGCGTTGCACCACTGGAAGCTGTGACGCGATCTTGCAACATGCTCGTGCTCGTGTTCATCACACCGCCCAGCTCATCATCCTCGTCCTCGCTGGAAGGTAATAATTCGTCGGCAGCAGAGTTTTTCGCTGGTGTAGTAACCGCATCTTCGCCCGTCACGACCGAGCCGCGGCGTCGACTGGGTCCTCCAACAAAATAACCTGCATGTAAGTACACCAACGAGCAGACTGGGCGAAGAGAGAAGGACTGCCGCGAGCAGACCCGAGAGGCAGCTCAGGAACATGGTCGCGAAGCTGCTGCCGGTATTCGCTGTCATCTTGTTTCTTCTGCGTTAATTTTCGGCGTGAGTAGAAAATACCAACTTGGCTGCTACTATCACTAACAAGGGCTCTGTTCGCTGAAGTGTGCGGCTAGTGGGTCAACAATCTTTGCACGAAGCAGCGTCTGCGATCCGTTTTCTGTAGTATAATTGGCATCTAAATATCAGTGTCTGCGTTTTCTTGCTTATCATGGTTACCCCACCAACCGGCAAAAAAAACAAACTGTTTGTGTTTCCAGATTTATTCGACGAACTCCTCATTAGCACTGTATTCCTTCGTGAAAACGAAAACGGTCACACCTACGACAACATTTGGAGATTCGAAACATCAGTCTATGTATAATCTTTTTTCCATACGACGACGATGACGATGTGATGTCAGAGAAATTCAAATTGATTCTATCTCCGACGCAAAGATCAAGAGCCGAAGAAAGCAGAGTATGAGTAGGAGTAAATGTTAACGAATCTCTACCATGACTAGATATAAGTCAGAAAACCCATTATTTAATAGTATCCCGCAATAGAAACAAAGAATAGAAACGAAAAACAAAAACAAAGAACGGAAACGAAAAACAAAAACAAAGAATGAAAACGAAAAACGAAAACAAAGAATGGAAACGAAAAACGAAAACAAAGAATAGAAACGAAAAACGAAAACAAAGAATGAAAACAAAAAAGGAAAACAAAGAATAGAAACGAAAAACAACAACAACGACATGCAGACAAAGTGCCCAAGCTTCTAAGCGGCGAAGCCTCGAAACGCCGGAGGAAGCAGCGAAGCCTCGAAGCAGCGAAGCTTCGAAGCAGCGCAGCCGCGAAGCAGCGCAGCCGCGAAGCAGCGCAGCCGCGAAGCAGCGCAGCCCCGAAGCCTCGAAGCAGCGAAGCCTCGAAGCAGCGACGCCTCGAAGCAGCGAAGCAAGCCACGAAGCCTCGAGGCAGCGAAGCCTCGAAGCAAGCCGCGAAGCCTCGAAGCAGCGAAGCCTCGAAGCAGCGAAGCTTCGAAGCAGCGAAGCCTCGAAGCAGCGAAACCTCGAAGCAGCGAAGCCTCGAAGCAGCGAAGCCTCAAAGCAGCGAAGCCTCGAAGCCTCGAAACAGCGAAGCCTCGAAGCAGCGAAACCTCGAAGCAGCGAAGCCTCGAAGCAGCGAAGCCTCAGGTTTGTCGCTGCGCCGGACCGGAGCGACAAGTCCAGGAGTCCCCGGACCCGTCATTTTGTCGTTGCGCCGGACCGGAGCGACACAACCAGGGGTCCCCGGACCCGTCATTTTGTCGTTGCGCCGGACCGGAGCGACAAATCCAGGGGTCCCCGGACCCGCCATTTTGTCGTTGCGCCGGACCGGAGCGACAAATCCAGGGGTCCCCGGACCCGCCATTTTGTCGTTGCGCCGGACCGGAGCGACAAAATCAGGGGTCCCCGGACCCGCCATTTTGTCGTTGCGCCGGTCATTTTGTCGTTGCGCCGGACCGGAGCGACAAATCCAGGGGTCCCCGGACCCGTCATTTTGTCGTTGCGCCGGACCGGAGCAACAAATCCAGAGGTCCCCGGACCCGCCATTTTGTCGTTGCGCCGGACCGGAGCGACAAATCCAGGGGTCCCCGGACCCGTCATTTTGTCGTTGCGCCGGGGCGGAGCGACAAAATCAGGAGTCCCCGGACCCGTCATTTTGTCGTTGCGCCGGACCGGGGCGACAAAATCAGGAGTCCCCAGACCCGTCATTTTGTCGTTGCGCCGGACCGGAGCGACAAAATCAGGAGCCCCCGGACCCGCCAATTTGTCGCTGCGCCGGACCGGAGCGACAAAATCGAGGGTCCCCGGACCCGCCAATTTGTCGCTGCGCCGGACCGGAACGACAAATCCCGGGGTCCCCGGACCCGCGAATTTGTCGCTGCGCCGGACCGGAGCGACAAATCCCGGGGTCCCCGGACCCGCGAATTTGTCGCTGCGCCGGACCGGAACGACCAATTCGGGGGTCCCCGGACCCGCGAATTTGTCGCTGCGCCGGACCGAAGCGACAAATTCAGGGGTCCCCAGACCCGCGAAGTCCGGTGCCGGACCATGGCCGCCGAGCCGGTGCCGGACCATCGCCGCCAAGCCGGTGCCGGACCATGGCCGCCAAGCCGGTGCCGGACCATGGCCGGGCCCGCCGCCCGGCGCCAGAACGCGGCCCCGCCGGTGCCAGCACGCAAGATGGCGGCAAAGGCCAACCTGCCAGCCGCGCCGGTGCCGGATCGTGGCCAAGCCAGTCTGGCGCTTTCAAAATCGCAGGCGGATGGGCCTGCCTGTGCTGAAGCGCCGGAACCGATTTTCCACAGATGGACGCTGAGTCTGTGCTACTATTCATCTAGCGGAATACTATTAAGTCTGCAGGTTACTGGACACGGGAAGCGGGATAAGGCTAGTAATTACACATTCGAAGTTTTTCGTTTTACGTATAACGCAAGACGATGTTGGCAAGAATTGTGAGTGCGACGATGAATACGAAACAGCTACGCCTATAAAAAACGATGAAAGGTGGACCGAAGCCTGCATGTAGATGTATTGGCGACGCAATGATAAGTATAGAACAAAAAACTTTAACGCACACCTCCGGAAACCTCAACCAACAACTCCCGCGACCTCCAGCCTCAACTCCCGAAACCTCCCGACCAAAACCTCCGACCTCCGGGCCCCGTGGTCCCCGAAACCTCCGACCTCCGGGCCCCGTGGTCCCCGAAACCTCCGACCTCCGGGCCCCGCGGTCCCCGAAACCTCCGACCTCCGGGCCCCGTGGTCCCCGAAACCTCCGACCTCCGGGCCCCGTGGTCCCCGAAACCTCCGGCCTCCGGGTCCCGCGGTCCCCGAAACCTCCGGCCTCCGGGTCCCGCGGTCCCCGAAACCTCCGACCTCCACGTCCCGCGGTCCCCGAAACCTCCGACCTCCGGGGCCCGGGTTCCCCGGAAACTCCGACCTCCGGGTCCCGGGTTCCCCGGAACCTCCGACCTCCGGGTCCCGGGGCCCCCGAGACCTCGCTCCGACCTCCGGGTCCCGCGGTCCCCGAAACCTCCGACCTCCGGGTCCCGCGGTCCCCGAAACCTCCGACCTCCGGATCCCGGGCGGGGTCCCCGAAACCTCCGACCTCCGGGTCCCGGGGTCCCCAAAACCTCCGACCTCCGGGTCCCGGGGTCCCCGAAACCTCCGACCTTCGGGTCCCGGGGTCCCCGAAGCTTCCGACCTGCGGGCCCCGCGGTCCCCGAAACCTCCGAACTCCGGGCCCCGCGGTCCCCGAACCCTCCAAACTCCGGGCCCCCGAAAGCTCCGACCTCCGGGTCCCGGGGTCCCCGAAACCTCCGACCTTCGTGTCCCGGGGTCCCCGAAGCCCCCGACCTCCGGGCCCCGCGGTCCCCGAAACCCCCGACCTTCGGGTCCCGGGGTCCCCGAAACCCCCGACCTTCGGGTCCCGGGGTCCCCGAAACCTCCGGGCCCCGCGGTCCCCGAAACCTCCGAACTCCGGTGCCCCGAAACCTCCGACCTCCGGGTCCCGGGGCCCCCGAAGCCCCCGACCTCCGGGTCCCGCGGCCCCCGAAACCTCCGACCTTCGGGTCTCGGGGTCCCCGAAACCTCCGACCTTCGGGTCTCGGGGTCCCCGAAACCTCCGACCTCCGGGCCCCGCGGTCCCCGAAACCTCCGACCTCCGGGCCCCGCGGTCCCCGAAACCTCCGAACCCCGGGCCCCGCGGTCCCCGAAAGCTCCGAACTCCGGGTCCCGGGGTCTCCGAAACCTCCAAGCCTGCGACCTCCGGGCCCCGCGGTCCCCGAAACCTCCGGGTCCCGGGGTCCCCGAAACCCCCGACCTCCGGGTCCCGCGGTCCCCGAAACCTCCGGCCTCCGGGCAACGCGGTCCCCGAAACCTCCGACCTCCGGGTCCCGCGGTCCCCGAAACCCCCGACCTCCGGGTCCCGCGGTCCCCGAAACCTCCGACCTCCGGGTCCCGGGGTCCCCGAAACCCCCGACCTCCGGGTCCCGCGGTCCCCGAAACCTCCGACCTCCGGGTCCCGGGGTCCCCGAAACCTCCGACCTTCGGGTCCCGCGGTCCCCGAAACCTCCGACCTCCGGGTCCCACGGTCCCCGAAACCTCCGACCTCCGGGTCCCGCGGTCCCCGAAACCTCCGACCTCCGGGTCCCGGGGTCCCCGAAACCTCCGGGGCCCCGAAGCCTCCGGGTCCCGGTTTCCCCGCAACCTCGCTCCGGCCTTCGGGCCCCGCGGTCCCCGAAACCTCCGACCCCCGGGTCCCGGGGTCCTCGAAACCTCCGACCTCCGGGCCCCACGGTCCCCGAAGCCTCCGACCTCCGGATCCCGCGGTCCCCGAAACGTCCGACCTCCGGGCCCCGGGGTCCCCGAAACCTCCGACCCCCGGGTCCCCCGGTCCCCGAAGCCTCCGACCCCCGGGTCCCCGGAACCTCCGACCCCCGGGCTCCCCGAAACCTCCGACCTCCGGGTCCCGCGGTCCCCGGAACCTCCCTCCGACCCCCGGGCCCCGCGGTCCCCTGTGCCGTGCGGCACAGGTTTCTCTGCTTCCCGAGAACCCCAGTTCTGCCGCCTGGAGCTCATACCATGCGGCTTCGGGATGCTGGTGTTCTCCGCTTCCCGAGAGCCCCAGTTTTGCCGCCTGGAGCTCGTGCCATGCGGCTTCGGGCTTCTGGTGTCGTTTTCCCGGTGTTCCGACTGACAGCAAAGCAGAAGGAACAAGACGCACCTCGGTAGGCTGGCCTACCGTCGTGCTCGCTTTTCCATTCGTGTCGACACTGAGGTTTCGCAGCTCGGTAGGCTGGCCTACCGTCTTGCTGGTGTGTTCGTTCGTGAAACAGAAGTTTGAAGTTGTTCGGAAGTTCTGTTGCAAACTCGAGAGAGAGTCAAACAAGAAAAGCTGTTTATTTGTTTGTTTTCCGAATGCCCCAGATTTGCCGTGGAAGGCCGTACCATGCGGCTTCAGGTTGCTGATGATGGAACTCATGAAATGAACCAAACACCTGTTTAGGATTTCGCTACACCTATTTCGTGAATTCTCCACCACGTTGGAGACAAGAACCACTACAAAACAGCCTTCAAGACGCTGCCAGAGCAGCTCCTTTTGCAATCTAGTTTGTTCGTGTTCCATATCCAAATGGCCATCGTTTGCACCAATACAACTGGGGGCTCGTTCTCAACATTCCGCACAGCATGCAGCCAACTGCGGACGACTTTCATCTTCTGAGTGGCCTAGCGGAGGGAACCACGAACACCCGCGAGAAGACCTCCTGCGCGCGTAGTAATCTCCTCTTCGCGCTGACTGAACTACAGCAGGACACCTTCGGAGCAGTGCAAAGAACCTTCGCCACCCTCACAACAGAAAAGGACCAGCCCGGCCGCGACTTGCACAGGCGCGTGCAGCTGCAGTCGGCCTTTAGAAAAGTCAACACCAACAGCGACAAACGCTACGCCGAGTTTCTCACGGAGCTGGTGAATCAGCTGCCGCAGGAGATCCCCCAGGACTCCCGGAATTCCTACCACAAGATCATCGGCAGTTGGCCGAGTCTTTCTAAGGAAAGCCGGAATAAGTTGCGCGCGGGCCAGAAGCTTTCGCAGGTCATTTCCGACCAGCGCAGGGCCGAGCTCTGGCGTACGCAGACTTTTCACGGGGTGGAGGAGGACGTCGATCTTTCGACATATCCAACCGGCGCGAACGCACACGCACAGGCCGGCGTTTTTCGCCACAGGAAAGTCCCGATTGGTAGCGGGTTCGTGCCGGCGTCCACGGTGCACGAGATTCAGACGACCAAGTTTGGGGCGACGTTCACCTGTGTCACCACCACCGGGGAAAAACGTATTTACAGCTTTTGCAACTTCTCAGATACTGCCTTTGAGCTCGTTCCGCATGAAAGAATAACCGCCGAACGTCTCGCGTTTTTCGACTGGTTTTTGCGTGCGGCGGAGGCGCATCGCTGGTTGCTCAACCACACACCTCTGCCGGAGGAGCGCAGCTGGCGCTGCGCTTTCGTCTACTCGTCTATCGTTTGCTTTGCTCCCACCTAGCAGCGTTGCTGCTGCTAACCCGACCGAGCACACCATGTCGCGCGTGGTGTGGACCCAGGGTTTCGTAACCTGGAGCGAGGAGGTCGGCGAGATCATCTACCTGGACCGCACAAACAGCCGAGCCGTCAAGGTTTTCGCGCAGGAAACCTCCGACTTGGTTAACTTCCACTGCGAGGTGGAGGACGAGGACGGCCACGCCCGTCGCTACAACATCCACCTGCTGAACGTGAAGGAGCTGGGCCTCGTCGCCGGCTCCCGCCGTGCATTGCTGCCCGGGCAGTGCGCCGCTGTGCTCGATGCCTGTTCCGCTTTCGGCATCGACTTGGAAGTTACGCCGGACGCAGACACCCCGGCTGCGCCCACAAGTTTTACACATCCCGCCGCAGACGCGGGCACCAACAAGCCCTCCTTCGGGTTTGGGCGTTCTGCCAGCAAGACCGCTTCCTCGAAGACAACTACCTCCGCCGCGTCGGAGTCCGACCAAGAGCAGAAGCTTCTCGAGAAACGAATCCAGCAGGTGAAGACACTGCAGCAGCACAAGATCACTTTCGCAACCCCGGACGAGTACGCCGCGCAGATGAAGAAGTTCCGCCAGGACTGTGTCGACAACAACCTGACCGACCCCAAGGCGTTCACTCGCACCCTGCGGGCCTGCGCCGCTCCGAAGACGACGGCGGAGCAGCTTCTCGACGAGTTCATAACCACCATTGGCACGGACACGCTGTATGGCGACGGCAACGCTCTGGACGAGGACCAGTGGCACGACATCCGCGAGACACTTCTCAACAGCTACCTGCCCGACGGCATCGGCTGGGGTCACGACAAGCGGCCGCAGAAGGCAATGTCGGCGTTCCGGAGTTTGTCGGCGACGGCGCAAACCTTTTCCAGCGTCGAGCAGTGGGACAAGTTCATGTACCAGTTCAAGGACCTCCGGCAGAAGATGCACGACGCCGGAGTGCAGAAGGACGAGTTGCGGGAGATGAGCGACCTGATCGACAAGCTTCCGGGGGAGATCCAGCAGTGGCTGGAGCGTCTGCCGGAAGGATCGGAGCCCACGTGCATCGAAGAACGTAATGTCGACCTGCTCCGTATCGTCGACCCCACCAACCCGCTGTGTGCTCCGGACGCGCCGAAGCAGCGGTCTCTCGTCGCCGCCATGCGCAAGTGGATCTCGTCGGGAAAGTTGCCCAAGGTGACGCTCGCGATCGACAACCGACGACCGCCCGACCGGGCAGGACCGGGGCAGCAGGGGTGGCGTGGAGCACCCGGTGGCGGGCCACCGGGCGGCTCGCGGGCGCAGAACACGATCAAGGACGAAGACCGTATTCCCGCTGGACTACTTCCCCCAGGTACGGAGACCTTCCCCGCGACCATCAAGGCCAGCACCGGCAAGCAGTGGTCGCTCCCGACGGGTCCGGTGTTGGACTGCAAGCGGTGTAAGGGCCGCCACCCGAAGGTGAAAGGCGCGGACACGGACTTCTGCCCGAACGTCAACAGCGACGATCCGGGTGCCCTTGTGCGTTCCGGAACCAAGTGCAACTTCGTCTATGCGGACGGGACCAAGTGCGATGGCGGGGGCCACGTAAAGATCCACCACTATGGACCGGGGGCGGCGCGGCGGCGTCGCTCTACCACTCTGGCGACCGATCGCGGCATTTGCCCGGAGGCTGGGGACGAGGACGGGTTGCCGGAGCAGCTGACCATCACGCCGGAGGACATTGAGCGCGGCGTGATCAGCGCGGAAACCTTCTTCACCGCGTCGACCACCGAAGGCCAGCCCGGTGGCTTTCGCCAGCTGATCGAAGACGGAGCAGCCGTTGCCGAGTTTGCTGAGGCCGACTTTGAGCAGGAATCCTGGCACGGGGTCGCTGGCGACCTCGCCCAGGAGCTCTTGCACGGACCACCAGCACCCCTTCCCGAGGTTGGGGGCGGGGATCTCGCGTCCACGTTCAACCTCCAGTCCGCGTTCGTTTTTCTCACCAGCAAGAAGGACACTTTGGAGACGACTGTGAAGGTCGGCGGCTCCTACCTTGCCCTCAAGGAGGACACCTGCTCCGCGACGAACATCATGGATGAGGCCGGGTACGAGGAGCTGAAGAACAACCCCCACACCGCGAGCGCCTGCGTGTCGGAGTTCGTCGGCCCGGAAGTGGAGTTCATCTCCTACGACCAAGAGCATATCCCCAAAACCTCCAACCGGTACGCGATCGTCGACGTCGATCGGGTGTGCGAAAGTGGCAACACCGTGAAGCGCCGCTACGCATTCCTCCTGCTGGCGGGGTTGAGTTTCTTCTTTCTCCTTGGGTGGCCGACTTTGGAAAGTGAAGGGGCGCAGCCGTGCTACCAAACCACGGGCCCGCAGCGCAGTGAACACGTCGGCACCTACTACCAGAGCCTCGACGTGTACACGCCCCGGGACCTCCTCCACGTCCTGCAGGACGACAGCGACCAGTACCACCACGGCGACCATGTGTTGCACAACAACCCGAAGCAAGTGTTCTCCATCGCGCGGAAGCAGGAGAAGGCGAAGTGGTATGGGGATCTCGAGGCCCTTGACAAGGCCATCAAGGAGGAGGACGACGCCCGGGCGGCACTACGGAAGGTCAAACCCGGTTCCAAGGAGCACCAAGGCATTCTCTTGCAGGACGCCAGAGAGAAGTACGCGTGGCTTCCGCCGAAAGCGCGCGACCGGTTTGAAAATTTCTTGAAGAAGTACGCGGCCGCCTTGCACGTTCCGGGCATACCCTTCTCCACGCGACCAATGAAGGGCCAGCCCATCGAGATCGACCCGGACCTTTTGCGCAAGTACGAGCGGCAGCTGTGCTCCCGGAAGAGCTTTCAGTATTCCGAGTTCGACCGTCGTCGCCTGGCGGCGCACCTGCGCTGGGCGGTTGAGGATGGTCACCTTTACAAGCGCTCCACCCCGTCCAAGTACAGCAACTGCCCGTTTGTCACGGACAGCAATGTCGCCAAGGGGGTGCTTGGCCGCCCCGTGTACGACTACCGCGCTCCGAACCGCGTCACGCGAAGGCTGGCCTACGCGCAGCCGCGGGTCGACAACTTCCTGCGGACGGCAGCAAAGTACCGCCTTCATTCAATGGGGGACGCATACAAGGGCTTCATGCAACTACAGCTACCGGAGGAGGTGGCCGAGTTGTACACCATCCAGCTTGCGCGGGATCAGTTCACACCAACTACGATCGGCTTCGGGGCCGAGGGTTCGCCGCAAATTTTCCAAAACGAGATAGACCAGACGCTGTCCACGCAAGCGAACAGCCAGGCCTACATCGACGACGTCCACATAGGGTCCGGCTCCTCCACGAAGACCGGTCCGCTCACTGAGCAGGACTAACTTGACCACATCGACGAGCTTGAGAAGTCCTTCGAACTTTTGCTCCGGGACGGCTGGTTGCTTAAGTGGTCCAAGTGCGACTTCTTCCAGGAAGAACCCAAGATCCTCGGCTTCCAGGTCTCGCGGGGAGGTGTTCACGTGTGTGGGCCCCGTTTTGACGAGCTCGCAAACCTCCCGGAACCGCAGACGGCCAGTGATGTGAATTCCGCCCGGTGCCTCGCTGTTTGGCTCAGTGAGTACTACCCGTGCTTCTCCCACTGTATCGCGCCGCTCAACCGGTTCGGAACCAAAAAGGCGACGATCCAGGACTTCCGCAACGACCCAGACGCGCAGGCAGCCTGGAAGTACTTGAAGACCTGTCTCGCGAAGGTTGTGTTTGAGCTGCCAGACGACGACGGCGAGTATGTTCTGTATTCGGACGCCTCCGACATCGCCTACGGCTATGTCCTCACCCAGCACTATCCTGGCACCGACCGCCGGCCTAAGCTCATCAAGGCGGGGTCCCGCTGCTTCCGCGCGGCGGAGGTTTTTTGGACTACCGGCGAGAAGGAAATGAACGGCATCAAGGAGGGCATTGAGGACTGCGCTCTGTGCGTTGGTGGGCGTGACTGCCTCGTGCTTACGGACCACAAGAACCACGTTGGCAAGGTTGAGACGGAGTTGAACCATACGCGCGTCATCAAGAAGACGATCCGCTGGTGCATCGACATCGAGGCCCACACCAACTTCCGTCGGTCGTACATACCCGGGGGCGAGAATTCCCTCGCGGATCTGCTCTCCCGGCGCGACTGGGTAACCGACCCGCAGTACGAGATCCTCCAGGAGGTCTCCAAAGCTTCCCGGCCGGTGCGTAACATCATCCGGGACCTTTACGGGGTTACGCTTTCCAAAGAGTTAGAAGAGCGCATTGACAACTTCGGGGAACAGTATCTACGACACAAAAAGGCGAAGCGGGCTGCTCCCGCTTCCGCCGCGCCCAAGCCGGCGGCGAAGTTTTCGAAGGCCACCTACCACACGACCCGGCGAACGACCGCCGCGTTGCTCGCGACCAGCATCGCGAACGCGGTAGCACTACCGGGGGCCCCACGTTTGCCAACGTTTCCGCAGGTCCACCCGAAGCACTGCTTCTACGTGCGGGCGGAGGATCGTGCAAAGTATCAGGACGTGCGGGTCCTGTCGGATCTCACAGACGCCGACATCTACAGCTGCCGGATCGACACCGCGAAACGCCTCTACCAGTTTGTGTTCACTAACGAGGTGGAGACGACCCTGGGAAAGCGCAAGCGCCTCTCCTTTCCGTACAGTCTAGGAGAGCCACGCGCTGCCCGCCACCTCATGCGCATCCTGCACGGCCGCACAAACGTAACGAAGGCGACTGCGAGTGCGCAGCGCTTAATCGACCGCGCGGACCAGCAGACCCCAAACATGGTCTGGTACACGGACGACTACGACAGCTTTGCCGACCTTGTTGAGCCGGCAGGACAGCGCAACAACCACGACGAGGGCCCGCTGCTCGCGGGTGAGCAGCCGGCCGCGGAGGCAGTTCCTGGCGCGCCTCTGCTCGCGGGCGAGCAGTCGCGCCCGGCCATGCTTCCCGCCGAGGGGGCAGAGCCGCATACAGAAACACCAAGCCACGCGGGCGAGCAGGAGGACCCCAGGCCGCTGCTCGCGGGCGAGCAGCCGGTCGTGGAGGCAGCAGGCAGCGAAGCGGGCGACGACACAGCTCCAGCTCCACCCGAAAGCGAAATCCTGGAGCCACTTCCAACCACGCCGGAGTTTTGGGCTGCTCCGCAGCCGCCGGTGTCGGTGGAAGCGTTGGCTACGGCGACGGCCCTGTACGCGGAGTCCGCTACAGGCCGCCGTCTGGTCAAAAGCAAGAAGCTGGAGCCCTGTGTCGTCGACGGACACACCCTGCTGGTTGTCTCCGTCTTTAACGATTTGAAGCAGACTTTCGAGCAGAAGGTCTTCCTGCCTCCCGCCGTTCAACAGCAAGTCATAGCATCCGTGCACACCAATCCTGGCCCCGCCGTGCACCGGGGTCGCGAGGCTACCGTCAACCAGCTCCGTAAGCACTTCTGGTTTCCGGGGATGTTCCGCATGGTGTCAAGAGTTATCCGCCGCTGCCACATCTGCAAAGTCAGCAAGCCCGGTTTCGCCATGCAGGGGGACCCGCGCTCCACGCCTGCGCTTTTCCCCATGCAGACCATCCAAGTGGACTTCGTCGGACCTATCCACCCGCCGTCCCGGTGTGAGGCCACCGGCCGCTCCTTTTCGTACGTGCTGACCATCATCGACCTCCTCAGTCACTGGCCCTGGTTTGTCCCGACAAGCACTTGCGAGGCGCGCGAATGTGCTACCTACATCTCCGAGCATCTCATCTGGGATTTCGGTACCCCCCTGGTGGTTCGGTCCGACAATGGCAGCCATTTCACCGCCGAAATTGTTCGGCTAGTCGCTGACGCGCTTGGGGTCGAGTGGGTCTACGGGAGCGCCTACCGGCCGCAGTCGCAGGCCGTCGTCGAGCGTTGTCACGTGGATCTCAACGCCTATCTACGCGCATTTCTGGCGCCGTCTCTCGCTTCCCGCGCGCCCTCCTGGCATCGTCTTCTCGGTCCGGCGCAGTGGGCAGCCCGTACTACTCCTTCCTCCGCGCTGGCGGGCGTTTCCCCCTACGAGTTCCTCTTCGGCTGGAGTCCGCCGTCCGTCTACAGCTCCCTGCGGCTGCCTGATGTTTCCTCCCAGCCGAAGACCAGCCTGGAGCGCGTTTGGGTGGACCGGCTTCACGACATGCACGCCATCTACACGGAGGTCGTCTCGGCTTTGGTCGACAAACAGGAGCAGCAGACGTGGGAACATGGTCGCGCGCCGGCCGTTCCCGCTGGGTCTCTCGTTCTCACCAAGGCACACCCGCCCAGCAGCTCCATCTCGGGAAGGCTGCACCCCCTCGCAGATGGGCCGTTTCGTGTGGTTTCCGACCTCGGGCAAGCGCTCGTCGTCGCTACCCCGAACGGCAATAAAAAAGTAAACAAAAGACACATCATTCCCATCGAATCCAACGACAACTCTACAACAGGCGAGCAGGTGAAGTACACCATTCCGCGGCCGGTTTCCCGACCCCCACCTGCGGACATGTCCACATTCCCCGACGCACGCGCGGTTGCGGTTCCCGCTGTCCCAGCAGACACAGTTGCTTCCTCGTCTTCCTCCACTTCCAAACACAACCATGAGGAGGCAGGCACCCAGGGAAGCAGTGGCGAGCAGTAGTCATGGCGCTGTCAGTCGTGGAGGCAGGTTGTGCCGTGCGGCACAGGTTTCTCTGCTTCCCGAGAACCCCAGTTCTGCCGCCTGGAGCTCATACCATGCGGCTTCGGGATGCTGGTGTTCTCCGCTTCCCGAGAGCCCCAGTTTTGCCGCCTGGAGCTCGTGCCATGCGGCTTCGGGCTTCTGGTGTCGTTTTCCCGGTGTTCCGACTGACAGCAAAGCAGAAGGAACAAGACGCACCTCGGTAGGCTGGCCTACCGTCGTGTTCGCTTTTCCATTCGTGTCGACACTGAGGTTTCGCAGCTCGGTAGGCTGGCCTACCGTCTTGCTGGTGTGTTCGTTCGTGAAACAGAAGTTTGAAGTTGTTCGGAAGTTCTGTTGCAAACTCGAGAGAGAGTCAAACAAGAAAAGCTGTTTATTTGTTTGTTTTCCGAATGCCCCAGATTTGCCGTGGAAGGCCGTACCATGCGGCTTCAGGTTGCTGATGATGGAACTCATGAAATGAACCAAAGACCTGTTTAGGATTTCGCTACACCTATTTCGTGAATTCTCCACCACGTTGGAGACGAGAACCACTACAAAACAGCCTTCAAGACGCTGCCAGAGCAGCTCCTTTTGCAATCTAGTTTGTTCGTGTTCCATATCCAAATGGCCATCGTTTGCACCAATACACCCCGAAACCTCCGCCCTCCGGGCCCCGCGGTCCCCGAAACCTCCGACCTCCGGGTCCCGCGGTCCCCGAAACCTCCGAGCTCCTGGTCCCGCGGTCCCCGAAACCCCCGAGCTCCGGGTCCCGGGGTCCCCGAAACCTCCGACCTCCGGGTCCCGGGGTCCCCGAAACCTCCGACCTCCGGGTCCCGGGGTCCCCGAAGCCTCCGACCTCCGGGCCCAATGGTCCCCGAAACCTCCGACCTCGGGGTCCCACGGTACCCGAAACCTCCGACCTACGGGCCCCAGGGTCCCCGAAGCCTTCGACCTCCGGGTCCCGGGGTCCCCGAAACCTCCGACCTTCGGGTCCCGCGGTCCCCGAAACCTCCGACCTCCGGGTCCCCGAAACCTCCGACCTTCGGGCTCCCGGGTTCCCCGGAAACTCCGCCCGACCTTTGGGTCCCGGGGTCCCCGAAGTCCCCGACTTCCGGGGCGCGGGGTCCCCGAAACCTCCGACCTTCGGGCCCCGGGGTCCCCGAAACCCCCGCCCTTCGGGTCCCGCGGTCCCCGGGCCCTCCGAACTCCGGGCCCCGCGGTCCCCGAAACCTCCGACCTCCGGGCCCCGCGTTCCCCGGGAACTCCACCCTCCGGGCCCTGCGGCCCCCGGAAACTCCGAGCGACCGCCGGGTCCCGCGGCCCCCGAAACCTCCGCGCGCGGCGCCGCGTTCCCCGGAAACTCCGACCGCCGGGTCCCGCGGTCCCCGGAAACTCCGACCTCCGGGGCCGCAGGGGGCTAAGCCGCTGGGGCCTAAGGCAGCCCGCTGGGGGCTAGGCCGCCGGAGGCTAGGCAGCCCGCTGGGGGCGAAGCCGCTGGTGGCTAGGCCGCTGGTGGCTAGGCCGCCGGGGGCTAGGCAGGAGGCTAGGCCGCTAGAGGCTAGGCCGCTAGAGGCTAGGCCGCTAGAGGCTAGGCCGCTAGAGGCTATGGCATTTCCGCTGAAGGTTCAGAAAGGCGGGGGCGCTTGAGGCGAGGGCCGGAACATTAGAGGCCCGGCTGTGCCTGCACCACTGGGACCGCCGCCTTTCTGTGCGGCTGTGGGGAGTGCGTGAGGGTGCGGCGGGGTGCCTGCCTGGTCGTTGTTGTGTGTTGCTTTTGGTTTCTAGTGTGGAGTGAGTCAAGGGTAGCTTGCGACTAGTAGGAATAGCAATTGAAGAACCCAACGCTACGCTAAATCTCGCAAGCGCCTGTTCGAATGCGTCGCCTGCAAGGACTTAGACGTCCTCCTGTGGCTTGCAGCTCACACACAGAATGATTCTATTTTTCATGATCTTGCGCGTCCATGGTGGTATAAATATGCATATCTCAATCAATTGATTCGCATGCTAGGTAGTGCTCGACCGCATAGTAGAGCACAATCGTCCAGCTGCAGAATAGCCACGCAGAGCTCAGTAGCAGCTTATTCCGCAAACCTGTTTTCTGCTGTACGCAGTGCGCTGGGTATCAAAAACGACACTTGTGCCCCCGCAGCATCGGTCGTGGACTCCTGATAATTTTTCCGCTGTGCAAGTTCATTCCTATCGATGCATGGCGCAAAGAATGCCAACGCCGCGCATGGCGCAATATGCATTGTTGCAAAACGAGCAATACCTAATTGCTTCTCTTGCACTTGCTATGCCTTTTGTTATGCTACACAAGATTTATTTTTTTGTACTATGCAAAGGGGACCACGAACACCACCACAAAAGCTGCGGAAGCACAAAAATTTGCGACGCGTACTGGGGATCGAACGACTGGGCTGACCGCGTTGTCCGGGGGTAGAGGTGCTCTTATGGAACATACAGTAAATTGGCTGCAATTTATCACTTTTCATAGACAAGGGGAATAGGCAAGGAAAACTTTCCCTACGGTTGAAGATTTGAGTGAAGTTGTCTCATGCTTCTCTTGCAATTAGGAAAAGGAGCTGGCAGTGATAAATTGCTCTCACTTTTGCTGTCATACTTCGAAGAGCTGGTTCAGGTCATCCGGCGGTACGAAGGAACCGGCACCTGTAAATGGCTTGTTGAATCCAATGCGCAGGCATTGCTATACGAATCTACTACCAGGCTGTAGTAGTGGTAGTCCGCTGTTCGTTTATACAAATGTTGAGTGCTGTGAAGTATCTATCCTACCTGGGTTCCACTTGTCAAAAAAGTTTATCATTTTTGTCATACCAGCGAAAGCACTGCTTCGTAGCACGACCGGGTCGAGAAGCATCAGCTGCTGAACGCCGGTGTCAGACTCCGCCTTTATCACACTGAGAATTTCCCTTATTTTTGCGCAGCCTACAATCGACTCCACAACCTCTTGCGGCAGAGGACTGCGTGCTCGGCAAGCCTTCTAGTTGTATGTGATCCCCAACATAATCTTCATTCAGACAATTTCTGTGATCGCTGCCGCTAGTACAACTTGATTCGCATGATAGAAGAGAGTCCCTATGCAAAAAAGTACGACCTGTATCTTCGTTCACTATGGGCGCAAAAATAATATTCGTTCCCTCAAGAATTCTATTCTGATACTGATGACCCCCTGCATGTCGGTCACCATCTCCTTGCCACCGGAGATGTAGAAGACGAAGTGGAAGAACGTGTGCGCGAGCTCGCAGAAGTGCTCACCGCCGTCGAACAGGAACTTGTCCACCTCCAAACCGCCGCCCGTCGGCGAGTTTGCGCTCATGGCCTCGACAAACGCGTGCGGCAGTTGTGTCAGCAAGGCACTGTCGCCCACCTGAATTAGCGCCGACATCTGGCTGTCCAAGACTTCGCACTGGTTCGTGCGAACAATCTGCACCTGCAGGTTAGTTTGCGGGGCTCCGGCGCCGTGCTTATCGTAAAAATCCTTCCGATTTAGGTCGTACACGACCGGCGCTGAACCGCCGCGCGGTGTCGTCGCACCACCGAAAAATAAAGGGTCCTCGTTGAACAGAAACTTCGGCTGGTCGTCCCCGCCTCCGCCCATGGGTGAGCGTGACGATGAACTCGAAGCGGAAAATTTCTCGTTAAATTTCGCCGCGTAAGCTTGCGCCCGCGCGATGTCTTCAATATCCTCGGCTGTTTTATCCGGAACGCGGTCGTCGATGTGTGTGCTAACGCTTATCAAGTACGTGTTACCATCGTTCGCGCGCCCCACCCAGGTCTTTTTGGAACGGAAGCGGTACGCTTCGCGCCACGGGTACAGATCCCACAACGGCGAGTAGACGGTCCGCCCGGCTGTGACTGTCTGCGACGTGGCTTGGTTGATTGATGTTGTTCCTCCCCAGTCGGTTCGCATGGGTGAGGACATCAGCCCGCCGACCGTCACTGTCGGCGCATCTATGGATGTGTCAGGATTGAAATCGTCACAGTTGAAATAATTTCTCATGCAGAAATTGCAACGCATGAAGTGCCTCTCTTGCAGGGATGGCAAGTGAGGCCGACTGTAAGCCTGTTTGGGGTCTGCATTAGAGCTGCTGAAGTAGCATGACAAAAGACGCCGTCTGTCTCTAAACAGCATAAGAAACTGAATTTAGACAGTGCCGAGGTTTGTCATGCACCGCTTAGAAATTGGGCTTCCAATTGCCATCCATTTTATGCGTCGCAAACTATTTCAACTTTGACGATTTCAATCCTGACACCTCCATAGCATCCGTGTAGTCCTTATTGTTCCGTCTTCTGGCCTTGCCCTGCGTCTTCTCTATCGTGCGCCGCTTGTGGATGCTGAAGCGCTTCGAGAAGTTTTCGGAGTGGAAAACCTGCAGTTGCCCGAACTTCAGCACCTTTCCGGACTGGAAATCCCGAATTTTCAGCTGGCAGTCGCCGAGGTCGGCGTCCCCACCATTGCTCTGGTAGAACGACGTCGGGTCGATCTCGCACAGCTTCAGCGGTTCCTCACACACTTTTATCAGCGATTGACCCATGATGCCAACAAGAATGTAGTGCGGGTCATACAGTAGCTGCTGTTGTCCGAATGCAACAACACCTCTGGCGCTACTTAGATCAATATTTACGACCCCCGGCACTTATCATGGCGGGTCCACCGAACAACAGAGGAAATAACAGGACGAGCGCAATAGATATTACTGGTCACACCGATAGAGGTGGTTCCACGCATCTTCCTTGTGTTCTCCGTCCCACCTCTTCAGAGAAGTCGTTGAATTCGCAGGTTCAGAGTCAATGTCAAATGTATCAAGACCACAGACCGATCATTTACAGAATCAAATCAGACTATGGCGAACGCACTACTCTCCAGCAGAACCGAAACCAAAGACGAAGAACGAAGAACCTTCACAAATGAGTCTTGTTCTCCAGCGCACTTCTGGAGCCAGGCACTCTGACATGCTATCTCTCCGCCTAATACCTAGCAGATCGGCTCCTATACGTCACGCGGAACGTAGGTGCTCTCTCGACAACTCTGCTGACAAGATCCTCCGTCGCTGTGCTCAGCTGCATCGTAGCAGTTGCACACACGCTTCGAGAAAAGAGTAATTACAGTAAGTTACTGTAGAAGTGTGGTTAGTTTTCCAATGGTTCTCTGGGTCCGTCTGGTAGTACTCGCGGTAGAGAGATTGTTCTTCGTGTTTTCTTGCTGGTTCCGCAATCTCGTGTTGCTTTGGTTGTTACGTCTCTCTTTGCGACCTCTGTGTAAAAAGAAACGGAGAGGCATCAAATTCTGTGAAGTACTCGACAAATGCTTCACTCTAGGTCTAGTCGAAACAAATTCGCTTGGAAATAAAGGGATCGAACATGAAACTGATGTGGACTTGTTCGGGGTAAAAGTTGATCTTTTTCGCGAAACTATGTTTTAGTTTGAGGAACTTGGTCTCATTCTTAAACACAGATAGTGTAGTAGAAAAGAAGCATGGCGAAGCCTCACGGCGGGGGGAGGGGGGCATTTGCTACTGAAGCAGAAGGGGTTTTTTTCTCGGTACTTCACACCTCCCTGGCGGCCATAGCGTAGTATTTTTGTCTGAGCTCCTCGAGGTTATCGGCACCAACACTCAATCGGCTCGACGACAAAGAACTGGCCTTCGATGCGGTGTCCGCTTGGTAATGGTAGCCTTCATACCCGTACCCTTCGTCTTCGTCGTAGCCCTCGTCTTCCTCTGGACCCCACCTGTTTTGACAGAGTGTGCACAAAAAGTGTAGTTTTTAAACGACATCATTCGCAGAATTACTACACGATTGAAAACTTAAACTGTGCTCAGCTGCTACGAATTAGCAACCTCCACATTTTTGAACAAACCAATACGGAATTACAACAGGCACACACTACAAACACACTCCCGGAGTCACGTCAATGACACAACAAACATCAGTAAAGAAAAAGTCGACGTACGCTTCTCCCTCGCCGTGCGCGCCCCCACCGTAGTCGTCCTGCGCATCGACTTCGGAAGTGTAGCCCTCGTCCTCCTCCTCGTAGTAGGCCTCGCCTTCCGCGTCATAGCCGTGGCCGTGGCCTTCCCAGCCATCGTCACCGTAGTCCTCCTCTTCCCAATAAGCCTCGCCTTCCGCCTTCTGCTGGCTGAGCCGCATGGGCCGGTACACGGGATTGGGGATCTTCTCGCCACCACACATTATTTTCAGGTAGAACAACTAAAAGAAATGATCTGCTGGTTTCGTGCGACGACTGTTTGTATGTCAAGAATAGGTCCCGTTGATTAAAACAAGACGAAGCACAACGGGTATTTGTGTCAGTAGTTGGGGATTATATATGGGAAACTGTATGTAAGTGTTCGAGATACATCATTGCTCCTCAGATGATGCATGCATCATGAACATCAACATGTACAACGATGCACTACATTTGTTACTGTCCGTATTCCTACGCAGCCGTCGAAAATCTGCACCGCCAAGGCTCAGTAACCGAGTACTTGAATCATTCCGACATGACGCGAGGCCGACAGAGTCTTGAAATTTCTCCTTCTCGTACGATCCAAACCGATTTTTACCGAAATGTGATTCTTTCGACAAGAAGACAAGGATTGCATTGTGAGCAAAAGTACGAAATTTATTTGCGCACTCTGCCCATGTTTTGCTGCTGTTCGTTTTGTACGAAATATCGTAGGTGCACGATAAAACAGAACGTTGCACGATGATGTAGACGCACCCATCTTCGTTGGGCAGCAACTACATGAAAAAAAGTACCACCACACTGAATATGCATGCAGAAGGTATGGCACTTAGACCGAAAAATGATTACTAGAATTAAAATTTTCAGGAGGAGGCACGAAATCAAGAACGCCTCCACAGACAAGAGCTAATTCAATCCTGGCGGTCTTTGTTCATGGTATGTTGTAGGGGGCTAAACATCGATGTGACAAAGTGCGTCCGTTGGTAGACGTGTTCCTTTTCATTCATGCTTGCTGAAAAATTTGGGGAACGACAACGAGCTAAATTGGTTTTCCTTTTCCATAGCAAAAGGTACTTGACATCCAATTTCGTAGGTGGGTCGTACACACATTCGGGTAGAACTGACACCGACAAAAAAATCAGCTCCGCGGTCGATGTTCCCCGGGTCTTTTTTACGTTCATGCGTCCTTCCTCCTAGTAATAGCACACACTTCGAAATTAAGTATGAAGAAGCGGTTCTGCTATGTAAAACAACATCGTGGCATAAAAGCACAACGAGAAACCACTAGTACTGCAACCCTAGTGAAAATTTTCATTTTTCCAATAATCTTCTCGTTCAGACTCAAGGAGGGCATGGTATCTTCTCGGGTCCCGCATACTGTATTCCTGGTCTGTGGCCATCTGCTTTTTGTACCTCTTGTTCTCTGGGGGTTATGGAAAGAAAAAAAGCCCTACCATAATCGTATCGTAGATGCAAAAAGGCTGCCAAAACATACATACTTATTGTATATTCATCTGGCTTATGGTTATGTGCCGCGCCATGTTCCATACAAGTCCTCGACCGGGCATGTTTCTGTAGAAGTTGTAAAGTACACCACGGATTGTTTTTTCTGCATGAACCAACTTCCAGATTGTGATAGGCAAATTTTTTCCTTTCCGTATCTTTGCGTCCTTGACCACGAATTCTTCGTTCACCTGGCGAAGAAAAGTTTTTTCGACGCCGTGCTCCTCGCGGCGCTTGTCCCGCAATTCCACCCTTTTTTGCACGTCGTGCGGCTCGTGGTTACGCGCGTTCCGCACTTTCTTACGCTTGTTCGAGCCCCCTCCCGAAGAGGCCTTCTTTTCATGGTACGCTTTGCCGGCCTGCAATCTCTTCAGATACTTGTCGTCGTACGTCTATCATGAGCAAAAATCCACCTCCTTGTTGTTTCCCACACCTGGAGAAACAGAACTAAAATAGACCCGGAAAGGGAAGTTAACAAAACCGCATAACAAGTAATTGACGGCCAAGGACGTGCGTCAGCGTCTTGGTATACATCAGACATCACTACGAATCATATGCATATCAAACGCCTTTATTTACAACAATATGGGGAACACCACGCAAGGGGGGACGACTACGACTTTTTTCATTTTGATAACTCGAATCCGAAGCGGTCGAAGACCTGCTTCGCCGCGAGCGCAAATTGCTCCTCGTTCAGGTCTGTGGTGGTGCTACCGTCTTCGTTGACGTGCGTTCTCGGTGGAGCACCGCGGCCACGACTCCGGTCACTGTCTGTGTCCGACGACACGTCCCGAAAGGAGAACGAGAAGGACCGGGAGAGCATCTTGCGGGTCCGTTGCACGCGCGCGCCCGCGTCCGGCTCTGTCGTAATCAGGTTAAAGAAGCGCGCGAACGCGCCCTGAAAGTGCTTGTGGCTCGTACTCACCACCGTAGTGGTGACCACTTCGACCGGGGGCTTCTTCGCAGTCCTGCTACTTCCACTGGCGGTTCTGCTCAGCGAGGCCGTGGAATGCGAATGGGCGGTCGAAGCGAGTCGGGTTTTGCTCTCGGTGTGCTTCAACGAAGCAGCATCTTGCCGCGGCCCTCGGGGACTAGTCGCGCGGCTCAGTTCGTCGACGTAGGATGTTGAATCCATGTGCCCGAAATCTGGCTTCGAACTTTGTTTCACCAAGAGCGGCTTGCCCCGCGGCGTTGGTGTGCTGACAGCGGGACCTCCACTGTCGCCTTTGCCCAAGGCGGACTTCTTCTTCACCAAGCTCGCCCGACGGCTTGGGCGATCGGAAGCCGTCACAACTTCGTGCCCATGCAAGGAGTGCAAGTCCGTGTCCTCCTCGTCAAATGGGTCCGCAGAAGTGGTGCTTTTGATCATTTTCTGCTCCTGCGAGACGGTACTGGTAGCTTGGCGTGCGGATTTTTTTCGGGTTGTACGACGGTCCTCGGCACTTGTAGTTCTTGTGCCCCTCGGCGCGCGCTGGCCGCCTTTGTCGCTGCCACTGTCACTCGAAGTAACTTGCCGCGGACCTCCACCAGCTCTCGAGGTGCTGGCGGGCTGCTGGTGTTCTGCCGCCAGCAGGTCACGCACAGATCCGGTGGATTGTAGGCTTCTCGTGGAACTACTCTCCCGCGAAATCACAGGTGCTGCAGCTGCACCACCACTTCTATTATTAGTACTTTGACCCGTATCTACAACCTGGCCTGTGACTTTTTTCTGCAGCAGCTTCTGCTGCGGGGACGGCGCGCTGTTATTGCCTGTGGATTCGACCGAGGCGAGCGACATCCTCTTGTTCTGCTCCGCTTCTTGTTTAATATTCCCGACACCGGAGGACACGACCGACGTTTTCGATGCAGAGGCAGTTTTTCGTCCTGGAGAGACCAACGCGTCCACGGCTGCTGTGCTCACGCGTGACAACAACGAAAAAAACGACGCGCTCTTTCTCTCCTGAGGCTGAGCTGGAGCTGCTGTAGTAGTATTTCGCGGCGACGACCCTGCCGTGGCCGTTGTGTTCTGCTTATCTACAACTGCTCCAGCACCAGCATGGTCTTTATTCTTGTTGTCGTCTGTAAGAAGCTGACCACTGGTCGGCTGACTCGTCGCGCGACGCGCAGTAGCTCTGCTCGCCGCCTCATGCTGCAGAACTGCGGCACCGCTACCTTCACGCCTGCGGGACGCACCAGCAGTTGTGATTCGCTTCGTCGGTGCGGTCGCAGCACTGTGGGCGCGACTGCGGGGCGTCAGCGGTGCAGCCACCACACGGTAATTGTTGTTTTTGTCCACGAAGTTGTAATTGTTCGCGTCGTAGTCAACGTGAAGAAAAGCTGCAGCGTCCTCCGATGACGACGCCACGTGGTCGTCCACTGGCGTAAGCGTAATCATCTCCGGGGAATCGGTGCCCTGCTCGCCTTTCGGTCCTCGGGGACTCGTCGCTCTCCGCGGTGAACGCGGGGCTGTCACGTCGTCGCCCGCGCGGGGAGGAGTCATGATGGGATCGTGAGGAGGTGGCACTACCGGAGGTACTACCAAATGCTATTCCGGCGGTTTTGTCGGGGAAATGCGTGGTATATGTATAAATATCATGCGAAAATGAAGAGTAAAAGGAGAAATTTATGTTGTGTATGTTCGGTACTCCTAGGTAGTAGCCTAGTGGGAAACTACCTCCGCAGAATTCTAAACAAAGCTGCAAGCTGCTCTACGCGGGGAAGAGGTTACTTATTTTCACCTGTAGAAATTTACGAATACGATGAACGACACCATGAAGGACTTTTAGTCGACGTGGCAGTGGTGCTGGCGATTTCTTAAGTGCGTTGTTTAATACGCTTTGTTGGTCGTACGGTGTATCATATGAACGACATTGACAACCACGAAGAAGAGGTACGTAGCACAACAAAGAGAGTGTAAGTATTCACGACAAGAGTCAGGAAAAGATTCTGTTTTTGCACGAAAAGTAGCACATCTTGCGCACCTTACCGATCCTGGTCGTGGTCGCGACTTGCTTGAGGACGTCCACATCATCGAAAAAGGTGAAGGAATGTAGAAAAATGCGAGTTGTTGTGCGAAGTTGAAGCAAAAGAGCCGATCAAAGAACAGGGACGCAAAACCGAAGAAGAAAGTGATGTTCAAAACGATCGATGGCAAAAAGTTGCAACAAGTGATCAAGAGGTCATGCTTGCAGTTCATACCGACTTAGTCTTTCTCTTTCATTGTTAACCGAGGAGGAGCGGCTCTACTTCTACTCCGGGTCTAGACCGACTTCTGACGGCAAAAGGGGCGGCTATACACGTACAACTAAACCACCCTTGTTACAGTGTGTAACAACCAAACCACCCTTGTTACAGGACACGAGGACCATGGACTTGAGCGACCGCAAAAAATACACAGTTTATTCCAGAGTCTATTTTTTTTTCCGAACGCGTTTCGAAAACAATGTTGTTGCCTTGTTGTTGATGTTCATGTATACTGTAAATGCGCGTCGATTCTTCACGTTAGTCCAATGTCGCATAACCAGAAACATCTTCATCCAACCCTTCGAAGGACTTTCTACTCCTCCTGCGTCCTAGTTGCATGTGCATGATAAAGGGATGGAGATATCAAGAGAAAGAGATCGGGATGGGGGGACACTTTTGCGGGCGATGTCCATGTCACCCGGACAGGACCTTGAATTTGATAGGCCAAGTGCCGTTGTACCAAGTAATTGTAAAAACGGGGGGCGAAACCGAAAACACCGGCTTCTCATTTTGTCTACGTGGCAGATCTTCGAGTGACAGAGGTCGGCGTTCATTGGTTCATACCTCGCTTCGACAGGAACATTTTCACGCGTACTGCTCCATGACGTCACCCATCCTTGCCCGTTGCTCCATCATCTGCTCTCGATTTTGCTGGGTCAGCTGCTGCATCTTCCCGATGAGCGGGTCCTGCGCCTTGATCTTCTCACCGATCACCTCCGCTTTGCCGTGCAAATTGTCCAGCATGTCCTCTATCATATCCATTCTGTCGTTGGTTGCATCATCGTACTTCGGATCACGCGTCCTCTCCTTGATGTGTGCTGCAGAAAAGTTCTTTGCTAACACAGGTCTAGAAGTTCTTGCGGCGCCTTAGGTAGGGTGCATCGTTGTTCTCGCAGAACAATACTGGTTTCTGCTGACACAGGTCCTATAAAAAAATTGTTGCGTCTACTTGCTGTTCTTTGGCTTTGCGTGCATCGTTCTGCATTCAAAAAACGATCTACTCATGGTCTACTTTATTGTTGGTTCATTTCCTCTTCGCATGACCACGTGATACAAACTTGAACTCGGACGACCTATGCTAGCAAATATGCGAATTCCCGTAGTTCCTTGAGAAGTCTCCTCTGTGCCCGGACGTTGCGGCGGAGTCCCTGCTGGACCCGGTTATCAATCCAGACGTCGTGCACCCCGAGGCGGATGTACTCGAGGCAGGACTGCACGTTTTTTACCCACTGCGCCTGCGCGTGCGGGCTCGGCGTGTCGAACAGCCACGGTTGCTCCCGCGTGTTTTTGTCCTGGAACACGGCAAAGCCGCCCGGTTTTTTCTTCCACAAGTTTTGTATCGCCTGCGGGGCGCTGGGGTCGTTGAACAGCAAGAGGACGGAATACCGCGTGAGCATGATCTCCTGAAAAAACGGACTCTCCTCGTCGTCGGCGATGGACAGGAGGCTATCAAATGCAAAAATGTCTGGGTCTAGAATGTTGCCGGGTTTATCATGCATGTTTTGCATGAGCCAGGATGTCTGTAATGCATGACTTAGCTGCATCGCAGATTTTTAGAGGGCTTCGCGATGCCTAATCCGCATGACAAATGCCCTCCCCGCGTAGCACAAACTAAGTAGACTCCTCTTGCTGAGCATGCAATACAGAGTTTTTTAGAGTCCAGAGTTAGCATCACAAGCTCCAACCTTCCAGACCCAGACATTTTTACATGTGATAGAGGTTGCCGTGGCACATCATGTAGCACTTCATCCACCGGTCCTGGTAGCTGATGCCCGCCTTTTTCACGTACCTGATAGAACGATTTCGGGTGTTTAACTTGCATTCATCTTCACGCTGTGCTTTAGTTTCACCTGCATTTCTTCTCGGAAAAACTTTAGCAGCTGTCGAGGACACACGCGCCGAAAAAAGGCATCGAGAATGATTTATTTCAGTGACACTTCATCATCAAGTGTGGCATACACAATTGCGCTCTTCAACATCTTCTTTCTTGTTCGAATCGCACCAGACAATCTTGACCAATATTTATAGACGTACCCTTGCCAGAATATCGGGTAGTTGTAGGGCGAGACGGGCTGGAGCTTCATCAACTCAAACTTTGCGTCCGCGCGCTCTCCGCCGCCGGTGAGCCCCTCCATGCCGCCGAGGATCTTGTCCCCCTTCCGCAGGTTCTCGTTGATGTGGTCCTGTCGTTCCAGAATCCGCTTCATCGCGTCCGTGTTGTGGTCTAGCCCCATCATGGTGGAGTCCGCCTTCTCGTGCGCGGCGTGCAAGTGCCCAATCACGCGGTCCAGCGTGTTTCCGTATCCGCGAGGCAAAAACATCGTCCCCAGACGAGACAGCGACAACAGTAAGATGACAAAAATCTGCTACGCTTACAGCCCGAGGTCGAGTAGCAGGCCTGACTCTGAAAACACATCACGCCTGATGTAAAAAAAATAGCGTGGCTAAGGATGTCGAACCATATCTCCCATAAGTCTGCGCATGACAGCATATGCTCACCTCCTGCGAGCACCATACGAATTCGCATAAGCAACAGGTCTCGGTGGAGATGGGGATGTTTTTGCCTAGGATATCACGTTTTCGATTTTCAACATCTCCGCAGTTTCCTCCATCTGGTGCTTGTCCATGCCATACCATTTGTATCCAAGTGCAGCACAACTTTCCCTTATTCTCATTTCTGATGCAAATCGCCATTTCTGATGCAAAACACCCATTGCAAGCCTGCTTCTACTACTAATTACGCATGGCATCGGAGATCGGACTCGGAGTGACAGATTCTGGAATCGGAAACGAAATCCTGACTCAATAGGAATCTAGAGAGCACTGGAATTTTTATCGGTGTTTGGGTGTGTGATGAAGTCATTACATTTCATCTGCTGTGGTCTTTTCTGCGTCACCGACGATCATGCCCTGCTTCTTCAAAGAAAAAATGAGAAGGCGGAGGGGCCACGCTGCACTCTGATAATTTGTCGGGGTTGGTTGGGTGTGTTGGGTCGTGCACGAAATTTTCTATGTGCCCGTCGTGGGGCCGGCCCTCTCCCTCGCCTTGCACATTGTCCCCAGGACCACCGCTGAAGGGATTCAGCGACGCGAAAAAATCCGCCAGCGGGTCGGCATCGGGGTTGTAGTCGTCCTCGTAGTAGTCACCCTCACCGCCCTCGTCGTAGATGTCTTCGTTATAGGATAACATCTTTACGAGCCAAGGACGAGCGCTCTGGCGGACTACTTGCTCTTTTTTTCCTAAGCAGGTTCGTTAGGTTTTAGCTTCCCAAAGGAGAGCAAGGCTTCGCGCGCGCACAACACGAGGACCAAGAACTACGAAAGCAGGCCATCATAGGTTCTTAGATCACAAGCGGTACCTCTGATCATGTAAAAAGTGCGACATCAGAAGTCGAATAGAAGTGCCATAGATTTTCGCTTTCATCGCAGCAGTTTGGGTTGTAAAAATGGTGTGACTGTCATATCAAATGAAGGGAGGCCTGCATCCGTTTGATGTATTGATTATGATTTGAATCATGCAGCTACGTGTGCACAACAAGGCGAGGGAAGCTACGGAAAGTAAGTTCCTACAGAGCACGCTACCGACCGACGGCTGCTCGCTACCGACCAGAAAGCAACTGATAGACATGCACGGCAAAACCGATTCGGATTCACAACGATTATCTTGAACTAGTATAGCCAAATTTTTCTCAACCGATGAATTACGCTAATACCGAACAGCATTGCGATGGTTGCGGGACTCCACGTTTTTGAACCGACAAAAAACATCCAAGCTCAAGCAGGACCGATTCAATATCAAAGGCAACGACTGCATCCCTCCTGTTGTGCAACTGAGTTCAAAATCGCAAGCATATATACCGAGTTTCGTCTTCTTGCCAGCAGCCAGTGTTCCGAATGACAGTGATGGCATGACCGAGCGGAGCTTCACTCAAGTGCGAAAAGCTCCTCTGTGATGTCGTGTCGCAATCTTTTGACAAGGCGCCGCAAGGCATAGGATAATCTTCCGGGAACAAATGCCAAAAGCGAAAAGGCCATCAATTTCGCGTATACCAGTAGCATTCGGCTATGGCTTGAGGTTGAGCGGATGATGGAATAAACTACATTAACACACCTGCGTAGTGCGATCCTGCAAGTTGTTAGGACAGCGTTTCTGTGCCAAAAAACAAACCACGCAAGGCTGTTCAGGGCAGAGGACAGAAGAACCGTCCCCCCGACTTGCGAAACAACCCGGCGCGGTTCGTTTCGGCGAGCAAAATTTTTGTCGTGAGTAAGAGTAAGACTCGACACACAATCTCGACCTCCCGATCTATCGTCCCTTGACGCGATGAAAGAATTTATTTCAAATCCCACTACTAAAGAATAGGGTTGAGAAAAACTCCTGCTGCCTCAACCTTTGTTGAACCCCAGAGCGTTGGCGGAATTGACAGCCATAGGGCCCGTGCTGCTTTGTGTGTCGGAAAGGGATACTGTAGCCAGCACTTGATGGGAAGATCTACACTTAGGACTGACGTCGATCAAAATACACTACCAAAGAACCCTAATTAAAAGAAAATCGGAAAAAATCACACGAATGCAAATTTCACACGACATTGTTTTCTTGTAGAGACAGTCGGCCTCGTCGGGAAGTGGAGGATATGATCAAAGGACCGATGAAGGTCATATAGATACAAGAGCCGAAACTCGAAATACATAATCCGGTAGGAGCAAGGAACCACATGAGGTAAGGATGAATGCGTTCTGCTTCTGTCTGTCGCTGTCCAAGAGCTGCTCCGTCGAGGTGAATAAAGACCGAGCGTCTCTACTTCTTCCTCACGACCGGATCCGCACTCATAGCGATGCCTAGCCCCTCCACAACTGCATGGGTGAAAACAAACAAACCACAGCGAGTTTTCGCTAGATCCAATTTTTGTCGGTCTCTTTCATGACGTTGTGCATGCGGTCCTTTTGCTGGGCCATGTTTCCCCGTGCCGTGGTGGCCTTTTCCTGCATGTCGTGTATGTACTTGTCTTGCTCCTGAATCTTTCCGCCAATGTCGAGGGCTTTGCCGTGGAGCACGTCTAGCAAGTCGTCGACAGCGTCGAGTTGGTCGTTGGTTTCGTCGTCAAACTTGCCGTCCTTCTTGTGCCCGCCGTTTTTCAGGAGCTTCTCCGCGTCCCTTTGGTTCTTCTTGGAGCCGGCCTGCACCCGTGGGTCCGACCAGACCTGGTGCACGCCGAGCTTGATGTACTCCAGCTGCGACTGAATGCCCTTCACGAACTGGGCCTGGGCTTCCGGCGTGGGCGTGTCAAACATCCACGGGATGGACTGCTGCTTGTTCTCGAACACGGCAAACCCACCCGGGTGCTCCTTAATCATGGACTTCATGTCGCTGGTAGCCTGGAAACAAGTTAGAAGAGCAGTATGTTCGTTTTGCAGCTCTCATTTTCGTTGAAGATAGAAATGGTTCATCTTCATGCAGGTCGAGGATGAATGACGCAGACCTTCTACTTACTTGTACTTTGCTTCTACAAAACTAGATTGATGCCCGGGTAAGTACCCGCTTCACAAGATTCGAATCAGACTTACATCACAAACTCAACCAAAGTCAAAGAAGCACTTCAGTCAGAAAAATTGATGAGAAGAGGAGCCGCTTGATATCCTCTCATAAAACTTCATTTCAACACAATTCACCAGAATTACCTGTGGGTCGGATAGGAGCATGATTCTGGTTTCCTTTGTGACGGTGATATGCTGGTGGAAGTTGCAACCCTCATCGTCTGCAACCGAGAGCTTATTCCCGTGCGACATAAGGTAGCACGTTTTCCACTTGTCCTTGAAGTGTTGTCCGGCTTTTTTCACTTTGCCCTCCTTGAAGACGGGGAAACCGTCGGGCGAAGTGGGCTTCATTTTCATCTCCTGAAATTTCGTGTCCACGCGCGCACCGCCACCAGTAATACCTGTTTGAGAATGAATTTTCTTTTTATGCATGGCAGGCACGGGCCTGCTCAGGATTAATAAGAGCGACCTCAGGATAAAGAAAGAAATACTTTTGGAGTGCCTCAAAATCTCCATTTCTCACTCATCTCTTCTGTGTACTTGGTAGTTGCACTTGCGCCTGCCTGGCCACGCGCATGGATCGATGCATTAGAGAAGTAGCGCTAGCAGTCACAAAAATAAGTATACCTTCCATGTTTCCGAGAATCTTGTCGCCCTTCATGAGGTTTTCGTTGATGTGGTCCTGTTTTTCCAAAATTCTCTTCATGGCCGCCGTGTTGTCGTCCAGTCCGGTGAGAATTTTGTCCGCTGTCCGGTCCGTCTCCTGCAGTTTGTTCACCACGCGCCCCAGCGTGTCGTGCTGGTCCTTCTTGAGCCGGGCCATCTCCTGCTGTTTCTGGGCGTTTGTCATATTGGCGTACGGGTCGTGAATTTTGCCCTGGCCCTGCGCGAAGTTGGCCACGTTCATGTCGTTGCCGCGCGGCATCCTCGACGAGGTTAGCGGGTGAGAGAGTGGTTGCTCTCGGTGGAAAATTACAATTTTTTCGACTTCGTTCGACAAATGATGATCGCGTGTTGCTTTATTCAAATGTGCAATGCCGATACTGTTCTCTATTTGAGAGGAAAAGGAATAGATACAATGGCAAGATATATTAAATGGGAACTAGAACGCCCTAGAAGGGCTGTAATAGTCCACCTGCAGCTCTGCTTCTTGGAGCAGTATGGGAAGAGGCAACAATAGATGGTCCCTGAAGTTTTTGTTGTGCGTAAAACAAAGGAAATACTCGAAAGCTTAAATATTAAAAAGCAGGGTGGACGAGGACACGACGCGTCAATGCGAAGACCGAGAATAGTTGCGCGATAGTGCAACATCACATTTACCGAAGTAGAATTGAAAGGCACAAAGCACAGCGAGGATGTTGCTGCAGCTGCACGTGTAGTTTTTCTTTTTCTTTGCACGAAAAATCGCATGAACGATGAATTGCATGTACCAACTGTAGACCGAATTGGTGCGGCATTGGGCGGAACGAATTGCGCCGATATCAACTACAGCGTACGATGCCGATGCTGTTGCTGCAAGTATCAGTCTATTATAGTGCCTTCCAAGATAAGCAGAGGAAAGTTCTGTGCGGAGTGGGGAACTACCGAATTTGGTTTTCAGGTTTTTTACTTAATCATGCAACCGAAAGTCAATTCTCACTGGTGGAACGCAGTTGCAGACCGACGACCAGCAAAGGTGTCAGAGACAGGAAATCAAATCCTTTTCTCATGCTGGGTTTTATTTTCACTGCACGGAGTGATTTTCTAGTGCTTTCGCCGGTCGTGCATGAATTGCTATGAAGGTGACCACCTCCCGAGGACAAACGGATCATGATGTCGTGTCGGTTTTCACAATTGGTTGGCTGCTACCGCTGCGCCTGCGTCCTGAGGTGCGGCCACGAGAAATGAACATCACATTCACAACGCAGCGGAGTAATAAGTACCTTCTCCAAACCGAAAAGAGTGCTGTGTCAATACCCCGCGGGCCCCTCGTCCGCGAACTCATCATTTGCCTGCGTGACGAGGCGGAAGAGCTGCTGGTACGCGAACCCGACGTAGTTTATGCTGCTGAATTGCGACCCGCCCGTCGGGTCCCGCTCCGGGCCCACGACCCAATCCTCCCCCATAGAAAAAATGTCGAGCACCGTGAACCTCGATCGGCTTGCGGTGAATTGCAGCACCCAAGCGGTGCCGTTCCCCACGAGGATCGACGGCTGGTTTGCCGCGGTGGCGTACGGCTTGGGGGGCAGCACCGTCTTACCAACGCGGAAAAAGAGATAGACGATGTTGCTGTCGTAGTCCGACTGCTTGTAGATGCCCGACACGACCTTCATGGCTTTGCCCAGGTACTGCTTTGTGCTCCGGTAGTCACTCGCGGTGGCGGCAGCAATGGCCTCATCCTTCCGCTGCGCCTCTTCGGCGATGGCCGGATCTAGAAATACCCCCTGGTCGCGGTTCGGCTCGAGCGGATCGTCGAGGATGTGCTCCATGTTATTTCTGATCACGTCGACAGGAACGCGGTCGTCGAAGAGGTGCGGGTTGTTGCTGTTGTCTTCCGGGTCGGTGTTGACAAGTTCCGAGTTGTCCGTGTTGGGAAACCCGAGGGATTCCCTGGCAACTACGAGTCGAGGGGTGGGTCTCGTCTTAGTTGCAGATGTGGAACTCCCGCCATCTACTTCAGCACCCGCGGATGATCCCTTTCCAAACGGCCCCTCGTCCAGGAAAACCGAATCCTGGTCTTTCAACAGTATGTCGCTTGCCTTCTTCGCCATCTCCGCGTTCACCTGCCCGCCCTCGAACAGCGCCCGCAGCAGCCGGGCGTTGGTCCAGGTCAGGTGTTCGTTGCCACTCACCAGCTTGAACGCGTTGTCGGGGAGAAGCTATCAAATGTAAAAATGTCTGGGTCTGGAAACTTGTGATGCTGGGTGGCGTCTCATGTTGAGGCCACAAGTGCTGGCTCAGCGTGACAAGTTTCTGAGCTTCTAGGTGTTGCTTATTCTGCACCATGACAAACTGCGTTTCTGCATCACAGAAAAATGGAGCTCTTGGGTAACGCGCATGACAGATTTAAGAGTCATGCCAGACAAGCATGACAAACATGCATTCTTCCAGACCCAGACACTTTTGCAGTTGATAGAAACTGCAGAAAGCCAAAGACCCGCAGCACCGACCCCGGCTCCCCGCCCTCAAACACGTGGGGAAGAGACTCCCGCATGTTCTTCGGCAGCTGCGGGTACAAGTGCTGGTGTAGGTACTATCTTGGGTAAAACCCCAGAGTTTGAGTTGTCATGTAAATCTGCATGCCAAACAATTCTCTCATGCGGAGCCCCATGGGAGCCATTGCCTAGGCGTGTTTTGGAATCTGTAACGCTAGAATCAGCATGGCGTGCTAGATCTGTGATGCTTCGCAACTAGCCAAACAGGATTACATTACAAGGACAAATTTGTCATGCGAAACAACCAAAGCCGGCCGATTTGTCTAGCAGATTTCATCCCATCTTGACTCTGGGGTGGGGACGTTTTTACACAGGATAGGTACCGGGCCTTGTTCATCTGCCACCCCAGGTCCTGGATCGCGTACACCCCGTGGTTCAGCAGGTCGATTTTCAGCTGATTCTTGAAGTAGGGCCGCACCTTCCGCTCCAGAACGACTTGCTGCTCCTCCTCAACCCGCCGGTTCTTAGCGGCGACCTTCAGCTCCAGGTCGTGCACCATGGTGTCAATGGTACTGGTCGCCTTCGGCCCCGGCAGGTTTTGCGCGTAGCTTCGCTTGTGGTAGTAGTAGACGACGTCGTCCCGCAGTAAAATCGGCGCCGGGTCGTCGGGCGAAGTGTCGCTGTTACCCCGTTTCACGAGCTCTATCTCGTTCGTCTCCGGGTCGACCACCTCCACTTTTCCGGTGGTTTTCAGAAACGTCTCCTTGTCCGGGCAGTAGTGGAGCAAGTCCTGGATTGGCGAAGGCAGTTTCTGGTCGTCCCGCTCGGATTGTCGTGCTGAGCTCTCCTCCACAGCTTCCCTATCAATATCCGGGAACTTCCCGTCATTATTCTGGTCCAGCCAGTTGCAGGCCCACTTTGCGCTGAATTTTTTCTCTACCTCATCCAGGTCCGTGAGTCCTGCCTGCACGAGCCCCGGGCTGGTGACAAATTTGTCCTTCAGCTCCACCAGCAGCCCCTCGGGGTGCGTAGGGTAGAACGTGAACTTCGGAGAGTACGTGGCGGGCCTGTGCTTGCGGTGCACCCACGGCGTGTACGTCGAGCTAGATGATCGCGTAGTAGTTCGCTCGTGATTTAGACTTTTCATCTCCATCACTGGGCTTGAAATAACAGCAGAAGATGTTGAACGACCGACAGATGTTGAAGACTCTGTTGATCCTTCTGAGAAGCTGCCCTCCGCGGGGCACTGCGCCGAATACGGGTCCAGCATGTGGTCCAAAAAGTGCTTGTTGCTGTGTATCTCTATCTGTTGCTGTTCGCTCTTTTCTTTCATACTGTCCGGCAACTTCAGGCTCAGCCCGTGATGGTTTCTGCTCGGGCGCCAGCTGTTGGGAAACCCGGCCCCGAGGTGCTTCCACCGCTTCCCGAAGTACTTGACCAGGCCGGTCTTCTCGATCGCGTTCATGACCCCAGGGAAGTAAAAGTCGTGGAAACCGATGGTGTGGATGCAGCAGGAAATTTTTCCCAGCACCGCCTTCAGATCGAACAGCACCGCGGAAAAATCGTGCAGCGCGTCGATGAACACGAAGTGGACCGGCGTGCCCTGCAGCGAGTACGCCCAGTGTTCCTGGTACAGGTCGTAATTGAGTTTTATCAGGTTGGGGTAGTTGGGAATCAGCCGTCGCGTGAATCCCGGGCGCTTCTCCAGGCAAATCACCTGTTTGAACAGCCGGACCAGAATATTGAGAGGAAAAATCCCCCCTCCCCATATTGCAAAGATATGCTTCCAAAAATTTGTGTTGCGGATTTGAGGTCACAAATCACATCTGTCTTTCAAGAAGACAAGGGCAGAAGTTTCCGCCACATTATGGAAGCTGTTTGCCATGCTGTTGGGCATAAAGGGGAACCGTTTGCCATGCTGAACAACTAGACCCATACGCCCCTACCTAGCCTGGGGATCTGGCCGCCATGCCTCTCTGCAATACAAAGCTGATTTGTGGCCACAAATCAGCATCACAAATTTCCGTTTTGACATGGGGAGGGGGGATTTTTCATTTTGATACAGAATCCGCGTGGTAAACCCGTTCGCGCTATCAAATGCAAAAATGTCTGGGTCTGGAAGATTTGAACTTGTCATGCTGAATCTAAATGATGCAAAAATCTGTGTTGCGTGAGTGCCAAAAGCTGTCCGCTTTTGACCAAGTTGAGAGGGAGTTTCTCATGCAGGAAAGGCATGCTAGAGACCTCAAAGAATCTGTCATGCTGGGTCTCGCAATCCAGAGCTCATGGGTCATGGAAAACCTGCATCACAAATCTTGCATTCTTCCAGACCCAGACATTTTTACATTTGATACGCGCAGCCCAGCTCCAGCGCCGTCTCGTTTCGCTTGCGCGAAAATCTGAAGTGCTTCAGCAGGTCGAAATGCAGCTTCGGGGACGTCGCAGCCCGAACGCCGTGGAGAATGTCGGCACCGAACTCGTCCAGCAGCGCTGCTTCCGTACTGAGAAGTTCTTGGCCAGTGTCTACGGCGAGCTCTCCTTGCTGATCGCGCGCACCGATTCTCTTTTGCCCCTCAACATTGGCCCGCTCCGCTTGCGCTCTATTTGCCGGCACGCCTAGAATCTTTACCTCTTCCTTCTCCTCAGCAGTCAGTCTGGCCTCCTTGTTCCGTCTGCGGATTTCCTCCTCCTCCTCCACCAGCCAGTCGATCTTTCTGGGCGCCGTCGTCGAGGCAATGCTGATCGCACTGTTTTCCGACCGCAGCGGCCAGCTGCCGAGCGAGATGCCGACTTGCGTGCGACAGTAGCCTGTGTTGTATTCAATAGAACCTGGTCGGAGCGCTGCCGAAAGAGAACTAGTACCGTCTTCACTTGTACTAGGTCCGCCAGTTTCATTGAACGTCGCCCGTCTTCTTACCATATCAAATGTAAAAATGTCTGGGTCGTCTGGAAGAATGCGCGATTTGTCATGCAGCTTTTCCATGACCCATGAGGTCTGGAATGCAGGACCTAGCATGACAGATTCTGTGCGATCTCTCTCATGCCTATCCTGCATGAGAAACTCCCTCGCGACTTGGTCAAAACTGGACGACTTTTGGTAATCATGCAACACAGATTATTGCATGCTTCAGACCCAGACACTTTTACATTTGATATACCAACTCCGCCTCGAGAGTACATTGGTAGCGCTTCAGATCTTCCGTGTCCTCTAGTGGCAGATAGGACTGAAATCGGACTTCCGAACTGGGCCGCGGGATGCGCAAGAAGGACGGAGGGTCGCGCAGGACTTTGGTCCTTTGCTGCACATTGGGCAGACCTGCAGCAGCCAGAACGGGTTGCAGCACTGGTGGCTGCGCCACTTGAGTGGCAAGAAAGTGGAGGCGCAGGAGCGGGGACAAAAAACGACACAGAAGCAGAACATTGATTCGTAAAAATGAACTCGGGATCTGCATTTTTCCGAAGGGGGACCGATGAACGCGGAGCAGGAAATATGGATCTTGATCGGATCACGCTCTTAACACAGACGGGGATGTTGAAATGCGATACTTACAAGCATTGGTGCTTCACGCCGAGACTGACCTACAGGAGCTACCAGGAAATACAGGCCTTTTTATCATCGGGCACAATGAAGTGCAAACTTTTTTCTGATAGTTGGAGATGATCTGTGCGAAAAAATACGTCCCCGAAGAAGTTGCACAGATCTCTGATGACCTTACCGTTCATCTGGCCGTCGCGGCATCAAGAGAACAAAACGGAAATGGGACGAGCCGGAACCGGTCCGTGCTGACCAGGATGAAAATCACGACTTGTAACACCTCTTGATGCTAATGCAGCTGACGCCAAAAAAATGTAAACGGGGCGCATGATAAGGTCATTAGATTTTTTTATCTCGAGTTATCTCTACGCCATAAACCCAGTCTGCGGCGCGTCGGGTAGCAGTTTCGTGCGGATTTGGTACAGCAAAGAGGAAGCTTTCACCGAAAGCGGAATGTCAGTGGAAGTTACTTCACTCGGGACTACTTTCGTGAACTTTGCGGGTGTTTCGCGACGATTGTAGTGAAGGCGGTTCTTTTCAACATCACCGCAACCCACGGCGGCGTCTAACTCCAAGTAGTCGCTTCCCCGGATCAGCAACAACGCACCCTTTTGCTTTTTTCTCGCCAAACTGTGCTCTCCGAGCTTAAACACTTCTCGGAACAGGTTGGCGCTTTCTACGTTTTGTTCCTCTTGCGATGGGGCAGTTTTCGTGTCAAGCACTGTATCTCGTCCCGTTTCAGAAATACTTTCCCCTGGCTTGGTCGTCGAAAAGGGGGCTGATTTGTTGCCAGAACGCATGTGACGCCCAGCGTGCAGCACACGAAACCTGTTCGTCGTTCTGTGGGAAGCACGCGAGACCTGGTCTGTTCCCCCCTGATCCGGTTCGGAAGCGTCGCGGTCCCCTGGTGCACTTCGACTCGACGGAAGACCATCGTGTTCCGGGCTTATCAGATGATCTTCTTCCTCTTCCATAGCTCCTGTACAGCCCAAATTATACATTCCCTCGTTTTGTTGATGATGAACTTCAACATCTTCATAATGCCCCTCCATTCCACCTACTTGTCCCATCCGCGCAGCAGCCCTCTTCCTGCGCACTGCTGCGTCATGTCTTTTCACGTCCACCCCATCGGCCAACACGAAGAACGCAAAGTCCCTTTGGGCCAGAAACTGTTCGCAGTACACGTTGTAAAACTGGTAAAAGTCCGTGCTCTTCACAAACGGCAGGTGCAGCAGGGCGCCCTGGCTCGCCCGAAGGCACTCCGGCGAGAAGGGATCGGCGCAATTCTTCAGAAAGTACAAGCCGTGGAACTGAAACGCCAGGGCGGATCGCAGAATCGTACCCAGCGTCCCCGGATCAGGGACGTCTTCCAGCGCCAGAATCAGTTTTCCGTGCGGCAAATCGGTTAGCGCGGTGCGGTTTTGCCTTTCGCCGTACAAAGATTTCGCGAAGATGTTCGACGGAAACTCGTACTTCGCGATCAGTTCATTTTTGAAGGACCGGAGATTCGAAATTTTTCGCAGCGGTTTCTCCTCAGTCTTGATGATCTCCCGCGTCTTCGGAAACTGGTACTCTAGGAGATTGATCAAATTCCTGGTGTTGGGGTTTGCGGATCGGGTGGAGGGGTTGTTGTACAGCGAATTGTAGCTGCGCCCCGTCGTTGAGAGGAAAGATGGATCCAAACTCGTGCTACAACCGCTCGTGCAGTCGGTATAATTTCCGGCACTTGGAGCTTTATCGTCATATTCCTCGTCCTCGTCCCCAGCTGTACCAGAATTCTGAAAATCGTCACGAAAATCGGTATGCTTCTCAATCAAAGCTTGAAACCCTGCCTGTTTCCGCTCGTGCGCATGGACGCCGAGATTCGACAAATTGTGCTGACTACTTGTTTTTACCCACTCCTTTGCATTATAGTACGACCCACTTGTTCCCCCTTGCTGTCCCAAAAAATCAGGCCTACACCTGTTTTTCCAGGGGCACAGGATTGCGAGCGGTTCCAGATTCGCTTTTCTCTGCAGCTCCAGAATTAACTTCTTTCCCACCACTACAAACTGCTGCTTCAGACCTCGGTAATCCGGCTCTTGCACCAGCCGGAAAAAGTCCACCGCCCGGGAGTCCCGCATCGATCCGATGGTGTTTGCTGGAGGCGACGTTGTTGGTGTTCTGGGACTTCGTGTTCTTCCCATGCTGCTAGTACCATTCCCGCCTTGCGATCTGTTTTGTCGCCCTGCGGTGGTCCCGCTCGCACGATACGAACCCGAAGAACTAGTAGATGCCGCTGAAGCAGCAGTAGCAAAGTCGGAGAAGAACCGTCTCGCCGGCGGTCGCAGCAGCTGCTGCTGCATCTCGAATAGAGCACTTGGTTGAGCAATGCAGCTCGGTTGCCAAATTTGTCTACGCCACGGGCCGGCAGAGGAGGAGGAGCGGGAGCTGCTGCCGGAAGGTACTAGTGGTAGCGAACGCATTCTGAGAAAAAAAAATGTGACTGTGTTTACTGCAACCACATCGGAGTGAAGTTGTAAACGTCGGGAGGAACAGGGGTTGTAGCCCTTAATGTCAATAATCGACACTCAACTCAAGATGATCAAAGATCGTTGGTGTTTTCACTAGCAATTGAGCCAGTGCTTTCGGCTTCGGATCTCGCTTACATGATGATGATCACAGATCATTGCATCACTCTGTTCGACGTCAAAATGAAAAGGAAGACCATCGCGGCCGCGCGTTTTGCGGAAATACGGACACCGTTCCAACGCTCGTCCGGGTTTTCTGTAAACAAGGAAAACACGAAACTGTGTTCGGATTATATTCCAACATGGGAATAAGATCATCATGATCGCAAGGGGCTTATGACTTGGGTCTGCTTGTTCTGGAAAAACCAGCAAAAAAACAAGAAGACTGCTAGCTCGTCGACCTTGAGCTTGATCCTCTGCTACTATGATCTCGCATAGTGTACATGCCAAATTTGATTTACATGTGCAGATCACGCGAAGAAAACGAACAAAGACTGCTCGAACTCCGCTGGGTATCCGAACAAGCTACTTGCTGTCTGAACCACATGACAGACAGCGAGTAGACCGAAGAGCCGAATTTGGCGGATACGTAAACGCATTGACACATAATTGAACGGCAATGCGGTAGTGCCACCTAAATCCATTCGAGCTTCCGCCACATGTTGATTTCGCCAACATTCATGTTGCACTCGCTAGACAAATTCCACCAGATGCATCACCATGTCATTCTCCTGGTTGTCAATAGCGCTCAAGTAGTTGTGGTCAACACCATTGTGTTGGATGAACAGGGTCGGCAACCGCGTGAACTCCGTTGAGGAAAGCTGCTTCGGCCTTGCAGAAGGAGTGTTAGTTGCTGTTGCTTCAGTAGTTTTTTCGCCAGCACAGAAGTGGTCGTCTGCTGCACCGCCTCGCGTGTCGATCTCCCTTGACCTGCTATGACAGAGGACGTTTTTCATCTTTGTTTTCGTGTCATCTTCCGCAGCAATCTGAAAACCGTTTTTGGATGTTTTATTCTTGCTCTTTGTCGCCGCTGGGATATACAACGAGGGATCTTTGGCTAGTAGCCGCTGCAGACTCGCTTCGGTCTGCGTCATATCCCGGGTGGGTGCAGGACCCATATACCGTGCGGATTTGTCCTGCGAAGGCGTTGCACGGTGTCCACGCGGCTGGGGTCGGACTAATGCAGCTCCGGGCTGCTTTGCCGGAAGAGAGTTGCTCTTATTGCTCTTACTGTTCCTCACTGGTTTTTGATCTAGATTGGCTGTAGTCGTAAAAACATCCACTTGAGAAATGTAGTCCTCGTCCCTCCCCTCGCTAGTATTTTCCTCCACACCACAATGCCCCCTGCCTGCCTCCTCTTCTGAAACCGACGACGCGTAGGAACTTGGTCGCTCTTCCTCGATAATTCCGGCTTTGATTACGTCTACTTCATCTGACCTTGCGCTGCTACTTCCCACAGTGGAGGACGGACACGGACTTTGTTCAGGATACACGGATGACGTATTAAAACCCGTGGTTGTGCTGCACGGACTTTGTTCCGGCGCCGGCGATGATAGTACAACTTCTGTTGTAGCAACTTCTGTAGGTTGTCCAATGCGCTTGCTTTTCGTCTCCTGCAAAAATTCCTCGCCTTTTTTATGAAGAGAAGCCGCCGCAACTGCGCCAACAATCATCATGTTGCCTCCGCCAGGCATACACTCATTTGTTCTCTCTTCAGCATCGGGTCCGACAAAAGACCCACTCGGTGCAGCTTGCGGCTCTTCTACGTCGATGCTGTGGTCTGTGTCGAGAACAGTCGAGATGCGCTTTTCGAAGTACTTCACTTTCTCGCGCACAAAATGTGGCCGGGGCAGAGCCGCTGGGTTTAGAAAAGGTGCTTGCTGCTCCCTTGCACCTGTTTCAGCAGATTTGTCGTCCGTCGCTTCATCTTCGGCAGCACCTTTGTCGCAGGAAATCGAAATTGTATCCTCTGTTACCACCTCCGCATGACAGCACTTCTGCAAGACTTTGTAGTCCGTCGCGACTTTTCTCGCCACGGAACTGAACAAAAGGTCAATGAGGTGCTCCGTTTCTTCTTCCACCTCTTTCCTACATTCGACATCGATAAAAGTGCTAGCCCTAGCCGGAGCGCTCGCGCTGGTCACATTTATTTCTTGGTCTTCGCAAGGACTCGCGTCCAGAAGCGGGCCGCGAGAGGGTTCTTGCGGAACATCTTCCAGAGGAGTGGCCAGAACTTTGTGGTCCACCTCTCCGCCGGTGTTGTCAGTTCGGTCACCGCCCCGCTGGGCCAATGAAGCAGCGCTATGAGCCGAAGAATGTAGTTGCAGTTCTTTTCCATCTACTTCCTCCAGCCCGCACTCTGCTAGCATTTTCTCAATTTCCTCCGGGTCTTCCACCTGCAATCCCGGGTCTTCGAAATGATAGCACGGCGTTGATGCCACGGACAACGCGGCGGCGGGGTCAACATCTTCACAGCCTTCACGCAGGCTAAGAAAGTGCGCAGAGCTTGACTTTGCTTCCTTGTTCCTCCTGGCGCGGTCTTCCTCCTCTTTTATCACCTTCCTGAACTGGTAGTTGAACTTTTCACGAAGGAGTTTTTCACGCAATTTGTTCTCGATGTAGTGCTGGTCATTCAACGCCACTTCGAGGTTTGTTGTTCTTGGCAGAGGACGACCAGGTGAAAAAGCTTCCTCGCCTGCTGTCGTAATTCGCCCAGGAAAGTTGTAGGGGCTTGCTGTTGATTGCTTTGACTTGTTTAATTCCTGCGCTCGGGCAGGGTATTGAAGATGCTTCTTCTCATCTCGCCCCGCCCAGCTCTCATGTTCGTAAAATTTTCTTGGAAAAATCGGCTCGTATTTAAGATTATCTGGCGCGGGCGAGCGTTTATTCACCTTCATCTGCTCAGCGGTTTCGATAATTCCTGTCGTGTCAGCATGAAATTGGTCACGGCGTCCGACGACGCTGCTTGTTTCGCTGTCTGTGGAAGGTTCCTCCGCGTCCTCTCGAATGGTTCCCTCCTCATCGTCATCCAGTTCCATTTCACAGCCGCGTGTTTGCTTCCTGACTGCTTCTTCTTCGTGAAAACTCTTCTGCTCGCCTTGCGGGCTTTCTTGTGCGCCGCCTTTCAGGATCTTCCCTTCTACTGGTGCTCCATGATTTTGTTCGTTTCTGTTCTGCTCCTTCGTACCTGCAGCCGCAGGCGAAGCAAGGTGTTGTGAAATGCCTTCAGTGCAGCTGTCCAGTTGTTCCGCCTTCACGATTTCATTTTCATTGTCTCCATCCACCGGCAAGACCAAGCCCAAAGCTTCGAACACCAACTTTCGTCGCAGCGCCCGCACGTCCGTTGCAAACTCTTGCTTCAACTCCTCGGTCAGTGCTGAAATAGAGCCCAGTGCGCCAGTTTGTCCTCCGCAATAATTGTTTTCGCCCTCCTTCTTCTTTCGATTCCGTGATGACAAGGAAGTACTGCTGGAGCTAGAGTTTGCCTTTTTGCAGCCTTTGTAATCCCGGGCGACCGTTCCTTCGACGGTTTCGTATTCGTCCTCCTCGGAGTCGTTGTCGGCTTTGTTCAGTAACTCTGGCGTAGAATTAGCCGTCCAGAGGTTCGTCATGTCGAGAAATTTCTTGGAAGCGGGCACTCTAGAATTTGAATCAGCGTGAATATCCGAATCGTTCGAACCGAAGAGCTGATACGGCCAACTGCACAGGGACTGTAGCATCCGCGCCTTCTCTCGGGGCACGCAAGAAAGCCTGTTTGACGGAGTACCAGTAGGGGATAGAAGTTGTAACGTCGATGATGTAGCTGTGGGTTTACCCATGATGCTTCTGTTGTCCACTTTCTCTTTGCCTCTACCAGGTCCTCTTGCAGTGGACTTCTGCATCAGTATTGCCTGGCAAACCCTCTCGTTTCTGTACCTGCTCGTCTTCTGGACGTCGGCTTTCCCTGTAGAATTCGCAATCGCCTTACCGCCCATCTTGTTTCCACTACCTTGCGTCGTTGCTACCAATTGGTCGTCGTTGTACGTCCTAGTTCCACCGCTGACATTTTGCGCGCCGTGCTGAAGGTCTCCGTCTTCTACAGCAGTGCCGTAAAGTTCCTCTCTTACCAGCTCTTTCAACGGCTTCACTATCCAGTCAGACACGAGACTCGATGAAGACCGCGGAGGAGTTCCTCGGTCCACCGGAGCAGCAAGCTGATAGTTTGCTCGCTTCATCTCGGTGAAAGATTCGTCATCTCCGAAAGTTCCGTACACCTGACGCCCGAGGTCGCCGCGACTGCCGTCAGTACAAATCCTAGATTGCATGACTCTCCTGTTGTTCACATTTTTCTTGCTCCTGGGCGACGCAGTTGATGTAGCCGGCTTCTCCAGGGGCGTGAAGTCGTTGTCTTCAAAGCCAACGTAGGTGAGCCGTCCGGAACTTGCTTCGTTAAAATCCTCGGAATCTCGCGGAGGTGGGAGCAAAACAACAGCCTCCGCGAAGGTGACCTGGGGAGTCAGCATTTCTAGTGTGGGGCCGTTGGTGACGACTTGCTGGTGTTTGACGACACTGTTCGTGGTTCTCCTCGCTCCGTTGAACCAGTGCAGGCGAGGTTGGACTTGGCAGACAAAGTCAAACAATTCCTGGCTTTTTCCGTCCAAAACGTGAAGCGGGCCCGACGTCGGCGTAATCAGAATATCCGGTCTGCTGGGCGTACTACCGGATTGCAGGAGAGATTTGGATACCTGTTTTGACACAAGTCTTGCAAATGTTTCGAATTATTTTCCAATGTGCACTACTGCTGATGAAGTACGTAGATTCACAAACTTCAGTATCTGACGTAAGAAAAAATTACTTATACGCCAAAGTTGCACAATTGAACTGCTTCACGAACAATTTTACCTCCGCCACCCCGAAGCGCTTATTAGCCTGTCCATTTTCATCATCGACTGAGCTGCTCGGCAGGACGCAGATCTGCAGCCCAGCGATCGTGAAAACTGTGCTGTTTTCCAGCACGATTCCGTTAGAAATCACTGTTGACTTTCTCCGATGGTCGTGCGCAGATTTTTTTGCGTTCCTTCTACCCGACGTAGTCTTCCTCTTGTCTGGCTGTTGTACTACCGCACAGGAGTCTTGCACAAACTCCCCGTTCTCCACTCGCCAGACAGGAGTTGTACTACCTGCTGGTCGCTGCGGCGTGTTTCTTCTAATCCCCCCGCGGCCCGCATCCGAAGCGTCGAGGTTAGAACAAGAGTCTTGACGAATACTAGACTTTCCGTTTACAATTTCAGCATCCGAAAAATTGTGATGCTCGAACTCACCATCAAGCTCTCCTTCACTGAACAGCTTTTCCAAGAGCTCCGCGTCCTGGACTGCTGCGGTGACAATTTTCGTTGTGCCGACCGCGCTCGAACAATGCAGCAGCAGCTGCTTCCGCTTCAACAACTGGATTGCCGCAACGTCGACTTCCGGATTCAGGATGAGCAGTTTGGACTTTGCAAGCTTTCCGACTTCCTGCAGCCACTCGTCAAACTGCAGCAAATCGTACGCGGTTCGCCCAAACCCGCCGGTGTGCACGAGGAGATCGATTGGCGGGGTGAGAGGTGTTGAACCATTAGTGTTATTTTGCGAAAGCAGAGGGGAAATTGGTGAAGAGGAGGAAGAAGATGATGGGACAACGCGGCCGTGTACGAAAAGTACAGTCGGTGGACGAGTGATTGTGTTTTGTTGGTCCGAAGTCGCGATAGTACCTCCGGGAGGCGGAAGAATAAATTCATGGGAATAATGCAGGCTTCGCACAATCCGAAACGAATTCGCGTAGAGCGAATCCAGGTCGAGGAGTCTGCGACGACCCTGTTTAGTGATTCCACAAGCACCAGGGTAGTAGGAATTCGGCCTGGAGTGCAGAATTAGCCCGACTTCTGCTTCCTCTTCCGAGTCGTCCAGGCCAAGGGAAGAAAAGGCCTTCCCCATGTTGTTTGATTCTAGACACGCAGGCTCGGTAGAAAGGTCATGATCTAGCACAGTCAAACTTAAAGCGGTGCCGGTATCTATGATAGAGTGTCTTCTATCTATGTGATTTCCCTTTTGCTGTGTTTCGTGCCGCGCTCTGCTCAAAACCCTCACGCTCACCCTGCTAATAATCACCGTATTTGTGTGTATGCAGGTTGCTAGGTCTTATGCTCTGGCAAACAAGCTATTTATTACACTGAACAAACTGATACTGGTGTCGTGGTAGTCTTGACTACTACTTTGCAAACAGCACAATGTGGTGCTTTGTATCTGTCGGATGCGTTCTTTCTTGCATTTGCTTGCGCAGTTCCCGTTCTCGCTCGGAGTTTTTTTTTGTTTGTTGCAACAACAGCGGCGACAGAGTCTGTTTCGCGCCGCTGCGAACTTTTTGTTTCTTCCCTGCGCGAGCGCGACGCGGCGCCGACACCTTAATACACTTCTCTACTTGGTATGGTACTAGCACTTGCTTGTGGGGTGCTTCTCGGTGATCCTGTCACAGCAAACAAGCGATCCTCAAACCGCTACGGCCCCAGAAACCGCTTCCGAAATCTCGATCTTTTGCGCCACCGACGGGGAGCAAAAGAAGGAGAGAGAAAACTTCTTTCTTCGGTCTGTTTTCCAGGTACTGGGTGTGAGGATGTAGTGCATGTTCGGCTGCAGCTTCACCCTTAGTAGGACGTCCCGTCGTTGAACAATCAGGCTGGCGTATCGAGGAGGAAAGAATGTTGACCGTCTGTCAGAATTACACGTCACATATCAATGTAGTATACGGCGAATTTTTACGCGAAAGCTTTTATCGTAATTCCATTCAAACCAAAAGCTTGAGTTTCGCATACGCATTCGCACATTCGCACCAACATGCATTTCTTTTCTACATCGCCTCCAATGACAGAAATCGACGGGCTCTTTCTGAAACGGTTCCCTTTTTTTTCTTTGGATAGCATGCCTCCCTCGCGTACGACGGCTTCGTTATCCAAATGAAATTCCGAGCCAAGTCCATGAAATGGAAATCTATATCTTTCAGAGTCCATCAAAAACGACCTTCTCCTCGTCGGAGGTGCAGACATATTTACTGCATATGGTGGGTGAACCTGTGCGGCAGGAGCAGGACTAAACTAAGAGTTACGGATGGGGATGAACAAATTGACTTGGCTCAGAACCTTCCGAGCGTACTGCTTGTCGAAGATGGTGAGGCGGCCTGATGAGCGATTTTTTTATTTGTATGATGATTCACACTTTTCCGCACTCAAGGATCACCATTTCAGAAACCTTGCAAGCCTACGGCTCGTTTCGTTTTCGTTATTTTTCATGGACCTGACTTCTTAATGCGCCAGCTTTCTTGCACCATGACCTTGTTTATCGGAACAGAAAAATACGAATAGAGTACCACTTCCCTCCCCGTCTTGCTGCTTCATCACGCACAGGAAAATTTCTTCCAGCTCGTCGGGAAACGGAAACTTTGCGTCGGGAGAGAGTCGGGGATCTTCCTGTTGAAGCAAAACGAGAAGATCCAAGCATGGCGCGGCTGCCTGCTGTCCTTCACCGTAGGCGACAGAAGTAGGTGTCGCGGTCCCGGTCGTGATTGCATACTGGGGGTGAGGTGTGACAGGGAAAAAAAAACCTGCACTGGCTTGCTTTTGTATCTTATGCGCGTTGTGGGCATGGCGAGCGCAAGGACGTAAAACCAGCATGAGATTTCGATTTGCATGTTGGCATGCAAAATCTCCTCGCGTCGCTCATTATGATGATCTCACCGTGCCTGGCCATTTCCAAAAACTAATGCAATAACGGCGATACAAAATAAACGGTAGTAGAGCGATAAATTCCGTCGGGGATACTCTTCGCCCAGGTTTCCGTCGTTCCATAAATGGGTCTCTTGACGGGAATCGGGGTGCCTGTTTTAGTCCCTTTTTGATTGATTGCCATGCGCATCTCATTTGAAATTGCAATCATGTAGGTCGCGTGAAAAGTAACCCGAAACCGGTGAAATAAATGCCACGTACTTACCGCCACAGTTTTCCTTTGTCCATTCGCTGTGCAGTATCGTACAGAAAGAGGCAGGCGCGGCATACTTTACTCACTTCCCATGTTCATTCTGTTGACAAACGAACACAACTCAACAAGCTCAAGCATCTCGCAGATTGCATGAAACGTACAAAGTCGAAACTCCGTGCTTCCGGTGACTGTACACATGAGAGGCAAGTGATACCCCGCCCGCTATCCAGTAACTTTTCTGTCAATTTCATAGGGAGGCTCCTGAAAAATTTCAGTTCCCGATTCAGCAACAGAAACGCCGTCGAAAACAGTTGGTGCCAGACTTCGAAGGGCATCACGAGCGTCTCGTTCCAATCTTCGCCCGTCTGGTCCCCCGCTCGACCGGCTTTGACGGTCCGCCCGCCCCGACCATTGCTCGTGCTGTGCATCGTCTTCACCTGGGAATACTTTGCGACTCTCCAGGCCGGCGAGGCGTTCTCGAAAATGCTGTCCGCGCACAGGTTTTGGATCCGCACAAATTTCTTCTGTTCCTGCCGACTGTTCGAGCTGCTACTTTGCTCGGTGACAAAAAACTCCTTCACCGCATACATTTGGTTCCGCACAAACCCTGTATTGTACAAAACCGTTCCAGCAGTTTTGTTCAACCCAAACCGTTCGCCATCGACGTGGATGAAGCGCGCGTTGGTTGACGCGGAGGAAGATGCACCCCCGGCGGCCGAGGAACCGCTGTGGTCGGTCGACTGCAGAAGTGAGTTGAGCTTCTTCTGAGACACGGTGGTCGCTGCTGCCGCCGTGCTTTCCGCCTTCAAACAGCCAACAGTGAAGGGGAAGTGGTCACTGTCCTCGTTGGGTGCGGTCGTGTACTGCGAAAATTCGTTCCAACAGCTTGCCGGAGTCAGCTTCGTCAGCGTGTGCTTCTGGACGGGGAATCCGGTGAAATCCGTGAGTGCCTCGTCGGGAAAACCGGAGGAGAGCCGCGCATAGGAGCGCCCGAAGAGCTTCGCGTAGGCTTTTTCCCAAAGCATTATCAAGGAGGTGGTAGGGTTCGCCGATGCCGGACCACCTGGTGAGAATTTTCGGGATGACATCTTTTACTTTAGGTGATTCTGCTTGCTGATGCGCTAATATCTTTTCTGCAAGCAGCAGCAGCAGCGGCTACCAACGCGAACACCACATCAACAAACGTGCACCTGTCTCGTGCTCGCTCGCCTTGCAGCTGGCCCCCCAGGGTGCCCACCATTCGCCGTTCGAAGCGGGGCTCGGTTCTGCTGCCTTTCCGCATATCGAGTGCAAAAGTGTCTGGGTCTGGAAGAGTCATGCTGTTTCTGCATGACGCAGAAGGTCTGGCATGGAAGCTCTAGCATCACAGGTTTCGAGAAGCTTTCGCAATGCCGAACCCGCATGACAAATCCCCCACTTTGGTGACAGAAAGTGAGCAGCTTTTGCTACCTATGCATGAGAGATTTTTGTGTGTTCTGAAATGCGCATCACAAGTTACATCCTTCCAGACCCAGACATTTTTGCACTTGATACCGTACCACGGGCAGAACTGATCGACGATCACAAATTTCTCACATCCGTCTTTGAAGAACTTGAAAGTAAAGACACCAAGCGAAAAATCGGACAAGTGAAGCTGGATGTACAAATGCAAAATAACTCCTGAGCTGCCAACGTTAGAGCCAAAACAATACAAGAAATGCACTGGAAACACGATATACACATGTTGACACGGATCTTTTGTAGAAAGACACAAAGGAGGAGAATTTCCATGTGATCCATGTCGTGTCGTTGCTTCTTTTGACTTTACGTTCTGGCTCAGGATTATTTTCACAAAAGCGTATTGAAAAGGTGTGGCACTGGTCGCGCTCTTCTTCTGCGACAAGGCGGATTTCGAAGCTGTCGAGGGGGCAGACGAGGGCGTAGAGCCTTTTTCTCCTGCAAGCATTGCCAAGCCCATGGCCCCGGTCAGCCAGCTGTCGCCGATCATCTTGCTCGGGTTGATGCGGGTAGTGGCAGTGGTTGTCGTGGTGCTCGCAGCCACGGCAAGCATCTGCTCCTGGCTGTCACCACCTTTCAGTTCTTCCACACCCTTCTCCCCGACCCCGAAGTCCGCTCGCCGCCACCGCACCGCATTCACCGCACCGGAGTTGCTGGCATTCACGAGCCCGGCGCCGTTGATACTCTCCACGACGTCGATGTCCGGGTCGCAGAAACTGTACCAAGCACAAACACGACCTTCTGCAGCTTCATCGAGAGAGGACTTTTGGAGATCCTGCAACGCCGCTGCCTTTTCCTTGAGTTTCGACAACAGCGCTTGAACCTCGGCCTCCGAAGCAAAAACAGTCGCGTGTGGCGGTGATGCTGGATCCAGTAGTAGTCCGGCACCTTCTGCGCTGACCAAACAGCTCTTAGTTTCCTGCAAGCATCGCTGAAACTCCTCCGTGCCCAGTGCGTGCCTGATCTCCACCCGTCCGCCCAAAATCGTCGCGACCGGTGGCTCGGGCGGGGGCGGGGGTGGAAGGTGCGGCTCTTCTCCGTGCATATCCGGCTGCACTTCGTGTGCCTGTCCGAGCGTGGCACTTGTCTCCTGTCCAGCAGTGCCGCTGGTCTTGTTCCCGTGTGCCTTATCCGCCGGCGCCAACAGCTCATCCACGCGGTCCACAGTTGCCACCAGCTGGCTCCCGTCGTCGGCGTACGAATGTTTTGCGGGAATACAAGAACCCTGGTCCATATTAGTCTTCCCCCCTTGATGTTCGCCACCACCAGTAGAGCTGTCGAATGACGGCGTTTGCCGCTGATGATTTGTCGACGACAGCCGGTGGTGTGCAGCTCCTGTTTTGTCAATTTCATGCACGTTGAAATTCTCACCGCTATTTCCTCTACTTCTCGGCACTCTAATCGACGACGAAGCAGCACTAGGACGCGTGTTGCTGCCTCTTCTGCTCCCTGGCGTGCCTCCGCTCTTCAGCAAGTGCGCACCGGAGGAACCTCCCGGCGAAGTCGTGGCGCCCGTGAAGGTGGCAGAGTGTCGCGGCTTATTCCCTCCTCGAGGACTCTCCTCGAGCTGCTCGGCGGCTGGTGTGGCCGCTTTACTGTTCATCTGCACTGTCGCAAGCGAGGACCGCTCGCGGCTGTAACTCCGCTCGCGTGTTGCTTTGTTGTTGCGCAACGAAAAATTTGAGTCTCTTCCTTTCGCAAAACTTCCGGTTTCCATCACATCTCCGGCTCCACCCCCAAGAACGTAGCTCGACTTCAGCTTCGCACTCTTCGGCTGCGCCAGGTGGGCCATCTTCAGCTTCTGTTGCTGCGCCTTGTGTCGCTCCAAGCGAGAAGCCGAAACGCGTAAGCTGATTTCGGAAGTGAGCGATTCCAAGTCGAAATTATTGTTCTTGTTGACAGCATGATTTGATGCACCATTATTTCTGGTCGTCGTGGTGGCCGACCGCATGTTGTTCCCGGTAATTTTCCTACTGTGGCGGATCGGTTCTTCAGAGACGAGACCTTCCTGTAGCATCTCCACATCGTCGTGATCGGAGGACTTGTTGACGTTCTCGACCGGGAAATCTTCAGCTTCGTCTACGTAGTTGTCCATTCTCATTTCCCCAACATCTGCACCAGAGAGGAGCCGGGATTTCCGACTTTCACACTCCAAAATGATTTCCTGCTCCAGCTGCTTCAGGGTCTTCACGACGAACTGGAAAAAGCAGGGAAAGCGCATGGAATGCGTGTTTTGTAGGGGTTGTTTCTGACCTCCAGAAGCTCCCGAGGAAGTAGTAGAAGAAGCTCCGGCATCCAGTTGTAAACTGGAGGTCCAAATCTCGTACACCTGCCGGTAGCTCGCTTCCTTGCCTTGGGCCTTCAGCAAGTTTTCGATCAGTGGAGCGATTTGCGGTAGCGTCAGGAAATCCTGCTGGTCCGTGTGGTGCTGGGACGACAGCAAGTTTTCGAAGGCCTGCTCGCAAAGAAATTCGAGCATCAAATCGTCCTGCAATAGGTTCTGCAATTGGTTCCGTAATTTCTCCAAATTCAACGGGCTGGTCGTGCTTGAAGCAGCGGGAGGCGGGGTGGACGAAATTGGCGCCGGCATTGCAGTTGCCCCTGGCCCTACGGCAGGAAGCGGGGCTGTGGTCCTTGTGTGCAGCATGACTTGATTTGATTCTGCTGGATACGGCTGTCGCTGTGTCGTGGTAGCCGTCAACTGTGACTTTCGTCTGAACGCTTGTTCCACGACCAAAAAGAAACAAGTGGAAACTAGTTCTAGAAGACCTGCGTATACAGGCTCTCACTCAGCGTGCTCGTCCTCTGCAGCTTTGCTTTGCGTTTCCAATTTGGTACATCTACTCATCTACGCTCGCCGCTATTTTGTTCCTCTCAAGCTCGCGCTAGCTGAAGTTCTGTGGGGCGCAAAAGGAAAAGCAACAGCACCCACATAAGTACTTCCAAGGATTCGCTCCCGTCGAGCTACCGACTCTTACCGCAACGCCAGCAAGCCAAGCGTCCATAGACATCTTTCTATGGATTTTTTGCCCGACATTAGCAACTACACCTGCGCATCCTTGTATTCTCTGTACGCCAACTCACGCTCTGATGGAAGGCTCCCGCTGATGTAGTCGAACAACTGGCACGCGAGCGAAGCACTTCTGTGAATGCGCCTGACAATGGCAACAAGAGCAATATCTTTTCAGCAAAGCATTGAAGGCAGGAGTGGGCGCAGACTGAACCTACTGCAAGAAGCGCATCCCTCCGTTGCGGGCCACGTACCGGGACACAGAAAAGCCGCGGGCGGGCGCAGGAAGGGTAAGCCGCGGCCGGGGCCGCAGCAACCGCCGGGCGCGCGCGCAACCAGTAAACGCCGCCGGCCTGGAGGTGAGCCAGCCCTGGAGGTGGGCTGGCCCAGCCTGGCCTTGGGCCAAGCACATCGGGCCGCGGGCCGGGCCCAAACAGTTAAGCGGCGCCGCCTTCGCCTGGGGCGAGCATTGCTGAGCGGCAGCGGAAGAACGGGCCCCCACGTAGCTGCTGCGCGGGGCCCCTCGTATTTTGAAGCCGGGCGGGTGGACAGGCAAAGAAGCGGCGCCCCCCGCCCCGGGGGTTGATCTGTATAGCTACCCGGCATCGGTCCGCATCGTTCCCCCGCGGCCGCTTCTGCAGCGGCCCGCCCGAAAACGAGGCCGGCAGAGACAAGCCGCCCGGCGAAGAAGCTGGAACCGGAGGCGGCAGACCGCCAAGCCCCGGGGCAGGTGGGAACTTGGGCTCCGCCGGCTTTGCCGAATGCCCGGCCGCGCCGATTTCCCCTGAACCAAATCCGCGGCCCCCCGTCTCGTTTGAAGGCGCCCCCCGATCCCTCTATAGTGGATGCCGGACGGCGCTGCCCGAACACTGCAAGGGCGGCGGGCGCGCGACTAAGAATCTGCGCGGTGACATCGCGGCCCCAGTCCCCGACGTCGGTAATCCGCCCCGTTTTTGCACGCAGAGAAATTCAGGCGCGGCCCATTGGCCGAGACGTGCGTCGATCCTCTGCATCCATCCGGCCTTTGGCCCGCAAGCGGGGCCACGCAGTCTGCTGCCCGCCCCCCACTCTTCCTTGGACACGGAGCGGCAGCAAGTCGCTGCCTCTTGCTGCGGAGCGCGTTCCTGGATTTGCGGGCATGCTTGGCACCCTTGTGCGACGCCTCAGCCCCCTTGTATGACGCAAAAGCCTTCCGCCAACCAGCAACCAACGCGGCGAGCGCACGCGCCCCAGACTCTACAGCGGGCGACTGGGCAAAGTTTCGCGCTTGTCGTGCGGCTGATTGCTCAAAACCCGGGCGGATCGGACAGCTCCCTTCTCGTGCACTCGAAAAAGAACAGAACAAACCAAACAATGGCATAAACAGGCATGTGCTGAGAAACTGCGGCTTGACCGCCTGCCTCCCGTGCGCTCAGGCGATGCCTGCGGCGCAAGCTCCAGAGGCGGGCTTCGACTTTGTTCAGTGCTGCTGAGATACGTCGACGGCGTATTCATTTCGGACACGTACGCAAAGGCAAAGCAAAACCGTGGAGGCAAAATACACGCTATTCTCATCCAGCTCGTCTTCTTGGCGCGGATGAGTTGTTTCTTCAAAACCGAGATCTACCACCCTTAGTAAGAAGTGATGAAGGTGGTTTTCATTTCATTTTGATACGTCGCTTGGTTGCTCTAGTTTGATTCTACTTACTGCTCCATCCGAGAGATTGAGATGCCCAGCTGTTGTTCTCCATTGTTCTCATTGTTTTTGATATTTGTAGGTGAAAAATGTTTATCAATGATGGGTTCTATCTTGCAAAAACGTTCTTCAGTAGTCTAGGAGCGGGGACTGTCGTGGACACATTACTTTCCTACGACTTCCCGTGGTATCTATCCGTAATGTAGTTGTATGTGCGGCATTTTTTGAAAATAGTACAAAGCACAGGCACACTAGTAGAAGTCCTTCTATCTCAAATTCCATCTGGTTTATCTTTATTCTAAAGGCGCACGGCGTTCATTTTTCTTCGTTAGGTGTGGTAGAGTGAGAAAGTGGAAACATCGAAAACTCCATGGTTTTCGCTTACTGGTAGTAGTCTGTGCGGGTACGATAAAGAATAATGCTGTTTCAATCGTTCAGAGTATGGGTTTGTGGCATTCGGGTGAGCTAAGTACTGAAATCGTAAATCGCATCAAATCAAGAAAAATCTGGTAACTCCCTCCAGATTCCTCGCGATAAGTCAAAACTTCTGCAGAACAACAGGACCGGCTCGTGAAACTACCTATCCAGTGCCTTCTAGTCAACCTGATTGTCGCTGTTGTCGCTGTCACTGTTGTCTGTTTCCCGGCCCCGGTCGGGCGGATGCACCGAGGTGCTGCTTTGCCGGAAGGAGAGCATCGCCGATTCCCGCGACGTCGACAGCCGGCTGCTGAGAAGGACGTCTCTGTTTACGTTTTGATTATGTTCCTCAACAGACTGGTCTGTTGGAACAACAATTTTTTCCACATCCACCTCCTCGCCAATCTTTTCCTCAACCGCCATGAAAGGCCGCGGCGTGTCCTCCTCGTCCGGGTCGAGTTGCTGGATTCTGTCCTCGATATTGCGCATCAAATCGTCCTGCAACAGCTCCTGCAGCTGCGAATCATCCGGCTCATCTTCCTGTTGCAGATGCGACTGCTCCAGCGTGATGTTCTCTTTGCTCAGGCTCAGCAGGGAGAACGACTTTTCGTTTGCGGAAAGCATCCTGTCGTCTACTTCGTTGATGTTGGGATCAGTTTGCGCCTGATGTTCTTCCGGATCTTGTGCTACAAATTTCCGTTCCTGCAACGGGTTCTCGTGGGGATCTCCTTCCTCATCTGGCGGCACCGCCGCGGGCAAAAACTCAACCTGCTCAAGCACTCGCTCATTCGGCACAGCGGGCGGAGCTTCGAGTTCGACGAATTGTGGGTGCGGCTGGCGCGGGGATTTCTTGGCAGAAAGATTCCTAGTGGAGGAAGAAGAAGAAAACGGAACATTGCCACGGCGCCTCAAAGTACTAGACGTGGTCGTTTTATTGGTTTCGACTGTTGTACTTGACGTTGTTTCTGTTGCTCTACTCGACGGCCGGAAACTGGGCACTGCCGGCTTGTTTTTCGTGCGGTGCGATGCTGAAATTCTGGCTGTGTCCGTGGCAAAGCCCTCCTCTGTGGTTATTTTCTTCGGTTTTTCCCCATTCAAGCTTGCTTTATTCAATGAAGTAGGTGCGGCTGCCTTCTTTGGAGCCTTGGCACCCATAACTCCGCGCGAACCTGTAATCGGTTGCGTTTCTGGCGGTCGACGGCTAACGCCTGCTACATTGCTCAGCTGGTTCGCGTCTTTTGTCACAGTTCGCTGTTTGTTGATCCCGTTTCTGGTCGGACTTCTGGAAGCTACAGCTTTCTTTTCGGGTCGGACGGGTGGTGCTAGTCGTGTGGCTTCGCTTCTTAACGCCGCAACAGCGGCAGTTGATTTTGCTGTGCCGGACGCTCCTCTCGTGGGCACGACAGCGCCGGTTCTTCGAGGGCTGCTCGTACCAACAAGCTTCGTTTTCGCGCGCGTATTTCCAGAGAAAGTTCCTTCCGTGCCTGGGCCTGCTTTTGCATTTGCACTCCCTGGTGCAGCTCGTTGTTTATTGTGCAACGGACCATGACCTGCTGTGCTTGAAGACGCATGCGCACCGACATAGGATGAACTCGTTACCGCAGTTGTTCCGATCTTTTGAGGGCGACCCGCGATTGATGCCGTCGGATTGTTCCCTTTCGTTGATATTATCGCGTTCTTTCCCAGCGCCGGGGCTCCTCCACCTGCGCCACCTCTTCTAGCAGTCACACCACCACCGTCGTTCGTTTTCGCACCTACACGTCGCGCGGACAGCGGCGGAGCGCCGACCACTGCACGGATCGAGGACAGATCCTGCTTAGCGGTGCTCAAAGATGAGCTGCTACTGCTAGTGGCCTTAGTCGTTGTGGTGACTACTGCATTTTTAGAGACGATAGTCCGCTCGTTGTTGATGCGTGCCGCAGTTCCGACATTATTTCTCGCCTTGTTCAGCATGGCTTTCGCAGCCGGGGAGGACACGGCTGTGGAGGAAGCGGGGCTGGTTGGTGCCGGAGCGGCCGGAGATTTCAGTCGTGTTTTCCTCACACCGGCGACTACCTGCAGATTGTTTTTCTGCACGACGCAATGGTTGTTATCCGTCGCGGCTGCTTCGACTCGCACTCCATTGCCGCCTTCTTCCTCAGCCGGACTTGGCACGGCGGTTGTCGGCGTAGTAGCGGCGCTGCGACCACCACCCGCGAGATGGTGTATGCTTGGCACGGTAATTGTGGTGTTGGCCGCCAACGTTGCGTAATGTTGCTCCTGCTGCTCCTGCTGTAATTGTTTATTTCCCGGATGTTGATGATTCTGCCCCGCCCCGCCGGCGACATCAAAATACCCGGAGTCCACCGGTGCGTACCCGAGCAAAATGTCACTCTCTGACTTCGCTTTACTCAAATTCGCGGCGTTCGTCGCCTTCAGGTCGTCCAACGTCTGCAATAGCCCTTGTTCAGAGGGCGAAAACACGGGGAGTGAACGGTCATGGTTGATACCGCCTTGGGTGTTGTTGGGCACGTTAACAACTTTCGGACTTTTCAGTCTGCTCGTGTTCTGGTTCAGTAAAACTTTCGTCCCTTGTGCTGCTCCTACTGTCCTCTGTTTAATACCAGAAGTGAAGCCCTTATTGGTTGCGTTCGAAGGTGTCGCACTTTTGGAGGCTCCAGCGTTCGCTGCGGCCGCGATGCAGCCGCGCATACTCGGCACAGCGATCCCTACGTTGCTTCCGGGCGTTGTCGGCGCGGTGTTTATTTGACGCTGGTGTGCAGTAGTTGTGTTCGCCAAACCGCGACTTTCTGGCGTTTTCCTTCCGAGTGAATAGCTGCTTGTTCCCAAGCCACTCAACAATGCTGTCCCAGCACCTCCCCCTCCGGCCGACACGAGTGGTACATTGCTCGGCAGCCCGTCAGTCCGCGGCTTCGGACCGCCCTGCAGACGCAGCCGCATCGTGCCGGCCGCGGCCGTCGGGGCGCCGGTTAGGAGATTTATGTTGTGGCTTGTGGAAGAAACCAGAGTCTTAGTCGGCGAAACCGCGTTCCCAACACTGGCAATTCCGCTTTTCATCATATCACTGCGGAAATTTACGTTCTTTTCACTGTGGAAGTTCAACGCGCTCTCCGGCTCGAAAACGTCAAAATTTCGCAGCTTGTGCGGGGTGGTACGAGACAGGAACTCCTTTTCGCGGGAAACGTCGGGCAGCAGCTTCTTGCTGCGGTTGGTGACATCTTCAGCTGATGCAGCTCCTGCTGCTGTTGAGCCGATCCCTACAGTTGCATTGGTTGTTGAAAAGCCTGTGCAGTTGTCCAGACTGCGCACAACATAGGCGGTCTCCTGCTTCCAGTAGTCCAGTTTCATTTTCTCGTCGTATTTGAAGCCGAGTCGCGGGGAAAAACCCACGACGTCAGCTTTCTCGAACAAATCGGGACGTTTCGCGTCCGTGTACCTAGTGAGGAAAGAACTACCTTGGTTCATCTTCGCTAGTGCCGTATTTTCACCTACTTCCCTTGGCGCTCCCTCCGTGGCTCTTTCGGCGTCGGTTTTGCTGTCGAGGTTCTTTGAAGCGCCCTCTTGTGGATTTTTGTCCGCCTCCGCGGTCGTGGATGAACCAGGAAAGGTCACCGTAGTTGCAGCTCCAGAATTAATCTTCTCCTCCACCACCACCCGTTGTGACCGGTACGCTGCGGGCGAGTACCGACTCACGTCACCGGTATGGCCCTGTGGAAGTTTCGTCCGACCGCGCTTTTCGTCCTTTGCGCGCGCGCTGCCGGACCGGGGGGTGCGCGTACCTTCCGGTGGAAGTTGAAGAAGTATGATGGGCATTGCACATCAAGACTACTACGCAATAGAAGCACGATCATGCATACGAAAAACAGCATGAAAATAAGGATAAGTTCTCTAGATCTAAAGTACTGGCCGAGCTCATCGCCGGCGACAGCTTCTTCCTATCCGACATGAAGGTGTTGTCCAGCAACCCCGACTCAAAATTCGTCCTGGGCGAGGGCAGCGTCTTAGTGACGCGCACCGGTCGCTTGTGCCGGCCCGCGCCGATCGCGTTCACGGGGCGGTGGTGGTGCGGGTGGAGGTGGTGATGGTGTTGGTCGTAATGATGTGGCGCGATTTCCTGTTTTTTCCGATGTTGAGCGGGGTCGCCCGGCCCCCCAAAAGCGCCAACCACGGCGTTCGTCGAGTGCCACGAGGCGCAACTAGCATCCAGTGGCACATTTTTCTGTTGACCCTGGGTATAATTTGTATGCATATGCCGATGAAGAACTTCCTCTGCTCGGTAGTGGCCGAAAGCGAAATCAGCCTCGTCCTCGAGCTTCTCGAGCACTTTCTATCAAATGTAAAAATGTCTGGGTCTGGAAGATTCTGACACTTGTCATGCACGTTTTGGATGAACCCTGATGTCTGTGATGCATGCCCTAGCAGCACAGATTTTTTGAGAGCTTCTTGATGCCTATTCCGCATGACAAATGCCCTCTCCGCGTAGCAAGAATTACATTCCCTTTGGCACTCATGCAATACAGATTTTTTTGGAATCCAAATGCAGCATTACAAGTTGGATTCTTCCAGACCCAGACATTTTTACATTTGATACTTTCACCCCGTTGACAAATTTGGGCAGCCAGTACCCGCTGTCCACACACAGCCACTTGTCGCTTATCCTGAGTAAAAATGTCCCCACACCAGAGTCAAGATGGCAAATCTGCTAGACAAATCTACAAGCTTTGGCTGTCTTGCATAACAAATTTGGACTCATAGCGTAGTGCTGTTTGAACTACCTCAGAAGCATCACAGATCTAACACATCATGCTGATTGGAGCATGGCAAATTCCAAAACACGACTAGAAAATGCTTCTCATGGGGATCCGCATGAGAAACATTTTCAGCATGAGCATGCAGATTTGCATTACAACTATGGTGTGGGGACGTTTTTCAATACGATATCGCTCTTGTCGAACATAGCCGTGACAATTTCGTTCCGCTTCACCCCGCACTTCTCCGCAGAGTCTTCGTTATCAAATGCAAATATGTCTGGGTCTGGAAATTTGTAATGCTGAGTTGTGAGGAGTGAACTCTCTGTAATGTTGCACAGCCAAGCATGAGAAATTAATATTTGCGCTGCTTAGTGTTGATGCGCTTTCCGCATGACAAACTGCGTTCTGCATAACAGGCAACAGGGTCTCTTATTGGACACGCATCACAAACTTTTCAGTCATGTTGCCAGAGAAGCATGACAAATCTTGAATCCGTCCAGACCCAGACATTTTTGCAGTCGATATTCGTAGCTCGCTTTCAGTTTCCGCGGGTCGACGAGCAGCTGGGTCTCGTCCGGGTACTTGTAGTAGGGAATTGGGGTTATGGAAGTGCAAATGTACTTCCGGTTCTGGTTGCAGGATATCAGCATCTGTTTTCGCTGCTCAACAAGCTCGTTAGTATCAAGACTAGGCGACGTGGCCGCGCTGTGACTTGAAGAGGAAGGGTTGTTTGATATCGTAGGTGTTCCAGCTCCAAAGTGCTGGTAGTGAAATTGGTTCTTATGCAGGTCCCGCTTCGACGACGCAATCCCGCCAAAAACCTTCTGGCAGTAGCTTTCCAGGTGCTGTTTCGACTTCTGTTGGAACTTTTCGTGGTCGCGCGGCGTCACGTAGGTCAGGTAGTTTCTGTTCGTGTAATCCATCTTCCTGTTCATGGACTTTGTCTGCAGTAAGAACTTTCCCGCGGAATCGAACGCCCGCGACGCCTTGTACTGCGTCAACAACGTGCGGCAGTACAGCGTTTTGAAGTACCCCTGGACGCCCGCGATCGCTTTGGCCTGCTGCACTACGCGCAGCTCCCGCGCGGCCAGGACTGCTTTGTATCGCTTCCAGTTTCGCTGGAGTATCAGCGCCGCCCGGTTTTTCTTCACGTCGATGGCTAGCTTCCGGCAGTGCAAAACCTTGCACATCACGTTCAAATTCGTCATCGCCTTTTTTCTCCTTTCTTTCTCTTTGGCGAGCTTCAATTCCTTCAGCAACTTCCTTGCTTTCCGACACAAAATCGCGTTCAGAATCACCTCCTTTGCCCGCCGGATCTTCTTTAAGTACGCCCGAACGTTCCGCTGGATTTTGATCGCGGAAATGCGGTAAAACCGGAACCGCTCCTGCGCCCGGCCGAGGCAGCTGGTGAACAGGAAGAGAGATTTCAATTGCCGCACCCGCTTGATCTGCTTCTGGACCTGCTGCATCCGGATGAAGGCCTGCATCTGCCGGACCTTCTCGACGTCGCTTTCGAATTTCGCGATCACTTTCCGGCCCCGCAAACTGGCCTGAATCACGTTCGCCGCGGGCCGGAGCTGCTCCAACGCCAGCCGTTTCTGTTGCAGCAAAACCCGCTGTGCCGCACGGGTGAAGAAAACCTTTTGTGAGATCAAGGTAGGGTTGAAGAACCAACGACGCAGAGGCGACCCCAACCAGGTACATAAAGCAACAAGAACGAAGAATGTTGAGCATTGGGATTCAAAAACTGCACATCAGAAGCTGAACATGAAATTCATCAGTGAACCCAAACCTTTGCGCTCGCTGTCAAAACAGTGTACTCCTTTGCAGTAAGTACCATGGTCTTCCCCACGAAGGCTGGTGGGTTTTGCTTCTTTTTGTTCGCCGTATCGTCCACCGAAGAACTACCCGCTTTTTCTTCCCCGACCAGCCCAGACTTCAAGAGCCATGCGACGATGTCTTCGGTCGCTTTTTTACACATCGCGTCATCCATTTTTGTTGGATCGAGGCCACAACTTCGACTGGCAGTGGTGGTGCCTGCTTCTGTTCCGCTCTTCGTACTATCTCCCGCTTGATTCTGTTGTTCCCCAACAGACTGACAGCTGACGAGCAATAGAGGGAAGAACTCCTTTTCCGAAACGAATTCCCGGAAGCTGGTGCGGTAAGCATAGCCTTTTCTCCTGAGTTGTATGCTATCCAATATCGACAACGACTGTAACTGCTGCAAAACCATTTTTGGTTCGAACAGCAGCGGTTTTTTAAGCCGGTTCGGCTTGATGCAGCGCACGAAGTGTCCCCTATCAAATGCAAAAGTGTCTAGGTCTGGAGACTTGTGATGCTAAAATGTGCATGATGAAAACACTTCCGAATGCAGTCCGGCATGACAACCTCCCAAAACGCTTTCTCATAGGCAATCCGCATGAGAAACTGCGTTTTTGCATGACAAAAGAGGCTGCGACTTTTGTTGGTTATGGAATACAGATTTTCTCGGTATGCGTATAGAACGCTAGCATTACAAGTCCCAACCTTCCAGACCCAGACATTTTTACAATCCATATCCCCGCGCCTGGTTCAATTTCGTCATCAAATTTTCCATCGACCGCGAAAACTGTGCCCCGATGAACGACGGCTTCGGCTCTTTCTTGGAGGCTAATGCGGTCGTAGAACCAGCCTGCTGTTCGCGTTCAGCGAACGTGGATTTCGTTGCGTCTCCTGCCGCGGCGTTACTCATCGTCCCGTTCTCGTTGAGCTGAAAAGCCTCTTTCAACAGCGTGTTTTCACTCATTTTCAGCAGCTGCAGTAGACTCGGGTCGAGCAAGTCCATATTTTTGTTCCGAAAATCTTTCGCTGTGTAAGAAACCACAGCCGAGCCGTGCAAGATCGTGAAGCACTCGCGCTCGCGGGCGGAAAATTTTGGCTTCAGCAAGTACACTTCCGACGGCGGTGCAGCTGCACCACCAGCATTACTCCCACCTCCTCCGCCAGATGAAAACGTCTTGTTCACTTTGTTGCAAAAAGCTTCGTCAGACCCTTTCGACAGCAGGCACTGCTCCTCCAGAAACTGTAAAATGCCCGGATTTTTCTTCTCCTTCGGGTTATCCATCAGTTTGATGATCCCAGTGTTGTCTTTGTACAAGGACTGCGTTTTATTTCCGTCTTCGCCGCCTTGATCAAACACGATCGGGCAGTTTTCCCGTTTCAACAGCGCAATTTCCTCCTCAAAAACGTGTTTCAAGAAGAATTGCTGCAGCCTTTCGTTTGCAAAGTTGATGAAAAACTGCTCCAGCGAGTTTTGTTGGAAGTATTCGAAGCCAAAAATGTCCAGAATGCCCACCCACTTCTTCACTTCCTTCGTCTTCGCGTCCGGCTGGATCTTCTCGTTCAACTTGTAGATCAAATGTTTGAACAGCTGTTCGTACACCCCCCTCGCGACAGAGAGAATCATGTCTTTTGCGGACTCCTGGGTCCGCGGCGTGTAGGTGACGGAGCCCGTCGGCATCTTCCGCATCTTCAAAGAGATCGCTTTTACCGCCAGGCCCTGCGAGCAAGCAGTGGGAAGATCATTCAGAATGAGAACCCTATAATGAATTTTTCATGCTAAGTGCACAAGATGAGAGTTTTGCACTTCGCAGGGAGGATTAGACTGACTTTGTGATGCAGCTGCACACCGCACCAGACAAAAAAAAACTGCACAATACCTTGTCAATCCCCAGCAACTCGCAAATGTCCTCCAAGTCCCTCTCGTTGTCGCAAATTGGCGGGGAATCACTGTCAGTGTCGTCGTCGTGAAATTTCACGTTCCCGCACCGCAGCACCGCAGAGAGTAATTTCCACAGCTCCGGCAGATCCTTCTCCTCGTCATAGCCGATCGCGGAGAAGGCTGGTAGCACCGACCGGAGGAAAATCTCGCCGTCGTCCATGCCGATGACTTTCGTGGCTGAATTCTTTAAAATCTCGTACTTTTCGTAGCAGTCATTGAGCAGCTTCGCGGATCTTTTTTCCGAATCCTCCAACCCCTCGAGGATTTGGTAGAAAATGTGGTAGCACCGCTCGTTCGCGGTGGTGGTTGAAACCACCCGGGACTTTTCTAGCAAATAGCACTCCACGTACCCCGCTGTGATGCCGCCCGAGGTGGCTGAATGTTTAATATTGTGCAGCTGTTCTCCTTCTGCCGTGCCACTGCAGCTTTTGTTGCGCGTGCGGCGATTGGCTTTCGACGGTCTGTTCGCTGAAGCGGCACTGTCAAAACTGTGCAATTCTTCTGATCCCACGTAGAGCTCCACAAACCTCCCAAAGCGGCTGCTGTTGTCGTTGCGCTCGGTTTTCGCATTCCCAAAAGCTTCCAAAAGGGGATTGGCGCGCATGATTGCGTCCTGGATCGCGCTGTAGTGTTCGGACTTCTTCTGCTTCATTTTCTCCAGCTCGAGATCCTCTGAGCCGCCGTCGGAGGAGGAGTCAGAATGCTCTTCCTCCTCGTCGCTTTCAGCAAGTTCTGCTCCGTTTCCAGTCGTTCTGTTGTTTTCCTGTTCATCTTCCGGCTCCACGTCCTCCGCAACGTACTCATGTGGCTCGTGCGTCAGGTCCTGTGATGCGAGGAAAGAGAAACGGCTGCCGCGCATCAGGTGATTTTTCTTCGATGCTTGCTCATCTGCCTCTTCATCTTCGACCCCGTCTTCCGCTTGATCCTTGATTGCCTTTGGAACGTTGCTTCCGCTGTCTTGCTCCTTGTCTTTTGCCGCACCGCGCCCGGCGACGGACTTTCGCTCTCGTCCAGCAGCTGCCCCTGTGCCCTGCAATGAATGAGGACTTTGAAATTTGATACATGTGTCCTGTCAAAAAATCTACATCGTGTACATACGAGAGATAGCACCACAGCCTTTTGGGCGGCAAAAAAACGACGCAACACGGACACTGATCTAACAAAATAAGTACCAGAACCATCTCAGTGGCGAAGTATTTCATGATGTGTTTCGTCGTTTCCGTCTTTCCCGCGCCGGACTCGCCGGAAATGATGAACGAAATGTTGCAATTTTCCTGCAGTTGCGCCTGCCACGCGGTGCGGCACAGGTCGAACACATGCGGCTCGACGGTCGACAGGTCTACGGCACCTTCACCACCTCTCGTCCCCCTGTGGTCATCATGACTCCCTTGTTTACCAGCCGCTGAAGCCCGCCCAGTACCCGGTATTACATTCGCGTTCGGAGCTGTAGGAGCACTGCTCAGTTGATGGTACTGCTGGATAATCTCGGTGCTAGTGTTGTTCAAATTTTCATACGGGTTCAGAATCACAACCATGGGCTTCACAAAACTGTAGATCTTGTTCTCGTAGTAACGCTGCCGCAAACAGTCCAAAACTGCAGCGTCGTTCGCGAACGGCAACTTCAGGATGTCGCCGGTATTTGCCGCGCCGGCAGCGAGTTGCAATTTGCCAGCCGCATCGTCGGCACCACCAGCTTTAGAAGATTTCGACGCCGCGGCTACAGGACTTTCGTTGACATTCCGGCAGTCCCGGAGGTCAAAATTCTCGAGAATTTTCGAGCTGGACGATAACCCCCCGGGGACCAAACCCGCATCCCGCGGGTAGCATTCCAGTGTCGCAAGGATGGGCTTCGAAACAGAGAGGTCCTCGAGGGCGAAGTCTTGTTGACTCGGTGGAGCGTAGTTCTTAGCGTCCTGCTGCTCTCCTCCAGCGACATCATTCAGTTCGTTCAAGCTTCTAATCACCGCTTTTTCGAAAGCCTCGCAGGTGATGGAGTCCTTCTCGTCCGCGATGGGTACCCAAACCTCGGTACCGACAAGTTCCCTCCTCGTGGCAGCCGAGTCCAGCCCGAGGAGGAACGAGTGCCGCCGGATCTCGGCCGACTTATTCGAGGCTTTGCTCTGCTGGAGGTGCGACATTTTGTCACAGGCAGGCTAGCTTAAACTCGAGGTCCTCCTGCTGACATCAGGTCGATTTTAGACAAAACATCGGTAACGTAGTACTATCCAGTGTCGTAATCGCGGCAAGAATGCTGCTTTTTCTTGCTTTTCATGTTCTCTAAAATGAAAGCCGCAGAAGTAAGTAAGCATCCTCAAGTGAATTGTAGGCTAAAATCGTGATCAGTCTCCACACGACGCCGCGCACTTGCAGTGATGTGACACAACTAAGTACTTTCTACAAGCCGAAACCTTCTACTTCATTCAGTAAGCACTACCACACCAGCATTATTGGCTTTAATACAACTGCAGCTTTCGCAACGACTCACAAACACAACCTGCTGCACCGGCCGCGAACACATGAGCAGCGAAAGTCAGGACTGCACGATGCGAAAGACGAGCAATGAATGTCGTCTGTACGCAACACCCCAAGGAGCTTGTGCGGTGGATATCTTCTGAGGCACATCCACGTTGCGTTGGAGGAAGGAACTGTCCCTAGTACGCATGTGCATTGCCGAAATTAGTACCATCACCTTGTTGCGAGCTCGGCGGAAGATGACAGTTTGCACTTGAGTGCGTCAGCGTCAAGCTCCGCCTCAAGCTCTGTGTTTCTTTCTTGATGGAATGAAACCCAGCTGTACTTTGTCTGTGCTACAGCAGAATGACATGAGCCTTGTCTGTGCATCCTAACTCGCTGAGTCTTCAGCAGGTGGAAAAAAGAAAAACGCGACTTTTGCAATTCCGAAAGAAACCGTTCATATGAAACATACTTCATAACGACAATCTCCGCCCCAGTATGAGGACTTTGAAACCCGAACGAGGTGAATATCAGCGACCAAAACTAGGAAAAGGTCCCTCTTGCCGTATCATACATTATCCGCACTTGTCCTCGCCGTGGTGCTTGCTGTCGGTGGTGGCGATGTAGTTCCTGCCGTCGCAGCAGCGCCGTAGCTGTAGTTTCCCCGGTTTTCGTCATCCACACCCATTGCTTTCTCCAGCGCACCGGACTCATCATCGTCTTCGTCAAAGACGCAAGCACAACTATTCGCCAAATACTCCAGGGAAAACCAGATCGGCAGCCGGAAAGCAAAGAAGATTGCTGCACAGAGGAACGTGTGCCACTTCAGCCACCAGATAAAACTGACCGGGTCCCGCTGGTTCTGCAGGGACTTCGGGTACAGGTAGTAACTCAAGTACAGAAAAGCGGCCAGGTTCAGGAGGCCGGAGCAGGATTCGATCTGTAAGGAGTGGTTTGCTTGCGCTTGCGATCATTTCTGGCGAAGCATGGATTCTCCCTGCAGAAAGTGCACAAATGATAATGAAAAAATCAAAGGTTAAGTAAACGATGATCAGGAGAAATCAACATCATATTCCTTTTATTGTACCAGCATCGTGTTTTTGCTTTCTTCGTGGTACCGTGTAAGAACCAATCGCAGAAAGGACGCCTTTTTGTTCCCAGTCGCGGTCTGCTGACTCTGCGCCTCTAGTTCGTCTTCTTCGTTATCCACATCGGCACCCCCGGGGAGGAAGGAAGCGAGCAGTTTTTCCCGAAAGTTTTTCTGCTTCTCCGCCTCCGAACTGGAATTTTTTGCAACCCCCAACTTCTTCTCGGCCCACTTGTGAATATGATTGCCGAAGAAGGCGTAGAAACCGAGCAGCACGACGGCGATTGAGTGGAGAATTTTCGCAGACACGCTGACCTTCGGAAACAAGCCCATCGCAGCAAAGATTTTCAGGTGGTGCCAGAAGAGGAAGGTGAGGAAGTAGCATATCCCGGCAATGACCCAGACAAGGATTAGCAAGGCGGCAGAAACCAGGGTGATAATTGCCGTTGCAAAGAAAATCACGAGAGCGGTGCGAGTGGTACGATCGACAATCACGTCTTTCAGATCTGCATTTAATCCTGATATGCCAGAAGTCCGGGTCGCTGCATTGGTTGTACTATCGTCTGCACTTCTAGTTTGCTCTCCATCGCCCGTCGCAGACGCAAGGAGCTCGGCGCTGGCCTTGCGCAAAAGCCGGTGGTACGTAGACGTTGTCGCCATTTCCCTCTACTGACGAGGATGAACCACGGAGTGCAAGAAAACGAGGAGGAGTTTTTTGCACTCCCGAAAACGAGGAACGGTCACCTCTTCATCAAAGGCGGCATCTTTTTTGGGAGTTTTCAGCCGTTGTAGGCAACGGCTACGGCTCGGCCACCTGCATGCAGTGACGCATCTGAAGAGGCACAAAGCCAAAAAGAATCACTCCTGTGCGACTCACCATTTGTGGTCAACACGAGTGCGAAGTGGTTGGTCCAGCATGATTGAGTGAAACGACCATTCCCATATGCAGCTTTTCTGCTCTACAACTTTTAATCACCTGTCACGATTTGCTGGCCGATAGATACCAGATAAACCGCCATTCCGGCGTACTGATTCAAGATATAAGAGTCGTCACAAGTGGAACAAGATCGAGTGAAGACTCAATACGTTGAACCTCGACATCGGTACCACAGCAGCAGTCTGCAAACCGCCTGCCGCTAACTTATTCGGGAAAGACGAGTGAGGTAATAATGTTTCTTTTCAAGCGGTTTCTGTAAGTACGAACCAACTCGTGATAAAAAATCAGCGAATTGTGTACTTTTGAGTAGTCTTTTTTACAGCGGTTTCTGAAAATACGAACCAACTCGTGATAAAAAATCAGTAAGTTGTCGTGTACTTACTTGCTAGTAACCACTCCCAAACAAAGTACTTAAGCAGCTCACGACAAGGATGGCCTTGTTCTGCTATGGAATGCATCACCTTGTCTGGACCACCAGACAGGCGCTCGTCGACCACATATCACTGCAACGCCAAATCGCTTGCTTGAGCTTTTCTTGTTGAGCAGTGGTTGAGATTTCACGCTCTTGACAGCCAAGACTTCATCTGTCGTAGGCAAAACAAGAGATTGGTCGGTTCTGTCCTAAAATGTTTTTCACAGGACGAGCGGATCAAAATCAGTATCTCCTCGTGTTGATTCCAGCACCGCCCTTGTGATACTTTCCCCCGCCACCGCCGACACCGCCCGGTGGCGGCGGCTTTCCGCTCTGTTGATTATTATATCCACCTTTGTTGATGATCCCCTTTCCCCCCTTTCCCGCGTCTTGATCTTTGCTGTTCCAGCCCTTCGCCGCGCGCAGACGTAACTCCTTTTCGATGTGGCTCCGGATCAAGTGCGCCGGGTTGCCCACCGCGCCCCCGCACCGCCGCGGCACGTACCCCCGGTGATTATCCTCTGTAAAAACGTTCCCGCCCCATACTTGCAACGCAAGTCTGCATGTTGAAGATATTTCTCATGCGGAACCCCATGAGAAGCATTTTCTAGTCGTGTTTCGGATTTTGTCATGCCTCAATCAGCATGATATCGTAGAGCTGTGACGCTGCTGAACTAGCTGAACAGGATTGCACTACGATGCCAAACTTGTCATGCGCACCAGCCAAAGCTTGTGGATTTGTCTAGCAGATCTCCCGTCTTGACTATGGGGTGCGGACGTTTTTACACAGGATAGTGATCCCTGTCCAGCCAACGAGCTATAGACACGTCCACCTCGTACAGCGGTGCCACCTCGTCCTCGTCGAGCATGTTCTTCTCCCGGAACGCTTCGATCACACGGATTTTTTCCTCGTCCGCGCCGTCCGCCAGCCTACTGCTGGAGGAGCCTGGTTTTTGTTCAATTTTTTAGCACGTGATGTTTCCGACCTTGAATTATTTGCTGCACTGGCGAAAGATTTAAATTTACAGCACACGCATACAACATCAAAAGATGGCGCTGCAATACGAGCTGCACAGAGACAGACATACAGCATACTAGCCTGTGCCAAAGACCTTTACCCGCACTCATCCCCATCCCCAAGCCCTGCACAGTTCCACCGAGTGGAGCGACCCCCGGGAGTTGTGGGTTCAAAATGCCTCCTTTGTTCATACGAGCCGTTCGATTCGTCTCCTGGTCGAACGAACTTTTCTTCGGCCCTGCTGCACCTCCCCGCGCTTGACTTTCCTGTCGACGGTGCTGAACGAATTGCAGCGGTTGTGAAGTCAGATTGCTCGCAAAAGTAGAACTCGACACCGCAGTCCCGCCTCCGGTGGTCGTGTTGAGCATATTACCTGTCGAGCCAGCCTGCGCACCCATTAGATTGTTCACATTCGGATTTAACGAACCTCCCAAAAGAGAAGAGGTTGGTGGATTCAGCGGTCTTTGTACGAACGAGGTTGCACCAGACAGCACAGAGCTACTGCTGCTACTGCTCCCCGCCCCGGGCTGTTGCGCGCTTCCGGTTTGAGTCATCTTCTCGATTTCGGCCTGCGCGTAGAAGCTGTTACCCGTTCCCGGCCCAGAGGAAAGGTTATTCGCGACGGTCGGATTGAGCAGATTTGCAGTTGAAGCTCCTCCAAAGATGCTTTCATTCGTAAGCCCAGGTGGATTTGGAGGAGCGGCGTAGAAAAATTGCTGTTGCGGTATCGCCGTAGCTCCGGGTGCCGCGACGGGGGCGGATGCTTTGCTATGATATCCCGGCGGAGGCTCAAACTTTACCACGTAATCCATGCCGTACCGACGCTGACAAACGTCGCGGAGCGTAGTTTTGATCCAGCCCAGGGGATTCTGGATCCTTCCCTTGCCATTCCGGTCCGTGCCGAGCGGTACCCAGCGCTGTGTAGTTTGACGGGATTTTTCTTAGCTAGTCATCTCAAAGCCACAACACAAAAGCAGTCGCAGAGCAGGAGACTTTATTGCGACGCCTGCTTTTTCGCCGCACATGCTTCCGTCCAAACCCAACTCAAAAAAGATGCGAAAGCCAGCAGCTAAGGGCAGTCGCACAACAGGGGACTTTGCGACGCCTTTTCTGCTTTTTCGCCGCACATGGTTCCGTCCAAACCCAATTCAAAAAGGATGCGAAGGCTAGCAGCTAAAGGCACTCGCGGAGCAGAAGACTTTGCGACGCCCTTTCTGCTTTTTCGCCGCCCATGGTTCCGTTCAAACCCAACTCAAAAAGGATGCGAAAGCTAGCAGCTAAAGGCACTCGCAGAGCAGAAGACTTTGCGACGCCCTTTCTGCTTTTTCGCCGCCCATGGTTCCGTCCAAACCCAACTCAAAAAGGATGCGAAAGCTAGCAGCTAAAGGCACTCGCAGAGCAGAAGACTTTGCGACGCCCTTTCTGCTTTTTCGCCGCCCATGGTTCCGTCCAAACCCAACTCAAAAAGGATGCGAAAGCTAGCAGCTAAAGGCACTCGCAGAACAGAAGACTTTGCGACGCCCTTTCTGCTTTTTCGCCGCCCATGGTTCCGTCCAAACCCAACTCAAAAAGGATGCGAAAGCTAGCAGCTAAAGGCACTCGCAGAGCAGAAGACTTTGCGACGCCCTTTCTGCTTTTTCGCCGCCCATGGTTCCGTCCAAACCCAACTCAAAAAGGATGCGAAAGCTAGCAGCTAAAGGCACTCGCAGAGCAGAAGACTTTGCGACGCCCTTTCTGCTTTTTCGCCGCCCATGGTTCCGTCCAAACCCAACTCAAAAAGGATGCGAAAGCTAGCAGCTAAAGGCACTCGCAGAACAGAAGACTTTGCGACGCCCTTTCTGCTTTTTCGCCGCCCATGGTTCCGTCCAAACCCAACTCAAAAAGGATGCGAAAGCTAGCAGCTAAAGGCACTCGCAGAGCAGAAGACTTTGCGACGCCCTTTCTGCTTTTTCGCCGCCCATGGTTCCGTCCAAACCCAACTCAAAAAGGATGCGAAAGCTAGCAGCTAAAGGCACTCGCAGAGCAGAAGACTTTGCGACGCCCTTTCTGCTTTTTCGCCGCCCATGGTTCCGTCCAAACCCAACTCAAAAAGGATGCGAAAGCTAGCAGCTAAAGGCACTCGCAGAACAGAAGACTTTGCGACGCCCTTTCTGCTTTTTCGCCGCCCATGGTTCCGTCCAAACCCAACTCAAAAAGGATGCGAAAGCTAGCAGCTAAAGGCACTCGCAGAGCAGAAGACTTTGCGACGCCCTTTCTGCTTTTTCGCCGCCCATGGTTCCGTCCAAACCCAACTCAAAAAGGATGCGAAAGCTAGCAGCTAAAGGCACTCGCAGAACAGGAGACTTTGCGACACCTTTTCTGCTTTTTCGCCGCACATGGTTCCGTCCAAACCCAACTCAAAAAAGAAGGAGACGCTAAACTTCTACTTACTCGTCTTCTAGGCTGAAACTATCCAAACGTTAATATTACCTTCTCCCCATTTATAAAGCGGTACTCGCGCCACACCATATCTTCGATGATTTCAGGTGTCTGCCCGCGAATCGGCAGCACCTCCTGCTCCGTCAGCTTGGACTCATCGCGCCACTTCGTCAGCAGCTCCTGTGCCTGGATGTGCTTGTTCGGGTCTGCGACCTCGAGTGGGTGGTGCTGCAACATCATCACGGGAACGTGCTGCTGCGCAAGAACACCAGTACCTCCTATTTGCCCCGGCGATATCAAGTTCGGGAAACACGCATGCGCGGCCAAGCTCGAGGCGAGCCTTACTTGCTCCGGTTCGGCGACCCAGGTCGTCGGTTTTTTCTGGTTGTACACCCAGTTTTTGATCCGCGCTTCCACGGTCTGTTTGTAATTCGTCAATTCCAGTCTTTCCATGTCTGTCGCCAGCAACTGGCGGCACTTCTGCAATTTTTCCGCCACGGGTCGCAACTGCTCCAGGGTGTCCAATGTTGCGTAGTGCGTCTCCCAATAGGCACCGAAGTCAATCGTGTGCTGGGTGCCAGTGGTGAAATCGTTCAGGTTAATATTTTCCTTAGAAGTACTATCATCGGCTGTTGTGCTGACCAACGGCTTCACGGTCGCCGCCTTCCGCTTGGTCGTGTCGGTAGTTCCCCCAATCTGGTGCAAGGCCTTGTTGGCTTCATTTTGCTTGCGGAGGTTCTCCTCCTCCTCCAACCGTTTCTGCTCTTCCTTTTGTTTCTGCAGCTCCAGCTCCTCTTTCAACTTGCGTTCTTGCTCCTCCTTCTCCCTTCGAATCGTGGCCGCGGCCTCGATTTCGAAATACGGCCCCGTGTCGGCCTTTACAAACTCCCGCAGGCCGAGCGGGATTTCGTCCAGAGTGATCACCGGCATCGTCGGCTGTGTCAGCTCCGCACAGGTAGTGCAAATCCGTTTCACCTGTATAGAAAAACGGAGTTTTTCAGTCATCGAAGTCATCTTCATTCGGAATTGGGCTGCTGCATCACTAAGCAGAAAAATCCTGACGCAGTCTAATGCTTGTCCACAAATGTAGGTATCTTTCCGTTTCCAACGATTCATGCTACTACGCTTGTTATGACATCCACCTTGACAAAAGAATGAAGATCGACGTGTTCTTCATACATAAGTAGTACCTTGGATTCATCTTCCCCTTCCACCCAATACTGGCAAAACTCCCACCAAGTCGGCCACTTGCAGCAGTATTGCTTGTTTTCCTGGCAATAGGGGCACCCGTAGTCGTTGAAGTAGGTCCCGGGTGGTTTGATGTTGGTGATGAAGGACGGCTGCGTCATGAACATCCAGCAGGTGCGCAGCATTGCGAAGAGTTTGTCTCGCTGCAACTCGTTGGCCTTCAGCTTCTCGGCTAACTCGGCTGCGTTCGAGATTTTCGCTCTCGCTTTTTTCTCCTCCTTTTCGAAGAAGTTCTCTACCCATTCCAAGTAGTCCACCATTTTCTGGTCTTCGTAGTGAAAATCGCCGCAGAGGTCCGGGTTCCGGCAGTAGAGCTGCTTCATGATAAATATCGACGGCCACTCCTTCAGCCGGTATTTCGGGTCCTCCTGCAGAAACTTAAACCACTTCCACGCCTTTTCGTTCTCCCGCATCCGAAACACGAACCGCTCGAAGTCGCGCAGGAAGAGAATGTAGTCGGCGTAAACGCGGCTTTCGATGTGCCCCATGCAGCGCAGCTGCGACTGGGTGATGCAGTCGGGGTGCACCTCATGGGCCTCGAACAGGGACTGCCAGAGACAGTTTCTCAGCGGCTTCTGGAAAAACTTCCACGAGTCGTCCGGCCGCCACCGCTTTTCGCGCAAATACTCCGGCGTTGCCTTCGGATTGCTGAAGGGGTTCAGAATGCGAGGAACACTTGCGATGTTCGCAGCGTTGGTTTTTGTTGCTTTCTGAGTGCGGGGGCCGAGTTTCTTGCCCACAGCTGCACCATCTGCGGCGGATTTCATCTTGAGGCGCTTCTTCGGCCTCTTCTGGTGCGGATGAACACCAGCTTCGTCTGACTGCAGCCCGCGACGTTTCTGCGTGACACGCTTCACACCTTCCTCTACTTTCGCACTCTTGTCGAGAAGCGTTGCGTCAATGGCTAGCGGATTTTCTTCCCGCTTTTCTGCCTCGATTTTGGCTAGCTTTGCATTCACATGGGTCGCGAGTTTATCTTCCATTTTGCCGAACTGAAAGGGCAGCGGACGAGCTTTCGGCTTCTCCTTCATGCTCGGCATAGAAGTTATTTCACCCTTGCCCTTTCCTTTCGGCTTTGCCTTAGCCTTCGCACTCGCTTTTGCTTTTGCCTTGGCTTTCGCCTTTGGCGCAGCGCCGCCGTCATCTTCTTCTTCACACTCGTCCCCCAGAACTTCTTGGACTGGCCGCACAAGGCTCTCCTCAACAACATCTGAATTATTTTCGCCACCGCTTACATCGCCGTCTGACTTGTTGTTCGCTTCACTAGCATCGATTTTGACTCTTTTTAATTCATTGTTGTTTTCATCTTGTCCCAGCACATTTTTAGCCTCCTCTTCCTCGTCATTCCCTTCTACATCACTGCCAAGCTGCTTTTCCACTCTCTGAGCTTGTTCGTTCCCGGCCTCCGGACTCTGCTCTACTTCACGCCGACGCTTCAAACCGTCCAAGTTCTCACGGTTCTTGCGCAGGCCCAGAGTATCAAAAACGGATGTTGACTTTTCCTCTTGTAGGAGGTCGTCTGATGGCTCTTGTACTTCCTCCTGCTCCTCTTGCCTCGTCGCACCGTTTGGTTCTTCCGACCCTCCCACCTGCAGCGCAGTCTTATTTGTCTTGTCCGACTCTTTTATTTCCTCTTGACCTCCATGATCTACTTCTCCGACTAATGCCTTGACTTCCTCGGACGCAGCCCCTTCTTCTTCTGCGTCTGACTTTTCGATCTCGTCCTCTGAAGAGTCATCTTCTGGTGGCAACAGCGTTTCCTTTTTCGGAGGTTTCGATGGCTTTTTCGGGATCGGGGACTTCACCTTTCCTCCAAAGGTTGTGCCGTGCTTCCCCCGAACCCGGTCGCTCCTCGCCACCGCCAGCAGGCGCCGGCCCACATCCGGGTCGACCGGCGATTGCGGGGGCAGAAGGCGGTCGCGGTCCCCAGGATTCACGTCCTCGCTGTCGTCCTGCTCTAACAACTCAGGCGGCACCTCATCATCCCCAATGGTGAGCCCCTTAAGTCCTGCAAAGAACCCGAGTGGGTCGAGTTATGGAGTGGAAAAAACTCGAATGTCATCTCGACCTATTGCCGACGCACAGACAGACAGGAGCTGCGATTTGCGGCTTCTGCTACGTCTTGCTGCACATCTAATTACCATGTTGACGAATCAGACTTTCATATGCTCCTGCACGTCTTGCATACAATAACTGCGGAAATTATCATGATTCTGTACACAAATAGTCCTTCTGCAACATGCCAACAAAACATGACGCTGTTCCGTCTGGCTCGGCAATAAATGAGACCAAGATAAGTAGCAGTTTGTTCTTTCCCCGGGATACCTCGGGATCGCCGGAGTAGTACATTCCCTGCGTGCACTTCAGATCTCTCTCGATAGCGAGCTGCATGTGCATGTTTAATTCCTCGTCATACTCGATTTTTTGGTCCAGGGCACCGCCAACTACATTGAGAGCGGGAATTTGCTCTGCCCCCTCTTCACCTTCTTCAGACGAACCATCAACAACATCATCGTTGTCCGAATCTTCATTCTCCTGCGCACGAGCGCTTTCATCATGTTCCTGTCCGTCCTCCCCTTCTACTTCAATGTCGCTGTCGTCCTGGATTTTTGCGGCAAGTACCTCGTCATCGTATTTCTCCTGCTCCAAAATAGCCCACTTCATGTCGCAGTCCTCTTTCCCGGCAATGGGGAGCTTTTGTTCCTGTTCCACTTTTCCTTTCTCAAGATGACGGTCTTCCCCCGCCAGCGCCTCTTCTTCGTTCTGACTCTTTTCGTCGAGGTCCTGATCGGAAATTTCCTCGTTGCTGTTATTTTGCCCTTCGCTTTTCGTTTTCTCGCCCTCAATAACGATATCATCTTCTTCAGAGAGAGCTTCTTCGTCGTTTTCGAAAAGCCCCGGCAAGAACGGCTCTCGCATCCTCTCGCTGTCAAACACAAGGCTCTGCATCCTCTCGCTGCTACCCCATTCTGCAATAATTTCCGCATTCTCTTCATAGAATTTCATTATTTCGTAGTCGTCGTCGTCTCCTTGTAGTTCACTCTTGTCAGGAGCATTCTTTGCTTTCCCTTCACCTCGACCTCCATCGTCGTTTTCGCTGACAACATCGTCGTGTTCTACTTCCGAACCTTCCGACATCGCATGATCTTCGGAAAAATTTCCAGCTTCGAGTTGTGCCGCAGCGTCACGATTCCGTGCTTCCTTGGACGGTTCATCAAAATGATCCTCGTTGTGGTCCTCTCGTGATTTTTCTTCTGACTGTTCCTCCTCAACGTGGTCGGCGCTGGGTTCCTTATCGATATCGCTATCGTTTTCCTCCTGTGAAACATCATCCTCGTTGTCGCTTTCATTCACCGCAACAGCTGCATCTGAATACATTGAAGGGCAACTTCCAATAAATCATGATGTAGGCTACAAGTGCTTCTACAAAATGTCACTCTAGTTTTTTCTCATTTCACCCTTAACTGCAAGTGGTCGGAACATCAAGCGCCGAAGAAAAGATGATGAAAATGGCAGGACACAACATCAGACGACAAACGTTGGTCGAGGACATCAGGGACCATCAAAAGTAGTAAGCAAGTACCATGATCGGCTCCCTGGAGGTCGTGTTCCTGGGACACAGAACCTCCCTCCGCATCCACCTCCATCGGGTGGTCGGAACTAGGCTCCTCCTCCTGCCCGCCGATGGCCGGGGTTCTCCCTGCTTCCGCTATTGAGAGGAAAAATCTCCCCTCCCCATATTGCAAAGGTATGTCTCCGATAATTTCTCATGCTGATTTGTGACCACAAATCACGCCTGTCTTGCAAGACGGCAAATGGAAAGAATCCGCCGCCTTGTGAGGGCGGTTTGTAATGCTGTTTCACCAACATGGCAGATCTCTTCTATGCTAAGCGCCTACAACAAAACACCCCTACGCAGGCTGAGGCTTTGCCTGTAGTGCCTCACTGCAAAGCTGATTTGTCTTTGTGTACACAAATCCAGCAACAGAAGTTTCCGTTTCAATATGGGGAGGAGGGATCTTTCACTTGGATATCCGCACGACCTTCTTCATCCACCCCAAAATCGGAAAAATAGGAGACTGCTGTTCGACCCTGAGCTTCCAGACTCACACTCACATGGTGTGGACTTTGTTTCTGAGTGTGTCAGGATCGAAATCGACGAAGTCGAAAGGTTTGTGATGCAAAACATGTAGGGCACTGAAGGCCTGCCTTGGGGACCAGGTAAATGAGACCGATTGTGAGCCTGCTTCGGGGTATACAATGTGCTGCCAGGGTAGCATAACAAGAGCAGTCTTCTTTGCCCAAACAGTATGACGGATTGGATTTGGGTTCTCCCGAAATTTGTCATGCGCCACGTAGAAACTGAGGCTCCAACTGACATCGATTTTATGCGTCACAAATTTTTCGATTTTGTCAATTTCGATTCTGACACTTCCATATTGTTCGCTGTATTCGTCGGAGTCTTCCACTCCTGAGTGGTGGGGCATCGCATCCTCACTTGACGAGGCCTCATCCACCGCGAGAAGCTTCTTTTTCTGATTCCTCGAAGATTTAGCCCCTTTGTTCGCTGCCGGAAGTTCTTTGTCTTGTTTATCCTTCTCTTTTTGTTTCTGCGTCTGCCCCCCGGCGGCCGAAGAGGCGGCTGCGGCAGGCGGCGCATTCTTACTGTTATTCGCACAAGAGGACGAGGAAGAGGACGAACCACCCGCAGCACTCCCAGCTTGTTTATTACCTTTTTCCTTTTCCACCTCTTCCTTCACAAGCGGGGCCAACCTCGTGTAGATCCGCTTTGCGTTTTTGTTCTGCGCCAAAAAGTCTTCCATCGCCTGGCTGTTCCCCTCCAAGTAATTGTGCACGTTCTCAAAGGAGTGGAGCAAGTCTTGCTCCTTCCAGTGGGCCAGTATCGTGCCGCGGAGCACCTTCCTGGTGCCCTTCAAGACGGACTCCAGAAGGGCCCGACAGTCCGACTGCCGGTTTTCCCAGATCGTTCTCGCCTCCTCGGAAGTGGCCATTTCGCTACTCCAGATTATTCTCAAATTGCGACCCGGAAAAGGATTGCAGTGTAAGCGAAGGGCCTTAATGTAGTTTCACAACTTTCTAAAAACACTTCAGACAGGGTAGGATGTCTGTTTCGCGTTTCGTTTCAAAACCCGTGGTCCGCCTCCGCTCCACTAGCAGGGGGACAAAAATAAAGTAGATCAAGGTGGTTGCTAGACAACAGACGCATGCAAATCTAGAAGCCAAATAATCTTTTATTTGTTCTAAAATGATGTAAACAAATCTCCATCAAATTCAAAAACTTGAAAAGTATTTTTCTTGAGCTCTAGAATCATCAGAAGAAGGAAGTACACTAAAAGTTGTAAAAGTAAATGCGTATGGCCAAAAGATAATACGATTCAAATATGAGCTATCGCTATGTATTCCCAAAATCAAAAAAGGTGCAGTCCCTTCCGCAGATGGAGCTGGAGGACATCTAAACGTCATGATAATATACACAAATCTCTATCAAATTCAAAAACTTGAAACGTATTTTTCTTGAGCTCTAGAATCGTCAGAAGAAGGAAGTACCTCCACCCGCATACTGCGAATCCAATTACAACAAACAAACAAACAATTCAAAAACTCTGCTCGGCGTTTTCTTTTTGCTGTAGACCATTCATCTTCATTCATCAACTTTTTCTGTTTCTCTACACTACTGGCAAAACGAGAGCAAAGCGAAAGGCACTTAGACTTACTTTCGACCGAAGCCGTAATAAAGACAAAGCTGTGGTAAGACCAAATTGAAGCAGATGCGACAAATACAGTCTCAGTGAGCTCTATGCGTTTTTTTCGCTGCTGATTGTTCACGAGAAAACTTCTCGGTTTACATGTTTCATAAGCTTATTCTAACTCTTTCGCCGCCGCTACTTCTAGGGAACAGCAGCGTTTGCAATGTTCTCGTTTCGGTCAAACCAAAACATCAAATGCGGACGAGTCATCAAACAAGGCGTGCGCTTTTCACCTGTAAGTATCTTCTTTTGTTCCGCAGAACCAGCCTCTGTTGAGCAGCTTCAGTTTGCAGTCGTTTTCGTACCGTTTTTTTACATGAAAGAGCATCATCAAGAACAAGGCAACTACATCAACGGCTCTTTGTGTCTTGTTAAAACAGTGGAGCAACTACTGTGAAAGAACCAACAGCCGGTTCAAGAAGCGTGGCGCGGCGCGCATCATGGATCATCCTTTTCCCAGACTGTATCGTCATCGCTTGGAACTACAGAATTACTTCCGCTCCCTTGATTGCCGTAAGCGGGACAGCGAAGAAGGAACAAGAACAACATGATCTTCCTTGTGCAGCAATAAAATGCACAAGACAACTCCCGCAAAAAATCGAAACTGCGGCAGAATCGCGAGTTTTTTTTTTCCTATTCAAGACATCAGAAACAAATGAAGCAGAGGCCACGGCAATACTCCGCCAGAATTCCAGATCTTGATCGTGGTGCTGAAGGTTGAAGAAGCAGAAGATCCTTATATCAAGAAGTGCTTTTAATACTATCTTCACTTCCATTACTACAGAAACTTCGCCCAGAAATCATCGCTGGTCAACCCATGCGTCGCCAAACTGCTGTCGTACACCGGGATGTGCAGGTTTCTCGAAAAAACATCCCTCGAAGGTACCTTTTCTTGCAGCACGTCCACGGGTATCAAGTTGCCGAAAATTTTCCGCTCAATCAGGTCGTAGTTCTTCTTCTCCTGCACAGAATCGGTTTCGTCTCTACTTCCAATCGGCACCGTGAGCTCGTCCGCAAACCGGCATTCTTGTGGCTCAGAAAGGTCGAGAAAGCCATAGTAAAACTCCCGGCGATCCACCACGTCGTTGCAGAATAAGTTCGAGGCGTTAGTTGTGCTGCTTGCTGATTCTGGAGTTCCACTACGATCATGTTGACCAAAGCCGCCTTCAAATACGCGGAAAGCGGAATCCAAGACCGACGTGCGAGAATTATCGTGTGCAGTGGTAGTTTCCAACGTGCTTACAGGAACACCTGCTTCCGGTGGAGGTGCTGCTGCTGTCACATTTGTGATAAACTCCTGCAGTCTTTCCTTCATAATTTCGTCTACGACCTTCACTTGTGCCGTCAGAATACGCTGTTTGCGGCGAGAATTTTTCCTCCCTTCACTCGCAGAAGAAGTACGCGCTGTGCTATCTGTTATTTCATCCAGTTCACTTTGCAAGAGCTGCAGTTGAGCCGCCGAGACACTGGTTGCAGAGCCATCGTCTTGTGGAGAGAGAAATTTCTCTTTCCATTTCGTTATTTCCGTGGGAAATGAAATTTCGTAGCTGTATACGCGATTCTCAGCCTGTTGCAATTGGTTCTTCGGCACGTGCATCTGTTTTCCGAAGCCAAGAGTGCGGAGGAGGAAGGCTTTGTGCTGCCCACCTTTGCCGGCATGCGTACTTGAACTAGATTCGAGGCTCAGTTCAGCCTGAGGAAGTCCTGCATCGCCGCCATTTATCGTAGCGGTACCATCATTTTCCGCTGTGTTCACCGCCATCACCGAAATGTAGGCACGCTTACGTCGTGCAGATCTGCTTCCAGGATTTCCCCTGCTCCGGACGGACCGCTGAGTTCTTGTCTTAGCAGATAAATTCCCTCGCGGACACAGGCCAGCATGTTGGCAGAGATACTTCCAGTCGCGAATGGGGCAGGGGAGAAAACAGACGCGCTTTTCGGTCAAGTATCTTCGATAGCTACCCCGGAGGTCAGAAGCGATTTCGCTGGAGGTTGGGGGAATGCTGCTGGACTTCGTGTGCCGGCGGTTCTCGTACTCTTTCGAGAGGTATTGCAAAAAGTCCGACACAGAAACAAAATCACCGTTTCCATTTTCCTTTTCATTTCTCGTCAGCGTGTCATCCGAAAAGAGCACACTGTCAAAACGACGAGCGCTTGTTCCTGGGCTGAACCACTTTCCTCCAGCGCGCAGCGCGATGGCGGTCGCGAGATCTGCCTTCTTCGAAAGCATCGACGCGTCCTGCTCTCGAGGAGCCTCTGGAGGTTCTGGGGTCGCTGCTCCAGCTGACTCCGCTTTCGCGGCCAACAGCCTTCGCACCAGCTCATCACTGTCCACTAGCAATTCCGCAGCCCGCCAGCTATTTTTCACCTGCAGTGACTGCGAATGATAAGCAACGCTCTTTTTATTGTCCTTCCCGTCTTTAAAAGCGGCTGGCGGGATAACGCGGCTCGCTTCGTCGCGTACAAGCTGCGCAGTCACACCTTCGACGTCGGTGAGTTTCTGACAGCCGAGCTTGGGCTTGCCGCCACAGGAAACCACCATCGGCGCGTGGTACCGCACGACGTTCACTTGTTCCATTTTCAGGAGTACAAAGCCCAGCAATGCCTCCATCGTCACCTCGCCGTCGCCCCATTGCTTTATCATGCCGTCGTAGTGTTTGCGAATAGACAGGTTCCAGAACGTGCGACGGAATTGGGCGGAGTCTAGCAGAGCAGCTGCTAGTCGTGAGCCTACAGCTGATCCACCAAACGGGGTGGATTTTCTTTCACCGTTGCTACTAGTGTTTTTGAAATAGGGCTTCGCGGCGAGTTGAGCTAGAATTTGGGTGAGCAGGGCGGTATCTTGCGATGCAGCAAACGGATTGGTGTCTGCTTGCCAGGAATTATGCGCGAAGATATTGCGGCCCGCCATTCTTGACTGCGACCATACTTCTGGCACCAAAAAGCGTTTTGCGCGTTGCGCCCAAACGGTCGCGGCTCGGCGGGTGCACACCGCGTGGTGGTCACAAATGCCGCCCCAGTCGTCCCGGATGCACGGGATGTAGCAGGTTTTTTCTCTGTCCACCACATGTTGACGCCGATTGCGGCGGTTTCGGACATCAACAATGTTTCCCGATGCACGTCCAGAAACAGCGAGGACGTCCTGCGTCATCTGGTCCACCCCCGGAAAGGGATCATCTCCCAGCCACAGGTGCTCTGGTTATCGTGAAGAAACTTGGACGAGTCACGCGAACAGATTTTGCAACGAGGGCCTTGCTGTAGTGGTCCCTACTGCCCATAGCAAAATCTATGTGCCTTGACTCAGCTGCATTTACCTGGAATACTGCTCGTGAGAACGTGATGAAACCGTACGTCTGATTTCTTCTCTGTTCCTCTTCCGCGATCCTCCTATCGCATGGAAAATTCTGCCAGAGCTTTCAGACTTGGGTCACTTCAACATTGATTTCTGTTCCACCAAGAATCACAAGCACAACAACGAAAAATTAGAAAGGAGCGAGCCAAGTGAGGATCCAAGTCTGAAAAAATCAGCGACGAACAGACCTGTTTGTTCACGATACATCTTCTCACACACGTAGGCATCGTACAGTTGAAAGATTGCCGACAACCGGACACCCAGCTTCAGCTCGCGGAGACGCACCGTGTAGGTGTCGTTGTGAAAGCGACTGCTGAGAGCACCACCATTCGCGGCGAAAGCAAGATGTTCGCCTTCATCTTGTTTCCCCCCCTCATCATTTCGCTCTCCGCCACCAGTGCGCCTCGCTCCCCCTACGCTGGTCCTCCCCCAATCTCGATGAAAGTTGAACTCTGAATCCTCGAGGCCCTCCAGGTCCCACAAATGGAAGCTTTTCGCCTTCTTCTTGATCTGTGTCTTATCAAATGTAAAAATGTCTGGGTCTGGAAGATTCTGAGACTTGTCATGCATGTTTTGCCTGGCCCATGATGTCTGTGATGCATGCCCTAGCATCACAGATTTTTCGAGGGCTTCGCGATGCCTATTCCGCATGACAAATGCCCTCTCCGCGTAGCAAAAATTACACTCCCTTTGCTGCTCCTGCAATACAGATTTTTTTGGAATCCAAATGCAGCATCACAAGTTGCATTCTTCCAGACCCAGACATTTTTACATTTGATATGTCTCAAAGTACGGCGATTTCTCCCATAGCTGCCTCGAACCGCTGACGAATACCAAATGTAAAAATGTCTGGGTCTGGAAGAATGCAACTTGTCATGCTAAATCTGAAGCACGTAAAAATCTGTGCTGCATGATTGCCAAAAGTCGTCCAGTTTTGACCAAGTCGGGATGGAGTTTCTCATGCAGGATAGGCATGAGAGAGATCGCACAGAATCTGTCATGCTAGGTCCCGCATTCCAGGCCTCATGGGTCATGGAAAATCTGCGTGACAAATCGCGCACTCTTCCAGACCCAGACATTTTTACATTTGATAACGAAGAGATCGATGCTATTTCTGGCGCGACGGTTGCTCGTTGCATCGGACTCGGTGTCGCTCTCGCTTCCGTTACTATGTTGCTCATCTTCAGAGTTGTTTTCGTGTAGCAGGTGCCGCAACTGCGACCTGGTCGCGAGTGGGTGCCCCGGCGCGCCGAACAAACAGACGGCATTTTGGAGCGTCGCTGGAACAAGATGGGACATGGCGTTTGGTTCAAGCTACTGGCTGCACTTCCGGTCCCAACAACTCCTCGACGTCCATTTTCTACTGTTTTCGCGCAGACAAAAGGATGCACAAGGAGTAATTTGTGCGGACGTTTAGACGACCGGAGAAATGCCTTCGGCTGTCACACACTTGGGGGAGAAAATTGAACACTGTTGATGGTGTTCATGGATTTCAGATAGGCAAAAATGTCCGCTCCATATAATCGGCTTGTAGTTTTTCATTGTTTGTTCAGGCAATATGCAACGCCCCTGGCGTTGAAAGCTACGATTATCTCCCCAGTACTTCAAAGTCCACCTTGACCACCAATTCACTTAATCTTTGTCCCGAGCAGCGTAAAGTTCCAGCTATCACGCTGGAAAACCTGCGGGGAAACCCTGCCCCTGCAGTTCACCACCACCACCATCTCCTCCTGCGTGCATCAGGTGGTTGGTTGCCAGCTGCTCCTGCAGCTCCGATTTGACCCGTTGCTCCTCCCGGATCAGCCACAGAGGCTTGATGTACCGCACGATGCAGCCCCGGGCTTTCATCTTCTCCAGGTAGTGGATCCGCTTGCCCGGGCGGCTCATCTTGGGCAGGATGTCAAATCGCTCTGGATGTAAATGCGCACGTAAGGCCAGCTTGGAGTAGTACACGATGGTCACGGTTCCCCCGACATTTTTCACCTGCTCGATCGTGCTCTGGTCCGCGCAGGCGACTTCGAGGTCGATCTTGTAGGGAAAAGGATAGTCATTGACGTTGAACACTTGGACCCCGGACCGCACAAACTTCACACATCCCGACTCCTTCAAATGCCTCTGCGTGATCGGAAACCGGGCGTCCAGCCGCCCGGTTTCGATGAAGTAACGGATCCGCGCAAGATTCAACGTTTCGAACATCGACTTCGTGCGGGTGCGCGCGAGAACAGCGGCCGGCCACTTCGCGACCTGGACGTGGTTTGTTGGCGAATTATGAAACAATTATGGTTGTCATGCTCAATGAGCAAGCGCAAGTTGATGTGCACTTCTGCAGAATACATTCATTGGAAGCATTGCCATTAGTTACTTACTCTCCTCCACATCGGATTTTTCGTTTGCCCCTCCCACATGCGCTCGTCAGACCCACACTTTCCGCTCGTTCCGATCAAATGCCAAAGATTCCCACGACTCCCACTCCCGCGCGCGCGCTTCGCTCGCTTGTGCACCGGCCGCACCGGGCCACGCAGGTTTTTGGACATGATCGGAAAAAAGGGGCGGCGCTCTTGCGTCAGCCGGATGTTGAAGGGATTTGGCTGCTTCGGCCGGGGGCACTTGCGGTAAAGCTTCTCCAGAAGGGAGGGCGTGATGATTTTCGTGCTCCTCGAAGCCGCTCGTTGCGAAGCACTTGCACCATTTCCTTGCTGCGGTACCGCTAGCGGTCCTGGTGCCCGTGATGTCTTTGTGCTAAAAAGTCTGCTATTCGCCGTCGCGGAGTGGCGGGGGAGTCGGAAAGAGGAGCTGGGCGACAGGAGAAACCTCTGGCTGCCAAAGTCCTCGCCTATCGACGGAAATGCACGTGATGGATCTGCAGATGCATATAAAACGCATGTACTCCTGCTGCTTGCTGCGCGCCCTGCCCCGATGCGAATTTTGCAGAGTATCTCTGCTGCCAGTGGCCCGCCGCTCTTCGTGAATGGAGTGAGCATAGAGGGCGATACCACGACCATGGTAGGTCGTCAAAACAAAACTTCGCGAAAAAAAAACTTTGCTGCAGCAAATTGAAAAATGTATCTACTTATCTCTAGGCCGCGTGCGGAACAAGGTTGATCAATTCTGGGGGAAAGACATCAGAGCCATCAAGGTCACAACCAGGAGCTGCCAAGATCTACGAAGGATCATCTTGCACAAAGGTTACAGCATCGCAAGACCAGCTTGTATGGCAGATCCTTGCCATCAAGACCGAACCATCGCGCTAAAGATTGAACGTGAAACACAGCTCTGCTGTACTAAACAATCCCGAGTCGGGTTTGCGCAGTTGCGTTTGCCGCGATCGAGATTAGATTTTCTTTTCCGATTCGAACCGCCTTCTCTTGCATTTCCATGCATTCTTTCAACGCTGTGACCAGTTGTGCCGGCCAGTCTACTGAGGTATTGAATCCGCAAAGACCGAGCGAATTTCTCGGCGCTTGGGATAGCCCTACCTGCGGCCGAGAAACTACGCGTATTGGAAGTATGAGTCGGGAGAAACGTGACTTCTTTCGTGGTATTTCCAAAAAGGAGAAACCCGTTATCCGAGAAGACGCCCGATGGGAAAACGTCATGCATCTTTCCCGACAAAGACAGCGTCACGTACAAAGCCACTGCGTCGGCTTGTAGCGTCACGCGGTACAAAGTCAAGCTGCGAGTAGAAAGCGGCTTTTTACTGGTGGGGCCGTCGCCTCCTTGAATCCGCCTCTGGTTGTCGTTTATCTCCGAAGTGACCGAAATGACGCGCACATTGGGCTCAGGCGGTAAATAGTGGATCCACTGCTTCGGTGGGGCAAAGAGTATGACACGTTCCGGCAGCAAGATGGGCGAGACCCTCGCATTTCGTTCTTGCTCCTTTTCGTCAAGATTAACGTCCTCGATTGCCGACAGTGACGCTAGTAGAAGCGTCGTCTCCAAATCGACTTGAGGAGATGACACCTCGAGTTGCTCCTGCTGAGTTGTCTTGCCACGTACTCCAGAGGCCGCGGCCTGCGTGCCAGACCTGCCATCGATCTTCCTGTATTTCCCAAATTTCGGCTTCAAAACCACCAAAGCCCCTGGCCCGGCGGGAAGACTGAACTTCAGCCGTTCATCCGGTGGAGGTACAAAGGCTTGGTCTCGAAAAGAAAACAAGCGCAAGTGCAACAGACCGGTTACAGGCTCCAGGCTGTCGTTGCGGACATAGCAGATGACCTCCTTCTGAACATCTTTTACTTTGCTTGAAGGTGCCAGAGCAGGCTCCTCCTTTGAGTCTTTCGTGTTTTCGTAATCTGCTTTCGATTCGCTTTCGCCTTCTTTCCCAGCGGCCACCCCGCAAGCCACAAAAACGTCCCGGAACGCAAAATTTTGCAGCCAGTGATGCAGAATTTTCCACCCCCCACCGTATTCCAGTGAGCCCCACCCGCCCGTCGGCCAGATTTCGTTGAGTTGCCACAAGAGCATGCCATTCACGCTTTTATCGAACCGGAGCTGGTCGATCCACGTGGTAACACGCAACGCCTGGCCGAGCGCGCACAAGTAAAGTTGAAGCCGAAAATTTTGCTCTGTCCGCTCCGGTTCTTCCGTGGAAAGAGCGACAACCGGAGATGAGCGGGATTCTGTTTTGCCATGCAACTCGAGGCGATCATTTCTGTCGCCGAAGTATCCCTCCAACAGGTTCCGGCAGGCGTAGTTCCGCTGGCTCATGGGATTCTCGCCCGCACAGGCCGGCCGCACGCGATCGGTGACGTTGCAGTCCGAAGATGATGTGCCATTTCCTCCCTCCAGGGACCAGTGCTCTTTCCTGAGCAGCGGACTGAGCGTCTCGAAGCTGCTCATCGTGGAGGAGCCGAATTCGGAGACAAATCCAGGAGGTTGCGAAGGTTGGTTCGTAAGCGCCTCGGGCAGCGACAATGTTCCTGCCGCACCACGACAAGAATCCCCACCTTGAGCAAGAGTGCCGTGGTCCTTCTCAGCGTCACGGCACAAGTGAATGACCAACGGTATTCCCACGTCGAACTCCACTACAGCGGGCGACTCCGCGTTGATGGTGTCGAATCCACTTCCGTGGAGATACGGACCGTGGGATTCGAGAGGAGTGTTGGCAGGTCCATCAGCTTTTGTTCTTTCCGCAGACTGAACTACGTCCCCTCTACGAACTTCCAGCTTCTCCCCAAGCACCGGCCTGGACGTGTCCCGCTCCACGCCCGCGGCCCACCCGTACTTGCTGGGACTCGACGGCCAGATTGCCCGGCTGGGGTCGGTGGCTGCCACGATCGTCATGGCAAAATCTATGTAGCGGTGGATATTGGAGGACGACGATCCTGCGCTTCTTGCTGCGGGTTGCGACTCCGACTGCGACTGGCCAAGCAGACCACTCTGGTCATCAGTAATATCAAACACGCATTCGTTACACGCGTTCCAGATCACCAGACTTGGATGCCGAGAAAGTCGGCGCACTTGATATTGCAGTTCCTGTTTCACGGACGTGCTGGCGTTTTTATTCTCGTCGCGCAAAACCGGACAGTGGTTGTCCTGGTCCACAAACATTAAATCGTGATACAGCAGCAATCCCAACTCGTCCGCGTAGTCGTAGAACCGTTGGGGAAGAAACACGCCGCCACCCCAAATGCGCAAAGTATTCATGTTTACGGCCACGGCAGAATCCAGAAGACGAAGCAGGGGATCCTTGTCAGGACGAAGCGCGCTCAACTCACGGGAAGGGCCTCGGAGTTGACGATACGCTGTCTGTTCTTGTGCTTGCGCGTCTGTAGTGGCAATCTTGGAGGGCAACGCGCCTGAGGAGTCGAACGAGTCATCAACGGTAGCCTGTTGCTCTTCTTGCATTTCATCTTGGAGACCGCTTGTAGCAGTCCTGTCGTATCTTGCTCGATCCTCCTCTTCGATCGCACGGGAAGGTGAAAACGCATTCAGCTCATCTGCGCCGCTCGTCTTTGACGCGAACTTCAGCCTGCTCTCCAAATCTGCGCCACAAGGGTTCCGCTTGCCTTGTACGCAAGACAAAGCATCGCAAATTTTCCTCTCGATGTGGGGACGGGGGTGGATTTTTCCTTACGATACGCGACTCGCTTTCTCCGCGGCCTGCATATGAACTGCAAAAGTATCGTATAAATGCATGACAAATTCCCTCAGCATGAGATTGAGCAATTAAAATTTGTAAGTATATGCGTATGTGACTTAACAAAAAGATTTGTAATGCATGACTGCAATACGAGTACGATACTTTTGCACAGGATTGCTTTCTATAGTTAGAACTCCGCGCCAGCTCCTTCACGACGATCGAACTGTCCTATCCTGTGCAAAAGTATCGGATTCGTATTGCAGTCATGCATTACAACAAATCTTTTTGTTAAGGTAAATCAGCATTGCAAATCAGTCAGGGTAGAGGAGCAATCCTCGGGCACATAGATAACAAAACGCTGCACATCTGAAAGAGTTTTTTTGAAAGAAGAAAAGAACAGACGTGCACCATCAGAAGTGTAGTGCTGGCGGTAGCACTTGTGCTGCACCATCAGAAGTGCGTAACTCGCATGCCGGGCGTGCCATGTCAGGATGTCAGGATAACGCAGAAGCTCAGTCAGTCAGTCAGCATTGCAAATTTTATCTCTCATGCTGAGAAATGCACTTATACGAGTACGATACTTGTGTAGTTCATATGTCCGGCGGGAAAATATCGATATGAGAGTGCATAAAAACAACTCGATCTCCACGTACTACCCAGCTGCAGCCGCCCGGGACGAGAGTGCGGCTCTACTGCTGAGCGCGGAAGATAACGCAGTGGGACAGCACGTTGAACAGGAGACGGAAAATGTTGAAAAAACCCCCGCCCACGGGGGCTGTTGCCAAGACTGCTGCACGAAAAAGTGCGTGCTCATCCTTCTCCTCATATTTCTCGTTCTCGCAGGCGGTGCTTGCGTTTTAATTTTCGTTCCCTGGTTCGACGTATCAAATGTAAAAATGGCTGTGCGCAGACATCCCAGGAGTTAGTATTTGATGTGGCGAAAATCCTTGCGAACAAATTGCTGGAAGTCACCTGCGTAAGATTTGTGGTCCGATCGGCAATACCTATTGGAGCACAACCCCTACGCAGGTGAGTTACGGATATCAGCTCATCTGCGCCGCTCGTCTTTGACGCGAACTTCAGCCTGCTCTCCAAACTTTCGGTGGGGACAAAATTCGCCCCTCGAGCCACAATCTTTTTCCCGTTCACCTCGAGGAACATAGGTCCGCGCCCGCTCCCTCGCGGGGGTGGTGGGGCAACAACCGCAGTTCCTTCTGCGGATGAAGAACTGGGCCCTTGCTCTTCCTCTTCCTGCTCAGTGCGCAATGCAAAGTGCCGGAAGCCGAATCTGCGGCGGACTTGCAGATTGACGTTCCCGGAAACTTCGAAATGTAAGTCGTACAGGTTTGCTTCACGTTTCTCCGAGGATTTTTCCCCCGTTGAAGCAGTTGTCCACAGGGCGCGCGGCCACCACAGGTCCACGTCGGTTGCGAAGAAAGAGTAGCGACAGATCCAGAGTCGGTTTTTGGACAAAATAGTCCTGTTTGTTTTGTCTGCACCGTTTTCATCGCGGCTCGGGACGCAGTGTCCTTTCAGGGTCAGCGAGCTTGCATCTTCGCGCACTGCCGTCGCCTCAGCTGTGGAGACGCTCTTGCCCACATCAGGCCGGCGCGTTCCAATCTCCTCGAAGTCTTGGTACAGTGTTGGCCGTTTCCTCCCTGTCTGGAGCTCCCTCGGATGAAGACCGTGATCCTCCTTGTAAAAAGAGCTGGCGGGCCCGCGGTTTTCCCCAGCTCCGACCGGAATCACCTGAACTCGCGCCTCGAGGCTCCTATTTTCCTCTGTGTGGTTGACCAAATCTTGGCCTGCCCTGGATTCGTTCCAAGGCGTTTCTTCAGAAACCCAAAACCCGGCTTCGACCACAACCTGAAACGCGAGGTCCGACGGTATCTTTGCCCAACGAGCGGTCGTAGCAGCTGTCCACTTCAAAACCTTTCCTACGCCCTTCTGGTGCAGAAAAGTCGTGGGAGCGACAAAATCCACTGCAAAGGGACGAAAGTCACCGGCAGAGTTTGCCCTCTGCTCTGTGGCTGCCAGCTGTTGCTGCATTGCCGCATCGCTGATTTTCTGCTTCTCCTCGTTTGTACCGATAGCGATTGCAGCACTTCCCTTCGGAAAGAGATCGCCCACCTCGTGCACCAGATACACCGCCTTCCACAGACCAAAAGTGAACATCGCGGAGTCGGCTTCCCGGTTCACGGCGTTGCTGCCACAGACCGAAGCACCATTGTTTGCTCCTCCACCATCAAGCGTCGGGTACCCCGTGAAGGTTTGCGAATACGGTGCCCAATCCCAGCCGCCACTGCACGCCATAAAGCGGCCATGCACCGCACCTCGCTTGCTCTTCGGGAAACGAACCTCTACGCGGAGAGTTATGTTGCTCTGGTGACTGTAGTTGTTGTGATCTCCTTCGTGAACACTGGCAGTAGAAGTAGGCATGGTATTGTTTACGCAACCTTCATCTCCACCGGACGGTGCAGTTGTCTTTTTCGACGAACTATGATCTGCATGATATAGTGTTCCTTGCACCTCCGCAAGAATCACGTCCTGCAAATCGACGACATACCGCAAAAACTGATTTTTCGCCTCCGCGAGTTTTCTCCCGTTCACAAAAATCTCCGCGAACATTTTGATGCCGTCGAAGACCAGCAGGGCTTTCGGAGGAGAGAAAGACGCAGTTCCTGTTCCACTTCGGCTTGTTCCAAGACCTGGGAGCGACAAAATCACGTCCTTCTGGTACACCCAATCCTGTTCCGTCCACTGCGCTTTGTGCACCAGCCAATTTCTCTCGAAGAAGATATTTCTATCGTGGCCATGCGTCCAATTTTTCTTGGCGACTTCACTGACGACGTCGCTGGGGAGGGATACGTTCTCAATGACGAAGGATTTGTCCTCTGCTTTGATGGGACCGGCAGTGCTGTTATTTGGGTCTGCGCTGACGAAAAGTGTCCAGTTGTGGTTGAGAACCTCGTAATGGTCTTGGTCAACATCTTCGGGATGACTGTTGTACAACTCGCCGCCATGCACCAGTTGATGGTGGTTCTGTCCACGTGCAGCAATGATCGCATCGTCTCCATGAAGCGGGTACCGACGCGAAGGACTCCTTCCGTTGCGACAGTCTTGTAACAAGAACTCCTTCACTTCTTTTTCCCCATCTGCCATGGCGGGCGAGGCGATGGCGAAAAAATCGAAATATACCATCCTGAAGACGAGCCAAGGCGCGAGCGCAAAGGCAGGGCGAGCACGGACGGAAAAGGATTTATTGCTCATTTTGAGTTACTCTAGATGTTGTACTAAGTTTGTTCTCGAGAAGATCCGGCGCACCATCGCCGGGTGACGCGAATGTACATGACGGGTTTTCCACGATTCGCCCGCGTCGCGAGTAAATAAGAAGCTCAAGCTTCCCACATTGTAGGATCTCATCTTTTCGGCGCGATGCCGAATCCAAAGGGAGTAGGCGCAATAAATAGAACACCTTTCTTGTACTGCCAGGAAGCCACAACTTTGGCAAGGTGCTTCCGCTGTGCTGACGGGGTTTTTTCAAATTGAGGAATTTCATCTGTTCATCTGCCCGCTAAAGAGCGAAGAACGTGTAAAAAAAGTATCTATTTAGAGGGAGATAATCTTTTCCTACTACTAGTACTAGGTTATGTGCAGAAAATTCGCTGATATCATGTACTATTACTAATTTACGATTATATGATACAAGAAAAAGTACTAATTTTTGTCCTTCGTAGAGGTCACTAAAGATTTTGAAAGGGGAAGGGAAAACAAGGAACTCTTACGGGAAAAAAAAGCAACATGATGCGCGCACGCATCTGAAAAAAATAAACGTCATAGCTATGGGGTCGTGTAGCTTCCGCGCCTGTCAAGACTGAGAGAGGAAGAGAAGATCGATGAGAATCTGATAATCAAGTGAAAACGATTTCGAGTAGCCCGCTCGCTGTTGTTTCTTAATGCTTTGCATGTAAGTGCAAATTGCCTTTCAAAAGAAACAATGCCCCAATTTCATTCTGCATGCAGCAGAGAGGAGCGCCACAAATAAAGTTGGTACTTCTAAGTAGTCATGTTTTCGACGGCTAGATCAAACATGACACCAGCAGTAGTCAACCCCTAGAGTCGCAAGAAGCTATCTCGCCACTTGAAGATCAAATCCTCCCGATACTCCGAGAGTACCACAGTCAAAGGCCGGTCTGAATAGTGTCAGTGCGTGGCCCCCCCGGAGGGGTCCACGCCGTGCTTCTTGAGGAGTTCTTGTACTTTTTGCACGTATGTCTTTTCCGCCTCTTCTTTGGGCATTCCCTTGTGTTTTATCCACGCGTTGTGCTTGGCGACGTGGTGGGATCCTAGTCTTGCGTCGGCTTTTCCAGTGGGGTGGTCGCCGAAAAGGCCCTGCTTGAAGTACCCATAGAGCTCCAGCTGCTCCGGGGGAGTCACCTTCCGCCCGAGGCCCTGTATCAGCTCGCAGGCCTCCTCAATGTCGTCCCCGTGGGCCACATTCCATGACTCGTCGCCTGCGGTGGATGTGAAGTTCAAGTTTCATCTTTGACAATAACTACTTAGCTTTTAACGATGGCAGAAAAAAAAACGCGCCCTCCTCCTACCTCCGCTGCTCTACTTCTAGCTACTTCTACACGCAGTAGGTACTAAGACAAGATCATGTTTTTTCTGTCGCCAAAGCAAAACTAAAAACAGCAAACAACTATAAACATACTATCTGGCATCCCGATTCGTCGCCAGAATCTCCTGCAGGTGACACCGTCGTAGGTGATCTCCCAAATGATTTCTTCATTGTCGGGCGAGACGTGCCGAATTTGCTGGATCTCCTGCCCCCATCGTGTGTAAACGAGTAACTCCAGCTTCTTATCTGTCCACTTCGCCTTGCAATCCAGCGGCCCGTCGAAAGTCATCAGCTTTTGCGACACGTAGTCATCTGTTGAAGTCATGGATCAAAAAAGTTTTTAGCATGCTGAACTCGGGATGATTGAAGGAAGCTAACATCCTCCCGGCAAAAGCAAATTCATTCCGTGCCACTGGGTAGCTAATGTTGGCTGCGTCTTTACGGCAAGCTTCAATTTCTTAGCGGCACGAAAATCAAGATTACCATCAAATTCACCTATGATATTGAATAACGTCATTTCTGAATAAAAGTAAAAAATCTCCAATACCGACGCCAATTTTGATTTCTTGCTTGACGCTTCTGCCCATGCCGAAGGTTTCGATTTGCATGATGTTCGTGTCTTTGTCGTCGAGCGAGACCTTCATCATCGATCGGCCCGCACCGTACTTGACGGCCGTCATGGCCTGCTGCTGGTAGTCGCTGACGCCCACCTGCTCGGCGAGCTCCTTGGCCTTGACCACGCCCTGCTGCACCCAGAGCCCGGAGAACCGCTGCGCCACCTCCTCCAGCGTGTCCACCACTATCTCCTTCGCCTTCCGTCGGTCCGCCAGCACCTTTCCGGGCGACCGGTGCTGCGTGGTGAGGCGCTCCCGGAGCGACTTCGGGGCCTCCACCACCTCCTCCTCCTGCACCGGTTCCTCCGCGGCGGCCTTGCCGCCGCCGCAGCAGCCCCCGCCCTTCTTCTTCTTCACCGGGGCGGCCGCGGGGGCGGCCGGCTTGGCGGTCTCCGCCTCATCCGCGGGCTTGTCCAGCTCCGTGGACCCGCCCAGATTGGTCTCCGCGACCGTGGCGGCGGCCTCGTCCAGCAGCTTCTGCGTCTTCTCCAGCTCCTGGATATCCACCTGGTTGGGATCCACCGGGGCGTCGTCCGGCATCCTCCTGGTCGTCGCGCCCGCTGTACGCGATGGGGAAGCAATCAGCAAAAATCTAGTTGTTTCGACTGAAAAGTTTCTTGTTACAGCCCTGTCTTTACCGAGAGGGCCTGGGTCGTTTAGGGAGGATTATCCCCTACGTTACGATCATCATAAATCAAGTGGGGGACGAAGAGGCACCGCACTCTGCACAGAGAGTTGCGGTACAAATTCCACTCGCACTGTAGCAGTACTAGGACTAGCGCAAATAAAGTAGTCTTACTGGGGAAAATAACAGACACGGGGAAATCCTGTTTCGCGAAGGTTGTATAGTGTATTTGTAGTCGATTCATTGCAGCATTATTTTGGACGACATGCTTGTTAGTACGATAGTCTACAACCAAAGGAGCATCGCGCTACCTCTGTTCATCACGAATCACGTAAATCGCTACTTACCGAGGTTTTTTTGTCAAGCTGTCACTAACTCCGGTGCCTGTTCCGATTAATGTGTACTTATCATCCGGGATGAAATCTTCTGCACGATAGTACAATCTGCTGCACGATACTTTGGCTTTCAACCGAGCACTGACATTCACCTACAAATAGAATCTACGTACCGATCAGTGATTGTTTTTTTTCTGTACGAGAGATGTCCTTGTTGCACGAACCGATGAGAGTTGTTTTTCTTTCTCTCTAAAACTATCGATCCGTAGTAAAGTCGGAGGATGAAAGTGTGTGAGAGTTTAGAACGCGAAGAATCACGCTGACCCGCCGTCTAGCGACTCTTCGTCACAAGCATCGGCCAGGTCGTATCTGCTTTTGAATAATCTCTTCCAGTCTTTTCATTTTGCAGTCTAGGCTTACTTTGCTACAACATCTGACCAAAAGTTGAATTGACATCATGCTTGTCTCTCTTCTTCTGTGTGAAATCTACAACTCGCATACGACAATTGTTGACACCAATGAATGTTCTTACACAATGTTGACCTAAAGAACTTGTACTTGAACCAACTTGTTACATAAACGCAAAAATATACGAAGCTTTTACACTTCGTATCGTCATGTCGCTAGATGTAGGAGTACTACATCCTGCGGAGACAAGGATAGAGTCCGTGAAAACCAATACTAAAGCTGCTGAAAAATGAAGACATACAGAGAGTTTCGTTTTCTTTTGCTTGAAAAAATTCAATAATATCTAGCTACCAGGCATTTCACACGCATGCATTTGGAGGACTTTTCAAAGCCCGCCCCCGAAACAGCCCCCGCCGCGAAAAAATAGCGATCGAAGCAGGGAATGCGGCGACCGCCTCCGTCCGGCGTAGCAGGCCAGCACCGGCGTCGCAGTTCCCGGGCTCCCGGGTGGTGTGGCGTTGGGGCTGGAGCTGGGACTCGCCGTTGCGCTGGAGCGACCAGAGGGTCGCGTGGCGGTGCTGCTTCGCGACGAAGCTGCGTCACCATAATTTATTCGACGAGGGGAACCCGCCGACGACGAGGGACTGCCGCGAGAGCTGGGCGTCATCGAAGAAGGTAATGGAGGAGAGGAGCCAGGCACGCTACAGGTAGTAGAACGGCCTCCCGAAGATGACGCTGCTGGGGAGTTGTAGGACCCATTAGCCTCTCCCTCGTCCCTTTGGTGGCTTTCGAACAAGTCCTGGCCGTCGCAATAGAGCTCGTATTCGCAGCTGTTCCCCGGTAGTCCCCCGTAGTTCCTTGTCGTTTCTTCTATACCGTTCTTTGAATCTCTCGCTGCGAGCCCCGCACTGGCTGCCGCGGTGGTGGTCCATCGCGGTGAACCGTCAAAAACGCGGTCGGCTCGGTTTGAAGACAGAAAAATCGTCATCTCGCTTTCGAGAGGATTTTCCGCCTTGACGTGCCAAAAAACACTGAAATACTCGTCCGCGGCATGTGCACCATCATTCGCCGTTGTTCTCGTCCTCGTGCTTCCTGCTTTGCTGTTCCGTCGCTCGAGTGAAGATCCAGTCCGCATGGGTATCGGCAGTCCGCCAGTGCGGCGCAAGTGTTTTACCTCCGGCACGTCGGTACCTCTTTCCGCCGTCGACGAGGGCGTGAATCGGATTTCCTCTGTGAAGCCCGCGAGTGGTGAGTTGATGTTGTGATCCCTACCGTGGTGACCCTGAGCAGCGTGGCGAAATAAATTCAGCGTTATTTGGAACGCGGTTCGCCGATGGTACTTCTGCAACCAGACATAGGTTCGCTCCAGCGTGGTCTCCTGCGACGTCCCATCGTTCTGATGTGCGCTATAAGTTTTTGCCTCGTCGTGGCTTGTTGTTGTTTCACGACTTCCCCCAGTAGCTCCATTTGTTCTTCCTTCACAAGAAGAAAATGCAGGCACAGTACATCGCCCACCACTTCCGCACCGTGGTGCTTCCACGGGGCCACCCTCATCTGCCCCTTGTCTCGCTTTGCGCCGCAACAGCTCCCTTCCGATCCACTTCGCCAGAAACCGCCCCGTCAAGACCCGGTGCACCGACACTTGGTCTTCGGATCGCGTCCACCGCTTCAGCTCGCGCTGTCGACGAAAGTAGAAGGTCGACTCGATGCCGTCGCATTCCGCGGACTCGGGCGGAGGCACGCCTCTGGGCCGGTGGAACGCGCAGCGAGGATCGGTTTTGTCCCAGGACGTTGCGGGATCCTCGTGTGGTTGCCTGCTGCTGTGGGTGAGCAATGTAGGCTGCTGTCGGGACAGGCTTTCGACCGCACAAGAGCTGGATGACGACGAGGACGAGGACGATCTCTGCGCGTGGTCGACGCTGCTCGTCGGGCCTTGTTCAATTTCTTCACTACACGTGTTCCTCTTCACCCCCCCGCAGCCAGCATCTGGTCCTCGTCCATAATGCGCAGCAGTAGTGGAAGATGCAATGCAAGTAGAAGCCGTAGATACTGTTTCCGACGAAGTCGTGTTCGTAGCCGTAATAGTACTCATCCGCCTGTTGCAAAAGGCATGGTCCCCATGATTTTTACCATTGGTACTAAAGAATTGGAAGCCCTTTGGCAACAGAAAGGAAGATATCCCGTGGTTCGACGCCGCGTGGTATTCTTTGCCGCGCCACAGCACATACGAAGGCCAGCGCGGCTCCAGGGTAATCTGCTCACGGCCGTCGGCAGTAGAAGCGGTGCCACCACTGCTGGGCGAAGAGGGCGAGGAGGTTACACCCCCGTTGCGGCTTTTTACCCAATATGTGTCCTCGAGCTCGTCAAACATCGCTTGAGGTTTGCCAGTTGGATGCACTAGCGGATTAGTAGTGAGTTCCGGGCCCGCTGGCCCCAGGTCTTGGTTGCGCAGATGAAGATGATCATGCGTCATCAGATTACCGTAATGGTTTCTCGGCCAGTGAAGTAGCTCCGCATTTTGCCGCTGCTGCACTCTGGCTTCGTTCCGAGCGTGCGCCCGGGCGCGGCTAGCCGCGTACAACTTTTTATCGAACAGATCATCAAAGAGAAACGGATAGTAGCCGGAAACGCAGCCGCGGTCCGTGGAAGAATTGCTCTTGGTTCTTTTACCGCCACTCTCGGTGGATGCAGTGGAAACACTACCGCTGGCGGGGGCAACGCCGCGAGCACGATCCTGCTCGTTGCCTCTTTCTCTTGAAGGTACTCCGGCATAATGTAGTCCGCTAGCAATCCTAGCTGCTGCTGCTGCTTCCGATGTGCCATTTCCTGTTGTGCTCTCAACACGACGCGGCGGCGGCGCAAATACACCGTCGGAAGTCGATTGAGAATCATCTTCCCTTATTCCCAGTGGCGGGCGAGGCGCCACGGCTTCATCTGGTCGCGCTGCTGCTGCTGGCACGTCTGTCTGCTGGATTTCGATTTCATCACTGCTGCTGGTGCTTTCCGTGTCTTCGATTGTGTCCTTCCGAAAGCGGAATTTCGAAAATTGCCGGATCAACGAAAGCACATTGTCGTCAAAGCTGCCGCGCTTTAGCTGTGGAGGGAGGAGGGAATTTTCCGACATTGTAGTTTCGCCTGCTCCAACAGTTTTTTCGTCTTTATTTTCATCTTCGGGGGATGACAAAGCCGCAGCAGGTCCCGAAACCGCACTGCCATCGAGGAAGAACCGTTTCTCATAGTACCTTTCTGGTCGTGTAATCGTTGCACCATTGAGCTGGGACTGATTTGGTTGCTTTGCGGATGAGAGCCCAATGATCGCCTCGGCAGGTATACTGTCGGCAGCCGCCGCCTGAAGATCCTGACGCAGCTTAGTGTTTTTAGCGACGAGAGGTGGGACGGCCTCGCCGCTGCCCATGTCTTCATCGTGGTAAGAAAAGTCCCGCAACGTCAAGACTGCGCCTAGATCCAGCGGCTGTGTCTTTTTCGCTTTCGTCGTTGTCGCGAGAGCAAGCGCCGATGGGTGGCGACGACTAATAACGGCCAGGGCAACGAAGCAAAAATGACACCAAAGCGATGATGGTGGTTTGGCCGGTGCGCTGCGCCTTCTTTCTCGTGGTCCACTACTCAGAAACATTTGTGCGCGCATCGCAAATCTGACGTAAAGTTTGAAGGAAGAAAATAGGATACTTAGCTTGTGGACAGACCAAAATAAACGACAGACCAAAACTACATTTTTGGTGCTATAGGAAGTAGACAAAGCAAGCACGTAGTGGAGAGCAATCATTGGGCTTGCGTCTGGGCGCGTGAAAAAAAGGAAAACATGAGTACAACCAACGCGTGCCCGATCGTCATTCAACCCTCAAAACCAACGAGACGCTTTGCGTTCCATAAAGATCCAGCCATGATTTCTTCTTCTCCTCTTGCGCTACTTGAAACAGAAAACGACCGCAAAAACACACACACAACTTTACAGCCCGTTTCCGGATGCCTTTGTTGCACCCCTCCATAGCGGTCTCTTTCGTATCTCGTTTTCCGTTCCCCACAGGAGACTAAGTTTTTTGTTACAACGAACGGATCCTGCCGCGTGAGAAATCCTGCTGCTGCTTGTCAAAATTGGATGCTAGAAGTAACGGGCTGAAAAAGTTCTATTTGGCGCCGACGTGCCTGTGCCGTCTGCTCCTCTGCACGGGCTTTTGTCTTGCTTTCGCATAATAAATTCATCTTCTGCTTAATAAAATACAATCTGCTTTTTATAAGTACAAAACATTTTCCGAAACTGCTGGCGAAATACTTTATTCTTTTCACGATAATCGGGAAGAGGCAGTGCTGTGCCTGCCTACCGTCCACCTGTCGGTCTTCGTAGCAATAGCTCGCTGCGTGATAAAATTACCTGTACTGATCAAATGCTCTGCTGCTGCTGTACTGTCTAGTAAAATTCGTCTAGTGAAATTAAACATGAAGGTGCTGAAACTGAAACGCTTTATTTTTGGAAGCTGAAAACATTAAAACAGGCGTGGCAAGAATTTTTGCCACGAGGAAGTTGAAACCGGCTTTTCTTCTGTGCTGTTGCTATCTCCGAGCGCCGCGTGACGATTGCAACAATTTTAGTGTAAATGACAAAATAGAAGGAGAGTTGCTGTAGAGTGCGTATCTCTAGTTAGCGAAAAAGTACGATCGATGTTCCTTCTTGTTTTGCCAGTGCCGAGGCAGAAATAAACAAGGTAGGATTTTTATAGCATCAAATCGTTCGTCCACAACTTGAGATGGGAATATGTTCGCAACACCGTGGCCGCATCTTGATTCTACAGTCTCGTTTCCTTTCTGTTCTCCTTCTCATCTTGTCGAAACAAAATTTTTCTCGTCTGCTTGTTGAAAATTTTTCTTCACCCACTGAAATACCTGAGACGAATTTTCACGACATATTTTTCTTCTCATGCTACTTTCTGGACACGATGCAACAAGAAGGAACTCCCTACTTCCGAACATGTTGGTTGCAACCTAATGACATCAGGACCAGGAAATTCCAATTCTACAATGTCAATGGTACTAAACAACCACCGGTGATGAACGAAAAACAAAAAAAACTGTACCACAAGCAGCTTCACGCCTTCTGCATGTTGAGGGTGTACTGCAGGCAGTCCAGTCCTTTGGGCGTGAACCGGGTGGCCGGCGGGGGGTAGGCGTCCTTGGTGGTGCTGCTGCCCTCGATTTCGCCCGGGGGCAACCAGGACACGTAGCTGGACGCGGAGTTGAACCCAGTTCCCTCGCCGTAGATTGCCGGGGTGTAGGGCTTTTCCTTTTCTATCGCCGATCCCACGTTCCCGTGTACCGAGTTCAGGTACGCCGATGTTTGCGGAGTGAAGGTGCTGAAGGTTGATATTATAAATCGATGTTGTCTTGACTCTTGAGAAAACAAGTCGTGGTGATTGCTTCACTCTGAAGATGAGTCACAGACATAAGAGACCTCCAAATAAGACGCAAAAGACACAACAACTCATGGAGATTTCACCATGCTGCATGCTTACCCGAAATTCAAATCATAGGTGCAGCTGCAAACGCATTTATATATACCACATTTTTTCGTCCTCTGCGGTGAGCGATTCCGCCTGTGCCTCGACCCCCCGGTAGTTCAGGACCGCCTTTGGCGGTGGTGGTGGCGCCTCGTTGAGAATCAATTTCCTGTTTGGCAGGGGTTCGTACGTGACGTGCTTGCCCACACGGTAGTTCACGAGTGGATCCTCCGGATTGATGGCTGTTTTTTTTTCATGAACAAAATCAGACTCCTGCTTGAGCAGGTTTCGCTCGGTCGTCGACCCACAAAAATGTCCTTCTGGTTCTAGCTGAACTGAATGACGCATGCCAATAGATGATGCGTACACGTAGTTCTGCCCTACTGAAAAGAAAACACGACCATCTTCTCATTAACAAAAGAACGAAAGCTTACGTTCCTTCGGCAAGGCATTTGGTGCGGGGATCGAGTAGCCGAACTTTTGCTTGGCGCCGTGCTCGTGACCGCTGTAGCCCGGCGGAAATCGGCTGCGCGGGTGGGTCTTGCACTCGTTCATCTCATTGTAGGTCGACTCAAGCGTGCCCTGCGGGTTGTTGCCCACATTGGGCACGAAGCCCTTCGGATAGTACCGATCCGTCATGGCTTGTTCTTACCACAAATTCCCACTTCTGTAGTGTCCTTCTACACGCGAAAAAAAAACTACACTTATTTTGTTGACGACTTCTCGGTTGTTTGCCCGAACGATATTGCCGCGTAGCGACTTTTGCGACGCTACCCTTCTGCCGCGGCAACAAACGGTGGTGATGCTACGAAACAGCCGGGAGGGAAACTGAGAATAAAATCAACAATGTTGCGCAACTACTAGTGAGACCGTTCATGATGCGCCAAGTACGCTAGTACTGTCGGAGCCGGAAGAACGAAGAAAAAGTCATTTCAAGCTGCACGACGGGGGGTTGTACGTACTTCTACCTTCTACCAACGACAAAAACTCCCTTTACTTGACGTGGTACGATGTTGCTCTATTCAAACTAAGCGTCGCACGATCGGTATTTTTCTCTCTTGCATCTCCTCTGACAGCATGCTAGTCCGAGAAGGTACGTCACAGGAACGACCCTGTATAGTAACTTCTTGCTCTTGGAGAACTAGAGAGAACGAACTGCAGGCAGCGTGTAGTAGTCATGTACGAACGTACTACGAGGACGGAGTGTACAAATTCATTCCCGACCTTCGATAATATTGTACCTCTTTGAGCCCTGTACTCATTTCTGCTCTCTACCTCGGTTTTTTTTTTACTGCGTGCCAAATGAGCTCAACGAAACGCGACTTTTCTAAAAATGAATTACGTGCGTACAAGTTCGGTCTTTCAGTTTTTCTTGAGCAGCGGGCACGACGTCGAGTCTCGATAGCAAAAAGAGGCGCGACCAGAGAACAGCCATACAAGAACTGGTACGACGCTGCCGTTGGCTGACCAGACATATCTGCTCACTTTGCATCTGAACGAAGAACGAAGCTGCTGCTGGTAGCGTGAGCAAATAAATCGGAGTGCCTTAAATAATCCTAATTTCTGGGAAAAAGTCAAAGTGGGCTTGTCGTGATGGTCATGCCCGTACGAGAGGATTTGTTCGTTTCACGGGCTTGCGTGGTCATGCAGCATTTCCTGTAGCGGTGCAAAGTCGTAAGGCACATCCGCAAAATCGACGCCCTACTGCAGTACTCGCACCAAGGTAAGGCCGTCTGCGATGCCCACTGGTATGCTTGGAAAGCCGCATTTATTTGTTCTGGCGTTTAGTCGGACATGCATGGACATGCAAATAAAAATCTAGTCGGACATCGAATTTCTTTGTCGCTGGATACATTCTTGCTACGCCCACCATCTTTCTTCATACACGTCATCGACAGCTGCCATCTAATTTCCTTACTCAAGGCTAAGATCGGAGTTTGACCAGGCCGAAAAAAATACTGCTTTACTGTTCCCCGATGGATACGCAGGACGATGTCGACCCGAGGATCACTCGCGAGTTTCTCGTTTACCGCCTGGATTCCCTTTGCGTCCGCGGTTTTTTGGTCCTCGGGGGGCAAGATGAATTTGCCGAAGTACAGAGTGTTATCTATGGCGATGATCCCGTTCTTCTTGACCAACTGGAGTGCGCACTCGTAGTAATTTGGGTAGTTCGCTTTGTCTGCGTCGATAAAGCAGAGGTCGAGCGATATTCTGATTAAAAACGACCCTGCTCCGTATTTGTTGCACAAATCTGCAATGGATCATGCACAGAAAAGAATGAATGGCTTCTTATGCGCAGCCCCATGAGGAGCACTTCGTAGTGGTGTTTCTGAAATATTTTCAATCATGTCCTAATCGGGATAAGTAAAGCGGTCAGGAAGTTGTGATGCGACATCTCATAGCCACGAACGGCTGCACTACGCGTCGGAATTATAAAATGCGGAGTTCATCACAAAGCTGCCTCTGGGTTTGTCTAGCAGATTTCCCTTCTTGCCTACGAGAACGTGGGGACCAGGTCATGTATTTTTACTCAGCGTAAATGATTTTTTGTAGTTTTCGAACCTATCGTTTAACATCTCCTGCATCTTCTGTAATGCAGGGCCGACTCGGAAATCAATCTTGCTGCTGACGTTCGCCTTTTCCCAGAATTTTTTTCCGGTCGCTGCGAAATCTGCGGACACGTCCAGACCAACAACCAGTCCGTCTTTCGGCAGCGCCTGCGCGAAGAGCAACGTCGTGCTACCCCGGAACACCCCGACCTCGAGAACCTTCTTCGCGTCTATCAGCTTGCACAGCCAGGAAAGAAACAGCGCTTCGTCGGGCGATCCCATCATGTTGGCCTGCGGTAGCGCAGCGATTTCGTCCTCCATGGCCTTAAATTCCGACGTCACAAAGTTACTGTTGTAATCCAGTAGGTAGCTGTAGGTCTCCGGCACCTGCGCAACGGTCGGCGGTAACTGGTGCTTTGCCACGTTCTGGATTTGCTTATGGCGTTCGTTGGTTTGGTTTGTTGACAGTTCCGGGTTTAACCCGGCACCCTGGTCACAACACGGCAGGGTTTTTGCGAGCGTGGAGAGGAAGGAAGACAGCATTTTTGTTTGCTTCAGCCAAAACTTCTGGAGCATAGGCTAAGAGAGATCTTTGCTCGGGATCGGATAGTACTAGTGCAAGCAGCTCGTATTTCTGGAAGTTGTATGTAACTCCTGTGAGTGCAGCGTGCGAGACCGTTTTTGTACCGCGTTGGGAGTGTCGCAAAAACTGTAGCACTGAGTGCCGCCAAATACACGCTACTTAGGGCGATACTGTGCTGTCAATACACGAGGCGAAGCGCTTTCGCTAAGACACTAAGTTCTAGCAGAACGCTTTCCAGCACTTCGTAAAAGTAGAGCACACGTTCTGAGCCACTAGCAGGTACTCCAACTTCTACTTACCGCGCATCAACGAGCTGCGTACAGTCTCTCAAAGCAGCAAAATTTGAGATAAGCATGGCTCCAGCTAACACTCCTGGTCCCACAGCTGAGAAGCCCCGGCGGCCCTGGAGGACCGTGGATCATTTTCTTCCGTTTCCCCCCTTATCCGAACTCATCTGTTGCTGAGGCTGCGCGGCAACGTCAGCGGTCTGTGGACAAAATGCAAACCACGCTGTTTCTCTTGTTCCGGAAAGTACTGGGAAACGAAGTTGGGAACCTTCTGTGTGTAAGAAGCCCTAATGAATTCGCAAAAGCCAGTGATATGTTGAGAGGCTCGAGCGTACAACTAGACCCAGATCCCATAGCTCACTGGGCAAAGACCGCCACCCTGACGCTCTACTCTGTGGCCGCACCAGCATCCGCGGGGTGCGCGGCGACGCATCTCCGGGTGCGTGGCGGAGGTGCTGTGGGTGCTTCCAACCCGCAGGGGAGGATCCCGAAGCCCTCACTACGCGTCCTCCATGAACCTGGTCGACGCGCGGACCCGGACTGCTGAACGGGCTGCCAAGTAGTTGGCAGCGCAGCCACTCAGGGTGGAAGTTCACTCGCAGCGAATAAACGCTTCGAAGTACGTCCGTAGTGGCGCTTTTGTCCTACCACCTTCGCTGTTGTGCTTATCAATTTCCATCAAGTGAAATGGCTACAAAAATCAAAAAGTACCAGCAGCCAGCGGAGCGCTTGCGCTAATGGAAACCTATATATAAAATGCGGCTCGAAGTGCCCATGTGCCCGGTCGACAATATGCAAGTTCGTTGAAGTATGCCCATTGTTTCGTATCGAAGTACGAGGAAAGAACAAAGTAGACGCTATCAGCTTTTCAATCCTTCTCCTCCGCTGGCTTGGTTTCTAGCTATACTTTCCGTTCCCAACAACAATATGAAGCTTTTAAAAAAACAAACTGAATCTGTTTATTGAGTTTGCCTTGCCTCATGTGCTTATTGCTTTATTTGCTAGCATTGCTATTGAACAAGTAGCAAAGCCGATTGAATACACTGAACCTTGTCACGCGTTCGGGCAGAAAAATGTATGAGGTCGGACGCAGCGCCACCCTCGCATGCATGAATGCAACTTGCAGTATCCTACCTTGAAACTCAAACATCAACATAAAAAACAGGCGATAACGCGATCAATATACCTATCGATACTATTGCATTTTCTACGTACTAGACCCAGAACCACAGCCCATCGCCATCCAACCAAACCGAAAACTCTCATAAAAAAGCTAAAAATATATTGTCAAAAAAGACATAAAAGCGCAATGCTGTATGGACGATTCACAGAACCTGTTTCAAGGGAGAAAATACTACGCAAACATTGCCATCGAGCCAGCTTCAAAATCAATGGACTGCTTTGTTTTCTTTTCCATCGATAGACGAAAAGTGTAGCCGTGGTGCAAAGTTAAATGCTCCTTTTCCTGCTAGAGTTTCAGGTCTATCCAGGTTTCTGCGATTTTGCTTTCAGGTAGTTTTCGCCACTTGTACATTGGTCCTTTGTTCCGAAACATGTCCATCAGCTTGTGTGCTAACGACTCCATTTTTCTCGTATGATACGCAGGCAGCGTGTACGCTTCACGGTAGTCTATCTGCGCGTTTTCCACACCTTTTAAAATTTTCCGGATGAACGGGCTCGCGGCCGTCCACAATCGCGTGTATCACTCGCCAGCAGTAGGGGAATGCTCGTAACTAGACAAACAATCCTATTGTTTTTCGTGCTGCGCTGCCATCTTAGTAAGGACAGGGAGCCTGCGCGGCGAAAAAAGAATACCCCGTGGCGTTTGCAAACAATCTGCAGATGTCCCGCTTTGCTTGTTGCGGCATTTGTAGTGTTTCTTGCCCAGCGAGCAAAATTGTGAGGGTTTTAGAGGTCGACCGAAACGAGGCCTCGCGCGAGGATGTGTGCTTTCTTCATACCGGCATCGCGGCGTGCCCGGCTTGCGAATCCGGCACCCGAGTGCGAGTTGATGCAAGCCACGCTCCGGAAGGCTACGTAGGAGTGGCAAAGCGAATCTGCTGCAACGCAGATGGCAAGAAACAGCGCAGCATCGAGGATTTTTTCCCCGGAAAGACATCCAACCAGCGCCCTTGCCTTTTGCCAACTGTTTTGTAGCAGGCCTCTTCTCGCCACTCCGTTTTGCCCACGGCGCCTTTTGGAAGGGGAGGGCGGTTGCGGAAAAGACGTGGCCATCCCTGGTGAAGCACGAAGCGCACCACGCGGTGCTTTTCTTTCAAAAAAAACAAGCAAGCAGCTCTGACGACCAATGCATCCGCGGGTCTAATTCCCAGCAATAATCTAGAATGGGGGCGGCCGTTGAAGCAATGAAAGAAAAAAATCACATGGAGTGGCGCTCGCACCTTTCCGATCTACTCGTCACACAAGCGGCCATCCTCGCATCCCAGAGACCTGAGCCCGGCTGCACATCAACACAATCAAGGGTGCACAGCTCCCGAGTGCAAACAAGATGTCGGCAATCATTGATTAAGCACAAGTGCGGCATTTTGTAGCTCAACATGACTGACCTGGCGTGTCAACCCGCCCTAAGCGCGTGTTAAGGGTGCTAGTGGCGACTCTGTTCGAAATGCTGCTCGTCTCAGCTGTGCTGCGCACTGAGCGCAGTAAGTGGACCAGTTTTTATCTTATTGCGAGTTTCCCGCCTATGGCTGGCGTACCCCATGGTCGAGGAGGAACCGTCCGAGTTTCCAAGTCGAGCTAGCTTCGATGTGGATGCTTTCGAATTTTAAGTCCTGTACTACCTGTTCTAGCCTTCTGCCTTTGTTCACACTTTCCTGCGATGCTGCTGTGATGGCTGGCTCTTTATAGATAGCGACTGCATCCGTTTTTGTATTCGTGAACTGTGATATGCGCTCCAACCCCTATCCAAGAAAAAACTTGTGCTCGGGTAGCTCTGCCTTCTTTCGTTCCTCATCCTTTCTCTTTCTGCAACGTTGCGCTGCTTTGCATACAGAAAAAGATCGAGCCAGATAGCCCACAACAACAATTTGCAAAAGTACCACACAGCGCGCGCCAATCACAAAACAACCCTAAGTGGCTCCTTTGCTCAGCGCAAAGACACGTTGCACTAATCCAGTTTTTTTCTTGAGTAGCTCCTGGTATATCTGCACAACCAAGGCGCGGTAATAAAGCATGTTCGGGCTCTCCGTACCATCATCATCATGTTCAGCGCATTGTTCCGCTGACCCTTTATGCTCGTTTGCACAAAGAGAGCGCGCAACCCTCCCCACCTCCTCCTCTGCCTCAACTCGCTTCTTTTCGGCTTCCTTCCACCTCGCGACAGCCTTTTCTGCCTTCTCAACGTTCGGCACCTCGCCGACGATCTCATCATGCGTCCAAAAATCCATGGGGTGTGGATGCTCCCTTGCGGGGTCCTTGCCTAGTTTGATGTGGCGTAGATCTGTAAGATGCTTCCTCCACACAGCAAACGATGCCTTCTTACGCAAGTCGTTTATTATGCTTTCCAGCTCCTGTGGTAGTCCTGCTCTTTTTAGCTGTGCCTTGTCATGCGTAGCGAGCTGGTCCTTCAGCGTGTGCAAATAGCGGTAGGCAAAGTAGTACTGGTCGGTCGTGGGCGTGTCCAAGATGGAGGGGTGGATCTGCGTGTAGTACAGAACGCTCATAGCCAAAACGCGGTGGGCAAGGAACTTTCGGCAGTGATGCCACAGCTTTTGCTCCGCACTCTTTATGTTAGCCGAATCAAGATGGGCAGGCAGCAGGTCTTCGTTCTGCAAATGCGTAAACTCGAGTTTCAACTTGTTGACACCATGCATCTTGCCGATGAAGTACTGAAGTGCATGATCAAACTCATGCCTTTCGTGAGTCAGGCGCCCTTCCTTGTGGTCCCTCTGCAACTTGTCATCTTTGTCGGCCAAGTGATGGTAATAGGCTCCTTGTTTCTCGTCATGCATGTTGAGACCGTGAAGTAGTTTCTTGTCATGCATGTCGAGACCGTGAAGTAGACCAAAACGGAACTCGTGCACTGTCGCCGCCGCAAAATCCGAATAAAAACGCTCTTCCGCATCGACCTCCGGCTCTTGGCCCATTTCGAATAACCTATACTGATCTTCCACCGCACGAAAGATGCGATCGCTCTCCACCTGTTCCGGGAGTTTCAACTTGTTGAAGAGTTCCTCTCCTAAAGTGCGTAGGTGGGCATTCCTGTCCGTTTCTTTCCTATGCACGTGGTGGCGCTCCTCCTTCCTTTCTCTTTCCGCTTCCTCCTGCTTTTTCCGTTCCCTTTCTTCGCCCTGATGCTTCGCTAGCGCTTTGGCTTTTGCGTTGTCCAATTTCGGAAGGAGCTTGTGCTTGACAATATGCCAAACGAGTCTTGGCGCCGCATGCTCTGCCGTCCACTTCTCGTACCTGAAAGCCAATAGTGCGTTTTCCTCCTGCATCTTCTGCCTCTGTTGCTCCGTTGTGGTCATCTGCTTCTTGTGCTCCTTGTTCCACGCGATCCATTTATTAACCTGGCCGCGCCAGCCAGTACGATCAGGGGACAGAATCCCGCGAGCGGCGACTTCCAGGGATAGAAACGAATACGGCTTATGTTCGTCAACGCCGGACTTGTGTACGAGGCCGTCAAGCGATTCGTCCTCGAGGTCGGCGGCAATGATCTTACTGATCCCGTCCAAGATCGTCGACAGGGCGATCAGCCCTCCTTCCTTGTCCTCCTTCCGCTTCTTCGCATCTCCGGAAATCCATTCTCTGACGGTTTGTGCCCTTTCGGCCTTCTACTTTTTCCACGGAAAATACACATATTGATATTCGTCCCTCTGCCCTCGGTTGCCACGGACCTGCGATTTATATTGCAGAGTGGCGCGAGCGGCCGCGTCCGTACTGCTCTTATAGAGGGCGTCGCCCGTCTTGTCGAAGTTGTCCCCGTCTAAGTTGGCCTTGCCGGTCAGCACAGGTAAGCCGTAGGACTCGAAAACATTCCAGCCAGTGTCATCTTTTAAACTCCTCTTTGCCAGGTGCTGGAGGACTTCCGCATCGACAGGACTGAACAAAAAGTGAGGCGCCAATCGACGTGCGACCAGATTTTCGTGGTGAAGATTGTTGTGACTTTCTAGAAACTTAAGGAAGGCCTCGATCTTTTCATAGAAGTGGATCAACAGCGCATGCCCGCGGTGCACTGTCTGCCATAAATGTGCTTTCCGGTCCGCGGGTAGCTCTTCTATGAGGAACCGCAAGGCTTCTTGGTCCTCATGAAGCGGCCCTATACTTTTGTGGCCGTGCGTTTGTCGCGATTGACCCTTGTGCTTCAGCAGCTTGTCGATATCCTTGCTGATTTGTTCGCGCCGGTTTTGCAAATCGAGTCCACTAAGTAGACGATGCTTGCCCCCCTGCCAGTCGCAGTCTTCCTTTTCCTCGCCGACCCCCGCACGGCTCTCCCTCTGCAGCGCGGAAAACACCTGATCCTTCTTCTCGTTCGATCCGAGACCAGAAAATTCCGGTCCGACGCTGATGGCAAGATCGTAGGGACGAGAAGACTCGTGTGCAGCTAATCCTTCGATTTCCGGGCCGAACGGCCCCTGTGACACTGCGAACAAACTACCACGACCCGTCACTTTCCGGTAAAAGCAATCGAGGAGAAAGAACTTCGACAATCCGTTGTTCACCAGGAGGTCCATAATAAACGGCTCGCACACCGTTCCCACCTCATACACCGCAACTCGGGCATCTGCGTTCAGGTCGAAGATGCGCGTGAACCGCCGCGTCTGCGACGAGCGGATCTGGTCCAGGCTACTTCCTGCTGTTTCACCACTTCGAGAAAAATTCGACGACTGGGATGAAAACTGAAGGTCAGTTACTTCCTCACGATCACCGACCACATTCCCGGCCCCCGCAGGCGTCGGGTAGTTCACGGTTGTCAGCATTTGTGGGTAGAAAATCGGCGAATCCTCCTGGTCGTCGAACAGCTGCATCTCCGGAAAAAAGTCCGGTTCCGCCGGCACGTCGAGTTCGCAAAGGGCTCGCGCGCGCATTTGCCGCCGGGCGAAGTCCTCCGCGATCGCGAACCGGACGGTTGGGTTCGTGAGATTCCGAAACCGGCTCATTTCCGCGAGGTGGTCTTCGTGCAACAAATGCTCGTAGATGTAGCTGATGCACCCCTCCACGCGCTCGTCCTCCGTCCGTTTGGCCTCCAGCCCGCGCGCGAGCTCGGGCGCAAAGTCCATCGTGCGGTAGTCTGGAAGATGTTCCAGAGATGCATACGCTCCTGTGCGTTGCCCTTCCTCCATTGCGGAATCGTGTTTATGATGCCCGTTGTGCTGCGCCGGAGATGGTGATTGCTGCCCGATTTTTGCGCTGCCATCCTTCATGTCAGCGCCACCTGGAAATTCATCAAAGTGGAAGGGGCCCGTGACGCGAATAATCCCCTAGAAACCATAAAATCCGAGGACAAGATGCCAATTTCTTGTTTTTGTTTCTGCTTCGGATGGAAATGAAAATGCAACATGCGTTTTTAGTTGTTTCCGCAGAAGACCAGACTTTCTCGCGCGAAACGGGCACAGAGCTGAGCAGCCCTAATTGTACTTACGCTTGATATTCCCCAAAGAAATAACGGGGTCGCGGAAAGTTATGCCACAACGTTTTCCTTCAGAAAGAAGACCACACAGACGCTGAAGTTTGCAAAATGAATCTCCTCGAGAGTCAGTGGTGGCAGCGATTTCTTGCCAAACAGTGCTACGAACTGGGCGCAACTGAGGCGTCGTGCATCAAAAGTTTGCGCAGCAAAAACCGCTTCCAATCAAAATATCACTTACCTGACGCTGCTGCAGCCGCAGCTCTGTGCTCGTTGTCCGTCTTGAACCTTGCAACTTCGTCCCGATATTCGGGTCCTTCAGCGGGCGATCCAGCCTCCGCGTCGTCGTGCTGGATAAAGGTGGATAGACTCTCCATGCCCAGTTCCTGCGGTCCTTCGATACCCACCTCGACCTGCCGGCTCCCTCCTGCAGCCGCACTCGGCTGCTCGTCTGTGAACTCATCAGCGTCCACAGCTGCGTCCTTATCGCCGTCCTTGCTGCTGTGTGTACCATCCTGACGCTGCACAGGGCCACGCTCCGAACCCGAAGCGCGGGCGAACTCCTCCGGCCATTGCCGCTCCACTAGCTCTGCGATAGCCGCGCCGGCCAAGCAGGACAGCGATGGCACAGCCCGGAAAGGGCAGGTGGAACGGGCGATATTTAGCAATGCGTACCCAACATTCCGACCCCGCCTCTCGCGCTGTCGCGCACGGGGCCGCCGCATTTTCGGCGGGTCGTCAATAATTAATGACAACCGCTGCTCAACTTTTTCCTCATAGTGCTGACACTTCCTCACGAGCGAGGTAGTTAATTTGCTACGTCTCCGACGACCGTCAACGAGCTCCACCGGGGTCTCGAGGGTCTTTCTGTAGTGCCCATGGTGGCAGACGCTATATTGTTTTTCTTTTCAGAACGAAGTAAAATCTGTGAGAACGAGTAGTGGAGTCTGTACTTCTGCTTGTCTATATAAAAATGTCTCACATATCACACCTCGCACTCGTGTTTGCTCTTTCGTTTACAGCCACGCAGGCAGAGCTCTTGCTTCAATTAGGTATATCCGCACTGCAGATCAATGGACTCTGCACAGTTTGATGGCACTGCGGGAATGAGTAGCACAAAGTCTGTACGTTCCTGCGCGCCATCGCATCTCGAGAAATCTGTGCGACAGTGCTGGCTTTTCCGCTTTTAGCGTTGACCACGCACTTCTACTTCAAGAGCGCATACTATTTTGATCAGGATCATAGATCGCGGAATTGTTCATGTATCATGTGTGTATCACGACAGGATTTTTGGGTCCCCGCGCCCGGCAGCAGCGAGCCATTTATAATGATATGACGAGTTCGCCCTTCCTGGATGAGAAAAAACACTTCCCCAGGGGGCACATACGAAGCCAGAAACTAGGGGAAGCGCATAGCCTGCGCCGAAGTAGGTTGTAAGCCAGCATGTTCTGCGTTGTCCCTGACATAAGCGTACACCTACGCACTTCTATTTCAGTGCCGTCGTCCACCGCTTTCGTACCACTTCCAGAGCAGATAGAAGCCGGCGTAGGTGCAGCTACTCAGGAGAACGGGGTCCTCGTTTCTGCGTTTGCCCAGCTCCTCCCGGAAGGGCGAGTTTCGTAGATATTCCGCAAGGTTCGCCGGATCTCGGAGCCCAGCGCATCGGTATGGACTGGGAAATCTCTCACACAGAGACCAACTCGTCATGCGCATCACGATTCAGTGAAAAATTCTTATGCGTCAAACTCGAACAGCAACTGCAAAAAGCTAGCACTGATTCAGTAAAAGCAGAGAGTAATACATACAGAGCATATCAATGTCTGTGCTAAAGATTCTACAGCGGATACTAGAGGATTTACGAACGACACCCCCGCCGTTGTGCCGTTTTGGTCCGGATATTCCACAGCGCCAGCGGCTCCATCGGCGGCGACATCCGGGAAAAGTTTACCCCAGACGATTCCCGTGCTTTCTTTCGCTATGGCGGTTTCAACGAGGGTTGTTTCAAACCAGAAACGCAATGTTGGATACGGCTCCTGATTAAAGACACACGCAACAAGAGTCTGTGGCCCACGGAAGATTTTTGATTTTATTGTGCTGCCGACGTTAACGTAGGTGGCAGTCAATTTCAGCGGCGATAAGTGACGTTTCGAAAGTCGCGCCACTTTCGAAGAATAAATGTGAAAACTACAACAAACAGGACAAATGCACCTTCGTCGAGCTTTACCCAAAAAACAAGCTAAGAAGAGATGTGTGTACATAGTGCTCTTGAGAAGTAGCAACAGGAAAGAGGCTAGCCTTCTCATGTGTATCAAAAGCAGATAACCTGAGCTTTCTTTGTACAAAAAACGCTAGTTCTTTCCTGCCATGCTTCAAACCACTAATATCCTTAGGTCGCTCCCAGTTTGGGAGCAAAAATCTTTTCTGATTTGAAATTTCCTGGACGTGGACACGCCATATTCGCATCTTCGTGCGGATTTCTTTTCCACAACTCCAGTACCCTGTCACGCGACACACTGAATTATCGCAGAAAAAAACTCGTGCTTATCAAGATAAGGATGGCGAGATTCTCAGCACTTTTTTTGCTCAGCAGGTGATGCGGGCTTCTGATTCATGCAGCGTGGTGCTCGTTCCCTGAACAACTCACTGCTGTGGGTATACGCAGATCCTATTTTTACAAAAATGTCCCCGCAATACCAAGACAGTGACAACAAAATTTTCTTCCAGGATATGACCCGCACCAGGTACACGAAGAGTGGCAACCCGTCGGCCCGTTCCGTGAGGCCAAAGCACTGCTTTTCCACGATCAGGTCCTCGGTGATGCCCACTTCTTCGGTCACTTCCCGCACCGAATAGAATTCGGCGTACAGGGTCCCGACATCGTCTACGTTCGTCAACTTGGGTTCGTGAAAACCGCCCCAGATCGAGTAGAACTCCGGTAAGTTCGGCGTGTTCCTCGCGCGTCTTGTGCCACTTTCAGGTCGTGGGAAATTGTCAAAATACACACAAGTCACAATTCCCGATTGCAATGCGAATCAGGGCGGTGTGGAAAAATGCCTTTCGGCCGTGACCGTGAGTCGTCCTTTTTGGCTTTCTGAGTGCCTTTCTAAATCTGTAACCGAGACAGACACAACTCTGTTTGTCACCAGAGTGTTTCAAAGAGCATAATAGCCCACTGCGTTTGGTAATTACCATGATGCCCGTATTTTATGACCGTAGTCAGCCGTGGACTGCTGTTTGCTTCAGTTCCCTGATGCAAAAGAGTATTTAGGTTTTGCTTTTGCGTCCGCCTTTAGTAGAGTAACAAATTGCAAGATGAATCCAGTACAAGTTTATGATTCGAATCTCGATCGATTTCCCACCTGCCACTCATCCCATACGCTTCATCAGGGCCGTAAAGTTGTCCGATGTTTCGATCAGAATCAGGTGTTATCACCTAGAAAAAAGCCAGCATATCACATTTGAACAAATTGCGATGCCGGGATAATTCTAGCAGGAGCTACTGCTAGTGCTCGGAGAACAATTGTTGTTCTTGCGAACAATATTTTTACCAAGTGATAAATTACTGCTCGGCTGCGCAAGGAAGGACCGAATCCCGAGAGTTCCGTTTGGACCAGCGCCGGGTCTTCGTGCAGCAGCTGCAGCCTCTTCTTTGGCGTGTAACCCGGAACGTCCATCGCCCAGAACGGTATTGTCAACGTAATGCTCTCGCACGCAGCTCGTGAAAGTCGCGGTACCGCGGCCAGGCTCCGCAGGACAACCGTCCTTAAGATCGTCGTGGTCGTGCACACGATAAAAAATTTTCGTCGCCTGTATCAAGAAAAAATCTCCTTCCCGGAGGGAGCAACAGCCGGGCCTACACCTAAAAGCAAGTAAGCTGACTGTATGAACTGCGCACGATTCCCTATCTTACTTTCTGATGCGCCAGGACAAAGCACGCCGTCGTAAATTGCGCAGTCTCTTCAGCGACCAATGATCGTAATTCCGTAGATTAAGTTCATTCTACTAACCTCATACATAGGTCGTAACTACCTGCTCCGGCGCAATATGACGACCATGCGATTTAGAATGTCGAATAAGGAGCAGGCGCATCTACTCAAACCTTCTTTCTATTGCAAGTCGTTCAAGTATTGCCAACACAGCTAAACGATGTTGCGCCACTTCTAGAAGCACTGCAAGTCTTTCGGTACTGCTACTCACGTTGTCTTTCAGTTTGTTCGCAACTGACCTCCCAGAAGTAGACGCACTAATTTGCAATGCTTACTGGCTTCCAAGGTGCGCGGTATTGGCACGTCCACACGACCGGGCTGCAACACAGCGAGAGTGGCTTGAATGCACTGCAAAAGGATCGACCCTTCTCAATTTTTATGCGGAGTTACAACCAACGGCGACATCTGCACACAAGAAATTTGGTTTTTCCCCGCTCCGTCGGTACTTACACAAGGAGACTGCTCTGCTAAGTATGATGTGAAAGCACATGCAGTGCAGAAGTTCTTGCCGGATCATCTTCTTGCCCCACGAATAACCACATGGAATCCACTGTGGAGACTCTAGTACCAGGCTACTTGCAAGAATTGCGGTGGCCGTCATTATTTTCGGGTCTATTACAACGTAAGTCGAAAAAGACGAAAGCATGCAAATCCGCAGAAGAACTTTGTATTAATGCGACATCACCTTTTGCCGCACTGATACTGCCGACAAAGGCTCGAAAATCCGTCAAGCCCACCTGGATGGTTGGTATGGACGCCCCCCCGCTTGGTTCAGCGCCACTTGCAATGTGCTCTGTACCCTCTCCTCCATCCCCGCTTTTCTCGTCGCCGTCCGCAACATAGTACCTGTGAAACCGGAACTTCGTGCCGTTCCAGCATTTCGGGTTCTCCGAAAGGCACTTCTGCCATTCCTGCTCCACGAACTCCTCGATTTTTCCGCCGCCCCGCCGGTCAAAAGAGCCGTCGGCCTGGAACTCGACGCGAAACCTGGATTTGAAATCCTCGAAGGAATTGCAGGGGTTACAAGACCAGTCCAAATGGACGAAGAAAACGGCAGGCAGGTCGTTGTGGACCTGGACAGGGACGGTTGACATGTTGATGCGTTACCACTGCAAATGCAAATATCTCTCGTCTCTCTTGGACCGCAATTTCTCGTGATCCAGATCAAGGACAGTGGTCTGCCACTCATTCTTCTTGCGTATCTTTCATTCTTTCACCCGTGGCTTTCCGTACGAGCCGCAGGCGCAGCAGAGCAAAAGAAAAACGGAGTGAAAAATATTGGTAAAAGCAAATATCCGCTGTAGGAACGAAAACACAAAAAACCAAAACGAACACGCGAGCGAGCGATCTTTCAAATATCCAAGAAAGTGAGGAAAGCAAAAGGTGCAGCAACAGTGCTTCTATTTCGGGCGACCAAACGTATCGATCCCCGACTCATTTTCATCGCAACCATACGTGCTCTCCTCGCTCGCGCTTCAGAGTTGCACAGGACGTTGCAGCTTCGCGCTTGTTCTTTTGCAGCGCAGCTGCCACACTATCATGAGTCGTGGACCTGCAGAAGAAAGTCGGTTCGCAAGTATTAGCATGTGGCAGGAGGACACACGCCAGCCGTCCTCCAGCCCAAACAGCAATGTCCCTGCGCAACTGCCGGAATGGGGATCTGCAAGCGCAGGGTGGATCGAAAATTACTGCCTCGATCCAACAATATGGTACAACTCACACTTCAAGTTTTTCTCCACAGCTACATCTTTTTCTTCCCTGTCTTCGTACTACTCCCTTTGCCTTTATATCCCTTTCCGCTGCCATTCGCCGCCGTCGCATCGTGCCGGAATGGACAACTACCCGCTCCCTTCGTACACTTCCCCTTCAGGAAAAAGGTGCACACCGGCGCCTGAGCCTTGTCGTGCAGGAAGGGGCACTGGGCGCCCCGGGTACAGGTGCCGCGGAGGAAAAAGCTGCACACGTCGGCAGTACTGACGGTGGTGCTTGTAGAAGAAGTCACTGGCTGCGCAATTGTTCCACCTGCTGAGAAAAAACCGCCACTGGCTCCGCCGCGCGCGGCCGGAACGAATTCGGGCACTGCAGCGCTCAAAGTAGCTGCGTTCGCACCTTGGAAAAATGCGGGCCTAGCTTTTGCTTGTGAATCATCACGCTGTGCTGAGAAAACTGTCTGTTCTGTCGGACCGTGCGAAATTGAGGACGACAGCAGCGCCATTTGGCTCACCACTTTGAGCGGAAAAACCTCCGCGGCGGTCTCGTCGACCAAAGCAGTGAGCGTTGTTGGACGTGTAGTCGCACCGCTTCCTGAAGTTACTTCCTCGCTCATACTCTCCTCCGAACAGCCATCCGCTTCCCGCAGCTGCGCGGCGAGGCGGCGCAGGGCCGTCAGATCGTTGAACTCCGCACGCGTGTCCAAGTCGTGTAAGCTGACGGAACAGCATGCGTTCCAGATGGTGCGCCACAGAAACGACTGCGGCGCTCCGCCAAAAGTGCCCGATTGTGCGCTGGAGGTCCCTGTCATCGTCCGCAGACAGCCGACCACGTGGAGTCCCTGCTTGCACCGGGAGAGCGCGACGTTCACCCGGTTCAAGTTGCTCGTGAAGCCGATTTTGTTTTCCCAGTTGGCCCGGCAAGTAACCAGAATCACAAAGTCCGACTCCGAGCCCTGCGCGGCGTCCACCGTGATCACGCGGATGGGCCTGCGGAGGTAGTTGGTTTTCGACCCGGCATAAATCTTCGGTAGCAGCTGCTTGAGCACCTGTGTCTGCGGTTTATACATGCAGATGATCGAGATTTCGGCGGTGGGTTTCTTCAGGTCCGGATGGGTCAACAGCAACTCGCAAACCAGCTTCGCCTGCGCCAAGTTCACGTACGAATTCCGACACGGCTGCTCCAGGGTGCGGACGTCAGGCGCTGCGAATGATGCTGAGGGGCCCTTGTTGTAGTAAACGCCCGACTTATTTTTTCCACCGTCAAAACTCTGTTGAAAATCACTGCTTCTAAGTTGCGCGAAGTCGTGCCACACAAGCTGTAAATTTGCGGCAGCGAAAGAAGAGCGTCCTTCTGAGGCATTGTACTCGTGTTGCGGAGGGCCGTGCGGGTGCTGCTGTTGGGGGGCGTAATAACTTGTTGGCGCGGACGAGGACCACTTCTTGTTGTTTCCATAGTACTCTATTTCCTCTCTTTTCAAAACTGGCACCAGTTCCTCCTTGCCCGCGAAGGTTTCCAGTTTGCCGGAATAGCTCAGCTTGGACACGTATCAAATGTAAAAATGTCTGGGTCTGGAAGAATGCAACTTGTGATGCTGAATTTGGATTCCAAAAAAATCTGTATTGCATGAGCAGCAAAGGGAATGCAATTTTTGCTACGCGGAGAGGGCATTTGTCATGCGGAATACATAGGCATCGCGAAGCCTTCAAAAAGTATGTGATGCTAGAGCATGCATCACGGACATCATGGCCAATGCAAAACATGCATGACAAGTCTCAGAATCTTCCAGACCCAGACATTTTTACATTTGATAACACGAGGTCGCACACTTTGCGTGGCATGCGGTACTGGACGTCGAGCAGGGAAAACCGTTTCCCGCTATCCACGCAGCGCTGCATGAAGCTCCGGGTCACGCACTTCTTCTCCAGGGCAAACGGGGGTTCGACGGACAACACCAACGGCCCCAGCTGCTTGTGGTCCCCCAGTAAAACGAGGTTCTCCGCGTGCAAGTCCAAAAGCAAAGGCAAGTTTTCCTCCCCGGTCGCGCCGGCCTCGTCCAAAATTGCGGCGGCAAACTTTTCCGGGAACACGTTCGCTTCGATGAAATTGTTCTCTGAGGGAGCATTGTTACCCGTGAAAAGTTTCTGCTGCTGGTGCTGTTCCGACGATTCATCCCCTTCTTCAGAATCAGTATAATCCGCAAGCTGCGTTATTCCAGTGCCTGGAAATAACAACTTGTCCGTTTTCGTCTTCCCCGCCCCACGTGGTGGCGCGTCAGTCCCGACTACCTTCCTCTTCCCGTATTCACGCTTGAGCAGAGCCAGGTGGTATGTGCTTGCGATGGTGCACAGGAACACATTGGCCTCCTTGACCACCCGCAGCTCTGCGCCGGCCATGGCCTTGGGTAGATACACCAGCTCCAGGTACTGCAGGGCGTTTTTTAACAGTTCGATGGTTCTTTCCGTCTTCTGGTGTACGAAGCTTTTCACCGCAACTCTCGCCAGCAAGTACCGAAACTCATCCATCTTCTGCTGGAGCCGCCGTTCAGGGGAAATGTTCATCATCTGTGCCTCCGTAATAGTTCGCCCAGAAAACTTGCGTACGCCTCTTCGTAACGTCATCAGAGGGCGCAATTTGTACATACTCGGGACAATACCGCTGCTGCTATTACCGCTGCATGCCAACCCTGATACGGCGGGAACAGGTTCTTGCGATTCCGATTTCAACGCCGTCGTAGAATTAGTAGCACTATCGCCGCTGATGTCAACAAGCCCAGCATGATCTGAATTGCTTTTACAACCTCCTCCTCCGAGCAATCTCTGTATCCGCCGCTCTTGCAGTTCTTCCAACGCCTGGACCCACTGTCGCAATTTCGCTTCCACCGAGTTCTTCAAAAAGTTCACGAACGAATCCCGCTCTCGCGCTTTCTTCTTCAGCGTGAAACTTCCCGCGACCGGGCCCAGGCGCGCCGGGTTGCCAAGCACCAGGGTGTTGACCCCCTTGTTTTCCAGCGCGCACAGCTTCTCCGCGACGGACTCAATCGCCACATTGGTCACCGCAGTGATGATAACCGCGGGCCGCTTGCTGGGGTGAGGCGGGGTAGTAGTTTTCGACACGACAACTTTCTGTGCGTCTACAAGATCTTCATTTGCCGCTGGTATAATTTTCCCTCCGCCATCTTCTTGCAGCGGAAGTTTGTCTCGATTTTTTCTGCTTTCGTCCGAAATTGTAGCACTTATTTGCTGCTGTTGTTGTACCTCGCCCCGCGACAGGAACGCACGACAGACGTGGAAAATCGTGGTGGACTTTCCGGTTCCTGGCGGGCCCTGGATCAGGTGGAGTTTGGAGTGCTTTTCCTCGTGCAGCTTGTCCACCGCCCGCTTTTGCGCCGCATTGATCGGCACAAGGACTTCTGGGTAGTTCGGGTTCGCTGGGCTACTAGATGTAGTAGTGCTGGCAGTCGACGTAGTTCCGGCCACCGCGGACGAAACAGAAGTGGAAGGAATTTTCAGACCACTAATACTTGGGTCAAAATTTTCATCTGCTGGTACTGCGACTGCCGCTTCTACACTCCCTTGCAGCTTCTGGTGCAGCATTCCAGGGTTCAGGACGAAATCTTCCAGAGTTGGGGGTTTATCTTGTCCAGTCTCTTGTAGCGCAGCATGCGCTGCCGCTCCGCAAAGAACATTCGCCTTCTCCGCCATCGCGAGGCGCTTCATAATCGCAGTGTACTGCGACACCAGAGTACCCACGAACGCCACGACGTGAAAAACCGTGCCCACCCCGCCTTTCAGCCCGGTAAGAAACACCGTGTCCGGGCGGGACGGGAACTTTATTCTTCCGTTCTTCCGTGGTCCTATCGTCTCCCGCACGGTCTGGATGTGGAAATACTTTTTTTTCCCGACGGAGCCTTCCTTGTCCGGGCCCGAACTTTTGGTAAACACCACCCAGTCCCGCAGCCCCAGTAGCTGCAGCCGCCGTCGCTCGTTTTCTACTTCGTCTCTGGTTGCGTTTTCCACCATTACATTCCGCGTGCGTCTCGCGATCTTAGCTGCTTCTTTCCGCTCCGCCTTCGACATACTATTCTGGGCTCCCGCGCCGGGATCGTCTGCTTTCCCTTTCCCCTGCATCAACGCACTTCTGGGTGGAATTTGGGCGGTGGGTCGCTTGGACTGCAGCTCCTCCTTGTTCGCGGTGCTGTCGTCCTCTTCGTTTTTACCCTTACCACCACCGACGGAAGCACTCGCGTCCGCGCTGCTCGCGCTTGCGTTGGACCCCTTGAGCAGCTCGAACTCGTGGTACCCCGTGGATTGGTCCGTGTATCAAAGTGAAAAAAGCCCCCACCCCATATCGGAAACGGAAGATGCGCGAATTTGTGATGCTGTATTTGAGTACACAAATCAACTTGTATTGCTAGAAGGCCAAGAGACGAAGCTGCGGCCTAAATTGCAGGTAATCTGTCATGCTGTTTCCCACTTCCAGTTGCCTTCTGTCATCCTGGAGCTGCAAGGCTTTCCCACGCTAGACAGCACTACAGTCCGCATCTTTTGCCTTCTAGCATCACAAAGCTGATTTGTGACCACGTATCTGCATCACAGATTTCCGTTTTGATATGGGGAGGGGGCATTTTTCATTGTAATACCGTGTGCGTCTTGACCACGCGGATCTGCAGCAGAAACTCCTCGAATATGGGAGTGTCAAGATTGAAATCGTCAGAGTTGAAATGATTTGTCATGCATAAAATGCAATACAAAAAGTGACTCTATTGCAGAGGACGCACGGGAGGCAGATTATAGTCCTGGTAAGGGTCAAACGTTGGACTGCTGACTAGCATGACAGAAGGCAGCTCTTTTGCCCTAAACCGCATGACAGACTCGCTTCCAGGACCGGGGAAATTTGTCATGCACCGACTACAAACTGTAGGTCTAACTGGTATCCGTTTTATGCATGACAAACTATTTCAACTTTGACGATTTCAAACCTGACACATCCATATCGAACGCCGGGTGCGTAGTGGTCACGGCGGTCAGATACTGCTGCTTCACGTTGTGTCGCAGGGTGCTGTAGTAGTCCTTTTTGGAACTGTAATTGGTCTCCATCGGCTGAAACACGATATCCGTCTGCGGATTTACCAGCGCGTTCGCCTCCGCGAGCAGCTCCTCGTGCGGCTGCGTCCGAGCAGCGCGAAGGTTCTGCTTCCGGGTTTTCACCGTAGATGTCATCTTTGGAGGAAATCGATGATCATAAAAACGAACGAAAAGAAGGAAAAACCTTGCTCAAAATTCCACTTCTTCATCCAATTTCAACATTGAACGAGAACGGGATGGAAGAAGGAAAGATAATGATAAAAGTCGTAAAAGTAGCGACGGCAGTACACTGTGTACTGCTAACTCTGCGTCAGGAACAGTACAAAGTTGCTAGTGTGTGTGAGGTATCAAGATCATATCGACGAAACGCGCTGTGCCAAAAATTCCACCGTTCTTCTTCATCTTCTTGCCATTGCTATAGCTTTGCCCTTTGCCGAAAATAAATGTTCCCACTGCCACTTTCCGTCCGGGAAAAGGCAGCGCTCTCGTATCACTCAGGCACTCGTTAAAAATCGTGAAGATGATCCTTAAATGAACCACTTCGTGTGTCAACGGTTTTCAGTGATTCCGATCGTGTAGGTTGGAAAGCCGGTTCTTTCTGAGGCGAGGTCTGCACGGCCTGCACGTTTCTGAAAACTTCACCCCCTACCTCGAAACTCTTTCTTTTTACCAAATTTGTAAGCGCTCTTTGTACGACGGCGATCATCAACATCCGGCTGTAGAAGAACATGTTCCTTCGCGCGATCCACCTTTGGCGGCATCCTACAGCTTTGCGTAGAAGCATGATATTGCTGGGCAGCGTGCAATGATCGCTGTTCTTTCCCCCACGAAGTTTTGCAATGTAGTAGAGCCGCGCACGACGAAATTTGCACATAGAAGAAATCTTCCCACGTTAAAAACATCCAATCGCGTCGTCAATGTCGACACCAACCAAGTCTTCACTTCTTCACAAATTTTTCCAATCCTTTCCGCACTTCGTCGTTGGCCACTTTCCCCGGAAAAAACATGGGCGCTTCCTCGACCAGCCACTGGGGTCGCAGTGCCGTGCAGTTGCGCAGGTAGTTCTTGTCCGTCAGTACCAGTTCGTGGTACAGAATCCATTCCGGCTTGTGCTCGAGCTGCGACCCTGGGTGGATTTCCACGATCTGCTTGTCCTTTACGGTGACGTAGTGCTTCCCGCTGATATGTGCCGTCTGCAGGAAAAAGCCGGCGATCAGCGCCCGACGGAGGGCGATTTTTACGTTCCCTTCCGTGATTTCTTGGCTGTTCGAAACTTGCATTTTTTCGCAAAGCCGGAGCAGCTGTCGCTGCACGGACTGGGCCGAAATCAGGGACCGGTCCTTCAGGTAGTTGTCATAGCACCAGTTTTTGTCCGTCTTCTGGTTTGCCTCGAACCTGCGTTTTTGTTGGGTTTGGATTTTGGAAAAATTTTCAATACGGTAAACAGCAGAGCAGAACAACTAAGTAAATCAGCGGCGGTGGGCGATAATTGTCTGATATGTATTGGATGTCTATGTACTCACTCCCTAAACAGTTCTTGCTTTCGTCGCAAAAAGTAGAAAGTAGAGTTCCAGCCGACATTATCAAAAAAACCTAATCTGTACTCTTCGAATATTTTCAGCAAGGTTCCGTGGTCGCCGCAAGTGCTCTGGAACGCCTTGTGTGCCCGGTCCGCCTGTTTTGCGTACATCCGCGGGCGCAGATGGCAGGGTGCGCCGGACAGCAGTGCGATCACCGCGGACATTTGCTTCAGCACGCCGTGCTTCGCGCTCGCGATCAGACACTTTCCCAACTGCGGGTCCAGCGGAAACTCGGCCAGAATCTTCCCCGTCGCGGTGAGTTCGCACTCGTCGTTGACCGCGTTTAGTTGCAGTAAAAGGTCCAGCGCCCGCATCATACACTCCGGGGACGGCGGGTCCATCCAGTCGAAGTGCACCACGTCCTCCACCCCGAGGTTCAACAGCGTCAGCAGCGCCGAGCTCAGATTCGTCCGCAAAATTTCCGGCACGGAAGATTCCTCCAATGACTCCTTGAACGCGGTCTCCGTGTACAGGCGATAGCACTTCCCGGGCCGGGTCCGTCCCGCGCGCCCGGCGCGCTGCTTCGCCGCGGCCTGCGAGATGGGTTGCACCAGTAAGGACTCCACGTGGGTGCGGGGATTGTACACCTTCATCTTGACCAGTCCGCAGTCCACGACATAAACGACGCCGTCAATGGTGATCGAGGTCTCGGCAACGTTGGTCGCCACCACGATCTTCCGCAGGCCCTGCTTCGCGAAATCCTGGAAAACTTTTCGCTGCTGGTTCGGGGGCAGGGAACTGTAGAGCGGTAAGACGACCACCTCGTCCTCCGGCAGCTGCTCCTCCAGCATCCTGCAACAGTTCTCAATTTCGTCCTCCCCGGTGAGGAAAACCAGCACGTCGCCCAAAGGTTCGTCTGTTCTTTCTCCACCGTTTTCTAGACTTTCCTTCCCCCGCTCGGCCTTCTCCTCCTCGATGCACTTGACCACCTTGTCCACGGACGCTTCCACGTAGTTCCGCGTGAAGCCCTGCGTGTAGTGGAGCTCCACCGGAAACATGCGCCCCGACACGGTCAGGAGCGGGACGTGGGGGGTGTTTTCGTCGGAAGCGGATTTATTTTCCGATGGTGCCTGATTTTCCTCTTCATCTGCCATGTTCGCCGAAAAGTACTTCTGAAACTTTTCCGCCTCCAACGTCGCGGACATTACCACCACCTTCAGGTCCCTCCGTTCCCGCAAGACCCGCTTCAGGAGCCCGAACAGAATGTCCGTGGACAGCGTGCGCTCGTGCGCCTCGTCGAGGCAGATCACCGAGTAGTTCGACAGCAGCGGGTCCGTCATGCATTCGCGCAGCAGCATCCCGTCCGTCATGTATTTCACGACGGTTTTGTCGCTGGTCTTGTCCTCGAACCGGATCAGGTAACCGCATTCCTCCCCCAGTTCCACGTCCATCTCCTCCGCCACCCGGGTCGCCACGGACATAGCCGCGACGCGACGGGGTTGTGTCACCGCAATTTTTTTCGCACTGCTGCCGTAGACTTCCGCGAGGAACTGGGGCATTTGCGTGGTCTTCCCAGACCCGGTCTCGCCGACCAAGACGGTCACCTGGTTGTTCGCGACCAAGTCCAAAAAGTGGTCCTTCATGGGCCAGCAGGGAAGCTTCTTCCTCTTCGCCAGAATCTTCAGTGCGTTTTTCGAGAGGGGACGGTTTGTGATCGGGGAGATAGTGTCGTCGGAGGCCGCAGGTCCCGCGCTTATTTTGTTCGCGGATTTCTTACTTTTTGCTGGTTTTATTGATGGAAGAACATCGTCCTCGGCCGCAACCGTACTCGCCGACGCCGCGGGAGAGGAGGATTGTGGCTGGGAAGATGTAGTTGCAGTTGCGTCTGCACCATCGGCTTTGTTTTTCTTCTTCTTTTTCTTCTTTTCTGTCTCTGCGTGTGGTTGTGCATCTGCGACTGAGGTGGTGATCGCATCTGCGACAGCAGCAGCGGTACTATTCTCCGGCGCTGGTACATCTCTATCTTTTTTTCGCTTCTTCTCCTTCTTACTGACTACCCCCTCCTCCTTCGTAGTCACAGCGCAGCTTTCCTCAACGGCAGGAGCAGCTTCCTCTTCCTGCTTTCGCTTCTTTTTCTTCTTTTCCTTGACGGCCTCGGTGGCGGCCGCCACGAGCGGTGGCGCTGAGGACTCCTGTTGTGCCATTTTGCTCGCACCAGGAAAAAAGGCAATACAGGGCGGCACGTGATTTATTTTTCAGTGTGTTTAAAACACCGATGTCACGTCCACCGTAACTAGTTGCGCAGATGAAAAAATCGTAGTGCACTAATTGCGACTTGGCAGTAATCTTATTAAAATTCTTATCGTCACGAGCCTGTGATAAAGGGACCACAAGATGATCTTTCAGCAGATCTAAAATCGCGTGTATGAAGCCGCCGGTGCTAAGCTGAAGGCATTTCAATGATCTTGCGCCTCTACCTGATCACTTTTCTGAACGTAAAACTTTCGGCAGATCCAGATTTTCTCCAAAAAGTAGAAGAATCTCAGCCAGATCTGGAGTTTTTAACGAATTGTATTTGGATCTTATATCCCTCAACATCTTGGTCTTTGTGGTCAAAGAAAGCATCAAGTAATTTGTCGACCACTTCTCGTCAGTAAGATCAGGGTCGAGGATCACATGGAATTCAATATACACTTTTGACTCCTGCGAGTTGCAAATTCATAGATGTTGAAGAAACAAATTTGATCCTTGGAGGCAAAAGCGACTACAGGCAGTTATGCGTCGCTACTTAGCAACTCGCAGAATGATGCGTCGCGATCTGCAATCGAACCTCGCCAATTTTTGACGGCGCAGCCTCTCATGATCTTTCTCTTCCGGGCAGCAATGTGCGTTTCCATCGAAGTAGGTGGACAGAAATCCATGCATCAAGAAGTGCAGGGAGGTCAACACGACCTGCAGATGTTTCAATTTGCTCTTCTTGTGCTTAGTTGTAGTGCATATGTGGGAACAACCAGGATAAAAATTCCTCGATTGGTTTCAGCAAAAAGAATAGCCTAAAAATCTCGGACGAGTTCTGGTTCAGCTAATCACCCAGCTCATCCTCGTCCTCTACGTCTTTCTTCTTCGAAGGTTTTCCCTCTTTGTTTCCCTGCTCGGACGACACCTGGTCGGAGAGCATGGACGCTAATTGCTCCTGCATCATGCGCATCATCTTCGCTTCCTCTTCGTTGCCGCCCTGGTTTGCACCTGGGTTTATTTTTTTTTCCGCAATTTTAGTTTTTGTTTTTCATTCACGACAAGGAAAGGCAAAAATGATTCTCAGACTAGGCACCAGTACTAAAACCAGGGATTCATTTTCATTGGGCAAGATATGAAAATTACAGCCGCTACGACTTCCACCAGGTGCGGAGCCAAATGAGGCGAAAAGAACACAGAAGCAGAGCAACCAACGAATTATCTATCAAGCCCTACACTCTTGTACCTGCGTTGTTGTTTCCCATTTCCAAGATGTCGATTCCCCCGTTTTGGTCGAATTTTACCGTGAACCGCTGCACTTCGACGGTCTTCTTCTTCCCACTGGCGCCTTCTGTTGAGTCGGTTTTTCCCGAAGTAGTAGAACCGTGTGCTGTCTCATGATCTTCGGATGCTGAAGTTTGTTCCGTCGCACCACTCCCTGATGCTTTCTTTTTCTTTTCCGGCTTGAGCTTGTGCAATGTGATTTCATTGTCCGCGTTGTCCTCCTCCTCCTCCTCGGTCGAGGAGGCGCGTCGGGACGCGGCCGAATCTTTGCCGGCACCCCCGCTTAGCTGATCACTCCCCCCGCCGAACAACTTCGACAATTGCTCCGCCAATTGATTCGCAAAATCGTCATTCAAAACGTCACCGCCGCCGCCAGTGTGCAATTTGAACTGGACCGTAGGAGGGGATGAAGTCTTTCCTTTTGTCTTGGTGTTCGAGTTCGCCCCCGATCCGCCGGTAAAAAAAGTGTCGCCGTCCACGTTCACAGCCCCGAACACCAAACGCGGCTGCTCTGCTCCGCCAGAAGTTGCACTGTCCTTTTTCATCTTGTTCTCTGAAGTTGTCGTGCCGCTGTGTTCACTTGAGGCACCTTGGTTTGCTTTCGACGTTGCCTTGTTGTTTTCGATGTCACCTAGCGGAACCTCCGCTAGCTGCTCGAAAAGAGACTTCGGCGAAAGGATTTCAGCCTCCAGTCGGCGCAGTTCGCGTTCGAGTTCGATTCTGGTGTGAACAGGCACGACCTCCGCGGGCGTTGCGGTGGGGGGTTGTTCGGTTTCGGTCTCTAAAGCGACGGTGCTGCCGGCTTCGTCTTCGGACTGCAGTGAAACTGTTTCACCAGCAGCGCTGCCTGGGGGTGACGCTGTTTGCGGTGTCGGCTCGTCGTGGACGCCATGCTCATCACTTCTTCCCGACGATATCTCCACTTCGGTTGTTGCGGTTTCAGTCTGGTCTGGTGTTGTCCTTTCGTCTTCCTCAGCAGCCGCGACTTCAACAGTGCTGCCCGTGTCTGTGGTCGTGGTTTCCGCGTCCGAATCTAAACTTTTGCCAACATATCAAATGTAAAGTGTCTGGGTCTGGAAGATTCATGCTGTTTTTGCATGACGCAGAAGGTGTGGCATGGAAGCTCTAGCATCACAGGTTTCGAGAAGCTTCCGCAATGCCGAACCCGCATGAGAAATCCCCCATTTTGGTGACAGAAAGGGGGTAGCTTTTGCTACCTATGCATGAGAGATTTTTCTGTGTTCGAAAATGCGCATCACAAGTTCGGATCCTTCCAGACCCAGACATTTTTGCATTTGATACAACATCTTCGCCGCTAATTCCTTCCACCAGCTTGGCCCACGCGCTTTCCATCTCTGCTTTCGACTTCTCCTCTGCGGCTTTGCGCTCCTGCTCTTCTGCTTCTAAACTTGCCTGCCACAGCCGCAGCCTCTCCGCCGCCAAGCGTCTGTCCTCTTCCAGCCTCTTTTGCTCCTCCGCAGCGCCCACGATCAGGTCTTCGCGCTCCTGCCAAAAATCGTTAATTCTCAACCACTTGTCGAGCAGCTCGCTCGTCGACTTTTCTTTCGCACCACCCTCGTTGGTTTCTGCGGCACTGGCTGGCGCTGCCCTATCATCGTTCTTGTCGGCCGACAGCAATAGGTCGGCAAATCTGTTCGGGGTCGTCAAAATGGAGGGGTGCCGTGTATAGTCCAGCTCAGGGTCGACTGGCGGAATCGTAGTTGTTGATACAACTGGAGCAGCAGCTATTTCATCTTCAGCATCCGCTGCTGTTTGAGGAGGTACGGACGCATTTGCTATTTCTACATCTCCGCTTGTTCCTGCAGGTCGTCCACCAGGACCGGTATCTTGTCCCGCCCTCTCGTCCTGTCTACGTCCCTCTCCTGCGGCCGCATCAGGCTGGTCTGGCTGCGGGGTTCTACTGTGGTCCCCTCCAAACAAATCCGGGAGCTGCTGCTCCTGTGCAGTGGGATCATCGGCTCTTCCTTCAGCCCCCGTTGTTTGTGGTGGTCTACTCGCTTGTCCTGCTGGTGGCGCACCACCTCTATCCTCTTCTGCAGCTGTCCGCGTGGTCGTGGTTTCGTCGTGTTCAGCCAAGGCGGCCAGGGCGGCGCGCAGCTGTATCCTGAGTAAAAACGTACCCACACCAGAGTTGTAATGCAGATTTGCAAAGACAGGAAGACTCGTAATGCGCATCCCCATGAGAGCCATTTCCAATTGTGTTTTGGAATTTGTGATGCTGTGAACAGGATGAGCAGATGAGTCTGTGATGCTGCTGCACTTGCTAACCTGCACTACACTGCAGAGCGCAACTTGTCATGCATGACTCACGAAACTCCTAGGTTTGTGTTGCAAAATCCCCATCCTGACTCTGGTGTGGGTACGTTTTTACTCAGGATAAACTGCTCTGTGTCCTCCTCATCTTCGCGAGATGTGGGAGGAGAGGGTGTAGTGGCTGTACTTTCTTGCTGCTCGCTGTTGTTCGGGGTGCTATTTGCTGGGAGTTCTTCCGTTCTCGCTAGGTTCACGACCTCTGCAGATGTTTCTGTGCTCCCGGCATCTTGTTGAGCGGCTTCGGGTGTTGACATGTTACCCGTGTTGGGGTCTGGTGCGCCTGATGGACCCATCTGCGGCTGTTCTTGAGCATTCTGAGCATTTTCCGTTCCAACTGGAAGATGAGCTTCCGGTGGTTCTTGGGGAGGCGATGAAGGTACATCAGCATTCGCCTCGCCCCCGACCTGAGGTGTTGGAAGATTTGGGGCAGAGGATTGCTCCTCTGGTGGCGCAACAGGAGGGAGCGATGTACTGTCTGGATCAGCAGAGCCTCTTGCTTCTGCGCCGTTCTGCGGTGCCTCGCCAAAGGTTTCACGACCAAGGGGAGCATCCGGATTACTATTTTCATCTCTTGGAAGTGCAGTTTGATCCGCGGCGCCGGCGCTCGTGTTCATGTCTGCTCCGTTACTTTCATCCGCTGTTCTACTTCCAGGCAGATCCTCTCCGGCACTACCTACGGTTGGTGCAGTTTCCCCCGAAGACCGATCTTCCTGTCGCTCCTGCGCTTGCGTCACAGGACTCTCATCTGCTCCTCCCGCTTCTCCTTTCCCAGCGACTCCCCTCGCACTACTCCCCTCGCTTGCCGTCGTTGCAGCTTCTCTGGCGGTCGCAACCAGGTCTTGGATGAAGTCGCGAAGCTTCACGTTGCCAGTGCTTCCGCTCGCCTGGTGGCCCACAGGACCGCGGTTGTCCGCTGCATCTCCGGTGCCAGTTTCGGGCAGGTCCTTGAAATCCGACGCAGTTGTTGAGCTTCCATGCTGCTTGAAAAATTCCTCGTCCTGTCTTCGCAATTCCTCTGCAGTCAGGTGCTGTTCTTGTTCCGCAGACCGATTTCTTTCCGGTATTGATGTTGCGTCGGGGTCCTCGCTCACCGCGTCGGAATTCGTAGACTGCTCCTGGTTGGCGGTGCCGGACGCGGTGACAGGTGGTCTTTCTTGCCGCTTTTGAAGCACATCAGTCGCCTGATCATCCTCGGGTGCAGGCACAGTACCTGTTCGGCTGGCTTCTGCTGTCCCCTCTTGCGGGAGAGGAACCGACGGTGCGTTTCCGTTCTTTTCTGCGGAATTTCTAAGATCTACTTCGTCAACTTCATCTTCCAACAACCTTACCTCCTCTTCCATGAGCTTCTCCATGAGCGAAAAAACCTCCGGCACCGAAGCGGTGGGCTGCGACATTGCCGCAGTCGTGTTGTTTGTTAAAGCAGCATCTCCTCCGGCCGCGGAGGTCTCTGCATCTACTGCTTGTTCCTCGCGGGAGGTGGAAAACACATGATCCTTTTTCTTCGTTTGCCTATCCTCGCCCTCCTCCAGCAGCAAATATTTGTCTAGCACCTCTTCCAGCAGTTTGCGCTTTTCCGGCTGCTGATACAGCTTCTTGTTTGCGAGGAGCTTTTCCATCAGGTAAAAGTACTGCTGCGTGGAAAAGAGCTCGTACAGCTGCGGGCTCTGGCCGGTGTTGTCGCTGTAGCTACCCGCCGATGTTGTTCCATCCCCGCTGTTGGACGACAGAACCTGCATGGGAACCTCTGAAAAAAATTTTACCCGTCCCCTTATCTTCGACGAAGCAGAGTTCTGTTTTTGCTCCGGATTTTTATCCCGGCGCCCGAGCTCGTCGAACTGGGCCTGCATCTTGTCGTGCAACTTGTTCTGTAACTTCTGCCACGCCTTGCTGTGCTCGAAGTAGTCGATATCCAAGAGAAAAAGATTGTAGGTGTAACTTTCATTTTTTTGGAGGAACAGCATTACAAATCTGTCTGGCATGAGAGCAGAAACCTGTCACGCGCAGATAGCATGTCAAAACCCGCATGAATGGACCCTGCAATGCATGTCCAGCATGACAGACGCAATCATCTTTGTGTTGCGCATCACAAACTTACACTAACAATGTTTTTTTCCTGCATAGTCGATACTGGCCTCCTCGTTGAAAAACTGGTCCATGTGGAACGGCTTTCGCCGCCTCCTTATCAACCGCAAATATGTCTGGGTCTGGAAGATAGGAATATTTGTCATGCACGCCTGACATGACCCATGACGGCTGTGATGTATGCCCTAGCATCACAGATTTTCTGAGTGCTTCTTCAAGCCTATCCTGAATGAGAAATGCCCTCACCACGTGGCAAAAACTGGACTCCTATTGCTTGCCATGCAACACAGATTTTTTCAGAGTCCAAAAGGAGCGTCACAAGTTGCATCCTTCCAGACCCAGACACATTTGCAATGCATACTCCTCTTCCGGTTCCTCGAAGACGCTGTACTGCTCCTACCTTTTGCTGCCCTTTCTCCCACTTGTTGCCCATCAGGACGAACTTGGAATTGACCACTCGTCGCAGAAATTCCTACCTCGCCCTGCGCGAACCGCAGCGCGCGCCTCCGAACCATGAGCTGGATCAGAATCTGGTCGTACTGCGGGTTTCCGACCACCTCCTTACGTACGTACTCCCGCAGGTTCAGGAAGCTGATGCCCTGCAGCAGCACGGTGCGCAGGTTGGGAATGCGGTCCAGCTCCTCGATCAGGAACTCGTACATGTCGAAAAAGGAATCTTGCTGCACGGCACCGTTGACTTTTTGCCCAGTAGAACTGCTTTTTGAATTACCTGCGCCGGCGGCCTCGTCTACGTAGTCAACAACATTTGATGTTGTTGCACTACTGGTCGTACCTGCTCCGCGGCTTTGTTTATTCCTCTTACTCCTCTTGCTCCCTCTCCCTCTATTTTTTCCGCCGTCTCTAGCCGCGTCTGCCTGGCCCGCTCTGGTCGTGCTGCCGTGCTTCAGCCGCATGCCCTTAGTGTAGGCCTCTTTCAAAGAGATCACGTCGCTTTCCGGGTACACTTCCCGGAGGGCGAGGGACAAGCCGTTACTCAGTCCGTGTTCGGTAGCAGTCGTGCTGGCACTACCGTAAAAGCCATTCGAAGTGGCGATCAGCTGATTCTTCTTCACGACAGTAGAATCGGAAGAAATCGTCGGCTCGAGGCGGTAGCACGCCTTGATCGACTGCAATTCTAGATCGCCAAAGGTCACGAGCTGCGTGATGGGAAAGATCGTGTCTGTGGGCGTGAACTGCGCGTAGCCTTCGCGTTTTCGGTACTTCTTCAGCACTTGGAAAATCTGGCGCAGCTCGTACGCCTGGCTGCCAGGCGGTGGTGACTCAGAATCTTTCCCGTGTCGCCCGTGCAACTGATTTTCTATTTCGACCTTATGATCGATCGCGGCCCCTGGAGTGCTGGAAAAAACGGCATCATGAGCGGTAACTTCCCCACTACCGGCCTCGAAAACTTCCGCGAAACCCAACTCCTTATCCATATTGGCCCGGAAGTCCGCCGCGAGCGTAGGCGCCGCCCGGTCCAGAAACTCCCAAAGCAACAGGGCCGCGCGCTCCGTCTCTCGCAGCGGGGACTTGCTGTGCAGCCGGGGAGCGTACCGGGGATCGGTATTTGGCGAAGTAGAACTTGCGGCACTCGTCCCCAATATTACTTCCTTCCACAGATTTTCCAAATCGAGGAACCTTTCCACAATAACATTGCCCCCACTCGTGACTGCCTCGTCCCCACCAGTTGCGGCCACGAGCGGCCTCTGCGAAGTAGTAGATCCACCCTGATTGTTGAGAAACTTCTGGCCGCCTTCCCCCGCGGCGGCGGAACGTAATCTGTGAGAAGATGAGTGCTCGATATTGCTCAAAATGTTAGATATCTTCACAAACCCGTCAGACAGAAGGGTGTGGAAAAATTGCAGGTCGTTCGCTATTTCTTCCTCGGAGAACGGGATGGTGTCGATGTTCTGCTCCCACACTTTCACCACTTCCCTACCACCGGCACTCGCCTTGTTGCGCGCGATCAGATACCCGACGCCCCGCGCCTTCACTTCCGTGACGACCATGGGGAGCGCGGCCTTGTCCTTCCGGAGCCCGAAGGAGAAAAACCACCCATTCTGCACCTTGGAGTCACAGTACTGGTTGTTGCGAAAACAAAACTCCGACAGGTTGATTTCGCGGCACTCGACCAGTAGCGCAGGATCCTGGTAGGACTCGGCCGTAGAGCCCTCAAGATCGTGGTCTTCCCAATACAGGTCGTCGCTGTCGAAGGAATCGTCGGTTTGGAAACGCGACGAAGTCGTGAGGTCCGAAGACGTTGACTGTAAAGTTTTTGTTACGGTGTACTCTTTTCAAAAAATAGCTTTCGTTTTGTACTTTTCTTCAACAATCAACATCAACGACACACACAACAAAATAACGACAACCAGAATTCTTGTTCGCACTACTTACCAACAAGTTTCCGGAGCCCGAACCGGTGGGCGATGTTGACAAAGGAGACAAGGACCTGTCTGCTCCTGCCCCGGACGAAGATTCGGCGGGCGTCTGCTGAAAAAGCAAGTTCGTCAGCCGCTGAAAATTTGAAAGCAGACTCGTCTCCGACAAATTGGCAAACAAAAGCCCGTCTAGGAGGTACTGTGCCTGTTCCTTCTGCTCCGGTGTCACCGCGGTAAGTGCGCAAAACGGCCCGTGCTCGGTACTGCTACACGTTGCGGCGGAGGGAGACACAGGCGGGTGCTCCTCGTCGTACGACGTGCTTTGCTTGACACCCCCGCGGAGGTTCGCAGCATCTTCTTCGTCCTTTCGCCGTCCTCGTCCCGGCGCTTTTACATTCGCCACTTCCTCGAGCTCCGACCTCGGCACGTATACCGCACTTCGCAACCGGTTGACGAACGCACCGACGCCCGCGCCGTCGATGGAGAGCGCGGCGTCTGCAAAGTGAAAGGTTCTGTTACTGTGGTCCAGGACTACTAACAAAGAGAGGAGGACGAAGCGCAGCAGGGAAGAGGCCAGACAAACACGCGCCGTCGTTGAGGGCACCATTTTTTGCGCGCCGACCAGTGCCACTTTTGTCAGCCTCGTACGAAGCCACAGAGAGGAGTACCTACGGGAACTACAGGAATAGGACTTTGAAACAAGAGGAGGCACTTCATCTCGTCCTGTGTGTGACATGTCACGTCAAAAAGCAGAGGAGAAACAATCATTCTTTGCGCGAAAGAAGAAACGTACGTGTGGAGATCTCCGGCTAAGGTACATAAAAGTACAAACCGAAACGTCGATGTCTGATCAGGTAGCAAAACGCATGCAGATTATGTACTATGAACGGGTAGAAAAAGAATTGCGTATGCTGCGCTTCTTAAGGTAAGCGGGTAGAAAAAGAAAACTTGAAAGAGTGCGAAAAATTCCTACTGGTGCAGCTTAACAGACGGGGGAAGGCGAGGGTGGCGAAACGTACATTATGTATGTTTGGGCGAAACATGTGTTGTATGAAGTGGGCCTGTAGGATGTTCGTTTTTTTTGAAGGGCATTCGATATTCATATTTTTCTTTCACGGAACGGCCCCTGCTAGTGTTCGCGGAACCACAATGGAAGTGAGAGACTAAAGTTAAAACATGCATAATCAAAATCGGACAAACCGAAGATTGCAGCGTAAGTAAGTACTTTCTTATCCGGCGCGGGCGCGCCTGATGCTCTTTCACTCATGGTACTGTGAAAAGTGTCTGCATACCACTGTGCCTGCCTACTGTATACGACGCAGACGAACATCTTCTGGTGCATTCGGTTCTTAGCATTATCGCATAGACACGACGCCATGAATTACCTTTTAACCAATCGGGCGCAGCTCTTGCGAAGCTGGTACTCCTTTTCTCTAACTTCGTCATCTTGATCGTGACTGATCATCCACGTTTTACTTTTTTCAAAAAATAAATTTGTGCACGCGCCATCGCGATCTTTGGAGATGATTCCTGTCTAGTACTAGCACAACTTATATCTTCCCGTCTTATGTTGCAAGTTTCTTTGTTTCCCTTAATCTTGTTCAGATTTTGGTGTTCAATTTCTCTTCCATACAAATGCCATATTATACTCTTCTCTTCGTTCACAACTTGGACACTAAAGCTGTGTCCCATATTGACTGCTTGTCGTTTCAAAAACATTCCTAAAACTCCATGAAAAAAATACCTATTTGCCACAGCGCGAACAACACTACAGCAGGCTATTACCGGCCTGTACCTGACCAGAGACTGTCTCGTGCAAGTGCATGCTGCCGGCGGTGGCAGTGTCCAGATGGTCCTGAACACGGAATTGGTCGTCCCCCAAAAGGTCGTGCTGAATACCGGCCCCCGCGGTACTGTGGTAGTGATCGTACACTGCTTGTTGTTGGGCCGCTATTGCGGCGTCTTGCTGTTGCTGCCAACTGGACAAGGAAAACCCGGGAGCCGAACTGGTCGCCGCCGCGGTGGTGGGGCCTGCTTCTTGGAAGTAGTATTCGACAAAGCGGCTGCAGGACTGAAACAGCTCCTTCTTCCGCTTCTTCTCGAACTGGCGCAGCAAAAACTGACTGGATTGCGTCACTTCGTGGAAAAAGGTTGGCTTTTTGGCAGATATTGTACCAGAGACTTGATGCTTTGTTGCGTTGTTACTGTCTGTGCTACTTCGATGATGAAGTTCTATCGGCTTCACCGAGTCGCCGAATTCGCTCATGTATTCGAGGTAGTCGGGGAAGAAGGGCAGCGGCATGACGAAGGGTTTGACCAGCTCCCAGACGGCTTCCATTTTCTCCTGCAACAGGGACATGGACGAGGAGGCAAGAACCGCCGCGTTTTTGCCGCCGTTTTCCTCGCGCGCGATCTGCTGTTTGACCACGTGTGCCGCCCCCATCTCCTGCAACACCAGGTCCACCGGGAAACCCTTGAAGCACACCTCGGTCGGCCCAATCAGCGGGTTGCGCTGCTCCGCCGCCCACTGCGCGCCCCGCCCCTCCCAGCGACTGTGATGTTTATTATTTCCGTAGTGATGCTGCCCAGCATGGTATAAGTCATTGTCCCCGTCAACGTCGGGTTCCAGATCCTCGCACGGATCGTGCTTTTTGTTGTTGAACACCGACAGACTGGAGGTTTCGAACAGCTCGCCGACCACGTAGCGCACAAACATGGCGTCGTCCACACACTCGTCGTCCAGCCGCCGCTTCGCCTGAATGGCTTTCTTCTCCTCGCTGGACGGCCCGCGCTCGTGCTGGTCCACGTCGTTGAAAAAGATGGGCAGGGACATCACGTACGAATGCACGATTTCCCGGATCGCCGCGAGCCGGTTGGCCAGCGCGAGCTGCTGATCCACCCGCTCCTGTCGCTTCCGGCTTTTCCGCGACCGCTTGCGCGCACTGGCGCCGCCACCGCTCGCCAGGGTGTCGGCCTCCTTTTCCAGCAGCTTCAAAACCGTCCACCCCCAGCTGTAGAGGTCGAAGGCAAAGTCCAATTCAAATACAAACCCATGGTCCACCGGGATCGGGAAGGGCTGGCCCTCCACCGTTACGCAGGGCCGCACGTAATATCGGTTCAGCCGGACCGGGTGCATGTACGACCAGGTACCCGCCCGGTGCAGCGGCCCGGTAAGAACCACGTCCTCCGGCTGCACGACGGTCAGGATCGAGTAATTTTTGATCTCCGGCTGCTGCCCTGAAGATCTCGCAGTGCTGCTCGTTCGACCACTATGAGATTGGTTGATGTCCTCGTCCGGAGGTCCCGCATCAACTTCTCCGATTTTCGTAGATGAAGATTCTCCTTTGTTGATGTCGAGGTACTCCGGCTTGGGCAGAAAGCGGAGCTCGCGGGCCAGTTCAAAGTGCAAATTGTCCTCCTCCAGCCAGCGGCTGCGGTAGTCCGTAGCCTTGTCCAGCGTGACGCCCATGCCCAGGTCGAGCAAGAGCACCTTCGACTTTTCGTTCGCTTTCGCGATCGTGTAGCCGATGTTTAAGGGTTTCAAATCGTGGTGATGCGTCCCGTATTCGTCGTGCAGCATCTCCAGGCACTGAAACAGCTCCCGTGCGGTTTCCACCACCGGGTTGCTCTGCGCGAAGGCGCCCTTGTCCTCGAAACTCACGTTCACCTTTTCCATGATCAGCGCGAAAGCGAACTTCACCGCCTTGGAGAATTTGTAGTCCTTTCCGGAGTTGCCGCGGATCATCACCTCCCGGGCGTACTCCCCCTGCTCCAGAAACAGCAACTTATACAGCTTCGGCACGCAGTGGCGGGCTTTTCCAAGCGACCGCTCCTCCTCCTCCTCCTTGCGGGTAAGGAACAATTGCAGCACCGCCTCGTCCATCAGACGGCTGTCCTTGGGCGGCGAGATAAACTTGATCACCCGCTCCTCGCCCTGCGGAATATGCACTGCAAAGAAACTTTAGAACAACTCGTAAATGTGCAAATAAATCCACGGCAGATCATAATTCTATGCAGTTGTGCAGTTTGTTCTTTCGCTTTACCATTTCTGACATAGTAATTCTAATTTGCACACATACGAAATCCAAGCCTTTTGCACACAGTCATAGCTGTGCGGTTCAATCAGTTCGTACACCGCACCGTAGCCCCCCTGTCCGAGACGTTTGCCCACCCGGTAGATTTGGTTCTCGCTGGCTGGTGCAGCGGCGGTAGTGCTTGCTGAAGGTTCCGGGGTGTTTTTTTCATCTCGATTTTTCTTCTTGCTTTCGACCACTTCGACACACGTGTCCCCAGTCTTCGATGGCGTAGATGAAGCTGCTGTAGTTGTCCCCATCGTGTGGTGGAATCCCACGAAGTGTTCCGCGTTGTCAAAGCAATTGTAGTTCAAGCGAATCCGCGCCGGAAGGAAAAACTCCTGCTGCACGCTCTGCTCAGTGACGAGAAAAGCGGGCGACGGTTTTTTCTGATCCTCGAGTAGCGACTGGTCTTCTGCTATCTTTTGTTTCATTTTGGTATCTTCCTGATCGACCTGGACACCAGACGCGTAGTTCTCGCTTTTCAAAATCAATCTGCTCTCCCCGAATTCCAGGATCCGCTGCAGTTTTTTGGCCAGGGTGCGGTAACTGGTCTCAAAAAACTCCGCGAATTCCTCCTCCTTTTCCTTGTGGTAGGAGCTGCGCAGCTTGTGCGCCAGAGTGTTGAACAAAATTGGGAAGGAGTTGAAATTGTAGGCTTCCGCTGCGACAACGGTGTTCCAATCCACGTACAGTACCGCTTCCTCCTCCGCCAAAAGTTTGTTCTCGTCCATTTTGTTGTCGATTTCGAAGCTCCAGGAATTCAGCGTGTAGTGGTCGGGGTTCGTGTTCAAATTGGTGTCTTCGCGAGACAGCACGTCGCTCTGCTTGTCGTCCAACGCCTGCAGTTTCTCGTGCTCCAACAGCTGCTCCACATGGTGCAGAAATTTGAACAATTTGTGGCGCCCGAGCGCGATCGCCTGCTGCTTTTCCTCCGCCTGCCCCCGCGCTTCGGCATCCAGCGCCGTCAAGTACTGGTGAAACACGTCCCGCACGAGGCTGAGTTCCCCGCGGGTCTGCAGCTTCGGCAGGATGGACTTCTCGATCGAGTGAAAGAACACCTGCAACACCAAGGAGTTTTTGAAGTGGTCTCCTGCAGCTGCGACGGGAGGAAGAACAGAACTGTCGTGCTGGTTCTTTATTTCGCCATAATTGATATCCTGTTCGTGTTCGTGGTCGTCCCAGAAGGCCGACATAAACTCGAAATCCAGGTCCATGCCGCTTTTCAGAAACATGTTGGTCTGAAAATCGTTCGCCATCTTGTGCGGAAACGTTGCCACGTCTACATCGGCTGCACCAGCAAAGCTGCCGGCTGGTGTGCTAGTGCTGCCATGGCCGCTACTGTGCAGCACATTTTCGCTGTTGTACAGCGGGTAGACACCGCCGGCAGCTTCTCTTGTAATTTGGTCCAAAATGACATCCTTGACCACCGACGAGTCGGCGTTCAAATCCAGGCGAAAGATAATTTTCTGCAAAAATCCCTGCAGCTTCACAAAATCCGTCCGCACCGCTTCTTGCTCTGCGACAGATGCTTTGTCAGTGGCGCTCTCCACTGGTGCAGCCTTTTCCACGGGTAGAAATGGGTTTTCTAAAGCAGAAATTTTCTTCTCCACGGGAAAGAAAACCTCGAGAAGGTCGGGGGGCGGCCGAAGACCACGTTGCTGATGGTCGTTGATGGTACTATCATGATTACTTCCCGCTGCACGTCGCTCTGGGTTGCTGTTTGTCCACCCCACCGCGGCCCTTATAGCGCGGTCGGCAATCCCGTGGTCCTTTTCGCTAGAAGACAACACGTGCTCGCGCAAAAAGTGGCGCAGCGACAGGCAGCTGACGCCGAATACTTTCATCTGTTGCGTCGGGGATATTCGGCGGTCGAAGTTGAAGTGCAGCTCTGGGAGGTTGGCAACTTGCTCGACGAGGAGGTCCAGCAGCTCCTCCTCGAGCATGGACTCAGTCGAGGAATGCTCCGGCAAGGGGCTGGGAGAACGCATCTGCGAGGCTTTCATCTCTACAGCACCGCCTGTAAAAATCGTATCACCCTTCGAATTTATGGCGGAAGAAGAGGAGGTTGGTGAACCCGCAGCTTTTATTGCGCTAGCACTCCCTCGCAGATTGCCTGTCGAAGGAGTTGCCTTTGGGTCCTTTACTGCGTTCTGGTTTACGTACCGAAAGATGTCCGCTTCTTCTTCCGGCGGCGCCAGCGTGGACGTCGTGCTGCTTCCGCGCAGGTTTTTCGTCGTCGTCGTCCTGGCTGCCGCGGGCGGGGCGGGGATGGTGCTAGCTTCTTGTCCTGCATCTTCTGCTGCGGTAGTTAACCTTCTCCCCTCAACTACAGCCGGCGGCGCCCCCGTTGTCAGTGTAGTGCGCACGTCCGACAATAACTGCCCCCTAATTGGCGCAGAAAAAAAACCAGCTTCGTGAGAAGCCGCCGCGGAGTAGTGGTCTCGCAGCACTTGCTTCGCCGGAAAGAACACACTTTCAGGGTATAGTGTGCGTGGAGCAAACTCCGAAGGGTTCTTTTGCGGCTTGGAAGTGCTTGCTTTTGTTTCCTCTTGCATTTTTTGGAGACTCATCTCTTCTTGCTGCAGCGCCATGGCGCTGAGCATGATTCTCATCGGACTGTGAGGTGCTGACGCTGACGGGGGAACTACAGTCGCGGGCAAGATGGAACTGTCTGCGCCGTCCTGTGCAAGGGCATTACTGTCTTCTAAATACGACACCTTCAGCGATTCCAGCCAGAACCGAATTTTCTGCACCTTGCTCTTCTCAGAAGTTGACCGAAAATTATCATCCGTGTAGTCTTTCGCCGCCCCGGTGCCGAAACTTCCAAAAAACTGCAGTTCGGTGACCGGAGTGATGGCGTCGCCGAAGATTTTTTCCCTGCTCGAACCTGCTTTTCCGGCGTTTTTCTCCCCGACCACCTTCCGCAGAAACACCTTCTCGTTGGCCCTCCGCCCACCTCCCACAGCCCCGCCCGCCACATGTTCCAGACCCGTGCTGCGCTTCCGCGATAAAATGTAGCCCATGGCCGCACGCGCACGAGGTGAGGGGAGTCGTGTCTGTTTGCTGGTATAGCTTTTCGAGTCGGGGAGATTGTGTCGTAGGTTAATTTCCAAAACGACCACGGGGCGGTGAAAGAAGATTGACAGGCCCGCGTTGCTCGATTCCTGCTCCGCTTGGTGCTGCAAAACCGTGAAGTAGGGACTGTAGAGTATGGTCTGGGAATTCCATGTACCACTGCGACCACCACTCCGGCCACTGAAACCAACCGCAGTGTGCATGCCTGCGAAGGAAGAAGCAGGGTAAAACACGTTTGCCGAACCTCCGATGTCCTCCGCAAATCCGGAATTGAAATTCCACTCCGCCGATACAGGAAGCTCAAGCGCCGACGCGTCGTTTGCCGGGGGTGTCGCAGCTGCTTCGGGAAAAGCAGCCGCACTAGGGTCACCGGCGCCGGTTGTTGGGCCGAGGTAAGAAGCGAGGCCGGGAGAGGGTGTCGTGAGCTCTTCATCAGGGATGATCGGATCTTCTGCTTCGACAACATGTCCGTGCCCACTTGCGGCTGTGCCGTAGCTTTCAAAATCAAGCGCGAGGGGGAAAATGCTCACCGAGCTTCTTGCCCTTCCTCGTTTTGCTCGAAAGTGATTCGACCGGTGCTCACTCCGCAAAAAGATGCCGATCGGGTTCTTGTGACCGCCTTCTTGCAGAAGTGTTGGCTTCTTGGAATGTGGAACTGCGTGTGCGGCTTGCGACAACGCGTAATAATCCCATGGCACCACGTAGGAATTCGGAAAGTTCACCAAGCCAAAGTTCCCCGCGCTGGCGCCCCCGGTGCGGCCTGGCGACTGTCCACCTTTCTCGTCTACTTTCTGCGGTATCACAGGTGCGGGAACGCCGCGCTCTGTTTCGTTGCCCCAGCCGGTCGGCGTTGCAGCTCCTTCAAGAGCCGCCCCGGCGTCTTGCTCGGCGTGGGTAGAGGCGGAGGCACTGCTTTCCTGGTTGTCGTAGCGTCGGACATCCTGCGCAGCAAGGCACGCAGGCGAGTACAGAAACAGCAGAAACGACGACAAGAAACCAGACCGGCACAAAACCGCTTGCAAAGTGGTCATCCTGGTTGAACGCAGCTTCGCGCCCGCGCAGCACCAAAGCTGCCCTACTATCTCACCATTAGGGCAGCGACGCGACCTGCGTGCATTTGTGACGCGGATTTCGACTCGTGCCGGCGAAAACACCACCGCAACAACCTGGAACTAGATGTTATGGTGCGTCGAAACAAAACAAATCGTACGCAGTTCGCTGTCGCTTTTCCCTTACCGTATTTCTCTAAGAACAGCACACCTCTCAGACGCAAATTTTTCTCCCAGACGCGGGGAGAACAGAGTAGACCTCCGGAAGGTAAAGAGCTGAAAAATGCACAAAATGTCCTACCCCGGACCCCTGATCGACGTCCCGCGCCCACTGCCAAGATTCTCCTCTGGTCTACTTGTAGCTCCCTCAGTAAAGGAGTGGAAACATCAAGGTGCAGTATGATCGACGCTGTGATCTTCTTGTAGATTGCATCAAGGGTGGACCAACCTAGCCTATCTCTCTCTCTCTCGCTCTAACAACATCTTAAACCTGGCAACATGTCAGCGCAGTTCATCTGAACAAACGATGGCGCAGCTGCGACAACTTTACGACAATCACCGCATCGTCGGCGGTTTCGGGGCAATTTTCCTGTTCGCTGGGGAAGAACCTTGAAAAAGTACTATTCCTGCATAAAAAGTTCGAGAGTCCGTGTCAAACAGTGGAAATGAATTCCAATGCTGCGCGGGTGTTCCGAATGGCGTCATTTATTGCTACATAAAAACACTTCTCCGGAGGATCGCGTTTGCCCTCTCTCGAGGTCTGGCTTCTCCAGTACAGATACTTTTTCAAGAGCCTACCAGAGCTCGGTTGCGCAAAGGATTTGGATTGTTTTATGTCGAATTGACTATGATTCAAATACTTTCGAGAGGACGCGTCGATTTGACTTTGCAACTCTCGACGACGGTCCTGCGAAACAGACCAAACGATGAACACTAAAAGCGGGACAAGTGCGAATTTGAATTCCAAGCGTCCCGTGCTTCTTCTAGCTGCTCTTGGTCGGAGGTGGTGGCGGTTTTGCGGCGTCACCCTGGCCTTTGCCCGACGAGGCAGCGCCCTTGCCGCCGCCCTTGCCGGTTGACGCGGAGGACACGTTGATGCCTTTCCCGGTGAGCAGTTTTTGGTATTCTTGCTTCTCCTTCACAATGTCTGTCCCCTTTTGGATTCCGGTCTTCATCAAACCTTCCTTGGTGTGAAACCACTCGACCTTGGAGTCCTGTTAGTTTGTTCAAGGACAAGACGGGTTTCATGGTAGGTTCTTTCATCGCATAAAACTGTTCCGTCCATGACAAAATTGTTCATCATGCGCTTCAGTTCTTGCAGTGAGGAGTGAGTGAGTACTCAAAAAAACCGAAAGCACAATAAAATTATCGCGTATCATGAAAAAATCTCCTAAAAGAAGTACAAAATGAATACCGCTATGACTTTCTCCTCGCCGCCTGCTCTCTCGATGGTTTTCACGTCTTTGGAAGTGAGCACGTCGCGGATGGGTTTCCTAGCCACCTTGGTGGCGTGGTTAATGAGTACCACCAACCGCTCCGACGCTAGTATCCGTTCCCACTCCTTGTCCAGCCACCCCGGCTCTTGGTACTTGCTCATCATACCGAAGTACGCGCCGTCCAGGAGAATCTTCTCCCACCGGCTCTTGGCGCTCTTCTCCCAGACCGGCTTCAACTTCACCTCCAGGTCTTCGCGGGCGTTCAGCTTCATCAACCGTGCCTCGAACGCCTGGTCCGCGCGCCGGCCGCTGCGGTCCCCAGCCGCGTCGACATCCACATCCGCTGATTTTTTCCTGCTCGCGCCGTCGCGGGCTTCGCGCTCGAGCTTTTTCAGCAGATCGAAGTCGTTCTCGCCATCGTTGGCCTGGTCCAGGTTGATCACGCGCTCAGTGTTTTCGCCGTCAATCTGTTTGCTGAGAACGTCGTCCGCGACCTATCCTGAGTAAAAACGTCCCCACCCCATAGTCAAGTTGGTAAATCTGCAACACAAATCTGCCAGGTTTGGGAGTTATGCATGACAGGTTTCCATCTGCAGTGTAGTGCTGGTTAGCAAGGGAAGCTGCATGAGAAAGCCACTTTGTCATCCTGTTTACAGCATTACAGATTCCAAAACACGATTGGAAATGCCTCTCGTAGAGCTGCGCATTACAAACATTCCTGTAATCGCAAATCTGCATGACAACTCTGGGGTGGGGATGTTTTTACTCAGGATACGACCCCGTCCCACAGGTTGCGTCGACTGGCCTTCACCAATCCCGCCACGCTACTCGTCCCAAAGTTGGCTGCCGGAACAATGCTGATGGATCATGTTTTTTTAAAATTTACCAGTTCATTGGTAGCATTCCTTGCGCCGTCGGGTAAGAACTTAGAATCTTCACGGCCTGACAATATGGACGTCGACCTCGACACGGGCGGGTACCGACCTCCCAATAATAAATTTGAACATAAGTACTTTCTATCTCTACGCATCTCGTCCACCAAATTGTCACCACTAAAGTCGGGTGCTGGTACTCCCAAAATAAAACTTATCAATCTCTAACCGACGAGTAGTACCTGGTGCTCTCCCCCGCCTCGAGCTCCCCCGCTGGCGTTGCGCCGCCCTCGTCGCCGAAAAGCTCCCCGGCCGGCGTGTTGCTGCCCATTGTTCCGGGGAGTTGGGGCGTCAACCCACCGCTTGCGCCGTAGCCCGCGCCGTACAGCGCCGGCGTTTCCCCGCCGCCTCCGCCTGCCCCCAGCATGAAGTTCCCGGGGGTCTGCCCCCCGGGGGTCATGCCGCCCGGGGTCTGCGATCCGCCGATCAGGCCCGCCGGGGTCTGTCGCATCGACGCCATCATGGCGCCGGGCGTCGCTCGGCCGCCCGCGCCGGGCGTGAAGCCCGGGGTGCCGCCGCCGCCTGGCGTGACGTAGTCCGGCATCGACCGCCCCGTCAGGGCGCCAGCAGCCTGGGACACCGCACCCGCGTGGTCAAATGGTGTCTTACTCATGTCCTCCAGGTCCTCGATGGCCATACCAGCCTGCTTCCGCTTCCCGATCATCTCGTAGTACCTATGTTTTATTTGTACATCAGTCTATTTTGATCCAGAGTATACTTATAGTACCTGTCTACAACTCCTTGACTGAAGTACGCATCTTCAGTTTAGTAGTTGTCGTGTTTATTTCAAGCACACGACGTTGTTCGAAGTGATAAAGATGCATATAATCGGCCCAATTTATTAATCTAGTCATGTCAACAGCCACCCTGCTACTTTCGTCGCTCTGCTGCTCGCTCGGCGTCGGGTATTCCTTTTCGGATCTTTGCCTCCCGTATCAAATGTAAAAGTGTCTGGGTCTGGAAGAATCACGCTGCTTCTGCATGACACAGAAGGTCTGGCACTGAAGCTCTAGCATCACAAGTTTCGAGAAGCTTCCGCAAGGCCGAATCCGCATGACAAATCCACCATTTTGGTGACAGAAAGTGAGCAGCTTTTGCTGCATATGCATAAGAGATTTTTGTGTGTTCTGAAATGCGCATCACAAGTTACATTCATCCAGACCCAGACATTTTTACACTTGATATCCCGGCCGACCACCCCGGCTCGCCCCTCTTCGTCCTCCATGAAATCTATGTCTTCCTTATTACAATGAAAAATGCCCCCACCCCCGAACTTGGGAGCATTTGTATTGCAAACCTTTCCAAATGAAACACTCGCCGTCTTGCATCTATCAGCATCACAGGTCTCCAATCGTGAATAGCAAAAGTTTGCATTGCAAAAGACCCCAGCAAGAGCGGCGCTTGTCATGCAAGCGATGCGATACACGCCTAGACTCTGCATCAGAAAGGTTCATACTCCTTTCATGCATGACAAAAAGTTTTCATTTGGACACTTCGCATCACAAATTTTTGCAATTTCAGGGGTGGGGGGCAATTTTCACTGTAATATTCCTCCATAGTGTAGTCCTGGTAGGTTCGTCTTTTTCGCACATTCACAATGTGGTCGAGCTCGGCCTCGCCGGTTTGCGCCCGCTTGGCGTGGTAGTCGTCGGGAAGGGCCGCTTTTTTCATGATGTGCTCCTCCACGTACGTTTTCGTGTTGTTGCGCAACACGTTCACGTAGTGCCTGTCATGTGTTTATAATTTTGCATGGTAGGCATAAGTATGTTGCGGCAGGCGCATTTGGCAAACGGAAAAAGTATTCTGCTACTGCTGCATCATTTTCTGTATCAGAAGGCTGCAGTCGCTTTCGGCGAATGAAGAAGCCGAGCGACTGTTAAGGCGAAGCCGAACGCCTTAAGAATCCGACGAAGACGAACGACTTAAGAAGCCGAATGACTTAAGCCGAACGACTTAAGAAGCCGAACGACTTAAGAGGCGAAAGACTTAAGAAGCCGAAAGACTTAAGGTGGCGCCGAACGACTTAAGAGGCCGAACGACTTAAGGTGGGGCCGAACGACTTAAGAAGCCGAACGACTTAAGAAGCCGAACGACTTAAGAAGCCGAACGACTTAAGGCCAAGCCGAACGACTTTCTTAAGAAGCCGAAAGACTTAAGAAGCCGCAAGACTTAAGAAGCCGAACGACTTAAAGCCAAGCTACACAACTTAAAAGCCGAATGACTTAAGAAGGCGGACGACTTAAGGCGAAGGCGAACGACTTAGGGGGCGGCACGGCTTATGAAGGCGAAAGACTTAAGGTTAGGCCGCACGACTTAAGGCGAAGGCGAACGACTTAGGGGGCGGCACGGCTTATGAAGCCGAAAGACTTAAGGTTAGGCCGCACGACTTAAGGCGAAGGCGAACGACTTAGGGGGCGGCACGGCTTCTGAAGCCGAAAGACTTAAGGTTAGGCCGCACGACTTAAGGAACCGAATTGAGAGGCCGAACGACTTAACGAGCCGTCCGACTTACCAAGACGGAACCTCCGCACGAGCCGCACTACTTAAGACCAAGCCGAACGACTTAAGACGGCCACCAGCAAGCTGGTTATTCAACAAGAGGAGCACATAAACAAAGAAAACTGGTAGGTCCAAATATTAAATGCGTTTCTTCAATACCACAAAATTTCGTATGGTATGCGGCTCAAACTGGGTATGAGGTTTTTCGCTTCCCGCACGCTTTGTGGGCACAAGTTGCAGAGCTGAATGACCTCGACCGCGAAGAGCCGGTGCGAGACTTCATACGTGTCCTTCTCCGCGTCCTCGGGTTTGTCTATGTACTCATCCACACTCGCCTTCAGTTGTCGCACCGTGCTTGGGTACCCCTTCCGGTCGATGAAAGAGAGCGGAGCTTTACCCGTAAGAGCTGGCGCTTTCGGCACCTCCACGTAGTCGAAGGGCGGGTAATCTTGGGGGTGACCTGTTCGTCGTGTTTCCAAATTTCCCGTTTTTTTTGGGAACGCAGCAAAAAATTACTTTCCATTGCATCGAATGAGAATTTGCAGTGTATAGGCAAGAACATTTAGGTAGCGACTTGCGAAAGAGAAAGTATACGTTTTATCTCCGCGTCGTCTGGTGAGTGGAGATGTCTTGTCCAATGCTCCAGCAGCATGCGCGGCAGTGCCATGTTGTCGTCTGTGCCGGGCTTCGGCAAGAGAAAACTCGTACTTCTGCAAGCTTGAGTGGTCAGGGCGAAGATGTCTGGCACGTTCCCTTTTCGGTGGTTCGAGATGAAGTCTAATCGCCTGTTGTAATAATGATGTTTTTGGGATTTTTTCTCGTTCGCGGAATCAAAAAGTCGCGGAGTAAAAAATCAATCGGATCACGAAACAGAACGAGAAAAACCGTCGAAAACAAAACTGTACTCAGCCAGTTCGTAGCCGGTTAAAGGATTCATGAAGCGGCAGTGCAAGGGGTGGCCTTCGTTGAATTTTTTTCCCTTTTCCGAGGTCTCAGGCTGGTCGTCGTCGTATTCGGACACGCCGCCCCAGAGGTCGCCGATGTTCAGTTTCTGGGGCACCTGAAAATCGTCCTCGATGATGGTGCCCATGTTGTGCTGGACGTAATCGTCCACATAGTCCTCATCGGGGACTTCCTCGGTCGTCTTCCCAAACATGTTCGGCATTTTGTTGAGGGGATGTAGGCGGTCGTGTGGTTGTGTCGCTAGTACTTCGATTCACCGATTATTACGGCTGGAGGTCCTTTGCTTTGTTTTCTAGCTGTTCGCTCAGTATCGCGGCCCGTCGAGGCACAACATTTTCTCACCGGTAGTTGCTGTTGCGCTTTTTCCGGCGTGGTGGGAAAGGTTCAAGTTGCTTGTCGCCACGGAAAAAATACTTAACTGCTCTACAACTTGGACGACAGTAGGTTGTAGAACAAGGACTACAAACTTTTTGAAAAAGTTCACTACACAAATTGAGTCTCGCTTAGTTGTTGTGTCGCTGCTAGGGGTGTTTGCCGTGTTGCGTGTTTGATGGTGGTTTTCTCAGGGAACCTTATTTCCGAATCATTGCAATCTTCTAACCTGTCAGCGATTTCCAAGAAGATCTAGCGGAAGTAGATGCCGTCGTTTGTCAACAGACAGCTGTCCTCGTCTGATCACCTGGATGACCCACAACAGAAGGAGCTTGTTGCCAAGTTCTTCCTCGCAGAATTTCTACGCGGGCACGGTCTGTGGTCCCTGCAGGTACAAGAAGCGCGAGCCTCCGCTTTCTTCTTGACAATCAGATCTGTGACAGGAGCTTCGTCTCGTGAAGCAACATCTTTAATGTCAGCGATAGAGCGACAGGTTCGCTGTATTTACTGCGACTGGTGTTGCGACAGAATCATTCAAAAATTTTATTTTTCTCATCTTAGATTAGTATAGCGGTCTATACAGCACTCGCTAGTACTTATCCACAATTTCGTCAGTGAGTGCGCAAGATTCTTCGAAGTGATCTAGAGATGTCGAGATCATCACTGCACTGCCGTACTTTAGTGAGCAATCGCAGCGGACTTATTATATTGGTGAGCGACGGACTAAGATTTCGGGCTTTCGTACTACACTGCTTCTATCTTCACAGCTCGCTCGGAACGCTCTTGAAGAACATCATTTGCAGCAGGACGCTGTACTTATTCAAGAGCAGGCATAATTTTCCAGTGAATCATGGGAGAACAAGACGCGAACGCCACAGAACCTTTACTGCGACGTGAAGTGCGCGGTTGTGCTGCAAACCGCCTGTCCGGCCGGCGATTCACAGACACGAAAGCTCTTTCTCGCGCGCGCGGCACGTCATGCGTTCGCTTTTGCAAGACGGCCCGCGATTCTTCCGCGCCGGACATCTTCATGATCTGGCTACCTTCACAACTACTCCTAGATTCACATCAACCATTTCTGCTGCAGCGCTGCAAAGATAAACCTCCGCCTTGCTCAGTCGTCAAAGCAGTCTTTTATGTGCATCGCATACAGCAGGATCCCGGTCGAGAGCGGGATAATGATGAGACTGCCGATTACGATCCCCGCAAGGCCACCGGACATGACTCCAGCCTCGTACTCAATGTCAATGTTCCGTATCTGCTGGTTGCAATTGTTGCCCTCCCAAAAGGGATTGCAAATGCACAGGTCGCCACCGCCAACCGGGCCGCATTTTCCTTTACCTAGGTGTGGAGATTCTTTTTCTTTTTTACAAGTTGCAATTTTGCTGTATTGTGTTACGCACTGTAGTATCGCTATCCCACGAGGTGGACCGCTAGGAATTCTGCATGCAAAGATCAGATAAACTCTCCCTTGAGTACCGGAACACTGCACGTCTGCGTTGCAGGCTGCCCGTGGCGCGATACTGGTCAATGTTTGCGCGTCACTGGAAGGTATACTTGTTGCGAGCAGAAGAAACAAACACGAAACCGCGTGCAAGAGACGCGAGAAACGAGGAACGAGTGATGTTGGCATCTTGTGTCTCACCGCCTGCCACGACGCGGCTCTGAAAGAAACACCTTCTTTTGTCTGAAACGGTATGTGGTCGAAAGGAACTTCATAAAATGCAAAAGGCACTTTCTCACATCCCTCAATCACTTTGTTCCCTCTGAGTCGTCTGCACGAACTTGGATCTGTCACAGGGTTCCGTCAGCTGGGGATCTGCAAAGAGGATTCTTCGTCCTGGCCTGTAAGATAAACACAGTCTCGCATTTGGAGAGAAACGCAGAATTCGACCAGCCAGAGTGGCTGCAGAGACGAGGTTTGATATTCCAGCCTTACCTAGCCCGGTAACCGCATTTGCAGCATTTTTGTACTGGAATAGTTGGAAGTGAAAGTGATGCGACATCAAACTTCTGTTATTTACATCTTCGCCAACAGATCTGAAAAGTCAAACTCGTCTTCCAAACCCCGGAAGTCCTCTTGAAAATCTCGGCTGGCTCGCCACTTTGCCAGAAAATCCGCACGCTGGAGCACGTGACCGCCAAGGCGGTGTGAAAGGGGAGAAGTGAGGACGCGACCGGCTTGTACTGCTCTTTGTCAAAAATGCACACTTTAACTCTCGTGCCCTCGTACTCGTAGTTATGCAAGAACTCAAAATGCATTCTCCGCAAATAAACCAACCAACACGCAAGAACAGTGTCGCGCCCTCACGGTCTCCACCTTCATACATCCGACTTGTATTTCATGGTCATGTCTCCCGCCTCCTCCTGCGTGTCTGCAGCTTCTCCCGCTTTCTTCGCCGTGGGCTTTTTCTTCTTCCGGGGCGGGTGGCCCAGATTCCAAAAATCGTACTGATTCCTTTCGAGCCACTTGCCCAGCAGCCACATCTGCAGTAGCCCGCAGTTCGGCTTCGATTTGTCACAGAAGCCCGTTAACGAGGTGTACACTTTTCCGAAACTGTAACCGCACTCCCCTGCGATTAGCTTCAGCTTCTCCTGTTTTTTACTTGAGGCGGAACTGTTTGTCGTGTCGGTAGTAGAAGCGTGCGCTGGACCGCCTGCTCCGGAAGTAGAAGAACTACTTGCGCCGGGCTGTGTTTCAGTGGAAATACCCCCTGTTATCTTACCGGGCGTTGCAACCGGATCATTCTCTTCTACCACCTCGTAGAGCTCGATAGAATGTGGGACCAGCTTCATGTTTTTCTTACCGTTTGATCCTTCGCCACTCGGCGACGACTTCCCGCGCTGACGTCCTTTTTGTTCTCGCACATTTGTGCTAGAGCTGGCTTGGCCTGCTTTCGACGCATGGTTTGGCTCCTGCTGGGCTTGAAAGAAGGCGTTCATCTTCCCCCTGCCTTTGCTTGCCTCTGGTGGCAACAGACCCGCCTGCCGCACCAAACTTGCATAGTCTTTGTTGTACCAGCAGGACTCGTGATCTTCTTTCTGTGCCTCTTCGTCTTTCCCCGTCGCATCATCCGCAGATTTTTCTTTCTCGGCATTACCATTTTTCTTTTTCCCCGCCGACCAATACTCGCCGATTTTCCGGACGCACTCGTCCCAATTTCTCGTGTTGAACAAGCGGAATTTCCCGCGCTTCAAAAACCGCCGCGTTTTGCGGCCGATATGTAGGTTCTGAAAGTCCAACACGCAGTAGCTCTTCTGGATCTCGGGCAGCAAATATTTCGAGTGGCGCACCGCGATGAACCCCTCGAAGGCCAGGCGGCGGTAGTACTGCGGGGTCCAGGTGGTGGTGATGTAGTAGTGGTGGTAGGTGTCTTCCATCAGAATTTCGAAAATTTTCTCGTTCTCCAAATCGTCGGGCTCTAGACGCCGAATCGGCGCGGGCTCCTCGTCGCTGTCGTCTTCGTCGGGATCATTTTCTTCGTCTACGTCCATGTTCGCGGTGTTTTGTTGTACCTCCGCTGCTGGTTGTTCGTCATTCTGCGCTTTTGCAGGTGCGGCGGCGGGGGTTTGTTCTTTATTTCCAGGTGAAGAAGTACTATGCGTCTGTTGTTCACTTTCTTTTCCGGCCTGGCTGCTGCTCTTCATATTGTCGTCGTGTTTCCCAACAGCAGGCGAAGTCGCCCCTGTTTGATGATTCTGCGGCGCTTGTGGTTCACCTTCGTTCCTTTGCTTCCGGGGCCCCGAAGAAGGACTGCTGCTGGTCGCTTGTCCCTCCGCTCGCGCCGCGGGGCGGTAGGACGAAGAGCTGCTGCTTGCGCCGGGAGTGTTTTGCACATTATCTTCTCGTGCCACTGGTGCAGACATCTTGTTGATCGAAGGGAGTTTTACGTACAAACCAGGGTCGGCATCAAACTTACTCTCAGAAAGGTAAAGCTACAGACCCCGCTTTACATTTTACAATTCTTTCGGTGCGTACTAGGTAGGTAGAAAACTAACCAAGTGAGGTAGAAAACTAAACGAGCACTTTCCACCGAGGATCACTGATGAAGGTGCAAGTTGCACAAAGATCGAGCGGTTCCCGAAACTCTAAATGGGGGCAACAGTTCCAGCCTTACTTGGATATTAGCATCCTGTCCTTCTTCCAGTACCGGGGCGCACAAGGCAACCGAAACACCTAACTAGATCCGCCTAGAAGAAGATCGCAAAGGAAGACAAGCTGCCACTAAAAATCTTCCGAACAACAGTGAAACAAAAGGAGCGGATCTCTTCAACTCGCGACTTGGCAACCGTGCGGGGTTTCATTAGCACGGGCGTTGCTCTTCACGTAATTGAAATTGATATCGGTCGTAAAAACGTGCGAAACAACAATTTACTGGCAATACTACATGATCATCCACATCCAATCTTTTCTTGTGTTTTTGTACAGGAGTTTGATGGCATGTTCTTGTGTGCTACTTCAGAAGTTCATCTTCATTCGATAGCAGCACTATTGCTATTCCAACCGCACGGAAATAATCTTATCCTACATTTGCGGACAACTCCCGGCTAAGGGGTGCTGACCGCCGTGCCGACCGGCGCCCTTGAGAAAGGGAATTTCCACGCCGCCCTTCCCGCCGAAGATGATGCACTCTTTCTCCAAGTCGAGAATGCACTTAAACCTTCGCATCTGGTCGATCCCCAGCATGAACAGCGGCTCCTTCATGTCTAGCACGACAAAGTCCAGGAAAAACTCCACCAGGTTGAAGGTCACCGCGACGTTTTCCAGCGTGCCCAAAATCTTCGCGGTGCCCACGCCGGACGCCACGCCCTGGCGCATGGTGTTCAATTTTGAGTTCAGCTTGAGGCGGTCCACGAGGGGTTTGGAGATCACGGAGTTCTGCGCGCCGGTGTCGATCATCATCTCCACCATCACCTGATTGATCTCGCACGCCACGTACACCATCTCGTCGTTGGTTTCCTCCCGCTGAACTTGCTGCGCCTGCTGCATTAGCCCGGGTAGCGCGCTCGCGGGAATCAGGACGGGCTGGCCGCCCCCGGCCGGCTGGACCAAAACCATGTTGTCTCCGTGAGCGTTATTTCTTGCGCCTTTATTCCCCGGCGCGTGGTGTGGAAGGAAAAAGTTTGCTCTGCCGATCTTGTCATGCTCGGATATAAGCTCGTTTTTACCTTGCATCAATAAGTTGCGGTCGTCCGCTGCTACTGGCACTGGAGATGAACTGCATACTGACGCATGACAAAATCACAGAACCATCTACTTTTCTTGCTATCATACATTCCCGCCCGTTTTGCCCATAGTCGGCTGGAAGTTCGCATGCCCGGGTGTAGCACCCTTCTGTTGCCCCTTACCTGCGGGTGCAAACGGGCTGAAACCCGGCCCGTGGTTGCTACCGCTTCCCGAACCCCCACCGAGAGGACCCATTGCGGGACTTGGGTTTATTATTGGTGGTCCGGACGCGCCCATTTCCCCGCTCAACGCCCACGCCAACTGCTCATCCTCGCCCTCCTGCGCGAGACGGGCGGCCAGCGCGGCATCCCGCTGCTCCTGCTCGCCCTGTATGGATGGCAAAAGTGCAAAGAACGCGCCATCTGCGTGCTGTGCAGTGAAGAACGACCACGGGTGTGCGAAATTCATCATTGCGGGATTCGCATGTATGATATACCAGAACAGATAAACCGCCTATTAGCAAATGAGTTGTCCGGATCAAATTCACAAGACAACGCACACGTTGACGACGCGGTCGAAATATTTCGCAATGCATAGTACGAAGCTGCTGTTGCTGGGCGGTGGAGCTGCCCGCCGTAGCCGCACCACTACTTTCCGCCCGATTGGTGTTCGTCGAAGCCGGTCCGCCGACCCGGTTCCCGCGCCAGAACATAGCCGGCTAGTATTGCAGGCAGAGTTTGAGTACCATTTTCGGGACTTTCGAAGAAAATAGCGAGCTATACGTGCTATATACTTCCACAGTATAAATACGGAGCAACTTGCTGGGCTAGTTTTCTAGTCGAAAGGGAATGCGTTTGCAAGTGTACGAGCTCTGGGGCCGCACCGTGCGGCTGAAACAAGCCTATCTCATGGATGCGGAAATGTTGATCTTTCTTTAAAGTAAAATAGAGGGGGCTCGTTGCAGGAAGTATTTGAATACGCGATATTTTGTATGACCGACGCAGAGCAGAAGCTGCGCAAACAACGTCTACATCATCGATCAAAGTGCCGTTAGAGCTGCAGGTCGTGTTCTGTTTGTATCATATACGTTACATACGGTTGGGGTCCTGTGTCGATATCGATTGGGGAAACCCGCACGCGATGCGTTCTTCACAAAGCAAGTACATGATCTTCGTGCGCGCGATAGAAGAAAAAACTACTAGCATGCGCTTTCTCGGAGATGAACCGATGCCTTTCAAATGCGATGAAACAACTATACCGATAATGTGGCGTCAACAGGAAGGAGCCGATTCATGTTGGCCTGAAACCGCACAAAAACGAAGCCCGTTAGCGTATCCGACAATAGCGTACTGGTTTGTCTTAGTAGAAGCGGTGCCTCGCCCCCGTAAGGATAGAGGGAGCGTAGCACCGACGGGGGCACACTGTACCCGGAACCGAGTCTAGTTGCTCGCCGCAATAGGGCGTCTTCAAAAATCACTGGGAAATGGTGCAACTTAGCTTCCTCGTGGTCAAAGAAGACACAGAAGAAGCAGCCGCACGAAAGGAACACAGCTCGCAGAGAACCACGGTGATGATCCGGCTTCGCGGATCGGGCCGGGCTTGGCCGCAAGGCCGAGGGGCGCTCTGGCGCGGGAGCGATCATGCTGCTGCCGGCCAACTCGTCGTCCCAGAAGCTTTATCTTTCAATCGGCGCAAAAAGCGCAAAACCCGGGCCGAAGCAGCCGGCGAGCCCATATTTGCGGTAGCGGTGGGCCGGAAAAGGGCACGGGTAGGCGACAACAATTCCCGGCCGGGTGCCCCAGCGGAGCGGCGTGCGTAAGAAGCTGCGGCTGAAGCGTGGCGCGGGGGAGGGGCACGCGCCGAGGGCCCGCGGCGCCGGGGCCCGGGAAATCTATGAAAGACGGAGGGCTCGACGCACGCTTCCGCGGCTGTTCATCGCGGCCCATCCGGAAGCGCAACCGCGGGCGGCCTTGCACAAACGCGGGCGCGTGCGCCCACCATACCGGACGCGCCTGAGATGTGGATCGCGGCCCGGCAATCGGTGGCCCGCCGCGCTGGGACCCCGTGCGCAGATGGTGATCAAGCAGGGGCGCCCGCGTTGCCAGGCATCGTAAACCGCATGGCATCCCCTGCGCGGGCGCCGTCGGCGCGACCCACGATGCAGGGCTGACCCTTCCGGGGCTCTTAGGGGCTCATTTGGGCCATCGTTTCTTATGCTTCCTCCATGTAGATCCTCTGAAGCCCAGGCCTCTTGATTTTCTGCCATTTTCGGAAATTGAAGGTATTTACATACTTCTAGAAGCCCCTGAGTCTTGTCGATTTGTATAATGTGGAATAACAAGGGCAAACTGTCTTTATTTTTTCTGTATTTGCTCCAGTTTTTCTCATATGTAATTAAACAACTTTGTCCAAAATTTCTGAAAAATAAATTTTTTGAATTTTTTTTAGGAGTTTCAAAAAGATTGCTAAGCGTTGCACTTAGCAGACCAAAGGAATGGCAGTAAAGCTTCCGATTTATATTATTTCGCAATAAAAAACCTTACATCGTCCAATATTTTCCATTCTGCCAATTTTTTCAAAATTATCCGATTTTCAAAATTCAGAGAGATTTATATGAAAAACTAGTAAAATGCAAGGTGGAATACAATACAAAAGACAACCGAGAGTATATAATATCAATAAATCTCAAAGCTACTGACTACAGATTGGACGTTCTGAATAATCGCAAAAATTCAAAAATTTTTAATTCCAAGCAATTCTCTAAGTTTTGCAATATTTACAGAGTTTCTATAGAAAGATGAAATGCATATGCATAATTGTCAAGAGTGTGTGTCATTTTATGCATATTTGGCAAGAAATATCCATAGGAATTCGCACTGTGATTTTTTTCCATTTTTTGGGAATTTTAAAAATTTTACAAATCATGGAATATTGCATGTATTTTATTGGTAATGTTGAAAGCAATCTATGTAATTATGCACACAGTTAGTTTCCTTTTGTATGGTGTCTTCTTAACTCCACAAAATTCCGAAAATTCTTTGAATCCAGACCCCCTAAGGCCATTGCTTACTCTTTTGGCTCTTGGGGGGAAGATGGGGGGGAGGGGGGGTAAGAAGGCCCACCCCTGACTTCTCTCAGGGTAAAAAGGCCCTTGGAAAGTGCTGATAGGGCGCGTTCTAGACCGTCGAAGACCCATGCTCACCACTGCCCAGGGCCGGCATCGCACCCCGATCCAGCAAGAGAGGTGAACGATGGGCAGAAGGCTTATCGGAGCTGCGCCCGATGGACTAAGCCTGTTCCAGCTTCCGCTAGGCTGCATGCGGGGCCCCGCCGTCCGGAACAACGAAACCGAGGTCCGTCTCCGACCGCGGTCGCGGCTTGTCTTTGGTTGCGGGCTAGCGTGCCCGCACCCGGTTCGCTGAAGCGCCGCGTCGCACCCTGTCCACGCACCGGCTTTACCGGCCAGAAACTTTGGAAGCTTCGCGAAGCGCACCGCTCGTCCTCACGTTCGTTGTTTACCATAGCGCTCGCTCGCTCGCCCTTGTGGGGCCCGTTTTAGTCCGGCTGCGGGGGCCGCGAGAGGCCGCGGTGCGGGAAATTTACCTCGAGCAGCTTCGCTCTGGCACCGCGCTCCCACCGGGGGGCCTATTTGCTTCCTCGCCGCCGTGGCGCCTCGACGCTGCCAAGCCCCGCGGCAGAGCGCATTCTAAAAAACTGCCGATCGGCAGCGCAATGCGTTTTAGTGCAACTTGAACAAGAGCAGCAAGTGTTCGCTGCCTCGATTATGAAATCACTTGTCCGACCCGAGAATCGTTTTCGTCTTTCTTGTCCGCAAAAGAGCGGATCCGTCGTGTTTTCATTTCTACTTTTCTCGTACATCGCCCCGTGCGGAAATTGTTTTGGATCCAGCGGCGTCCCGCTTGCCCAGGCGGCGTAGCTGGATGGGGCCCGAGTCGTCCACTCTTTCCTTTGTGCAATCGTTTCTCGCAAAAATTCAAAAAGAGCAGTTCGTCCCTGATCGTCCCCGTTTTCGTGTCGTTTGTCGCTTGTCGTTCTTTTAACGCCGCAAGATGGACGCCATTCCATTGTGGATCGGTGGCCACAAAGATAGTACGTAGACAACGCCGCGCGAACTTTTCATCGCTCCCGAGGGGCGGTGGTGCTCCCGTTTTAGCAATCCATTTGTCGCGAGCTGCCGAAATAATTTTTACACAGCTGCCATTCCCCCCAGAGACATTTGGTATTAGTTCACAGCATGGCTTTTCGCACGAGGCCTTCTATACTTTATTGATTTTATTAGCTTCTCCGCCTTCTTCATCTTCTCGTCCTCTTGCGCTTACCGCCAAAAGCCACGATGTCCGGCGACGAAGCCGGGGCGGGCGAGAGCAAGACGATGCTCCTGCCGCAAACTTCTACGAGCGAGCCGAACGAGAAAGACAAAGCCGCGGCGTCCGCCCGGGCCCGGGAGCGGTGGTTCTACCTTCGCAAGAAGCACTGTCCGCGGCTGCACGAGCGGAAAACGCGGGGGAAGACGCTGGTGAAGGACCTGAAACTTCTAGTGCACTACGTGCTGGATGTCTACGAGTGCCCCGAGGCGGATTTGAAGCGGCTCGAGGCGGTCGCCAGCGCGGAGATCCAGAAGAACCTGGAAAAGCAAAACCTGGAGGACGAGCCGCTCGTGGTGGACGCCAACCTCCTCGCAAAGGACTTCTCCGACGCGCTGGCGAGCTTCGACCTGGAGCGGGCGAAGCGGTCGCTGCGCCGCAAGGGGGTGCAGGCGGTCGAGAAGAAGCCGTCGGAACTTCTGGCCGAAGCGAAGAAAAAGCTGGCGGAAGAGGGGATGGCCAGAGACGGACGCCAACAACTTAAGGAAGCCGCTACCAAGTCCACGTCGGAAATGACCTCGATTGAGGTCGTGATCCCCGCGGCCCAGACTGGTAATAGTAGTGGTCAACACCCGATCAACGGTTATAGCACAGAAACTCCCGGACTGGCCGCGGGAGATATCCGCACGGCCGCCGCATCCGCATCCGGCGATCTGCAAAACCAGATGCAAATAACCTCGGCGAAGGCCCAACTCGCGCGGCAGTTGGAGTTGAAGAGGGACAGCAAGATCTACGAAAAGTCCCAGCAGGCACACCAACTCGCGAGGAAGGCGCTCGACGAGGGCGAACATTTGTTGCCGCTGGTAAAAGAGCACTTGCAGAAGTGCTCGAAGTACACGCGGGAGTGCGGGCCCGAGGTCACGGACTTCTTGCTGAAAAAGGCCTGCAAACAGCTGGACAAGCACGGGCGGCCGGAGTTGCTGCCCAACTTGCTGCAGAAGAAGGGATCGGAAATCCTGCCGGAGGAACTTACCAACGTGAAGCGCCAGGTGTAGGCCGCTGCGCTGCAGTTGCGCAACGTGGTGTTGCAAACGAAGAAGAGGCTGGAAAAATTTCGGATCAAGCTGGTGAAAATCAGCTCCATCATGTTCGTGCTGGGGAGTTTATTTACACAGTTGTACGACCGGTTTTTGAAAAAGGATCGCGCAACCGTTGACGATGACGGGGACTATATTGTGATCGAGTACGCGATTTTGTTCAATTTGCTGACGCAGATACCTATCGTGTTTCTCGGCCTCTATATCGCCGTGTTTGAGTTCGGAAAGGACATTGTCGCCGGCGTGCGGAAACTCGGCGCGGACTTGCGAGGGCTGTGTGTTACAGGGAAAGGAGTTGTAAACGCAGGGGAAGGTATTTCATCCGCAGCGGGAGGGGGGACGGGGAGTGGAGCAGTGGGTGGGCACGATCATGGTTCGAGCAGCAGCACGGCCATTGCGCCGTCGCCGAAGCACTGAGGCCGGTGGTCTGAAAGAAGTATTGGCGCGTCTTTTTTTTGGGCTGAATGTGAATCTGGGCGGCAGCACTAGCTTGCGTTGCGGCTGCTCGGTTTCATGTGATACCTATTGCAGCATTATCGTGCTTTTTTTTGGTTCGCCTAAGGACGTAATTTTGCTGGATAGTTCTTGTTTCGACGAACCAACCCACACCGTTTCAACAGTCAATCAGTCCCTGATCAGGCCCGGCTCGCCAAAATAGTGCAATATTCTCCAACAGGCCAAAGAAATCCTTTGGGAAAAATACGCTCGTCCGAAAATTTTTTGGAAGCCAAATTGCTGTTCCACTTGACTATCGATCTGGGTTGCTCCGAGAAGCCGGCGAATAGCTCTTTTTCCTTTTTTTTTTTTTTTGCAGAATGAAATACAAGAGGAAAAGAATCTAAGCGCTTGAGATGAAGTTAGCACAACACACTTTCACAATCGATGAACTCGGAGAGGCTATACTGTCGAAGAGCGAAAACTCGATTTTGAGAAACTAAAATCATGGGCGTAAGATAGCGGCGATCTTTTCCGGTGACTCGACGTGATTGCAGTTTGGAAAACCGCGCTGCGGGTAGACGAAGTACAGACCCGTTGAACAAGGTGAAATCCTGGCACGCAACTGACAATCAGCACCTACATCATGTTCCCCAAAACGAAACCCTCCACCTCCAGCGCCCCCTCCAGCCAACAGCCCGAGCCGCGCGTTCTCCTGACCGGCGCCTATGGCTTTCTGGGGACGCACTGCGTGAAGAAGGCGATAGAAAGCGGGTTTCGCGTCCGGGGAACGGTGCGGAATTTCAGCTACGAGAAGCAGCTGCGGAAAGCACTGGGGATAGAACAAAACGACAAGAACGCGGACAAGTTAGAATTGATCAAACTCGACCTGGAGCAAAGCTCCCAGGAGGAATGGAGCGAGGCCATGAAAGGTTGCGACTACTGCCTTCACCTAGCGACGCCGGTGGTGACCACGTACGTTTCAAATCCAGACACGGTGTTGAAACCCGCGGTGCAGGGGACGGAGAAAGTCCTGCGGGCCTGCGCGAAAGCAAGGGTAGAAGAGATGAGATTTTGATACAGAAGCTATAACGCAACTAGAACTAGTTTTGCTCTACTTACTTAAACGGTAATTGCAGCATGACTTCATCTTTATCAAAAATTGATCCAAGAGGCAACGTTTTTGTTGAAACGCATTTGCAATTCATCTTCAGGTCCGCCGCGTGATTTTCTGCAGCTCTACGTCGGCCATCAACGCGGGCCACAGTTGGAACAAAACGCACTTCACAACGACTATCCAAAATGAAAATCTTTTGTCAATTATGATGGCAGCGCCCGTGTTTTGTAGAAGCAGCATATCTTAGTGATTATGCAGAAACGACTAAGAGTATGACGTAGGTGCCGATCGCGGCTATTTTTCTGATACATGTCTGTTGCTCCACCCGGTTCTTGACAACAAATTTTCATTCCATACCAAAAGACTGGAACGCCGAGAGCCCCAACGGGAACGAGGACAAGGTTTTTCTGTACGAAAAATCGAAGTCCCTGGCGGAGAAACAGGCCTTCAAAGTCGCCGCCGAGCTCGACTTGGATCTCATTTCCATCCTTCCGGGCTCCATCTGGGGCCCGAACATCCTGCCCCGCCTCAGCCCCTGCGGGGAGGCCATCCAAAGGATTTGCAACCGGGAGGTGCCCATGATGCCGGTGCTGAGCTTCAACTGCGTGGACGTCCGCGACGTGGCAGATTTGATGATCCAGGGCTTGACCGTGAAGCTCAGTGACACGAGCAGTCCGAAAACCAAAAAGCAGCAACTCAACCGCCGGTTTCTCGCCGTGGCACCGGAGTCCATGGACATGAAGGTGATTGCGAACATTTGCAAGGACGAACTCGGCCCCTATGGGTGGCGCCCGCTGACCACGTTTGGGCCGTACGCGATTTTCTGGCTGTCATCGTTCTTCCTCGAGCAGGCGGCGTTTATCCTGCCCAACATCGAAAGGGCGTACACGTATGACGTGGAAAACACGCTGGAAACGTTTTCGGGCTCGGGTTTCAAAAAGTTCCGGAGCGTTCGGCAAGCGGTCGCGGACATGGTGCACTCGATGCACGACATGAAGATGCTGGACCCGAGTCGGAAATCCATGCTCGTGGCCGCGGTGAAAATGGTTTGTGGGGACAACGAGTGCACAAGGTTTGTGTGTCCGAGTAGAGCGAATGGAGGATAGGTAAAAAAAGAACGTGGTCGTGTAGTGTGTTTGTTTTCGACCTTCAGACGGATTTCATGGCAATAGTACGGTGTAAGTATCTCACTGCGTAATTTGATCGCGCCGTAACAACTTCCGAGCTTGTTGTTCGGAGCAGTAGTTCTGCTGCTTCCCTTGTGTTCCCTCGGAGTGCGGACGGTTGTCACTTTTTCGTATGTAAGTGTTCGGAGCGGGCACTACAACTGCAACAGACAAAGGCACCGTGCTGCACGACCAGGGCCGCTCACATTTTTCTTTCTTTGGTTTCCGGCGGTTTAACCTCGTTCGCATCGCTCGACGGAACTTTGCGCAGTGAAAATCATTCTGAGACTACGTACAATTTTTGACTGTTTATGAGCGCGAGGCCGAGAGGAGCGACAGAGTGGGTTGCTTTCACCACAGGAAAAAATCAGCGCAAAGCTGGAAGTACATAAAAGAGGGAGTCTTCTGTGGAAAAATGCCAGCCTTCACAGATAGCTGACAGCGTCCAATGCAGCGAGGTAGCTGAAATATTCACTGCTGGTAGTCGTGGGGTCAGTCGTTCTTTTCATTCTACTTTTTCACGTTTCCACAAGTTTAGAATGATGCGACGCTTGTAACGATTGAAGTGTCTACTAGGTCTTCTGTTGCAGTCCACTGGTAACTGCTATACAAAAAAGTGCAAGCGGGGAAGCCTTCGGCCGGAGCAGACCACGCATCGCCAGGACATCAAAATGAGCGATAATCAAAGTCGAGCGATCTCGCCACCGCTAGTGCCGCGTTTCTACGCCCGGTGCCCCGAGCAGTCGGATCGAAAAGAGGTACCTACGACGAACTGTTGAAGCTTATGCGTTTTTCGTCATGCAGAATTCAGACAACTTCAACTCACAATGCATGTACGCATCACAAGTACTTCTTTACTTCAGGCCGCGCACTTCGATATCGGCAGCCCAGACGGGACACCCATGAACGACGACCTGCTGATGCAAAGTATGGCTTACCAGAATGGAACTTCACATATGCTGCGTTTGACATGCTGTTTTGCTATCGCCACAAGAAAATGAGAAGGCACGACAACAGATCACTCTTTGACTCAAAGGCGGAAGTTCAGACTGTCGAGCGTTTCAGTTTCTAAGAAAGGAAAAGCTCCCGGGGGCATGATGAATTTCGCCAGGCCCTGAGAGATAGCAAAGCGGCTTGGAAAAATTGCGGGGGCAGTTTTCATTCCCATAAAGGACCGTACGGCGACATGTTGTTGGAGCAAAAGGAACCAGAAGGCACTAAGTATTGAGCGTTATCTGTGATTCAAAATACGTAGTAGCACGTAGCTACGTAAGAGCAAGCAGAATACGAATATCATTTTTCACACGGAATGCAGATGGCTCAATGTACTTTCGCTGCCTTCGTGCGTAGAATCAAACCAAACATGAAATATTCACAGGGCCACTGCGCAGCATGCCGCTTCGCTGCCACCAGCAACTGCCGGCACTTCCTCTTCAAGTTCGACCTTTCTCAACCGGATTCCAAGCCCGCTGAAAAAACGACGGTCGGTCGTGGCAGAGGAATCCACGACGCATACCTCATCGCCAGTGAAGGCAGCAAGCGGAACGACGAGCAGGAGCGCAAATCACGTGCAGAGCGGGAACGTATCTGCACAAGGAGCCACCGCCGTTTTCACCGTCTACCCCCCGAGATTTCCAACCGCCGAAGAAGAAGAGAACTACCTGCGGGACGAGTTACTGGACGGGTTTTCGGCGAAAGACGAGGAAGACGGTTCTCATGCGGTAAGAGAAGAAGGCGACTACGACGGTCAGGACTCGGAGGGCATCTTTGTCGACGAGGAACTGTTGGTGTTGCCGGTGCACCACGGGCATGTGGACGAGAATTCGCGTGGGTCAACATCAAAGCCACGAGTGCAGCCCAGTCTCCTGCCCGCTGCCGCGGTTGAGGACCGCGAAATTTCCGAGGATCCAGCGATTATCTACTTCGACGGAGAACTCGGAAATAATAGCGCGGAATTCCAAACGCAAACTGCCATGGTCGACCTCATCGGACAGTCTTCTGTTGGCGTATGGAATAGAACGTAGGGTGAGTCAGCTGAACATCGTTTTGTTATGCGGAGGCTGCGTAGTTTCCTGCCCCTCCGGTCATTGATCTGTTTCAGAATTAGCAGGCTTTCCTATTAGCAGGCTTTCTTTCATCACCCTCGGAATTATCGTTAGGAATTTTTGAATTTAGCATGTCCCTCTCAACACCGCATGAAAAATGTCAGCTTGACTCAGATTTTCCAAAGGATATCCTGCGGGTTTGGAGCTGTCACGGATCACTGAGGAGCAGGCTACGAATCGGAGTAGTGATGATTTGTTTTTGATGTTGTTTGAACTCAGTCTCACCCATTAGCAGTATTTTTGTCATGCGCCAATATTAGAATACGATCTCCTTTCCTCTACCACAACAGGCGACCTGCTTCCGGAAGACGGATCACAAACCGGCGAAGAATCCGTGTCCATCCCGGAAGTCGGCGCTGAGGTGCTGCCGCAGATGTTTCGGGAACTGGTAGAGCAGGATCGACAGGAGGACTTGAGCAAAATCGTGTCGCATGTTATGTCACTCTGCGGAGAGGGAGAGGAGGAAAAGTTAAAGTATTTTAGCATTATCTGTTTCATTCACGGACGTTGCTTCTGATAGAATAGTATGACGCGTCTTTATTTGCATGTCAGAAGGGGTGAAGAAAAACATTCAAGTCAGACAAAAATTTAAATTATCATCGCAGCTCTGCTGCCGCAAGTACCAGCGACGAGCCAGAAAGCATGTGCCTCACCCCGACGCTACCAATAGCTGCACCTCCAGAAAAAGAAGCGCCTCCGTTCGACAGTTCTGCGGCAACTAAGAGCATTCCCGACGACATCGGTTCGTCCTCTTACGCCGTCGAGGGCCAGCATCAGCAGTTGCTCGAAACGAGCGAAAACAACACGTCCTTCAACAGCGCAACTACTCCCGCAGCTCTTGTTCCAACTTCCCTTCCGAACCTGAAGCCTTGCGAGTCGCTGGAGGATCTCACCACGGGCCCGAGCTCGGTGCGGCGGCAGTGCTCCCGCGTGGATTCGTTGACGCAGATTTTGGAGAAACACATGTACAAGGACGAAATCGTGCAGCAAAACTGTTTCCGGGAGGATCTCCACCGCTTCAAATTCGACCTGAGCGTGGACCTGACAAATGTGGAGCGGGAGGCGGAGAGTGTGTTGCTTAACAAGTCGGTGGAGGAACAAAACGGGGACGACAAACTGGGCGAAGCGTTGGAACGGCTGGCGAAGAGGAGACAGGAGATGCAGTAGAATTTCATCTGTTCGATAGGTTTTCAGTATGTGTGCATGTTGCTTGTTCGACACGTTTCAAATCAATGTGACTGCATGCTGTTGCTGACTTCGGCTACAAGGAAATGCAAATATGCAAAAATTATGAAATTTCAATGATCCCCCAGGTCCCGTCGCGAGCCTGCAGCCGCCCGTTTCGCCGATCTGAAGCAGTCCACTGTGGTGCACACCACCACTGCCTCCCAGCCGCCCTACCGGCAAGGGCACGACCCAACGGTCTATCAAGCAGAGCAATCTGTGGTCTCGATGCCGCGGCGGCCGGCTTTTGCCTCCCAGCCGAGGAACTTGTTCGGCGCGAAGCGGAGCACGAGTAGCGGTGGACAACAAGGGATGAATTATTCGCAGAACACGAGCCGCCGCTGCGCCTCCACGAACACGATCCGGGGCTTTGCGCGCGCGGGGGGACAGGTGCTGCTGGATGAATCGACTGAGCTAGAAAAGAAGATCGCTAGCCTAACGGCAACGCAGCGTCGCACCCACTCCGCGCGGTGCCGCAGTCGGCTGGAACAGCGCGGGCCGGGCGGAAACGGGATTGGTACTTTTGGAACTGCAGGGGGCTCCTTTAAAGCCCCTGACAGAAGTAGTGCTCCACCATCCTCTACCACGAGTTTCGGTGGTGTTGCGAGCAGAAGCGGCACCACTCGCGCTAGCAGTGCTTTTACGCAGAAGGAGGCAGGCTATGGGAGGAAATTTCCCACATCCATTGGAACAGCAAGCCGTCAGCTCCGGGGGCTCTCGCTGGAAGCGAAGCAGAACGCGGAAAATATGAAGGTACTACTGGGTGTATAACGGTGTGTACCATGCGCATGCATGAATGCAATGGTTTCTTCAGCACATATCCCAAAAAGCCGAGGTCGGTAAACATAATTGTCGTGGTGATTTTTCAGCCCTTCACAAAAAACAAAACCAGTTCTCCTCCGGCGGCGCGTTGTTCAACCCGCAGCCGCGGATTAACCAAAAACCCGCGACGGCGTACTCCAACCCGAAAAAGTCGCACGAGTCTTTCATCACGTCCCTGCGACAGCCGCAGAAGTTTAAGAAAAAGTCCAGTTACATGTATCAAATGTAAAAGTGTCTGGGTCTGGAAGGATGCGAACTTGTGATGCGCATTTCACAACACAGACAAATCTCTCATGCATAGGCAAGAAGCTAAAGTCACGGGAGGAAATGAGAAGTCGGCGACTCAACGAAAATCAAAACAAGCGGAAGCGAAAAGCACAAAGCAAAAGACAGAAGCAAGGGAGTTGGCCGAGCCAGTGCGAGCGGAAGTAGACCCCCTAACTTCAAAAGCGCCGCACTCATTAGAATTTTCAAAGGGAGGGCATAAAAGATACTCAAAGGAAGCCGGGGCATCGCAAGACCAAAGAGCAAGTAGCGCTGCAGGACAAAGAGGGAGAGCGAGCAACAGTGAAAACGTGAGGAGAAGAAAAAGCGCCGAAGGAGAAAGAACAGAGTCCAAAAAGAGAGAAGCAGAAGGAGAAGATACAACGCAAAGGAAAAGGCAGAAAAGCAAACAGCACGGAGATAATAAACAAGAAGCAGCCGAAGAGGTGGAGACGCTGGCGCAAACGATGCAGCGGATTATCAGCGAACCCTTGCAGATGGGCGCAGGAGGGAGAGCGGGAGGACGACTACAGGCGACGCAGGATCTCTACGGTTAAACAGCTGAAAAGTCTCTAAGTCAGCCCGGGAGTCGCGTCTGAATGTTCTACAAGTTTGAGAAATGCACTTCGTTGACCGTTTGAAAACACATCACTGCAAGACTTTGCCGGCTGCTGAAAAGTACAGCAGTCCAGTGCAGTAGAGTTCTAAGTCTGAAATAGAAACAGGAGAGCGCTAAAAAAAAAAAGAAAAAGAAGCCTGCGAGAAGATTCGCGCGACTTGGTGCGTTCGTCCCAAAGCCTCGCCATTGCTCTAAGAGCCTTCAAATTCTTCCCAGCTAGTGGATCCATTAAGCGGCCGACGAAATTGATACAACCAAGATCAGCACGGGAGCACTCAGGCAGATCACGAGGCAGGGCGAGGAACTTACAGGATCCCAAAAATATACTAAGCAGGTAAAGAAGATCGAGCCCATCCAGATAGATAAGCCCGGAGACGATCCAGACCAAAAAAAAAAAAAAACAAAATAACTACGCAGGTAACGAGGCCAGGCGTAGCGCAGAGGGTTCGACTTGAATGCGCGAAGATTCTGAACCGCGAGCCGGGAGCAGCTAGCTAGACGGGAAAGGGGAGAGTCAAAGTGGGGAAGAGGCAGGAGAGGAGGCGACTAATGTTGAGGAAGGAATGAGGCGAGTTGAATGGCGGCGAGTTAAATTGAAATGGAGGCGAGTTAAAGGTGAAGAGGGGGGCGAATTTAATTGAAGAGGAAGAAAAGAGGAAGGAGGGAGATGAAGCATAAAACAGGAGGCCATCAGCTCGTAGATATAAGCTCCGCCATTTGTATAAGTAAGACATTTTCTTTTATAGTAAATCAAGAACGGCGCGAGCACCTTATAAACCCCCCCAGCCGTCCCATATTTGCATGTGCGGGGAGTCTAAGTAACATGGCTCGCCCGAGTCATTGACGAACCGGGAAGATGGGAGGTGGGGCTTACAGTCTTCAGACAGGCCAGCCGCCGTGAGGGACTACCGCCTCTGTTATTGAGGATAGCGTGTGTCCTCCTCGACTGAGTTGCGTGCGCGGCCCATCCGTGTTCCGCGTAAACCTCTACAGGAGAGTGTGCGCCGCGTCGAAAGGCTCCCTTCCGTACGGAGCGCCCCGAACCCTTTTTAGCGCACCTTTATGATGGCCTTACTGTTGAAAGGATGGAGGGAGTTACATCAGTTTTTAGAACCCAGTCTGTTTATGCTAGCAAAGGGCTAGTGCGCTGTGGACCCCCAGGATCAGGTAGACGAGGTCCCAGACCGAAGTGGTAGGCGCTTAGGGTGAACTATGTATGTAGCGCTTAGGGCCCTTCCGTACGGCCAATTTGTATGCCCGTAACGGGGTTCGCCTAAGTCGGTAATTTATATGCAAGGCGTTGGGTTACCCGGTCGGCAGAGCCGATCCACAACGAACGAACGATAGGCAGCAAAAGGTGCCCACTTCCTGTCCCTAAAATGGGGGATTTGTCATGCGGATTAAGCAATGCGGAAGCTTCTCGAAATCTGTCATGCTAGGGCTTCCATGACGGACATTTTGTGTCATGCAAAAACAGCATGACAAGAATCTGCATTCTTCCAGACCCAGACATTTTTACATTTGATAACATGTCCACTTCTCTCATTCTCGACGAGCAGAGCACCATCAATGACTTGTCCTCGATCCACGACAATAATTCCCCCGGGCGCGGCGGCGGTGGGGGGGACGCCGTGGGGTCCTTCGCTGCTGGGACGAGCTGCAACCCGTGCAACTTATCCAGCATCTCTGAGGGCCGCGCGTACTCGCTGTGTAGTAGGCGAAGGAGCAGCAGCACTTCGGGGAAAGGCAATGCTGGATCTTTGCTGACGACCGGGATTGTTCGCAGGGGCTCCTATTACGGGCACTACGGGACAATGGTTGGAGGCACCAGGCGGAGTTCCTGGTGTAGACTGAAAGAGCAACAAATCGAAGACAAGATGCACTCTACCGCTTCTGCTAGTAACGACTACGAGCGCTCTGCTGTCGCAGCTATCCGCCCGCGAAGCAAGAGCGACGGGTTCGTCAGCGGGACCAGGTCGGTGCCGGTGGGGACCGGGTTTCGGGATAGAGGGGAGATGAATGCGGGAATAAATAAGCCTTCGCTGGAGGAGAAAGCGAAACATTCCCCTCGACCTCGAACATTTTCCTCAGGCAGCTGCGGCACAACAAACTGGAGCGAGGGGTCCTCGAACTTCCAAGCGTTGCAGGATCTCGAGTCGATCCTAATTGTCGACGGGAGTAGGAAAGAACCGATGATGATGAATCAGGCGAAGACCACCAGCTCTCCGGCGCTGGAAAATGTAGTAGAGCAGGAGCTACAGGAAAAAGCCAGCGCAGGGCAGGAAATCTTAGAAAATGAAAACACGCCTTTCCAAAGAAAGAACTGCAAGCTGACAAATGTAAAGGGCCCAATCGACAGTCCCGATGATGACAACGAGTTTGCTCCTGGAATAAACAAAGGCAACAATCACCTCGACGACGCGGAGAAATCTTCCCCGGAGCCCTGCCCCGGCGCCATCGACTCCCCGGACGAAAAGCGGTCGAATGAGGCCGTCGCGAACGAGTCAGACTCGTCCAGGAGCTCGCTGAACACGCCCGTGTCAGCTTCCCACGCGATGAAACACGTAGAACAAACCGTAGTTATCAGTCCAGCCAGTGACGCGAGCGAGAGTCTGCGGATTTTGCCCGAAAACGGGCACCTGCGGTCGGAAAGCTCCGCCGCGAGGCTTTTGAGCAACATCCAGGAAATCTGCCGCCGAGCGGCAGGGACGACGAGTAGTGCCAATAGCTCTGTCAGCAGTTGCGAAGATGCCTCAAGTACTAGCTCGCCCTTGGAACTACTGCATGGCACGAAAAGTAACGTGTTGTCCAACTACGAAAAGCAGAGGCGGAGAAGACTGCTGCTGCTGAAGAACGGCAATCCGCCCGCCGTGCCGCACAGTTCGCCTTCTACGGCTTTCGCGAACGGTGCTGACAACGTGGGCTTTCTCTCCAATCGGATTTCGGTGGAAGAACGACTGCAAATGAACGTGTTGCGGGACTTCGGGTGCAGTACCAATAGTAACTCGACGAGATCCGCGGAGGAAGTAGAGCGGCAGGTGGTAGCCGACGCTGCAGTTCCTCACAGTCACAACAAACCACCGACCGGGCATTCATCTGGGCAGGAGGGCGGCAGGAGTTTTAACAATAAACCTCCAGTCATGAGAACGACGACAACCTCCTCGTCTCTGACCCGTACTAAGCACGGGAATTGCCCGGGAGCTAACTCTACCCGGGCTTCGTCCCAAGTACAGCAAATCGCTAGACACGGCGCGGCTAGTGGTTCTTACCGCGTTGTCTCCACAAACGCGCGAATCGGCGTCGGATCTAGCGGCGAGCGGAGCAGTTTCGACGTTGAGCTGAGGACCAGCACCAGACCACCCGCGCCAACAAGCCGATCGCAGCAAATTGTACCTGCCAGTACCTCTTCGCTCACACGGTCAACTAAGAGTCACCAGGCCAGAATCAATTCGCACGCGGCGTCGCAATACCGTCTCCCGCCACGAAAGATCGTCCCGCAACGAGTTCCGCCACCCCGGGCGGCAAGCAGCCGAGCGGTGGCTAGTGGCTCCAGGACGGGTGCAGCTCCTACGCGCAGGACGACAACAAGCGTCGCCGGGCAGCAACATCTTCCGCAGGCGGCGGAGCAAGTACAACATCGCGGAGGTGGGTCCTTTTCTCGTGCCGCAACGCCGAGTGTGAAGACGCTCCTGCAGAAGAATTACGTCAGTCGGAACAAGGGGGCAACGACCTCAACGAATGCGGCTGTTCGGTCCTCGTTGGACCCGCCAAAACGAACCATCAACGCAGTGGGGGCAGTACCAGCAGGTGCCGCAGGAGGAGAGTATGAAGACAACGTCGTGCATCACAGTAACGACGCGAAAATTTCTCTACCCAAGCCCGACTCGCCGTCTCCGGAACAGGCTAGAGGGACGTCGCATGTAATATCGGCTTCTACTGGCTGCAACGCAGCTTCGACGACGAGAGGACATCAGCAGTTCGGTACTATGAACAAGCCACCAACCATTCCATCGAAGCAGGAGAAGGAAGACACCGCGGCCATGCAGTCGATGCTGGTTTTGGCACAGGAGATCACGGAAAAGATTCGGAACTTCCAAATGCTGTCCGGCCAATTGACCGGAGACGACAGCCCGCTATTGCCGGCGCAGCATCTGCACGGAGCAAGTGGTGCGAACGCGGTTAGTGGTGTACAGCATGGCAATAACATGACGTCCAGCAACAGCACTGCGTCTGCAGTGAAGCCGAGCGCTGGAGCTGGTGTGTATTTGGGCAATGCAGGCTTAGCGTCTTGCGTCAACCACAGCACGTTGTCCTCCATATCTACCGCGTCGAACTCGAGTGGCGCAACGGCGCAGCAACTCGTCTTGGCGGGAAGCAGAGCGAAGGAATTAGCCGCAGCTTCTACAACCGCGGTTTGTCGAGCAGCATCTGCAGCCTCCTCACCGCCACAAGCTGGTCAGCAGGGTAATAATGCTACGGGGAACAGTAACATGAACTTCTACAACAGTGTAAAACCAGCGAAGTTGTTGATGCAGCAGCCACAGCTGAATAGTACCAATAGTTTTGCGCACCAGCAGACGCAGCAAGCGTTTGCGCCGCAGCCGCGCGTGGGTGGATTTCTAGCTGGCTCGGTACAGTTTGGCACAGCAGGAAACTACGTTGCCTCGTCTAACGTTGCGTTGCAGCCCCCGACGACCAACACCCGTCTCCACACCACCCGCAGTCCGCAGCAGCAGCGCGCGTTTTGCGAACGGTTACACGATGGAGGAGACCGCCGCAGCCCTCCGCGCATGGTCAGTCAGAACGTGACGCAGCCGATTTACAGCCAAGTTGTGGTTGGAAACAATTCAAGCGGGGGACCACAAGTGCCAGTAGCGCAAACGAGAGGGGGAAAGGTGTTGAGCCCGCCGCCTTTGCAACGAGGGAGCTCCTGCAAAGTCAGCAATCTTCATCAGCAGCCGGCAGCAATTATCCCGTCAACGACGGTGAAAACTTCGAATCCGCAGAAGATGCTAGCCTGCCTGCAGAAAGAGATCAGCAGCGGTGACGTAGCTGTTGTGTCTTCAGCCACGACTTCTAGTACTGGGCAGGCGACCTATCCGACATCGAAGCTAAATGCTCCGCCGCCACCACCGCAACACAGCGCGACGCTGATGTCGCACACGTTGATTATCCTGAGTGAAAATGTCCCCACCCCAGGCCCAGGGTTGTCATGCAAATCTGCATACCAAAAAAGTTTCTCATGCGGAGCCCCATGAGAGCCATCTTCTAATCCTGTTTTGGATTTTATGATGCTAGAATCAGCATGATATGCTACATCTGTGATGTTAGGAACTAGCTAAACAGGATTACACTACGAGGATAAACTTGTCATGCGAAACAACCAGAGGTGGCCGATTTGTGTAGCGGATTTCCCATCTTGACTCTGGTGTGGGGACATTTTTACTCAGGATATTGATCCCCGGCGCGAGCCCGGGGACAATTAGCACCTGTTCCACTTCCGCGGGCACCACCCCCCTGACGCTGCACGCCCCGGCCCTGCTGGTCCCGAGTAGCAGTGCTGGTTGCCAACAACAGTCCGGGTCCTCTAGTAGGACAAGTGGAGGAGCCTCACAACAACACGCCGGTGTGCCGGCTTTGATCGTGACGAATAAACCCCCGGCGCACAACAACTCCACACCGCCCCCGTCTGCGCCGGTGTACTACAGGAGTAGTGTGATGGGGAACAACCACAATTGTTCTAGCTTCTCCTCTTCAGCAAGCTTAATCGGTGGAGCAAATCATGCCATCATCCGAGGTGGAGCTGCCAATGTGATCAGCAAGAGCGAGATGGGAAAAATTGTTGGCAGTGGAACTACACCAGGTCCTACAAATACGTCTGTGGACGACCACGGAGCAAATGCAAATGCAAATCCGGCGGGGAAAATCAATAACAAGAATTTACTGGAGCAGCAACAGGAGCAGTTGCAGTCGATTCTGAATTCCAGTGTGGTGTCCACGCCCGAACAGGAGATCGTCGGCGCGGAGGAGTACTACAAGCTGCAAAACAAAGGCAACTATCGCAGCCACAAGCAGTGGACGCCGGACCACTGGGCGAGTAACTCGTGCACGACGACTTCGCACAGCACGGAGTTTGGCAGCAGCAACTCGTGCCACCTGGCGGAGGAATTGAGTCGCGAGGCCGACGTGCAGGATTTGCTGGCGGAGGAGGAGGAATTGCTCACCACGATGGGCGTCAAGTACAGTCCCAGCACGAGTTTCGAAAATTTGCTACTCCGCAAAAAATTAGGCATCCACTACGCGGATCAGCACGGAATTCTCAGCACGGCGGAGTGCTGAGGCTGTTCTGTCTGTTGTTGTATGTGGCGAAATTGTTTTTCTGCATACTACAAGTCTTCGATCCACAACTACCACCGATTTCGATAATTCTGTATGTTCTTGAAAATCTTCGCATTTACCGTGCATAGAGCTTGAAAATTTATTCACACTTCTGCAGAACTAACTACCCGTGCGAAACTATCTACGGATCGGGAAGATCTTGTTTTAATAACCTTGATGATTCATCTTACACGATCGAAAGAAATTCTTGTGAACTTACTTTGAAGTCTCGGTATTTTGTACTAACCAAATTGTGCTTATTAGCTTCATTTTTACTTCCCCGGTGTTGATACCCGAACTTGAGAAAATTACCTTTGAAAGGTTCATCTTATTGCTTCTGCTGTCTTGTATCAAAATTTATATTGATCTTCTCTCCTTGTGGTCATTTAGATTTACATTATTGCTCGTTTCGAGCCTCTTGAACTTGAAGAAATTGGTGATACGCTGTACTAAAAATAGATTTGCGTGATCGTGTGAGTACCCAGAAAAGTGAAATTTTTGTTGTACCAACTCGGCTCGTCTGAGCAAACCGTCCCGTTTTAGCGCAAGATATCCTCGTCTTCCAAACTTTGTCGTGGTTTAGATTTGAGTGTGATTCATGGATTCAAGTTTATGACGGCGGGAACTGTCGTAGTCTACCTCTACCTTGTGTCATTGTCACAACTTTTTCGTGTCAGTATATCCGAAACCCGAAATGTACTTGTATCAAACCTAAAAGCAGATGAAATCATCGAAACTATCCCGCGTAGCACGACCACACACTGCAGAGCTATTGAAAAGAGGACTCTGAGCAACCCTAAACCACGAAAGACGAATTTCATCTTTTTACAAAAGCTATTCATAGCAATAATGGAAGACGTTTCATCCTGTATTCAATACAGGGGCCGTCTTGTTATGGTAAAGATTCTTTTCTGAAACCAGAGAACTTTGCAATTTGGATGGTCGGACGGAAACCGGAATTCGACGTTGCCAGCTATACCTTCTGTCGGCCAGACCGATTCTCGTCCCTCTTTCGGGAATACAGTTTTTACTACACTAGCTTGTTGAGAATAAAGATTTTCTGAAGGGATTTTGACGGATGTTTCCTACATCGATAAACATCGATAAACCGAGTTTCGACAAACACTTTTACTTCGCATCGAACTGCATGGCAGAACAGAATCTTCCTTGTCGTTTTGGCGCACGGTGGCATCTTGTCGTTTTGGCGCACGGTGGCATTTGCCGTCGCCGATGCAACAGTATTAGTACCCTTGATGTCGTTCGTCATCGCAACAAAATCGTCGTGAAAGGAGCTGTCACTTCCGAGAGCGTAATCGACGAGTAGGCGAAAAAGCCCTTGCGGTGTTGGCTCGGTACGAGGAAATTTTCGACGTGAAGAGAGGAGGGCAACACTGGATTTTTCTATGAATAACGTGATCGGACGAGTTTGTACATGTAGTGCGCGTACTAGGGGTAGCAGATAAAGTGCACAGCTTCACTGGAGGCTTGAGCATTCAAAGCTTTCGATTTGCTCCTTTCCAGACTTTTTTTTACCACCATAACAATCTAATTTTTGGACCCAATTTGAAAGTTTGTTTCACTCGACCGCAAAAAAAAAATGCGGTTTCCCGGCAGCGCAACAAGCAACTCATCCTCCTCGTTCACCTCCTTCTACGTGGACTGCGTGCAGTCGATGCAATGCGGCGACACGAAGTCCCCGAACCCACTCACCACACTGAAGAACTCACTCCTCACACCCACCTCCTCCTGCCCCTGCAAGAAGGCGGTCGAGGAGTTTGGCGACCGGAAACTGGTGAGCTCCAACAGCCCGGTCTTTTCCACGGGGGAGCAGAAGTGCGACCCTTTGTCCTACTACTACGACGTGCAACGGGACACCTGGTACAAGTGTTGCGGCCGGCCGCTGGATATGCCTTGCAAATATGTCTGGGTTTGGAAGTGTGCAAACGTATCATGCTAAATCTGAATCTTGCAAATATCTGTGTTGCGTGACCCGCAGAAGACACCCACTTCTTGCCACCTTCAAGGCGAATTTCTCATGCGGAATAGACATTAAGAAGGAGAAGCTGCAGCTGCAAAATTTGTGATGCGTCCGGATGCATTCTGCACCATCTCAGTGCTGGTCCACGAGATGCATGACAAACTTTGCTTTCTTCCAGGCCCAGACATATTTGCACTTGATACTGGACCCAGGGAAGGAAAAACTCCCGCTGATCGGCGACGCCTTCACCGAGATGATTATTACAGTGAAAAGTGCCCCCCCCACCCCTGAAATTGCAAAAATTTGTGATGCGAAGTTTCCAAATGAGAACTTTGTGTCATGCATGAAAGGAGTATGAATCTTTCTGATGCAGAGTCTAGGCGTGTATCGCGTCGCTTGCATGACAAGCGCCGCTCTTGCTGGGGTCTTTTGCAATACAAATTTTCGCTGTTCGCGATTGGTAGCCTGTGATGCTGATAGATGCAAGAGGGCGAGTGTTTCATTTGGAAAGGTTTGCAATACAAATGCTCCCAAGTTCAGGGGTGGGGGCATCTTTCATCATAATAATGATCGACAAACCCTCACTGCTTTTCCCCACCGGCGTGAAATCTTTTTTGAAAAAAGTAAAGTCCGCGGTGGTGGACAACGCCACGGCGCTGTTCGGCGCGGGCGGCTTTATGGGAACGCAGGGAAAAAAGCAGCAGTACTGTGTGGAAATGAAGCGGTCAAAAGGACCGGACGTGTTGGAGTCGAACAGTAATATTGAGAAAAAAAGCTAGCAGGACATATTTGTCTATGTAAAAAGATATGCTGACGCATGAGCAAGAAAAAACGATGCTTTGGACCCGCCGGTGACATAATTTTTTGCCTACTTCTTCTTTTTGCATTTAGGAATATGCCCTACTAATAGGTTTTTTCCCATGGGATAGCCACTCCGTTGATGGACGCCAACGACGTGCGCAATGGCAACGCGTTCGAAGTGCCGCGGTACAACAACCAGCTGATCTGCATGACGCCGAAGTTTAGCAAGCTGCTGCACCAGGAGCGGGGCGACTGCATGTGTTGGAACAGTCGGGAGGAGTGCATACGAATAGGAAAATACGGCAAGCGAACGCCGGGGATGGGGCATAGATACAATGTCTTTTTTGTATGATACGGAGACGGAGGAGAGTCGTGGCAGAGTAGTTCGTAGTTCGTTGTAGTTTGTTACTTAGCATTGGCTCTGTCGTGTCTGTTTTCCCTGCCGGTCTTCTCAGCTCCGACTCCTTTGTTTCTGGTTTATCAAGATGGCACTTCGCTTTGGTTTTGGGATCTCTGTCTTGATATACAACTTTAGCTGAACTATTTTTGCGTAGTGAACGAGAGTGTATGAAGATTTTTAACTACTGGGCTATGCTTGCCTAAAAAGAACAGAAAGAGATTTTGCACCAGTATCTGTTGCATATCTGGCTAAAGGGCGCGTTTGTACAGCTCGAGCGGGCTTCCTGTCTGGCGGCATGACATATGTTTTTCGTCGCTGCTCTTTCGGTCCACCTAAGCAGATGCGTCGGCTTTTCACAAAAGAAAAGTACTGTAAAATGTTGTCCGCGATGAAAGTGAAAAGAGATATTGGATCTGTTAATCACCTGCTGCATTGCTTTTGCCTCTGACCTCCTCCAATTGCATAGCGCACAAGCTCAGCTTGGATGCGCGGCGACCTCGGTTTGATGCGATTTTTTGTCTTCGGTAATGTCGGAATCTTGTCCCGCGAAGGTCACACAGGTCTAGTCGGTAACAAACTATACGAAAATAGGATGGTGCGTGCCACTTTCTCGGTTATGTTGAATCGACTTCGGTATTTCCACGAGCTAGATGACTGTGGAAGATCTATTTGATGACGCAAAAGTCTTCACGTCAACTCATGCCCGCAGGCGCAGAAGCGGCGTACAGTTTTCTGTACACCTACACAGTAAAAATTGCACCGAACAAATAAAAGAAGTGCAAGGTTTTATAGTGTTACGCATCGTGGTTTTGCTCAAATTTGTCTTTGCTCTAGCCTCACACGAATCGTGTATAGAACAACATCAAAGGTCATGAGCTTGCACCTTCAGATTTAGCGGACTTTCCCGTGAGAACAAAATCAGTTTACAAAATTAATCCTCTAAGATTCATTTTCGATATATTACTTGAAAGAAAAAGGAAAATCAAAATGGGTAACCAACCAGCATCCGAAGTTGGGTCCGCAGCTTCCTCCGCCCGCTCCAGCAAGCGGTTTCCCGTGATCACGCTTGGTTCGACCCTGGAGTTCCGCGCAAACCAGGGCAAGGAGGACGACATGCTGCAGTTTTTGGTGATGGCCCGGGACGCCGTCGCGCAGACCGAGAAGGAGGGCACGCAGAACTGGTACGGCGTGCGGTACTTCCCCATAGCCGATCTGGGGCAGAAGCCGCAGCCGGACCGGTTCGGCATCGTCGATTTCTTCGTGGACGAGGCCGCCCAGGGCGCGCACTTCTCGGGCGAGGTCCCGAACGCGGTGGCGGCCAACGACCAGACGGAGGACCCCATCGTGCAGGGGGGACTGGACGCCATCGTGGCCAGCCACCGGTCCTGGCGGCTGCTGACCAACCCGCCGAAGCTGACGGAGGAAAAACGCATGAAGCACGCCAAGTTCCTGTCCTTCATCCCCATCCGGGCGGGCAGCGAGGAGCAGGTGGAAGCCCTCAAGGAGCTGCTGTTCGGTGGGTTCCTGCTGGTCTCGGAAAACGAGAAGAAGACCTCCTTCTGGGCGGCTTGCCAGAACGAAAACGACCCCTTGGAGTTGTATCCAAGCCGAAAATAAATCCGTCCTTGAGCTGTTGAATTATACTGAGACATCAGTCAATGACATAGGACCTCCGGCGCAGATTTGTTCTGCAAACGATATCGCGAGATATTCTCGCAAAGTTACTCTTTAAGCATGCTGATGCACACAACTGAACTGCTGCTCCAAAAGCGCGCCTCCTACTGAATAAAAGGGTGGACCACACAACTGAGCAAGTGCTCTCGTCGTGACACCATTAAGTATAACAACAGCTCAAGGCTGCATTTTTTTGGGTCACAAGTTTGCTATCATCGACACTTTCGACTCAATCGGGGGTGTGTATGCGCACTTTGTGGAGCCCGCTTTGGTTCCTTCGGCGGTCCAAGCGGCACTGGTTGACAACCCGGATTTGATTGAGGGCGGCTGGGAAATCGGGGTGGTCGCCAACATCCGCGTCTTTCAGATCGTCGCATCGTACGCAAATGTTGCTTTGTCTCGCACCTCGATGGCTTTTGATCGTTCTGATAGATCCATACCAGTACCAAAGGAAGTGGATTCTTTGATAGGTCTTTGCCACGCCCCCCACTGGAACTGCCTTTGTATGACACAGCGAAAATAAATTCATTGCATATCAATGCATTCAGATTCACTTGCGTTCTGCTCTATTACGCGATCGCTGTATCAACATGTTTCGACGGTGGGCCTCACAGAAATCGCAAGAAAGAGAAACCGATCAAGAGACAAACTACCGAGAGAGCATTTACCGATCCATACTTTGAAAACGGACTACAATGCGGGGCCAAGTGCGACGAAAACGGCAAAAAGAGACTGCGTGATGTGCGGGTGAAGGCATGGCGATGAACGAATCAATTATAGTGCTCTATTCTTTCCGATTCTTTTCTTGTGAAGATATTTAGGACTGTCGCCAGACTCACAGTCGCAGTTGCTTGCGCTGTTCTTTTTTTATTAAAAAACATGCGTTTAGGTTTTCTAGGGTACTATCGCCTTTCATTACTTACTTGTTTTCCGCGGTTTGGGTAGAAGGACCCGGAGGTGGAAAAAAGCGCGCGGAATTGGCTGGACTTTTTTGCAGCTCCGTTTCTTGAATAGTCAAGTCCTCACATGCCGAATTTTGTTCAGAAACGGAAGAGTGTAGGGAGCCGTGCACGCCAACACTTCATGCGATAAGTGATTATATTTTGCTCCCCATTCGTCCGCACCAGAGGTCTTTGCGTAGCAAGTGCCGGCCATTATTTTGTACTGCTTTGTGCTTCAGACTCGAGGCGGAAGCAAAAAGAAAAAACCGATACAGCCTGCGTTGCTCGGGTTGTTATTGTGTACCTTGCAATAATACTGTCGACGAGATTTCAGAGGATAAGTAACTCCGATGCAGTAAAAGTGTCCGGTCTTTCTGCGGGAACGCAGAGACAGATCCCTGTGGAAAAGGTGTTACAATTTTTGTGTGCTATATGCTCCTTCCTTGGTAAGGACTACAACTCCGTTTTTTGATGACAGAAGAATTCTGAAGAACGACGAGGTCAAAAAGAATGGAAGTGACTCGATCTGTCGATCTTCTTGCTGGTTCTCTTCACTGGAGAGAGCTACAGCAGGTCTGATCATTCTTCTGTCGGAAAAGCGCGAACAAAACTCGATGATGAAAATGATTCTTGACTCCTGGAAATGCAGCTCTTTTATCACTCCGATAGTCATCAAGGAGTAGTCGAACAAAGATCCTCCTTTGGGACTTGTGAGGAGATCAAGTCCGATTGCCCACTTCGCTTTGCGCTGTGTCTGTGCTGGAGGCAATTCATCGGTACCGGAGTCCCGTGCACCCGGCGAGCATTCGTAGTTTTCACTGGAAAAACAACTGTCTCTGGCACTGCTGCTAGCTATCAACAGAGTGCGCTATTAATTTGCGACCTCCCGAAGGCTGTTGCCACCGAAGGAAGTAAGTAAAAGTATAGAATTGATTGTCGTAGTACAAAGCGCCGCAAACGTGAAACAACACCTGCATCTTTCACGTCATTCTACAACAAAACTAAATGATAACTGTAAGCTTTTACTATGGTTGTTATTCCCGACGGAAGTAGAAATACAAGGTGAAGGACTTACTCTTCTTCTGGCTTTAAAAGTAAACATAAGGTTATTTCAAGAGAGTTTTCATCATTTTAAAAAGAACGACCAATCCAACCATGCCGCGCTCTGAGGCGGTTCTTCCGCTGGTCATGTTGACCTCCTTGTGCCGGCTTTCACTGGTACTCGCCACGCCACGTAGGGGAGGAAGCAGAAGTCGGGCAGCGTCAGCACAGGCCACCGCCACGACTGGAAAGCGAAGAAGGCTCCCCCCACCTGAGGAAGGCTCCGCGAGCACGCCGAGGAGCAGCCGGTGGGAGGTGGACGGCGGCGACGTAACCTCGGAGAAGGTGGCGGCGTTTCTTCCCCCGGAAGCTCCTGCACGTCGACCGCAGGAATTTGTTGAGGCGGCCCGGGTGTTGGCCCCATTCCGGCAAGTGAACCGAGAAGCGGCGCGCTTGGTACCGAAGGAAAGAGTGGCGCGGGAGGGGTACGAACTGATTTTGCAAGGTCTTTCGGAAGAAGACCTGCGCGTGGAGTACAGAAAGTTTTTGCAAAATCTCTCGGAAAAGGGCCTGTACGCGGAGTTCGTAAACGCTTTTTTTTCGCTGTCCGACGAGGATCTGGAAGGCGATCGCGCCAAAACGGACGGCCGCTGTCGCACTACAACTTTTCTGGACAGTCGCTCCGTCGACGATTTATTGGGGCCGACACTGGCGTTGAGCCGTCAACAGGCCGAAGACCACCGGTACCCCGAGCAATACTGTTCAACATCTGCACGTATTATACATCCGGTTCCCCGAACAATACAGTATCACCCTTCGCGTTTTCATCTGCACGCGGCACTCCAAGATGACTCGCCGCTTCTGCAGAGGATTTTTCGCGCGTTTTTTAGAGTGAGGACCCCCAGGACCCTGGAGCTTCCACAGCTGCAGGCACTAGTGCGCGACGCGACGACGTACTGCGTGTCAAACGGGCGGCTCTCTTTGGCGAAATGAAAGCAAGGGGGAAGACAAGAATGGATCCTGGGCACGAGACATCGTACGAAACATGGCAAAGTTTCATTGATACGCAGCTCGGGCGATGGCTGGCTGCAGACGCACGCTTGACGGACGCGAGGGACAGAAGGAATGGATGGATCAACTTTGCGGACCCGCAGACGGACCGTAACAGAATTATGAAGGGGCTTATTTGATGGTCATCCGGGGCTGCTCAAGTTGGTAGTTATGTTGGGTGCCAGCTATTGTAAATATGGGAATGTGGTGTTCCAGGGCGTGATAAAATGCAAATCGCGAGCCGCAGTAGAAGGTTTGATTTGTCAACATCCTGAAATTTTTATTGTCGCGCTCGCGCCCCCCGCACGAGCTTTGTTCTTTATGTACGCATGTGATAAAAGTACTTAAATACTTTCTTTGGCAAGCTCAGGATGACCTTTGTTTTCCGTACCACACAGTGCGGGGAGAGAATAACTCCACCAGACGACGGGGCGCGAGAGACTAGTGTGACATACCCGACCTCCCCCGACTTCGAGGACTTCTGGTTCACGTGGCACTTTGGGTATAACGCGTTTGCGCTGGCTCCTGGGATGCAGCTGAAGTCGGTTGTGATCACACTACGTTGGGAAGGCTACTCTCTCGAGTTACTTCTTTCTTAGCGCTATCATGGCACTTGAACAGAGTGAAGTTAGTACTCCAGGATCTTTTGAGGACTCTTATTGTAGAAGAAGAATAGGCAAGAAGCTTGATGAATTTACAATTACGTCAGATTGATTGTTTGTGTTACGAGGATATTTACGTCAGATTGTGAATTAGGTTAGATTGCCATGAGAAAGAGGCTTTTAGGTGCATATCGTTTTGAGGCGACAGATCACAACAGGTCTACAAACTGGCTCAGCAAACAGCATCAATAGCACTCGCTCCTTTTGCTGCTACTGCGTCTTTCCAAAAGCAAACTACTCCTAATATTCAGCAAAAACGAACAAGGCTGCAGGAAAGAAACAAAAAGAACAGGAGGAGGTCATGGGATAATCTCAGACTGGAACGGATTAGAATAGTCATTGTTTTGAGGCTTCCTGCTTATATGAATTAAGAATCGAACCCTTCATTTCCTAATACTCCCAGCTCTGCTGAAAAAGAAAACAAACAGTGTAAGCCCCCATACTCACACTTAGTTTTCTAAATTATTCCACCTCGACATTGTTTTTCTAATAAAGTACTACCGTCGTTGTTCTTCGTCGTTGTTCTTCGTCGTTGATGAGAACGGATACTACTTGAAACTCAACCAAAAACCATGGGGGCGAGGGGCCTCGAGAGGGTCCCTGGATGCTGCAGGGGGCCCCAGTGCGCCTCGTCCCTTTAGGAACAAACAACGTCGGTCCAGAGTAGAAGCAAAGTAATGACGTCGTCCCTCTCACTGACAGCGCCACCGCAGCACGGGTCACCGCGTAGCCCCGCCAAGGAGTTAGATAAACGGCCTCGGATAGCAATAGCTTAGTAAGAGTAAAAAAGAAAGTCTAGAAACCGGGCCAATAAGTATAGACATAGCGCATAGATTAGTTATACACTCCACCCGCGCCCGCCGTGGTCGTGACCTTCGTGCCGTGATCGAGCGACGCGACAAGGGCCTGCGTTTTTCTTAGGGACGAGGGCGCAGGACATGTCAGTGAGGGGAACCCGTGGGCTTGTCCTTATCGATCTTTTGTCGTTCCCCTGGTTATTCCTTTGATTTCACCCATGCTATCTTTCTTTGTGCATCAGCACAGCCAGCGTGCACGAGAACAACGCCCCTCTTAACGACGTCGGATGTGGACGCGCCTACACGCTCGACAGAAGGACTTCCGCCAACGACGGGGGAGGGTCAGCCGAGGATCGACGACGGGGGAGCTTTCTGTACTACGTCGGAGCGGGCGCCGTTTTTATAATATCATCGTGTTGCACTACTTCATGTCGACGGTGGAGGGATAGGGAGTCCTCCACTGCGGGCTTCAGCCGACAGGTAACTCTGTTGCTTCGCCCTCACAACCATTTCCATTCGACACAGTAGTGGCTCACTTCTTCTCGTCGAACAGGCGTGGCGTCTGGGCACTCCGGGCACGGGCCCTAGCGGACACCAATCGCCTAGTGGTCACCAACCGGCTGTGGTCAGCGCCACAAATCCAAACTTTGCGCCCCGAGCTCTCTCGCTGTGGTTTGACACGCATCACGGTGTAGCAGCTAGTATGTTGTGTCGTCTCTCCACCGGGAAACTACGACACCAAGTGAAGACGTACAGCTGGCAGATACAACTACCGCGGAACCAGCGAGCCACTACAATCAAGCGGCCAGCGACACCATGGGGGCGTTTGCAGTACAGACTCGGGGACGGGCCTTGAGCGGAGAAAAGGAGATCTTCATGGGTCGTGGCACTGAAGTCCTAGGTTTTGTACACCTGGCAGGGCTATTTGTCCACGATATAAAAAGACCGTCGGTACGCACGCGCGTAGAAAAAAAAAAGGGTTTAGGGTCATACCTACAAGCAGCGCCACGCTTCCAAAAGAGGAAGAAGTTTTCGTACAAAAAGCTAGTGCGTAATATGAGGATGATACAATAGACAGGGTTTAGGAAAAAAAGTCTGTGCTCAGACTTGGCGCGCTAGTTCGACTGTTACTTCACTACAAGACCACTTTTGGTGGCCCGCCCTGCATACACGCATCGGGAAGCAATAGTCTTATTAGTGTAGTGCTATGGTGGAGGGTTTAACTGCTATGCGGTGCCCGAGTCTGTCGAGCGCAAGTAGTTGTACTTGGCACAAGTTTTAGGTGCTACACTACTCGCCACACCGCACCCGTACCCGTACCCGTAAAAACCTATCCCCAGCTCGGCTAGTCGTCCTCAGAAACATGTCCTATGGTTAGCTTAAGAAAGAGAGTAGCTTAGTAGTTAGAAGCTGACTATAGCGGTGTCCTTCTCCTCCTCTTATATGAATTAAGAATGTCGCGTACTGCTGTCGCGAGTCACAAATAAAAGTGTTTAGTTTTTCGCTACTCTCGCGCAGCTAGAAGCACAATTACCCACGTAGCTATTTCGCGATGGGATTTTTTTTGAACTTTACCCCGGCCCTCATAGTTCGTACTGCTGATGGTGAGACACAACAAAGGCCAGCCAGTTTCGCACTTTTGATGGTGCGGGCAAGGTTGGCTGCCAGTGCAGCCAGGCTCATCGTGGGCTCCGTCTTATTCTGTTTGCTGTTTCGCAGACAAAACGGAAACGAAATGAGGTGGCAAGTTCTACAGCAATATATCGAAGCACTGATGTATGATGACATTGAAAGGCCACTTGCGATAACATATCAATCGCGCGAGATCAACAGTGAGGCACCGTGCAAGGAAATCTAAACTCTCTTGGCCCTACTGATTTCGGTGGCCAAGTGAAATTCCGAAGAGGGGCGAGCGGCAAAAACGGGATATGTGCAAGCCAGAGCGGCTCGCGAATGAACGGTCTCAGCACTGGCCGTGAAAGACGTGTTTGTTCATCTTCGCATACGGAATATTGATATTTCCGCTCTTCGTAGCGCTCCTGTACATGATGCTGATCATGGTGTTGAAATGCAACACAAGTCTGGAGATGATCTAAAGCTGCCTGACAGATCGCGATCCCGGTCTTCTACGTTCAACATGTAAGCACTGTATCAGCGGTATTCTGCAAAGAAAATATCCGATTCGTAGAGTGCCGAATTCGTCTTATGAAGCTCGGTCTGTGGTATTCGGTGATCGATCGAAAGGCATCAAGCTGGAAATTATGTTGGCATGCAGGGTTGCAGCTTCGACTAACTTTAACGAGCCTTAAATTCTGTGTATCGTAGGTATAGCCAGGCACTTTCGAACAAGATCAGAAGTAACGAAAATCGATCTGCCGATCTTCTCACTGGCTCTCACAACAGGAAGCTACTGCAGCTCTGATCATGATTCGTCTGCCGGAAAAGCGCGAACACAATTCGGTAAAAATGATTCTTGATTGCTTGAAGTCGAAATGCATCGCTTTCATCACTCAGATGACAAAATCATGAAAAAGTCGAACAAAGATCCTCCCTTGCTATTTACCACCTCGATGTATGGAGATCACGTTCAATTGCCAACTTCGCTCCTCGCTGTGTCTGTGGAGGCTTCATCTCAATGTTCAATTATCGGTACTGCTGTTGTGCACCCGGCGAGCATCCTCTTTTTTTCGTTGAAAAAAAGCTCTCTGTGACACCCCTCCCAACACCAGAGTGCACTATTTGCGACCTTACCAACGCTGTTGTCAGCGAAGTAAGTAATAACATAGAATTTCGCGTAGCACCGAAAAATCGATAATAAAACCTGCACTGTCCACCTCATTCTACAAGAAGGTAACAATAAGTTTTATTTCCGAAGCAAGTACTTCCTGTCCACGTCCAGCTTCTTCTGGTTCTGGCTATTGAAGTAAAAATAACTTCTTCTCAAGAAAGTTTTCATCTCCGCAAGAACGACCGATCCAACCATGCCTCGTCTTGTCGCGGTTCTTCCGGTGGTCATGTTTTCCATTTGCCGGCTCTCGCTGGTGCTCGCCACGCCACCTGGAGGAAGCAGGATTCGGGCGGCGTCAGCGCCGGGCACCGCCTCGAATAAGTGGCACGGTACTAGGCACCCCCGAAGCAGGAGCACTCCGAGGAGTAGCGCCGGGGAGTACGAAAAGTTTTTGCAAAGTCTCTCGGAACAGGAACTGAACGTGGAGTTTATAAACGTGGTTTTTTCGCTGTCCGGCGAGGGTGAGGAAGGCGATCGATCCGAAAGGAACCGGGGCGGCACTACCACTTTTCTGGATGGTCTGTCTGTCGACGATCTATTGGGACCGACGCTGGCGGCGAAGCGTCAAGAGATCGAAGCCGCGGGCCGCAAAGTATCCTCCAGTTTTCCCGGTTTCGACGTACCCGCCAAACACGATTCGCCGCTTTTTCAGCGGGTTTTTCACGCGTTCCTCAAAAATGAGGACCTCCAGACCGGAGCTTCCACAGCTGCAGGCACTCGTGCGCAACGCGATGACGTACTGAAACGGGCAGCACTCTTCGGCGAATTCAAAGAAAGGACGAAGAGTGGACCGTATGAAGGGACGAAATTGTTTAAGTTTTGGACAGAATTCATTGCTACGCGGCTCGCGCCAAGGATGGACGCGAAAAACTGGAGCAATGGATATATCACTTTCCCGGACCCGCTGCATCGTATTCGTCGTAACTGGGATCAAGCGGACTACGAAGCCCGTAAGAGAACGAAAGCACTGATTTGGTCATCCGGGGCTGCTCAAGTTGGTACGTAGTTCTGTGGGATCATGCCATCTCTGTGTGGATCTGTTCCAGTACACAAAATGCAAATCGCGGACCGCAGTAGTTGATTTTGATTTGTCATGCAGAAACTATAGTCGCGCGAACTTTGTTTGTGTACGTACGCAGAAGTACTTGCTTTGACAACTTGCGTAGAGCTGGATGACCGCGGTTTTCCGTGCACACACGTTCCTCCAGACGACGGAGCGCGATTTTTTAGTGTGGACTATAGTTGGCGGAAGGAGAACACGCAACAACTAGCTGCTTCCCAACACGCAACAACAGAACCCGACCCATTGCAGGCTCCCCCCCCACCCGGCCCGTTGGAACGTTATAATGACGATGACGAGCCCGACTGGTACGGGATAAGGTGTGACTTTGTGTACAACGTGTCTGCAAAGAATCCTCGGGCGCAACTGGAGTCAGTCTCGATCAGGCGAGATGGAGACTCGCTTATCTTTTGGCTTAAGTAGCGCACACGCAGTTTTTGTTTTAATGTCATCGCGGCGCTTGAACAGCGTGAATGTAGTGCGTCAGATTGTATGAATTTAGGGCTGCTTCATCAATTGTTTCCGGGAACAAGAAGCCGCGTTCCGCCATGTTGTTTTGAGCAGTGCGTGTGATGGTTTTTCGGAAGCGGGCTCTAGGTGCATATTGTTTTGAGGTCTCTTTGATGAGTATAAAGATGGTCCTCGTGCTGATCCCCATTGCATTGTCGTTGGCCGTTCGACCACTTTGCAGGGTTTCTTTGGCGGCGCTTTAGATTTTTCATTTGCTTTTTTGCCCTTTCAGTTGCAATATGAATGTACAATGTAGTACACAACTTTTGCATTATGTACGAGGCGGTACTTCTAGCAGTAAGTAGAAGTACACAACAAAATAGAAATACCACTTGGATATACCTCCAGACGCACACGAGTCGCGATGTGCGTAAGTACTGCACACTACTCGTGATGTGAGTAAGTACTGGCTCGTTGCCATGTGCGAAAAGCATAGAACATTTACCGTTTATCTGTCTTGTACGGTGAACTTATAGATGAAACTTAATACCCTGTGCCGCGAATGGAGAGCATAGCGGAGTGTTTCCAGCATACGCTCGTCCCTCGTCCTCCAGCACTCGTACTGATGTACGATGACATTGAAGGGCCGCCTGCAATGACAAGGAAACCGCTCGAGCTGAACGGTTACCGTGCAAAGAAATATGAACTTCATTGGCACGACTGATTTTGGTCGTCAAGTGGAATTTTGACAAGCGGGGAGCGGCAAAAACGTGATATGTGCAAGGCAAGGCGGCTTGCTAATGGATGGTCTCAGCAGTGGCCGTGAAAGAAGCGTCGTGGTTGTTCATCGCATAAGGAATACGAATATTGATATCCCCGCTCCTTGTAGTGCATCTGTACATGATGAGCCTGATCATGGTGTTGAAATACAACACCGCTCGGGAATTACTGCACCCATTTGAAGATCTAAAACTGCACAGATCGCGATCCCGCTTTTCTAGGTTCAACAATAGATGGCTCGCAGAACAAGTGCCGGCCCAGTGCGTGGCTGAGCGTGCAGAAAATATCGAGTTTCGTAGAAAAATGCCGGATTTGTTCGGTCTTTGGTACTCGGTGATCGATCGAAAGGCGCGCAGGAGATTATGCCGTGCAGCGGCGCAGTGTGCCGGATGAACTCTAAACTCGGTGTAGTTATGTAGCTATATAATTTCTTTTGTACAAGGTGGAAATGACATACTAAACTTGCGCCCACAACCACATCTAGATTTAAGTGCAGAAGAATTGCCGCTCAGTAAAAATCGAAGAGAGACATTGGATTGTTTGTAGGCGGATGATGTCGTTCCGCGCGTTTGGTACACAAAGACGAATTGCTCGACGGGGGAAGTTTGCTTCCGTGTGCTGTCTGATTTTCGGCCAGATTTTCTTTCCTCCGGCCGCTCACTTTTATTTGCACCACCTTGCAACTGCATGGAAGAGTAAAACCAGCGGCGAGAATGAACAGGAGCCAGATGTGCAGGAAATCACGTCCAGGCAGAGCAAGTTTTTGCGGAACAGCCTGCTGCTCACACTGCCGACGACAGCGTCGCGACATCTTCCGCCAAGGCCCATGGCACAAGCGCTGGTGGGCCAGCCGACCGGGAGAGAAGCGCAGGAAAACGATGCGACAGGGGCGCGGTCTCCGGATCACAAGGAGGAGGAAGTGGGAGAACTCCAGCATGAAATCGGAACCTCGACAAACTTGAAAAATTCGATCGCCAGACGTCCTCGCCGGCGGAGCCCAAAGTTTTACGACATCCAATCGCGAAGAAGCAAGTGGGCGAGCGCTATGCGCCCGTTGCTGTTGCAGAGGATTCGGGGCTACATGGAGATCACGCCAGAAGTCTACAATGTGGTGCCCCGGAGCAGAACCAGCGACGAAGCCATTCGGTTGACAGATCACGTGCCGATTGGGAAATGTGTATCCAAGGTGTGGAAGTGGACTCGGTTGGAGCTGGACCTGCCAAAAGTTTTCACTGCCAGCGACATTCTGGAACTTGCCCGGCCGGATATGCTAGGAACGTATCTATACGGCTCTTGGATAGCTCTCTTTCATCTGTACCTAGAAGTGTCTTAGCGTTTCCGTCGCCACCTACAAGGGGAGTCAGGCGCTGTAAAGAGGAGGAACGCTGCGAAATAATAGTAGACAAAGTTCTGCTCCTGCCTTTGTGGTTTTGATGACCAAGAAGTTGATTTGTGGGTTCCCGGGGCAGTTAGATAGAATGACTGTTCGGTCTTGGTCTGAAATTTGGCACGAGATCGAGTCGAAGCAACTCCTGTCTTGTCGTACTTCGGGACTACAGTGCGATCGGGAACGAACAGTACAGAATCGCATATATCGAAAGAGCTCTTTTCATTCCAAATCCTGACCCCAGCCGGCCGGAGACGGAGCACGAGGTCGTGCGCGAAGAGCTGGTGTATCAGGCCGAGAAGTGCAAGCGGGGGTACGGCCGCATGTTCCTTCTCGAGGTCCAGGCGTTCCAGAACCGCACCCAGCAAGTGGACATGCTGCAGCGGAGCCACGTGTTGACGCAACAGAAGTTCTTTCTCTGCGTGCCGCTGTCTTGCGGCGAGGCCGGAATTCTGGAGGTCGCCGGGTTGGAAATGCTGTTTGCGGCGTTGCAGCTGCGGTACCTGTCGTCGGACTACTTCGAGATTGCTGAGGAAGATGATGTCGTCGAAACTGACCACTCGCAACAAAGAACGCCCTCTGGGACAGGTTTTTCCACCCCTGCTGCAGGACTTTCTCGACGACCGTCGTCGGGACCTCCGGGAGATGATTTCGACTACATGCTGACAGAAGCCGAGGATCTTCTACTTTCATCACAAAATTATACCACTATTCAGAAGGAATTTTTCCTTTCGGTGGAAATTTTACAGGAGCCGTCAAACATGGGCAGAATCGTCGAGCTCGCCACGGAGCTGCGGAAGCGGTTTTACGTGAAACGAGCGGAAGCAGTGGTAGTGGTATCGAGACGAGCGAGCACAACTTCCACGGACAGGATATTATTTGGTCCTGACACGGTTGGAGGAGGTACGGGTGGCGTTGAAAGAACCCGAGCAGCAGCTTCAAGTTCTGCACAGCATACCATCTCCTGGGTCACGTCGGAGTCCTCGCATCTCGCAAGAAACGTAAACGGCCGCTTTTGCGTCGAGGAGAACTCGTTCGTGAAGGACACAATTTCATCCACTGAAAGCAGTGGTTTCTATAATGATTCTGCAACCTCCACTTCTAACGGAACTCCTGCAGCATCTTCCGACCATATCATGGCACCGCCTGACGGAACGTTTGCAGTTCGCCAGGCACTGTTCAAAAATCTCCCCGGCAACTTCTTCCAAGCGAGTGCCCGGGCGCTCGACGCGGGTTCAGTGGTTTCCTACGATCAGGGGGAAGTGTTTCGGAATCTGGAGTTACCGCCTGAGGATGAACTAATTCTGGTCCCTGCGGAAACATCGACTACGGTAGAGAGAAGTGGGGCATTTGGTACAGCTGGTAGAGATCATGATCATCTAGACGACCACGACATCACGCCTTCCTCTTCTCGCGTTGATTTTGCGTTTGCTGCTGTGTACAAGAAGACAGGGGGACGCCAGAAAGAAGTCCTCGATGTTGAAAAACCATCGGGTGGCAGAGGCATTGCTGGAGAAGACGAGTCTGCTGCAACTTTCGTGCCTAGAAGCACCCCCGAAGAGCAAGTCGATAACATCAAGCAGGCGACTCTAACAACAAAAGCATCTTCAGTTGGAACGACATACTACAGGCAGCACAAGGTCGCAAAAATCCGCAACGCGACGCACTGGCACCACGACCCGCCGGCGCAGTGCTCCGGCTTCCACGCGATTTCGAATTTCAACTGTCTGCGGGAAGAGGCGGACTTCTTTGCGGATGGTCGGACAACATTCGCTCGCCCACCGACAGATCCTATGTTGATGTTGCCTCCGGGGCAACGAGAAGAGCAGGAACGATTTTTACGGCAAGAATCAATAAGCGGACAGCGCAGGGAAGAAATCACAAAACCTTCGCAAACACGACATCAAAGTAGAACCTCCAAGCTGTTTGCCATCGTTCACGTGTCCGATCTCGTATCGCACAGTTATGACCATCGCTGGACGAAGCAGCGATCGAGACATCGGATCTTTCCCTCACGACGACACGACAAGAAGGACGAGGCGTCCAAAAAAGCGAACAGTGAAGGTTCCGACGACTATAGCGACTACTACCGGCGGCACGACCTCGCGGACGAAGATACGATCGTGGAAGAGGATTCGTTTTCGGATGTCGATTTCTGGAAGAACAACCAGAAAGCGCTAGATTTTATGGAGGACGAGTGTCAGAAAAGGCTAACTACCAAAGCCTCCGTCCAACAAGAATCCGCGACAGGCAAGGATGGGCAGCTGCGGGAGAAAAACCTCAAGGTGGCAAAGGAACTACAAAAGGACGTCGATGGTGAACACCTTGCGAACTCGAAGATATCATCGGCAAGTAGACCTCTCCGCTGCATAGACCGCATTCTGGCTATTCCGAAGAACACAGTCCCCGGGCTCCACTACGACGCGTTTGTTGAAAGAGGTGATAAAAATTCGAAGATGAGCTCCGTTCTACCGCCGCGGAATACAATTGCAGCTCCCACTGCGACCACTTCTGCCGATTCTTCCCCTCTGAAACAGCTGCTACAAGACACGTACCAAGTCATTATCCGTCAGGACTGGGACCTGCGAACTGACATTTTCCAGCACCTGCACGACTCGCACTACTGGGTGAATTTTGTCTCAAATCAAACGGCGTACGCGGTGAACATGATTTGCGACCAGTTTAAACTGTTTGTCCTTCTGCAGTTAGCGCAAGAGTACACGGCGGTTCTGACCTTGGACTCTGACTACCTGATCGTGCAGCCCTACCGGGTTCTGGAGTTTTTTGCGTTTTTGGGCAAAGACGAAAATGAGAATTTGGCGTTTATGACGCCGGAGGGGCCGCTCCACGTGTCGATGATATCGTGAGGAAAAATCCCCCCTCCCCATACCAAAAAGGGACACTGCTGAAAATTTGCGATGCTGATTTGTGGCCACAGATCGTCTCTGTATTGCAAGAAGGCCAAGCCAGAGACTCCGCCGCATTTTGCAGGCGGTTTCTGATGCTATGGGGCCTACAGAGTACACATTTGCCATGCTACGCGCCTACGTCAAAACCCTCCTACTTAGGCTTGGCATGGGCCTGCAGTCCTCTACTGCAAGACAGACCTGATTTGTGTGCCCAAGTCCAGCATTAGAAACTTCCTCTTGATATGGGGAGGGGGGATTTCTCCTCTCAGTAGATGATGGCCGCGAGTCACGTCACGTGGCGGGCGGACCTGGCGGTGCAGGAAGCGTGGCGGAGGATCGTTTTGCGTGTGTTCGATATGCACAGCGGCACGGAACTGTTTCCACCGGCGTATGTGAAGGAACATCAGGCACTTCTTCTAGCGAGCAACAAAAATGAAAGGGGCGAACAGGAGCTAGCAGCGGAAAGCGAAGTCGTCCCTTCGCGAAGTAGCAATAGTGGCAGAAATGATGTAGAGCGGCGGGAAAAGAACGAAATGCAGAGCACGCACTCGTCGACGCCGTTGAGGTCTTGGACGGAAAGCTACGGTCTGACGGAGTACAGGGCGCTGCAGAGAATTGCCGGACGCAGATGGAAAGCCTGGTATAAGGAACGACAAGGGCAGCTTTTGAAGGCAGCACCAGTTCTTGGAACCGGACAGGACCTGCAGGCGGAGGAAGGCAATGATTCCCAAAAGAGCAACTATGAGAAAAGTAGCACTACATCAACAAGTATCCAACACCACGAGCCTCCAGCAAAAATTACATTTGGCTCGTTCAGAAACTTTTGGGGCAAAGATTTCTTCCTACACAATTTGTTCGGCGTCACACCGCCGCAAATCGGCACCATTGCGTATCCGAACGCATTAGCCGCGGCTAGCACCGAAGCTGTCGTGAAAAAGCAGCTGCTCCCGATCTTCGACAGGACTGATTCAGATGATTCTACTGCGAAAGACGATCTAGCTCTACCGACTGCGGCAGGTGCTCCTCGAAAATTCAATCCGGAGGAGCTTTTCGACTACCAACATAGAAGAAAGCCATCAGGAATTATATCGACGCCCGAACACCAGGAGTTGAGCATGCTACAAGAAGAATATGCCGGAAGACCTTCTGCATCCAAGTCGAAGCGGGTGCTGCACAGTCACGAGCACAGCGGGGTGACAGATACTGCAGAAAGTGGCGGCACTGGTAGAATTGTCGTGCGTGGACAACATCCAACATCGACTAGCAGTGGTACAACACCAAGTCCGGATGGAAGCAAAATACAAGCCACTGCTGCAAAATCTTCGAACATTTTATTTTCTCCAAAACCGGACCTGCCCCCGAAGTTCTTCGCGCGGATCGGTCACACCCCTCACCCCGTGCCCCGGACGCACATTGGGTTCCAAACGATCAACGGGCAGAACCTGTACGGTGTGCGAACGGTCGGCGGGCAGGGGGTGACAGGATATTTGCTTGGGTTCGTCCTGCCGAATTGGGAAAGGAGGTTTGAGATGCTGGAAGAATGGAAAGACGAGGGTGGTAGAAATATTAAAGCGAAACAAGAACATGATCTCCGTGAAGACCACGCGGAACATGAGTCGGCTCCAACAAATAGAAGCAAGTCCTCGCCCACGTCGACAAGCTTTCGCCTGCGACTGCTCCCCATGTGCCGTTGGGCCTACATGGTTCAGATGGAACACGACGAGTTTCATTGCGACGGGGACCTGGGACCCCCGGTTCTCGTGCACAAGCCGGACCAGGGGCTGGCGCTGTACATGCGGAAGTGGGCGCGGTTGCGCCAGTGCAAGGTGGGGGAGTAGACGGAACCTCAGACCTCATCTGCACAGTGGTTGCTTTTTCGCAGAGCAACGCTTCCTCCTGCGCAACGATTCCTCCTAATACATAGGGTATGCCGGGTGTGTGTAGCATTGAGCTGCAGTGTGGTAGCATGTAGATGTGGCCGCCTGGTGAAGCTTGTCGGTGCTCATGCCGCAGCCGCTGTGATGTGACCGAAATAATGCAGGATCCGATTGGGCGGAAAAATTAGATAAAGGACCTGAAATTTTCTCTGTGGCTTCAATAGTTGGTGACAGATTGTTGTCTCAGTCATTTGCCTGAAAAGCAGAGTTCGCTGTGCCGGTGCTTGCAAGGATTGGATGTGGTGGTCCCCCAGTTCATTTTTTTTGGTTCTAACGGAACAGGAACGGATAGCATTTTTTGTGTGCTATCAAGAACTAGCGCCTTTTTTGCGGCTGTTTTTTTTCGCACGCATTGTTCATTATCTCATTTTTCTTATCATTTCACGCAATTTTTCTAGTCGGCACTACGAACCATTGACGTGACAAAGCACACGAACAAGGGACATAAAAATGTGCGCGCCCGAGGAAAAGAACGCTAGCACTTCTACCGACGAACAGTCCCCGGATTTTTCCGCCACCTCGTCGTCGTCGCTGATTCCGGTGTTCGGCTACGGCTCCAATAACCTCGAGCAGGTGGGGCAGCGGGTCCAGGCAACGGATTTGCAGCTCCGGGCGGCGAAAGCCATCCTGCCAAGGTACCAGCGAAAGTTCGTTTGTCACTCGAACCGGTGGGGCGGGGGAATCGCCACGGTGGTGGAAAATCGTAGCCAGACTGCGGGGACATCAAGGACCTACTGTCGCGGCTCTGTGATTTGGTTGTCGCGAGAGGAGCTGGAAAGGCTCGACAAGTGGGAGGACGTCGTCAGTGAAGATCCGAAAAACAGTACTCGCATGTACCGGCGCGAGGAGCTGGAGGTGGAGATAATTATAGGAGAATCTGTGGCCGCTCCACCCGCTCCACCCACGTCTGGGTCGTCTCATTGCAGCAGCTCACAAGGTGTAGGTGATGCCGGCAAGAGCAAGTCTTTATGCGGTAGTGTACCGCTAGAAAGGGTGAAAACAGTGGCAGCGCAGGTGTACGTGAAAAATGTAGACACGCCGGAGAATTTGCCGAGTCCGGCGTACCTGACTGCCTGCGTGCGGAATCTCGCGTATTTCTGGAGCGAGTACGAAATGGAACGAGTATAGGCGTAGTGTGTTTGCTATGCGAGGCTTCTCAAAGTTCAATGCGGCCCTGTGACACTGTCAGAGCTGTGCACATCAAGAACTTTGGGAAGTAACGCAGGCTGCAGACGAGTTTTTTTCCAATGGGATATCCGAAAAGAAATCGCGGACGAGCTGCAGGGACTGGAAAAAATAGCGCTGGCCGAATTTTCGCAGGACTGTATCCGCGCTTGACAAAAATCAAATTGGATTTTGAGGACGTTGGTCGTTTCAGGCATCTGCATAGAAAAGACAATTCGAACGCGAAACCGAGCACCACCGTGGAACTCTTTTATCGTCTCTCAGCGCGCAGCACGACATTCACATTCACATTTTGGACATACTTCTATTTCCATTTTCAGTGGACGAAATTCAGGCAGAATGCTCCAATTTTTCCGCTGTTACAGCAGTTTAAGTAACGGTGTGTGACGAGGACAATTATTTCCGTGGATCTGACGGCAGGATTTACAGTTCCTGATACGATCTTCATATGCGATCTGGAACCTACCACTGGAAAAGTTGAAGTTCCGATGAAGCTCAACCTTGTGACATCATTCAGACGAAAAAGGAAGAACTGTGAATATGATCTTCTTCATCACGGGCAAGAAAATAACACGCTTGTTTGAACGAAAAAAATGTCGATCTTGCAACGGATATGGACGATCTTGAACTCTGCGGTCATTAAGGAGCGAGAAATAGTGCGGAAATCCTGGAAGCGAAGTGGAGGCACATGCGCTTCGGATCTGTGTCTGTCTCTCATTCGATGGCCACCAAGCTCATCCTCCACCTTGTGCAGCACCTTATGCATTGCATGATGCATGAGAAGATACAATCATACGAGTAGTAGCGTCATCCCCCTTCAGTAAGCTGCTATGAAATAGTGTGTCGTTATTTGCGGGAGATCAAAGGCGCTAGGTAAGTCAAAAGCTGCTGCCCCATGGAGAACCATTTTTATTTTTGCGCGACTCGTGCACTAAGTAAAAAAGAGAGCAGTGCTTTTCATTTCTAAATTCGCTTAGCAAGAAGTTTTCACCATGGCACGGCCCTCACCGACCGTCGCAGTAGCAGCGGTTCCCGACGCCTACGAAGTTGGTACGCGCGTCCTTGTCGTCTCCGCCCCGGATGATGATAGCGCAAACGCCGATTCTGGCCGAAGCCGAACGGGCACTGTAAAACGGATCGGGAAAAAGAAGCTCCGTGTTGAGTTCGATAGCGGCATAGCTTCTGAGGAAGATACTTCTACTCGCCAGCCAGAGGCGGGCAATGCCGGCGCAAGCGTGGGACGAGATCAAGATCAAGAGTCGAAAAATGAGTGGGTGAAGCCGGAGTGCGTAAGGAAAATTGTTGAGGTCGTCGGACCATTTTCAGAAAAGCGGAGCCGCCCAGAGGTCGTGGTTTCTGTTGCGGAGCAAGATGAAAGAGGAAAAGAAACACGCATGTTGCCTAGCAGGTCTGACGCGAAGAGAAGAAAAGTTGATGGTGGAGTCAAAGGCGGCGACGCTGTAATTCTTGCCGAAAGTAGAACAACAGAAGGACCACAGTCGGCAACAAAACCTCCGAAGCAGAGTGAGACATTGACCGGCCACACGACCACCAGAGCAGGAGGCAAACCACAGGTGGTGACTGCTGGGGAGAGACAAATAAGAGCCACGTATTCATCGACGTCTGACGGCAAAATAAAAATGCAGAGCAATCCCCCCGCATCAAACCAGCTTTTCTGCAACCACTGCCGCCAGAGCGGGCATGTGGCGAAGACCTGTCACTACGGGGCGGTTTCTCACCAGAGGTTTTTGCGCTGCCTGGACTCGTCCACCTGTTTCCCCCGGCAGTTTCTGGTGTTGCTTCGGCGCGCGTGCCCTGACTTTGAGGTTGATAACTTACGGGACGGGCGGGTAGACGTGGGCGTCTCCTCTGTGTCGGCGGCGCTCTTCCGCTCGCAGAGTTTGCGGCACAACACGTCGATTTCCCTCGTGATGACGGGTAATAAAAAGGTCACGGGTGAAGGTGCGTTGGAGATGAAAACAAGTAAATCTTCTACTTCAACGCTCGGTGCTGATGATGCGAAGAACGATAATGTGACTGAAGGGAACCCACGCTCCTGCGATAGCAAGGCCGAAGCTTCTACTTCCCCGTCTCCGAAAACAGTCACGTTCTACGCCTCACACATTCGCGACTTGAAGTGCGACGATTTGTCCATTGCTTCGAGGCTCAAGCAAGTGTCCGCAGAGACTAGAAAAAGTTTGGAAACCAGGCTGGCCGCCGAGGAAGCGGACCGCGACGCCTGGTCGCAGAGTGCGTTTCGCGGGTTGCAGACGCTGGAGCACGGGGAAGGGGCGGAGGTAAGCGAGTGTGTGCGGGAAGCGCTGGAGCTGGGGTGTTTGCGGAGGGACCGAAATTATAAACTTGCGCCGGGGCTTGATCCTTCACTTGATCCCTCTGAAAGCGGGGCCGAGAGGACGAACCGGAGTGCAATAAAAATGCACGAGCGCGAGGCCTTTTTCAGGGGACAGTTCTACGCTTTGAAGCAGGGAACTGACGGAGCTGATGAAAAGCGTATTAACACAAATGTGCCGGCGCTACTACAGCGGGACAAGCAACAAGAAGGTGATATGGAAACGACCAACAAGAATCCCATCGTTTTTCTTTTGTCTGGTGGCTCGACGAACCATGAGGAGAGTGTTTCTACTGAACGTACATCATCAAAACCCGATGCGCTGAAAAAGCACCATGCCGTGGGTCGCAGTTTTGAGGAGGTTCTCAGCGAGATCATGACCGATGAGAAGCGGAAAAAACAGCTTGCAGACTACGGCTGCGTCTGCATCCTTGGGGACGACCGGGGGCTGCTACCCGCCGACGAAAAAGTGATCGAAGACACCGTCCTGAGCCCAGGTCGTGGTGGGAATAGTATGCAAAAAAATTCTTGTAGTTCATCCGCTTCGAACGACAATGACTCGACTCGCAGTCAGGCTCAGGCCACCGACAGTCAGAACCTCTTTCGCGTGACGCTCGGCCGGGAGATTCTGTTCACTAATCAGTGCATCGTGCTGCTCCACCACTACCTCGACAAGGTCTGCCACAGCTGCACCCTACCGCCCCCCAGAAGACTTGCCACAAACAACTGGGCGGGCCGCGGCCAGGCGAAGGGGGGCGCGCGCGGAAGTGGAAATAAAGAGAGCACGGCTCGAGTGGCTAAAGGCAGCTCCGGGGACAAAATGACGAAGAAAGGAAGCACTTCTGGGCGCGGCACGGGAGGGAAAAGTGGATACGGTGCTAGAGGGGGTTTTTCGAACGCGAAGTGTGGAGCAAAGGGCGGGAAGTGATGAATCGCTTCCAGGATAAGATTCGACTGTTGATTGTAATTGTTGGGTTGAGTTACACATTCTGAATTCGTCCTTAGTTATGTATCTGTAAAGTTTGTTGTGCAACAGGAGCGAGAACCTCAAAAGCGACTTTAATTTGTAGAATTGGCAAGCGACTGGACGACATAGTATATGCGATAGCATTTTCGATCGAGACACCAGCAATGTGTAAGTAACTGCAGGTGCAACTTTTGATCATGTGTTCGCAATGCGAATTTCGAATTGAGTGAATGGCTCGGAAGTTGTCGGTGTAAGGAAACTACGTGCAGCCCTTGTCGGTTACGAGCCTACTGCAAGCTTTCTCTACCTCAAGAACTTGAGCCACAATTCCAAGATGAGCTATGCCTCTTAATACGCAAGTAAAGAACAAGTTTGAAGGATCAGGATCTCTTCACGAAAAGAATTCAAAAAATGAAAAGTCGGTCACAGCAAAAGTAGCTTTGCTTGTCGTGATGAAGCAGCATGATTCCGCGAATATCGGTTGATCTCATTCTCGAAACGACTACGCGCACACACAACGTCCCGCTCAAATAAAGATCTTTTCGCAGCAGTCCTTTTTTTTTTCTAGGGCAGAGTGCTGCCGCCCCTCTCTATATATTGTTTGCAGATAGGTTTTTTCGGTTTTCTTTAGTCTTTAGGAAGCTCTAGATGTTTATTCGTTATTGTGCATCTCACAGTCCGCCTTTGAATCCAAGATTCATCTTGACAGTCTAGTAAGATGCCTTTGACACACTCTCTCTAGAATTTGCTTTGCGCCAAGAATTCTGTCTCGGTACTGCACAGTCCCGTATGATCTTGAAGGTAGCGCTTCTCTCGGTTGAGAACGATTCTCTCGATTGTTGCGACCTTTAGGAGTCTGTGTGCAGATGGCATAATCAACTCTATTGCATTTATTTCTCTGGTAGCGCAAGTTCAGGCTTAATTTTATGTATTCTATTTCCGATTTTTTAGCATAGAAGAAGAGCAGCACTATCTCCGTGTACATTATAGAAAGCTGTGAACAAAATTTTTGTGGAAGTTCTGAAGTTTTGTACTCTCTCTGATATTAATTTGTTCTGAAATTTCTCGTTGTAACAGTAACTGCTTCACTTCATAACGCAGAAGTGTTTCTATCGTGCCAGCGCTATTTGCTTTTGTACTATCTATTGGCCATAGATATCTTCCTCTCGGAACAATGGCGTCGAGCTCTGGGGCACAGCAAAACTCGAATCACATGGATTTTCTGCGTAACCAATAGCAAAATCTTGAGTCAGTGTCTGCGATACAAAGTTCTTTGAATTATTTTCATACATTTCTGCATGCATCAGGTTTTCAAGAGAATCATTTTACAAACTACACGCAGGTCTCGTTGAAGATTTGGGTGCATGATGACACACAGCAACGCATAGAAAGGCGCCATTTTTTCCTTGACAGCAGGCACTGGACTCAAGTTTTGCGCAGCATACCGCGACGGTTTGCATACGCTGCGTCGTCGGAAAACTCCTCCTCCTTGGGGGCAGTACCTGGAACGCCACAGAATGGACCGCTGAGCATCAGCATACCCATGTCACCTCTGAATCAGCACTACGGAGCAGCTACCGGAGTTGGGTTCTACAACGATAGTGCGACGCCGACTCCAAACGGAATGATGCCGTTTCAGGGAATATGGAATGGAAAAAACACGACGACCGAGTAGCTTTTAGTTTGGGAGTCGTGTCACTTCTATAAAGACGGGAGGCAGCGCACTCGTGTTGACATCAGACATAAAGAAGACCTCATCTCTGCATTAGGAACAACTTTTTTTTTTCGTAAGCAGGAGCAGATGAGCCATATGTATGAAAATAACCAGTACTTTGCGACACAAGCTCGTATTTGGTTCCCTGCCACGACCTGTGAAAATATTGTGCATGAATTTCTACTTTATGGATTCAGCAGGGCTCTTTCTGCTGTGTGCGTTCTCGTATTTTTAGAGTTCCAGTAGTTTATTTTTCTGCAGGTGGTCGCGTTTCCGTATCCGTTTCCGTTCCATAGAGAAACGGGATGCTGCATGGGTACAGCTTTCCGAACACCCCCGCGGCTATGTCCTCCACTTCGTCGTCTCCGCAGCTCTTTTACCACGAGAATCAGCAGCAGTATCATGGCAGCGGCAACGTGGGCGGGGCAAGTGGAGATACCAGCAACTCCGTGATGAATAACAACTTTCAGCAACAACGGCAGCCGTTTTTCCAACACCAGTCATATGGACAGGCTCCACCGCAGCATCCGCAGACCGCTCTGGCTGCGATGAGCGGAGGTGCGGGGATGATGTTCATGAACAGCGGCGGTTCATTTTTCAATAACGGCTTCAATAACAATCCCGTTTCCACCTCCGCAGCGACGACGCCGGGTGGGCAAATGCAGCACAGCTTCTCGTCGCCTAATGTGAACAGCGCGACCGGAACTATGATTGGTGTAGTCGGGGGTAGTGCAAACCACAATCACGCTTCGTACCTGAATAGCCCCTTCGGAGCGTCGTCATCTACCACCACTTCCGCAGGGCGGCCGTACTTCAGCTACATTGGGACGGCTCAGAATCCGCACTTGAAGCAGCCAAGCAAGGTGGAAATTTTGAACATGTATCTGCACACAGTGCAGGGGCACGCAGCGGGAAACGGTAAAAATGCTATCAGATAGCAAAAACGCATCAACCCATGATACCTTTCGCGAAGATTGAGTCTTACTTACGTTCTTTGCATTGACTGAGAAAAAAAAGAGGAAAATAGTTCCTGTGTATTTCAGGGAGCAAGAGAATCATTTTTACGCATATTCTCTGTACTGGGTAACAATATGGTCATTCGTGACAATAATTTTTCGAAAGTTATTCTTGAATCTAAAACGATAGACCAGGCACTAGAGGGCTCTATGGGTTGTACGTTTTTCTTCACGATATTCGGTGCCGCCAAGCAAAGCAAGGACACTCCTGTCTTAGCGGAGAACATCTGGCCCCTGCCGGTGCCGGTGCTGCCCCCGGGGGCGTTGGACTACCTGAACGGTGAGTCAGCATTGAATGTGAAGGCGAGTAACACCGCCCCCGGGACGCCCTTCTACAATGGCGCTGCGCACCAGCAACAAGCGCCATTTTATCCTCCGTCGAACGGGAATATAATTAGTCAGACCGCACCCTACACCCCGACGACCAGTACCGCGACCAGCACCATCGATAACCAAACAAACTCGGCATTCCAGAGTTCAATGGTGAACGCGAACAACTACGAAGAGGGTGTAAGTAATCGGGGGAGTAACAGCACTAACAGTTCTGGACCGAACTTTTCGAAAACTCCGCGGGGCGCCGGTGGGAGCGGTCGAAGCCTGAATAATGGTGGGCAGCACGCGGCAATCAACAACGCTATGCATAGCAAGTACAGCAGCTACAGCAACAGTAGCAACCATACCTCGCCGTACAACACGAAAAACAGCACCAGCAGCCCAGCAACGCTGAACACGAAGACCCCTAGTAACGCCACAACGGTAGCTGGCGCCACCTCGCGGCTTTACGACATGTTCAATGCCAACGACGAGCAAGGATGAGAAGAAACACGCGCAGGAGCAGCTCGCTCCCATTGAACGACAGCGGCTAGATCTGGCATCTTATTTCATATCTAATTTTTGGCGAGTGCTTTTGCTTCAGCACTCCTATATTTTCCTAGTACTAAGTTTATCAATAATGTGAAGGGTTGTACTTCCTGTTCCTTTTCCTGCAAGTTTTTGGACGTAGAAGTTGGAAAAAAGTACAATGATTTCGAGGAGTCACGCCATGAGAGAAGCCTTGTGGCAAGCAAGTATTTCTGCAGCAGCAGCACAGCTGCATTAGTATTTATTAGGGAGGCCGTTCTGTAGTTTGGACTTTGATAACTTCTATCTCGTAGACGGTTTTCCGTCGCAAGACAGAATCGGATCCACTCTACAATTTCTTACATTTGAGGAGATATATACAACTCGTTGCAGGATGAGGATGAAGTCATAAAGGCAGCAGTGTCGCCAGGTCTTTATTTTGATGCCTCTCGTCTGTCAGGAGGAGGCGGAAAACAAGAATTTTATACCGCCAATGGCAAATAGAAAGAGCAGTACACGAGCTCTTGAGTTGTGCGCAGTATACTATTCTTGCTTTATTCGACATTGGCAGTAGACAAGATTGAGACTCAGCATCCTTTAGCTTCATGATTGAGTCGGTGACTACAGTCGAGCATGGCTCTTTTTGCAAGGAAAGACCGACAAAAATTTGAGGCTTCTTCGGAAAAGCCGCACTCGATTGTGGAAGATGAACAAAATTGTTGTTTAACGTGCGCCACAAGTCGCTTCGCGTGTTGAATTTTGGAGATGACATGTAGAGCTGTTCCGCGTCTTTGTCGGCTGTCTAGAAGTACCTCTGATTAGTCATTTGGCGTCTTGTTTGGTTTGTCGTCCTGAATTTGAATTCGTCGACTTCCTAAGGGTAAGTAAAGACTTCGTGCGCTTTTTTCGTACTGATTTCGTGATTGCGTTGATGCGTGGTGGATTTTTTCGTGCATTAATGAATTTTATCTCGGTCGTCGTCCTGCGTTCTATATCTTTTTCGAAAAGCTATCGGTCCGCTGTGTCGTCCTGCTGGTGCTTCCGTTCATGAGTAGTTGCCGCAAGGCCGCTTAAAAGAACTGACTATCCGTGCAGAAAACACTTTCTTGAATACCATTCGTTTGCAGTCGTCCCCTTCCGATTCGGATTACTTGTTTGTATTTCCCAAAGGATTTTTCTTTTTGTCCACCCAGCAGATCCTGCACTACACTCTTGTTGAATTTATTCACGCAAAAACTGTAAGTGGTCGACGTACAACATTTGTCGACTGCCGACTAGAAGATTTTCAATTTTTTGCAGCGTTTTGAAGAAGTGGAAAAACTTTACCGAGTCATTCTTGTTCAAGTGATATATCATCCGCATCTTCTTGTTCCAACATGCAGATGGTTCGACAAATTTCTTTACTTCTCGCCGGGGTCGTACATCACACCTTCCCGGATGTGTTGAGCCGTGGGGTTTTCTTCGGGGTTTTACTTTCGCCCACGCTGGTTTACGCCTTGACCGTGAATCGGATCGGAAAGCGAGATGACAGCCGCGCGCAAAAGCTGCAAGACGATCTGTCTTCCTGTTGCGGCGACGTGCTAGAGATGTATCCAGTGGAAAACAGGCACCCAGCCATTAGAGGTGTCATGCGGATCTTGCACGAGCACGAGCAGCAAGTGTCTGTTGCCAGTCCCAGACATCTTCTCGTCACGAGAGCCACTTATTTTCTAGTCATGTTTTTTCAGGCGTTATCGTCATGCTTTGAGCAGGATGAAAGCGTGGAGTTGTGATGCGTTCATACTACTTAGCTCATCCCGACTGCTATGCGATACACCGAACTTTCTTGTGATTCGCGACTCGATGTCCCAGATACGTCTGCTCTTGTGTAAACAGGATTCACGACTGAAGCCTCTATGATGACAGGGTGGCTACGTTTTTCAACGCGATAGGCTGCCGGAGCCGATCGCCTCGGCAGAGGCGAATGTGACGGGCCGCGCCACCCTGGACAACATGCTTACGATACGCGTTGCAAATGTGTCACATTCGCTTTGGAGGAGAAGCAAATGATAAAGAATGCCTACGAAATAAGAAGTACCTGCGAAGGGCGGAGTCTGAGTTTGCAGTGCACTTCCGATTATGAGCGTAAGAACAACTTCGTAGCTCTGCATTGTACAACAGCATATAATAGGGGTGGCAGAAATATACTGCCTCTTGATAGAATGTTTGTCGCGCGCAAAGAGCCGTGCAATAGTGAGTCGTGCGGAATTTGGACGATACGAAGCCTGTCAGAGTTTTCCAAATACAGAAACGGCTCCCTCTGTGTGTATTCCTATTGTTCTCCAGGTGATCTGCGTGGCATGGTTGCGATGCATATGGAGTTTCTGACAGCGTGATGGCGAACAAACCCTCGAACGCGCTTTCGTTTGACCCGGCCAAGGAGGCAGAATTCCTCGGCAAAATGGAGGATCCCGTGCATATTCTTCTGCAAAGCCGGTCCTTGACAATCAAACATGACCTGGCGGACGCCTTGGTCGTGATCTCCAAGGCTATGGGCGACACCAGCTATGGGCGACACCAGGCTATTGGGCGACACCTGAAAACGCAGCAAAGGCTTCGCGGAAGAGTTGCGTGACCTGGTGGAAGGTTTGATTGGCTTGGAGGGCACCCAGTTACCTATTACCGCCGACATTGCCACCGACTTTGCGCCCCTTATTCGTAGAGACGTTGTCACCTTCTCCCTGTGGAATCTGTGGGACGGACTTACTACGGCATTCCGGCAGCTGCTAATCTCGGCAGAAGAGGCGGAGTCGGCAGCGCAAGCCGCCGAGCTCATGGACAAGGTCGATCTGCTCCTATCGTGCCTCGAACAACCGATTTTCTCCACGCCCGAGGCTTCTGCGGGCGTTCCGCTTGTCCTGAAACAACACGGCTTTCCGGCGGAAATGGTTGCGTTGCAGCAACGGAACTTCACCAAGGAGGCGCGCCTCGCTCTGGGGGCCGTTCGCAAGGTCGGGAGTGGGACGACCAATGAGGCAGTCTTCAGTGGTTGGCAGACACAGTTTGCGGTCTTCGCGAATGCCCGGGCTGCGGCGCTGGACGACCTCGACAAGCTGCTTGACTACGTTCGCGGAGAGACGGCGGTCAATCTCGTCCTAAACACCGCGGAGCTTGCGGTCCGGGACCTTTCCCAGGGAGATGATCCTTTGCGGGACTGGGCTCAGGTACAGGCCAGGGAGACTTCCTGGGGCGAGGCCTACAACGCCGCAGAGTACCTCGACTTGGCCAATAAAGCGCGAAGCGCCGCGGAAGGGGAGCCGTGGCAGTGGGTGGTCTACCAACAATTTACCACCGATTTCCGTGCTGCCTCGCTCCCGCGCGACGACTGGGAGGTACAGTTCAAGGAGGTTCTTACGGAGCAGGCGAAGAAGTATGTCGACGTTCAAGCGACAGCCCAAGATGGAGCTAGTACGAATTCTACGGAAACGTCCACTCCTCCCCCAGTGTCTATGAGAGACATTTATGCGAAAGCCGCAGAAGATATCGTCAAAAATACAACATCGCCGCTCGGTCAAAAAGTGGATGAGCTTGTTGGCTTGCAGTGCGCTGCTGCCGTCGCCACTCTCCTGGAGGTCAAGTTTGGGCTTAACTTCTCTCAATTACAAAATGCCACCGCTCTACGCAAGCTAGCGAATTTCAAAGACACTGAAGCACAATTGGAGTTCTTACATGCGTTTTACACGAAAAACTCGTCGGGCCTCGGTATGGGCGTTCTAGTTCTTTTCGAGATCCTGCACCACGGAGCGAGCAAGGAGTTGGGAGAAATCGCGTTGCTGAAAGACGAAGAAAAGCGTGTCGAGGTGAACAAAATTTTGTTTTTGGTGCAGCGTCCGAACTATGAGCTGCCGAAACCGGCACCGGCACCTCCGGCACCGGCACCTCCGGCACCAGCACCTCCGGCACCGGCACCGGCACCTCCGGCACCGGCACCACAAGCGTTTCTTCAAAACCCGTCGCCCAGCAAGGTTGGCACAAGCCGCCCTGTCACGGTTGCGTAGGTGGTGTCTCGGCGAGAGGAAAGGAGAAGGAGAAAAGGGCTACTGTCGTGTCGAGCACCTCGGCACTTTTGTTGACCTTCTTTGTGTGTTTTCTACAACAAAAACAAAAAAAACTGCCAAGTGGAGAAGGCACTTCTTCTTGATTCGCACCTTTTTTGCGATTCAGAAAAGTCTTGCATCAAGACGAGTTCAGTTGCGCAAAAAGTCAAAGCGCGGAAAGCGAAGGTTGCGTCGTCCAGTGGCAAGGACGGTTCAGCTTCTTCTTCCACTTCTGGACCTCTATCTATCGCTAAGGGAAGTAGATGTGTAAAAGTGAATTCAAAAATCGCAACTCATTGCATCATTTTGGAACCGCAATCACCCCAGTTCGTTGTACATCATATTTGGCTCCTTTCATTTCATTTATATTTTCAACGCATGCTCCCGAGTTTTAGTTTTTTTTTTCGCGACGTTTCCTCTTCACAGTTTCCCACAAGAACTTCAGTCGGGATTTCAAAAATCGATAATCACAAGCACATACTTAGCATGTCTCTGAATTAGTTTCTGTCGAATCTCTACTTCTATGGGTAGGTCAGGCGAGAATGAACCTTTATTAATTTTTTTCTTGGAGTTGGAAATCAAAGGCAAAACTTCTTTTATTTTTTTGGGTATTGGAAGGTGCAGGAGCCGCCTAGTTCTGTCTACGGACGATACATGGCAGTGGCTGAAAAAGGTCGCGCAGAACGTTTTCCGTGAATGCTTTATTGTGCGATTGTCTGTGTCCAAGTCCAATGGCGTATCGCCACCAAGAACGACGGCCGCGTTGATGTACTTTCTTGCAGATGTAGACCCCAGCTCTCTAAAGACTCACAATACTACTTTTATAATTCCCCGATGCTACTTGGTACTGGATCGACCGCTTCCACAGTATGACTGTAAGACACTGATCCCAGGGGACCGATCGCGTACGTGCGGTGCTGTGAGAACATGTGCAGCGCAAGCCGTACACTGTCTATCGAATGGAAGAGCAGATCTAGTTTGCAAGTTTCAAATGTACAAGACCCCCACGCCCGGATGAAGACGAAATTTTTCACCTTTCACTAGCTTCCAGTATCGAGGTGTGGACCGATGGGAGCGAGCAGACAGTATATCCGCTGTACTGTCGCTCAAGAACTACAAAACAGTCGCAGCCCCTACCAAGCGATACTTCAAAGGGGAGCGGAGCCCGCGAACCTTATCGATTGGAATGAACCCCGAGCGCGACTACAACGACATTCCATACTAGTTGAGAGCATGACTTTCGCCATATTCGGAAAGAATCCTTCCCTTATTCCCTCGGTGGTTTTTTGATTGTCCGAGAGGATCTCTCGGCAACTATGTTAGCTAGAAAGTAGGACGGTGTTGAACTTGAAACCTCATATCTCGGTACATGCCATGGTGACATTGACAGTAAACGCTTCACTGCACGTCGGTAGATCAGAAACAGTTTGACTTTGCTAACGTCGGTATAAAGGTAAACGGCGCAGAATGAAAATTCCGCGTGCCTCGCTCACGACGTGCATCGGCTCTTGATTCTTGTTGCGAGTACACAATGAGCTCGGTACGACCACAATCGCAGGATTCGTCAGCGAGGTTGATGTCATTGGACGTCGTGCGCTCAGGAGTCAGAGGAATTTAGAACGATCTTTCGCCTTTCTGAATCTGAAGGATTTGTACCTGCCTTTTTCTCTCGTGAATTTCAATTTGCTTAAAATTGCTTCTTACAAGCTTAGGCGAGCATAGTTGCGAGGATCTTGAGACACACAGAAGATCCATCGATCTTGATCCTTCTCACCTCACTACGCCTCCGTGGTTGTTTCGCAATCTTTTCTTGTTCACCCATGCTCACCATACTTTTACCTTTTCCAGTCAAATGTCCAACAATGAAAAGCGCTACCCAAAGATAATTTTTCGAAATGACAAGATCAAGAAAATTCGTCGTAGAAGCATGTGTCTAGTAGATAATTCGCCAAGAGTAGTCTTTTGCGTTTTATTAGTCAAATTACCATGTTCGATGTGATAGTACAGAAGTCGTTTTCTGCTTCTAGAACACTTTCCCAGGGTGTCCAGAAGGCTGTAGGCCGATACGATATTGTTGAACTAGTAGAGCTCCATTTGTTCTTTTCGAATTCACCACGACCATGTCCTCGGCCAAGTCGCCTGCGCTGAAGCGACAAAAGCTAGACCCCGCCGGCGCCACGACAAAAACAACGCAGAAAAGCCCAAGGGCACAGCAATTAAATTCACAAGCGCAAAATAAACTACTGCGAGAAACAAAGCCGAGTGGAGCCGGGAAGCTGCAGGGGCCCGGTAGTGCTGCGGCCTCCCCCCGCGCAGCGCTGGCGCCGCGAAAGAGCAAGATGGATGGGAATCCAGCAGCAACCACCGGACGCGCTGCTGGCGACGAAAAAGAAGGAGAACTTCTCGCAACTACGACAGAGAACCAGCAGCACACTTCTGCAGTGCAGCTTTGTTATCCATTGGACAGCACGAGTAGAGACGAGGAAGACGCACTGCTCGTGGGATTACAAAGAAAAGACGGTCCTTTTCTCTTGTCCGAGGATGGAGTATTAAAGATTTCAAACGACAGCACGACGTGTCGCACTTACGCCGAGTTTTCCTACCCCATTGAGAAGACGAAGGCAAGTCTGGACAAGAATGAATACCGGCACATTCGCATGCATAACGGCATCCACGCAGTGCTGGTCTCGTTGAAAAATGAGGACGAAGATGAGGAAGCAGTAGCAGGCAGAGGTGAACAACAAGCGGAAGATGAAGTAGAGCACACTGGACGAAATCATGATGCTGGTCCTGCTGCCGTTGACGGTTCATCACTGGCTGTAAAAAAATCCGGAAATAATGATAACCCGCCGGTGCCGGCCTCCCCTTCCAAAGGCAGCGACGCGGCGGACGACGTGAAGGCGGCCTGCGCCGTGTCGGTTGGGGTGGGTCAGTTTTCGGACCCGGCGGAAGCCCAGGGGATCGCGCACTTCTGCGAGCACATGCTCTTCATGGGCTCCAGCAAGTACCCCGGGGAGAACGCGCACGAGCAGTGGCTCACGCAGAACGGCGGGTACAGCAACGCCTTCACCGAGTGCGAACAGACAACCTACTACTTCGAGTGCGACAACGAGGGCTTCGAAAAGGCGTGCGACATGACGTCGCAGTTTTTCATCGACCCGCTGTTTGAAAAGGACGCCGTGGAGCGGGAGATTAAGGCGATCGAGTCCGAGTTCCGGCTGTCGCAGAACAGCGACCAGACGCGGATCGACCAGGTTTTGGCGCACTTGTGCACCAAGGGCCACGTGTATAACAGCTTCGGGTGGGGCAACTGGAAGTCCTTGTGGGAAACGCCGCTGGAGGAGAAGAAAAACGTCTACGAGTTGGTGAAGAAGTTTTACCGGGAAGAGTACCTCACTTCTCGAATCTCGGTGTGCCTCGTCGGCTGCATGCCGCTGGATGAACTGGAAAGGTGCCTCAGAAACTCCTTCGGACAAATCCCGAAGAGGGAGGGTGCAGGAGCAGCAGCTCGTGGTGAGCAGCAGGGGCAGGAGGTATTGCCGTCTAGTAGTACAACCGCCGCAAAAGTAGAACAGATGGTCAAGAAGAACCCTGCGACAGAGGACGAACCACCACGGACATCAAAAATGGGCATGAAGAAAGCGCCACCTGTAGCTGCAGGTCCGTCCTCCTCCTCCGCTACCACTAATGGGAATAACAGCCACGACCACCAAAACGACTCGGACGCCGCAAAAACCCGAGCTGCACTACTCTCAGCAAAAACACCAATTGCGAAAAAGCAGGTTTTTTTCCCCCGCAACCCGTTGCTGCCCTTCTCCTACCGGAAGGACCCGCAACTTTCATCCTACCCCCCCATCAAGGATTCCGAGTTGCCCATGCTGCTGCGGCAGAAGCCCGTGGCGGACACGCACAAGCTGTATCTGGCCTGGGTTCTGCCCCCGATCAAGGACCCGAAGCATCTGTTCTATCAGCACCCGTTGGAGATCATCAGCTATTGCATCGGCCACGAGTCGAAGGGGAGCATCTTGGAGTACCTGAAGCAGAAGCACTACGCTACGTCGCTGGCCGGGGGCCAGGGGCAGAGCGGGTACGAGGATAGCAGCATTTGCACCATGTTCACGATCGAGATCGGGTTGACGAAGAAGGGGTTGCAGCACTGGGACGAAGTGGTCGAAATCGTGTTTGCGGGCATGGAAATGATTCGATTGGAGTTCGAGAAGCTCCACGGCGAACTTTCCGACAGTGGAGCGGAAGGAGAGCAGATTCATCCTGTTGCTGGACTAAATGATGGCACTGCATCTTTGAAAAATAATAAAACGGGTGGAAATGTTAAAATGAAGCGCGCTTCGCTCAAGGAGAAAGGCGCGAATAATTCGACAAAAGTCGCTGTCGCGGTGGACACGAAATCTTCCACGTCGAACAAAAGAACCAGCGCAGCAGCAGCTACTGGAAATGCCGGTGCCGCCCAGGAAGAACTACCAGAGCAGCAGCAGAAAATAATAAATCGGCCTTTGTCCAAGCTGCACCAGATTTACGCGGAGGCACGACTGCTGAACAACCTCGAGTTCCAGTTTTCCGAGGAGGAGCGGGGCATCGAGACCGCACAGCGCATCGTCGCGACGCTAGCCCCGTTATCAACTGTAAAAATGTCTGGGTCTGGAAGAATTGATGTTTGTCATGCTTGTCTGGCATGACTCTTAAATCTGTCATGCACGTTACCCAGGAGCTCTGTTTTTCTGTGATGCAGAAACGCAGTTTGTCATGCAGAATAGGCAACACCTAGAAGCTCAGAAACTTGTCATGCTGGGCCAGCATTTTTGGCCTCATCATGAGACGCTACCCAGCATCACAAGTTTCCAGACCCAGACACTTTTACATTTGATACCCGTGCTCCGGCATCCGCAAGTGCGACGTGCTGACCGGGGCGTATTTCTTCCCCGAAACGTATGGGAATGTCAGGATCGAAATCGACAAAATCGAAAAATTTGTAATGCATAAAATGTAGGGCACGCATTACCTGTGTTGGGGAGCAGGCAAATAAGACCGATTACAAGCCTGTTTAGGGGAAGACGATATGCTGCTAGAGTAGCATGACAGGAGCAGTCTTTTTGCTCAAACAGCATGACAGACTGAGTTTTGTTGCTCTCGAAATTTGTCATGCGCCACTTAGAAACTGAGGCTCCAACTGGTATAGATTTTATGCATCACAAATTATTTCGATTTTGTTGATTTCGATCCTGACACTTCCATAAAACACCGGATTTGGAGCTCGCGTACGAGTATTTCAAGCAAATGAGCATTGACCGGTGCATTCTCGGGATTTTGTCCTCCAGCTACGGCCAGGCTGTTCGGAACGAAGAAGAGGAGGACGACGAGGAGGGCGTATCAAAATAAAAAATCCCTCCACCCCATATCCAAACGAAGTTTGTGATGCTGGATTCGCGTACACAAATCAGATTTGTCTTGCTGGAGAGGAGTGCGCCCCATACCAAGCCTGAGCAGAGAGGCTTTGGACTAGGCTTTTGGCATGAGAAACGTCTGCGCTATAGGCCCAACAGCATTGCAAATCGCCTGCATAATGCGGCGCAGCCTGTGGAGTTGCATTCTTGCAAGACGGAGATGATTTGTGGTCGCAAATCAGCATTGCAGATTTTCTGCGACGTACCTTTTCGATATGGGGAGGGGGGATTTTTCCTCACAATAGGGCGACAATTCTGACGACGAAGATGCTGATGCGAAGCAGGACAATAAATCTATTATAAAAGAGGTCGCGTCGTCGATCCAGAAGCGCAGTTCTCCTCGACAGAGCGATGTTGGAGGTTGTGCGTCCGGTGCAGTGATCAACATCCCGAACCGGCCGCGGAGTCGCAGCTGCCAGCAAGCCGTGCCGACGCCGCACAACGCGGCAGGCCGCAGGCTGTCGAAGCACGGCAGCATGCATAGTTCCGACGAGGATTTGTCCAGCGATTCTTTATCGGATGAGGAGGAGGAAGAGGAGGACAGCGTGAGCATGTCCGCTGAAGGAATAATAAATCCTCCAGCTGGTCGTGGGTCGCGGGCTCCTGTGTCGGAGATGAACAAGGTAGGTCCAGCACCGAAGAGGAAAAACAAAAAGAACTTGCCGCGAAATTCGGACGCTGAGCCGGAGCAGGAGGAGGAACTGTCAGATGAAGATGCCTCCCGGATGACGGTTCGGTCCGCCGCCACCTCCCGCACAAACGCTGCGCACCGAAAAGCGAACGAAAAGCTCGACCCCTGGCTGCCGCTCGGCGGAGCGGCGGGGCTGGATTGGGAAGTCGAGCCCTACTTCGAAACGGAATTTCACAAGTCCGAGATACCCTTCGTGCTCCTCAAAAACTGGCGCAACCGGGACTACCTCCGGAAAAAGTACTTTTTGGGCGGAAATGAGAGTAGTTCTACTACAACGGGCACAACAAAAGTAGACAAGAATACTGCATCTTCCTCCGACGTCGAAATGCTGACGCCCCGTGGAGGTGGTGATACTTCTAAAGTTGCACAGCCGCACCATCCGCGGATTCATTTTCCGCCCGCAAACCCGTTTCTGCCGAAGGATTTTCGGTTGCTGGAGCCCGAGGACGGTAGTCGCGCAGAGAGTAGTAAAGCGGGAGCAACTGCCACTGGTAACAAAACCAGCGGTCCCGCTGCGACAAGTAGGACAAAGAGAAATTCTGGGAACAATGCAGCGGGAAGTTGTAGTGCCACGCATCTTCAAACAGCCTCAGGAAAGAATGCGTCTGCTGTCGCACTCGCGGGGAAAGACGCGCTTTCCTTCACGCCCCCCAGCTTGCCGGAAGGACCATTGGCCAAAAGTCTCAGGTTGAAGGACGACAGTGTGTCTGGTCCTGTTGCGGTCGATGAAAACACGACAGGAAATAATGATGGCACGAGTGCGATCATGAACAGTCATAAAGCCGCGAAAAACACCATAAACGCCAAGAATAGCAAAACCCCCGCGACGAGCGCCATTAAATCTGTGAGCAATCCACCGTCCCCTCCTGCGCAAACGGCATTGCACACCCTGATTAGTCAGCAAATCGTCGAGAAGCGGCTGGAAGTGCCAAGGCTGTTCGAGAAGAGTGAGGTCTGCCAGCTCCCGGACCGACTAATATCCCGGTTCGAGAAAAAGACGAAGAAGACGGCACAGATTTTGCTCCACACCGTGACCGTCGGAGGAGCATCGGACAATAAAAAAGCTGCAACTACAAGTGCTCAACAGCAGGAGCACCAGCAAATCCTGACGCCCCTGTACCGGTTCTACTCTTTCCACAAGCACTTTGACATGCCGAAAACCCACGTTTTCCTCCGGCTGTACCCGACCTTTCACGACATTCTGTCGACCATCGATTCGGTCTGCCTTACCTGGCTGTGCCGCACGCTGGAGGACCGGCAGAGCGACATCGCGTACCAGGCGGACACTGCGCAGCTTCATTTCTCCATCACCTCCGCCATGGAGGGGTACCTTGTGCTACATTTCTGGGGCTTCAGCGAGAAGCTCGCGGACCTGATGCGTGCGGTTTTGGGGAACGTGATGCGCTTCTGTGGGGACTACGGACTGAAAACGCCGGGGATGTTGTGCGCTAGCAGGACAACTATTTCTACAGGCGGTGCCCAGACTGGTGGAACAACATCAAAGGCAGCCAATGCAGGAGCAAATTCATCTACTACAGCGCTGAACAAACCACCAATAGATAATAAAGAACAACTCCACGAGCACGCGGGAGAGCTGTTACACACCGACGGCCGCGTGGAGGCGATTCGGCAGAAGCTCGCCCGCAAGTATGCGAACGCGAATCTCGACGCGTCTTCGCACTCCGACCGTTTGCGTCAGGAGCTGTTGGTTGCTAGTTGCCACGACCTCGAGGCGCAAGTGGCTTTCATCGATCCGCAGTGCGAGGAAGAGGCTGATAGTGTCGCCGCTGTTGGCAGTAGCAAAACCGCGAACCAGCCCGTGGACTTCAAATCTCTGTTGACATCAACATTTTTGCCCGGAGGTGGAACTTCATCTACAGAGGGAATAAAGGCATTCGCGACAACCACGACGGCCTTGAAAAGTGGAGCAACAACGGCGGGCAATCATAAACTCAACCCTCCGCCGCGTGTAGGAACAATGAATGCGACCAATTCGTCTCATAACAATCTCCTCCCCGTTCCAGGACCTTCGCCAAATTTGATTCCGCAGCACAAACAGACGACGCGGGAGCGGTCATCAAGTAAGACGCAGGTTAACAAAGACAACCCGAAGCTTATTCTGAGTAAAAACGTCCCCATCCCAGAGTTGTCATGCAAATCTGCATGCCAAAACCGTTTCTCATGCAGAGCCCCATGAGAAGCATTTTCTATTCGTATTTGGAAATTTCTGATGCTAGAATCAGCATGATATGCTGTATCTGTGACGCTTCTGATCTAGCTAAACAGGATTACACTACAAAGACGAACTTGTCATGCGAAACAACCAAAGCTGTTGGATTTGTATAGCAGATTTCGCATCTTGACTCTGGTGTGGGGACGTTTTTACTCAGGATAAAGCTGGACGAGACGTACGCGAAATTCGCGGAATATGCCGAAAGGTTCTTCTCGCTTTTCTATCAAATGTAAAAATGTCTGGGTCTGGAAGGGTTGGAACTTGTGATGCAAACTCTGGAACACACAAAAATTTGTGTTGCATGAGCGCCAAAAGCTGTCCATTTCTTGGCACGCAAGTAGGAAGTTTCTCATGCGGGACAGGCATCATGAGGCGTGCTCAAAACCTGTGATGCTTTTGCCTGCATCAGACGCCATTTGCGTGATCCGAAATATGCATGATAAATCTCGCAATCTTCCAGACCCAGACATTTTTACATTTCATATTTTCCGGATTGACATGCTGATTGAGGGAAATTTCGACACCCAATTGCAGACGGCGGTCGCAGATCTGGTGAAGGCGGAAACCGGCTGCGGCACGCGGACGTTGTCGCCCCAGGAACAGAAAATGTTCACAATCGTTGGTAGTGGAACGACTTCTACACCTGCGGAAACCTCAGCAGTTACCGCGGAAAATAAGAATGCGACGACAAACAACTTCCAGAGCGATAACAATAAACATCATCAGCTGCAGCTCACCCCCGCGGAGCAGTTTCTGCAGCACTACCCCATCCACTGCAACTACTGCCAGAAACTGCCGAAGAACACGACGCTGCTGACCGTGCAGCCGTCCGCGGACGCGAAGCAGAAGAACACCGTGATCACGCTGTACTACCAGTTTGAGCGGACCAGTCCGACGCTGTCGGCCGCGAACGAGTTTCTGCAGGACCTTTTATACGAGCCGATGTTCAACGAGCTGCGCACGAAGCAGCAGCTGGGCTACAGTGTGAACTGCGCGATCCGCGACACCTACGGGGTGGCAGGGTTTATGTTTACCATCTGTTCCTCGAGTTTTGACTGCGTGTATTTGTTGGAAAAGTTGCTGAAGTTCATCCACGAGTTCGACTTGGTAAAGGAGCTCGGGGAGGAAGCGATCGAGCAAGTGCGGCACAACTGCGCGAAGAAACTCTTGGAGCCCTGTCGCAACTTGACCGACTTGGCCGCCCTCCACTGGGGGTGCATGACGGAAACGCGGGCCCCGCGGTGGCAGCACGACCGGGAAATTGCGTACTCGCTGAAGCACGCCGACGTGGTCGGGTTGTGGAACCAGATCCGGAACTTTGGGCGGCGCACGGAGAAACAAAACTCGCTACTGAACGGACGAATTCTGACGGTCGTGTTGTCTGAGAAAACGGAAAAAGCGAAAGCAAAACTGGAACAGAAACTGACCAAGCTGCTTACGACAGCAAATAACAGTACTGTGAACGTAACAACAAGAAGTGGTGAAGGCGCAGTTAGTGCCACAACATCTACTTCACGCAAGCTGGAGAAAGAGCAGAGTCAGACCTCCGGGCCCGCACAGCTGAAAGTAGTTAAGTATGCCGAAAGTCGAAAGTTTTGGCGCTTGAAAAAAAGCCGGGAAGTAGGGGCGTTCTTCCATCCCGGCGACCTGTTGCTTCATTGATAAACGTGGAGTTGTGCGGGCTCTGCATCGAAGCACTCAGTAGAGAGCCACGGCACCATTGACGCTGCACGATGAAGATGATTTCTACGTTGGTTTTTTTGACGCGACAGTTTCCAGGCTTTTCAATCGCAAATATCTACGCGGCACTCGTCCAAGGCGAAGCCTAATGGCTCACGCTAAGTTACACTAAAGATGAACGCGTCCACTCTAGTGCACGATCAACGTGAGTGGTTTATTGTCTCAATCAAAGAAGAAGGACCAATTAAGCTTTTGTATGAACTTCGATCAAATTTTTATCTGGCGCAGAAGCGACTAGAGGATGAAGAAGTAGCTTAAAAAGTAACAAGAAAATCAAAACTATCGAGAGAGTGTAGTAGCTGGTCTCTGCCGGCCCGCCAGGCTAACAAAATGCTCAGAAGTGCAAGCGATTGCTGTTCCTTTGCGGGCGTCTTTTTTTCCGATTGATGTCAGTCTGCATTTTTTTTTCGCACAGAGATGTGTTTGTGTCGGTTCGTTTTTTCGCATGGTGGCTTCTTGCGTTCATAGTCATTTTGTGCCACCTATTTGGTGCACTAAACTAAGTGAAGAAAAACTTCTTCGATACTCTATGACTTCGAAACGTAGGTGCAGTTGTAAGTCATCAGCGCCTCTGCTTTTTGGTCGTGCGTTTTTCTGTTTTGTGAAGCCAAGAGCACTTCTATAGGCACCGTCCGTCCAAGAGTGTCCGTGCAAGGTCGTTTCCGAGTACGAAGTGTCCGTTCTTTCGAAAAGTTTGATTCCGTACAAGTGAGAATGAAAGGTAAAACGCTTCTGCTCGTCGTATTGTACCATTTTTTTCGTACAACAATTGCCATTTTTTTTTTTCCGTCCCGATTCGTTCTGGTTCGTGCAGTGTTGAAAAAACTGGATCTTGCCGCGTATAGTACTAAACCTGATTTGTTCAGGGTCAATCGCATGCAGTTGCGTTTAGGTTTTTTCGTACTGCTTCTTGTTTCAACGAAGCCTCTTTGTGACGTTTCAACAAGAAAAAAACCAAAGTTTCAGTTAGAGAACCCTTTGCTCCCTATTCCTGAGTCTCAGAAGACACTTGGGATACCCTCTCAACAGCCACTACACCAAAAGCGTTTTTTTTGCCTAGAAATTTGCACCTCGCAAACCGCAAAAAATAATACAATCTTAAACAAATAATCTGAATCCACCATTCCAATTAAAAACCCTAGGGTGTTTTTTTGGCACGGATTAGACATTTGTTGTCTTAGTAGATTTTGGTACAGTAGGATTTTTTAGCGTCTGTCATACGCTTCTAAAGTTAACCATTTTTGAAGGAGCAGATATATTATACGCGAGGAAGAGTAACAAGAACTTCAAATTGACAACTACATTGTTGCGAAACCAAACTCAAACCGCGTCTTCTGAGGAACAACCGTATCTACTTACTCGGAAGAGGACACCACGACCAAGATGAGCAAGCCGCGACCGAGCATTTTCGCAGTGCCCGAGGTGGACATCATCTGCGAGCCCGCCGGGCCGCCGAATAAGTACCCGGATGTGCTGGACCCGATTCGCGAGGAGGCGAAGGCGGAGAAGCGAAGGCTGATGGGAAAGTTCGCCCTCTACTTTGCCCCGCACACCGCCCAGCACGCGTTTGCGTACGAGCCCAACGCGTTCTCGTACGAGATCAACAGCCCCGTGAAGCCGCACGCGTCCTACCCCCGGTTTCTGGTCTGCCACATGTGCGGGGGCGGATTCGGCCCGCAGTCGCTCGAGTTGCACTTGAAGGTGTGCGAGGAAAAGTGGGACGCGCAGGAGGCGCAGCGCGAGCCAGGCGAGCCGACTCGGGACATCCCCAGCAGACCCAGCGTCACGCCAGCAGACCCAAATAATTGGACCAGAGGAGAAGTTGACGAATACAACAAGCAGGCCACGGAAGCATACAATGAAAATGGTATGGATCATTTTTATTTACGCGGATAAATCTCTACTCAAGATAGAATTTGCTCTCTAGATGTACTTGTGCCTCTACTTGTAAAAATTTCGCGGAAAAATCATTATAGACAATATTTATGTCGTTCCCTACAAATAAAAAAAATCCGAAAAAATCGTTCCGAAACTACAGCCCTGTTCGAGTGTGAGAAATGCGGAAGGAAATTCAATGAGGAGTCCTTCGCCGCGCACTTCAACGGTTGCGACAAAACCGCGGGCGGCAATCCCAAGATTTCTCCCTGCAACCTGTGCGGAAAAATTCTTTTTGGCGACCAGCACCGGCTGTACCACACGCGAAAGTGTCGCTGCAACTTTTGGGACATGCCGGTATGCGGAAGAGCCATCGGGCCGGCGTGCTACGTGTGCGGAAAGGAGTGCAGTTCCAAGAGTTTGGATCGACACGTCGCCATGTGCGAGAAGCAATGGGTGGCGAGAGAAGAAAACAAAGTATACTTCATATATTGTTCAGACGATAATAGTAGTTGTAGTTGTACTAGTAGATCATCACATTGATTTTTGAACCACGCTACGATATGCTGGTCATCTTCTCGCTTCATGCGCGATCACGACTTGGATCTCATTTTCGTTCAAACAAATGCATCTTTATCTTTTCGAAGCGCGGGTCGAAAATCTAAATCTGCGAGTGCCCAGCGAAGCTGGTGTGGATTGGTAATGATACGTTTTGTGTACCAGCCTATGCGTATGCCATTAACGTCATCTATGTCGATTAATCGTTAAATACCTGATCCTTTCAGGTTTACCCCGACGACCGGCTCCCACTCCCTTCCAAAATTGGGGGTTCCGGCGGTTGGGACGCGCAGAAGCAGGCTATGCTGGGCTGCGGCGCGATGAAGACCTGCGAGAACTGCGGCAAGAGCTTTTATGCCGAATCCTATGAGAAGCACATTCGCGGGTGCGGGCAGGAGCAGACGTTGGAAAACTTTCTGAAGCAGCAGAAGAACAAAACAAGGAAGCGCGAGCTGGTGCTCGGCTGCGAAGATGGATACTTCCGGAAGTACAACCCGAGACCCAGCGAGAAGGGCGTGTGTTGCTACATCTGCGGCAGGAAATTCGGGTACGCAAGCATCGACATCCACATTAAGGCCTGCATTCACGTTTGGGAGGAAAGGGAGAATGCAAAGTCGGACCGCGAGGAGAAAAGGTACAAACAACTGCTCTTTAAATACTGATATTCATCGATGATGCATTTTATTTATTCGCAGTGTGTTCGCCACGTAATCAGAGTTTCATTTTCGTGACGTCGCCGTGCTTCTGCGCTGAGAAGTTTATCGTCGAACATAAGCCTCACTGAGTGAGTCTCAGTCACATGAAGATGTAACTACTCAGCTTTTTGATCATGCTGCATGTGTAGATGCATGAAATTAAGAAGCGTTTGTCTTCGAAGATTCGGAAACCTTGGTAAAAATACATATGAAAACAGGCCCGTTCCGTCCCGGCCTCCTCAGTTTGACAGCTTCAAGTCGAATGCCATGTCCCTTGCGGAGTGGAATAAGTGGGTCTTTGAGAACTGCGCGCTCTACGTTCCGTGCAAAAATTGCAACCGCACGTTCTTGCCCGAACAGCTGGCCAAGCACCGTCGCGGCTGCAAACCGCAGGGCGCGCCCGCGGAGTGGCGATGAAGAGCGGGAAAAATCGTTCGTGGGTTCGAACAAGAAGTGTTTTGGCAAAAAAAACACGACGCGACAATATTAATATGCACCAAACTCATCATGCTTTTTCAGTACCCCTGGAAACATGAAGAAACGTCTCGGCCTTTTACAAGTTTTACAAAAAGTTTGTTTGTTTTCAATCAGTTCATCAGTAGAATTTTTACCACTTTACTAAAGTACGCATAGGAAAGATCATGAACCACACAAACATACTACATATATTTTTTTGTCATTTCGTTTCGATCTTCTACAGCAATACAAATAAAAATCAAGATGGTACAGTATCCACTTTTATTTTCTTCTCAATTCAATTTCAACAAAGCAAAAATTCCAATTTACAATTTACAATATATTACAAGCAGTTTATTATTATTCTTTTGTCAAGCGTTTGATATTCTACTCTCAGAACCACCACTAGAAACCGATGAATGTGGGCAAGGTTTAGAACTTCTATCTGGGGAAAAATAAAAAAGCGTAGTATGTCAGAAGTTCTGTACCCCAGAATTGAGTTCGGAAAAGATATTTTATTACGACGGGTAAAAGATATTTTGCACGATTCGCTCGCGATTTGGGCTGGGAGTTTGTTTTTTAGTAGAAATATCAAGTCGAACAAATTCAAGTTTTCTCGTTTGATGAGTTTCTTTTGTCCTGTCTACCCGACAGAGCAAAGTGATTCAAATGGTTCTGCTCTACTTTATTTCCCACCACAGGCACACCCCTAACCCCTTCTCCGCAGAACGACCCCAATCTCCTATGCAAAGCACCACCACGACGACCCGACGTGCTCTTGCTCGTCATAGCCATGACCATGAAAAGCAAATTTGTCTACCCCGCTGAAGAATTTGAATTTTGTCCCAAAGTAGACACGGAAACCCTCCAGGAAAGGCTCACAAAGTCATCTTAATGTCATTTACGAATCACTGGCACCTTGTTGCCAGTAAGTACGAAAGAAATATGTTAACCGGGTCGTCATGACTGTGTTCCAGCCGGTAAGGCAAGTGGCGGAAGTAGCTCTCCTTTGTGATGAAGCTTGTGCGTTTATAATTCAGAGGCACTTTCATCTTTTTCGCCAGACAACGCATTTGTCTCAGGAGCTTGTGCGAAATTAATTACTTCCAATGTGTTTCTCGGAGTTCTAATTCCCTCCTTAATTCGCTGAGATGATTCTCGGTAGTGGGTGTGCGTATTTTTTCTGGATGAAGCGATCCATCAAGAACCAGGATCCTCGCAGCGACAGTGCTTCACCGACCGATGCAGCTCTGGCTGATCATGATCTAGGTTTTCTGTAAGTTCCCGGGTGTTGCGTCAAAGGAAGGTTTGATTCCCGATATTCAGTGTGGTTTATAATATCAAGCTGGTGTTGTATCACTCGAGTCTTCTTATTCGAGGTGTCAGCTTTTTCCCAGCGAGTAAGAACCAAAATCAATCTGCCCGACTTAGTTAATAGAGCAGTTGATAAAAAAGTTGTTGATAATTATATATGAAGCAGTTGATTTTCAAGTAAGAAGAAGTTTGTTTGTTTGTTTGTAGTTATGCGTCAAGGTGGGAACGCGTTTACTCACCTTTTTTCTCTAGCGCTATTTCAATAAAAATCCTCTCTGGCACCAGAACCAGAAGCGCTGAAAAAACCCGGGACTACTACTGCTCTTGTGAAAGTAAAGGGAAGTAAGACTGACTAAGAATAGCTGCTAACTCAAAGAAAAATAACCCTTCCTGACTACAACTACGATGCTGTGATCGTCCCTTCTAGCTGTTGCTGTTCAAAAAATACGGATTGCGTTGTCGAAGTTAAAGCTTCAAGTTTAAATCTCTAAAAGTCGCCAGGTCTATAGTAGAATTTCGATCCGTAAAATTTTCGTTTGGGATACAAGCTTTTTGAATTTCTTTTATTTCTGTCTGCTTCTGCGTCAAAGTTTCAAAGTCTAAAGTGGTCGCTTACGTCGTAGTTCAGGTTTTCAAGTACAGCCATACTTAAGTTTCGAATCTTTTTCAAATTTGTCTGAGAGATCCCTGCACGAGCGAAAAGGCTCAGCTTCAACTTCCGATAAGGCCTCCAGCACACTGTTGCGTCCTCCCATCCGTCCTCCACTTCGGCTCCGGAACTGCACGGCCAGTTTCCGCATCTCCCCAGTCACTAAGAAGTTCGACTAATGCATTTTATTCCTCCTGTTTTTTCGTTTTGAGTAATACCGATCGAAGATACTCCACTGCACATGTAGTGTTTCTATCAAAGATACTATTCAGAGTGACTGGACTTTTTTTTGAATTGGCCGGAATTTCAATTTCCATCTATTTTGTTGGACCTTGAATCAAGCGAATGCATGTGTGATCATTGCAAAAAATTCCTCTGTAAAAGGGTAAAATGAAGGTTGTGTCGTTTGATGAAAAATCTACATTCATCCTTTCATTTTATTTTTTCGGGTTTGGAAAATTTTTTGTATTTTGGCACCTCGGTTATGTGATATTGCAGACATTGAGATCTTTGTCAGAAAAAATTTTGCCCGGTCTACATTTTTCTTGGGGACGCGCGTCGTTGGAAGGTTCCTTCCGAGATTTCGACACGGGCTGCTTTTTTTTCCCCGTGCAACACAGCGCCCCTCCTGTGCAGAACAACAATCAAGTACTTGAATCATGATGCTATGCATGCGTTTTCTTTTTTTTTTGGTTCTTCGGAATCTTTTTGAGCCGGTCGCCCGGTATCCTACAGAACAGCACACCCACGGTACCAATTGCGCTGCAGTTTCTATGTAAGAAAAAAGCTGCTTTGTTTTGTTCAGGATTACAAACCTGCTTAGTACCTCTCTGATCCCTTTTCTGCATTAATACAGTGCTTAAAGATAAAAAACTCAAACTGAAACAACACACGCCTGGGATTATGGAAGAAGTGTGTTCATATTTTGTAATTGCAGTAATGCATTTGCATGCCGATGCAAGGATCAGCGTGGCAAAGTTTTTTGTGGTGCCATAAAAACAGCAACACAGATTCATTTTCTGTTGGTATGGGTGTGCTTTCCTCTTGGATAGCCGGGACCTAGGTTTCGAGTGTACGCGGCTGCGGTCGTCTGCCATATGCATTGCAAATGTGTCTGGATCTGGATGGCTGCAACTTGTGATGTTGCTGACTGTGGATTCTAGAAAAATCTGTATTGCATGACCAGCAATACAACGAGTCCAGTTTGTGCTACGCGGAGAGGGCATTTGTCATGCGGAATAGGCATCAGGAACGCGTCTAGCAATCTGTGCTGCTAGGTCATGCATTACAGGCATCCTGGGTCATGCAAAATATGCATGACAAGCCTTGCATCCTTCCAGACCCAGACATATTTGCATTTGATATGCTAACCGCCTTGCCGCGAGAGATCAACGAGAGCAGGAAAGCGGACGCCGGCCACGACGAATCCAACGTCAGGTATAATGAAAAATCGTAGAAGGGAGTCTTCTATTTGTAAAGATTCCGGTTGTGTGGAGTTAGACGCAGAAGTCGTACTTTTACTATCTACGAACAATCAAACCTCAGCTTGGACCCGATGTATACTGTGCATTTTACAACAGTTTTGACATCATCACTTGTCGGCGCCGTGCTATTGGGCACTATCTGGAGCAGTAATCTGGAGTGTAGAGTTTTCGCATTTCATGGGTGATTCTTCTTAGTACTACTAGGTAACGCCAGCAGTAGGGGCCAAGCAGCAAGCGCTCACGGCACCGACGTCCTGGGCGGATGAAACAGGTGCGTATAATAGTACCATTCCGTTTGAAACGGGTTCGACCACATGCAAGATAAGTTTTTTGTCGCAGGTTTTTGTGCGCGCATTTTTTATTGCCGGATTCAAATGCATCAAAAATAAAAAACTTAAATGTGTAAAAAAAGCATTAAGCGTTTTAATTCATTTACAGTCGATAATCACGATGCGGCGTCGGACGGCAGGCAGCATTCGGAGGAAGCGCGAGGATCAGCAGCAGCTGATCCGTTCCCGCCGGATTATCAAATGCAAACAGGTCTGGGTGAAGAAAAATGCGTATCATACAAGAAATGGTCTCAAATGCCCGCAAAAGCATTGGAGGTTTAGCGTAGGTCTCTGGATGCCTTTCCCGCATGAACAGTGCGCTATCTGCGTTGTAGCAGAAGATGGGCAACTGTTGGAATGCATGTGGTATGCAACACTCAGAGAATTTTGTGTGATCCCGAATTTGCATCAAGGACAGACGTATTTGCAATGCATATTAAGGAGCGTCGATCCCCATCCCCAGCTCACAGCGCGGCCGCGACGGTTGGCAGTTCCGAGCACAGCAGCAAACAATCTCGGTCGGGTTCTCGGTCCGCATCCCCAGCGCACAGCGCGGCCGCGACGGTTGACAGTTCCGAGCACATCAGCGAACAATCTCGGTCGGGTTCTCGGTCCGCATCCCCAGCGCACAGCAGGGCCGCGACGGTTGACAGTTCCGAACACATCAGCGAACGATCTCGGTCGCGTTCTCCGCACTTCGCACGTGCTACGTGAGACAAAAAAGCCGGCGAGTCATGTTTGCAATGAAAAAGAAAAAAACCAAAAAGCAAAGAAAAACTGGCATGGGCAAACCTGCAGCGTGCTGCTTCAGGCATGTAAGACAGAAAAACCTGGCGTGGGCAATCCTGCAGTGTGCTGCTTCAGGTAGGTAAGACAGACTCTTTTGTGTATTTATTTTTGCATTCGTAAGTAGACAGACTCATTGTAGTTGTTCATTGTTCATTTACTGTTGCATTGCAAATGTCCCCCGGCGCCGGCTTTTACTCTAGGATAATTGTCCAGCTTAGCGCCGTGCATGATCGTGTCCGTGACGGTCCTGCACCGCCGTTGTATGCAGTGCAAGTAAAAAGTCTGGATCGGGATGAGTGCAACGTGTGATCATGCTTCCTGTAGGTCATAAAGATTTAGAAATCTGTTTTGTACGAAAAGCAAAAGCTACTCAGTTTTTGCGACGCACACGCAAAGTGTGGACAATTTCTTATGCGGTATATTCACAAATTGTCCGACTAGCACTAGGTCCTCAGGGGAACTTCGACCCACCCAGCCGGGTGGGCCTTAGATCCCCTGCCCAAAAAATTCGGTTATGAGTCCACCACCGCTAAAAGTTAAATTATGAATCCACCCCAAGAATGAGCTCATTGATTTTTTGGGCAGCAGGGGACCCAAGGGCCAAGGCCCACCCGGCTGGGTGGTGCGAAGTTCCCCGGAGGACCTAGTTGAGCAATTTGTGACCCTCCTCTAAGCATTATGTTTCGAGCCGAGCAATTAGAAGTTATGCTAGATTCTGCATCAATAAGCCAAACCTTGCGAGCCATGGAAAAATCTGCATCGCAAAGACCTGCATTCTTCCAGACCAAGACATATTTGCAATGCACACGCTGCAATTATCCGCTGGACTGTCGACGGCTCTTGCCCGCGGCACGTTCTCCCCGAGCCAGGTCCAACGCACAGAAGACTCCAGTACAGCCAGCCGCGTGGCGGTCGAGGACCCCCAGCCGTACATCTTCCGAATCCGTGCGTCGCCCATGGGGGAATGGGTTGAGCAGGACGATCACACGCGCATGTGGGATCTGCAGGTACCGTTTCACGAGTTGACATGCGTGTGCACGTTGGCGCTCTGTGGTTCTTCGTCCGGAGGCACCACCCCAGGGGGCCGTGTTGTTGCTCCGCGTCAGCCGGTATGTGTTGCAAATATGTCTGTGATGTCCTCTGGGCGAAAGAACTAAACTTGTCATGCTTGTCTGGCATGACTCTGAGGTACTACATTTTGGTGCAAGATCACGAAAAGATTTTTTTGCTTGTCATGTAAGAACGCAGTCTGCCATTCGGTGCCCCCATTACTATTCGCCGACTAGCATAATTACAGACATATTTGCAATGCATAGCAGGAAGGCGAACGAGATCCCCCGGCGCGCATGTACAAGCTGTGCTCCAGTCCGGTGGTGATCGACTGTAAACTGCGGGAGCCCCAAAAAGAATCCGTTCCTCCCCCCGGGGATTTGTCGGGACTTGGTTGGCGGTGCACTAAAATGTCCCAGTTGCGGCTGAATAGCACGAGCTCGTCAATTTTCCCCGGCATCCCGCTGGACCGCGTCGCGAAGCTCGCTGTGGACAAGGTATCGTAAAGAAAAATCCCCCCTCCCCATATCGAAAGCGTATCCGTCTGAAAATTTGCGATGCGCATTTGCGACCTCAAATCCTGTCTGTCTTGCAAGAAGGCAAGTCCAGAAAGCGTTTCGCATTTTGCAGGCGGTTTGTAATGCTGTTTGGCTTAGAGCATACACGTTTGTCATGCTAGGCGCCTACGTCAAAACCTCTCGACTGAGGCTTGGCATATGCCTGCATTCCTCTACTGCAAGACAAATCTGATTTGTGTATGGAAATCCAGCATCAGAAACTTCGTTTCGATATGGGGAGGGGGGATTTTTCCTTTCGATACAAGGGAAAGGAGGTTTACACGCTACCACACTATGGAGGGAAAGTGCGTGATTTTCCCGGCTGCTGCTAGCTCTAGAAGAAAAAAGCCAGCTGGTCGTGCGAGTTTTCCCATAAGGCGCTTCTGGTGATGCAAAACGCTAAAGCAAAAAGCACACCAAGCCGCATGGAAGTGAGTGACTTTCATGGAGATAAGTGATATATAATTTTTGGCGTGCTTTTTGATTTTGCATGATGTAGCAAATCCGCATGACAATTTTCTCAGGGCTAGCATCACTCCCGAAGATCGTTCATTTTCCCGCTATACACCAGAAGGTGCGGACACGGATAGCGACTCGGAGCCGCCGTCTGGCCTCCAGACGCCCGGTCAGGAGGAAGATCATTCGGGTGATGACGCAGATCGTCCAACCGGCGGACGGCGTGGGCCCGAGCAAGCGACGAGCCTGGCCCGCGCCGCAAGGAGGCTCCTGAAGCCGACACAAGTGGCTTTTCCGCTGTTCTGTTTCAGTGACAAGTTTTTGAAGCAGAAGCCGTGCGTGGTCTCCGGGCAGCACGGGACGCGACTGATTTATCAGGACCAGCTGCGGAAATACAAGGAGGCACGGTTCTACGAGAAGCACGCAACGAATGTTCCGAATTGGCAGGCCATCTACTTCGTTTCCCGTCTGCGGTTTCCGGATACAACTACCAGCACGAGAGGACGAGATATGGGAGTGCAGAACCTCCCTCCCCCTCGTTCTTTGTGCTGCAGAATCAATACAAAGTCTACACCTTGCCTTGAAGCACTCTCTGCATGCTAAATTTTGAAACCTTAAAAAACGCCAGCACTTCTGTCCGTGTGGAGATTTGTCGTGCGGAAGCCACATTGACATTGATTTCTCCCGTTGTTTGTGTTGCTACTCACGCCGTTCGTATGAGGGGAAGAGGGAGTTGTGCAATCTCATACGAGAGCCGTCCACGACGCAAGAGCCCCTCGTGGAAACGCTTGTCATTTGTGACGGAAATTTTCAGCTGCAGCCCTACTGTCCGGCGGTGTCGCTCGGGGACCCACAGAGGGCACTACCTGCTTCGGGCCAAGGAACCAGTTCTCTACAGGACCCGGAAGACGACGATGCCGACATGGAGCAGCTTATTCTGCGCTGGCGGCGGTTCACCGTAGACCCGGAGGAGAAAAACGACGAGCTCCGGTGGATTAAGGCGGACCTGAGGGTTTTTCTGGAGGATCTGCGTCAGCACCAGAACGGGGAACAGGACGGCGGTGCTGCGATCGACTGCGTCCATCCCGACGCGTGCTTTTTGCACTGGAAAACTGAAACGGTCGTGCATGCCATGGACGGCTGGAAGGACCTGTACCTGTCGAAGAGCTCCGACTGCGTGGTGGGCCGAACGATCAAAAGCATCTGCCAGGAACAACTGCTAGCTTCTTGTTCCGATGAAGTTGGGTCGACCACGACGGCTGGGGGTTCCACTTCCTCTTCCTCGGGGATGGAGCAATCTGCGTGTGAACAACGACCTTCCGCACCAGCACGCCCGTCGAAGCGCCTGCGCCGTTTCCGGCCCCGGAACGAGCGGCTGCACCGCATTCACACGGAGCCGCCGAGTCCGCTCATTTGGAAGAGCCGCAAGTTTTGCGACGGGCGGTCTAAGCCTCGTACGAAGACAGCGCGGCGCAGTGCGCTGCACTGGAACGACCCCGAGTTCGTTTCAACGCGGTTTCGGGAGGAAGCCGCGATCACCGCCCAAGCCACCGCCCGGTTCGACAGCCAAAACATCCGAATGCCGCTCCTGAGGGGCGCCAGTAGCGTGGTTCCCCGCGCTATCGCCAGGAAAAACTGTTTCAGTCTCAACTTTGCAGGATCAGCAATACAAGTTTGATCAGCATGACACGGAAAACCCGTGATGCGTAAGACACAAGAGCAAGCTCATAGGAAAGACGACTTTCTTGCATCTCGAGCATGAAAAAAACTTCCTGAAGGAACTTGCGCATTACAAGTTGAGACTGAGACAGTTTTTTCTCACGATGCGCGACCGTGGAACAAGTCCCGCTTCGTCGCCAGCAACTGCTGCAGGACAACCAAGAAGTAGGACAACTACCGGTGATGATCCGGAAATACCGCAGCGTCATCTCTGTAGTATCGACGTGGCTATTGTTCCCGTCGCGTGCGGGGCGAGGACGGGAGAGGAGCCCATCTATCCTGTGTAACAAGGTCCCCACCTCGCCTTTGTCATGCAAAACTGCAAGCCTAATCCTAAACGCTAAAATGTTTCTAACGCGCAGGAACCCCACGGGGAGCATTTCCTCACGTTATCTGGATTCTGGAAGCTCTTCAACATGAGAAACAGGATGAGAGGAGCCATCGATGTTCTTGATACGGCTCCACTAGCCAAACCGGTCATGCCCAAATTCGTGCAGTCTGTTTGTACGAGCTGTCATGCGCAACACGACACAGAGCTTGTTGGTTTGTGCAGCAAAATGCCCATCTTGAATTTAACGCGGAGACGTTTTTACAGAGGATACAGTCCTGGTTTGCCTCATCCCGCTGCGGAATACCATCACGAGGGACGCGATCGTCCGTACCGCAGGCACTACGTCTATGCAAGAAAAAAACTTTCATGTATGCGCAGGATTCAACACACCTAGACTTGCCATCCTAGCTAGCCATGAAGTCCTCTTTTCAGATGTGTATGCACGTGCTACTGCTCGGTTTGCATGACAGGCTCTCTCTTGCATGCAGAGCAAATTTATCATGCTGTCACTCCGAAATGCCCACTGGGTACGCGTATAGTAGCACCGTTTTTTTCTTGGATAAGGTCGGTGGAAGAACTGCTTCACCAGTTCGCGGACCAGCAGGGAACCGCCACCAGGGCCTTTTGAGGTTGCGTCACCACGTTATTTGGGGGATCATTTGTAGTTCGTGTCAAAAGAGGTTTTTTTTTTCCGAAAAGTGTGCGATTTATGTGTTCTTTTATTTGTTCTTTATTACCGTCTGATGAAAACATAAAGATAATTAAACTACTTGCATAAACAAGAGTGAGCACGAAGACTGTCTTTAGGAGGTGAACTCAGCTCCTTTTTTTTTTGCGAAAAACATGTTTTAGATGTTGGTTTTGTACAAGTTCTTCGCTCGTATTTTTGCAACCTTTTTGCATATCCATTGTTGGAGGCACGTAGCGTCGATTCTTGCAGAGATTCGTTTTTTTGGGTGCCGCAACATGCACCCTTTGGAAGGCTTACGACTCAGGGGACACTATTATTTTTCTCTTCGTAACAAGAATACAGCTGTAGCGCATGATCATGAAGATCTTGCTGCCCATGTTGTGCCAGTCTAGGGCTCTTATTTGTAGGACTGCAGCAGATTATGTCAGCCCCAGGTTAGACTTAGAACACAGAATTACAGGAAACGGGAATATTAATATTAAAATGCGCGACCGTTTCTAGGACTTAAGTAGGCTTCCATCAAAGCAACTCCACAACGATCACTGCACCGGATAGGAGGATTGTCGAGTAAATTGATTTTAAGTTTGAAGGCCATGAAGCAGGCAACGATATGCAGATTTGGTGCTGGGTCGTCGGCACCATACAGAGCAAGTGCTAGTACTTATACGTGATGATGAAAATAGGAATACAATATCGCAGCTTCGAGTGGTTGACCTGTAGCTCCTAGCTTGTGATATTTATGTCGACTTCGAGTATGCCTCGGTGTCCAGAAGATAGAAGATGGCTAAGCAAGCACATCGCCGCAGGAGCACCTGTTGCGGAGAAAGTGTCTTGAGCAGAAAGATTCGTTAAGTTGGAGTTGCTATCAAAACCTCTTTTGTCCTATCGGGCTCCGTGTCGAAACATCATCACGATGTCGCATGAGGCCATTGATTAGCGTGAATCTAGGCGAGATTTTGTTTTTGTGAAGTTGCTAACTTTCAACACGATTTTTACGATCGAATCCTCAGAGGGATGCTCCCTACCTCTGGATTCTTGCGATTAGCAAGGTTGCGAAACTCGTAATTGTTGGTATAATATCCGTGCTTCCCTGCTCACCTTTGATATCTAGATCGCGAGAAGCGGCGCACGGAACATATGCTAGCATTTGCGGTATTGCAAATTATATGACGAATATTCGAGTACGAGTTTTATCTGTATCTGATAGCTGCAATAATGCTAGATTGATGTTGACGTTGATAAAATGATTTGAGGAGCGTGCAAGGAGTGAAACGAATACCGAAGCAAAATTAGTAGAATCGAGGATAGGAACTGCATGCGGATCAAATTCAGAATAAGTAGAAACGGCGTAGTAGCTGCTGGCGGGGGCGACACTTGCTGCTACCGAAGAAACTACGCTTGCGTTGCTGCTATCGAAGAATACGAAATGCGACTGCATCTTCCGAAAAAATGCAAGAGAATACAGAAAACTCACAATTTCGAAGCCACCCGCGTGTTGGCATGAAGATGATGAGGAAATTATATATAGTGAATCGCGGCGCAATAGAAAATAGAAATGACGAAGCAGTAGAGAATTCGAGCGCGAGCAAACTAGCAACAGCTACTTCTGCTGAAAAGTAGGGAGACGCTGATTCATAGCAAGAAAGAAAGTGAACGTGAAGCCGAAAAACAAAAAGTATGAAATAACCCGGGATGAAAATGGGTAAGATTATACTCGACGAAAATGTCCGAACGTTTTTTCATGGGCAGAGGAAGTGAATGTTGATACATACGAAGAATTTGTTCCGGCTGCAGGTAGAGGAGAAGAGTGATGGAGTGTGACGAGTGAGCAACGACGAGAGACGAGAAAGCAACAGGTGCCAGTAACAAGGCGAAGCACAACAAGTAATCGCTTCGATTCGGACTTCTAAGCATGAGGAAATTTTATTTTTAACACACGCGCTAGGTACTGCTCGTTAGAAATAAAATACCACCTAAAAGTTGGTTTTTCCCGTGGAAGAGAACTCGCGTTCGTGAGCAGTGAAGGTACATCAACGAATTACAAAGAGTCGGACGAGAGTTCGTTCTTGCTGAGAGAAGAGATTTCGTGGTCGATTGTTTCCTGCTTTCCCCCAAACGTTTACATGTGAACTCCTCGTCATATAAGTTAGTCCTTCTTCCACGATTGATGCAATAGCAATTTCAACATCTTCTACACAGGCCGCGGGACGACCAGTTTTTTGAGTTTCATCTTATGTTGCGGAAAAAAAAACCGAATATTGTGACGTATCAGAGGCGACGAGAAAATGACAAAAGTTAACATGCGGCCCATTGTGGAAGGATGATCTCAGTTGGAGAATGAAAGAGATCACCTTCTGGTATAAAAGGACAGCGTCTTTTTCTTCTTTCTGTGCTGTGAGTGTGCAACCACTTCATCTACGTAGAAGTGCCACCTGCGGTGTGCTAAGTCCTCTGCCGCTGCGAGAGCCGGAAAATAGAGAGCCACTCTGTCCGTGGAATCAATCAAGAAGACCATTTCATCCGTCGAAGAGGAGGATAACGCGTTGAAATAAAGGGTCTACTTTTCGCTGGAGAAACTGCGTCAATATGGCGCTGGTGGCGGTGAGCAAGCACCCTGCGGCGCACACGGAAAATTTCCGGTCCACCAATGTGCGTTTTTTGCAGGAACAGAACAAGCAGGCCTTGTCGGCCTTGCAAAAGGTTGAAGAAGAGAGAAATGAGGTATAGTACACGACTTTTTGCAACTCCTTTCAGTGGTCTTGACTGTCGGCAGTTCTCGTTGCACTGAGTTTGTTACTAGTACCATTCCTACTGACAATACAGCATCGGAGACACGACCTTTTTCGATATTTTGCACACGTCGTCTATAATAACATCAAGCAGACCACCGAGCTACTACAAGTTGACCGAAATAATAAATTTTTTTATTTCACCTTTCTCAGGCTTTCGCGGTCATTAAGGAATGGGAGGCCAAGCAGTCGAAGCTCGAGGGCGAATATGACGACCTGCAGTATCAGCTCGAGGACCTGGAGCAGAGTAACATCAAGTCCCGCGCGGGCCTGCAACAAAAGGATGAGCACGTGCGCGTGCTGTCGGAGCAGAACCGGCAGCTGCTCACCATGCTGGAAACGGAAGAGGCGAAGGCAAAAAGCAAACAGGAGGAAGTCGTGGTGGCCATTGATCTCAACAAAAGTCTAAAAGAACTGCAGGTACTTTGAAAATATGATTTTTGTGATGCTGAAAGGAAAATGATTTATTCCCCGTTCGTTTTCTACACCTAGTTTTGGAAGGCAAAGTGCCAACTTCTTCAAAATGTTTGAAGTACTCGTCTGCACCATCTCCGTTTTTAATAAAGTTAATGCGTGTTATGAAGTGCATTTGGCATATACCACAATTACATGATACCACTCGACGAAAATAATTATATCAGGTGAAGTTCGAGAAGATGAAGGCGAGCGGAGATGCCCAGCTGCTGGCCGTTACCACTGAGGTGGTGAAGCTACAGGAGGAGGCCAAGAATGCGCGCAACGAAACCGAACAGCTGCAGACGGCGGCGCGGAATTTCACCGCGCAGGCCAAGCGGGACATCGAGGAACTGGAGGAGCGGCTGCAGGAGGCCAAGAAGCAGAACGTGCTGCACCTGCAGCAGATCCAGCACAACGAGGTGAACGAGCACCGGTTGCTGGAGAAAATCAACTCCTGGAAGTTGCAGATCGAGGAACTCGGGGTGCAGAAAAAGGCCATCAAGATCCAGCTGGACGGGGACCTCATGGCCCGCGGGAGTTGGACCAAGAGCAAGATGGACATTTTGAAGCGCACCGAGATGCTGGAAGAAACCGCGGGCGAGCTGCGGGCGGCGATCGTGGCCGCGGAGCAAACCAACAGCAACATGACGGAGGAGAATCGCAAGGGGGCGGAAAACTTCCGGGAGATGGGGGACAAGGTGTACTCGCTCATGGACCAGCTGCGCATGAACCAGGTAAACTTGAAAAAAGAGGAATCCACGGCGAAGGACCGGGAAAAGAAGATCGTGCAGCTGGAGAAACAGTATTTATTAGTTGGGGCTACTAAAGGCGATATTTTTTGTTCTCCTACTATGAGCTGTAGAAGTTGATGTTGTAGTGCGGTCGTTTCTTGATACGTCGGCGATGATCGGAAAGATGAGTAAAACTTTTGTACAAGAGCATCAAATACTTCTTTTTACGCATGCAGTTCCCGTTCCGTACGTGATCATGCGGAACATCAAGCGAAGCGAATGAATTTTCCAAACAGGTACCAGCTGCTGCAGCAAAAGCTTTCGCTGGAGGTGGAGGCCAAGCAGCAAGCCGAGCAGGAGTCCCGGTCTTCGGCGCAGATGCAGGCACTGCTAGGGAAAAAGAACAAGAAGCTCGAGGAAGGTTTGCAGCTGGCGCTGCGCGGGCAGGAAAAGGCGGAAAAGAAGCAACAGGAACTGGCGGACAAGGGGAACGCGCTGCAGACGCAGAACGCTTACTTGGCGGCCCGCGTCGACGGGCAGGAGGAGGATAAGATGGCTCTGAAGGCGGAAATACGGAAGCAGGCCGAGGACGGGAAGCAGTGCCAGCTCACCTACCAGTCGTTGCAAACCCAAAAAACTGAAAAAGAGGACGAGCACAACGCGCTAGAGGCGGAAAAAGCAGCGATAACAGCGGAGTTGGACTACATACGAAGAGAGGACATGTTGGACGAAACAGGGAGAACAAAGGTGAGTACTTAGTTTTATAGTCTATAGACAGATAAGGACTTGACTCAAAAGCTGTAGAGGAGAGTTGCGAAACCCTTAAACAGGGTCTAAAGTTGCGGCTCAACCTGCAGCAAACCTGGAGCAAACCCCTAGGGCTTTTAGAAGTGGCGCAGTTTTCTACTCGCGAATGCGCACGCTATTCGACCCAAAAGATGGAGGTCGACCCGTAGGGAACAAGCAAAAATCGCGAAAAGTGCGACATTTTGGAAGCGCTGAACCTGCATGCTATTACGACAAAACCTGGAGCTTTTCTGGGGCTCGAGCTCTAGAGCTTTTCATGTATTTGCGCTCTTATTTTTCGAAAGCGCGTGCTGCTGTGGAAATATTTGTATTTCCGACAAATTCTACGACTTGAGCTGTAGGGGTTCAGCGCGATGAGCGACAAAGAAACCCCTGGGCGCTGCAAAAATAGCCCGAGCCCTACACGCAGCGACAACCCCCGCGCTCAGAAGAGAGCCCCTTGTCGCCTTCAATATGCAAGTGCCCCTCGCCCAGTGTTGTGCGCCCTGCTGCTGGTGGCGGCAGCCCTTGCCCCTGCGTGCGGGCGCCTGCCACGTCGCCCTGGCAGCATTTCTCGCTCTTTGCGTTAGGTCCTGCCCCTCGCAGTAACTCTTGTCCCTCGCAGTAGCTCTTGCCCCTCGCAGTAAGTCTTGCCCCTGCGCATACGCCTTGCCCCTGATAGGACTTCTTGCCCTTTGTAATACTAGCACCCCTTGCCCCTCGCAGAACATCTCGCCCCTGCAGGCACATCTTGCCCCTGATAGGATGTCTTGTCCCTTGTAGTACTAGTGCCCCTTGCCCCTCGAAGTACATCTCGCCCCTGCAGGCGCATTTTGCCCCTGATAGGACTTCTTGTCCCTTGTAGTACTAGTGCCCCTCGCCCCTCACAGTACATCTCGCCCCTGCAGGCACATCTATCTTGCCCCTGCAGGCACATCTATAGTTGGACTACATACGAAGAGAGGACATGCTGGACGAAACAGGGAGAACAAAGGTGAGTATTTATTTTACACTGAAGCTGGTTGAACTTGTTTTCCTTCATGATATGAACGAATGAAATGCGCGTCGATTCTTTTCATTTTTCATGGTGTTGTTTTATCAGCATGGTCATAAGAATTTAGATTGGTTTTACTTTCCCTATCAAAACAGCCTGTGCTCATCGAGTCCAACGACAGCAAGCTGGTGGAGCGATTGCAAATAAACGAGTTCCTATACTCCGCGCAGCAGGCCAGAAACCCAGTGCCCATGATCATCGAAAAGGTACTCCTGGTCGCGGCTATTCTGATGTGTTTTTGCGAATGGTGACGGTCAATAAAAAGAAAAAATCAACATCTTCTTGATGTGGTAAATCAATAGACAAGAAGATACATAGTATATCCCATCAGGAATGTTGATTAGATGACTACAATCAACCAAGGTTTCGCACGTTCTTGAGCTGCTCCACACGGCGCAAACCCAGTCAGACCAATACCTGCTCGACCTGCAGAAATCGAACTCCTTGCTGCAAGCGCTGCGACAGAAGAACCTCACTTTGTATGAAAAGTCGCAGGCGTGCGAGAGCTGGAAGCTGCGTGCGCTGATGAAGATTGTGGCCAACGCGTTCCAGTCGCGTGAAAGCTACAGTGGCATGCACACCTCGGACACCTGCAATCTGTTTCTGGACGGGCTGCAGTACACGACGAAGGAGCTCGAGCAGCTGAAGGAGCTGGTGATTTCCTACGACAGGCAGGACAAAGTGCACCAGCTGCACCTGCAGGACAACGGTTTGACCGACGACGCGTTGGGCATACTCCAGGACTTGCTCTCCACCATGCCCTACCTAAAAATTCTGGACGTGAGGAAAAACAAGTTGACCGACATCGGACTGCAGTCCTTAAGGGTGTGGCTCTCGAACCAACCAGGTACTTAACAAGCAAGCAGAATTTAAGTAAGTAAGTACTTAAGGATTGATTACAAAATTATGTAAGGAAATCATACATTAAGTGGGCTGCACTAGGAGCAGTAGCTTGTTTTTTATGTTCGCACCATCTGCTTCTGTACGAACCAGACTTTTGCCTGCATCTGCAAATGTAGTGCCACATCGATCTCCTTACTATCACTAATATTGCACGTTCTGGAACTAAACTTCTACTCCCAGGTATAACCGATGTGACCCGCGACTTGCAAGAAATTCGGGCGCGCAGTGGGAACCAGATTCGGTTACGCGTCCTTGTGGAGGAGCAGGGCGAGCTACGAGAGTGCACAACTCCACGTGCTCTCACGGATTTTTCATGCAAAATGTCCGAAAATCCTTTCATGGCAGCTTTTTGGCCATAGTTGAAGTTGTATGACAAGTTGATGTTCTGGAAGCCCAAACTTCTCTACAATCTCTACGTCGATCATTTGTCATGTAAAGGATCCACGATGTTGCTCTCGGTGCAGGTTATTTCTGTTGCTCTGCGTTGCAAATGAAGGTGAGCGAAAGTTGTGCACTCTCATACGAGCAGCATCACGAGCCGTTGCCGGTTTCCTTTTCTTCGTCCAACCAGAGGACCGATATGGCGTCTGTGCAGGCCGACGATTTTCTGGCCAGCGCCGCCGGTGTCACCGCGGAGAAGGGACCGTTGTCCAGCTACATCGACGTGCAACATGCGAACCCGGCGGCCGGGGCGGCGAACGGCGGGGCCGCGGCCGGCGGCGAGAGTCTAGACCCGCAGTACGGCGGGGTGCCAGTCGGTTTGGGTGGGGCGGGTGACACGATGGGCCGTTTGGGGGAAAAAACCGGACTGCCGGCTGTGAAGGCAAAGGCCGGGGCCGGACCCAAGGCAGGCAGGCGGTGAGTAGTGGAGGAAATGTTGAGATCTGTCCTGCCTTTTTGAATTCGGAAATCCGACGGTATCATAGAAAAAGAGTTCGATGGGTGGTTTGATTTCACCCACCGGATGATTTTTACTGTATCTCGTCAACCGAAGGACTTACGAATTAATTAGCCAAAGATGACACGTTATTTTTCAGATTGATGACGCAAGCGTAACGAGAAGAACAAGGCATTACGTTGTACTGAAAAGACAATGCGCTTGTTCTGTCTCAGATGACACGTTATTTTAGTTTCTCAGATTGATTGACATGGAGAAGGGTTGTTAGTTTACTACCCGGCTCACGAAGCAGCAGCTGTTAGCTGGCTTTGACGCTGCAGCAGGGCTCAGCAAATCTAACGACGGTAGTACAGCCAAATGCTATTGCTAACTAATATGCAGAATTGACGGAAAAAAGACTATCCTACGTCCCATACGCAAAATGATGTTTACAGTACGAAGCTGATCAAAATGAACGCAGAAATAATTGCTAGTGCTAGGTCAGACCTGGCGCTCTTGCAACGTGGCTACTGGCCTAGGACGTCCACGCACCCCATGAGCTTTGCAAGCCGCCACGTCAGGACTGTGACCGCGACACTGAATTGAAAAATGTGCTTTTTTCTGCAATGGATGATGTAGTTGTGCAAAAGATGAAAATGCGTTTCTCCTGAACATGCTGTATCAAGTTTGAAAGTCAAATTTTCAGAATGCGTTTCTGAAAAAAAATAGTTTTGTATCAAAAAGACGCGTATACCGATAGCCTTTGTCGTTTTCGGACAAGGTGGACCACAGCTTGTATGTGTTTCCTAGAACAAGTAAGTACAAGATTGTGTTTCTTTTCACTCGGATGAAAATCGATGCAATGTGAATTTTTGATGCAGGACTAGCAGCGGTCTCCGTTCTGCCACTCCTGCTTCGCACATTTGTTTTGAGAGGATCCGAAGCTTGAGCAAAGTCGATGCACCACCCGCCGGATCTCCTTTCGACACGAAAAATGCAGCGCGCAATCAGCACCAAGCAGATCTTTTGATGGCAGCAGGAAGCAACTTGATGAATATCGATCATTTCATCTAGATCCGCCATAATATTTTGGTTGACCGTATTACTTAAACAAGGGCCATGGCAGCTGCATGACCTCAAATGTTCTGCAGAATCCAGGATCATCAAAATCCACAGATACTGATATATCCCCCTATCAACGCTTCGGTTGTTCTATGTTTTTTGACAGGCACTTCTTCCGCCCCACAGCATGATAGGACGTCGCAGATATTTTTGTACAAAGCGTTGATATAATGCCGCTTATCGATATGACGTTTCTCTTTCCAAGAAGAAAAGCGTAGAACCACTTGATTACAGCCACTACCACTACCTCAAATCATGTCGGACGACGAAGCTGAAGTGAAGAAGCGGGCCGCTAAGCCGAGCTCCGACGATGACGAGTCGTCTTCCGACGACCTGGGCCCCATGCCGGCCCCGGAGAAGCCGGGAAAGGAGGAGAAGAAGAAGAAGAGAAAAATCATGAAAAACGAGAAGCTGTACCAGGAAAACTTGCCAAAGTCGCAGATGTACGAGAAGTCTTTTATGCACCGGGAACCCGTGCGGGTGATCTGCACCTCGACGGATTGTGACTTCGTCGTGACCGGCAGTGAGAAGGACGGCATCGTGAAATTCTGGAAAAAACAGCACCAGGGGATCGAATTTGTCAAGCTGTACCGGGCGCACGCGCTATCCTTGCTGCACATGACTTTGTCCGCCAGTGACGGGCGAAATTTGGCCACGGTCGGTGTGGACTGCCAATTTGACGCAAAAGGTATTTTTTTTACTACGAGAGTTTATGCGTATCAATCAATCTTGTGATCCGGGGTCGTGTTTAATATTCCGAACATGTTTGAAAATGGATTCTACAACTTCTGCCCAGGCAGGTCCTTACAAGCTTTTTTTCCACGTAAACGCATTGATGCCGATGCGTACTTCTCTATAAACTATTATGTTTGTATAGCATGAACACCAAGAAACTGCACGAAACTCATCTCCAGGTAAGCCCATCGCGTCCTCGCGTACCTGCGCTCTGAAATATTTTGACGTGGCCAATTTCGATCTGTCTCAAATGATCAAGTTGGACTTCGTCCCGCTGGTCTGCTGCTTCGTCAGCCGGAAGGAAAAAGCGGACGTGAGAATCGCCGTCACGGATCAGAACTCCGGCGCCATCCGGATCTTCAGTCAGTCGCAGTATTACAGTGAAAAATGCCCCCTCCCCATATCAAAACGGAAATCTGTGATGCAGATTTGTGGTCACAAATCAGCTTTGTGATGCTAGAAGGCAAAAGATGCGGACTGTAGTGCTGTCTAGCGTGGGAAAGCCTTGCAGCTCCAGGATGACAAAAGGCAACTGGAAGTGGGAAACAGCATGACAGATTAACTGCGATTTAGGCCGCAGCTTCGTTTCTTGGCCTTCTAGCAATACAAGTTGATTTGTGTACTCAAATACAGCATCACAAGTTCGCGCATCTTTCGTTTCCGATATGGGGTGGGGGCTTTTTTCACTTTGATACGCAGTCCCAAGTGAGCCAGAAACCTATTCTCGAGTTATTGTGAGGAAAAATCCCCCCTCCCCATACCAAAACGGGATACTTCTCAAAATTTGTGATGCTGATTTGAGGTCACAAATCGTCTCTGCATTGCAAGAAGACAAATAAAAAACCCCGCCGCGTTCTGCAGGCAATTTGTAATGCTGTCTGGCCTACAGAGAACGCCCCTACCTTGCTAAGCGCCTACACCAAAACATCCCTAGTCCGGCTTTGTATCTGTCTGCAGTCCTCTACGGCAAGACAAAGCCGATTTGTGTACACAAATCCCGCATCACAGATTTCCATTTCGATATGGGGTGGGGGGATTTTTCCTTTTGATACGAGTTCACGCAGCGGCACCAGCACCCGATCTCCATCCTGGAGTACCACCCCGCGCTGGACATGTTATCAAATGTAAAAATGTCTGGGTCTGGAAGATTGGAACTTCAACTTGTCATGCTAAATCTGCAGCATGCAAAAATCTGTGTTGCATGATTGCCAAAAGTCGTCCAGTTTTGACCAAGTCGGGAGGGAGTTTCTCATGCAGGAGAGGCATGAGAAAGGTCCCGCAGAGTCTGTCATGCTAGGTCTTGCATTCCAGACCTCATGGGTCATGGAAAAGCAGCATGACAAATCGCGCATTCTTCCAGACCCAGACACTTTTACATTTGATACATGTGCCTGTCGCACGATAAAAAGGGGTTTCTGGAACTCTGGGATCCCGAGACCGGGAACTGGCCGAGTAGCGGGACCAGCCAGCAAACGGGGGAGAAGCGGTTAGACCGATTTGACATGAACAAACCCGTGAAATTCAACCGTCAGCTGCTCAAGTTCAAGTCAAAGACGGACGGCACGGATCTGTACGAGCTGAACAAAAAGCAGACCTCCGCGGTATCGCTCAAATTCAGCCCGAACGGCGAGTACTTCGCCATGCTCTGCTTGGATGAACGGGTCCGGATCTTTCGCACAAGAACCGGAAAGAAGTTTCTCGAACTCGACGAGGCCGTGGACCAGTTGACGATAGCGCAGAACGACCCAGCGCAGCGCATTTTGCACCTGGACCACTTTGACTTCGGGAAACGGGTGGCGGTCGAGCGAGAACTGAAAAAGTCGCCCTGCTACCAGTGGCAGTCGCTTTCCTTCGACGAAAGCTCAAATTATTTACTCTACCCGACCCTGTGCGGCGTGAAAATCTTCAACCTGACATTGCGGAAACTGGAGAATTTGCTCGGAAAAGTGGAGTCAACAGAAAGGTTTTTGCAGTGCGCGTTATTTCAGGGGAAAGGACAGAAGCGGATGGTCGGGGCGAGTGAGGCACTCGCTGGGAATGCGTATTTGTTGATATAAGATTTTTGCTTTTCTGCTTCTGCATGTTCAAATAGTATATGTTTGAGTTGTGGGTCAACATCCATTTCAATCCTGATTTGTGTTTGTTCAGTTGGTCCGGATTTGTGTGAGCCTGACGATGCGTGCTGCAGAACGTTTCTGCAGAGTAGCTGTTCGGCGCGAGCAATACAGGTGCACGACGTGCTGGTGCAGCACTCGTGTCGAGGGCAGAGCAGGCGAAGTGCAATATAATTTTTAGCTGAAAAGAATAAACTGTCAAACACTACAGCCCCGGCCAGCAGCTTGAAACCGACCCTACTCTTTTCGCGACGTCGTTTCGCAAGAACCGGTTTTTTCTCTTCACGAAGCGCGACCCCGAGGACGATTTGGGGGAGGACGAAGTGGGGCGCGACGTCTTCAACGAGCTCCCCTCCAAGGAGGAGCAGGCCCTCGCGGTCTCGGCCGCGGACACGGTGCGGCTGGGCCGCGAAGCCATCATATCCACTTCGTTCGGCGACATCGTCATCTCGCTTTTCTTCAACGAGTGCCCGAAGACGGTGGAAAACTTCTGCACGCACGCGAAGAACGGGTACTACAATAATCTCCGGTTCCACCGTGTGATCAAGGGCTTCATGATCCAAACCGGCGACCCGCAAGGCGACGGCACCGGTGGGGAATCCATCTGGGGCGGCCACTTCGCCGACGAAATTCGGTCGAATCTGCGGCACGACAGGCCGTTCACGGTGTCCATGGCCAACGCCGGACCAAACACCAACGGCTCGCAGTTCTTCATCACCACGGTAAATTGCCCGCACTTGGACCGCCTGCATACCGTGTTCGGCCGGGTGGTAAAGGGGGAAGAGGTGGTCTCCCGGATCGAGCGGGTAGCGACGCGAGTGGACGATAGACCTGTGCAAGATGTGCAAATGATGTCCATACAAGTCACCGGATGAGGATAATGCTTTCAGAGGACCACGCAGATCCGCCATGGTAAAGATGAAAAACTAGCGACACTTAAAAATCGATGGTATCAGACATATATGAATCACTGAATCTCTATCTCAGTCTGCTATATATACAAGACGAGGTCGAGCCGTCAAATTCGCCCCCACTCAGAAGATGCCAGTGTTGTGGAAGATTTGGGCAAGACTGTTGAGTTTGCTGATCGCCAATGACTAGACGAAATTCTCGTCGTCCTCGTCTTCGCCCCATCAAAATCGTGATCGTAGGGCCTGGCTCACCAGGCACGATAGAGAGACAGAGAGAGAGAGAGAAGCAGACGCACTCGTGATTTTAAGTACTTGGAAAAATGCTAGATGGAACCATCCCACGCTGTTGTTGTGAGTGTGCGAGTGTAGAGTAATCGTCACTGAGTACTAGTAGATGGAGTTGCACGAGTGCTCGTCGTAGCGTGTTGAGCTGTCTCTTGAATAGCAACTCTTGCGCGCGCTGCTGGATTCTCGTCACTGTCGGGAATACGTGGAGAAGCATCAGCCGTCGTTTTTGGCCTTTGCGAATTATATCGTCAGATGACCGTAGAAGTATACTCGATGTTTCACGTGAGCAGGAACTCCAACTTGTGCATAGGAATTCGTTGCTTGGTGAATTATTGATGAGGAATTTTTCCGAAAAATAGGACGTAGCGTTAGAAGCACGTCATTGGTTCCCCCCATGCAGAATTCAAATGAAATTGACCGCTCTCCGAACTACGACTGAGATGTGCTTTGATGAATTGTAAAAATGCGACGTAAAACAAAAACTCTACTGATGCCTCCGCGTAGTTCTGTTTCTGTTTGCGCGCACGCTTCAGCGCAGACTGTGCTGGAGAGCGTGCTCGAGCTACAAGCGCAAGCCGTGGTCGAAATTGTCAATGCGTGCTGCAACGAGAACTGGAAACTGCAAATTGTTCCACTGCTGCGACTCTTGGAATGAGGAAGAAAGGGAAAATGCGGAGGTCGTTCAGCGGCACTGATTTTTGCCGCGATTTCTTGTAAGACTAAGAACAAAAGTAGAGCGCAGCGTCACTGATTCCGTCTCCGTCGCCCGACAGAATCATGCACAACAGCACGCGCAACCGGGCCGGGCCGGCCGACCAGGCGGTGATGGGTTCTACCGCGGTCTCGTTCGAGCTGGGGAACGATGACGGGATCATCACGATGGAAGCCCTGGAAAACCGTCTGGGGCAGATCGAGAATGAGGAGGAGCACATGACCAACTTCAAAAAGATCGTGTCCGCACAAAAGGAGACGTTGGACGAACTGCAGGCAAGTCTGGAGTACGACCGGACGCATAAGCGGACGCGGGGGGACTTGCGGAAGGAGTTGCTGAAAAGCTATGGGCAAGAGAATCTGGAGGAGAACATGGTGCCGCAGATCATTGACGGTATTGATGTATGTGAAGATGTTTCTGGTCGTTGTGTTTGCGGTTCAGCTTTATTTTTGCGTATTGCTTGCATGGTTTCTTTTCGATGAAGATGTCGGGCTGCAGGTCGTTTGACGTCACACTTCACAGACAGAATAGACTAGAAGTCGGAAACCAAATATGAAATAACCGTCTAGATCCCGACGATCCACTGTGGAAGCCGAAAGCGTCAAAATGGCAGAAGGAGAATCTACTCCAGGAGCTCCGGGCGCGGAAAAAACAGGACCCGAGTCAGTTTGATTCGCAGGGAAGAGCGAGGTTTTTGGCTGTGCTGAATTCTGCCAAGGAGGAAATGATGGAGAAGGCTCCGGGTAATGCAGTGGACGCTTGCGTTTTTGTTTGTCAGTTTGTTTCAGCACAGAAATAATTTTTGTTTTTGGCTGTGCTAGCTTCTTGGTCCTCTTCGTGGTTCGCACAAAGCAAAAATGTTATCGCCTGCTACCATATCAGCATCACAATCGCTGTTTTGCACTCATCAGGGTCTCCCCAAGCGAAGCAGCAGCCGAAGGGGCAGGCGACGGTTCGCGAGCTGCTGACCCAGTCGCGGAAGCAGCAGACCTCCGAGACGTACGCCGATGTAATGGCGATCGCGGAGCGGGAGATGGACCCGACCCGGAAACTTGTGGATTCAGAGGGTATCAGCCTGGACCGCAAGGTGGTCATCCCCCGGGACAGCATGCAGCGCGCGGCCCAGCTCGAGCGGTCGAAGCAGCAGGAGGCGTCCGGGTTGGACTTGGGGGCGAAGGAGCTGGACAAAGTGGCGCAGCGGGCGATGCGCGCACCGCAGCGGCAGAAGGGAAAGCGGATGATTAAAAAAGCGCCGCCTCCGCCGCCGCCCGAGGATCCGAACAATCCGGAGGACGTGGACCCGGCGTACGGGCGTGTCGTCACGAACGTGGACGGATCGACGGTGATTATGAAGGTAAAACACGAGCGGCTCTCCGGGTTTCGACTTACGAAAATCGAGGAGCGGATCATGATCACGCGGAACCAGCTCATGCTAACCAAGTTTCTGCGTTGGATGGACAGAAGTATCTTGTTGTGTTTTAAAAAATTCACTTTCTGTTTCTGGTCTAGGAGGTACAAATTTTCTCTCATCATGAAATAATTTTGGTTAAGAAGGAGTAATATGCTTCGATGATGTATGTTGAGCAAGACACCATTTGTTCTCACAGCCTCGTCTAGACTGAATGATCACATGTCTGTGATCAGCAGAAAGTTTATGGGCCGCTCCTTGCCGGCATCTTCCGGTGCCGCCGAGGGTTTCGATGTGCTCGGGGACTGCAGCGGTTCGGCCGATTGGGAAGATGACGCGAGAGATGAAGCCCGCATAGTCGGGGCCTTGAACCGCATTCAAAGGTCGACGAAGCTCCGGGAAGCACCGCGATGCATTGGAGTGGTACTACAGCTTTTATGGTTTTATTTGCAGGTCTGTAGTACCTCACATTTTTTTCTCGTGCAGAAAAGAGTCGGATTCATCGCTCCGGCGTCCAATTTGCATCGGAAGCAAGCCGTCCAGTCCGAAAAAAAACCTCCTCCAGGTCCCAACTTTTCTCCCCTACCACCGCGAAGAAGCTTCTTTTCTGAAAGAGGGAGGTACCGCCCGCGAGCGGGAAAGGACGGCCGCACGGATTCGCGATTTCCGCAAGTCCCGCGGGTTGGACTCCCCCAGTACCTCGGAGGACGACGGCGCGGCGTCCGTATCAAATGTAAAAATGTCTGGGTCTGGAAACTTGTAATGCTAAAAATGAATGCTAGACGCACTGCAATACGCAGCTACGCATGACAATTTTTTTGGCTACCAATGTCTTACGTATTCCGCATGGCAAACTGCGTTTTTGCATGACAGGCGAGGAGCACGCCGGTCAGCAAACGCGAGCGAGGAGCACGCCGGTAGCAAACAAAAGAACGGCGGAGCAGAAAACAACGCAGGAGAGACAGAGAGGATCGGGAGGCGACGCGAGTCGTCACCAATCTGGAAGCCACCAGCGAAAAAACGAAAACCCGCCCACCTCTCGCAATTCTTCAACGTCGCGGACATGTTCGGACCACTAGGGACGGAACTTGGGGGCAACATCTTCGGCGCAGCTCCACGAGGACAGGGAGAGACAGGAAGCAGCAGCTCCAGCAGCTCCTCACGACCGGCGCAGCCGAACACAGAAAACCCCCCCAAGGCGAAGCAGCCCCCCCCTTAGCGGCAAACCCCCCTTACCCTCCCCCTTGGGCAGACATGCGGCAGTCGGCCAGCAGCACAAAAGGATAGCAGAAAAAGCTACAGGGTCCCAGCGCGGCAGGGGCGCACAAACACACGAACACGGAGCCAGGAAAGCGAGGAGTAGCTCACACTAGAAGAAAAACAAGTCAACTTTTACCAGAAAAGCAGCAGACTAGTCGTTTTCTTCTTTTTTTAAAAAAAATAGAAGGCTAAAAAAAAACTACTGCAGGAGTACAGGGAGCCAACAAGGCTCACTCGCCGGCAGAAGACGCGAAAGCTCACAGGAGAAGAGCAGTCGGGTGGGCTGTTCCGGCGGAGGGACAGAGAGAAAAAAAAGAAAGAGAAAAAATAGGAATGACAAGATGGCGCGTAGACTGTACGTCCCCCCCTTTCCACAAACTTGGACCCCAAGTCCTCTTTGCACCGAACGCAACCAAAACGAAGCAGAACGAGAACGGAGGGAGGATTCGCGCCGGAGTTTTATTTTGCATGAAAACAAAAGAAAAACGGAAGAAGAAACCAAGCCCGCAAAACATATTCAAACCATGTGAGGCCACCAGTGCGAAAACTTCTACGGAGTCTGTGCCTAACTTAGCCTGCGACCATGGTTGTGAATAGCCCCGAGGTTTTTCATATCCGGCAGCAGTCCGTCGAACAGTCCCCGTACCCCCAGAGTAGCCCCCCCAACTACTCGCCCGAGCCAATGATCCCACTCGTGCGTCGCACCAACATAGGATGGGCTCACTTTCTCGCTTCCAGGGAGTGCGAATTGGTAACTAACCGACATTGTGCCAAGAGGAGGGCCTCCCCGGGACCGCCTGGCGAAAGCCTGCCATGGGTTTCACTGTCCACGGGTGGTGTTGCGGGTAATCCTGACGAAAGCCAAAAACCGGCAGAAAATGGGGCCACGGAAGCGTTCTTGCTGGACATTGCCAACATTTGCCCATGCAGAGCCGTCCTCTTGCCGGACACAACCCACATCTGTCCGAAACAGCCTAGGGCCAAGACGACATCGTGAGGACGACCACAGGGGGTTCGTCTCAATGATGATGATGATGACAGGCAAGAGGGCTTTTTCGTGCCTATGCAACACAGATTTTCGAGTCATGCCAGACAAGCATGACAAACTTGCATTCTTCCAGACCCAGACACTTTTGCACAGGATAGTCCGCGGCGGAGTCCGATTTGGCCGAGTTTGAGACCAATCTCGAAACGCGTATCACGCAGATCCGCGGGTGCATCGTGGCCGCGCGGAATCTGTACAAGGACATCGTGGTGGGCGATGGAATCTCGATGGCGCCGCGCGTCGGCGACTTGAACCGCGAGGTCCCGGTGCCGCTGGGCATGACGCAGCAGCGCGCGGAGAAGCTCGCCCGTTCTGCGGAGTCGCGGTCGCGGCGGATGACGGGGTCGCTGTTTTCCAGCGGCCGCGCGGGGAAGACGGGCATGGACCCCTTCGAGTACATCACGAACCCCAACCCGTACGTGGTGATGCGCGGCATCGACTACGACACGACCGTGTTTGAACTTTGCCGCACGGAGCCGCTGCTGGAGACCAAAGCGCCGTGCTGGGACTTGGAGTTCAGCGTGACCATCCCGGAGCAACTGTCCAAACTCCGCGGGATCGAGTTCCACGTGTACGACTACAACGACTGGCTGACGAGTTCCCTCCCTCTCGGGTTGATCCCGTGGGACAAGGGGGACTACTCGCTCGGAAAATGGGTGGTGGATTTGCACTCGTTAAACCACGCACTGTCCCAGTCGGACGCGGAGCTGCGCGCCATGAAACACATGAACGAGCACAAGGGCCGGCTGATTTACCAGGCGGCGCTGGTCCGGCGGAAGATCCACTGCTTGAAGCACCGGCTGCACATCCAAACCGAGTACGAGTACCTCCGCCAGCGAATCACCGGTTTGTACGGCCTCCAGAACCTCTACGCCAACGTTTTCCCGAACAAACCTTTGCCAAAAACCATCACGGAATACGGGTTTGTCGAGCCCGCCACCCGGGAGGCGGTCGAGGACACGATTTTGGAGTGCCACGGGGAGAAGTCGAAGCGGAGAAGCTTCAAAAAGGGCGACGATGACGAGAACGTGAAGCCGCCGGTGATTGAACTGAACCCGGACATCGAACCGCCACCCGGCGCGCCCGTTCGGCATCCGGCGGTGATTCGGTTGCTGGAAAAAAGGGCGATCGAGGCGGAAAAATTGAGGCAGCAGAAGCTGGAGGAGTTAGCGCTTGCCGAAATCCGGATCGCGCAGATGGAAGCGGAAGAAAAGGAGCGGGCCCGGCAGCGGCAAATGCAGCTGGACGCCATTCAGGAGGAGGAGGAGACGACGCACACGAAAGAGGAGGTGAGCAGCCTGACGATGACGATGACGCAGCGGGAAGAGGAGGAGGAAGAGGACACCGCGACGTCGCTAACTTTGAAACGGGACCAGTCGAAAATGAACACAACGCTGTCCACGTTGGTCAGCTATCAACTGCAAAAATGTCTGGGTCTGGAAGATTGCAACTTGTCATGCTGTTTTTGGACTCGAAAAAAGTTTGTATTGCATGACCAGCAAGAGGGGTACAGTTTGTGCTACACGGATAGGGCATTTCTCATGCGAAGGTGCATCAGGAAGCCCTCTAAAAGTCTGCGATGCTAGGTCATGCATTACAGGCATCATGGGTCATGAGAAATATGCATGACAAGTCTTGCATTCTTCCAGGCCCAGACATTTTTGCATTTGATATCAGCTCCGGCGGCAGTCTGGACGGAGTGAAAAATACCGCCGGCGGAGGTCCTGGTGCAAACGTTCCAGCTGCTGCCGCGCCGATCGCGGGGACTAATGGCGTGACCCCACCAGCACCAGCGGTTTTTATCAAGGAGGGGCAGCACGAAGCCGCCGCGGCTGCCGCGGCGAAGAAGAAGGCGCCGAAGATCCCGCTGGACGAGAAACAGCAGGCGATGCACGAGCTGAAGAAGTCCTTAACTTTGAACAGCTTGGTGGACCGGGTGAAGAAGGAGCGAAAAGAGACGAAAAAGCGCATCACCGGCGACGTCACCCTGCCGGCGTTCACGGTCGTTGTGTTCGGGGTGTTCAGCAACGGGGAGGAACGGGAACTGCACCGTTACCCGCTCGTGACGAGTTACAACGCTTTCGGCCTCTGCCCGGTCGACATGCTGGTGGGGAACAGTACGCTGCTGGGTCCGAACGGCGCCAGCTCGAACAAAATCAAGTACGCCTTGCGGTTGCCGACCACCCGCCCGCCACCCTCGGAGGTCGAGATGGATCTGGTCGCGACACTGGCGGAAATCCGCGCGAAAAGAAGTCCGGAGTCACCCGCGAACCGGCTGTTTGCAGATCAGCTGAATCGGTGTCGGCCGGTGGTCGGTGTGAAAGGCATTGCGCCGCTGCAGTCGGGTATGAAAAACGTGACGCAGGGCAGGTCGGTCGGTGCAAACTACGGGTTCACACCACTCGCCGAGTCCTTCGTGGTTCACGCGCCGGGGTTGAAGGGCACGGACGCGAAGGCGCACAAGGCGAAGATTGAAGCTGCCCGGCAGAAGATGCTGGAGGCGAACATAAGCCAGTCGGATCACGTGAAGTCGACGACGAAGTTCAAAAAAGATCCGAGACGGGACGCTATGGCTCTTCTAGAAGATTTACGCATTGCAAATATCGATCTCGTCTCTGGCGGTTCTGCCTGGAACAGTAGGTGCTGCTCTTTGTCCTGATGCAGCTTTTGCCTGCTCGCCTGAAAGTTCAAGTTGTGGAATGCATGGCGTGGTATCTTCACAGGTAGTCTTATGTTGAAAGCCTCTCAAGATCGGCCTATTCCGCATGCTGTCTGCGCGCGGCTACACAAGCACAGTTTTTGTTGTTCACGCGACCGCACAGATTTTTGTGTTACTGCCGGAGACAGAGCAGCAGCATCAAAAGTTTAATGCCTCTCTATTCATGCAACAGACCACCGAGACGCATATTTGCAGTGCATACGATATGAAGAAGCAACGAGGCGGCGTGAAGTCGGAGGAGAAGGAGAAGAGACGGCGAAAAAGGGCAAAGCACATCATCACCAGTCCCGGCGGAACTGCGGTTGCCGCCGGTGGAGATCATGGAGAGGGCAATACTAATTCGCCAGATAACAAATCCCCAGGCTCGCCCGGGACCACCGGCTCCAGCTTCTACACTTCCGACGAAGACAGCCAGAGCCGGGGCGGCCAATCCGGGGCCGGACACTCTACCGATGAGGACAAAGAAGAGCAGGAGGACGAGGAGGACTACCAAACGCAACTGTTTTCCGACAACATGTTGGAAAGGAAGGTGGAGCAAGCGCTCGGCAAAGTGGACAAGGAACTGCACCCTTTCGTCCTCCCCCGCTGGACCTACGACTTCAACCGCGACAACCCGTTCGCCCGGCAGAACTCGACGCTGTTGGCGGAGAGAACGTACGCGCGGAAGAACCAGATGGGCGAGGGCATGGTAGAGGATTTGCTGAACGAATCGCCGATTGACTTACTGTATCTACGGTTCCGCGTGTACGAGCCATCGAGTCAGCTGCGCACGTACGAGAAAAAAGTGAAGAAAGCCACGGACCGACGGCGCGCGCGGCGGCAGCGGGAGCTGGACGAGTGGCCGCTGTTCGTGGAAAAGATGCCGTACGACTTGCAGCAGCGCGCTGTAGACAACAAGTCCCAGTTCGTGCACGCCCGTGGTGGTTTCAAGCGGTTGGATGGGTTGTTCGCGAAGGAGGAGGTGAACGCGCTGGCCGCGGAGCGAAAGCGATTGCAGGAAGAAGCGGACGCCCGGGATTGGAAGGCGCAGTTGCGGATGAACCAGGCGAAGGCGAAGCAGAACGCAAGCAGCGGGAAATTTGCTGCGAAATGGATCAAAAAAACCGAGCAAGCAGGGGGGTTGGAAGCGCGGCGGAAAAAGAAGAAACTGGAGGAGGTACGAGTGGGGAGAAAAATTTGGGATTTGTTCCGATCAGTTGCACTTTGATAGCACACTTGCAGTACTTCGGCGTCCTTGTAGAGGAAGCTTATCGAGTGCCGAAGAAGTAGCAGTAGCTTGTGCTACATCATGTTTTGTTTGCATAGTACCAACAGAACCTGATAAAGTTAAAGAAGATAGCATGTGGGCTTTTCACTTCAGATAGTGAATGAACTGCGTGACCGTGAGAAAAAATCGCAAATCGCAAAGTTTCTTTTCCATACCCCGAAGAAGAGGAGGAGGATGATGAGGACGAGGAGGTCGAGGTTGAAGAGGCAAAGCCGCCGACGCCCGACGATTCCGATATGGACGCCGCCATTGCCGCCGGCGATTTCCAAGCTGCCGGGAAGCAATCGAGGGAAGTGCGGAAGATGCTGTTGAAAGCGGAAAACGAGCGACGAAAAGCGGCGGGTCTGAAAGCGAAGAAGTCCCCCGAGCAGGAACGGCTGGAGGCGAAGCTGGCGAGGAGACAGGCGCGGGAGGAGAAGGAAGACGGGGAACGGAATCGGGAGAAGGAAATTTTAGAGCAATCCGCGAAATTGAACAAGCAGCTGACCACCGAGCGGGACAAGTTAGGGGACTTGTCCAGTCCAACGTTGACCATGGACGCGCAAATCGCCCTGGACGCCGCGGATTTCTCCTCCAGTGCTTCTTCAGGCGACAATCACGCGCGGACGCAGGAGGACGGGCTGTTCACACCGGTGGAAGGCCAGCACTGCACCAGTTTCGTGAAGAAGAGAGGTGCATCTTCTACTGCGTTATCGAGTTCATCATCGAGTTGTTCGTCGTCAGCCACTGCAGGAACAACAACCGGGAAGAAAGTTGCGAAAAGCGAGGAAAAAGCGCGGCGTGTTCCAAAACCTTCTTCAGTCGCGCCCTTCACAGCGTTTCTCAGGAAAGGTCGGTTTGGCGACATGTTTGAAGCATTGTCGAAGAAAACGGGACTCTTTGGTGCTGGTTCTGCTTCCAGTTCAAGCAGTAGTAGCAACAAGAAGCAGGAAGAAGAACTTCCTGAAGGCAGAAGTACAACCACATCTTCAAAGCCTCCCGCGAAGAAAGGCGCCCGATGTACATCGAGTAGCAAAAGTGCCAGCAGTAGTAGCAGCAGCAGCGGAATACAAGTCCACTATTCCGCGGAGGCAAAGAGACGATTCCCTGGTTTGCGGCTCGATATCAGACCGAAGAAAAAGAACCCGTCAGAGATGAAATCCCCCGAACAAGAAGAAGAAGAGCCGGAAAAAATAAACCCCCCTGCTAGTGCTAGAGACTACAAGCAGGAAACGACTAACGTGTCCAACTTTTTGCAAGAAGTCCTGGGCGATTTGATGTCGGAATGTTCCTCCCGCGCACCGTTAGAGCAGAACGAGGAAGAGGAGATCATTTTGCTGAGCTCGGAAGTGGACAAACCAGAGATTTGGTCCCGGAAAACGGAGAACTTCAAGCCGGCGCATGTTGTCGAGGATCCAAGAGACGGGTCGAGGATGATGGGCTCTTCTTCATCTAAAAATGGGGGAAGTAGCCGAGAAACTACGAGTTCTTCTTCCTCTTCTAGGCCGACCTTCACTCTGCCAGACTCCTTCTCGCAAACGATGGACGCAAAAATTTACGGCGAAAGAGAAGGCGTTCAGGTGTCTGATCGTGACGAAGACTGTGAACAGGCTACAAGCGGCTCTGATGAGGAAATGCCAGGGAGCATTGACGAAAAATCCTCGAGTAGTAGTGGTAGTAGTGGCACTTACAGCAATAGAAGAGGGTCCTCGTCTTCATCCCGTCAAGGACCGCGCCTCGTCCTGGATACCTTTACAAATCCCGCCACGGGCGAGAAAGTTCAACTCCCGCGAATAGACGAAGACGAGGGTGGTGCAGTCGACGCAGTAGAAATGCGAGACGAGGAGGACAACTACGCCGTCAACGAGCAGTTCTTCGAACAAAAAGATGTCGAAAACGACATTTCTGACGACGACGCGGCACTATCGCTTTTCTCCCCTAGTAGAAGTAGAAGAATACAATCCGCTACATCAACTACCCGCCAAGATGAGGGTCTGCACCAGCTTCCCGACGCAGTAGATTCGAGCACTCCCGGAGGAGGACACAACCAGGACCACACCGAGCAACAGGGGGACGAAGAGGAGGAAGAGGAGTCCGAGCTCGGCGCTTTCAAGGACAGCAAAACGGCTGCGGAGCGGAAATTGAACGCTAAGTACCCGCAGCAGCCGAAGGACCCCCCGCCCTTTGTGAAGGATCCGGACCTGCCCATGGGGGGGCGGGAGGATAAGCGGTTGATCAACGCGGGCCGCACGGTGATGATGGACGAGTACGAGCGGGACGAGGATGTGTACCACGACCCGTTCCCTGCCGGTTCGATGGTTCGCGTCCCTCACGACCCCATGCACCAGCCGGACCGGCACTTGCCGGATGCCATGGTGAAGCAGAGGCAGCTGCTGATGCCGCAAATCGTGGAGGACGTGAAGGAGCGGGAACGGCGGGACTTGCTGGATTGGCAAAGGAAGCGGTACGCGTACCAAACGAAGACGGGGACAAAAGTAGATTTAATGATCGACCCGAATTTCCGCACGACGGGGTTTGCCGCCGAAGATTGGAAGAAGAAGTCCGCGCGGATCTACGGGCCGCCGGAGGGAGATCACGATAAGGACGGGGACAAATGGTTTCGCGACCAAATTGTGCAGGAGGACGAGGAGAAATCGCAGCAAATCAACTCCGTCTGGCAGGCGTATCACCCGGATGCGTCGTCCGACGAGGATGCAGAGGTGATGGACGAATTTCGGTTTGGTTCCGTCGGCCAGTTACTGGCCGAGGGGGTTTACTTTTTGAACTGCGCATCCTTGCACAAACCGGAGACCATCCAGGTCGACCTGTACCCCTCGCAGGCGATTCTTGACAAGCTGACCGAAGAAGCGACGGAAGCGCTGGGCGGGGTCGCGATCGACCACCCGGGGGGTGTGATGGGCTCGGAAGGTGGATCTTCGGGTAGCAGAAATCACAGCACGAACTCCCACGGGATCCCCCTCCCGAAGAAAAAGCGCATCCAGATGGCGAAATCGCGGTCGGTCGCTTTCGGCGGGCAGAAGCCGGTGTCGCGAATCACGCTGAAGGAACGGATCACAAAGGTTTTGAAATTCCCGATCGACTATGGGCGGGAGGGTCGGGAGCGCGACGCGGGTCTGGCGAAAGCGCGGGTGCGGAAGGAGATGGCGGCGGTGGAACAAGTGTTCGGCGCTACACTGCCCGGGGAGTCCGCGCTGCGGGCGTTTAAGGAGAAGATGGACAAGAAACAGAAATCCTTCGAGGGCCGGGGCGGCACGGAAGCGAAGAAGGAGTTTTTTCCCGTTCGGTGGGCCATGGCCACGATGAAGAGCACCCGTATGATCCTGTTTTTCCAGTTGGAAGTCACGGGGAAGCGATACGTGCTGGACGACGACATCCGCCGGTACGTCCGGTCCCGGGATTTCAAGAAGAAGGTGGAGCAGACGAACCGGCTCCGCCGCATGAAGAAATTGAAGGAGTCCGGGCCCACCGCGCCGAAACAGGAGGGCGCGGACGAGAAGCCAGAGGAGGAGGAGAAGGGGAATCTGGACAAGCAGGCCGGCGAGGAGGAGGAGATGGAGCCGGAAGAGGAGTACAAGCCGGTCACGGAGATCAACCACATTTACGGGATGATTGTGAAGGCGGGGAACGTGCAGACCGACGCCCGCGGGTTGATGGACCCCGCGGACGTGCACGAGTGGTACGAATCGCAGAAGAAAAACATTCTGGAAGTGACGAACAAGGAGAAGGCCAAACCGGTCCCGGTGAGCAAAATCAACGCCGAGATTCACGAAAAGATGCATCGACGGAGAAAGCTGTGGATAGGCCTTGGGGACAACCTGTTCCGCAAGCACAAGTCGTTTTTCCGCCGGAACCGCAAGTCGACGACCGTGTCGGCCACCGGCGTGGAGCAAGTGAGGGAGTACCCGGCGCCGCCACCCGTCACGAGAAAATTGCAACAAGCGCATCTGTACGTCGTCGCGACGGTGCTGGATGAGCAGAACCGGCCGTGGAAGAAATCGGTAATAACCAGGATAAACCAAAGCTGCCCGGCGAATGCGCTGGGGCAGATGCCGATTTTCAACTCCGATTTTCTCTTCTCCTTCGGGGGCGAGGAAAGGGGCGACTTCGGGCTTCCGGAAAAGTTGGAATTCACGCTGTACCAGCGCGCGGACCTGCGGCTGAACCCGGAAGAGCTGGAGGCGGAACATCAGCGCAAGATGGAAGCGGGGGAGTTCGACCGGTCGTCGTTTTTACTTGACGGGGCGGGGGACTCGACGGAGGTAGGAGACGGCTCGTTTTTAGCCGGCGGCCCGTCGCAAGACACGGCGGATAACACGAACGGCGGCGACAGCCAGGATCTGCTTCTTCAAAAGTCGCAGCAACTCACGGAGGGTGCGCACAGCTCGCCCAGGAGTTTGCAGAGAAAGCGACCGGCCGCGGACAGTCGCTCGGACGCAGGGAGCAGTGGAACGGGGAGGAGTAGTGAGAGAAGCAGCCCGAGCAAGAGACAGAGAATTGCAGCCGGCGGTCCTGCGGTTGTTGATCAGAGCGTCACCTTGACAACCACTTCCACCCAGCAGACGAAGCGAGAGACGTCGAAAGCGATTGAATTCACCGGATCGATGTCCAAATCATCCTCCTCCAACAAGTTTTTGACCAACCGACAGCAGCGGGAGCAGGACGAGCGCCGCCGCACCGAGGGATCCGGCGCGGGCGTCTTGGGCAGGCGGCAAACGAACCACCGAGCGAAGAATCTGCAGCACTTGGCGGACCACAATGTTTTTGGGAAAACCAGGAGGAGCAGAAGGCCGCGGGAAATGTCGGAAAAATTCTGGAACAGCAAGTACGGGAGTAAGCTAGTCGCGCACGTAAACACGCTGTCGAAATCGGTCGCGTTTTCCTCGAACACCGGCGCAAACAATAACAAGCAAGACGCGCAGTTCTTCAGCACCTTGCTTCCCGGGGGACCCGGGCTGAATGACCAATCGAACAGTAATTTTCTGAACGATAACTCCACGGTTTTGAGCTCGATGTTCCGTTCGAAGGACCGGGTGAAGCCTTACGGGTTGGGGGTTCAGGAGCTGAACCAGGAACAAAAGGAGCCGTCGATTATCACGCTGGATCGGGTGGACGAGAACCACAGCTTCGAAGATTTTCCTTCAAAAATTTTCTCGGAAGCAGCGGCGTCCGAGCCGGTGCCGGTAATGCAACCGGGCGACATCGGCGGCGTTGGTATGTTCATTCGGGAGCAGCAAGGCGGGAGTTCCAGCAGCACCGCAAGTGGTCGCGGGGAAAGAAGAAGCGGGAGCGGCGGGAGTAATAGCATCAGACCGGTGGAGGACGACGTCAATAAGAAGCAGTCGTGGTATTTTCCGGCCGGAAAATCGCCTTCGCCACCCAAAAGCTCCGCGAAGAAGAAGAAAAGTAAAAAAGGGACAAAAAAACAAAAAGGAACCAAATCCGGCTCGGACAGCAGCCCTGGGAAATTGAATCAAGACGGAGGAGGTGGGACAAGAAACACCACTAGTAACAACAAAACTGGTAAAAGTAGTAGCAGTCCCCAAAAGCACGGCTATGACGACGAAGACACGCCCTCGAAGCAGGGCACGCAGACGTCGTTCGAGCGGTCGCTCCGGAGTTGGCACAAACGCGTGCAGAAGTCGCAGCAGTTGGACAAGTACCGAGTAGATGCGGACGAGATGGCGGACGACGAACTGGAGCAGATGTCCGCGATGCTGAAGGCCGACCGGGAGGACAGGGAACGAGAACAACACTCCAACTCCCTGGTCGCCCCGGATTCGACCGGTTCCACGTGGCGCATTTCCACCGCGGGCGGCGGAGTGCACACCAACACGCGGTCGAGCGTGATCGGCACGCCGGGCGTCCCGCCGGAGTTGAGTGAAGAGTCCAGCAGCAATGCCGACATGTACAGCCGGGGGGATGAATTGTCGCGGCCGGCAAGCTCAAGGAACGGAGATAGGGAAGTAGACCAACACGATGGGGGCTACGGAAGTAGAACAAGAAATGACCGAAATTATTTCCAAGAAGTCGCCGCGTCAGAAACCGTGTCCTTCATTTCCAGCAGCCACGCGCAGAACGCGAACACGAGGGAATCTACCCCGGCACCGTACTTGGCGCGGATCGGGGGGCAGAATCCTGGTGCTCAAAGTAGCAGCAAAAATCATGTGCAAGAGCATAGTCTTCTTTCTTCCGACATCAAGGCGACGTACGATCAGCACACTTTGAACAGCAGGATGGAACAGATGACGTTTGACGAGGACACGCTGCAGCCAGGATCGCAATCCTTTATCGTCAACAACCCCGAGCAAATCGAAGACAACAAATCCTTGGAACTCGCCTGGCAGATCCGACAGGAGAAGGCGGCTTTAGCAGAAAGGGAAAAAGCGGGGTTCTACAGCTCGTCGGGCACGGAGGACTTCGAGCGGCCTAAATCCGGTGCAGGTGCGAACAAAATAAAGAAAGACAATAAACCGAAAGAGTATGGCGGGTTCTGGTTGAGCAACGTGCTGAAAGCGCCGAAACTGTTTTTCCGACGGAAAAAATCGGCGAAAGATCCCCTCGTCGCGATGTCTTCCAAGCAGCAGATGGACACGCGTGCGGTGCAACGGGCGAATAACGCGGTTTTCGATGGCAAGATCAACGAACTGCGCGAAACGGGCGGGCTGCACACCTCGGTGTTAGTCAAGGAGCACGAGAGAATGTACGGCGATGTGGGAACTGACAGCAGGCCGGGGAGTTCGGCACAGGGGCAACAGCAAGAACAGCAACAAGTGAATAGCCGTCCGAGCACTACGAGTCCCACAAGAGGACAGAATCAAACGAACCTTAACCGAGACCGGTTTCACGCGAACGCGTTCTCCAACGCAGCCCTGCCGCCGCCGTTACCATCCCGACAAAACCGCGGAAATAAGACCGGCGTCAACGCGATTCTGCAGTCCCCCAGCAAGTTCGAGAGGAACCCCTTCGATTTGAAGCGGAAGTCCTTGCGGAAGAAGCGGCAGGACGGGGGCATCGGCCTGCAACTCGAGGGGGAGCACAACGCCTTTGACAGCGATAGTAACGGGGTCTACTTTGGTGACAACGAGGTGGAAATAAACGACGACGCGCGGTCGTCTTCCAGCTCTTCCGCGACAGGAAGGCAGTCGATCATGAAACGCACGTCAAACAACGACAGTTTTCCAAACAGCCGCACCGGCAGCAAGCAGAGCAGCAAGCGGGTCAGGTTCGAGGGCACCGCTTCTGAGGACGAATACCCCATGTCGGATGACGTTGCTTCAGAGCTTTCATCTTCTAACGCGGGGAAAAATCCAAATAACGGCGCATCCTCTGCATCCTGTTTTCGTCCGTCGCGGAATAAGTATGAGAAAAACAGTAAAAGAACCAATCGGTACAACGCAAGGACCACCGCGGACCGCAATCGATTATGAGATCGTCTGAGCGATTCAAAGTCAAGCGATTCAAAAATTTTTTTTCACATTCCAGGCATTTCCTGAGTCTTGAAAAAAACAGCGCCGCTGCTGTGCTGTGCTGCATTTTGCATGTTTTTTTGCCCTCGTCGAAACGTCGCCCAGAAGAGTATCAAACGAAACAGCTAGGCCGATCTCGACTTGAGCTCCTTACTTTGGCATATGTGAACGCAATAAAAATAAGGGCAAGGCGAGCGCCTGCATTCATGAACCCGAAGCATCTGCAGAAGCAAGGGCCAACAGAGTAGGCGATCCAACAGATGCCTCCCAGGCCCACGCCTTCCACTACTTGGCCCCAAAACGTGGCCGCAACCGCTGTCGGAAATAGCGGCTTCACGTGAGCGGCGGTTGAGAGGCGACGGGCTATGCACAAAGCAGGGCCGTCCCCAACCGGAGCTAGTCAGAGTGGCGCCAACGCGCGGCCCATTATTCTGCCACCGCCTAGGTGGCACTGTCTCCTGCGCGGTTTTTCTCGCATACATACACAGAAAAAGGGTGCCTGTGATCGGTGGGGCAGCGTTTGCCGGTCCCCCCACCAGTGGAAGACCCTCGTCTCTGGCTGGCGGCCTTTTTGTTCGTGGTCCTTTTCTTCTGGCCGCCAAAGCTTATTGGGCAACAGCGCGGGGCTCCGCCTGTATTTCTTCAGCTTTGGCGCCGTGCATCAGCCGCGTGCCGCCGCGTATCCGCCAAAAACCTGCACAAAAAGACCTGATCGCGGCACTTTTTGAATAGAATGTAATGCGGAAAGTGCAAGTTCCACGGTTTTGCAATTTGCCGATTCAAATGAGGTCCTTTTGAATCGCCGAAACCCTCCAAAAAGGACCTCTATCGAGATCCAGCATACCGTCGTGGTTCCGGCTCTCGGGGGAGGCCAAAAAGGAGGTCCCGGATTGACCCCCTTCAGGAGCCGAAATCGGCCAAGCGCGACGGTATGCTGAAGAACAATGGAAAATCCCGAATCGCGATGCTATGGCGCCCTCTTTCATAATAGTGACCTTCGCACCTTCGGCACCATGCCCGCCACGCCCATTCCGAGCGCCGCTACAGGGCTTGCAAAGCCCCGCCAGCAGCTCTGGACCTGCCTGCGACCCCCGGGAAGCCTCTCTTTGCGAGTGGCTCCGCCGGCGCCCTTTCTCGTGCCAGACGGGGCCCACAACAACGCCCAGCCGCCCTCGCGACTCCCCCCAAAACCGCCCCTGTCGCGAAGCTCATACCCGCGCCCCGGCGACGTCAGTCCACCAAGTTGCCCACGACATTGGCCCGCTGGCGGACTTGCCAAGGGGCCAGGCCCCCCAGTGCCATAGCAGCCGTGGGGCGCCTGCGCCCCAAACCCTCGGCGCCTTGGCCCGCCCCTCTTTGCAGCTACACGGAGGAAACAGCGCACCTGTGCGCCGCGTTTGTTGCTTTTTTTGCTAGCAAAGTAGCCCGCGCGGTCTCCGTGGACCTGGTCGAGGCTGCCGCAGGTTTACAACCTTTACGCGCGCAGGCCCAATGTAGATAGCTCAAGTTGACGTCGGCCTACATATTAACTTCCATAAGCCGGTGCCGACATCTCCGCCACTTACCTGAAACTGCTCCGCGCGACGCTGAATCCGGGGGCGTTTTGGGGGCAGTTGATGGGATGCGTTTTAGTTGAAAAAAAAATTTTGAATCCGCTAACTTTGAATCGCTGAGTCCATCTCATATCGTTACAACGCAAGGACCACCGCGGACCGCAATCTAGACTACTTCCACAACCGTTCCGTAGTCCGGCATCCGAAGCCAAATGCGATGCAGAAGTCGGGTACGGCTGGGAGAAAACCTACTGTCCGGAAGTTTGCAGAAGACCACACCAGTAGAGATACGCAGCTGGAGCTGGAAGCCGGAAGGGCACTGTCCCCGAGGAAGACCAAGAGCTCCACGGAGGGGAGGCACATGTCGCCGGAAAAGATCGGCATTTCCGGGCTCTCCGCAAAATCCGCTGGCGGGGCCAGTAGTCGGGGAAGCAGTCCGAAGGGGAAGCAGGCACAAGCAAAGCCAAAAGATGCAGCGGCGGAGGCCAAGAAGGAAGCAAAGAGGAAGGGCGGTGCGGCGGCCGTGAAGGGGTTGGGGAGTCAAGACGATTTGAAGAAATTACTCGGCGAGGATACCGATTCGGAGGAGGAGGAAGAGGAAGAGTCCGACGAGGGCGGGATGGACGCCCGGCAGCGGAGGAAATTAATTCGCCAGTTGGAAAAGCAGGAGAAGGAGAAGAAATATCGCAAGATCGAGGGCGACGAAGAGTCCGAATCCGACCACAGTGTGATTTTCGAGCCGGAGGACATTCTCTTGGCCACCGGGCAGCTGCAGTTGAACGCGATCAAGGCAGCTGGGTCGTACTGCGAAGTAATGCTCCAGATCGACAAGCGGCGGAAGAAGGCGTTGCTGGAATTTCTCTCGATGCGGAACCCGGACAAGGCGGACCAAGATTACTACCCGTCCATCGTGCCAACACTGACGGTGATCGTGTTTGTTCAGCCTGCGTTGTTCTTCCCCAGGTTCGCCGAACTAGAGGAGTTTGAACTCCAGAACGCCGGGGTCGAATCCGACGACGAGGGGGGCGAGGGGAAGGACAAAGACAAGAAGGACGGGGAGGGCAAGGAGGCGTCGAAGGAGGAAAGCAAGGAGAAAGACAACGAGGGCTCGCCCGGGAAGAAAGCCGTCACGGAAGCGCCGCCGCGGAACACCATCAGTCGGAAGGAATTATTTCAGATCGAGAACCCGGACCGACCGCTGGACATGGACAGCGACGACGAAACGATCCCGAAACTGATCACGCTGCCCGACCCGGGGCAAATCTCTGTGCCGATCCACCCGCACCCGGAATCCGTGGACCGGACGATCGCCATGATCAAGAACCGAACCCTCCGGGACACGGACGTCGCGAACCGGTTCTCGACCCACAACGACGAGTGGCGACAACTGCCCGACAACGAAAGAATCGGCTGGGTGCGCCAGGGCTTCATCGAGCGGACGCCCAACCCGCGCAGCGTGATCCACCAGCCGTCCTCCATGTGCTACGCGGACCCGCTGAACGAGCCGAAGACGCTGAAGGAGTTCGTGCAGCTCTGCGAGTACGAAGCGGACTACAAGCGGAACAGCAAGCGGTGCTTGAAGAATTTAGCGCAGACCGGGGAACTGGAGTTGGCGGATGAGCTGCACGAGATCCGGGACGAGGAGTACCTGGAACGGCTGCACAACGCGCGCGAGGAGTACGTCCAGGCTCTGTTGGAGAAGGATCGGGAGGCGCGGGAGAAAGCGGCGGAAGAGGAGCGGAAGAAACTGATGGCGAAGATGATGATGGGCACCGCGACCATGACGGGCTTTGACAAAGATAAGAAAGCCGGCGAGATGAAGAAGCACGACGACTCGCAAATTACATCTTCACAAACCACGAGCCAAGAGCAGTCGAAGGAGAAGAAAGAGGAGTCTCTGGGCTCGCTGGAAGGCTCTTCCCACGTGTACCAGGACTCGCAAGAGTCGAAGGTCACCGTCGACGCGATCCAGGGCGCGCCGGACATCACGATCTACGGGGAAAAACTGTCCGACCGGGAGCGGGTTATGAGAAAGGCGAAGCTCCCGTGGGTGGAGAAGAAAGTGGTCAAGGTGGTAGAGGAAGAAAACATCTTCCCGACCTTCGGCAAAGTGTTCGGCACCGGGCGGTATCAGCGGTCGGAAGACATCGAAATGCTGGAAACGCGAAATCGGTGGGTGCAGTTGGTGAACCCGCATTCGACGCAGGTAGCGGCGTTGAGAAACATGAAGAAAGGGGGCGGGTCGCCGGCAAGGGGACGGTGAGCTGGTGGAGTTGTAAGGTTCTTCAGTGTTGTACTCCTCGCGATTAATTTGCTGCCGTGCAGAACATTCTGCTGCATCATCATGATCGGTAACGTCTTATTGAATCCCAATGTTTATCTTCACAATGTTAATTCACAGACAGCTTTTGCACTTTGCAAAGCTTTTGCTTAGAACTCCAAACTTATCTGAATTCGTTAAACTGAATGTTGCGCTTAGTAAAATTAAGCTTTGACTGTAGGTCGTACTTTCGCAAAATTGAACCTTAATCCCAAGAAAACTAAAATGTCAAATAAACCGAAGCAGTGGCTCGAGCTCGCAGCGAGCTGTGTTTCTCAGAACTAAACAGACCTTTTGTTTCAATGCAGATTTCCAAAGTGCTGTGGCAGGTTCGCCTGCACGGTACACTCTAGCGAATTCAAAGACAGTCTTTACGTAGCAGGAAATAAAGCAGCGATGGCGATGAGAGTCGGAAACTTCGGAATAACGACCAACCATGCAAATGCCGTTGTGAATAGCAAAACTCTGACATGGAAAACTCTGTTATGATTCAATGTCGCTTGTTTCTACTTCTAGATCTCTGTGCAAAATGTTTCTCAATAGCTACTTAGCGAGCTCCTGCTGCCTTTTGCAGCTATGAATGAACTTCTACAACTTGACGTTGCTTGTACAATGTTGCTACGATGAACGGACAAAGTTCAATCTGAGCTTTTTTCCTGCTCTACTCGCTCGCTTGTATCATTTTCTTCGACCATGAGCATCACACTCGGACTCGTCTCCTTCCGCTTCCGATCTGGAGGAACTGAGATTGAATGATGCAACAATTATGTCTGACGAGACTGTTCATCTTCAAAACTTACCAGTCTAAAACTGCCCTTACGTGTTTGCGCAAGAACGAGAACGATTGAATCCGTTGCCCGGGCAGGAGAGAGAGCACGCAGGAGACGAAGAGACGAAATCACCAAGAAGACGAGTGGTTGCGATGAGATGGAGAATGGGACGAGGGCCCTTGATAACCTGAGGTGAGGCTGTTTCAACAGCGCATGTTACTATATGTGAAATACAACTGCGCACGTAGGTAGCCTGTCAAGAGTGCTGCAGGCACTGTGTAGCACTCTGTCCATGACCTGAAAAAAAAAAGGCCGAGGCTGCTACCGGCGATTTCTCGTGTACACATCTCGGAGCACCGCCGCGGGACTTCCTTGCCTCCGGGTTGTATTTGACGCGCGAGGCCTGTTTGTATTTGCAGTCTTTCAACACCGGCAAGGCTGGCAGAGCTGCATAGCGGACTAGGCTGATGCCTCCGCTGCGCTTAGCTTGCAAGGTCTCCGCGCTCCCGTAATTTGCCGCGTTCCGCCTTTCTGAAAAGAGACCAGGAGGATAATCAATCGGGTTGCGAAGTACGGAGTAGACCCGGACTCGCTGCAGGGGCGGAGGCGATGGCCGCGCGCGGCGCCGGTACTCGGGGGGCTCGGCGATGTCCAGGCCGCGGCCGTGGATTGAGAGAGAGAAGAACACCGGGCGGGCGCAGGTCCCGCCACTTCAGCGCGTCGCAGAATCGGCGCCGCGCCGCTCTTCGGTTTTAATTGCCGCGGCCGCGGGCGGCCGAGCAGTTTGATTCATCCCCACGAGCGCCAAAGCGCGAAATTTGGCTGAAGCCGGCGGCCCACTAGGGGCATTGCATTTCTTGCGCCCGCCGCGGTCGCGGGCCCAAAAAGACTGGCGCGCCGGCGGCGGCAGTGACTGTCCGCGCCACGGCTGCGGGGGCAGAGAGTTTGGCCCGCCCGGGTGAGCTACTTCACAGATTGTTTTGGCGGCGCACCTCTTCGAGTAGGCATCTCGCTCTTGTTCCTGCTTTGGATTATGTCTGGCCGTGATCGACGACAGTTTGGTGCTATCAACTTCACAGTGTGTTCGCGTCGTGCTTGCCGAGCCCGAGAGCGTGTGCGTCCTCCATTTTCTGTGTGAGGGCTGAGAGACGAACGGCTTTTGTAGTAGGCAGTGACAAAAATAAATTGAGGAGATAAATAATGAGGGTCGTGGAATGTCCTGCTCGAAAAGCACCTTGTGAGCCCATCAAAATCTCCTTGGCTTGAGTGTCGAGCCAATGTAAGGACTGTAAGCTTTTGGTTTATGCCCGCCGTCTTTATTGTTCTGCAGTGCGATGTCTGCCCGGGCGCAGGCATTTAGAAAAGGAGAACGAGAGAAGGACGTTACGTAGAGAGCTTGGCTTGAAGAGTGCGAGAGAGAGTAAGCAACGAGTGAGAGCTAGAGGACCAATGAATCTGGAAAGCTTCATGGTGCCGCAACAGGCCATCTTCTGTTCTGAGCTTCCATGTTGCACTGAGATGTTTTTGAAAATTTTTCACCCGCTAGTCGACGCCACAGCTGCTCCAAACAAGATGGCAGAGCGTGCCCGCCGAGACGAGGCGGTGCGTGTGGTGTCCGAGAAGACTGCGCCATGGGTCGTCTCATACGCCCCGCGGCGAAATCCGCTCGGCTGCGGCGACGTTATGGTCTGGCGGCGGCAGGCCCCCGCAACTATTGCGAGCACTGCGTCAAGTAGGTGCGGGAAAAGCAGGGGACCGCTGCACCTGAGACCGTCCGCAAAGGCTGCCCAAGCCCGTGGAAAGAAAGAAAGGAAAGGGCCCCGCAACAGAGGGAAAGGCGCCAGCAGGAGAGGCTCGCGACACGGAGAGGCCAACGAACTGAAGCGCTTTGCCGGCCGCCCGCAGGCGCCTTCCTTCGTTCTCGGCACGCCCTGCCGCTGTTTGTGGGCGCTAGAGCTGGTAGCCATTGCCCGCAAACCGATAGGGCGACCGGGGCGCGGCGCCGGTGGATGGGGTGCGCGCCTAGCTTCCGCACGCAGCGCCGGCGCGCCTGGAGCGTCCGCTGCTTTCTTTCGTCGCGCGCCGAATCGCGGGCGCCGCCGCAGTCCGCGGGACTTGCCCGGGGCGGGCGGCTTCCATCCTAGCTACCGCATTGATTGGGCACGAAGCCCGCAGCCCGGCGCAGCATTTTTTTTGCCCGCCCTTGTCATGGGCCCAGAGAATTCGCTGCGCCGCCGGCAGTAGTGATTTTTTGCCGTGGCCGCGCCGACACAATGAATGTAGATGGGGCAGCCGCCCAACGAGAAACTTTTCGGACGCCATCCAGGATCGGATGAACGGCGGGGGTTCATATATCCGTCATTTTCCCTGTTCCGCCCATTTTTGTAGTGACTGATAGTTTTTCGCGAGGAAGTGATAGGTCACTACAGAGTGAAAGATATCACGGAGGACATAGTACTGAGAGAGAGGGACGATTGATTCCTTGGCAGGAGTAGAGAGAGCATGGAGATGAGATCACAAAGACGAGAGACTGCGATGAGATAGAGAATCAATGGGACGAGGACGTTTGAGATCCTCATGAGTGCGCCTAATATCATCTTGCCACTTGAACTCTTGTGTAGCTGTAGCAACACTGCGATGTTTCTGCGTGGTTGTGAAGTTCAAGTTCTGCTAACCAACACCTTCCATCTTGCGAGTCCGCAATAGAGCTTGTGCCCTGCGCTTTCATGTAACAGTGGGATGCTAAGTGATTTGTTTGCCATTGGTTGACACTACAGGCGCTTGCGTTTTTTTCTGCCAACACCTCGAACCATGGCGGAGCATGCGCGCCGGTTGCCCGTGCGACTGCGCGGGGCGTGTGATGCGTCCTGCGGAGAAATCTTCGCTGCGGAGACGCTATGACATGGCGGCGGTGGACGTGGGCTCCATGGGCTCCATCACCGTGCACGACGAATATGTGGCGGCCGAAGGCGCGCGGCGCGCGGGCGAATTTGCAAAGCTTTAACGCCCCGGCGTTGGTCCGGAAACAGTTCCTGAAGATGCCCCGCCGCCGGATGGGGAGGCTAGTAAATCGCTGCGCGCCGCCCGACGGGGGGGCGTAGGACCGAGCGCATCGGCGAAGCCCGTGCGGGGCGCGCCTGGCGCAGCTTCCGGGGCCGGCGCCGGCCCGCCTGGGGCGCCGTCCGCTTTGTTCATCCTTGGCTGCGCGGCGCTTCACGGCCGCGGGCGAAGTCCACGGGACTTACGTACCGGCGGCAGCTTCGGTCCGCCTGCCACTGCACGACGCCGCCTCGCGGCCCGGTGGTGCCATGTGTTTGCCCGCTGTAGATGTGGCCGCGGGCTCAGAGGGTTGCGCCGGCGGCAACTGATTTTCGTTCCGTGGCCGCGTGGACAGCCAGCCGAATAGAAGCAGTCAACTTTTCAGTCGTCCTCATGAACGGAACGGCGGGCATTCATATATGCATCCGTCATTTTCTTTGTTTATCCTCGGCGTTCTGGGCATTGTGATTGTTGTCATGGTAATTGTAGGCAGGTGGCGAGTGACAGTGATAGCTTGATGCCACCTACTCTGCGATCGTGTAGTCATCTTGGTTGTCGAGCATTTCCACAATCGTGTTGATGAAGTTTTAGAGACGAGCGGCTTCTGTACCGAGTGAGAGATATCATGTTGCAGGAGATACTGAGAGTCGTATGGCCTTTGAAAGCAGGCTCGTGTGAGTCTTCCAGAACCTCTACCCTGTGAGTTCACGAGAATTCCCCTGAATTGAGGCCCACACAGATTCGAACAAGTTGTCTGAGCGTCATCGTCTTTTTTACTTCGGAATACGACTGCTCAGGCCCCAGCAACCGACATTTATTTCTTCATCAAACAGCAGGATCAGGACTACGAAAACTAGAGAACAAAGTACGCATGTTTTGACTATTGAGAATAGAGATACACAGGGAAAACACCAAAAAAACCGATGGCGGAGCACGCGAGCGGCTCGCGGGATGTCTCCAAGGACATGACCCGCGGCGACAGCAAGGCACGGAGATCTTCGTTGGCAAAAGACACCGGGCAGAGCTTGACCGATTTGGCACAGCAAAAGGAATTCACGAAGCCAACCTACCTGCTGGAGGTACATATTAATTTTTATTTAAATGCTTTTCTGTGCGACGTGACGAGAGCGATTGGCAAAAAAAGCTCTGTGGTATAGTAATATGACAACATCGGACTTCGCTGCTATCGCTATGTGAGCACATGCCGACCGCAAAACCTCTAGCAACTCTCACGAATTCAGGTTCTGAACCCGGTTCTGGAGGCAATGGCATTGCGGTATTTCGAAAAAGACGAGATGGAGCAGTTGCAGACAAGCTACGAGGACACTGTCAAGCAATACATTGCCTGGATCCAGGAGACACGTATTTTTATTGTGTTGCGTTTTCTGAATAGCAGCAGCAGTTTAAGTTCTTGTCAGACATGTTGTGTGTCCTGCATAACAAACGAGTTGAAATTGAACATAAACAGAAAATCTCCCACCGCCACCCGAGTACGATTCCGATGAGCCGTCGAAGGAAGAGTTGCAGCGATTGCGCGACAGTATTCTTGATTTTGTGCTGCCTATGTGTGTTGATCTTGATCCGCATGAATCTGAATGAAGTTTTTCCTCTTTTGTTGGGAAGGCTAGGCAACATCTGCTTTGCGAAACGGAGACATCACCGTTACTCAACATGCAAATTTCAACCCCACTATCCAGGTATTTCGGAGCTGAAGCGTAAGTTGGCCGACATCGAAAAGATCGAGGACGCTGCGAAACCATCCGACAAGATGAAGTCCACTGTCAGGAGGGTGTCCGCTGCCCGGAGAGTCAGCAAATTGCTCTCCGCCGGAGCGGCGGCGGGCTAGGCGGGAAGCGGAAAACACAGGTGTGATCTACTACAGGCGGCAGAAACTTTTCTGAGGCTCACGGAAGTATGGCTGGCAGGGCTGGCGGCAGCTAAGAGTCTTTGCCGCAATTGCAAAATTAAAGTCAAAGGAGAAAATGTATGTTGTTACCGTTAGCCTTATCTTTCTTCCGCCGCTGTAAAAGATTTTCTCTGGTGACTACATTGTTATTGTCGCTGAGAATCTGATGAATTTGAAAAGTTGAGAACATAGAAACTGTTGCACGAGAATTCAGAAGACTCGCAGTGCGCCGGCGAGCAGAACACCCTGAGAATAAAAAAAGCAACAAGAAATTATAGCACAAAAATGCACAATCGCCATGAATCTTTCCTGGGCAAAGGTCAATTACACTGTTCCAAATTGATACTCGGTTGCTCCCTCGCGTGCCTTTTTTCAGGAAGGCAGCTTTTCTCCAAGTCGCCTCATCTGCTTGTTTCTGTAAGAGTGAGTAGACTTCACCGTCCGCCCAGAATTGGCTCCTTAGCAAGCAAAACATGATGATGGTTAGAGCGCCCAGACACTTCGTCTTCTTGCACGTTGCTCTGTGCTTCTCTCTCCCTACTGTGCACGCGGAGCAAGAGCTGCATGCGAAGTGCACGGTGACGAACCAACACGGCCATTTCTGGACCAGCTTCCGGCACGCTCCCCTGATGTCCGCCCTGCCTTCCGCCTGGGTGCCGATGCCACCGGATATTCCGGAGAAAAACATCCAACCGCCCAACCACGCGCTGCCGGTGGAGCGCGTCCCGGTCGGGTTTTCGGACTCGATTCACAGCAACGAAATCGCGGATTTGTATGACGTTCTGTTTGAGTACAACCGCCTGTGGGCGAAGCAGCGGTGGATGGGAACGATCACCATGCAGAACCCCATGGACGCGTGGGTGATTCAGGAACTCCTTTTCGACTGCAAACCCGATGTGATCATTGAAACCGGGACCATGAACGGCGGCGGGGCATTGTTCTACGCAAGTCTGATGCGAATGTACAGCACTTTTCAACAACATCTCGTCGAGGATGAAGAATCTGATTTAACGACACCGCAAATGAACACTAGAACGAATAAGAAACCATTCGTACCGCAAGTCATCACCATCGGCAACCTTCCACTCGACGACCAAAGTTACGGGTGGCACTGGGATACCAGCTACTGCAGCTTGGAAACAAACGCATGCCGCAACGCGACCAGCAACCCACTGTGGAAACAGCAGGTGACTTTCATTCGAGGTGACGCGGTGTCGGAGGAGGTATTCGAAAAGGTGAAAGACAAACTCTCAGAAATCGCCTGTATGAAAAAGGCGTCGAGGGTGGAACGAGTTTCTCATGCAGGAAAGGAAGAGGATGAAAGTGAAAGAGAATCGAAAGGCAAAGCTACAACTGCTCCCACACCCTCATCGTCAGAGGACTTGAAGATCATGGTCGTTTTGGATTCCACGCACCATTACGCGCACGTAAGGAAAGAACTCGCTTTGTACAGTAGGTTTGTCACTCCAGATCAGTACTTATTGGTCCAAGACACACACTTAGATAAACTACGGAACCTCCGCAACCCAGAATCGAACTGGGAGGGCGCGTTTGCGGCGATTAGGGAATGGTTTGAATACTCTAGTTACGCGAAAGAGGAATTCAAAGTGGACCAGAGAAGGGAATACTTCATCTACACGCAACACAAAAATGGGTATTTGAAAAGAATAAGATTGATTGCTGCTGCAGATGAGATGGAAAGAACCCAGTATCTGTACAAATACCCAGCGCTTCTTCGGGTGAGCATGTTCTACTAGAAAAAAAGTACATCGTATGGAGGTAGAGATGAAAGCAATTCAGTTCGTCGCTTCTGCAATCCGTATAGCTATCGTTGTTTTCTTTCACAGAATCAGAAGATGCGCAGTAAATACTCGTCCTTCGTTTCTTCCAAGATGTCGACTTCGTTTCAATTTCGTCAAGCTGAAGCACTCTACAGATTTCATTAGGCAGAAAAATTCGGGTCGATTGGGGTCGTGCGCGACGTAGATAGATCCTGCGAAAGAGCGAGGGTGGGATTGTGTTGTCGTATGGTCGTGGCACGAGAATGACCTCCACTTTGTACTTTTCATTTTTTTTCTGCCACGAAAACAATTTCTCATGGTCTTTTTTCATCTATTTTCCGGTCGTCGTAAAAACAAGTATAGAGAAGTGCAGATAACTCTTGTTCATCAAAATGGCGGCCCCTTCGTGGCGCCCGTACACGCATTTTACCTCACCCGACACGCCAAAAACGTTCAAGCGTGACTTTGTGACGGGCAGCGACTATGTTGGTACTTCCGTCGGTTGCAATGCAATCCAAACTTATGACGGGCAGATCGGACTCCGGAAACCCTACCCCGCGGGAACGTCGGTATTGTCTTGGAACATTGCGTATTAGCCTAAGCCTTAGTATGCATCAGAGTTTTTTACCTTGATGATGTTCCGGGCTACGCCGCTTGTCTACATGAAATCTCTTTATGATGATATGCGTCGCTACATCAAAAGCAAAACGCCGCACAATGAAAGAGCCAAAACGAAAACCAGGTTCGCGTCACATCCTTCTATGGCAAGACGGGCGTTCGTTCCTTCCGAACAGAGCAGGGGTTCAAGGATTTGATGGGCGTACCCACGTACACGGAAAAACACCCGAGGAAAGAGAGGTCACCGAATCCAAGGGGAAAAACGCCAAGAATAGTCACACCGGTATTTTCGAGAAGTAGAACAAGAAGATGACGTTGCCGTTACTGATTTGTGAGGAAGGTGCACGAAGACAAGAAAAACGCTGCCTAATTTGTTCGATGTAGATCGAGATGTTGAGACTTAGTCAGAAATACATTCATACATTTCACAGACCGCCACGCCAGAACCAGAGTTGTATCTGCATCCGTTTACGCAGCCAGATTTGAACGACCCGCGATTTGACACCCCAGGCATGTACAAAACAAGTTACAAGCGCGACTATTTGCAACCGGGTTCGAACGTAGCCAGGCCGGCAGGGAAGAGTTACTTCCGCTTGGGATGAAAAAAATCTTACTCACCAGGAATATTTCGATTTTCACAACAACATCTTTTGATGACACTGTATCCAATGAACACAACGCCAGGTTTTGCTTTTCAACTGTGATGACGTGTATCTGTAGTTCAGCTGCATCAATTTATTTCAACGTGCACCGACTATCAAGCCAAAGCATTTTAGAAACATTCGCAATTCGCAAGCTTTTCGTGGTTGATTTTCGATCAATATGACACTGTATGGTGCAGCGTCTACTGGTGTCGCGATAAGATGAGTTACTAGTAAGACTGACAGCAATCTGCTGCAACGAAAAGGATGTAAAATTGTAACAAACTTCGTGCTCTAGCTTTGATTTATGGTCCTAGCCACTGTACAATTGGAATCGTGCAACCGTCCACGTCGGTGAGTACAGCTGCTTATGTTGTCTTTTAGAAGCCTAGGTTGCTTAGACATTGTTCATGAGAGCAGATACTTGCTTTACATCAATAACAATTCCATGTGGAGTGCTTTCGGTCGTGCCTGTCCGCTAGATGCTCTTCTTCTGTACAAAGCCTCGGTCAGCTGGTGTATGCGGTATTATTTACATGCAAAAAGTAGAGTGTCAACGTGAACACATGATTTCTCTTGAGCAGTGATCGTACATGGTTAGCACCATTCTGCCACAAAAAAAAAGGTCTCGTGCACCTATCATCTGGTCGTAGTACCACAAAGAAACGAGAACGAAAGTCGTGAGTACAGTTTACTCGTCGGTAAATCGTGCAACAACCTCCTGTATTTCGTGCACTGGAAAATTCCAGGTGACGCCGTGCAAGAAAAAGTACAATTTGTATGCTACTTTTATTTATCGAAAGTTTCTTGAATTAATTCCGCATCTGGATCAAAAACAAAAACAGCCTGCCTGGTAATCGCTGATTCGTGCCGCAAGCACGTGTCGCGATTGCTTTGCATTCAAGCACTTTACAATATTTCCCCTTTACTTCTCATTTTCCCTCTTTTTGAAGTAAAATTTTCAACATTCTTTCCCCCACAACCTGTACACTATCTATGTGAAGAATTTATCCTCCATGTTGAAAACTACATCAAATTCGATTTTGACTCCATTGTCTTTCGTACAAAAATGCACATGAAAACGCACAACTCGCAAAAACTTAACCACGACAATGAATGCGCTGACGAGGCGGTCAGCACAAATTTTGCGGGTATTTTTGGATTGGCCTGGCCATAAACTGCAGCTGCCCTGCGCAAGAACTTCCAGCAGTGGGTCATTCTAAAAACGGCTTTTCGTCGTCCGAGGATGACTTTGCGAGGAGACACGACATCCCTCGGGGAAAGCACGGCGGGTGGCGTCGGCGAGAGCACGAGCATGAAGATGATGGGCTGCGCAAGAAGATGGCAACAAGAGCAGCACGACAGGAACACTAGCAAGCCCCAAAATTGTATTTCCACATCAAGACCCATGTTTGCGCATTTCGCGACAGGGTCCTTTTCGGCACCGACGAAGACACTTTTCAACATGTGGAACAAACTGCTACTCCTGCTGTCCCTGCTCTACTTCTTAGCATCAACCCCGACATCAACCTATGCCGTCACTTCCACGTACCCGGCTAGCTTCTCGGCCCCGGTCGCGAACGCGACCTCGGTGGACCTGATGGCCCGCCTCGAGCCGAGTTACATTCCCGGGCAGCCGGGACGGGAAAAGGATTTGTACTACTCCATGCGGAACGTGGCCCCGCCAAACTGCCAGGTCCGGTTCCAGATGAAGCTCTACAAGGTGTCCAACGTGATGACGGAGAACGCGCAGATTGACATCAGCGCGTGGCTGCGGATGTGGTGGAGCGACCCGCGGTTGGCCTGGAACCCCGCCGACTACGGCGGCACCAACTACATGAACGTGCCCGCCACGGAGCTGCCCCGCGACTACGGTTTGATCTGGACCCCCGAAGTGGAGCTGCAGAACAACCTGGAGTCTATCGGCGAGTCCTTCCCGGCCAACAAGGGGGCGGTGATCCAGCCGAGCGGGGAGACGTTTTGGTCGCGGTCCGGGAACCTGCGCGCGCTCTGCACGTTCGAGGGCATCGAGCTGTTCCCCTTCGACAAGCCCAAGTGCCACCTGATTTTCTCCGCCTGGAGCATGGACGCCGCGCAGATGGACCTGGTCTTCCACGAGGACGGGGCCCTGGACTGGGACCAGACGGACGACCGGACCAAAATGGCGTACCAGGGCTACCAGGACCTGAGCATCGAGTCCGTCACGTTCCGCCGGGTGGTCGTCGAGTACACCGCGGCGGGAACTGTACAGCAGTTCCCGGAACTGCACTACTCCCTCACACTGAAACGCGCCTCGCAGTTCTACCTGCTGCGGTACGTGATGCCGCAGTTCTTCTTCGCGTTCGCCGTCTTTCTGGTGTTTCTGTTCGAGCCCGACTTCAACCGGCTCAACATCTGCATCCTCTTCCTCTTGGTCCTCATGAGCTTCGACCAGATCACCAGCAACTTCGTGCCGAAATCCGAAGCGCCCATCCTGATCAGTTACCTCACCATGTACACGGTCATGGTCACGGTATAAACAGCTACGATGACTTTTTTTTTAAGGAGTAGAAGACGGAGGAGGTCAATCATAAAGCACTGGCTGCAAGAGCAAGGTGACTCGCCACGTATATTATCGCCGGCGACGCGTTTTTTCGCTACTTGCACGCAACGATGAAAATGCAGCAAAATTGATTTCCTAAATCCTATAACCCCCTCCCATGAGCAGGATAGTGATAGCTCCTCCGATGATATTGATACAAAATTTCCAAATACCACCTAACTCCGCAGATCTTCGCTTTTGCGGAATCCGCGGTCGTCCAGTGGCTGTGGACGCGGGACTCCTTCGAGGGCTTTATGTCCCTCGAGGCGTTGGTGAACCTCCTCCGCGCGCCGATTGACGAAACACGGGACTTTTTCGCCGGGCGGCGTCAGCCGACCAGCTACAACGAACTGCGAAACCACGTGCACATCCAGCAGAATCTGGACGTTCTGCCGGAGCAATTGATCGAGAAGCGGGCGTCCGCCATAGCCAGTTACGCCGCCGCCATGCGGGAAATCGACCCCGAGATGGCGGATCGGATCGTGGAGCAAAAGATAGAAGCCTTGGCCGAACAGGAGGTGAAAAACGCACAGGAAGCAGAGGCGGAGAAAGCCGCGGCCGCGGGCAAAACGCTTCTTACAAAAGAAGGCGACGTGGCAAAGGCAAGTGCCCCTCCACCCGCACCGGCAAACCCGAATATGTCACTGGAGGCCATGAAGGCGAACCTGTTCGATTCCCTGAAAAACCCGCCACCAGCCGGGGGCAATAAAGAGACGACCACAATAGAGATGAACACTGCGGATAGTACAGCTGTACCAGTCGACACAGAAGCTGTCGCGGGCGTCGAGGGTGCTGCAGGCGGAGCAGAAAATACAACAGCAGGAATAGTAGATCCGGCCGGGTTAATTTTGACGCAAGAGGGCAGTCACAACACCCAGCAGCAGGCTGTCACCCCCTCCACCACCTCCGCCGCCGCGTCGATTTCGGCCGGGGGGAAGCGGCTCGGCATGAGCATGGGGGGCGACAACGACAACGATATCGGCGGGTCGCCCGGCGCGCTTCGCAAATCCAAGCTGGTCGTTGCCCAGGAGGGGAGCCACCAAACGGGCTGCAATTTGACCGACGAAGACGAGGAGGCAGCGTCGTCGTATCTCGAAACAGAACCCCTGCCGGCGCTCTACGAGGGGGAACACGCCATGAAAACCGCCACGAGTCACAGCGGGACCAGCGGCGGCGCCGGGGGATCCAATCTGGCCATGCTGCAGGCCACGGTGAGCAAGGTGCAGGCAGAGAACCGGAACCAGGCCCTTTCCGCGAGGCTGAAGCGAACGCTCACCATGGGAGGAGGAAGCAATACTGGGGAGAACAACTTGGCCACTCCGGATTTGGTCAGCGGCAACTTGAGGCAGGATGAAGACATCGGTCAATACTACAGGAGATGCGCAAGGTATTAGAATCCAACGGATCCTCCTGTGAAGGCCGTCGCCTGAGGAGATCTCCCGGTCGTAACGTGGGGAGAAGCAGGCCGCATGCTTATCAGGGCAAGCGGTTAGTAGATCTGGTAGGTTGAAAGAGTGGCCCCAGTGAATGAGGGCCGCCGCCTCTCATGATGTCACCTAGTAGACCATATATACGCGCTGGCCTTGTTGTTCTGCGGAGAGCTAGCAGCAAGCAGCTCCCTGGCCCATGCGCTTGCGCTGCTGCGCAGGTCCGCAACAAAAAGGCACGCCGCCGCTGTGCTGTTTGTTGCCTGCCGCTCGGGTGCCGCAGCTGCACCTCGCGCGTCCGCGGGACGCGACCGGGCAGCAAGCCGAGTGGCACCGCCGACGAGCGCAGCTGCGCTACCGTAAGGGGAGCGCAGCCACCCAGATGGCTGGCCACCCCACCCTCCCGGATGCCGCCCCTTATCCGAGCTCGGCCAAGCCCATACCGAGAATTATAGCGCCGACCGTTGATAGTGCGCGGCCACCCGGTTGGTCGGTACTATGATGAGCGCGCCACGACAGGCGAGCCCTGTGGCACCACTGAAACGGCCACACAGCAACACACTGGCGGCGCACAACCGCCCACGAGTTGAGCGCCCCCAGACATGCAAATGCTTGCTGTGGCTACGCAGTGCAATTCCAAATCGGACGAAAATCAACGGCAGTCGTGGGGAGGTGTTGGTGTTCGCGAGGCACTACGTCCGACGCGCCTCCGAGCCGTGAGGGCACTCCTAGGGATAGGAGAGAGGGACCGAAAGAGCACCTACTCCGGGTGCGAGAGATCCTGCCGTGACAGATCCTACGATGCACTGAGATCCAATGGGCCCCTTGTACGTGCGATGTTTGTGCACAGTGGTCGGCATCACCTGTGGCTTCGATAATAATAATAGAATCCAACGGACTTTCTTTTTACTCATCTATTTCACCTATGAAGGACATTAATTTATTTGCAAATCAGATCTAAATTTTTTTGGCGGCAAGTCCGCAGTTGAGACGCATTCAGTCGCTTGCTCAACTTCCATCTTGGCAGCACCAAGAGAAAAGCGATTTTTAGATGTTTTGCGGATCATAGAGGACAGCTGCCACAAATTTGTTTTTCCGCAGAACACCGAAGCGGGAAACTGTAGGCGGAGACTTGATGAAGTAAATGGATGACATACAATTTTATTCTTTCACAAACCAGGTATCGCCCCCTGTTTGACGAGTTGGATCACGATTTGACGGCGTCGCTGGGGAAGTTTGAGGTCGGTATTTTCGCGCACGTGGTGGAGGCGCATTTTCCCCTCTGGACCTCGGAGCAGGTTCTGGAGCATTTCTACCCGAAAAGGAAAGCTGCGGGTTTGACCAACGTGGTGGCGCACACCGGCACGATGACGAAGCACATCAACCCGCTGAGCGGGCCCCGAAGAGACCTCTCCATCAGTTTCCACAGTTTCTGCGTCTTCTGCGACCGGAAGCTGGGCATGCGGAATTTGAGTGGGGACAGCGTGCACGGCTACGTGATGGACATGGTCCCACAGATCCAGAAGGAGCTGCAGTTCACCCACAAGACGCTGCGCAACGTCGCGAAACGGATCGACAACTTCTGCCTTGTCGTCACGCCGATCCTGTACGCGGTGCGGGTCTACCAACTCTTTGAAGAATTCTTCGACCTCTACGGCGAGAAAAATTCCGGGGTCGAAATGCTCAATTCGCGATAAAGGCGTCATGGTGGTGAAGAAAAACGGGTCAGAGCAACAGTCTTTTCTTCTTGTAGAAATTAGAATGCGCGACGATTTGTACGAAATTAAAATTTAGTTTCTTTGCAGAGGAGTCGTTTTCTTTTTAGCAATTTCACCAACATCTTCAGAAGCACAATGAAAAGCGCTAAGTACCTAGTATTTACTTTGTGGGAGCATGATGTATTCAGAGAAAAATGCGTTCTCTACATAAATTCACTATACTGCCCTTGCAGTAGCTGTAGTTACGCTTGAACTTTATGCATGCAGTTACATGAGGAGAGGCGGCCGTAGCAGCATGCTGGTACGACGATTCCAAGTTGTACTCTTAAAGAAATATACTTTAGTCATAAACAGATCATTCTAGTTTTTTTGGCGACGTAGCACTCTAAAAGTAGGAGCATCAGGAGGCGCATGTCGGTGATACCAGATTTCTTTGCAATAAGGAGGGAGAACAATTTGCACAAGAATCTTGATAGTATGAGTACAGTCTAGTTTGAATTGACCTGTCGCATATATGAGTTCAACTTTTCTGTAAGACTCTTTTCGCACAACAGCTTTATTCACAGAAGCGATTCGTCTCTCAGAAAATAAATATCACGGCAGCTACTACTTTGAATAGTGCATCACACAGGAACAACACACATGCTGCGCAATCACAAATCTGGAATTTTCTGTATCGTTAAGCGAAAGGCTTTGAATGGAGCAGAGCGAAGGCCTCAAATACAGGCGGGATGTTGTATGACGGTAAAAGTTCCAATAAGCCTCCGCTTTGCTGACTACTAGGAAAGAGAAAACCACAGGAGAAGTTACGCATTTTTCTGTCCCCATGGGTGAATGTTGTGAGTTGAAAAAGCAAACCAAGTAGTCTTTATCTCCCCTTTTAGCCCCTTTAGGTATAATCTCTCCCAACTTCCTTTTTTTTCCCCATTTTTTTCTTTGTGAGCTGCATTTTCCCAAAAAGAAAGCGTTGCTGTGCCCCGTGCACAGGAACGGTTGTAAATAGCGGCGACAGAAGTCAAGGCATTTGCACCAACATCTCCTCGCCTGAGCGTTTTTCAGAATGAGGAAGAGAAAACATTCAAATTGAAATTTTTCAAAGCAGTAAAGGATCTTTTCAAACACGTACTCTCATCTCATTGTTGTTGTATTCTTATTGTCGTGTTGCTCAGCGGTGCAGACCTAGCCTTTACCGACTAGCCGGCAGGCTTTTGAAACAGCGGTGTTCTCTCTTCTGGCTCTTGGCAACAACATGGTGCCGTCGCGATGCTGAGTCAGAAGCTGTTCTTTTTTTTTCCATCGCTGGACAGACGCAGAAAATGAAGATCCATTCGATTTACTTCTGCCCAACAAGGCGTAAAGAAACATCAGCGGAGGTGGATCCTGGTCTAGCAGTAAAGCTGCCATCCTGCGCAATCAAGGCATTCATGAAGTAGCTGCGCCCGTCCCCGTTCTTGTGAGTCAGTGTCAGAACCGAACGTCGACGAGCAGTCCTAGTCTATTTGGGGACTCTCCAGAAGATGTGATGAAAGATGAAGATCATGATCCTATCTGCGGTGCGTTCATAATTTGCGTAGATGGCACAAGCTAAAGATTTATGTTGTTGCCTTCATCGCGAACAACGAAAGAAGGAGCCTCGGTTTTCTTGGATGCGCCGTTTTTCCTCCACCTGGACGAGTAACGTATTCGCGCTGTTGATGTAAGTAGCTCAACATTTGCCAGTTTTTCTTTGTTGACCTACAAGTCCAGCAGTCTATACCTTTCGTTCTCATCGTTGTAAGGAGCATGGCATACTACAGAATATTTATTTTGATTCTCTTAGGCTGCCCGTGGAAGAAAGAATAGTGGACTTGTAGAGCTAAAGGTACAACTCTTTGACGAGCGACAAGAATAAGAGGCGCTCCTGCAGTTACTGCAGTGCTTATCCGTCCTAGTATATGGTCCGAAAAAATTACGGCGAGATATTATTGTTCCAATTTTGTCTAATCAACTTTTCCTTCACGGCCACCCAAAAATATCTGAGAAAATCATGACTACCGCATCGTGATTATTTTTGTGTATCTTTTCTCGTCGACAACGACACGACTGCACCACGTACTTCCTGTTTGGTACGTTCGAACGTGTCAACAGTTTTACCCCAGGAGCGTCAAACTGGGATGGACAAAATTTTATTTGGAAGAAAAAACGTATTCACGGCATTTGTGTAGTAAACAAAGGCGAACCGCATTCATCTTCACCGGACGACAAGAAAACCGTTTCAACAGTTGCGACCCCGGCTTCACAGACGAGAACCGCCCACGACGACGACAACGACGAGCGACGATAGGCAGAACCATGGCTGACCAGAAAGAGAAGCTGAGAAAAGCGGGACAGGATTTGCAGAGGCTCCTGGCTACCGCGTCACTTTCTGCCACCCGGGAGGTAGTTCCAACTTCGTCGTGCGAGCGCGCGGGTGGTTCAGGGGACGGAGTTGCGGGTTCTCGGCAAGATGTGGTGCAGCTTGAGGCGTCCATACTATCGGAAAATAAGGTATATGGAGCACAGCTAGATGCTGCGGGCACGAGGACTAAGCACCGACTCGGCGCGGGTTCCGCGCAGAAAAGGCACAAGGATTTGAAATCATCCGACAAGTTGCAGAAGATGCTAAAGAAAAAGCAGAAGAAAAGTAAGAAGACGAAGATCAGTGCCAAGGAGTACCGGGAACTGAAAGCCATGGGGCTCCTGCCCGAGAACGCCGATAATTATTCTGCATCTGAAATAACCGAATCTTCGGACTCCAGTAGCGACACAAGCTCCGATGAAAATGAAGCATCAAAGGGCAGCGCTTCTCGTCGCCACAAGAAGCGGAAACAGCGTAAGAACACCAGCGACAGCGGTAGTAGCAGCAACAGCTCTGGTGCTTCATCTTCTAGCGAATCGTCTGCAAGTGACGACTCTTCTGAAGATGACCAAGAGCAACACGATGAGAAACATTCCCGCAAAGACGACGCGAAAGAATCTTCCCTGCAGGTGGAAGACGCACAGCAAAACTCGAGTACAACAGCTAGGACCCCCAGCAAAGCTCCCCGAAATATGAAAGACCGGGATGAGCTACGTGCGTCGTACAAGCTGCCCCTGGAGAAGATGGTCGGAAACACGAGGTTCTTCCGGCAACACGATCCCCGAGACGAGCTGACGGAGGCGCGGAACCAGCGGGCCCTGATCGAAATGAAGGAATTCCTCGTGGATCTCGACCGGAATCGGCAAGCCGCGTTGGAGGAGCAAAACCGGGTGGCAGCGGAGGAATGGACCAAGGAATGGCGGCGACATGAACCGGAATCACCCCTTTTCTACGACAACGCAAGGCACCGGAGGCCGGAGGGATGGAAAAATGATAGTAAGGCCGGCGGTGTAGAAGAAGGCGTAGGAGAAAGTTCGTTATTTTTCTCGGCTTCCTCGAATGAAAAGAGTTGTAGTATTAAATCAGCAGACGTCATCGGATTAGACTACCTTCTTGGTCTCCAGAGTATAGATGGAGTAGATGCGAAGAAACTTCAGCCTGGTAATTGTACCTCTGGAAATAAGGGGTCCACTGAAAAGGAAAACCCAACTTCGAGCGACATTTTCGCAGTACCGGACGGTTCCATCTTTTCGAAAGTTTTTCCTCCTGCGTCTACCTCTACTTCCACCGCAAGTGGTTGCGAAAGCACCGATGCGGCAGCAAATAAGGACATTAAAAATGCGACTGGTGGACAAGAAAATTTTCCCGGAGCAACGCCGTCTACTTCGCTGCAGACACAAGAACCAGATCCTTCTAAAAAGTCGGTGAGGCTTGAGGAAAATGGTGCTAACTTTATTTTTCCGTCAGAGGTGGTAGTAGAACACCGGCCGGTCACCATGAACGATCGCTCTGGAGTTTCTGCAGGTTCTTGCGCCGGCAGCTCTAATGATCTTCGTGCGATGAAACTGCCCCGAACCCTGCGTGAGTATCGCGAGCAGCAGACCAACCGGGAGAACTTGCCTCTTCGGGATTTCTTGCCACCGGTGATTCACAAGCAACACAAGTGGTGCAAGGTACTTGCTCATGATTTTTTTGGTTGCGATAAATTATGAAATTGTTGTTCGTATGGATAGGATGGAAAACGCGATCGCGTCATTCCATCAGACAGAACCTCATACATGATTGATTCTTCCCAGGCGCACAACCGTGGTCGGCGGTCCGGACAGAAAGAGCGCGGCGCACGCGATCGGAGAGCGGTCAATTACCTCGTGAAAAAGTACTTCACGACGCCATTGTGGATCCACTGCATCGCAGACGAGATGGGCTACGACTTTGAGACGCTAATGCGGCTGGAGCAGAAGTAGAATAGTTTTTCTTAACACGTTGGCGTCATCAGCGTTTTTTACCGGTTTTGGATTCATTTTGGAATTTCCGTTTCGGGCATAGTGGTGGTGTATCTCCACTTCTTGAAAACAACTACAAATAGTTGCATCTTTGTTCTTGCATGGTTTTTTCCAAAACACGACCAGAGTCGACCAGAACAAGGGCATTTTGCAGCGGACCGAGCGCAATGTGGTGGGCATTGGGAGCGGGTTCTCGTGCAGTGACAATGAGTTCCAGATGGACCGTCACCACAACCGCGGGAGGCGAAATTCCCGAGTCGCAAACAACCAGCGCAGCCGCAATTACAGTGGCGGGCGTTCCCAGGTGCTGACCTCGCTAAAAGACGATGTGATGGCGCAGTACAGCGTGCTGAAGTGTCTACAGCACGCGCCACCGCCCCTTGGGACGGTCGCTGATTTGGATTACAGCTTGGCGTGCTTGAAGGTCCTGTTTTGCGAGGACGAGATTGCCCTGGTGCACGCGGAAAAGGTGGAGCAGATTAGTTCCTTTTCCTCAATGAATTGTGGCACGACAACTACAAGCGAGGTCTTTCTCGACGCAGGGAAAACGCGGGACGAGACTGCAGCCGATAGTGCAGCTATAGTGCAGAGAAATAATAGAGTAGAGGTAGATTCCACTGCCGCCACCACTACTACCCCCGAGCAGTTGGACCGACAGAGAGAGGTATTACTCTCCGCCTTGAACGCGCAGTATGCGGTCGAGAAGGAGAAACTCGAGCAAAATTGCGATCGGCTCATTGTGGACGAAAAGACCGAAAAACGGTGGCTGTTCTCCAAAACTCCCCGGCACGAAGACAACTGGGAACGAGGCACTTTCCTGAAGTTCGAGGGACGGAACAAAGGTAGAAAGGGCAGGGGGAAAAGCTACTCCTACCCGGGTAGGCATCTCGATCCGGATGCGGATTTGCAACCATGGCAGCGGGACCAATTGGCAGCGGGATTCGATGCGGCGGAGGCGGGCGGTATCGATACGTACGGAGAAAACGGAGGTAACATTTGCGGGCCATTAAATAGAATTTTCGTTGGAAAAAGATTCACCAATTTTTGATGTTCCAGATCGCCTCCTCTTCTAGTTTTTGCACTCCGAAGTACTGTGAGGTTGTCGATGTTGAAAATGAAAAGATTTCATCACCGGATGAAAACAAATTATCACAGGGAGTCAACTACACCATGGAGAACCGCTTCAAAGCCAGGTCGCAGTATGCCAGCAGCTTCCAGAGAGTGAGCATGAGAAGAGTGCTTCCAATTGCGAAGAGCAGGAACTGAACCCGCTTTTCCAGCCGGTGCTGCGGTTTCCGAACCGCTACAAGGACCCAATGCCGTCCACTTCGTTCGTCACGCGAGTGATGAATTTGAGGGCAAAAGTCCTCGCGGACCGCACGCAGCAGCAGGAGCTGCACATCAAATTCGAAGAGCTCATCCATCAATATCGCCGGTGCCGGGGGTTCACGCCGGATTGCTTGAAATTTTTGCTGAAAAGAGCGGACTTTGTGAACGCGTTTGGCGAAGCGAGAACGTCAGCGGGCACTGCTGTAACAGCTGTTTCGATGTTGCCTGCCGGGAATCTTCGTGGCCGACGACCCAGCGTCGTGGAAATTTTTGAGAAGATAAAGGCTCTCGAAAATCGTGTAGACGAGTCTACTCCCGAAGAAGTAGAAGTTCTTGAAGTGCAGAGCTCCGTACTTACAAGCACCACCTCTACTTCGGGCGAAGAGGCCAATGCTCCGAAAGAAGAATTCTTGTCCATCGCTCCAGCCAATGTGGAAGCAGATGGCACAAAGATGATCAGGACGGGTAGTACTTCACCTGAGGATTCTGAAGCTGAGATCTTAAAAACAGACACAACAACCAGCACGGAAAATAAGCACACTACCGCTGTTTCACCTCCGGAAGTGATTCACATCCACACGACGCTCACGCTGGAAGAAAGCGAGAAGCTCCGCGAAAAGCGTAAAGCCCTAACCGCCAACGCGGAGAAGAAGCTGGCACAGCTTGCGGAGTTGCTCCCCGGCGCCCACGAGATTGATTTGCGGCGCGAAGTGTTTCTGAAACCGCTGCAGCAGGAGAACCTACCCGATGGGCTCGCGGACCACTGCTCGCACACTTTGCTGGGCGTCGCAAGCCTATACCAGAAACTGGCCCTGGATCCGCGGAACCGGGCGAAGCTCTACCAGCAAGAGGACCGCGTCGTCGAGAGTGGGGACTTAACAACAGCAACCATCTCTCCGGGCTCTGAAAGAATGCTGACGTTTCTGATGCAGGTTTTCTATGCCTCGCAAGATCTGAAATGCGTGGGGCAGCTGCATCACAGATTCTGGCGAGGCTTTGTAAGATGCCAATCTTGATGCATGAGATACCCACACACTGCGTCACAAATGCTGAGAGAGTGTTTCTACTCATGCGTCCCAAATCTTTTGTGAACTAAAGCAGAGAGTCCTCTGAGTCGCAAGTTTGCATTCTTTTGGAAAATAAACCCAGGCAGTGTTGCAATTCATAGGACTACCAATACATGAAAAGTGATAACAGTTCCGACTCATCGAGCGAAGAATCCAGCGCTGCTGAGGAGGAGCAAGGTCTGCGGAAAATTTTCAAGATGCGAAGGGAGGATATGAACTGCAAAAATGTCTGGGTCTGGAAAGTTGGAACTTGTGATGCTACCTGTGGACTCTACATGAAATCTGTATTGCATGAACAGCATAAGAGGTGCAATTTGTGCTACGCGGAGAGGGCATTTCTCATGCGGTATGAGCATCAGAGAGCCCTCGCAGATTCTCTGATGCTAGGGCATGCATCACAAACCTCATGGGTCATGGAAAATCTGCATGACAATCTTCTGTATTCTTCCAGACCCAGACATTTTTGCAGTGAATAGAGGAGCAGGAAAGACAAGAGAGCGAGCGAACAATTACATCTTCGAATAGCATGATTCCCGCTCCTTTGGAATTTAGTCCTAGCACGGCCGCCATCACGACGCCCTTCTATCTGCTGGGAAAAGATAAAAGTACAAGAACTTCAGGAGCAGGCGATCTGAAGAATAAGCATATTCCCGACTTGCTGAACACTACGAAGAACATTTTCGAACAGGCGGAAGAGCAGCTTCTGGAGGAACAAGAAGGGCAGGACACGAACAACAAAAGAAATAAACCCGTGAATAACCCTTTCGCGAGATTCTTCCGCTCCGGGCGGGATTTGAAGCGGAATGTGTTTCTCTTGGAGAAGCACCGGCAGTGGGTGGAGCAAATCGGCAGCATTGCCCAGGAGCGGCTCCATGAGAGTTTTTTTCGGGGAAATACAAGTACTAGCAAGAAGAAAGAAAATTCCGCCAATACTGCTCTCCTGAATCGAAAGAAAAAAACCGACCCCGGCTGTGGCGTTTCCCGTTTGGTTTTACTCCACGACAGGCTTCCAGCGCACCTTCGGGGCCTCTTTGACGACGACAATTCACCCTCCGCAGGAGACCGCAAGAGAGATCGGACAACGCCAGCTCTGGTCGTTGAGAACGTGAGGGAGATGAGAAAGCTGCAAGAGTACGAAGCGAGGCTGAACCGGAGCTCGTTTCTGCCCCTCGGCGCGTTTGCAGATCATGGCTTCAATATTGAGGGTGACAAGAATCATGCCGCGATGGCGGGGGGGAATGCGAATGCGAATGCCAACGGCAACAAAAACCGGAAGAGCAAGGACGGGAAAATGATCTTAAATGGATTTAGTACGAACACCCTGTGCGACGTGCTCGCACCACCACCCTCGGCTCAGTTTTTCCGCCACGAAAACCTCCCGGACGAGGTTTTGCAAGGGTTGCTGGGGCGGGGAGGCTCTCTACGTTCGTCATCGAAGAAGAAGAAGAGCAGGACTAAAAATGCTGACTCAAGACACAAAGCGCGAGGACCCAACGGATCTTCTGCCCAGTACCACCAGAAATTGGTCGAGCTGATGCACAAGTTCGCGTACAACAAAAACGTGGCCATGGTTCGCACCTGTCCGGATTTTGAGGGCCTGCTGTTCTTGGTAGAGGCCGGCTTCGCTCCGACGGTTTACCGCAGCATCTGGATGCAGTCCGACGACCGACTGAAAAAGAAAGACCTGCGAGAAAAGCGGTGGCGGCGCGAGGAGAAGGAACTACGGGAAAAAAACGGCGGAGAAGCTGCTGGGCCCAAGAACTCATCCCTTTTCAAGCGAAGTTGTCGGCCTCCGATCGACGACGGCATTCTCGCGACCACACGGACAGGCGAGATCATCTACGCCCCCGGGTACGTGGCGCAGCAGGCGAGTAAGCACAAGCGACTCTTCGATGTGTGGAAAGACAAGGAAAACTACTACCGCCCGGCCAAGGAACTTGTGGACGACGTCGAAGTTGAGGTGCAAAAGAAATCCAAACTTGTGCAGCTGTCAACTACCTTGTCGGTGTTGAAGAAGATGAATCAACAAGGGCAGCAAGAATCTACGAAGTTGAGTGATGTTGAAAGCAAAAACTACCCGGACAGCAGCTGCACTTCCCTTGTTACCCTGGCTCAGGTTGCACATGCACCACCGTTCATTCCCCTGGCCGCACGAGAAGGTCCGTCGGCTGCTGCGGAGAAGGATGCAGTTCTTGCGCAAGAAGAAGCTGAGGTAGAGACGATAGTGCAAGAACATACCGGGACCACGACTGATGTCGATGTTCCTGCGGCGCAAGACGGTGTTGTGCCCCGAGTCTCTACTTCATCATCCAGCCAGGCTGAGAAGAAGCTCGCAATAGACGAGCAAAACGCGACCGAAGGTGTAGGACTCCGACCGAGCAGCAACGAAATACTGACGCAAAAAGTACTTTCATCCGATCAAGAACTCGACAAAGACAAAGATGAAGGTGCGGCAGGAGCAGGCTGCTCGCCACTTCCTAATCTTTCCGCACAAAGTAGCGCCCGTAGCAGAAGCAGTTCCGACGATGATTCACGGGCGGGAGTAACTGCTGAAAAAGATCATGAGTCCGAATCTTCAGAAAGAACAATGCCGACAATAATTTCGAATTATACAGATTTAGCTGCTCCCAGCGAAATTACAACCATCTCCACGACGAAAACCGCCATGACTTCACAGGCGAGCTTGCCCGGCTATGCCACACCACCACAAGAACGGGGGCAGGTGCCGCTGCTATCTGCAGAGACCACGTCCGAATTGCTCGAGAAGAACGAAAGAACGCATGCTGAAGTGGTCGCGCAACAGACCACAACAGAGCAATTGACAGTGCAGATGAGCCCTCGACTTACCACTCCCCTTCTCGAAAAAAATGCAACGTCGGCCTCCAGCACTGCCCACGTAGTAGAAGCTTATCGGGACGTCGAAGATCATGATCATCCGTGCTCCGGCGAACAAGCGACGCGTCGGTTTATTTCCAAGCAACAGGAGGAGCCTCAGACTGCGCGGAAAACGAAAAGTACCGCAGCTCCACCCCTGGCCACAAGTTGTTACACAACTAGCGCGGCAAGCAGGACAGATGATTTTGCTGATGGCGGAAGAGAAGTTGTCTCGGGTCGCAACGGTGGAGGTGGTCTAAACGAAAATTATAACGCTTGTAATTCCCGGCTTCAGATGTTTTTGGCGCAGACCTTTCAGATCGAAGACAAAGATGGGGAGCTGCATGAGATCGACCGGTCGCTGACGACACAGATGAGCGCCCGGCTTGACAGACATGCACAGGAAATGTTGAACAAGGTTTTGAAGAACCGTGAGGAGCGCGGCCGGGTGATTTGGGACAACAAGTCATCTCCCGGGTACAACCACCGGGAGTCGATGCTCGCCCGCTTGAAGTTGGGTATGATCCAAAAGCTTGAGGCGGCCTTCGCCCGCGTGAAGGAGAACGAATTTGACTCCGTTTCGCCCACCAACGTGCTCCTGCCGCCGCTCGAGCCTCCGGCGCGCGTGCCATGCGAGCTGCACGAGCTTTACCACATTCCGGAAGAATTACTCCCGATCAGATGCTTTTGGTTGTAAAGGTTTTTGCGGTGAATTATCATGACAATTTCTATTTTCTTCACATCCACGACGACACAATTCGACCGACATATTTAGTGTTTTGTTCCATTCATGAATCACAAAAATAGAAACGAGTCAATACTTTTGATGACAAATTGAGATCTTCTACATACGAACCTCTCACGACACACACATCATAATGAAGAAGGAACTCGTTCCAAGAGGGCGGCACCATTGAAGAAAACATAGAATGAGAGAAAAAAAGACGACATCGGAATTCAATTTTCTTTATTGGAATTAGAGAGATGAATTTTCTTTATTGGAATTAAGCACAATCAGACTTCGACAAGTAGACCTGACTACGAAACCTCCTGTGAAGGCCGTCGCCTGAGGAGATCTCCCGGTCGTAACGTGGGGAGAAGCAGGCCGCATGCTTATCAGGGCAAGCGGTTAGTGGATCTGGTTGAAAGAGTGGCCCCAGTGAATGAGGGCCGCCGCCTCTCATGATGCCACCTCGTAGACCATATATACGCGCTGGCCTTGTTGTTCTACGGAGAGCTAGCAGCAAGCAGCTCCTTGGCCCATGCGCTTGCGCTGCTGCGCAGGTTCGCAACAAAAAGGCACGCCGCCGCTGTGCTGTTTGTTGCCTGCCACCCGGGTGCCGCGGCTGCGCCTCGCGCGTCCACGGGACGCGACGGGGCAGCAAGCCGCGCGGCACCACCGACGAGCGCAGCTGCGCTACCGTTAGGGGAGCGCAGCCACCCAGATGGCTGGCCACCCCACCCTCCCGGATGCCGCCCCTTATCCGAGCTCGGCCAAGCCCATACCGAGAATTATAGCGCCGACCGTTGATAGTGCGCGGCCACCCGGTTGGTCGGTACTATGAAGAGCGCGCCACGACAGGCGAGCCCTGTGGCACCACTGAAACGGCCACACAGCAACACATTGGCGGCGCACAACCGCCCACGAGTTGAGCGCCCCCAGACATGCAAATGCTTGCTGTAGCTACGCAGTGCAATACCAAATCGGACGAAAATCAACGGCAGTCGTGGGGAGGTGTTGGTGTTCGTGAGGCACTACGTCCGACGCGCCTCCGAGCCGTGAGGGCACTCGGAAGGGTAGGAGAGAGGGACCGAAAGTGCACCTACTCCGGGTGCGGGAGATCCTGGCGAGACAGATCCCACATACAATGCACTGAGACCCATCCGTCCCCTTGTACGTGCGATGTTTGTGCACAGTGGTCGGCATCACCTGTGGCTTCGATAATAATAATAATAGACCTGACTACGAAACTCTTATTTGAATTGACTGCCTTAATATCAACTTCGAATTTTTACCTTGAGCTTTATCAATCTTTTGAGAGAAAATCTCTTGATAATGGAGTTGAAACAAGGACAATCTCGGACCGGGCCTACGACAAATTTGAGTCATACCCAGACATGACCAGAAAGAAAGAAAGACGACATCGGGGTGATTCCACACATGAATGATATCGATCCTTTCCTCTTGGATATTGAAAGAGAAGAACAATGATTATTCGGATATCTTACGATATGAATTCGCTTCTTCAATAAGAAATAGATGGAAAAAATATTTGAAGATTTTCATAAATCTTCATCGGATCGATGTTCGATAATATTGTTTGTTTGTTTGGTATGTAGTGATGGAGTCGTGGTTTTCGTGTGAAGGGTTTGCCTTCCTCTCATGATGTCGATGTTAATGTTGCTTCAATATCCTATTCATCATCATATTTTTTTTTTATTTCGGGAAGATGTATCGATATGAAAAATAAGGATTGGATTTTTTTGTTTGTTTGTTGGTAAAGGTCATGGATGTGGAATCGTTTGGAGGTGGTCTTTTCTCTCATATGGATTTAGAACATAATTTGTCATGGAAGTTTTCGTTTCCATTTTCCATGAAAATTTGTATTTCATATGAGTTGTAATTTTCAAAAATTTCATGTCAGAATTTTTGGATTTCTGTTTTCTTCTTGCTTATCTGATTCAAATTGATTTTGTGGGTTATTCATCAGAAAAGAATTTATGAAAAATGATCTTGCGTAAATGAAATCGATTTGTTTCTTCAAAGAGATTCGAAGAAAATTCCGGTTCTTCAAAGATATTCGAAGAGGGGTTTTATGATAATTTTTCAAAAAATTCCTTTGGTATTTACCAACATCATTAAATTCAGAGAAAAAAATCAACAAAAATGACAATCGAACCCTCATCGAATATATTAGCAAGATTGATATTCTGCGAAAATCAATCAGAGATATGAGATTGATAAAACAAAATTTTGCAAAAATCGGAAGAATTTCATATTTCAAAAATTTTCGGAGAAAATAGGACACCTATAATATTTCGAAATTTTCGGAGATTTCTCCACAATTTTCTATGTTTTCAGATTTTCAATGATCAAGGAATTTATCTTCGAAGGAATAGATATTCTTCTGAAAATCGAGAAATAAATTTCATATGCCAAACCCATAAGAGACACACATGAAATTTATATCCAGATTCATTGGAAGATGTTGAAATTATTCTGAGATCAGAAATCTTGAAATCGAATCTAGATTCAATTCTAGAAATATCTAATTTTTGATCGTTTTTCAAGATTCAGATTCATGTATGTTGATGGGAATGATTGAGCTGAAGAGAGAGAGGCAGATGAAATTTGGAAGTTTTAGGATCATGAACAAATGATACCATACCCAGACAGAAGCGAATAGCTGAATCAATAGGGATGACGAATGGGACCGACGAAAACAATGAGACGACTTCTTTTTTTTGATTTTTTTGAACGTGTACACACCCTAACGATGAAATTCCACTGGAACAGATACCAAGCCAGGGCCATTAAATGACCCTTCGAGAATTGATTCCGGTGATGTCAATCAAATCGGAACAATCTTTGTGTGGTTGAATGTTTTACCGAAATCAATCTATCATGGTATCGAGCGCTAAGCAGAAAAAGGTTGATGTTGCAATTTTACTGATGGACTTTTATGCTTGAAATTCAAGAGAAAATTTTTGCTGCTATGGGCACGAATTCGTGGGGATGTACGTTGTACGCCTCTTTTTGTAATGCTCGTGCATTAGCATTTTTATTCTATTTTCTCTAGCACAATAAACATAAAAAGTGCATGGATGATGTATGAGAGCTCCTGCGATATTTTGCTTTCAAAAGTAGCTTGGCAAATCGTAAATAACCGGGAAAATAAATATAGGAAACGGGACTTGAATGAAAGGTGGGTAAATAAACTTAAGTAAAAACTTCGGCTTAGTTCTTCTCCTCGAAAACACTACACCGACACTGGAAGCGAAAATTTCCAATGATGGCTATCATCAGTATTGGAAGACCTCTGGAACAAAAAATCTAGCTCTTTAATAAACCTACTTTGATGGAGTCGTGCACACGATGTCAGAATGATAAATCAAAATAAATGCGAATGGCGTTGCAAAAGTCATTCCTTAAAATATCAGTGAGCATCAAGAAATTCGAGTTAGATTACAAGATACAGAAAATCATACACGTCGTGATAATATTTATTGGTAGTCTCGTCCTGTGAGAGCCTCCCTTCCCTTCGGACTGCCAATGCGGGACGATCTAGTATCGCTTTTCCATCGTGTCTTCGTGGACGTTGGAAATCGGAGCGAGACATTCGATCGTCCCGATATTAAAAGTGTTGCGCTGAATGATTGATTCCCAGTTCACAACTGTCAAAGCTCTTTCATGAATTTCAAGCGCTCCTTGTCGTTTCTTGCATGATCAAAAAGGAGCCAGCATCAAAAAAGCGGCGGGTTGCGCAGTCTGCTGCTGTGGTCCATTGCCCTCGCCGCCCTGTTCCTGGCCTGCTGGCCCGGATGTGTTTGCCCCACGGCCGCATGTAACAATGCAGATCACAATGCTCAGGATGATGCCGGCAGCACTATGGAAACGGAAAATAACGCCAGGGCCACAGGAGGACATTGTGATGACAAAAACTGGTGACCTCGTGGTCATATCGTCTTCGAGATTAGTTGTATCGACCTTCGACACGGGTCTCGTCGGCGACGTCACCCAGACGAGCAGTTCTACATACAAGACAAAGATATACGACTATACACGGGTACTTACTCTTATGATGAACTCCAACAAGTCTCCCGGCAAGAACAGCGCGTTATTTTCTCAGTTGATAAGCCAAGATGCAGATGATTACGATCCAAAGGACCATGTACCGCTCCCAATAGTCCTTCAAGCTGCTCCCCATCTGTGAGGTGCCGTCCCCTCCGGCAGCTGCGTTGGTAGCATCAAATGGCTGCCCGTTCTGCTGGGTAGTCGCGTAGCCGTAACCGTAAGCGCCCCCCCCTCCTGCATTGACCACCAGCGGACTCTGCTCATTGGTACTACCCGACCCCATTTTTGTCGACGCTGCGGCATTGCTACCCGTGGACCCGGCAACTTTTGCCGACGCTGCAGCATTGCTGCCCGCGGACCCCGTAATTTTTGCTGACGTTGCTGCATTGCTGCCCGCGGACCCCGTGATTTTTGCAGACGAGGCGGGCTGCTGCTGGTCGTCGGCCGCATTCGGATTCAGGTCGACGGCGTTCTGTTCTGTCGTATCTCCCTCAGCTGCGGTTTTTTGCGACGCCGTTGTAAGGCCTCCGCCCATTTGCGAAGCCCGCCCCCGCGGTGCGGACGTTGAGCTCGCATTAGCGGGATTCAGTGACGCGCTCTGTTCCCCCGCGGCAAGATCGGCGTCCATCTTTTGCGACGCGCCCCCTGCTATTTTCGAAGCGCGCGGCATGGTAGAAAGAGTTGATACAAGATTGAGATTGCTACTGCGCCCACTGTGGTCTGTGAAGCGGGAGATGTTGTTGCGAACGGTCTTCTTCTGCTCGAACAGCAGTCAACGTCGGTTCTCTGCTTCTTTGGTTTGTTGTGCCCGATGTGGAACGGACGCGCGCGTGTCACAGGTTCCGGTCACAGTGTGTGCAATGAAAGCAACTGACAAAATCTGCTCTGGCTACTCCCGGCCCGTGGCTACAGAGAGACACTTAGCTTTATGAAAAAGCGGAGAAAATGAAAAAGGACTCGAAAATGAAATTCGAATTTAAATTGATGACAGGAAAGTGTTATTCATACAGATACACAGAAAAAATTGGTGTTGTCGTACAACCGGGCAGGGGAAGATTAAAACAAATAAATCGAATAATCGTCCTGGACGGCTGTGGTGTTTCGTGGCAGAGATGAGATAGGCAGAGCACGCTGCGCCACCGTTTGTCAACAACGAACAAGGTTCGGTTGAACGAAAGACCGATTTGTTTTTGTACCGTATTATTCGTGGTAGAAAATAAATTTTGTCATACCGATTGATGCTGCTCGATTGGCACCTTTATTCAGTCCGAGAAGAAACGAAACCTTGAAACGAACCGAACAGCATGACCTGCTGTGATTTTCGCTCGACTTGAGCTTGACCGATGAGATTTGCATTTCAGCATTATACATTTTTGTTCGACGTACGATTACAGTTGTACACGAGGACGAGCAGAGAGCGGGCTTTCCACCTATCCTTGTCACCGACAGCCCTCACGGCTTGAAGTTGCTGAACCGACAGAGTAAATGACAACGGCGAGGACACCAGACACGAAGAAATAGAGCATCGTTTTTTTTTGTAGAGGACATCACGCGGATGCTGACGGCGGAGGCACTAGCTACTGCGGCTGTAGAATTCGGTGGGGCCACGAACTGCTACGCGTCGTTCGTATTCATTTTCGATCGGATGTAGTTGTCGAGCCTTGCTTTTTACGTGAATCGAATGTCGCTGCGATGATAGTCATGTCATGATATATCTTTTTGTCGCGAAAATGAAAATTAGTCGACGATATTGTGTCGGTCCATTGACACATACTCTCAATCTTCCACCATCTGCCAGCACACGAGCAGCTACGTCTTTTTCTTGTTCTCCTCCCCCTTCTGTGCACCTCCAGCCGGAACCGGGGCAAAGATCGACCGGGGCGCGTCCTTCCCCTTTTGCTTCAGCAGCATCAGGCGTTCCGCTTTTTGCTTCGCCGTGCCGCCGACCTTCAGCCCGAGCTTCGCACTGGTGTGCTTCAGCTGGTCGTCGGTGCATTTGTTTTGCAACTCCGCTTCGGAAGAAAATTTCGCCAAATCCACAACCAGCTCCTCGTTGAAAGCAAAGGGTGCTTTATTGCTGTTGTCCCGGTTTTTTATCTTGGCTGCGTTCATTCGAGCCGCCCAGCCATCGTCCGCCGCCGGGGGCCCGCTTGTGCTTCCGTCGTCAAATTGAATCAGTGGCGCCCCGGGCAGCTGCGCTCCTCCGGAGGGGGGGATTACCAGAGTCGCTGTGGAATCACCGGAAACCAGAAGATCTTTCGTTTTGTCGCCCTTGTTCTTATTCCCTGTGGTGTTTGCGATATCGACCTGAGCGCTAGTGTTTGGTTTCTGCCGTTTTGCTCCCCCTTTTTTTTTGTCGCGAATGTTCAGAGCCTCGTCGCTGTCAGAACTCACGGAGGCATCGGACGACGCGCTGTTCGTTTTTTACAGTGTAATTATATTTTGATTCCATTCTGGTTTCCAGCGACGTAGAAGGCATGATTTTGCTGAAGGACCAGCTTTCAGCACAACTTTGCTGGTGGTCTCTGGTATGTATCGTTTAAACAAAAAACATTCGTGAAATTACAGAACAGGGGCAAAAGAAAATCAGGCAAAGCACAAACAGGGTCATTCTTTATACTCTCCCATGAACTCCGCAAACAATTCCTCGACGTCTTCTCCGCGTTTTCGAGCCAGCAACGCGAGCCCCTTCGCCCGCCTCGCGTCATCCACTTCGCCGCCGCCTCCCGCCTCTTCCTCCCTCGGCCTCTTGTTCGAAGAGGACGAGCTCGACAGAAACGGCTGCGGGCCCTGCTTTTTCGCCTCTTGCAGCATGTCGAGCTTGGACTTCCCGGACTGCTGCAGCTTCTCCAGGAACTCGTCCCCCAGCGCGATCTCCTTTTTTTTCGCGATCGTGGGTTCCGGCAGCTCCCCGTCCATCAGCATCGCCACCAGTTCGTCCTCGTCCTTCTTCTTTTGCATCCACTGTTGAAACCGCTCCACGGTTTTCGCGTGCCGCAGCCTGCGCCCGCTCAAATCCCGCATGGCGTCCGTGTTCGTGGTTTTCTTCCCGCCACCCGTCAGCTTCTTCAGCAAGGCCCCGAAACCGCCCTTACCACCCCGGAGGCGCCACAACACCTCCACGTCCAGATTGCGCAGGGCGGACAGCTTGGCCGACATTGTGGGGTCATTTGATGCCGACGCGGAGGATGAATGACAAGGATCTGCAGATGCTGACGTGCTTCTTGTGGTCCTCCCACTTCTGGTTCTTCGTACTGAGGATTTGGTCCTCGTTCTTTGCTGGTCGAAATTTTCCTCTTCGTCACACAACGGGAGCGAATATGCGGGGCGGGTAGACCCAGACGAAGACGAGGCAGCAACATTATCGCCGTGTTCGAAGGAAGAAATAAGGTCTTGAACGGGCTCTTGCTCGTCTCTACTGTCAAGAAACAATCCTTCATCCCGGTACTGGTGCGGCCGCTTGCGGTCACACACCAGAATTGCGTCATCGCGCAGCTTGGCCAGGGAAATTCCGAATGCGCTTGCGATGGAGGCGCCTGTGATAATGAAATTAATATATTGATGAATTCTTGAAGGATACAACTCACATGGTATTTTGAAGTTAGTGCGCATTTTTGCTCCATCAATGCTAGAAGACGGATCATATCGGCTTCATCTCCTGCTGCGTATTAAGCTGTCATTGATGTTGTGTCACCGTTAAGAGCCTGCAAGTGAATCAGAAGCATGGCAACAGTCAGTGATAGTTATCGCAAAACTGTACTTAGGCTTTCCTCCGTCCCGTCGAACGCGAGTCGGCGCGTCGGGAAGCCCTGCAGCCGGACGTAGGCGTGGCACGACATTTTTAGCCTTCCTGAGTGCTAATCTTAACGCTACTAATGGGCGGGAACATTGAAAGAAATGGTAATGGATACCATGTTGGTCTATATCTATTTCGTCATATGCATCTTGATCTTGTCGCTTTATTTTGGTATCGCTGCATTCATCATATTTATCAATGCGCGTGAAGCCTTAAGGTTCAACGGTAGTTGGGCGGTTGTCCTTTGTCATGATACATCTGCTCAGCCGTAGCTTTGACACAAAGGAAAAACCATTGGATCGCTTTGAAGCACGCCACGTCATCTTTATTCGATAGATCTCCGAGTTCTTGCTCCTACCAAGAAATAGATCCAAAATATCGCTGTGCAGATCCCATATCCTTGGAATTGGTGCTGCTCTCGGAGCCAAAAATACTATGAGATCGTCGACTACACAAATATCGCAATCCAATCTGTTTTTACAGAGCGTAAGGAAAGTGAGTATTTGGATCCGCTAAGCTAAAAATCACAGCGGTGAACACCAACAGTGACGCTCACGCACGTCGGTGGTTTTTGAGCTGAAAGTGTCTCATCTTCGCGGCGGGAGCATAGGTAGTAATAAGTAGTAACGCACTAACCAGTTGGTACACAAAATATTTCATTTTCAAGTTCGAAGAGGGTCTTTCTCGGTAGCATTTCTTTCCAGCTTCAAATTGTTCATCTATGGCGCGCGCAAAGTAACATTTTACTTTGCGCGCGCCATATCATCTGGGACTGGGAATTCTTTCTATATACACGTCGACTTGCTAAAATTTTGATTTTCATTTTGGGAAGATAAAGGAAACTTCGCCGTATCTGTTCGAGTTCAAGTATTAGCTGAATTTGAAGTTCAGGATTCGTTCTCCAAAAGTAAGAAAATGAAAATCAATTCCATTCGAATAGCTTTCTGAGTCGAATATCTATTCGCATTTGTTCCTTCAATGTCAATCAATTAGAGTAAACGGGTAGCGGTATGCTGCAAAATAAGTTCTTTCGAAACTGCGCAAGCAGATCGTACATTAATGCGAGTAGAATGAAAAGAGGAGTTCTTCTAAATTAGAGTTCGGATTTCTTGACTTCATGCCAACATGATAGATACCACTCTGGCAATGGAAAAAAGCGTTATGAAGTCCTGCTGCACACTTTTTTTCTGCACATAATCCATGAAAATTGTGGAAAGGAAAAGCCGGACTCATCGAAACAATTGGTCGCGGCCTTTTTTCATATGTGCACAGAAACATACAGTTCTATTTTAGACCTCTGGTACCAAAATCACGTCCGCGGACCGGGTTTTACCAAAATCACGTCCGCGGATCGAAAAGCGATAGACGTTCATTCAAATTAGTAGTTCCGTGACTGCTTTGGAAACGTAAAAAGTGGGGGCTCATTTTCAACTATCATTTCTCCGTGCGATCCTGATCTTGTAAAAATTTCGTATAGAAGAATTACTTATTCCGCAATCGGTTGCAGCGGCACGGAATCATCCACGTCGACACTTTCCCGTTCCTCCCGGGAGGTTTCAATCTGCCGTTTCACCAGGTCCTTGTACTTTTCACAGCGCTCCATCAGCTCGTCGTGCGTTCCCTGCGCCACCAAGCGGTTCCGGTCCAGGAAGAAAATCTGGTCCGCCCGGCGGACCGTGGAGAGCCGGTGCGCCACGATCAGTGTGGTGGTTTTGTTCTTCGTCGGACTTATTCCACCATTTTTGCCGTCGTCCGGCGTGTGCTGCACCAGTTGGTCGATGGCCTTCTGCACCAGGGCTTCTGACTCCGCGTCCAACGCGGAAGTTGCTTCGTCCAGCAGCAAGATGTTTGGATTTGACATCAGCGCCCGGGCAATCGCGATCCGCTGCTTCTGCCCGCCGGACAGCCGGACGCCGCGTTCGCCGACCAGGGTGTCGTAGCCTTCCGGAAACTGCATGATGAAGTCGTGCGCGAACGCCAGTTTCGCGCACCGCATCACTTCCTGTTTCAATTTCTCTTCCGAGAGTTGCTTTTCTTCTTCCGAAACTTCTTCCCGCTTCAGCGTTTTCCCGTTTTCCTTGTTGTACAGGACGAATTTGTTGTGGAGCTCCTGCGCCCGGGACCCGTACGCGATGTTTTCCAGAATCGACACCCCAAACAACACCGGCTCCTGCTGGACCCAGGCGAAGTTTTTGCGCAGGCTGGCGTGGTCGTAGTCCTGCACGTTCTTGCCCTCGAGGAGAATCTGCCCGCCGGAACAGTCGTAGAACCGCTGGATCAGGTTGATGATCGTGGACTTCCCGCCCCCGGAGTGGCCGACGAAGGCGACCGTCTGGTAGCGCGGAATTTGGAAGGTCACCCGCTTCAACACGCGGATATCCGGTCGCGCCGGGTAGCAGAAGGACACATTTTGGAACTCCACGATCATGTTTGATGGCGGCTTGCTGCTCTGTGTCGTTGAAGGTTCAAGATCAGCAGTACTATTTTGCATCATGCGCGCGCCATTATCCACCACGACCTCAATCTCCCCAGACACAGTGGTGCTGCTGTTGCCGTTTTCCAACTCTAAATCGTGGTTCGGCGGGGCAACAACCGGGACGATCATTTTGTGATCCACATTTGCGGATGCAGGTGTTGTAGTTGTGTTGGTCATCAAAGCTGGATCTGTGGATGAATATTGTTGCGATTTGTCGTTGTTCGCGAAGACTATATGATTGTGATCTTCCATAACCGGTGCGTAGTAAAAGGCCTTGTCCTCCACGGTGACCAGAATTTTCGGCTTCCGGTCGATCAACTGGAAGGTCCTCTTTGCCGCACCCAGAGCCTGGTACAGAATCGCGATCAAGTGGACCAACAGAGAGATCGACCCGCCGACTTGGACCGCGTACACCAAAAACGCGATCAATTCGCCCGGTGTCATCCGCCCGTCCAGAACCAAATGTGCGCCGTACCAGATGACCAAATTGGTCACTCCGTAGCCGAGGACGGAGACAACCGCGATGAACCCGGCGTTCAGCATCTGCTTCAGAATCGCGAACCGGTAGACCGTTTTTGACTTTCGGGGCGGGAACCAGCAGCAGCCCGTCTCGTTGTTGGGCAGGCAACAACCGCAGTAGTTGTCGGGGTCGAGGGTGGTCGGTAAGACCCCCTGGGTCGCGTTCGGGTCGTCCTCCTCCAAAGGTGCCTCGCCCGCCCGGACAAGCGGCCCAACCAGTTGATTTTGGTCGCGGTTTGACGAGCTCCGCAGACTCTCTTTGGACGCAGAATTGGTACGCGCGCCAGGAGATGATCCCCCTGCCACTGCAGTAGCGGTCAAAATGCTGGACTCCTTGCTGACCACGTTCTGCATTTCGATCGTCGTGTGTCCGTTCCTCTGCGGATCCTTGTCCAAAAGCCGCTGTTTCTCGCTTTGCGAATCGTTTTTATCCGAGTCGTCGAATTTTTGGCACTCGCCCATCGCGTCGGGGTCGCCCAGGGTCCGGCGAAACCGCAGCACCTCCAGCTTCTCGGCCGCGAAACTGCGCATGGTGCGCACGTTCGAAATCGCTTCCTGCGCGGTGTTGCTGGACTCGCCCAGCGCGTCGGTCGCCAGGGTCGACACTTTTTGCACGCGCCAGCCGTACCAAGTTAACGCCAAACCGACGAAGGGAACCACGCAGAAGGCGAGCACGGACAGGCGCCACGAAACCAGCACCATCATCACCGCGGATAAAGCGAGCTCGATGATCCCCCGGAGAAACATGGACAAGTTACTCGTCGAAACGTCCTGCAGCGAGGTGCAGTCGCTGGTCAACCGCGACATCAATTCGCCCGTTTTTCTCTCGTCAAACATGGCCACCTCTTGGCACACGATCGCGGAGAACAGTTTGAAGCGCAGCCTGGCCACTACCCGCTCCCCCGCCGCATTGAAAATGAAGGACCGGACCATGGTTGCGACCGCACCGATGGTCAGGAGAATCATTAACTGCGCCGCCAGCGTGTTCACGTCTTCCCGTTTCGTTTGGTCCGGCTTCGTGGTAGACTGACCGGTGGCGGAGTCGTCTCTTGTGATCATGATTTCGTTATCAAATGTAAAAGTGTCTGGGTCTGGAAGATTCTGAGATTTGCCATGCATGTTTTGCATGACCCAGTATGTCTGGAATGCACGACCGCGCATCACAGATTTTGAGCGGGCTTCCTGATGCCTACTCCGCATGACAAACGCTCTCCCCGCGTAGCACAAACTAGACTCCTCTTCCTTGCTGGTCATGCAATACAGATTTTTCTAGAGTCCAAAGAAAGTTAGCATCACAAGTTCCAATCTGCCAGACCCAGAAATTTTTACATTTGATACTCGTCCATCAACTTTCCAAACATCAGGGGAAGGAGCAGCGGTGGGAGCAGGGAGATGATCAGAAACACCATCCCGATGGACAACCACACCCACTCGGGCTTCGCCAAGTCGACGATGCGCCACAGACTGGGGGCCTTGTCCTGCTCATTTTGCTGGGCAGGTGAAACGGAAGGCTTGGAGGGTGTCATCTCTGCGACGGCCAAAGTACCAGCAGGCTCCTTCACGGACAGGCTTTTTTCTTGCGCAGTAACGATCTTATCGGGAGCGCCAGGAGATGGCTCGTCTGACATTGTGGCTGTCATCTTGATGCAAGAGGTTACCTTAAGTATGTTTCTAGGAAAAATCGTACAAAGAAAATAGAAAAGCAAAATGTGTCTGAAAATCAATCGAAATCTGACTTCCTCTCCTAGGAGGCTACTGTTCTGTTGTGGTGCGGGTGCTCGATCGGAAAGAAAATTTCCACGGAAGATGCAGCTTGAAAATAAAGGCGTTTGATCTGAAAATCAAAATGTGGGGCGAACTTGAAGTGAAATAACTGGAGACACTGTGGGTTTGTTTTTGAAATTTCGAATCACGACTGGACCAAGGTTGCCAATTTGCGTTTGCCGACTTTTTTACGAATCACTTTTACTTTTCTGAATCACTTTTACGACTTCGATTCGACAAGGGACGGCTTTTGTGGACGATTGCGACTTGCAAATGCACGAGCGAAAGCAAACTTTGTACTAACTTGTGTGTGCAACAGCTTTGAATTTGCGAAAAAATCCTCGAAGGCGCTCGAAAATCTCCTGGCAATTCTGTCTCTCTTGCTTTTCGACTGAATAATATATGGCTGTAGTAGTACAGTATCCTGTGTTGGATTTCGATTTGGAAAAAACGGAACAGAAAAACATCAGAACTGTGATGTGCCGAACTACAAAAGTTTTTTCCGCAAAAACAAAAGGTTGTACATCTGGATGCGATGGAGAAAAGAAAAAGATCGCAAGCTGTGTGTAAAAAAACAGGTGACCGAAATCCTTCAAATCTCGTGCGTTTCTGCGCAATTATGTCTATCTCTCAACACAGATAGGGAAAAGTCAACGTAGTAATGAACACAACAGGCCTTCCTCTTCTCGCAGTCGCTGGTATCTCGTCGCAAAGCCTTGATCCATGATACTCGGGGATCTACGACTTCTTCCGTGTCAATACAAGATAGAATATGTTGGATGAAGATTCAGATTCTGCAAACTCAAAGCCGCTGACAATTTGAACTACTGCAAGCAAGAGCAGGCGACCAACATTCTGTCGTGAACGTGATCGATGCGGTGCGGGCAACCAAAATGTCGATGACATGAGAGCGATATGCACCTACATGCCTTTGTTCAAATCGTCTGCAATGCGTATGCTGCAAATGCAAAAATTCAACATCATCTCCGTGCACTATTCGTCTCTTTTGTTCCCTCCTCTGCCTTCACGGCGCGTGGTCGGCACGTGGTGCTTTTTAGGAGATTGATGCTGCGAGCGTGGTGCGCTTCCAGTTTCAATTCTAATACAGTGCGGAAATTACAAAGAATGTTGCCTAGGGTATGCAAAAGAGACTGCAAGCAGAGTCGATAGAATCGTCCAGCACCAGCTATCGGGCTATCCCGCTGCTATCTTCTTTATTTTGCTTCGTACTTTTTACAAAATTGCATGGGCGATTATGCACATGACTTGGTGGTCGTACATACCTGAGAAACTTATCGTCAAATTCTGCACCATTTGGATAAAATGGGTAAAAATTTGCAAGGCCAAAATGCAAGCAGGTATCCAAGAAAAAAACTGTGTTAGTGTAAGTCTTTTGGGAAAACAGCATCACAAGTTCGTCTGCCTTGACAGGAAAAACTTGTCATGCACAGATAGTAAGGGAAAACACATAGGAATGGAGCCGATCATGCATGTCGAGCATGACAAGTATAACTGTTTTGCATTTTCTGCATCACAGATTTACACTTACACAGTTTTTTTCTTGGATAGCAGGTGTGCAGGGTTTACTGCGACAACTGCTTCTGTGTTAAATCGATTCATCTGTCAAAGCTTAATTGATTTTACTTCTGCGTATTCATTCTTCGAAGCGAACGAAACAAGAAATAGCGAGCACTAGCTTGCTGTTTTTTTTTTCCACTTTAGTTGAGATGTTAAACATCATTCACATTCGGTATAAGGTAAGTTTTCTCAAAACAGGAGGGTCGTCGTGCTCCTGCTTCTTCAAAGGCTCTTCCCAACAACTAGACATCGTCCTCAATCTAGTGCCGTCGCTCGACTGTGCAAGACGTGGTTCTACAGCTTCGGATTGTACGAACCTCGGTACCATCCGGAATCAAACCCACGGCTCTTCTCCTCGTACTTCATAGCCGGATCTTGAAACGCGGAAGGACCCCGGTCCATCCAGTCTGAGGTAGGATTTTTTTTGGCGACAATTGGCTTCGATTCCCCTTGGTAGTAATAGGGCGCTGGACCTCATTCTAAATTTTTTTGCGATCGTAATCAGGGAATTATCGAAACAGAAAACGACAAATCGTAGATTTTGTATACGTACTTACCTTCCGCGAAGCCACGCTCCACGTTTGTCGTCTCCATCTTTTTCAGTGCGGTCCCCGCTTTCGTTCCCTGCTGCATGGTATGCACTGCAAACATGTCTGGGTCTCGAGAGAGAATAAAGTTGAAGTTATGCTTATGACGCAAACGCAATTCAGCTAATAATGAGCGGACTGTAACTACTGCACCGCCAAGCATGCCAGGTTTTGGCATGATCTTCGCTCTGCGTATCGTATTGACGAGACGAAGCTTCGTTTGCGGATGACAGACAAGAGGAATGCTACGTGGCAATGCAATACAGAACTCAGAGTCATCGTCATCGTCATTCCAGACGAGCATGACAAATCCCGCGATCTTCCAGAATCACACATATTTGCGATGCATACATCATCGGATCAGCGGCGGAAGAACGGTACCACCCGGACTGGAAGCCACGCTCCTCTGGCGTGGTCATGTTACGGTTCAATTTTGCGGACGTCAACCCGTCCGCGCCTTGCCCTAATTTTTTCTTCGATGTCGCCGTTCCCAGTGCCTGCGGATACCCATCGCCGGCACCTGCCTTTTTCGACTTGGTCATCGAAGCGTCCGGCTTTCGCTCCTCTGCACAACAAACGGCGCCCATCTTTCGTTTTTTCGTGAACAGGTAAAAGGGTTTTTCCGCGGATTCGCTGGTGAAGGGGAAAAAAATGGTAGGCTTAAAGCGGCTTATTTTTCTCTTATGTAGTTGGCGCAGATATAAATACAGGGATAAACGATCAACTTAATTACGGCACTAGGAAGACTTCTGTGTGGGACAAGTCAGTGTCTTTTAGTGGGAAAATTTGAATACTTACTGTTGTAGAAACCGACGCTCTGATAGAATTCTGCCACCTCCTACTCCTCCTATTCAGAAGGTCAACATCCTTGGAGGTCCTTCATAACACCTGTGGTTTTTTCAGTTTTGTGAGAAACTAGAATGAAATCAATTGCTCTGGTGACTCGCACGTAGGATGAAGAAATTGCTCTGCACATATCAGTGATCATCCGTGGTCATGCGATCACTCAGCGATCACTGGATGTTTCGGCGGCAGTCCGCTACTACTGTCTGCTCGTCACCGAACCTGTACTTGTTGGCTTCTCACGCCAGGTGTGATGTTTTATAAGTTTTACATATACATACTCGATGGAGGTTATTTTCCTGTTTTTCACGAACCGAGGGTTTGATGAAGATGAAAGCCTCAACATAGACCGAGTGAAGCCACTTCCATTTCGTTAACAGGACACTTTGATCTGCGTGGTTCCAGTGGGTCTTGTATATATAGTTGAAACACTTGTTAAATTTCTTCTTCTTGGAGGCTTCGCTCGATAGACCACAATGCCCACGACTGCATGGTCGCTTTTCCTGGCGCTACCCTTTGGCAGCGCCAGCAACGGCGAGGGCCCGCTGTTTATTTTCAAAGTCGTACTACGCTGACCGTAGTTGCTTTAATATTTCCCTATCGAGAATCAATGGGGGCGAAGACGTACTGGGGGATTAGTGTGCTGTTCCGAAAAAAGCGTGTCATGGTGGGTCGGTTACTGCTCATGCTGAAATGATGCTGCAATGAATGTGATAATAATATTTTCATGCGGGTGGTACTATAAATATGGAAGCTTCTACTCTAGGGTCCTGAGTACGAGGAAAAATCGTGTGACGACTTTTTTCGAGATCCATCAGTTGGAAAAACCTGACGAAATAACGCAATTGAAATGACATACCACTGGAAACCAACGCGACGGCGCTATTCATTTGGATGCTCTGCCAATAAAACAAGAACGTCCCTATAATTGCAAACGAAATTATGTCCAGCTGTCATGTAAAAAAGCAGGCTAGTGTAATGCTCTGTGGAAAAAACGTTCAATGACACAATGATCACATGACAATGTACAGTTTGGTAAAACTACCCCCGTCGATATTATCCCAAAAGCTTCGTTCTTACATTCAAGTACTGTTACATGCCATCCATCTAGATTCCCAGAGGTTTTGCCTCAGCCACCTCGGCCTCGATGTCCTCACCGGCCTCCAAGGCCTGCTCCCACTTGATGACCTGTGCGACGCCCTCAATGAACAGGTTGCAGAGCTGCACCTCGGACATCCCCAGCCTATCGGCGTTGCTGATATCCCAGGTACCCCCGGTGGATGCGGAGTCTACGCCGGCGGTGCCGCGGGCCTGGAGCTTCATCTTCTTCAGGATGTCCTTGAAGTCCGGGCGGGCGGAGAAGAGCGGGAGCTTCACCATGGTGCCCGCGCGGAGTCCGGTGCCGAGGTTGGACGGGCAGGTGAGGATGTATCCCAGATGGTCACTGTGCATGAAGTCGTACCCTTCGGACTTCAGGCACTCCTGCACCGCCTTGGTCGCGTTGGCAAACCGCGTGAAGATGGCGTGGATGTTGTCACCTGGTAGTAGTAGTTGTTATACACAGTCATCGAAAAGTAGATATCATACGATAATACTTTCGTCTCGTTTTCTTTCTCGAGCTGGAATCGATTCAATATCAAAAAGAAAAGAGCTGCATACCTTTCTCCATGGACACAATGCGCAGCTGATCCTCCTCGTTGACCCAGACGAAGAAGTTCTCCGCGTCGTTGTGGAAGATGCCCCGGGCGTCCGGCCAGTGGCGGCCGCAGCCGGAGGAGAGCAGCAGGGTGGAATCCGGCTCCTGGAACAGGTTGCCCGCGTTACGCAGGTGCTCTTCCTTCTCCGCGGACATACCAAAGATCCCCTGGTCGTCCATCGACTTGGACCCGTTCAGCGGGAAGTACTGACCCTTCAGCTCTCCCTCCATCTTCATCAGGCCCTTGACGCAGACGCGCTCGGTCTCGCGACGCTCCTCAAAGGTGCACGCGGGTGGGAGGGGGAGACCGCGGACGGAACGACCGGTGCGGCACCGGGTGGTCAGGCCTGAGGGTTCGTTTGCGCGCTTTGATTTATGGGTAGAAAGTTTCAGTTAGTTAAGTTTGTCGAGCAGTGTATGCAAACGAACCAAAGATGAATAACTGCTGGCAAAGGTGTAACGAAATGATGATGAGTGTGATCATACATAGTCATACACATCAACAATCTAAAAGTAGTTCTCTCATACAGTAGTTTCCCGTCGGGTCGATCTTCGTCGTGGAGAGTTCGTCGATGTTCATGTTTGTCGTGTGCACTGCGTCGGCCGGGTAGTCGCCGTTCCTCTTGCCAATGACGATGTCGAACAGGTCCTTGAACGTGGTGAAGCAGTCCTCATCTCCTGCCACCAGCCCGCAGGTGAGAATGTGCGGGTGTCCCGGGTTGTCGATGCCGGTCTTGATGCACTTGGCGAGCGACACCCCGCCCGGGGTGGTCACGTTCTTGTACTTTTCGTAGATTTCCGGGTGGTCGCGCAGCGCCAGCGCGCACAGGTTGCCGTGGTTGGACAGGTCGGGCAGCTGGTCCGGGCACTTGTCCCCCGGGAAGGTCGCGCCCTTCTCCTCGCAGTAGTACTCCTTGTCGCCGCACCCCAGCTTGATCCAGTCCGGGAGAGTCTGCACGTTCAGGGCCAGGCCGTACGGCGGATAATTCGGGTCCTTGACCAATCCCTCGTCACTCAAGTGCTTCGAGAAGTGCTGGAGCAGCTTCTTGTCCAGGCCCGCCTTGAACTGCTCCTTCGTAATCTTTCCCGACTCGTCCACGTTCATCTTACTGAAGATCTGCTCCGTCTCGTCCGCCGTCATGCCCATGTCCCCGAAGATCTTCTTCATCTCCTCCATGTCCAAGTCTCCCGAATGGTCCTGGTCGATCTGCGCAAACACCTTCTCGGCGTTCACCAAAGGGCGGAACCCCTCGATGCGGTTCTTGTTGTTCAGCTTCGCCTCGATCGCGTGTTGCAGCTCCGGAAACATGTTGCCCTTCCACTTCGCTTCCGACACCGAGGCGCCGCCCTCCGGGTCGAGTTTGTCCATGAACTCCTGCGCCTTCTCCTTGTTCAGCCCGAGCGCGGCCAGCGCGCGACGGAGCTCCTTCTTGTCAATCTCGTTGCTGTTGTTCGTGTCCAGCTGCTTGAAGACCGACGCGAGGAACACCGCGGGGTCCCGACCGGACGCGGTCATCTTCGCAGCTGCCGCGGGGGCTGCAGCTGCTTTTGGGGCGGGGGCGGACGCGGCGGCGGCCGGGACGGCGCCGGGACCGCTGGCGGTCGCGCCTTGGGCTGTACTGGCTCCGCAACCCATTTGTTTATTTTCTTATGCTTTCAACTTTTGGACGACTGTCGAGTTGTTTATAGAATTGGGGAAAAATAAATCCCGGGTGTGAAGAACGAAGATTTTTTTGATTATTTTACGGGTGCTCCGGCTGGGGTTACCTGGACTGAAATGGTTTCTCTACTTTCTTGCATAATGTAATGCGGTGGAGTGGACGTCGTGAGAAAGTAAAGTCACAAGCGGTACGATGACGATACGAAAAACTGGTGCAACGTACGGCGGAGAAAGACAGAACGGACCGATGATTCTATTCTTTTCAGATTAGACGTAGAGTCACTTTTCCGTGCAGCTATGCCTCCTGCGTGAAAGCAAGTAAAAAGCAACTGGCTGTGTAGGATTTCCACAAAAAACCGAGTCGGTCTTTAGCATGAAAAAAAGGTCAAAATTGTGTTTCAAACCGAATTCTGCGAGGTAGCACCAAAAAAAGTGAAACCGACTTGCGACTTCTCGGTACAAAGGTAGGAGTTGGGAAAAAAGACCGTGACCGGACGCCGAGTGCCTCACGCTTTCTGTCCGACAAATGGCAAAAATAAAAGACCGAGGAATATTACGGACGAGTTTCTGACGGACAACAAGTGCGGTTCTGTTGTTTGTTTAGAGTCTCACGGTTACTGGACCGACAAGTCAGGGGAAAACTACAGGAGAAAGATATGCAGTAGCAGTGTTTCCTCGTCTGCTTCCTTTCCCTTAACGGGAGGTAAGTTGTAGTAACTAATGGCGCACTTTATTAAGAAGCTGTGGTGTCAATTCCTTTTGCAGGAGGTGGCAAGCAGAGTGAATGAATGTAAGTACTTATCAAGTTTTGGCTTCGCGTTTTGCGTGTCATATCATCAAGATCAACAATCAGACCAACCATTTCATAGATATCATACATGCGTGCAGCTCCTGGCTTACTTTCGGTGTGTATTCAAGCTTCGTGTCAATGCATAATACACGTGAAAGAAAAACGGCGTCGCTCACTAGGTACAGTGGGTTAGCTCTTTCGAGCGAAAGCGAAACAAAAGTCGTAGTGTACGGAAACAAAGAATACTAAGCGCCACTAAAATCAGAAGAAAGAGCGGAGAAGTCCTCCTGGTGATCTCCTTTTGATTTGATAAGATGCATTACTTGCGGGTTCCACCTCAATATCACTGTCGACAGCAGAAGGAGTAATCTTGTTTTCAAGGTCCTCGCTCTGCACCATTCCGTCTTTCCCACGCGCCATCTCTATTGCCCCTGCCTCCGCATCGTGAACTCTTTCGTCCTTGTGGTTCCACAAGCAAAAGAAGACAAGAAGCAAAACGCCAATCCCGATAATGCTACCCATTATCGCCCCGACGACCAGCGAAGCAGGGGACTCCGTGGTCTCCTTTGCCTCCTGCACTCCACCTGCTGCGCTCGCCACGACCGTGGTGGTTGATGTACTTGTTGGCACGGTCAAACTGAAGACTGTCGTCGTGAAGTTGTGTGAGGCCAATGACGTCCCCGCAACGGCCGTGGTGATACTGGACGTCACGGCTGCGGCGATAGAGGCGGTGGATAAGGTCGCTGAAGATATTATCCCGCTAGTTGTACCAGAGGTCGACGGCGCAGCTGCTGCTGCAAGAACCGGGCGTGATTTTGCCAGCGTCGGTAGAGGAAATTTCAAACTGCGCGCTCACCGGGACGACGGCTGCCAGATTTCTACGATTGTTCCGCTGCCGAAGGGGTCTCGTAGCCAAGAGCCCCGACCAGGACATTGTCATCGACGTACTTACCCCGTTTTCGCCGGCGGTTGATTTGCAATTAGCCAGACTCGAAAACGGCTTCAATGTGCCCATGACGGGTCTATGGATTGTAAAAATGTCTGGGTATGGAAGAGTTCATGTTTGTCATGCTTGTCTGGCATGACTCTTAAATCTGTCACGCACGTTACCCAAGAGCTCCGTTTTTCTGTGATGCAGAAGCGCAGTTTGTCATGCAGAATAGGCAACACCTAGGAACTCAGATAGTTGTCATGCTGGGCCAGCATCTGTAGCCTCATCATGCGACGCCACCCAGCATCACAAGTTTCCAGACCCAGACATTTTTACAGTTGATAGGGTCCGCAGAAGGATTCGTGGAGGGCAGTGGAAATGGCGGTCTTCACCATCGTCTTCTCCCCGGGCGTCATACTCGGGGGAAGCTCAATCGACAGGGCAACTTCCGTCGTGTGCTTCGTCACTGTTTGTGGTTCTCGGTCTGATTCTTGTTGATCTGCGGTAGTGTCTTTACCGGTTGTAGTAGTGGTGGAGGTGGCAGTGGCTGTCGCTGTGCTGGTGTCATCACCCGTGGAATAATCCGATGAAGTCCTTTCCGATATTACCGGCTCCGCCGGAGTTGTGGTGGTCGGGGTCGTAGTGACGGAGAAAGAAGAACTACCTGGCGAAGGCGACGGTGTCAGCGTCAGATTTGCACTTCTCGGACTCAGGCTTGTTGCATTGGGGGCCCGTGTTGGCTCTGTTGGCGAAGGCATGGGAGTTCTTGCTGCACCAGCAAGCACTACACTTTTCTTCACCACCGTCGCACGCAAACCTTTCTCAGTAGTCGCGTAGAACTGCAGGAAAAAGCCCTCGGGGAGAAAGTTCGTCGCGAAGCCGAGCAGAAAGGTCGCCCAGTCTACGCTCGTGGGCCGCGTGTCTTTCCAGGTGTTCAGTTCCGGATGGGGCGAACACCAGCCGGGCGAGTACGCCGGCAGCCCGCCGAGCGTTTCCCCGCCGTAGTAACAGGTCTTGGTCTGCCATAAATCCAGCAGTTGGGTGTTGATGCCGTCGCGGTAGGTCGTCGTGTTGTGGTTGGGGGTGCCGGGGTCGTTATTGGTTTTGTCGAACTCGTGCACTATGCGGTCGGCCGCCTCCGCGGCCGTCAGGTACCCGCCCATGATGGGCAGGCTGAACCACAAGTGTGGGTTTTTGTTGACGTCCGTCACGTGGTACCCGGACTCTTCGGGAAACGTGGTCGTTCCCGGGGTCTTGCCGCCGGCGCCGCAGCCCCACAGCTTGCCCTTCACGTTCTGCCCCCACACGGTGGGCTCGCCGGAGGCGACAACGCTGCTGTCCGTGGACGCGCGGTAGGAGTACCGCATGTCCTGCCGCATGTACTGCACGTACAACCTCTCCGCGTATTGTTTGTAGTCGTGAAACCCCCGGGCCAAAAACCAGGGAAATTGGGCCGTGAACGAGGGCGGGTACCACTTTGTGTCGTCGAATTCGGAACAGGGGAGTTGCGGGTTGGTCAGGCACGCCTTGGAGGGGCCTCCCGTGGTTTTCCACGCAAACTTCGGGACGGCGGTGTCCATATTCTGGTTGTCCCCCCGTAAGCATACACGTAGTGGCGCCACCCCCGCAGCCTGTCGTTCCCGTGGTTCATCTCGGGAAACGTGTAAGTAATTATTGTTATTTCCCCCTACTGTGAGCAGGTTCTTCGCGCGGTCGCGGGATTTCAGGCCGGATAGGTAGGCGACGAGAAAATACTCGTTGTACGCGCCCAGCGGCGTGCTCATGGTGCCTACCCAAATGAAAAATCCCCCCTCCCCATATCAAAGCGGAAATTTGTGATGCTGATTTGCGGCCACAATTCAGCTTTGTATTGCAGAGAGGCACTGCGGCCAGATCCCCAGGCTAGGTAGGGGCGTATGGGTCTAGCAGTTCAGCATGGGAAACGGACCCCCTTTAGGCCCAACAGCATGACAAATCGCTTCCATAATGGGGCGGAAGCTTCTGCCCTTGTCTGCTTGCAAGACAGATGTGATTTGTGACCTCAAATCCGCAACACAAATTTTTGGAAACTTACCTTTTCAATATGGGGAGGGGGGGTTTTTCCCCTTAATAGTGCCAGGTTGTTCCGTATTGCTGTCCGCGTCTGAGACCATTTGCAAGTAGCCGCAGGGGGCGTAGGGTTTGTCGTGCCGTAATAAATCGCTCTCGAAGTCGCCCTCGTCGACGCTCTTCGTGAAGTCCACGATGGCGTACAGTTTTCGCGACAACTCGTAGACGTCCAGGCCCAACGAGATTTCGCTTGCGGTCAAGGTCGAGCGGTCCTGACTTTTGGCGTGCCAGTAGTTCCCCGCCCAAAGCGCGCCCAAAAGCGCGCCCATCACGGCGATCGCGGTGTCCACGGTGCTGTACTCCGATTGCGGCGTTAAGGTGTACGGATCGGACTCGGTCCAGCCGGCGAAGTGGTTCAGAAACCCGTGGTAAGGCTCCCGGGGCCACTTCAGCAGTAACACCCGCAACGTCTGCAGCGACCGCGCGACCGCCATGGTGCGACTCAGCAGCCCAATCTCGTGCATGAGCGCGTCGAGCATCAAGCCCCACCCGACCGAGGCGGAGCTGCTCAGCTTCGTCATGGCCTGCGCGTGCGAGGCGTAGGAGCCGCCGTTTTTTACCGCTTTGAGCCCGGTCTCCGGCCAGTAGGTGGCCTGCCCCGGGTTGCCGATGACCACGCCCAAGGTCGGGGACCGAAACTGGTTCCAAAACAGCCAGGCGTTCCACAGAATGTCGACACTCGTGTCCCACTCCTGCACGTGCTTCGGGAGGTTCGTGACGTTCAGGCCCTGTGAAGGGTCGCCATACAGGAAATATCTACTCGGAAGCTGCGCGGCCTCGGTGACCTCGTCGTAGATCACGCGCGCGCCGTCGTGCGAGGCACTTCCGGGTATTTCTTCCAGGTAGTACTTCGAATGCAGAATCTTCAATATTTCCACCTTATCCACACCCCGGCCGCGGGTAAATAAATTGTAGGAAATCGGTTTAAGAACATCTCCCGGCTCACAGTTGTCGCAGGGCGGCACGGAGCACACCGCGGGAAAGTCCACCCCGCTCGGCCCGCACTGCGCGGCGTCCTTGTCCGGCCGGCACTTGTAGTACCGCTGGAAATCTTCCATCGTCGCGTTCACCAGGCCCTGACCGGTGGCGGCGGCGAACCCGTCGAACCACGTGTCCGCGTTGGCGTGCACCTTGCCGCTGCTGGCCGCCCAGCGAATTTTGGCGAAACACGTTTCAGAGAGAAAGGCGAGCCCGGGCGTGTGGATCGTGGGAACGACGTAGTCGGTCCCGATGTAGTCCGGCGACGACGCCCGCAGGAAGCTCGGAATGGGCGTCGTGGTGGCGGACGGTGTGGAGACGCCACACCGAAGCCGGTCCTGCACGGCGACGCAGGCCGTGCAGTTGCCCGAGTCCGGGTTCGGGTACGAGCAGGAAGTGGGCGCCGGGACGTCCGCTACCGGGCACTCGGACCACCTTGGTTTGCACTTTGCCCGCCGCATCAGGTCGCCGAAATCCACGTTGGCATCGAAGTCCCTCAGCGTGAATTTCCAAAAATTATCGTCCCCCGAGTTGAACCAACTGTCCATCTGCGTCTGCGTCCAGCTGCCCCCGCGCGCCTTGTTTTGGACCTGCACCAGCTTCTTGCAGCACGTCTCCCAGCTGGCACCGGACCAGTAGGGGCCATTGGTGGATTCGCATTGGGAATCCGTCACGTCCACCGCAAATGCGAACCAGAGCTGGTGCTGTAGCTGTTTGTTCGGGAGGAAGTGGACGAGCAAAGCTTTTGAAACGAACCACCATGCAAAAGTAGAGAAGCAATTTCTTAGTGGCGATTTGTTTATGCGAACCTCGGAGGTGCTGCCAGGAGGTGATCTGAAGTGAAAAGATGCAACTGTACTCGAACGTGAGACGGACGACGTGTTTGCTGATTTTTGCGTTCGCGGGGGCTTCGTAGTACGAAACATTCAATTAATCAAAGTGTAAACACAGAAGTATATCGTCTGCTCAAACAAGAAAAGCCTACGAGCGACAAAAGAAAACGCTAGTCTATGCTGCGGATAAAAGCAACACTATCCAGGCTATGGACTTTTATGTTTCGTAAGTAGCAAGGTACGGGGGCTTAGTCTGACTTTCGGGTTCTTGGCTTTGGAGTTGGATCAGATGAAGACTTTCATTTGTTTTTTAGTGATAGAGAGTGCGAAAAGATGTTCCTCCTAGTACGATAAACCCATACATAAATCGGTTATTTAATCCCCGGCTTCTTGTTTTTATACACGTACACCAGTAGAACCGACCCGAGAAACCGGAGCAATTTGCTTCATTGCTCTCTCATTCTGAGGACAACAGAACACGCGCGGTGAGCTCTCCTTCTAACAGCAGCAGTGCTTTTTCACTGATTGGTGCTTGCTGAAGCAGTGCGGTGTCGAAATTTCGCTTTTTGTCTCGCTTTTACGAAGGGATATGATTATAGCACAGTCGTTTAAAACCAGAAGTGTTGTCAAACACGACCTTTACTGCCTTCGCCACATAAACTGACAATTTTCAGGTTTTTGTGAAGATTCCACCAAGGTGGTTGGATTCTTCGATTCGGCGACAGAACGCCGCATGCTCACGGGCAGCAAGTCGTTTCAACATTGGCAGAAGGATCATTGACCCCTACACTAGTACGTACGACTTTTTCATTGTCCAAAGTTGAAGCCGCCGCCCATGCCGCTGTCCCCGCCGTAGTTCACTTTGCACTTGGAGAAGTCCATTTCTGGGTGCGCGTGCTTGAACTTTTCCAGTAAGTCGTGCTGCTTCTGCTATTGAGAGGAAAAATCCCCCCTCCCCATATCGAAAAGGTATGTTTTTCTTGCTGATTTGAGACCACAAATCACGTCTGTCTTGCAAGAAGACAATTCCACAGGCTCTGCCGCATTGTGCAGGCGGTTTGTAATGCTGTTGGGCCTACAGCATAGTCGTTTCTCATGCTAAGCGCCTAGGCCAAAAGCTCGCTACTCAGGCTTGGCAGGAGCCTGCAGTCCTCTACTGCAAGACAAACCTGATTCCTATACGCAAATCCAGCATCAGAAACTTCCTTTCGATATGGGGAGGGGGGATTTTTCCATGTGATATCTGCTGGTCGCTGGTGGGCAAGCCCATCTGTTTTTGTCGCTGGTCGAACATCATCTTTTCCACGGTTTGTCTCGTTTCGCCGTCGAGGTCGGAAAGTTTGGAATTCTCCGGGACGATCTTCTTCGTGTCGATCTCGGCGTCACCTGATAGATTTAGAGCCATATGAACTACAATTCGCACTGGGAATGCTCAACGTGAAGATGCGGAAGAGCTTCCAGGACAAGAAACCTAAGGAACTTGACTCTTCACCACGCTGCGGCATCGGCCTGTCATGCGGCCGCTCATGCGTCTTCATACATAAAGCACAAGATGTTGAAATGAGACAGACGCATACCATAAACGCATAAGAATGCACTCAGCGGACTGTACCTTGTATCATGGTTCCCCACCACTTCATTTGATCAACTTTCTCGAACGAAATGTGGACGGTTTTGCCATCGACTAACAACCACGTGCAATCTTCTGTTTTTACTTTCCCGTAGAGCAAGCCGTCGATAAGCGTCTCTCCGTTTTTGTACCCGACTTTCAGCTTGTCCTGTTTTGGAATGAGATCATCAATCTGGAGCAATGCATTGAGATAAAGATTGATTCCCTTGTGGTACAAAAACCAGCATCAACGATTCTTGACCGGAAAGAGTTTCTTGCCATGAGAATTGTGAAGCAGAAGCACGTAGTGTGTCCTGCCGGCGTCTCAAAAACAAAAAGTCTCTTGAAAAAAATGCCAGACGTCCGTACCTGTTTGATCACCACGGTTAATTCTTTCGACTTCACCCCTGGTCGGACCGGAATGTGCATGTCCGCCGTTCCTAAAGTTTGCGTCCAGGTGTACTTTTCCGTGCTCCCGCCGTTGCCCAAGGGTGGCGGCGCGTTGTCGTTCTCCGCTTCTGCCTCTTCCTCGTTCTTCTTATCGTCCCCCAAATTCGGACTCCCAGCGTTTGTTGAGTCGGATTTCCCGCAATCCTTCGCGGCCGCGTCTTCCGCCGGAAGGAGGGTCTCCTTTTCTTTCACAACCCCCACCGGGGTGTCCATGGGAACTTCTTCGATTTTCATGTCGCTGTCCTCCTCCTGCTGTTTCGCCATTTTCTTCTGCTTTTCCTCGTATTCCAGTTTGTCCTTCCGCTGCTGCTCCGCCAGTTTGCGTTTCCTCTCTTCGTCCTGCTTCCGGGACTTTTCCAGCTTCTTCCGGTGCGCCTCAACTGCCGGGTCGTAATGCTTGCTGAACGCCGATTCGACAAATTTCAGGCAGGTCTCCTTGTCCTTGGCCCCCGTGTAGAAGTCGGTTTTCCGGGCGAGGAACCCAAAAAACGCATCGAAAATGTTATCGATAGAGCCTGCCTGCTGGGCCACGTTCATGAACAGGCCGTCGAAACGCTCGCCGGGACCCGACATTTTTGTGCTCTATGTCGTTGCGAGGAGAAAGTTGAATGTGGGTGCAAGAAGTCGGGCTGTCAAGGGTTTCTATACTACGAAAAAGTCGATACAACTTGCTGTTGGTGTCAATGTTGGGGGCTACAACTTACTTGAAGAAGTGTAAAGTTTTGTTGTTCAATGAGTGCCTGTCGTATGTCAAGAAATTTCAAGACGAAATTGGATCCAGGAATGGGGTACGGTAAAATTTTGAGGAATAGGCATTTCGCCGTCGCGTAGCATTTTGTCCACATGATCTTGGTCATTATTTGGCGCTTGATCTTGGAGTGATTTTTTCTTTCGCGTCCTCGAACGTGTTGGCAGGAGACAACAATTGAACATGAAGCTGTGGCTCTAATTGAATGAACAAGGAATTTTCATCATGTTCTTCCAGTTCCAAATCCAATCCCTGTGCGGTGTACAGATTAAGCTTTCTGTATATAAAAGGAAAAGAGACAGAAGTTTGCAAATGGTGCAACTATCGCACAATTACCTCTGCGCCGAGGTTGCAGTCGATGATCAAGATATTTTCGATCGGTTTTTGTTTCGGAGCAGTAGAGGAGACAAGCGGCGCATCTCCTTGCCAAGTAACATTTCTCAGCAGCACACCTCCGCCTTTTACTTCCTCAACCGTTGCAGCAGTTAAGTCGAGTAAACTATCATGCTGCTGCTGCTGCCCAGTGTTTACGAGGTTGCGAAAATCGGCTACCGTCACCGTTTTGCAGTTCTCCACAACTGGCACAATAGGTTCGTCTTCTTCTAACTCCTGAACAACCGCTGGAGGTGTTCCTATAGTTATTTGCGAAGACGCAGCTGGAGTTGTATCATGGTCTGCATTTATTTGCGTGGTCGCGGCAGTCATGACAATCGGCTCCAGTTTCCGCAAAATGACATCCGCGCGCTCCGGGTCCGCAAGCCATTCGTTGTAGAAAACACCGGCCACCGTGGGCTCAGGGTAGGTGTCTACTTTGATCTTTGTATTTGCCGTCGCCGCGGCGTCCTGTCGCACCACGGCCACTTTCGTTTGCGTTGTGGTCAGAAGATCCGGTAGGAAAGACGGAGAGGATGAAGCGGCACTTGCCTTTATCGGAACCGTCGCCGGATAACTTTCACCTGCAGCAGCATTCTTGCCTTCCCACAATAAAACTCTACTCCTCGTCGTCACACGCTCTCGCAAACTACTCAGAACCTCCGTCACCACCTCGTGAAACGGTAGGGCCGCTACTCTTCTCTTGTAGAAAAGCAAATCCCCGGATTCCAGCTTTTCCTCGATCGTTCTGTCCACCGTGAAACCGAAGAGCTGCCCGTAGTAACTCACCCCGATGTTCGCCGTCCTCATCTCTTTCTCAAACTTTTTCCTCCGTTGTTCACAGTCCTGCAAATAATTATTGCGCAGGTACAACTCCCAGGTCAAAACAGTCGCCGAAAGAGCGGCTAGGGGGACGAAAATGCGGAAAAATTTCTTTTTTCTCCTCGGGTCAATCACGGCGGTGGGCTTGAAAACGGCGCCGCGGTTGAAGGTAACGGAAGCCGCGGTGGTGAAGGAATTGGTCTGGTGTAGTCGGTGGAGATGATGTTGGACTAGTGGGAGGAATGGACTGCCGTGCGCGGCGGGCTGCAGGGGCAGCAGCTGCACTAAGCGGAAAGTCGTGAAGGTGCTTGAAGATGCGGGGTCGGGGTGGAACGCGTGGAAGTGCTGCATCTTTTTTTGATGTCCACTTCGGCACCGCAACCGAGACGAACTGGACGCGGAGCGCAACATATCTTTGCGGAAACAAGGGACGAACACGTTGCCGCCGCGTTACCAGCAATTATAGAAGTGAAAGCAAGTTGTGCGAGTTTGATACTATGAGTAAAGAAATGAGCACTGAAATGATACGAAAAACGGTAAGTACGTAAGTACTTCGCATATGCGATGCGACGTCTTTACAACTTTTCTTGAAATTGCCATGAGAAAACAACTCCACCGTAGATAAAGACTGGAAAAAAAGCATCAAGCAACACTGGCACTGGCACGTCTCCGTCTCTCGGAATGGCATCGCTCATCGGTCGCGCTGCCGGGGCACGATCGGGCCAGCACGACGACCAGAAGCTGAAGAATTCACAGCTAGTAAAGGTCGTGTGCCGAAGCGGCGTGAAGGCGAAAGGACTCCTGCATAAGTAAAACAGTACTGAGTTCTTTCCGTGAATGAGACCCACTTTCGCCTTGTTCAGATTCACTGACTTCGGAGTTTGATGGAACAATCGGTGTAGCAGCTCTCGGTCCCGCTCTCTTTGTTTGTCCACCACTTCTGTTGCATACGACTATACTTTTGATGCGCATGAGTAGGTCGTTGCGAGGAGCACTTTCAATAGCAAGAAGCTACTTGAACTTGTGCTATTTCATTCAAAAGGGACGAGCTGGAGGTCTATCCTCAGTAGAAGAGGAACGCCATTTCAAGTGGTATCCGTTCTCAACAACGACGAAGAACAACGACGAAGAACACTTTTCATTACTGCAAGAGACAAATTAGCAAGCTACTGCTACTGGGCGCCATTGCCATCAATTTTTTTTTTATTTTTATCAATTTTTTTGCAAAAAAAACTTCTCACATGCTGGGTAGCGTAGACGGCGACGGGCTACGACGTGACGGGCTACGACGTGACGGGCTACGACGTGACGGGCTACGACGTGACAGAGTGAAGTAAATGTAAAGTAGGTCCCAGGCAGGCTATGCCCGTACCAATCAAGTCAAAGGCATCAAAGTGAGAGTAGATTCGTAGTTGTAAAGCGCTGAGTTTGATGCGCATGTATTTTTTTGTGTTTTGTTAATAGGTAATTTTTTTGCGTTTTTGTAATATGTAATTTTTTTGCGTTTTTGTAATATGTAATTTTTTTGCGTTTTTGTAATATGTAATTTTTTTGTGTTTTTATTCGCCGGCACGCAAAATTGATAACTGTGCGGCTTTAAGCTCCGTTTCAAACAAAAATAAGTAGAAATAGTAGTGTCATGGCAGCGATTGCGTGTCTATCGGAGCAACTACAGTGGTTCTTCTTGTGCTCGATGTGGTATCATCTGCTCGGATTCCTGTAGCAATAGGGCCCTATTCCTGAGCGTATGCTGGCTGGGACAATATTCGTTTTCACTCCAATTTGAATCTTACAAGAGCTTTTTATGTGTTGTAATGAATCGGGGGCAAAATAAGGTAGTACAACAACACTTCACTACAAACAATGAATTTTCATTTTCTGAGATTCAAATTTTACTCTTGACAGATGTTCGATCTAAACAGGCAAGCTGCGGAGTAAATAACCTTTTTTTTTTCGTCCTTAACCCAGCGCCATGGACACATTCCGTTTCGCTGTGCTGCGCGTGAATCCGGATCAACATGAATCAATTCCCTGCGCGAACGAGAGACACAGCACCACTGAAAGCGAACTGCTGCACCAAGTTCAGCGACGGAAATTTCTTGACAAAGCGATAGATGAAGTCGACCTGTACAGGATTCCGAAAAGGGTCAGATGTCTGCAGACATAGCTTCAAAGCAGGTCCTTGCGTCGTTTCTGTAGTGGGCTCTTCTATTTACTACATATTTTGCTTGAAATGGGGTAGGCAGGAGCACCTTATTTTTTTAAAGCAACTACTTACTTACTCGAATAAAGCTGCAGAAACAGTAGAAGGATGATCAAAAGCAAAAGGGTAGGACAGGAAAAATGAGAGTGGATCATGGAAAATACAGAGCGCGCTTGACGTCTTCTTGTGGTCAACCTCAGCACCAGAGAATTTCCGTTCATACATTGTTGGCTAAATTGTACTGGAGAAAAAGAACGTGAAGTATCAGCGTGAGGAGCCTTGTACAGGCTATAATTTAGTGAAGAAGATCACGAATCTTGGTCGTGGAGGCCGTCGGTGCAGAAGATGATGCATATCGTGATTGTCGTAAACTTGGTTCGTTCTCCGTACAAACATCAAAGCCTACAGATATGAACGAGATAAAATTCTATGCGTTGTCACACAAAAATCAAGCTTGACTGAATCACTTGAGTGCGCAGCGGCTGCAGGCGCCCACGCGCAGTTCGAGAAATAACAGTCGCGCTTTTTCGCGGTGCGTATCCTGTTCCAGAGAGCAAATAGAGAAGCATAATGACTGGTGGAGGGGAACTAGCGCTTTCTCCTGTTTGGGAAGAGGTGGAAACATGAAGGTGGCTGGTATCAAATATGATTTTCTCGTGCTTGACCGCTGAAGCTGATCTGAAGGCGAATATGCTGCAAAACGAAAAAATGAAGAAAGAACATAAAGTAAAGACCTCCATAAGCATCGAACAATAGATAATGATGAAGTGAGATGTCGTGTCATGAAGCGAAAAATGTCAGATGTTGCAACAGAAAAACATATAACTATAAGTACTTTCTCAAATGTAGTGCTGGAAGATCACTCGTCAACTACAGCTGCTCCTCCTTTCAAAGTGGACGAAACGTAGCCCCATTATATCTAGAAAAAAATCATGCAGAATGCTATTTTGGGGGAAAAAGAAAATTTCTAGATCGACGTAAACATCATAAAAATGAATGCAACATGATGCACAATAATGCTGAAGAATGTGAAAACAGAGCTACCAACCAGAAGAATCAACTTGATAGATAAATCAGTAAGTACTTCACGCCGATACAACTAGGTGACCCGTACAGTTTAGGGGTTTCCAGGCCACGCCATGACTTCGCAGAGATCCCCTTGTGCTTGGCACCACTCGCAACAATTCCGCAACGTGGTTTCTTTGTGGCGCATGCAGGTTTTCCTCGTGTGGCCATTTCTTTCGCACTGCACGTTGTTCTCACGACATTTGGATTGTTCTTGAGGAGAAAGGTCCCGATTGAATTGGCAGTAATCTCTTAGATCTTTAGCTTTTTCTATCAAAATGAAAAATCCTCCCTCCCCATACTTATACGGAGACTTGCGTAGCATGAGTGGTGGGCGCAGGCGAAAGCGGTACCGCTTGGAGGAAGTGGAACAGTCAGCAGCCCGAACGAATCACTAAGACTGAAGCCACGTCCACAACACCCGGGCTGAGAAAATAAAAGGGGGGCTCGGCGTGGCAACGATCTAAGATGACTACGTACAACCTTGATGAAGAAGGAGTGGAAGCCTCTTTTCAGAAGGACTTCGCAAACCTAAGAAAGCCAGCCACTGCCCCCCCCCCCCATTTCACAAACTCACGCCAGACATCAAGTACCGTCGTGACGGAGACCCCGGACACCCTCCCCAACAGCCGCATACGGAGATGGACAAGCCAGTGGGACCTTTAGACTCAGTGTAAACGGAACATGGCATGATTTATGACAATGCTAGAAAGGAAGAGATGCGGTCTGTAGTGCTGGCTAGCGTCACGTTGGATACTAGCCTCGCGCCCTTAGTATACTACAACGGGAACAAGGGACTTCTCGGAATAGCATGACAAATAGCTGCTTGCAAACGAGACCGCAAGTGTGTCTCGTGGCCTTCTAGCAATAAATTAATTTGTGTGTTGCGCGTCACGAATTTGTTTTTGAATATGGGAAGGGGGGACTTTTCATCACAATATCAAAATTCCTTCCTACCTTGTCTGAATACTGACCATTTATTCGACCAGGATCAACCAATGTCGGCAAATTGATAAACGCACTTGGGCCGGCGTTTTCACTTCCCTCCCAAGCGTGTGTCGGCGCCGATTTACTTTTGTCCTTCCGTTTGATCTTGGACGCGACCCCCCCCCCCCCCAAGAGGGTGACGGTCAAGCTGGTGACCTTCGCGAACTTCGTCATCTTTGTTCTTCTTGTTGTTCTAATTCGCACGTACTTAGAAAGATTTCAGATCTGAAGTTCCTACGAAGAAGAACAGATGTTGTTTTCTGTCTCGAGGTGCAACTGTTTACTTGTTTTTGCCTGTGTCTACAGTTCGACTAATCGGATCCCGGGGATTGTAGAGGAAGAAAAAAGTCCTGTGCCAAAATTGATACGGAACGTATTCCTTCCGTGATTTTTATTTTTTTTTTGCGACGAGTTGTGACGCCAGTGCTGTACATTCCCTATCGGTATCGTACTGTAGCCGCGAATCGCTTTATTTCTTTCACTTCGATAAAGTAGTACACGACGAACGACGAGATAGTACGAGTTGGAATGTGGGAATGTTGTTGACGAGTGAAGACTTGTCTGACTGCTTCAATGTTACCAAAACGAAATCGCTACGTTGGTTCGACCTGCAGAGGATCGCCATGGATCACTCCATGTGGCCATAGATTGCGGCAGCTGCGGCATGTACGTTAAGGAAGAACCACGTAACTCATACCTCCATGGGAATAACTACTTACCGGCGCGATTTTTCTACTGACAACGAGTTTATGGGACGTCTAAAATCTGCGCATCCATTTTCCTTTTGAAAAGCACGACATACGACGCTGACAAACGCCAGGTTTCGACGTGGGTACGACATCACATTGGTTGATGCATCAGAACGAGGTGAACGACCCGCTACGCTACCGTAGTTGTATAGTGAAATAAGGAAAAATTCTAACGAAACCCGCTATCGAGACGTCGGTTCCTTCTCACGAAAATCAACAACACAGCCCAACGATTTCGACATAAAGTCATCAACGAGGCATCACTCCCGAGCGAGGATATTTACTTACAACATTATATACGTTTATTACGATCGACCGGTAGCATGAACATCGATGGCATATCATGTCGCGTCCGAGACAGCGACATTCAAGCCCGAACAGAGAAGAATCGACGTCAGCGTGATTTATACAAAAAACTGCAGTGATGGCTATGCTGGTCCTTAGTCGTTCCCTAATGACTTTGCGACGTCTAACTACATGACAATTGAAAATATCTCCAAAATAAAGGCAACACGCTGCTGGCCCTCCATTTCTCGGAATGGCGTCGCATCTCCACACGCCGCTACAGCAAGATCAAGCCAGCCACAATCGGGATTTACAGCTAGTACAGGTCTGTGTGGACGCTTCCTTTAGAATCAAAAACTTCCTCAAAACAACTGAGTAGATAAACGCCAGAAAAAACAACACTGGATCGTCTCCGCCTCTCGGGGTGACATCGCTCACGCTGTGCTGCTAGAGAAAGATCTGGCCACGACAACCACAAGTAAGTTTCAGTTTGAGGATCCACAGCAAGGACAGGCCTGAAGAAGCGCTTTCGCTTTGGACTTGGAGGCGAAAGAACCTTGCATGACTAACCACTGACTTGTTTTCGTAAATCTGATCCAGTTCCGACGCGTTCAAGAGATTCAGTGACTTCGGAGGTTCATGGAACACCCGGTGTGGCAGCTCTTGTTGCCGCTGTCTTTGTTTCACCACTACTTCTGCTATATACGATTAATCGTTGTTGATGCGCATGAATAGGTCGTTTCGAGGAGCACTTTCAATAGCAACAAGCTACTTTTGGTATTCCAAAAGGGAGCTAGAGGTCTATCCTCAATAGAAGCGGAAAGGCAGCTTCAGTCTGCCGAGGCGCCCCATGAACCTGCGGCATTTCTTCTTTTTACACTTCTATGAGGGTTGTTTTTGTCGCTTCTGAGTTTTGTCTAAATGTCGTACGTTGTTTCTCTTTACCGCGGCGCCGGTGCGATAAAGTATCAAGGTGGAACATTAGATTAGCTGCTCCGACATCAAACAAGCAAATCAATGTACCGATCGAACCCGGCGAACAATTAATACGCGGGCTTGTACTCAAGTGTTATATTAAGAAAGGTGGTCGCTATATGTATTTACACATAGTGCAACGCAAGTCGTAGCTTATCCGATAAAATCTTGCACCTGTGTGCGAAAAATATCTCGATTTTTTGTACTGCGTGATTGTAGAAATAGAAAATTCTGTGTACTTCAAAAAAGTTTCATTGAAAAATTCGATGTGCGTGCTCTTCACGAAAATGAAAATCTTGCTCTTGTTCTTGAATGTTGATGATGATTTACTTACTGGTCGCTTTGTTAGCGCTTTTTGAGTCCGTCGATAGTTCAACCAGTCAAAACTTCTGTCGGAACTTCAAGACGGTACCTACTAGGGAGAATTTTTGGGACGTTGACTTCTACGAAAATTCGCGCGGTTGTATCAGGGAGTTTCGGGATCCTGTTTTCGTGGGAGCTTGGGCGGCGTGCCGGAACCTTGGTTGCTTCTACTGCCGCTGCCGGAGGAACTGCCGTAGCTGTACCAACCCTCCCACTCCTCGTTCTGACTTTGCGTCCAGTTTTGTCCGCCACTGGAATAGCTGCTTGAGGAAGAGCTTTTCTTTTCCCCACTCTGCGACGGGCTGCTGCGACTGCTGCTGCTGCCGTCCCAGGGGACATCCGACTTGTGACGACTTTCGAACCACTTTTTCATCTCTTCCCCCATTTCTCCAGCAGTTTCAAAATACTCCCGCCACTGTGTGTCGGTGTACCCTCCTGCACCCCCGTATTTCTCGTACTCCGGACCCCACTGCTTTCTCCAGTTGTCGCTGCCTGAGTCTTGTTTCTTGCTACTGCCGCTTGTAGTTGTACCACCTCCGACCGCCGCCATGAGTTCCCCCAGCGCTTCGTCGGAGTCCGGCGAGTCTGGACTCGGTTCGCGCTTTTTGCTGGCCTGCGCCGCCTATGCATTGCAAAAGTACGAAGATCCCACTAGTAGTACAAATCGCATGACAAATTCATTTTATATTTTGCACGGAAGAATAAAGTTGCAAACTATACACTTGTCTCATGTTGGTCATGCGGAGTCGAGTAGGAAAGCGGATCTGTGAAGAGGCATCATTGCAATGAGTACAGCGAGATGTTCGATAAGTAAGTACTTTTGCATTGGATACCGCCAGCGCGTCGTCGTCTGGATCGTGAAAGCCAGTTTCCTCGTCGGCCTCGTCGCCCACCTCCAGCACGTCTTCGATTCGCATAAGTTCTGACTTCGGCGAAGCCTTCTCGTGCTTGTCGGGGTGCTCCCAGTTGTTTTCGCCCGCTTTCTCGAAAATCTTCCACGACAACGTCTGCGGGTTCTCCCTGTCGTGCGATCGAGAAACAAACGTGACTTGAGAATTTTTTGATAAGAATGAGTCGAAGAAAGTGAAAAACCATGGGAGACAACAGACCCTCAAGTGACCATTTCCTCAGCTGCGCTGCAGGCGCGCCTCGACGCCGAGAAAATCCTAGTTCCGCGGTGAATCTTGGTTGAGCACAACGAAAAAGATAGGGACACACAATGGAATATCTTTGAGGATGAGCGAAAATATAACGCACAGCGAAATAGAAGGTCAGTAAGCAGTACCTTCCGGGCTTGCAGTCGCGACAGAGCCACGTCTCCCACATGTAGCTGCTATAGAGCTTGTTCAGCTTTAGAGCGTCTGCGTCCTTGCTTGTTGTCCACCACATATGACCTGGTGTGATAATTGATAATCTTCCTATTTTTTTTACTCGAGATGTTGAGCCTTGCTGCAGTCGAGCCAGGTGAAGAAGACTTTAATCGTGCTGCACACCATTCGACGTGGCGATTCATTTTGATTTTTCCACTTGTCACTGCAACTTCGACATAAACACTGACATCACAACCAGAGGAGTCGCAGTCTCGTCATCACCTTGCTTCTAGTTCAACATTAGAGGCAGGTTGTTAGTTATTCTAGGAGTTGTGAGTGTGTAGTTTAGTTCTTGTACCTGGTGGCATCAGATCCCGTGCGGTTCTGGTGATTTTTTTGCCGCAGTTTCCGCACCAGTTGGCCAGCATGGGGTATCTCTGGTACTCTTCGCGATTCGTGTTGGGATTCATCCGGTACCAGTCCTGCTTGCACTGGAGATTCGCCACCTTGTGTATGTCCACCGCTATTCTGTACGGGTGCACGTGCTCCAGCTCCTCGATCAGTTCGTACCTTCTGGCACTTTTTGGATCCATGTCTTTTGTCGACACGGCGGGACATCTCTGGGTGAAAGTGACATTTCTCGACAAATGCTTTTCCAGCTTTCGGCGGGCTTCGATCAAAGGAGCGTCAGGCTCGGCAGGAAAGACCTGGGGTGCACCATAAGTTATTTGATGTACGAGATTGAGACTCTGATGCATGTATATTCATATGAGGTTGAAGACGGTGATAAAATTGCAGTCTTTGTTTAAAGTAGCAGACAGAGGCACTAAATCAAGATTTTTTATTTGGAATACATAAAAACTACGCAAGGGTACAACCATGACGACTAAAAAGCTGCAAAATTCAAATATCGTTTCTACCGATTCTGGCAGATCCGACATGAGGAAAGACACCGCTTCGCCGATGTGCGTGTGGTGGTTTTTGAACTGCACGCTTTCGAAGGTGAACACCACCGGGGAGAGGCGGTTGCTGGATAGCGGGTCGGGTCCGTACGCTTTCGATCTGCGTCTTTTGTGCAGCACCATGCGCATCAGAATCTCGGCGAGGTTGTCCAGCGTCGTGTCTCCGCGCACGAACGCCTCGGAGCGCACGTCCCTTGCTGTCTGGCAGTGCACGGAGGACAGAATGTAGTTCGTGGGCAAAAACTTGCCGTAGTCGTGGTTTCGCGTGTCGTCGATCTCCGCGGCAAAAGTACTAGACGATGAAGAGGACGCTGGAATTACAACATTATCAGCCGCGCTGCCGGTAGCCGCACCATTTGTCGTGGTCGCGTTGAATTCGCTATCATTCCGTCTTCTTCGCTGATGCCTGTCCGCGAACAGTTTCAGGTCTTGGTCTTCTCCGCCGTCCTCGCTGAGCAATGCGTAGCCGGAGCTCGCAGCAAGCTCGTCGTCGCCGTCGAAATCAGTTTCGCTTTCTGACTGCGCGTCATCTCCTGCACCCGTGATTTGCTGCCAGGCCTTGCTTTTCCTGTTTTTTTCTTCTTTTTTCGCGATGATTTCGTCCGCTTCGGCGTGCATATTTTGCAGATATTTCTTCCAATCTTCATCCTTAGTCATAGCCGCAATCTTCTTTACCTCGTCATCCATAGTGGGCTCGCCGCGCAACGCACGGATGACTCCACCCGATTTGGCTTTTTCTACATTCTTGCCGGACGGTGGTAGATGATCGGGAGCTCCTGCGACCTTGTCGAAATCATCAGGCAGCTCGTATTCATCGTCGCCTGCTACCATCTGTATCATCCGGTAACGCTTGCTGTCCGGCTCCGAAAGCGAATCGTCCTCGTCGTCCTCCTCTTTTCGCTTGGGCGAGGAAGTTTTTTTCGGCTGGTTCAAGATCGACTTCGGCGTCTTGCTCACGGGGGGCGTTAAAGATATATTTGGCGGCGTCGCGGACGGATTTATTACTTCCTCTTCTTGATCCTCATCGCCAAAAATATTCTCCTCGTCAGAAGAAGGTGAAAGTTCGTCGCGGAAAACAGGGCCGGGCTTGATCTTGTCCCTGGGATACCTTCCCGTCCGCAGCATCTCCTTCGTGAGCCAGAGCTCCGGCTCCTTGCCACCGCATTCGTTCTGCACATATTCGTCGTACTCCTTTTCGATGGAGAGGAGAAACCGCTCATACGGGTCGTCTTCTTCGGAATCGGAGTCGCTCGAACTGTCCTCGTCTGCTGCCGCGTCACTGGATGCCGCGGACTCATCCACTGGTGAAACAGGTGATACTGCTGTAGTTGTAGCATTATTTAAAGCCAACTGCTGCCGTCTCGAGGTGGAAGGGGGTTTGCAGGATGGCAAGAGATTCTTCGCTGGCAACATCAGGTCATTTTCGTAGTAGTACGCATGCCAATACTTTCGTTTGTCCATCAGCCGCCTGGTAAATCTCCGCTGCACATGCAGCGTTTTCTCACTCAGGAGGGCCGCTGCACTACTTTGTTGCTCTGCGTTTGGACTGCTGGCCGCAACCTTTGCCGCGTGCTGCAAGTCCGGGGCGTTCGCAAAAATTTTCATCCGAGCGGCCTCAACTTCTTCTTCGCTCAACTTGGCCTTTTTCTTTTTGATCAAGTACAGCCGCATCTTCTTCCACGCCTTCTCTTCCGCCTTGAAGGCCCCCGGATACGCCTGAAAGTAAGCGGATTTTTCCTTTTCCTCGCTTGCTTGCTCCAGCAGCTGCTTCTCTTTTTCCGCTTTTTTCTCCGTGTCGTAGAAAGGAACCAAAATGTCGATCCAGGGCAGCGTGGACGGGTGCGGCTGCTTTTCGGCCCAATACCTGTCCTCGTCCGCAGCCGAGCCGTCGTCTTCGGGTGCGTCGTTGCTCTCGACCACTTGCAGCAACTCGGAAATGATCGAGTTCGCTCGGAAATCGACGCTGTTGGTCGTGTCGTAGGTGTCCAGCGGGCTCGCGCAGAACCGATCGAAAAACTCCGGGCGAAAAGTGAGGTCGACGCCCATCTTCAGCAGCATGGTCTCCACGGACTCGCGCTCGAGCCGCGTCCGATCATTCACTAGGGCCTTTCTGGCCTCTCGGACCTGTGGGTTGTAACAGCCGTCAAACGGACCGCCGCGACGAGCCGCCACTGCAACAGCAGCTGAAGTTGTATTTCTACTAGAACCTGCCTCGTCAACATCAGCATCTTCCTCGTCTCCATCATCTTGTGTTCTGTCGTGAAGCGCCAGGGGGTGATATCCTTGAGCAGTCGCGAGCGTCGATTTCCTGTCCTGCGCCGCCTCATTTCTCAAAACGTTCCGAGCTGCGTGCGATTTGCTGCCGAACTTGGTAAGCAGCTCTTCCTCCGAAATCATCGTGAAGCCTTCCACTTCGTCCCTCGCTGTCGTGCTATCACTGCCTCCGTCCATAGCGATGTCAGCATCAGAAAAACACGCCCCCTCTGGTATCACATACTCGTCGTCGTCGCTTGATGAGTCACCAGTCACAGGCTGTCCAGTCGTGTTTCCTGACTTAGCTGCGAGGCCGGCCACGTCCTTTTTTGGTCTTGGCGACGATCCCTTTCTGCTCTTGTTTTTGGAAGAGCCATCCAGTGCAGGAGCCTCTTCTTCGGCCACCTTGCCTTCGAAAACTTTGTTCAACGCGGCCGAAATCTCGTCTTCGGGCACGACTTTCTCCGACCCCGTGATCCACTCCAGCGTCGGGAAGAACTCACTATCTTCTTCCTGCAGAAACAACTCCGGGAAATTCCAGTCCACTAGATGCGCCTCGAACAAGTCCCGCGTTAGCGGCTCCAGCCTTCGCTCCGCGACACGCTGGATCAGTTGTGATTGCATTTTGTCCATGCGCTCCGCCTCTGCTGCCTTCTTATGCTGCTTCATAGCGGTTAGGACCGGAACGGACTCCTGGAGAAAAAACGCGCAATTTTTTTGCTCCCGTTTCTTTCGCTTGAGCCTAATGTTTTTCCTCACCTCTGGGTCACCGTCATCGCTGTTTTCGTCGCTGCCTTCCGTTGTACACAGCTCAGCCGGAATGTTTCTTTCCTCTTTCACCGTGTTTAGCTTCAGGTCCACAGCGATCACCTCTTGGTTGTGCTTGATTCCCCTGACATCGTCCCCAGAATCATAGAACTCCGTAGAATCCGACTCGTCAGCGAACAAAAGCTCAGACCTGCCTGCTTTTCCTTGTGGTACCTCCAAGCGCTTTGCAAGTTCTCGCTTTCTCGCTTCTTTCACGAAAATCTCTTTCAGCTCTTGGATCTGCTCAGCTGTCACGTCAGCGACGTCGCGGCCTGCGTCCATCGCGATCTTCTGGGCCAAAAGTTGCTCCGTGCAGGCGATGACCCGCGCACTTTTCTCCGTCTTTGTGAGCCTGGGATTCTTATCAAAGAACTTCACCAACAAATCCAATTGCTCCGCTGCATAGTGGCAAAGATCCACGGGCGTGCTGATCAATTTCGCATCTAATAGCGCTGCCGGGGACATCTTCTCTTCCTTTGCGAATCTGTCGAAAACCCTCTTGCTTTGACTTACGTATTTTTCACATTCGCGGTCGGCGCGCTTGATTTGTTCCGGATCCGCAGTTGAGGCCGTCGCCGTGGCTCCACTAGAGGCGTGTTTCGCGAGTCTTTCCTTCTCGTGCTTATCCTTCTCTTTATCATAGTCGCTGTTGGAGGGTATCATCAGCTGGAGAAAGCAGCACGCACGAATCAGGTCGCTCTCGCAGTCTTTGCTGGACTGTAGAGGCGCTGCATCGATGTCACGGATGGTCTTCAAAGACTGCAGCAAATTCTTCTCATCTTCTCGCGAAAATTCTTTCGGCCAGGTGACGCTCGCACGCTGCTTCTTAGGTGGGTCTACGAGGCTGTAGGGTTGCCTGGCAGCATTTGCCGGGTCCAGCAAGTCAAAGACGTCATCAAATTCCGGAAACGGCATGTCTGGGCGGTTGGTGGTGGCGTACCGTGTCGTCAGTGACAATTTTGGCACGTTGTCGTCGCTTTTATCCAAATCGCTTGCTTGGTTCTTTACCAAACCTTTCTCCCTCGCTTCTCGGATCTCCTTCTGCATCGTCGCCTCATCGGGGGCAGCTTCGATTGTGGGCAACCCCGTTTCCGGACAGATCTTCGCCGCTGGCTCCTCCCGACCCATCTGCAAGGCTTCCCGCGCATCCAGCCACTCAGCAAGGAGCGGAAGCTTGGATTGTTCGCATGCTTCCTCCCCGAGCACCGCCGCGGTTTTCCACTTTGCGTCCCAGTGCCGGAAGAAGTTCTCCATGCCCTGCACCAGGGCCATGTCCGTCTCGATTTCCTTGTCCTCCTCCGGTTTTTTCTTGGCGAACTTTTCAGTCTCCTCTTTGGCAATCGGCAAGGCTCCGCCCCCCGCGTCCGCGCCCAACTGCCGGTCGATGGTGTCGATCTTCTCGCCGAGTTCGCCGAACTGCCGTCGTTGCGCCCACTTTCGGAAGGGAAGCGACAGGTTTGCGTAGTCCCCGTCGACATCCAGGTCCGGGTCGAAGTCGTCAGCGTAGAGGTCTTCGTCGTCGCTCTGCGGCTCCCGCCCGTCCAGCTCGTCGTTCGCGTCGTAGCAATGCAGCAGTTCGACGAAGTCCAAAACCTCGTGCTGCTCGGAATCTTCCAGGTCCACGTCGCTGCTGTCCGAGCTGCTATCCGAGCTGGAGGAGGAGGTCGAGGAATCACTACTCTTCTCGTCTGAGTCCGCCTTGATTGTCGTACGCCCCTCGGCTTTTTGCAGCTTCCTTTCCGATTTGTCTTGTTTTTTGTTTTTCTTCAGTTTGTGTTCTTCCCTCTTACGTATTCTCTCCGCCTCCGCCTCGGGGTTCGCCTCTTTTTCCTCTTCTCTCTTCTTCTTTTTTCTTTCTTCCCACTCCTCGTATGTTATCTCTTCGCCCGCAAGAATTTTGTAGGCAACCTCCACTTCCGGCGCCTTTTCCCATCCATTCTCTGCGATGAACTTCTCAGCCGAGACTTTGTCGTCCTTTAGCATCTCGGTAAATAGATGATACGCAACCTTTGTCGGCTTACGTGCTGTCCCGTCCTTGTGAGGGGGCCCGTGGAAGTTGCGAGTGCATCCGTTAGCGCTTATCGCGAAGGACCACCCTGCAGGGAAGAAAATATGGAATTCAAAAACTCGGGCTTACATTCTTGCAGGAGAGGAGCAGAAGTAATTGGCTCTAGGTCCTCGTAGTTGGGGACACACAAGCATGTTTTTCCACGAACATGGATGATACTTGTGCGGGTTGCAAGGACATTAGTCACAGAGCAAGACCCGTCTGTCCCGCAACACATGGGAAAATGCAAATCCAAATCAGGAACAGCCGGGCACACACCACTCTGCCCTGGTTGGCAGGTCAAGTGAGATTTCAGAGCTGCAGCGAACGACAACAACGCAAATGCTATACGCAACATGGAAGTTGTAACCATGTTTGCACAACTTTTGTCTGCTTTTAGATCCCAACTCCTGCACTGCTTGCCAAAGTGTTCGGATGATAATTGTTGATGTGCTGCCAATTGAATGTGGTTGGTTTGGGCAAGCGTGTGTTCATAACCTTCATTCCCTTGCCTTTTTCCTTTTTTTCCCTGGTCCCTGGCTTCGCCCGATTTTCTTTGATTCTATTTGGGTCCTTCATTCTTTCGTGGTACCACATTCGCTTGCCCTCGAAGATTGCTTTCGCTTCGCGGATCTCCTTGAAATTTTCACACTGATGCTCCTTCACAAACTGGTCGAACTCTTTTCGCTGATATGTCATCATAGCTGCAAAGGCGTCGCCACGGGTCATGTATTTGCCTGTCGAAGTTTCATATTTCGTTCATGAAAGTAGAATTTGGCTTTCGCTTTGGCATTCGAATTCTATTTGTCGTGCTTGCACCAGCACCTTGCTTGCGGAAATGAAAGCGACCAAGAACAAGTAGATCGTCTATAAACGCACAGTATCTTCTTCTAATATATAAATAGTAAATCTCAACACTGGGTACAACTTGGAGCATCACATCTATTCATCTTCAATCAAGTACCTTCATATTTCCAATTTTGTGCTCCGGGTCCTTCGTAGCAGAATCTTGGATTCGCTTTCAAATACACCCAGCCGGGAGGCATCGCCCAAAGGTCGGGCACCACAGTGCCTTTGAACTTCAGATTGTTCCAATCTATGGTTCCATCGGCTTTCCGGAGCACTTCTTCTCCATATTCATTTGTTTCCGGCGGTGAGGACGAAGGCGATCCCACCGGCTTTTTGTCGTCGGAAGATTTCCCGGTTGCAGCAGCGCCCGCAGTCGCAGACGAGGAGGAGGATGCAGGTACCGGCTTGCCTTTGCCGGTCATCTTGTTTCCTGCGGTGGAGGAGGAGGAGGACGACGGCGCGGCGGGCTCCTGGTTGCTTTTCGAAAGGACATTCTTGTCCAAGGCTGGCTTGCTGCTCGTTGCGGTGACGGTTGCAGAACCTGACGCCGAAGCAGCCGCCGAGGCAGAGGCTTTATTTTCCGGAGGCGGGGGGGAAGGCTTGCGTGCAGTAGTTGCGTTCTTCGCATCTTGCTTGCTGGATGCCTGATCAGAGGATGAAGCGGAAGCTGTGCCAGTTTTTGACGGCTTCTTGTCCTTCGCCTTGTCATCCTCGCTGGAGGAATCGCTCGACGACGAGTCGCTCGAGTTACTACTGTTGGACGAGCTACTGGACGTGCCCTTCTTGTTGCTGGTGCCTTTGCTCGAGGTTTGCTTTGTTGAGCCAGCCGCCTTACTCTTTTTCTCGTTGTTTCCGCGCCCTCCTGGTTTCTTGCTTTCGTACGTCCAGTAGTCGTCTTCCTCGCCCTTCAGAATCTTGTAGGCCAGCGCTACTTCTTTCACGCCGTCGAAGCCGTTTTCCTTCAAAAACTTTTCTGTCTTGGCTCGGTTGTGCTGTAGCATATCCGCGATAAACTGGTAGCTCGATGGGTGCCTCCTTCTGTCCTTGCCGTCGGGCTCGGTAGGGTGCCCTAAGTGAATTTTAGTTGCAGTTGCTGGTAGAAGTTCAGTTGTCAACAGGATGCAGAAAAATCAGCTTTAAATCTGGGTTTGATGCTCTGTTTCGAAAGTTATGCAACATGTCTAGTGCATAATCGTAGACAAACTGAAACTATGTGTATGTGAAATTCTTCCACCGGGGACGAACTGAGATACAGAACGGATGCTGCTTGTTGATCATGATGTTCAAGATTGTCATACCTTTGTACGGTGGTCCCTCGAAGATCTGCGATGAGGTTGTTTTCACAAATTTGAAGCCGTCAAAGAGCTTCTCGTTCTGGTATATCCAGTTGAATTTGGTCGCAGGTGGTTGAATGCGACGGGTGTCTACTTTTTTTTTCTCTTTTGGCTCCTTGGCTTTCGCCTCCCCAGGTTTTGCCCGAACGTTCTTTACCTGAAAGGAGAAGATCAATCGCAATGACCACGATTTTTGAAAGGCGACCCTGCGCGGACTTTCCTTGAAGAAAAAAAAACTTTACAAAATTCAACCTCAGTTGCGTTTGCGTTTCTAGAAAAGCACAGGAAAGACAAAAAAACCTTCGTTTTGTCAGCTTGTCGCTCTTTGAACCAAGGACGCAGCCCAGCTGCGACCACCTCCGCCTCCTGGATTTCCTTGTGGTTTTCCGCTTTGTGCAGCTTAACATAGGTCCTGTACTGTTCCAGCTGGTAGAGCTTCATGGCCGCATAGGCATCAGCCTTCGTTATATATTTCCCTGTAAATAAGGTAGTCGTGGATTTCGTGGATTTTATTCTTGCCGGGTCCCACCAGTCTTTTTGTTGTATATGTAATACATTGGAGGACGACGACGACGTCACTACAGAGAGGCAATTCATATCCGGGCGTGGTTTGTCATTCTCAATTTCACGCTTTTCCTCTACAATAAATAAATTGGTATCACCAAACTGAAACCAATCAAATTATTCAATATGGATGAACCGCAACAACGGAATGCAGAGCAATGATGCTGTCAGAGAGGTCGTGTCGGGTTCTTGGTCGGCTACTTAAAGCTAAAGCACGTAGCCTATCAAAGTTAAACTCCTTGTTTTACCAAGACACACTTAAGTCTTATTCTTTTCATAAAAAACTATGTACCTTGATATTTCCACTTCTCGTGCCCTGGTCCTTCGTAGCAATACTTGGGGTTGTGCACCTTCTCCACCCAGCCTTTGGGCATCGGCCAGACCTGCCAACTTGGGAGCTTATGGCTTTAAAGCACCCTATCGTTCGCCGGAACTGGCGCGTTCGATATCGACTCTACAGTTACAAAAGGGTTACGAAAGAACATATACACAATGATCATCATCCATGCAGCTTTTACTCTTACTTTCTACATACAGTGCGTGTCTGTTCGCAGCAGCTCGTGGAGCTGGTACATGTAAGAGTAAGATGAAAGCATATTCATACATAATATAATCGCGAAGTCGCATACACTAAAAAACGCGTTTTGCCATTGGATGGTGTCGTGTGACGAGTGACTGGCGTGCAGAGGCTCATTCGAAATCGAAGTCGAACCAGTGGCCGGTCAGCGATAGTCAGATTGCAGCTCGTATGCCTGCGGCCCCTTAAACTTCATATTGACATAGTCAATCTTCTCTCCGTCTCCGCCTTGCTTCGCCATTTTGCTTTGGATGTGCGTGTACCACTAAAACGGAGGAAAGATAATGCTCATCAAAGAAGAGACATGCTAACCGACGACGAAAATGTCGTGGTATTGAGGCCCAAGAAGGCGCTCCAACAAAGAGTCTGAAATATAATTCAAACAACTACCAGGCAAACAGAAATAAATAAAAGGCGGTTAGGCTACGACTGCTCTACTAGCACTAATTCAAAAATCGAAGTAAATAATTTGTTTCTTCCAGTTTCGCCTGTTCAGTTTCTTTGCGAGTGGGCTTAAGGTCTATCTTAATGTTTGACAAAAAACATAAACTCAAAGACCTTGGTGATCTCGATCTTAGAAACTCAAGAACTGCTTGTCATGGGAGATCAACTTTTTGCTTGATGTGCTGCGAAAATTCAATACTGCTTTGTTCACATCACAACTATTTTAACTATTTTATTTTAAATACAAATCACAAAGCTAAAACAGCGAGAAAGTTCGGTAACTTATTGGAAGCTGCAAGAAAGAGGTGATCCGGTGCCGGCCAAGTTGGACCATAAATAAATTTCTTTGCGCTACGTCTAAGTTCGTTGACTTTATTCAATCGCCGTCCAAGAAGATCACATCTCCATGGCCTCCATTACATCAGAAAATACGGTCTTTCTACTTCATCATGCTATCGACTGTGCTTTGATGGATTGATCCGCGCTGACAACACAGTTGGAAATCGAGATCTTCAATCATTTTCGAAGATAGAAAAAATAGAAGAATCGTTTCCAGCGACCAGCCGACGCTAAAGTCTAGCTCTTCGATTCTGAAGTCGATGGAAAGCCGCTGCGGGGCAAATCAAAAAAAAAAAAATTAACACGCGCGGAGAGAGTGGATGCAGATCGACAAGTCAAAAACGAGAGAGAAAAAGCAGGACGTGAAATCCTCTCGACCACGCATCACCACGATTTTCGTTTTACACCAGCTGAAGCAGTGCAGCTGCTACATCCTTCATTCGCCCAGTATGCGATTTATTTCATACGCTTGCTTCTACTTTCTCATCTCAACCCAGAGTACAATGCCGAGTATTGTCACGACTGCGCCAACAAAAACCTAGACGGCGAAAACAATGCGCACCATGGGTGTCGACCTTTTCGTGGATGCCTACGGCCACAATGACGGAATCTACCGGGAGTGCCCACGGCCAAAATGATGGAACCGCCAGGCTGTATTCCCTATCGACTTCTTCTCCAACTGTATGCGCGTACGCTTCCCCGTCCGTCTTTGCGCGTGGGCGACGACTCTTTTTTTATCTACTTTCTTCGCCCTCCGGTTCCAGGCCATCTCGTGCCACCTTCCTCTTCTTCTTGTTGAGGACTTCCCGCGCCTCGTCAGTCATCTGCTCCTCCTTCGCAGCGATTTTATACGCGAGCAACACCTCGGGTGCGGTTTCCCAGTCGTTGGCTTGGAAGAACTTTTTCGCCGCATCCGGGTCGTGCTCTATTAACTTCGATAAGATGGTGTGCTTGTCCAGCTGCCCCCCTCTTGTACTCGATTTGCAGCCAGCGGCTGTGAGGCTGGCGGTTGGCGGCACAGCGGAGGAAACAGCCGGCTTTGTGCCTTTCGGCTCGACACTGTTGGTCGGCTCCAGGTCCACGTCGCTGCTGTCCGAGCTGGAGGACGAGAACGAGGACGAGGAGGAATCGCTGCTGGGCTTGGGTGAATTGTCTCGTCTCTTCTTCTCGTATTTTATTCGCATCCGCTTCTCTTCCTTTGCCTTTTCGCGAGCGAGTCTTCTTTTCTCTGCGAGTCTTCTTTCCTCTGCGCCCTCCGGGTCCGCGGCGTCGCGCTCAAGCTGCAATTGCTTCTTTTTGGCTTCCCATTCCTCATACCTCATTTCTTCTTTCGCGACAATTTTGTAGGCGAGTTTTACCTCGGGCGCGTTTTCCCACCCATTGTCTTCAATGAACTTCTTGGCCACATCCGGGTCATGCTCTATTAGCTCGGTAAAGAAGTGATACGCCACCTTCGTCGACGGACGCGGAGTGCCATCTGTTGTTTTGCGATTATGGAAAATTGTGGTCATGAGTATTGTTTCTGTAGGGTACGGCTCTGTAGCAGACGCGCTCCTGCAGGAATCAAAAAACACACTGACTTCTACTTTCCACCGCACAAAACCAGGAATCACGGCTTCCTCCGTTCCGATACCGTTCAGCGTGGCGCGGGAGCGGGTCAGAAGGGCATACAACAGGAAGAAATCAATGCAAATTACCCCACATTGTCATTGACATCCACATATTACAAACCGTAAATCTTAATCTTCTTAAATCAAAGAACTTTGTTCATTAGAGCGAGTTGGAGTACCTTCGTGAGGAGGGCCGTGAAAAAAACGGGACGTATTTTTTTGCTCGAAGCTCCATCCTTGCGGAAAGGTGATATGTTGGAAGTTGAATCTGGTACACATCGGATTTTTCATCTCCTTCAATTCTCCAGGTTTCGCTCGCTTTTGCCCGATCATGTCCCGAATTTTCCGGCCGAACCTTGTACCAGGAGCGCGTGCCCGAGATTTTCCAGCCCGTGGCAATCAGCCGGGCTTCCCTTATCTCGCTCAGGTCTTCGCTGGAAAGGAAAACAGAAACACAATGAAACTTTTTTTACAGGAAACACAAGGAAGAAGAGAAGAAGGAAAGCCGATCAAACAAGTTAAGTAGAAGTACAAATGAGGACCTTATTGCGAAAAAGAGTCAGTGTCTGCACCGGTGTAATAGATCCTCTCAATTTCAACATCGAGTACCCAAGCACGAGTAAGTTACGGAGGCATTGCTAAAATTCGAGACGAAATTCTTGCCTCTGCTTTTTTTCGAAATCCAGAAGTCATGAGAAGGTAATAAAGTCGGTCTAGTTGTACTATTCCGAGCCGCGGACGCGGACCGTGCTCCGAGGCTGAACAATAGACGTGTGCGATTCTGGCGGCACTAGCGTTGGACGATGAATTCGTCCTGGTCCTAAAAGTCGATATGCGTCTGCCAAACAAAGTCGTCCAAAATCCTAACATCGCTGTCGTCGTTGCTTTCCTGAGCGGTCTGCCTCCTAGGGGGGGCCAACTCTGTCGTGCGGCGATTCGCGGTCCACCTCTGAGTCGCAGATTTGTCGTCAAAATATCTGCAGCCTACTAGTAAACGTCTGCAACGAAGTCAAAAGATCCTAAACTACGTAGAAAGTGGTCGCCCTCGTCTATGAAGCCTAAAAAAAATGAAAAGTTCCTGTAACCTCCTTTGAGGCACGGTATGCTGGTCGTTAGACATGACCGGCGAGTAAGTAGCAGTCCTAAATGTTGATCCTAAATGAATGAAGTTGCTTAACTTTAACCTAGGTGGCGAACAGAGCCCGAAAAGCTTTTCTTTACTGGTACAATCAGGGAAATTTTTCTTTGTAGTTGTTCCTTACCTTGCCGAAATATATAATTTGATTTTCGGTTGTCGCGTATTTCTTCGCGCTGTCGTGATCGATCCCTATCTTTAACCTCGATCAACTCGCGACCATTTGCTGTATTCGTGCGGAAATGTGCTGGGCCGGTAGTCGGTAGACCAGGTTGTCCCATATGGAGGCGCCGAGTTTTTCTCTGTAACCGAGCAGTATCTCCCGGAACTCGTTCCTCAGGAGCGGGGATTCCTTGCCGTCAAACAGTCCAATGTTGAGCAGCAGGAGAAACAGATGCGAGTACCGCGTCACGTCGATGTTGCCGGTCCCGTTGCTGGGGCTCTGGTTGGTGTTGTTATTCCCATTTCCAAGCGGTGAGTTCACCAGCACCTCCGGGTCGAGCTTCACCAACTTGCAGAACCCCAGGAAGGCCCGCATTTTCTCGTGGTCTATTCGCGCGTCCTTCATGGCGTACAGCCACGGCTGGACGAAGGTGGAAAACTGCGGTCGCACTTCCGCCGGACACACGGACGCCAAACGGCCGAGGGTGATGCAGTTGTTGATCATGTAGTGGTCGATCGGGCCGCTCCGCGCGTTGTTGTTAAACCCGCTATCGTTCCGCCACTGTCCGTTCAGTCCCATGCCATTCATTTCGCGGATTTTCTGTTCCCTTGCGCTGGTCGCGTGCTGGATGCACACGACTAAGGTTTCGGTGATGGGACCAACGTAGGGCTGGATTATCTCCTCTGGTACTTGGATACACACCTCCCCGATCGCCCACGAGGCGTTGTTCGCCACCGACGGGTTGACGTGGATCAGGTTCTGCTTGCACGCCGGCATCAGCTGGGGGAGATGCGGGATCAGGAACTCGATGCAGTACTTCGCGCACTCGCCCATCAGGGCGAAAGCGCACTGCTGGGACCCGAAATGGAATCCGTTGTTGTTGTTTGCTGTGAGGATCAAGGGGAGCACGGCCGCAAAATTTTGGTTTTTCAGCACGGCCGAAATGTCGCGGCCGAACCCGTCGACCATGGCGGAAAGTAAATCAATGGACGTCGCCATGATGTCGCGCTCCGGGCGCTCGGCCGTGTTCGGATTTTCCTTGAACTGTACTTCCTGCTGTAATGTCGTCTTGATGATGATGCCACACTTCTCCACAACCTTGGAAGCGAGGGGGGCGAAGGAGGCACCTGTTGTAGTACGGCGAGGTGGAAAATTTGATGGTGTTACTGATTCTACATCTAGAAGCAGATCGTAGATGTCGTGAAGTGTAGCATGATCCACACGTCAACATTGCGATTGCCCTGTGGTTCAGGAGAGGAAGAGATTTCCGTGTCACACACACACCCGGGCCCAGCACTTAAGAAAAGCAAAGGCTACCAATTTGCAAAAAATATCATCTCGCAAAAATCAGAATAAATCCCTAGTACTACTTACAGATACCCATGTTTTCCACGAGCGCCATCAGGCACTCGAAGAGTGCGATCGTGAGCTTGTCGTTTACGAGCAGCTCGTCGAACTTTTTCCCGACCGGCGGCAGGAGAATCTGCAAGTATTGATCGTCGCGGATCCACCACTTCAGCGTCCGCACAAATGCCGCGGTGCAGTCGAAAAGGACAAACAAGTTTTTCATCTGGTACGTCTGAAAAGCCTTGTCAAGTGTATGCAGCACGTCTGTGGCAAACTCGTGAAAAATCGTCGGGTTGTTGTCGCCACCGTAATTCCCATGGTCCGGTACGGACTCGCACAGGGTCGCGAACGCGGAACAGGCGGCCTCCTGCACGCGCTTGGAGCGGTCCAGCATGCGCTGCAGGAGCGCTTTCAGAACCTCGATGGAGACATTGCGGTTCTCACACACCCAATACCCGTAGCGGGCCATGCACCTGTAGGTAGGATAGTTTTTGTGAGGCGTGAACACAAAAACAGCAAGACGCGTGTAGGAAGCATGAAAAGATCGGAAAAGCAAATAAAGGAAAAAAGAATTTGAGTTCCATTATCGTGCGCAAAATATTTATTTCCACATAAGAATACATGCGGCAATGCAGTAAAGCATGTTTGTGTGTACCAGCAGCTTATGCTTCGCAGCAACGGTTTTTCGTGGGTGACGGTTTTGGTGACAAGAAGTTCGAAAACTTGCGGAAGATGGGGACACATTAGTTCAAAGCAGCCAACTCCTATCGCACCGATGGCGAGAACCTAGTGAAGTGTTTGTTATTGATTTTCAAGTGTGACAGCACAAAAGGGTGGCTCGTAAAAACTTTTGTAACGCGAATTATTAGGCATTGTGGCAAGTTTCATTTTCATTTATCTCGACGAAAAAAGCTGGAAAATCTTCTACCGCGCTCTCCTGCGTTTCCCAATCCGTGGACTGTAAATGTGTGGATATTATTGGCAGCACCAAATCCATAACGTCTGAACCGTAGTTCGCCGCCATCGTATCCAAGGAATTTGCTGCGGCTTTTCTGACGGTCCACTCCGTGCCCCAGGCGTTGGATGGCCCACTGTCGTCGTCGTCGTCATCGCCGGCGCCGTGCTGGTTCCGCGACTCGTGGAACCGGGGCTGAATGTCTTGCTGGTGGTCTTTCGCGTCCTGATCGTCGTCGCGGTCGTACATGTTGCAGTAGTCCGTTTCGGTGTACTTCATATTTTGCAGCAAAATAGGCACTAATTGCGGCAACAGGTCCTTGATTCCGGTCCAATAATTGTCCCATCGGACCGCGGAAGACCAGAAGTCGCAGGCCTCGATGCGGATCTTCTCGTTGGGATGCTGGCTGTGCTTCAGCATGAAATTCAGCACCGTCGGGGCCTGCTTTCCGCCGATTAAGTCGTACCCCTTTTCTTTGTTCAGCAAGTGCGCCATGCCTTTTACCACACCGTGTAAAACATCGGTGTCTTCGTCCGAAGCGAGCCGCTCCACCATCTGGAAATAGGCGGGAAGAAGGTGACCTGGGGCGGTTGTGATGCGATGGGTCGAAGAAAATTTTTGTGGTCTAAGATGAACACAAGCTTACGAGTACAACTGGAAGTTCTAGAAGTCGGGCAGCGCTGGGTGGTCGTGCACTCGCACTTTACTTCCATAATTTTCAAGCATTACATTGACAAGATCTCTATGAAGATCGCATGTTGAAGATGTTGAACAATCATACGACGAAATACAACTCGAGTACAAGTTCTATACCTAGTATCTCCTGGAACGGCGAAGTTTCGAGCATTTCGGCGAGTGCAAAGTGATTTGCCAGCTGGACGGAGTACTTCCTGCACACCAGCGGGGCGGACATGTTCCCAAACTGAAACACGGTTGGCAGTAGCTTTTCCGCGCAGAACTGCAAAAATTGCTTCTGCGCTTCGGGCAGGGACTCCACATCGGGCGGCCCATTACTTCCATTTATTCCGCCCCCCATCCGTGGCCCGGTGTTCATTAAATGTTGGCTGATCGCCTGCTTCATCGCGTCGCACGCGTCTTCGCAGATCTTGGTGAGGCAGGAAAATGACCCGTCTAATCTCTCTAAATCCTGCTGCTGCTGCTGCGTCAAGCTGCCGCTGCTCGAGGCGGAATTCGACGTGCCGACCTGTAAGGCGGTGACTAAGTTCCCGGTGAGATTTCCGATCGCGTCGAAGTTATTTTGCAGGTGGGTCTTCTGGATGATAAAAGTCAAAACGTTCCCAGAGGTTTCTCTTATCCTTTTGTTCGGATCCTTCACCGTCTCGACCAGCTGGTCCCGCACGGTGCGGACGTGCTGGGGGTTCAGATTGTCGCATCGGGTGCGGAAAACCTGCTTCAAAACCAACCCCGCCCGCTCCCGAACTGTCGGCTTGTTCGCCAGATTTTCCTTGTCTTGAAAAACGTACACCAGGTAGAGCAAAAGATTCTCGTGCTGGTTCAGTACCTGGAACCGCTGGACCACCTGCTGCTGGGCCTGGTTGCTCGGATCCTCGGCCAGCTCCAGGGTCTCCAGCAGGGAATTCAGGATGGACTGGTCCATGATGAATGTTGTTCTTGTAGTCGGGGGTTTTACCGGCCCTGAGGTCGTCCTCAGGATTTTTATAGTCTTAACAACATAACCAGCTTTTTTCTACTTTTCGTAGTTGTACTCGTTTCGTCAGCACGCGGGGAGGACAAGAGCTGCGGCCCCGCGATCGTTTCCACGACCTCGGTGAATAATTCTGCGTCGTCGCATCTTGATCGCGTAGATTCGGTCGTGAGGGAGAGCTGCGCCGGGATTCGTTCAAGGTAGATCGCTTTTCGTCATTATTCAAGCGCTTCGTCTGGGCGCCAGTGCTAGCCCGAGCGGTAATACGTGAGTTACTTTTATTATGGATAAAATTGAAAACCTCGAAAAACTAAAATACGGGAACTAGACCAAAATCTAAATTTCGAGGAAAAATGGGTTTGGGTATAGCGCTGTGAAACCAAAAAATGGCAAATGCGAAGTCGAAACGAAAAAATGTAATGTAACTCAAGAGGATCTTCACCTGTTCAAATCGGATCCAAAAGATCGTGCGTCCCTAGAAAACAAATTTTAGGTCTAGTGTGCGGGCGTGCGAATGGGATGAAATATACTCTTTACATGTATCGATATTGGAGATCGCTGTGAAAAACATGAAGTTCTTGGCAAGCGATCACTTCAATAGAAAACGGCTAAGCATGTAGCGAACTTACGCATGTGTTCTTGTAAGAACCGCTTTTCTTTAGATCTTTGCAGTGACAGTCTTCTCTTGGGCTCAATGTCAATACTAGATTACTGCGAGATCATAGAAAGATAAATACTCGACGTGGAAAGGAGAATGAGATCAAAGTAGAAAGTGGATCGCTGTGCTATAGCATGACGAGTTCATCTTTGAAGAGGTCAGGAGCGGCGCATTTGTCCGCTAACAAACACAGCAGCAGCTTTCCTCTAAAGACTAGCTTGCTGTAGGTCAGCTGCAGCTCCTGCTCCTCGAAGCGCTGGGTGCAGACACTAATGCTTGCATGTTTTCTTAATTTTCGAGAGTCCTGGCAACTGGTACTCTGGGTCCGTGTGTTGACTATGTTCAGTGAGTTTGCAATCGTGGACGTGTCGTGGCTTCTTTCTCGTTTGAACTTCATGCACGCTAGCTATGTACCCGGCGACACGTCCTAGGCCTAAACGTCCGATGCCGCTAGTTGTATGCTCGAAAGCTAACTATTATTTCTACATTCCGCCACACTTCCTCTTTTCATCTCGACTTTTTTTCATATTTTTCTTTGTTCTTTTTTTTTTTTTGCTGTCTATTATTCTATTTTTATTACTGTATTATATTGTCGTTACTTATTTTTTGATTATATATTTTATCTTTATCAATCTCTCTAAAATGCATTCTTTTCCTTTGCTATGACTTTTTCGTGTGATGATGAGGCTGATATCGCCATGCCTCCGACGAGCCTTGAACTAACCTTCTTTGCAAATCCGAAATCCGACGAAGTTTATTTGGAATTGACGGACCGCAATTTCAACAGTTGGGTCTGCTTCATATTTTTCATATTGAAGCTGATAGATAAACCTAAATTTGTTCTTGTTCAACGATCTCTTTACAACGAATATCGGCTGTAGATGAACTCTTCAATGATGAAGGTGTAGGTGAGGGTGACGAGCAGTGCTGATACTAATGGTGATGACAGAGCAATAGGTAGTGTACTAAAAGTCATTAGAGTCGTACATGATCATGAGTACTATCGAAGCACGGTTCATCTTTGTTTTTCCGTGTGTGATATTAAACCTTTACGTTTACAGATACCCCCAAATGTTGTAGTTGCGTTTTCGAGAGGGAGAGACTGAGATCGCGGTCCGACAAATAACAACTGGCTTGTCGAGTACGTTTTCACGGATTATACGACCGTGGCAACCAGCTTGGCGCTCCACAGACACGGTAAATGTGGGGCGCGAAGTCCAGACCCTTATCGTCGATCCCGGAGGCGTCTAAGATTCCTTTGTTGCGGTAGGGGTCCCAGTTGTTAATCACAATCAGAAGCGCGAAATACGCGCCGAAGGCCCACCACACTTTCAGTAACCTTTGCCAGCTGCAGCGGTCGATCATCTTTTTTAGTAGTAAGTATTAAAAAATGTGAATGCAAATGCTGGTCTCTCTCTCTCTTGTTGTCAATGTACTGACAAGATAGATACTGTTTCTACGTACTCCTCTGCTTCATCCCTTCTGTTCATCTACACCTCCCCGCTTGATTCAAAAGTACTTAAGTAAGTAAAACAGAAGTTCTAGCATCCCCGTACCGTGAAAAAATCCCCGACGAGCTCTCGCCATGGCACCAGGGCACAGTCTTCATTCAGGTGCACACCAAGAGTGACGACGAAGTAGGAAAGCAAGTCCGTGAGGAGAAAGATGCTGGCATAGGTCATGTACTCTCCGTCCAAGCTCGCTTGGCCCTGTCGGCTTTCCACATCGGATCGCTGGAAGCCCGGAAAGAATGGGGCGTCGCCGAACAAAATTACTACGCAGGGCGAAAAAAACACCACCGCAGCGGTAAAAATGCGTGCGAACATTCTCGACTGAAATCTGGCGAAGTTTTCTTGCTGCACGTAGACGAGTAGGGGCCTGACCCGCTGTAGATCTGCGATTGTGATTGGGCAGCGCATTTTTCGACCCGGGACGACCATGCAGGGTTCGAGGCGAGGGACCTTCCGCGCAACGATTCGGTGATTTGCGAACTGAAAGATCCGCTCGTACGTGGAAACGGTACCCGTCGAGGAGACATTTACTTGCGTGTCCTCGTCCTCGACCTCGAAAGCTTCGACATTGACGACGTCATTACTGCTCGACGCTGGTCTTCCCTGGGGATTTCGAGTGGAAATCCGCTGCTTCGCGTTCTCTTTTCGTTTGACAGTGGCAGTACCGTCGGCTGTCGTTGCGGAAATCTGTTGTATTTCGCGATTTTTATTGATTGATATTTCAGTGTCAACATTTTTGCTTTTGATTCTGTACAAACAAATTTTTAGAACATAATCATGTCGACCACGTCAGTCTCCCTCGCATAGGCATACTAAACTAGACGAGCAGCACAACAAAGTTGCGCCTACATCATGCGGGAATTGCATGTTTGTAAATACCTTCCCAGAAACGGCTGATGAAACATGAGCGTTGACGTCACGCGTGTTCGACGTATTACCGGTTTTCATCTTGTTCTCTTGCTGCGCTGCAACGGAAGTTTGTTTCGGTTTCTTGGCCGTCGACGTAGCCCCAAACGGATCAGTAGTGAGCGAGCACAACATCGCCGCCGTGGAAATGTCGTAATTGCTGTAAGACTTTCGCGGAGGAGGTGCCCCAGTCGTCCCGATCGGGCGGTGCATTTCGCCGCTACTTGAAGCCGCTGCGGAAATCCTTTTCAAGTCCTGGACAAGAGACGACCGGCGGTTTTGGTTTTGCATCTCCTCGGGCACCGCAATATTGCTGGGTTTTGCTAGGCAGCTTCTATTGTCGCCAGCACCTTCTACGGAGATTGTTTTGTCGTCACAAGTGCGGCGGTGGTTCTCCTGTTCGCTTCCAACTGAGGCATAGTCATCATCTTTAATACGCCCTTTATTGTTATTAGCTACTGCCGCTTCAAGCAAAGTCGATGCGCTGTTTGTAGATGTTTTTCCTGGTTTGTTCATTTTGCCGTCGTGGCCGTCGATTAACGATGGAACGACATTCGAGGTATCGTCAGATCCCCTGCCGTTCTGCGTCGGTTCGCCGCCGCGTGTGTCACCAGTGATTGTGTTCGTATCCAATCCGAGGCGCTGGCTTTCGATTTCGCAGTCAATTGCATACATCCAGGTCACAGGAATAGCTGTTGCAGTGTCGATGCGATTAAAAACGAAGCGGCGCGTGAAGGAATCAATCAAGCGAAACAGCTTGAACTTGGCGGGAAGCACGGTGTCCCTGTGTAGTCTTCCGTTGGTAGCATCGAGCTTCATCTTGAAGCACTGCCACTCGGCGCTGAAACCAAGTCCGAAGTGCATGATGTCGTAAAACACGTCTTTCGCGACGACAATTGCGAACGCTGACGGAGAAACCTTCAAGAGTGCGCCGCGACCGTAACCGTAGCGGTACAGGTCGAGGGCTCCATTGCAGAGGATACGAGCGAAGCACTCGAGATCGTATTTCTCTTCTGGAGAAAGTTCTTGCTCCCCCTGTAAAAAGGCCGTGGCTTTCACGAGGGAGAACAAGTACGCGGCTCCGCACTTTTTGCTCCCAATGGGAACCCAGATGGAGAAGAAAACGGTCGCAAGCAGAACTTCAAACAGGGTTTTTCGCAAGATGTCCGATTCTTCGGTCAGTGTCTGCAATGCCGGGAAGACAACGCGGAGGTACACCCCACCGACAGCTGCCCACAAGCCGTAGAGCATGACGTTCGACAGGACGGCCGCGCGCAACTTCCACGGGGCCGAACACGGCTGGATCGCGAGCAGATCAAAAAGCAACAGCAGAGGCAATCCTATGGGGCCCTTTAGCAGCGGGATTACACCACCCTGATTTTCGGTCATATGCGAGGACCAAATGCCCACGATGATGATAACATTGATCAGGCAGTAAAGTAGCTGCGAGGTGTAACTCCACAGGTTCAAGACTGTGCTCATGGAGACCCAGTTAATCACTCCCCAGGAAACGATCCACCACCAGAATACGTCGGTGGTGGCGTAATCAAGGAATCGGGGGGCCAGGAAGTAAAAGCTCTTCTTACTGTTCTGGAAAATCTTCAGGTCGCAACTGGGTTCGCCCGCAGCAGGAGCGGATTCCCAGTAGCAGTCGACGCTTGCGTTGCAAGCAGCGGCACCACCTGCAATCAGCAACCCGCACGTACTAACCTTCTCCGGGTACTCGTGCATACGGATCGAGTCGCGCACAGCTGCCCCCTCATAGAAACAGCCCGTGCCGCCAAGTGGGACTGTTTTGAGTATTAACCACAGAAAGTGCGTCGCCAGCGGAAGGGCCATTAGCGCGAACTGCCACATGAAGAACCGCAACATGGAATCGTTCCAGTAGCATTTTTCTCGGGTTACCTCGCTGAAGAATTTTTTGGTTGCTCGCCCGCTGCTGGTGCCGGCCCGTCCTGCGGTCGAGAGAATTTTGGAAACGACGCCAGTTACCCGGGAAGTCACTTTCTTCGATGCTGTAGAGTCTGTCGCTGCTGAAAAAGTAGCTCCTACAGGTAGAAACCCATCATGCGCTCCGTGTGGAACGACGGAAGTAGGATGCGGCTGTGGGCTCTCCGCGCCCTCAATGTCAAGAGCACGCATCTCCGCGCCATCCGTCTGCTGCTCACCTCTTGCAGCTCGTGTGGACATGATTTGACCCAACGAGGAGCGACACGCCCCTTGTGGCGGGCGTGTTCGAGAACACCAATAGAGGCTTAGCCACTTCTCAAGCACACGCTTTGGCCTGTAAAGATAAATACATGAATGCTGCCCGGTCTTCGTGTCAGCTCATCATCGAACGAAAGCCCAGGTTGTGCTGCCTCTCAAAATCCTCTCACTCTAGTAGCCAGCTCAGCAACGTGAATGGGAACGTCGGTATAGAACGACACCAAAATGTAAATGTGGCGTACAAATAAAAAGGATGTTAACCCCAGCTAATGGTAAATCATGGTCGCTTGGAAGCTCATGCAGCATCTTCCGCTTTCACACGATACTTAAATAACCCAGGAAAAGCATGCAGTTCCAGTTGCTGGTCCTGCACCTCTTGCTGGAATAAAAGATACGGTACGACATGAGAACAGTTGCTGCGTATCCACAACAGAACGCCACTGAAAATGCATCTGCAGCGTTGCATGTGTGCAAAGAAAAACAGTTGATCAGGGTGTAGGGTGTAGCACAACGCCCCAGATGCTCCGTTGTATTTTTCGGCAAGATGAAGTATTTCACTATGAGGTTGAGGAGAGTTGAGAAGCTACATCCTCGAGGTTTTTTGAAAACACATCTTGAGAAGGGTCCGTCATTCGTCCGTGTTCTCTGTTCGTTTTGTGACACTAGTTTTGATGTCATTGTCGCTTTTTTTTTTATTTCTCTTCGGTCTTCTCTGGTGGTCTATTTCGACTTCTTCATGAAGAAGTTCATCCACATGTTGATTCATTCAATTTAACTTGTGACACTTGGATCGGTTTTGCATTTCCACACCAACACGGGTCCGGAAAAAAAAATGCTGGTATGGCTATGCTGATCCTTGTTCATCTGCATGCCCCAGAGAGTACTACGAGTCCCGTGTTACAGCAGCACCAGCAGCATGTTACGTAATCGCTAGTCAGATGCTCGCCGTGGGCTGCAGCTTCATCTTTGCAGGGTCCTCTTCCTGGGCAGGACGGAGAGCTGGCATCAGCAGCTTAGACTGTACTTATTGTTCAGCATCAAATTTTGTGCTACTTGTACTCTACTCTTCCTGCTCTTGTTCCTCGCCTCCTTCGCCCATCTCTTGGTCCTCACCCTCTGCAGCAGCGTCCTGCTCTTCCTCCGCGGGAGGCTGTTCCTCGTCTTCGTCTTCGACGCCGGGGTTTGCCTAAGGTACGGTTCGTTTTTGATGGAGGTGGTGCATGGAACTAGAAGTGTGTAGAAGCGAATGTCGTGGCTTGCTTCGCATGACAAGAAGCACAGAAAAACAATATGGCGCAAGCTTCTTCGGTATGTAATAAACAAAAAGTTGAGTATGCATGAATGCGATATAAAAAAATCCGTTCAAAAAAATCCTTCTATCTCTTACCTCGTCCATATCGACGTCCTCTGCGGGAGCAGCTGCCACTGGAACCGGGTTGTTGTCCGCTTTGAATACTTCGGGGAACTTGAAGTCCACGGTTTGGAAGGGCGCCACGATGGACATCTGCTTTGGCACCACCACGGGGATTTTTCCGACGATTCTGTCCTCCTTCAGCAACGGCATCACCGACACGAGTCCGTCGTGCACCGACGGGAGCCCGACCATTTGCACGATCTATCAAGAAGAAAAAAAACCCCTTCCCATATCAAAAGCAAAACGGAAATCTATGATGCAGATTTGTGGCCACGGATCAGCTTTGTCATGCTAGAAGGGAAAAGATGCGGACTGTAGTGCTGGGTGGCGTGGGAAAGCCTTGCTTCTTCAGCATGACAGGAGGCAGCTGGAAGTGGAAAACAGCATGACAAATCGCCTGCAAACGAGGCCCCAGCTGCGGCTCTTGGCCTTCTGGCAATACAAGTCGATTTGTGTACTCAAATACAGCATCACAAATTTCGTTTTCGATATGGGGAGGGGGGATTTTTCCTTTTGATACGATGGTGCCCTTCTTGAGCTCGGTTTGGTCGGGGTACGCGGTGGAGTCCGTGAGCCGCATCCCGCGGGTTTCCAGGGGCTTCAAAAAGATCCGGGTCGCGGACGCCACGGTGGCGTAGCCGACGATCCTGTCGTCCGTGTCCTTGTCGCTCATTTCAACCATAATGCGCACCGGTTCCGGCGCTTTTACCTGTTCGCTCGCCTTCATGGGGTTTTCCAACTCCTGTTTGGGAAACACGACCTGCGTGCAGATCTCGCCGAATTTCAGGTCGCGAACCTTCGTGTTCAGCTCCCCCAACTCCGCGTCCGCCGTGCTTGTAACCGGGTTCTTCACCGCGTAGTGGAACTTCGTGATCCAGTTGGTGAAGTCGTCCTCCGTGAACGCCCCGGACGTGAGAATCTCCTCCGACAGTGAATCCGCGAACACGTATCAGAGTGAAAAATGCCCCCCACCCCTGAAATTGCGAGAATTTGTGATGCGAAGTTTCCAAATGAAAGCTTTTTGTCATGCATGAAAGGAGTGCGAATCTTTCTGATGCAGATTCTAGTCGTGTTTTGCATCGCTTGCATGACAAGCACCGCTCTTGCTGGCGGGATCTTTTGCAATACAAATTTCTGCTATTCACGATCGGAAATCTGTGATGCTGATACACACAAGAGGGCGAATGTTTCATTTGGAAAGATTTGCAATACAAATGCTTTCAAGTTCGGGGGTGGGGGCATTTTTCATTGTAATAACACGGACTGCCACTTTTTCACCAGAGTTTCGACCAGGCTCGAGTCGGCGATCACCAGCTTCAGCTGGTTGTTGCTGGACAAAAACTGCCACAGGGTCTGCGCGGAAACCAAGCGGCCGGACGACAGTTCCAGCTCCGTCTCGGCCTTCAGTAATTTCGCGAAAATTTCCTTGCAGAACTTCTCGTGCGACTTCTTCTCCTTCTTGCTCTTCTCGGCGACCAACTTCGCGAGCTCAAAGTGCACCTTGTCGGCCAACGGGCTGCTGGCGGACTCCGTGTCGTAAAACTTCTCCAGCCGCGTCTGCAGGTCCTTAACCTCGTGGAGCTTGTTCCGCAACTGGTAAAACACGGACTCCACCTCCTGGATCCCAAAAGGCGCGCGGTTGTCGTCCTCCATGGCGTCGTTCATGTTATTTTCCGCGTCCGCGAGCTGCATGGCCACGTCCTTGTTCTTTTTGTTCTTCTTGTTACGCGGCTCGTGGTCCACACTCCATTTGTGGATGTCCTGGAACACCTTTTTCAGCTTCGTCTCCAAAAAATCCTTCACTTCGTGGAGCACTTTGTTGGCGTCAGTGTAGTACACGCACTTCGCTTTCTTGAGGAAATTGGCGGTGCTGAGTCGCGCCAGGTCCGTCATGGTCAACGTCTCGCCGCCGGAGGACTTGAAGGCCTTCACCTCAAAGTGCTTCAGCTCTTCCAGTTGCTGCAATCGTCCCTCCGTCTGTCCCCGCCACAGTGCGGACAGCGACAACGCTTCGTCCTTTTTCACCAGTTGGACAAGCATACTTTTCCAGTCCTGCAGCTTCTTCTGGATCGCCCTCACGCGCATCTGCTGCTCCGCCAGGTGGGCCTCGAATTCGGTCTTCTTCTCCTTCACCTTGTTGAGGCGCTGCTTCAGCTGCGTCAAGACGGAGAGGGAAGTATCGTGAGGAGAAACAGAACCCGGGTTCGCGGCTGTTCGATATTGAGTTGTAGTGCGACAATCACTTTTAATATAAATATCTCTTGCATACTGAAACATGCGTATCACACGTAAAAATCGGGATCAGAAACATGTTGGTGCGCCGTATCTGTACTTGATGCGGTTTAACCCGACATAGATCGATCCCTTCCATGATCTATGACAAAATCTATTCCGATCCGCAGCCAAGGTCGTGGCAACAAGGCAAACGAATCACATGATCACTGAAATGAATACTTACCATCAGGATCATACACCACCTTCAGGTCGTCGTCGTATTTTGCGAGTATTTCGAAGGATTTTCGTGCCGCCTGTTCCACCGCTTTCAGCTTGTCCTGCGCCTCCCGGGCCATTTGTTTGATCGTCGACTGTATCAAATGCAAAAATGTCTGGGTCTGGAAGATTGCCAGGTTTGTCATGCACATTTTGCATGACTTCTGATGTCTGTGATGCATGCCCTAGCATCACAGATTTTGTGAGGGCTTCCTGATGCCTTTACCGCATGACAAATGCTCTTTCTGTGTAGCAAAACTTGGACTCTCTTTGCTGCTCATGCAATACAGATATTTTTAGAATCCAAAATCAGCATGACAAGTTGCATTCTTCCAGACCCAGACATTTTTACACTTGATAGACTGGTCCGGCACGGCTTCCAGCCGGGTTTTCGCGTCGTATTTGTCCACGTTCTATCAAATGTAAAAATGTCTGGGTCTGGAAGATTTCCAGGTTTGTCATGCATATTTCGCATGGGCTATGATGCCTGTAATGTATGACCTAGCATGACAGATTTTTTGCGGGTATCTTGATGCCTATCCCGCATGACAAATGCCCTCTCCGCGGACCAAAAACTGGACGCCTCTTGCTGCTCATGCAATACAGATTTTCTTAGATTCCAAAAATAGCATCACAAGTTGCTTTCTTCCAGACCCAGACATTTTTGCAATCCATACGTTCTCGAACTCCCGCAGTTCCTCCTCCTTCTCCACCATCTCCGCCAAAGCCTCCGCTGCCTGCAACCGCAGGGCCTGGACTTGCTCGGTCGCGGCGCTGTTCACGTCAAGCAGAATCATCTTGCACAAGTCCTGCAACTTGGGCTGGATCTTCTTCCAGTCCAATTTCGTGCTCGCCGCCTGCTTCAGCCGCTCCTTCGTGAATTTCTCCTTCGACTTGGACCGGGTTTTCTTCAGCCAGTAGTGGTTCTCAACGTCCGGCACCAGCTCGCGGACCACATTGATGTCCTTGATCATACCCACCATGCCGTCCTTGAGGCTCATTACCTTACTGGTTTTGTCGGATGACAGCACCAAAATCCGCTCCCCCCGCGTGAGCAGCCGCTGCACCTGCAGCTTCTTCGGCGCGGCGGGCTTCGGGGCCGGCGGCGGCGGGGCGGGGGCAGCTGCAGGAGCTCCTTCTTCCCCCTCGGCCGGCGCCTCCGCACCCGCCTCCGCAGCAGCCGGGTCCTCTGGCAGCGGCAATTCAAGCTCCGGCGGAATCGGCAGCTCGTACAAGGGACATGAATCCTTTTGCAGGAGAAATTGCGGGTCCAGGGGGGTCACGTATCTGCAGGTGTTGTATTTGTGTGTGTGGGGGGGCATATTATGACGATTCGGATTTGGATTTCGTTTTGCTCATTTTCATGGGAGAACCAGTATCAAAAGTCGCAAGGGTAGAAATGTTATTGAAACAACATCTCGACCACATCAATCTTCGAAAAAAACTTTTTTTTTTTTATATACAAATCACAAGCAAAAAACGGCGAAACTCATCATAGACAACTTCAGATCGGAGGTAGAATTGATCCAGGCTCGTCATCCATGTTTTGTCGCAGTTCGTGACTCGTGGTTCGTAATCGAAAAAATAAGTCGTAAGTCTACGAACTGGTTCTTAAGTCGCAGTTCTATTCTTCGAAAAAAACTTCTTACTGCGTCCTCTCGGGGCCGCCCCGCATGGTGACCCAACCTTCGACGCCGTCCCGCGCCCGTCGCACCCGGATCCGCTTGAACCCGGCCTTGACCATCTGAGGTGGTTCCAGCGCGGTGAGCACTTCGTTCGGCTGGATCTTCCCAATATACTCGTCAGACTGCTTTTCGTCTTTTGGCACAGCCGTGTTGCAGTTGTCGCTCGATGCGGTCAGGAGGGTCTGTGTGAAGTAGATTATGCAAGGAAGTACATTATAGGATTTTGATTTTTGCATTTGAAATCTTCGGTAAAATTAATGCAAAATAACTACGCGAGATTGCTAGTGCAGAAATCCCACGGGTTTGATGCCTTGCAGCGTGTGACGTGTGGGAAAGAAGCTCTTTTTCCGCCGAACCAAGGCAACCTCAAAAACGACCAGTAAGAGAAGTTTTACGTTTACCTCGATCTCGCACATGAGGTGCACCTTTCCCAGGTAAAGGAAAAAGTCTTCGCAGAAGACCTCTCCTGCGTTTACGCGGGCGTACTCCGACTTCTGCGGGCCGGTGTCCTCGTCCTGGCCTTCCATGCCCGTCTCGGTCTTCTTCGCGCCCGGCTTTTTCTCGGTGAGTTCCTGATCGCGCAGCTCGTAGCACCTGTTCAACAAGGTGGGGATGCGGTTCCACATCTCCGCGTCACCGATGCATTCACTCGCTAGAAACTCGAAGATCTCCTCGTGCCCAATAGTCTTGCGCCTCATGTGCGCATGCTTTACCTTGTCGTTTCCCACCATCTTGTCGAAAAACTCCTGTTCCTGTTCCTTGCTACCCACCGGTTTGTCGGACTCCAAGGTCTCCGTGATGTACCTGTTTTTGCAAATCAAACACAAACTCATCTCGCTTTGCTTTTGACATGATCATGACCCTCGAGATGCTACCGTGAGATGCAGTTGCGAAAATCTACTGATGACAACATGTTTCCACGTAGTCCTCAGGAAAGAATACTGTCATCTACTGCTACGGAGGCCTACTCCTATCCATGAAGGTCGTGTCGAAATATTAGTTGTACATGAAAAACCAGCCCACTGAAAGCTGAATTTTTTACGTTTGAATCGCCATGCTGAGTCGCACGTCCAGGTCGAGGTTTTTGGTCGCTTCGTACTGGGCACGATCCAAGTTCCACTTCTGAATCTTCTTCTGCACGGCCGTTAACCGCGCGGAGTATTTGTTCATCATCCGGTAAGACAATTGGAACAGTTGCTGTATAGAATTTTGTATGTAGGTTTTTTGATTCTTATGTATGATTTCGCGATCAGCTCTTACGCGCCTTTGCGCCGGGTTGTTCCTCGTCGCACACAGTCGCAGAAGTTGCATCACACAAGCCAAGCTCAAGTTGAATTCAAAGCAGCTGCAATTAAGTATACTTAGCCCGCTGATCTTCATTCAGGGAACAGCTGGAGTTGGAATAAAGACATCCTGTTTATCAAAAAAAAAACTGTACTATTCATACCTCCTTCTCCCCCTGGTCGGCGGATTTCCCGCTTTTCCCGACGAAGTGCGTGCTCTTGAGGCAGTCCTCGCTGTTCAAGTAGCTTTTCAACTGTTCGGCTACCTCCATAACGTGGGCGTAGCGGTCTTCCTTGCTCTTTTCGTTGTCTTCGTACACCTCGCTGTCATCCTCAGTCTCGTTTTCCAGGGAAGCAGCGCCCCGGCCGGGAACAGACTGGAGATCCAGCAGTTCTTTCTCGATGTAGAACAGCACTTCCAGCACCTCGGTGTCCTTACTCTGCAGAAACTTCTTCCGCTCCGCCCGCTCCTGCTCGATTTCCACCTTTTTCTCCGCGATCTGTTCCTCCACAAGCACACTATTCGCCTTCGCTTTCACGTCAAACCGAATTTGCTTGTCCGTCAGCTGCCACTCTGCGTACTTCTCCTTCACCTTCTGCCGCAACTCATCAATCAGCGGCTTCTTCACCTTCAAGGCTTCTATGAACTGCAAAAATGATGACTCAGGGGTCTGGACCTCCACACTATTGATGCAAGTACGTGGAAGATGAGGACGAGCAGCTCACTGCAATCGACAGCAAATGAGCATGAAAAGTTTCTGAACAGCTCTGTGGTGCTGCGTATAATTCCGCATGGATAAAAAGGGAAGCCTTTCTAGTTGTAGTTGAACTTATTATCGTGCACACGCACCACAAAGCTCAGCTCAGAGCCACGTCAGATATCAAGCATGAGAAACCTTGCGATGTTCCAGACCCAGATCGACATTTGCCATTGGATAGCTTCAATAGCGGCCTTTTTCTCTTCGTTTTTCTTTTCGTCGTCGTGGTCCAATTTCTCGTTGATGTTTTTCAGATTGACGGTATCCAGCGCTTTCTTCAGCGTTTCCCGGCACTTGGTCATCCAAGAAAAAAAGGTTGTTAGTGTAAATTTGTGATGCGCAAAATGCAAATTGATTGAGCCTTTCATGCTGTGCCTGCATTGTAGCGTCCATTCAGCGGCGTTTTCCCGTACTATCTGCGCATGACAGGTTTTTGCTGTTATGCCAGAGATATTTGTCATGCTAATCCTCCAAGAAAGTTACACCTACAATCTTTCTTTCCTGGATATTGGTGAACATCGTATCGTCGAGCGCGGACAGTTTTTTCAGAATCAGGTTGCAGTGCTTGACGCACGCCCTCGCGCTGGCCTTGGACTGCAGACAAGACGGCTTGATCTGGAGCCCGTGGTTGTGCGCGTTCCCGTCGACCCGCGGGGTCTTCTGGCTCTTGTCCTGCGGCTTTACGCGGGGCGATTTGCCCTTGTTCGTTGCTGTAGTGGCCACCTTTGCGAAGTCGCGCTCCTTGATCTCCTGGATGCCGATGTCCACCTCATTCAAAAACTGGTCGATGTGCTGCACCGCGGTCTCCTCCACGAACTTCAGCCCGTTCTGCGCGCCGTTTTCGTAGTTGTCCTTGATCTCCATAATTTCTTTCCGCAGCGTCTCCACGTTGTCCTTGAACTGCTGCACCACCTCCTCCGGGTACCCGTCGAAGCTGGCGTTTTCGCAGTTGTGAATCGCGGTCTCCGCCTGCAGGAGCAGCGCGCGCAAGTTGAACGCGGTGCTTGGGTTCAGGGCGTTCAACACCACCTGCGGGGGGTTTATGCGGTTCAGCAGGTTCTGCTTGCACCACTGCAGCCGGGGAAACGCGTCCGTGATGTTCATGCCGAATTTCCGGAACTTCGCCTGGTCGTCCACCTTCTGCCGCTTCGCGTCGGGCGCGCCCGTTTCGTCGGTGCGCTTGGTGGGGGCCTTGGCGACGGGGTTGTGGATCACGGGGGCCTCTCCGACCTCCATCTTCACCTTCGGATCGGGCTCCTTCCGGTGCCAGGGAACCCGCCACCCGGTCGCCGGGGGGAGTGCCGACTGCTCCGGGTTGTGGGCCCAGACCTGTGCGTAAGAAAGAGGAGGACTTATCGGGACAGTGTATCTTCGTGGTCAAAAGATGAATGCGTATCAAATAGACACGCGTAATGAACTTCAAGAACGTACTTAGTGTATGAATGGTAAATTTGGGAAAATATCAAACATCGACATTCTTTTTCTGACCACGATGCAAACATTTTCTCTTGCAAATGTAAATCTTGTGCTGCTACTTTTTGACGGCGTATTTTTTCATCAGCTTGCTCAGGAACATCAAATTCGAGTAGAATGCTAACCTCTTCTCCGCCGACAACCGGCGCGCACCACCATCCCGCCAGATCCGGGCCATCTCTTTCGTCCCAGTAGTATATGTTCGATGCCTGGGAATTCTGAAACTGCCCCGCCTTCTTGAACAGCGGCCGCGCGTGGTTGATCGTGCCCGCGGTGCAGAAATACTTGCCGTTTAATGCTGTGAGGTGGGCGGAAAACCCGTTCACAATAAGCTGAAGATCCTTCTTCGGGTCCGGCCCGCCGGCTGGCGTCCCAGGCTCGCCCATTTTCGCTCAACTAAAAGTTCAACGAATTTGAAGTAGAGTTTGGCGTAATTTTGCTTTTGTGGTTACTTCTGCTCTACTCAAATAACAAACTTTCATGTGCTGCCAAAAACGATCTTCAGGTGGTACGGAAACAAACTTGTTGCTGAAAAGGTACACGTTTTGGTGGTGGAGAGAAAAAGTTCAAAGTTCTTGTCGCTGTATAGTATCGAACCTGAATGCGAAAGTGATTGTATGCGGAAGTGATTGCAATCGTCCGAACTTTTTCTCATGTCTGGATTCCACGACCATGCGCCGATGTACAGACATCGACTAAAACGCACAAATTTAGGGCATATCTATTTCTAGTGACCTACCGTTGTCGTGTTTCGTTTAATAATTATATCGCGGCACAAGCACAACTGAGGCTATCTTCTACCACGAGGAACAAATGGAAGTAAAACAGCAAGTACTTGAGTGAAATCAGAGTGGAAAGTAACGAAGTCTTCAGCTAGTAGATCAAGCGCAGGCGAGGTAGAGCAAGATCATCTTTCTCTTTTTGAACTGCAGATCCGCGAAAAGAACTAGTCTCGGAAGTTCTACTTCTGATATCACATGCGCTGCACGCTTGAGCTTTACTTGTGCTCCGTCTTGAAGGGAGCATCAAAATAGGATCGTCCAGAGCGATAGCGCTACAAATCGGAACAACTGGTGCTGGGTATGCAAGAATCGGGAACGTTATTTCGACCATGCGTAAGAAAAAAGAGTGCCACAAGCTTCATATGTGTGGCACCATAATTCATTCGCCGTCGCATTCTGCTGAACTTAATTTACAATTCCAATAGTTCAAAACATCAATAAGGTCATCGATTTTACTGGGTGGCAGCGCTGGCGCTGAGGGAATATCTTTACGGAGGCCGGTACAATAGAAGTTACATTTTGTGTTTGATTTGGTAATGGTAGCGCATAAGTGAGATTCCTTGGTACACAGTCATGGTTTTGCTTTTGCTTCTTGTGCTCAATACATTTGAATTCGCAAACTTTAATTTCTTAGACGTTGGCGTTTCTGTTTACTCAATATCTAACTCCCCTGGTGGTTGCCGTCTTAATTTCATTGATGTGGATTCTCATCCTACTGCAAGTTGTCATTATACACACGCTGGAGAGCAAGAGATTACTTCGTTTCACTTTTTGCTCATGCTCCGCTTGTTTCGCTAGAAGACGAGATTTTCGAGTTTAAAAACTTCTCAGTGCATACTGCTTTCCTCCCATCATCTGTTTCTGTACATACTGCTTTCTTCTCTGGAATAAACATTTCCGCCTTTGTGTTTTAAGTACTTACTTACCACGAGTAGCTGAACGCCGTTTCCGGAACGCCCGCAGCTGTTGGACCAGCTCCGACAGGTGCCGCTAAGGTAGTGGTAGGCGGCCTTTCGGCCTCCGTCACTCCCACCGCCGTGGCTCTTGTTTCGCCCCCTGACAAAGACGATGGCCGACCTCCACCAGGCGCTTGCGAAGATGCTGCATTCCCAGCCGTTCCATCTGCCGGCGACGTCCCGTCGATTTGTTCTGGCACGACCTCTGCACTAGTCGCGGCTGTTCTTGTTTCCTCTCCTGCCACCTCTTCTTCTTGCCCCGTTTGCTTTTGAAGGTTCGTTTGCTCTGATTGTTGTTCACTCACCAGCACAGTGGTTGTTTGCGCACTTCCCCGCAGGTTGCCCGTGGTCATCATTTCCTGCTCCACGCAGCAGTGGGTGGCGAAGAACATTTCCAATTCGGCCTTCTTCTCTTCAAAAACCTTCATGTTGTCGAGCAGGAGTTGTCCGAATTTCGCGCTGTCTTCTCCTTCTAACCCCGGACTGTATTTGTTGCTGTTGAAGTTCTCAGCCACTTTCTTCAAGTTCTCCGAGTCCGTTGCCCACTTGCTCGAATCAAGCAAAATCTCGGCCACGCTGGGCGGAAACACCTTCAGCGGGTCTGCAGACTATCCTGAGTAAAAACGTCCCCACGACCTCCCCGGAGTTGTAATAATGCAGCAAATCTGCATGCTCCTTAAAATGTTTCTCATTCGGAGACCCGGCATGAAAGGCATTGATTTCAGTAGTGGCGTTTTGTGATTTTTCATGATGCTCGAATCAGCATGATGTGCTAGATGTGTGATTCTGCTACACTAGCTAAAGACGACTAGTACATTGCGAGCCCAGATTTGTAGTCATGCGCAGCAAGGAGCTAGGCTTGTTGCTTTGTCTAGCAGATTTCGCAACTTGACTCTTGGGTGGGGAAGGTGTTCCTCACGATACAGAAGATGATGGTGTCACTTGCACGAATTCAAACTCCCCGGACTTCCGACAGTGCTCCCGTGGCTGTTCTTCCGCGGTCTGTTGTGCGGGGTCAGTCTGCTGCTCACCGGTAGCTGGAGTGGACGTAGTAGATGAAGATGAAGTAGAGGTGCTACTAGAAGTACTACCTCCGGCGGGCGCCGCAACGGTAGTACTACTAGGCGAGGAAGTTGTTGAGGTACTGCTAGTAGAAGTGCTGGCTTTCTTTTCCTTCTCTTTCTCCTTCTGGTACTCAATTTTCGCCTCCGCCGCCACCAGTACCTCGATCATGTTGTAGTGACTGCTGTGAAAATTCTGCGCGAGCGAGGCAAAGTGGAGCAAGTTCATCTCGTTCTCGCTCTTGTAGTTGAACACTTCCTGGATTCTGCTCCTCCGCCGCTTCGACTTCATCGTTGTAGAGGTGGAAAACAGGAATTTCTTCAGTTTTTCCGTCTCTTCATACAGTTTTTTTTCTAAATACAGGCGGAACTTGTTCAATTCCAGAAAAGACGTCTGCAACAGGCTGGATGATCCTTGCTGCTGCGGTTGCGGCAGGTTTATTTTCGGTTGTTGATCATTTTCTGGTGCTGTCGCAGAAGATGAGCCAGTGGTTGAGTCGTCGCCAGTCGGATTCGCCCCCGCGGGACTGTCATCAAGCACATACAGTGGCGCTGTGGTTGTAGTTGAAGTAGTTGTGCTCGTTTTCGCAGCCTCCTTTTTCTGCCGTTCGCTCTCTTCTGCCTTTCGTTTCGTCTCCTCAAATTCCTGCTGCTGTTTCCGCTCCTTCGCCTTTTCCCCACTCGCCGCGCACGTGCTGCTCGCCCAGGATTTTTTCACCAAAGCGACCGGCCCGGAGAACTTGCTATCTGCGGAAGCTTTGTCGAAAAGAACGGAGACCGCGGACCGGCAGAGACCCGCGCCTGGGAGGTGGGGAATGCGTGTCGCTTCTACGTCTTTCGACGTCGGCTTCAGTGTCAGCAGGTGGACGTTGAGATCCATGCCCGCATTTGAAGAATCACCGGTGGACGTGCTGCTCGCCGCCTCGTTGTCCTTCTTGTAATCGGAAGCAAACTTTTCCGCGTCTTCGAGGATCCGCTGCCTCGCCTCCTCGGATGCGAGGGGATTTTGTTGAGCAGAGGAAGATTTTGTAGAAGGCACGGAATCCGGAGTATGAGTATCGAGTGCAAATTATGTGTCTGGGTCTGCTGGAAAGCTCTACTGCTAGTCTCTCCAACATGAGCTGCAGAGGTCGGTGGACTGCAACCAATGGGACACTTTCATGACAATACCAAACGACTTTCAACATGACAAAACTCCGTGGTTCCATTCGTTCGCGGTTTTTTGCGCATCAAGTAGATCCTCGCTACAAACACAGGTTTCCATTCATCTTGCAGACCACAAGACAAATTTTCCCTAGATATTCTGTTGCTGCTGTTGAAACCCTTGTGCGAACTAGTTGCTGCTGCCCTTGTGCGACTAGTTGTCCGGCCCCATCCAACTTGTTCACCCCGCTCGGTGGATCGCAGCAGCCGACGTACGTAACCCTCTGCGACCAGTCCAGCGCTACGTCTAGGAACTGCAAACCGGCCTCCACGGACTTCCGCGCGACGGGGTCGTCGCGGTTTGATGCCAGGGCTCCACCTGTTCCTGCTGTCGGAGGCGCGGTTCTTGTATCTCCTTGCTCAGCCACAACTCCGACATTTTTGTTGTTCAGGAATCCGCGATACAAGGCGGCGTAGCTCGTTTCCCGCTCGCTTTTTGCTGATGCGGTGCCTGGGTATCCTGTCCAAAAATGTCTCAAAGGCCCCATACATAGTCAAGTGGAAGATGGAAAGTTCGCTACACAAGTCAATCTGCTGCGAAAGACAAGAGGTAGTGGCCCGCAGCGCGATCGTTGTTGTCTCGTGCAGCCGCACCATCAGAAATCGACCACCACTCTATCCTGATTCATCATCTTCATCTAGCATAAAAAGTATAAGTAATTTTAATTTCAAAACACAAAATAAAAGATTTAGCATGGGGCTGCGCATGAAGAAACACGTCTTATGCTTATGCATGCAAATCTGCATGACAAATATGGGGCCATGACGTTCTTACCAAGGATACCGGAGGCGGAGTTTTGTTTTTCATTTTCCGCCCTTCGGATTCAGCAAACTTCATAAATGCGCCCGAACTGCTGCCCTTAGCAGCCACAGACAACGCAATCAGCCCCTCCCCGAACCCGGCCCCCGGCCCAAAGAAGGGGCTCGGCTGGGCAATCGCGACGAGTTCCTCGACTAACTGCGCGTTGAAAAACCGATCTCTGTTCGCCGTCACACTTCCTTTGATGTTCCCCGGATAGTTCTTGGCATCCACGAAGCCCGCCAGCTGTCGGCATTGCGTGTTCGCCTCACTTTGCAGTTGGGCCGGTGATGTTCTCCTTGTGTTAGTAGCAGCACCAGTCTGTTCATCTTCTACGGGAGGCGGCGGTGGTGCCGTTGTTGTGCCACCATCTTGCGCTTCAGTCGCTGGCGTGGTCCCTGCGGGCTGTTGTTCCTCCATGTCCGCTCCACTTGCTCCCGTAATTCTCAACATGTTTTCCGGTGTGCACTGCTGGAACCCCGGCGTCTTTTTGTTGGGGTCGTCGAACAGCGCAAGCCGCGGATCCGAGGTCGTGGTGGTGCTGGTGGTCGTGGTGGTCGTCGTCGTGGTAGAAGGGGTCGTCGTAGAGGGTGAAGACGTTGTTGTCGTGGTTGATGTTGTTGATGATGTAGTTGTAGAACTCGAGGTTGTGCTTGTGGTTGTAGAACTAGTGGTCGAAGGTTCCTCCCCGCCACAACACGAGAAAATCGAGTCCAGGTCGCCCTTCGGGGATTCGGTTGTGCTTGTCGTTGTTGACGACGTAGTAGATATTGTTGTTGTCGACGTGGAAGAGGCCACGACGCTAGAAGAGGTGGTTGTTGACGCTGTGGAAGTGGTGGAAGTGGAAGTGGAAGTTGATGCTCCTGTAATTGACGCCGTAGAAGTTGTGGCTGCAGAAGAACTGGTAGCTTGTTCCTGTGCATCTTCTTCGCGTTCGAGTTGTTCTTTGTGGTTCATCACATCCAGAAGGACGCGACCTTCTTCCTCCTCAACGTGCTGCTCCTGCGACGTCTTCAAAACGCCCGTTTGCAACGCGTTTACAAAGAACGGAAGACCAAGTGGAAGCTGCGTACAAAGCTCGGCGAAATAAAGACTGGAGAAGAGCTGCAAGCATATTTTGGCTGCTAGCTGCTGGTGCAGAAGCTTTGTCATCGCTGTTATCTGGCAGCGGCGACACTGAGAGGGTGGTCCTCGCGAGATAGCGGCTTCTGCTCTTCTTTCCGCGCCATGATCATGATAATGCGCTGCTTGTCCGCTGCTCGGGGCGACGACGAGAGACGCCTCTTTGTTGCGCCGGCAGACTTCTTTATTTCGCATGGTGACTAGATGAGCAGGATCTCACTGCTGGGTTCCAGCTCAACAAATTTCAACGAAAGCGGGAGTTTTCACATCCTCATCAAGCAGAGATTTCGCTCGGCATCGTTCATGTTCAACGTGGTCATCGCAGTTCAATAGGTAAAGCTGTGCAATATGGTGACTTTCCTTCACTCCAAAAATACCAAAAATGCCACTACTTCTACTACAGTTGCATATCGTGAATATTCGTGCCTGCGGCCGGAGAGGAGAACTTCCTCGACGTAGGTAGCAGTTCGCCCTCTTGGTACTCCTGCGCCCCCTGTACACAACAGCGACGCACGAAGAAAAACGCGATGATTTTCACGAGCATTGATTACGACGACGATGCGGAAAGATTCGGCGCTTGCGACACGAAAATACGACTTCCGATGCGACTCCTCACTCAGGATTCAATTCGTTCGTTTCCGTTTAGGAACAAGATATAATATATTTTTATATTTCCGAAAACCGACAAGCACGGCCACGAGACCACGATTCGGATTTCGATTCGTTTCAACAAACATAAAATCATGCCATGAGCGGTCTGAGCCAATCTAGCACTTCTCGCACGTGACACAGAACACAAATAGAGTTCGGTCGTCGAGTGGGTAGAACAGCGCACATCGCATTTCTTTCTGTTTTTCTATGCTACGGAAAAGCCAAAGCTGCGGCAGCTGAAAATCTTTGTGGCGTACTGTGTCTTCACTGTTTTGATGTCACATGTTCATCTTCTCATTCGCGTAGTCATCCACTCCTTGTCGCTTCCTCACTGGCGGGCACATTCGGGCGGAAAAGACCCCGCGTTTCTCGATTTCCTCGAAGCTGTGCCAATGTTTACTACCGTCTTCTTCAAAATACGGATTAGAAGGCGCGGATGAAGTAGTCGAAATAACTGTCGCGTTTTTCACGTACTGTGGCGGCCCACCGGATGGTGAATATTTGCGAGTGCTTTCTTCGACCTCAAAGCGCGTTCTTGCAATGCGCAACGCCTCGAAGCGGTGCCACCGACGGACTATGGTACTAAATTTTGCTGCTGTACTTGTGGTGCGCTGCAAGTGCAGGTGCAACTTTCCTTCCACCGCGGAAATGAACTCTGCCTGCCGACGTTGATTCCGCTGCTCATTCGTCTCAAACATCTTCAAGCGGGACGGCAAGCGGATTTGAATAACTTTTTCAGCATGATTTGTAGACGAGTCTACTTCGCTAGCAGAAGTAGAACTTGACGAAAAATGATCATTGTGGTCCGCAGTTGTACTATTCATCTTCCCGTCATCAACCAGTGCAACTTCTCTGTATTCCGACAAAAAGCTCTGAAACCCGTTTTCCGACAGCTCCTTGGCTTTTTCGTGCAAAATTTTCAAGTCCTTCTGGTTCAGGTCCCGAAAATTCTTCGTCACGTCGAACCGGGTGTCCCGACCTGCCAACGAGGGCAGCGCCACATTCCACTCCGGAGAGAAATATTCGCCTCCGTTGGTGAAGTAGAGGAAGGACAAGGGGTCGTGCGGACAGGGGATCGTTTTCTCGAAGAGCCTATTGATTGCAAATATGTCTGAATCTGTAAGCTTGCTGCAAATTGTCGTGGTAAATCCGAATCATGCAAAAATCTGTGTTGCATGAGTGCCGAAACCTGTCCACTTTCGACCAAGTTGGGAGGGAGTTCTCATGGGTCATGGAAAACCTCCTGCGTGACAGATCTACACTCTTCCAGAGGACCCAGACATATTTGCAGTTGATAGAACCTGCACTTTTTCAGCGGGAAGATGTATTTCAGCGGGACGAGTCCGTTATTCGTCTGAAACGGCGGAACCTGCGGCAAGTAACAGAGCGGGGCGGGGGTGAGGATCTTGTTCACCGCGCGGGTGAGGGACTTCGGGCGCGGAAGGGAAATCGCTGCGGAAATTATCCCGGCGGGCCGCGACGTGGAAGTGGAAGAAGCAGTAAGAGAACCAGGCGAAGAAGTCGTTTTTGATGGTAAAGTAAAATCTCGACTTTTCAAATCCATTTTCGCCTTCGATGTAGTTACCTTTCCCCCGTTCTCGTTATTCGCGCTGGTGTCCACTACTAGCGCTTCTTCACTTGTTCGATCGAGGTACTCCTGCACGGCCCACAGAGGCTTCATCCCGTCCTTGTCCCTGCGCCAGTGCTTGCGCAGGCGCTCGGGCTCGTTGTGTTCCAGGCTGCGCTCTTCGTAGTCACAGAAAGCGAAAATGTTGGGTTCAGAGGAAGAATTCTCGTGTTTATTTTCCTCCTTCTTTTCCAATTCCCGGACTCGAAAGACGTAGCCGAATTCAAACTTCGGGTACTGCTTCACAAAAGACTTGAATTCGAAGGAGAAGAGGTAGGACTCCGCCCCGACGCACTGCAGGACGTCTGAGCGGATGGAGTGGTAAAAGTGCTTGTACAGAAAAGTCCCTTCTTGGTCCGCTTCCCTTCGCCCCCCGATTCGGTCGTAAAACTTCTGATTCGTGTGGCCCACGCCCATGGAGAACAGCGTTGCGTTCGGCAAGTCGATCAAGTCTTCGGTTTCCAAACTGAAAATGAGCATGCAGTCGTGCAGCACCGGGGGAGTGACCACCGTCACGCCGTCGGTCCGCGTCACCTGTCTCGCGGTCGTGACGCGGCGGCCCAGAGTGTCGATGATGTCCCCCCACTCGTCCTCGTGGTCCACCATGATGAGGAACTCGATGTCATCGTCGATCGCGTCCACTTTGTTCTCCTCGCTCAACTGCCCCATCGTCCTTCCATACCGCAGGGCGGAAATCAGCGTGCCCCCGATCGGCACGTATTCTAACTTCAGCTCGTCCAGCAACTCTACGACATTATGTACCGCTTTCTTCAGTCCCTGTTCAAATTCATAATGGTGTTTCGCCGCATCGGGCAGGCAGTGGTTGTTGAGCCCAAGTCTCTCGCACAGCGGGATCCGCTTGTGCAGGTGCTTGTTTTTCTGCAGGTATTGTAACGTCGGATGCGTGTTCGGATCGATATCGTGTTCATCCTCGGATGTTGACCCTTGAAGTTCGACTCCTCGTGAAACGGCAAGAACAGCGCCCGGCTCTTGTACTTTCCCCGCGGATTGAAGTTTTGTTCCCGCACCTTTGTTGCTGTGAAGCTGTTGATGCTTTTCGTCGTGTTCTGGTTCTCCCTTTCCGTGCTGCTGTCCTTTGCTCGAACTAGTGCCCCCTGCCGCAGCGGCCGGCTTCGCTTTGTCTTGCTGCATCTTTTTCAGCTGCTGGCGGTGCTCCTCTGGCATGCGCCAGGCGAAGTGCATCCAGGCGTCCTTGACGCGGTTGCTGGCGCGGACGAGGTTTTGCAGCGTGCGCATGGGATCGTCCTGGAAAAGGTAGGACCGCGGCTTCAGGTTCGCGATGGCGGACGACCCTCCTCCAACTCTCCTTCCAGCAGCGAACGTGGTCGACGGCGTGCCAATTTTTAAAGAACCCCCTTCTCGATGAAAAGCAGCTTCATTCACTGAGTCCAGTTTTTGCATTCTTCTAACCGCGCGCTCGTGCCAGGTTTCTCCGCCCACCGAGAGCTTCTCGGCTATCCCGCTCAGATCTGGCACCGCACGGTGTCGGAGAAAGGACGTCTCGTCGATTTTCACCGAATCGGCCGCCAGCGCTTCCGTGGCGTGGAGCGAAGGAACAAAGTGTAGTTCTTGGCTCCTGCTTTTCGACGCCTTATCCGGGAGGAAATACTCCTCCTGGAACCACAAAAGTTTCCTTCTATCGGTGGGCTTCTCCAGGAACGCGTCGCGTCCGAGGAACCGCACGATCTGCGGGCTCTGCACCGTCTCCCGTTGGAAAAGCATGGTCCCCGACTTCGACGTGTGCTCTACCAAGCCGACATGCAGCCGGTGGTGAAACTCGGTGAGAAACTTCATCAACCTCTGCGCCTCCGGAAACCAGGCGGTCAGCGCGTTAAACGTCGACTCTGCCGTTAGGCTGGCGTGGTACTCGAGCAGCGCAACCAGAATGAAGGAACTGAAAATTTGCATGGCCGGCGCGCAGTGTTCCAGCGCGTGAACCACGTTGGGACGGATACTGTAGGAAAAGACGTTGCTCTTACTTTTTTGTTCTTGGCGCGACCACGACGAGTTGAACTTGAATTCCTGATCTTCATTATCTTTATTTTTCCGAGCAGCAGTATCTTCCTGCTCTGCGCCCCCGCCCTTCTTCCGCCGTGGTGGTTCCTCGTGCAGGAAAACGTCCATGCCCTGTAGATACTGGACGTAAACCGTGATGGTGAGCAGAAAAAATTGGTCGTTCTCCAGTCTGTTTCTCCGTAAAAAAAGTGCCCGATTGATGTCCTCTTGCACGTCGAAGGGAATGCGGAGGGCCTCGGTCTTGGTGAAGACCGCGAAGGAGTGGGACTCATACATCCAATTCTGCCTCGGGACTTCACGACTCCCCTTGGTCCCGCCCTCCACTTCCACGTAATCTGTCGTCTTTACTCGGGAGGTTGTGGCATTATTTGTCGCGGTAGGGGCGCCCCCGATTTTGCTCCCGTGGGCACTGGAAACCACGCTATGAGTCGCCATTCGCTTTGCGTACTCTCTTCTTATCCCCGCCTCGTAAAAACTCCTGCGCCAGGGCAGGTCGTCGAAATTTCTGTCCAGGTTGTTCGTGATCACATTGCGCTTGCGCGACTCCTCACGGTCTGTCTGGAGCATTTCGGCCAAAGCCTCCGCATGCCTCGGATTGGAGGAAGAGTAGGCCTTGCCGTTCTTCGCGTAAATGCTGCTTTCCAGAGTTTAAGGAAAACAAAGAAAAAATGCACAAACTAGATTTCACTCTACTACTTCATAAAGTTGATTCATTGGCTTCGTGCAAAAATATGCAGCTTTGACTTTTACCTAGTTGTTCAGGTCGTGGCCGCGATCTGAGTTTATTTGATCCAAAATCGACGACCATCTGATCTAGCAGGCAAACTCGGCCTACGAGATCAGCAGTGCAAAATGTCGCGCAGAAGATCCAAACCTGCGAGAAGACTAAGTGCATTTTTTTCCTCAGAAAACCCGTGGGATAAAAAGCTGTCTCCGCCCATTTCGTGTCCCGTCTGAATGTTCTCCAGCACTTCGAAGTTTTTGTTGAAGATTCGGCTCGGGGTCGCGTCACTACCGATGTAAGCGCCCTCTTCTTGGTAGAGAAGGGGCAGAATGTATTTCATCAGCTGGTTCTGCAGAATCCAATAGAAATTCGGGACCGATTCTTGATTTGCTTCAACATCTACAGAGTCCACTTTTTTCTCCGTCGCAGTTGTGGACCTTTTCGACGCACCACTTCGAGTGCCAGCACTGGTCGTTTCTCCTGCTGTCGCAAACAAGTTCTCGATTTCTCGCATCGCTTCGGTTCGGAAAGTGCAGTCATAACCAAAGGTTGGCTTGTATTGGTACGGAATCTTCTTCGATCGCGACGACGTGTTGTTTGTTTCATGGTGAAGTTGGCTCTCCGCTGCGCCAGAGATAGCTGTACTTGACTTTGTGGAAGGAGCAGCGCTTGATGCATCTTCATCTTCAGCCGGTCGCACTACACTCTCGCGCCTGGAGGTCGCATTCATGTACCGGGCTTCTGATCTACCAGACCCACTTCTTCTTGCTTTTTTGTCGCCCGATGCACCTGCCCCCACTCCACCAGCTGCGCTTTTCTCCATATTCACTTCTAGTCTCTCGACGTCTTCTTTACTGTAGCCCTTCAAATCCACCGTGTCGGTGAATTCCAAAACGGAATCCAGGGCTTCTTTGTTCAAGAAGTGCGGCGTCAGCAGCTGAAACACGGGCTTCCAGGAGGACAAAATTGGGTAGTTGTAGGGGAGAATGTTCTTCTTGCGCAGGTTTGTTCCTCGGCGTTGAGATTTGCTACTTGTTCCAGGCGTTTTCTGCTCTGAAAAAACCTCCTTATCTTTCCGTAGGTCGACGTCGCTCTCCGTGGTTGCTGACGTTGTACTCCATCTTCTTGTCTCTTCGTACAGCTTCTGCACGAATTCCCGGTTTTCCACAATGGCGTGCGCCTTCTGCTTCGAATCTTCGGTTTTTATCTTCACAGTGGTTTCTTCTTTGATGATGCGCAAAAGAGCGCTCTCCTCCTGGTGTTGCAATTCAAGTTGCGCTGCGTACGCGCGAAGCTGCGGGTCTTCTTCTAGATCTACTTTTTTCTCCGGTTGTAAAGATTTGTGATCTACTTCAGAGGTGAAGATCATGTTTTTCCCCGCCGGCGCTGTTGTAGAAGATGCAGAGATTGTTCCTGCTTCCCTCGTCGTCAACGCGGCTGCACGACTGCCAAGAACGGGAGGCAAACTGTAGTTGGTATTGCTCGTTTTCTTCGGTTTTTCAATTGTATTTGGCATCATGATCCGCTCGTGGAAGTAGAAGTAGTAGAGCAACAGTCGGTCGAAGCAGGCGTTGAAAATACCGGAGAGGTGCGGATAGGATCTCTGAAATTCCGTGCGAAAGGAAAAGCCCAAAACAGTACTTCCTGTTTTGTCGTTATTCTTGTTGTTCAAAAGTGGCTTCAATATCGTCGATGCATCGTCAACAACCGGCAGCGCGTGATCCTCGACCCCTTCCTCTAGTTCGTCGTCGCTTATTTCATCGTTCAGGGCGTTTTTCTTTGGGTTCCCAACCTGATCCTCGAGAAACTCTAGCGTGCTGAGTAGCCGGCCTCGGTAGCGGAAGAAGTTCGGGGGGAGAAAAGGTTTCTTGAAGAACGGCAGCTTTTTTGTTTTCCTCGTACTGCTAGGAATTCTCCCAGAAAATAAATCATGTTGGGATAGTACTGCAACTTCATCATCCCGTTGCAAGGGCGAAGTGCCACTCCCCGCCCCTTCGTCTCTCCTCGCGCCCGCCTGAAGAACAGCTATGATCCGGGCGTCTGCGATGAAGTCGCGGTCAAAAATTTTGGAAAACAAACTGCTAATCCTCTCCAGCTTTTCCCTCAACGCCTCGTTTTCTACCATCGGGACCCGAAAGTGCGCGACAAAGTCCTCGAACATCTGGCCAAATTCCTGCTCGATCTCAAGCGCCAGGCGGAGGAAGGTGGTAAACTTTGTTGCTGGTTTTTCAGCTTCGATCACCCCTGATGTTGCTTTCTTTTCGACTCCTGTGGTGTTCCTCACGAGTTCTGCTGCTCCTGAAAGAGGCGGAAGATCTGCTTGGTTTTCCAATGCAGTGCTTGCATGATCCGCTAGAGGGTATGGAAATTTGGCCTCCTCGGCCTCCTCTCGCAGAGGTCGAAACATGGCATCCCGGAGCCCGTGCAGAAGTTGCGAAAGACCACCGTCGGCGGCATGTTCATTCGGACTGCTGGCAGCAAAAACGTGATCTGTCGCATGGTAGCAGGAAAACCACCACCATAGCGGCGCAAAGACCCGAGCTGGAAAACGTAAGAACATCTTCGCAAATTTGGTGAGAATTAAATGGCAGCTGCTACGCGACCCCTTTCAAACCTTCATGGGGAACAGAACCACGAAAGTTTTTCGAGAAACGGAAATCATAGAGCTGCAGGGAAACACGAATTAAAATATGACCAAGCTGCACGATGAGAGTAATTTTCATACGAAAAAAGTAGAACGAGGTGAGACGATCTGCAAAGGCTTTCTTTTGATGACGGCAGTTCGGTTAGTACTCACCATCACTTACAATGCTGACGTTTTTGGTGGCGCTGTTTTACGGCATCATGTGAAAGAGAACCCAGCCGGAGCCGAATTCTTGGAAAGATAAGCCAAAAAGAAGATTGTCAGGAACCGACCGATATGTAAAGAAACAAGTTCAGACTTCGGAACTCGTCTCTACTTGTCCTGATGAATAACGACCTCGCATCAAGGTCCTGGTTTCACAAGAACAGTCTCAACGGTGCTTCCGCAAGCCGCTGAGATGACTGACAAGCTTTTCATTTTATCGATTTCATTCATGTTCGGGAGAAAAAACATCAACATCTTCACAGAAGTAGATAGCTACAGCAATGAAGCTGCCCCAAGGTGCAAGTAGTCAACATTCCAGTTGTGCACCTACTTCACAGAGGATTCACGCGAGTCCTTGCGTGCTGCTGAACTTTCTCTCCGTCGTCGCCATAAACAACCAATACCAAAATATTCGACACAACATAGTAGGACCTTTACTAGCTGCGGAACATCAAGTAGCTTTGTTCCCTGCCTCAACATCAAGCAAGAGATCCTCGGAAGAGGATCCTTCCTCAAAGGCGCACCACCACCACATCTTCTTCACCCCAGCTTCATCCTCTCTGGCCCCTCGCCAAACGGCTTGCCCGGGCCTGCGCCTGCTCCGCCTTGGTTCTTCTTCTCTCCCTCCTGCGCCTGGTATTTTCGGATCAGTTCTTGCTTGAACTTCGCGTCGGGGTTGAGTTCCGCCATGTTCTTGCCGTCCGGCGCGCCGTTGTTGTAGCCGTCGTAGTGCTGTCCGAGGCCGCAGAAGATGCCGGGGATGCGGGGCCGCACCATTTCGGAGGCCGCCTCCACGATGTTGTCCCCGATGCGGTCGCCGAACACGCGCCGCTTCCGCGGTCGGCCCTCCAACTCCGCGTTCTCCCGCACGGCCTGCATGCTGAACCGCGGCATGTACCACCCCGCGGTGTGCTCTTCCACCTTTTCGTAGATGTAGGAGGCCATAAACTTGTCCTTCAGCTCCGGGTCGTGGGAGAGCAGGGGGTTCTCCCGCACGCGGCACCAGTCGCAGTCCTCCGGTAGGGTTTGGAAGTGCTCGTAGTCGCCCTTCTTCACCCGTTTCACGTTGTACTTCGCGATGCGCGCCGCTTTTTCCTCGTCGTCCTCGGACTCGGATTCCTCCCCCGCGCGCTTCCGCTTTTTCGAAAGGGCTTTCGCGGCCATCTCGTATCCTCGGCAAAAACGTCCCCACCCCATAGTCAAGTTGGGAATCTAGCGACACAAATCTCCAAGTTTTGGGAGCTGTGCATGACAAGTTTCCCTCAGCAGTGTAGTGCTGGTTGGCAAGGGAAGCCGCATCAGAAAGCCATTTTCTCATGCTGTTGCCAGCATTACATTACAAATTCCAAAACACGATTGGAAATGCTTCTCGTGTTCGTGAGGATGCGCATTACAAATTTTCCAGGGATCGCAAATCTGCATGACAACTATGGTGTGGGGACGTTTTTCCTCAGGATATCTCGTCCGCCTTCATCTTCGCCAGCGGGTCCTCCACGACCTTCTCCCCGTCGGCGTTTATCCTGTGTAAAAACGTACCCACACCATAGTTGTCATGCTACTCTGCATGCTTAAAATGTTTCTCATGCGGAGCCCCATGAGAAGCATTTTCTAATGCGGTTTGGAAATCTGTAATGCGCCAATCAGCATGAGATACTAGATCTGTAATCCTGCTTAGCTAGCTCAAACAGCACTACACTACGCGTCCAAATTTGTCATGCGAAACAGCCAAAGCTTATGGATTTGTCTAGCGGATTTCCCATCTTGACTCTGGTGTGGGGACATTTTTACTCAGGATAGCGTTCTCGGCGTCCTCGTGCATGGTGCCCTTGTCCTTGTCGTACAGATGCGACCGGTCCACGTTGACCGCCTCGGCCCACAAGTCCTTCTCCTTTTTCACCTTCGCGTTCTGTAACACGATGTCGCAGAGGAGGAAGGATTCTTGCGTGTTGTCCTCCAGCAGACAAACCACCCGGCTGCGGATACCCTTCCGCCAGTCGACAGACAACACCGTGCCCTTCAGCCAGTCCGTCTGGTTCGACCACGCGTACACCTTGGTCCCCGGCGGGAGCAGCATGTCCCGGTCCTCGAAAAACTTCGACACCTTGTCACTGGTCTGCTGTTTTTGCACCAGTTTTCCGAACCGGGAGTTGTTCCGCATCCCGGTCATTTGTTCCTGTTCCTTCTGCAGCAGCATGTTGTTCACGGTGAACGCGTCGAAGTACATCCGCGCCCGTCTGCGCCAGATCTCCAGCTGCGTCGCGAACATCACCTGGAACTTCTTCCGTTCCGGGATCGGGCACCGGGGCAGCACGGTGGAGTAGTACCGGTCGCCGTTCAACAACTCTTCCACGTACTCCCCCAGCGAGATCTCGTAATCCGGGTAGTGCTGACTCGGTGTCAACAGCGGAATCTGGATCTCACTGTCCTTGTTTGCCTGTTTCTGTTCCTCGATGCGCTTCCTCGCCAGCTCCGCGGCCTTCTCCTCCTTGGTCGTCAGGCCCTTCGCGTCGTCGACGATCTTCGCGTTTTCGATCGCGCGCTGGTTGTTGGACTCCTCCGTGTCGACGTACAGGAGTAAATACTCCCGGAGACACCGGTACATGTCCTTTCCGGGCAGGGTGTGGCGCAAAACCAAGATGCCGCACACCCGGACGAACACGTTCTCGTGCTCGAGAATCCGCATCAGCTCCTCCTCGGTGACGCCGTACCGGACCATCGCGAAGGCGATGCAGAACAGAAAACTCGCCTCGGACTCGTGTCGGCCGTGCGGCTCCACGCTGGTCACCTGGTCCACCACCTCCGAGACCAGCGCGTCGACTTCGAGGGGCAAGTGCCCGCCCAGTACGAAGTTCCCGCTGTTCCCGATTTGCATGGCGATCCGCCCCGTCGCCTTGTCCCCGATCTTGGACTTCTCCTGCACGTCCAATTTCCCGAAAAACCGGACGTCCTCGCACCCGCGCAAGACTGCGTAGTACGGGGACCGACAAATCTGGTCGCGCATCATCACGTTCCACCCGTAGTACGGCTCGCCGGCGAATTTGATGCGGTTCTCGTTGGCTGGGTCCACGTCGTACGCCCCGTGAAACTTCTTCTTGCTCTGCTCAAGCCGGGCCGCTTGTGCCGCGGCGCCGGAGGCGACGATTTGGGTGGACGCAGCCGGGGCACCTGATGCCGGATCCGGAACCGCGGTGGTCTGTTTTTTTAGATACTTACAACATACAGATGGTATTACGACTTATTCAACGTCGCTGTTCGCATCACAAAAACGAAAGAGGACATTGCAGTCCTCCGCTGGTCTCCTGTTTATTTGAGAAGAAGCTGAAGTTCGTTGAGTTGTATGACACTGAAATCGAAAAATAAAGCCGCGTCGACATGATCGTGACAGAAGTCATGTCAATTGTATAAAAGTACATATAAGAACTTAAGTACCCCCGCAAACCCGGTCGTCTGCTGTGCGGTGGCGTTGTAAAACTCTGGATTCAGCAGCATGTCCTGCCTCTTCTGCTTCAGCTTCTCGATTTCCAAGTGACTGTTTTTGAACTTCTGGCACAGCTTGCAACTCCGCATGTCCTTGCTGTGCAGGTGGCACTTTCGGACGGCTTCCAGCTGTCGAATCTGTTGGTCTAGCTGGAAAACCGCTACGGACAAAGGGGCGCGCCCCTCCTGCTGCCGCTGCATCTGCTGCTGCTGGTACGCGGCCTGTTTTTGGTACAATGAAACAGTTCTTGAGTTGTTGGATCATTCTCCAAAAACAAACTCATGGATTTATAAACTGATGCTAATCTCGTCGTGGTCCTCGCACAGTAGTAGATGAAAATAGACAAGGCAATAAGCGATAAGCCAGAGCTGTACCTGCTGCTGCGCCGCTACGACGCTGGGCGGTGGTCCCGCGTGCTTGGCCACCAGCGCCCCTGCCTTGGGGACCGCCGCATTTCCAACCCCGGCAGCGCCGCCGCCGAACTTTGGGATGGGTACTTTTTGGGCCGGGACCGCCGTTTGTCGCTCGTTGGGGGGGATAGCGGTCGTGGGGTCGTACTGCACGACGAGGTGCTCGATTTTCTTGTTGGGGGGTGCGCGAAGCAACTGCGCGTGAATGGAATTGTGGCCCGTGTAATTCATCTTGGATACTGGACGTGTCGCCGAGTTTACTTGAGAAAAGACCAAAACAAAAACAAAATCGAGCTACGCACTTCTGTGGGCGCTGAGTAAAACCGTCATCGTCGAACAAGCGTCATTTTGTCTTTCCGACTAGCAGTACGGAAGCAAGTCCTTTGTTTCCTATAGGAAGTCGCCCCTTTCCTTTTCTCAACAACACTTGAGCTAGGTTCGCTAAGGAGGTCAAGGAGCTGATATTCTTCTCACTTATGCGCCGGGGGGCGACGGGTCGTCGACATGAAAGTTGAGGTGTGAGGTGTTAATACGGGGATATTAAGTGGTGCTCTCGAAACGAGGTGGTGCCTGTGCGAAGCTGAACTCCGAAAAATCCGTTAAAATGGAGAAAATGACAGATCACTAGTATGGCATTCTTTGCGAAAGCGAAGGCGAGATAAAAGATCTTGAAGATCTTCCACGTGCATGGAAAAAAAGTGACGTGGCTTCTTCCATATTGATATTCCATTATAGTTATACGAGCATCAAAAACGGATCCTGCCGAGTGCAGATTGCGAGTTTGCAACGAATCATTTTGCATTGTATGATGTTATAACATCGCTCGGTTTTTCTGAATTGTACCAATGCAATTTGCGTCTGTCATGAATCTCCTTCATTTGTGAACCTGAACACTGTCGTCTTAGCGCAAGATCATGTAACAAGGATAGGCACGCCGTATCATTTCCCAGCATGCGTAGCAGCTTCAATAGGCTGCTGTCGCGGTCACGTCAATTGGTAACTGCTGTAGTCACTCTCAGCAAGCACGATGATCGTAAGTAGCACGTCGAGGACATCTTTCTTCTACAACATCTTGGCCTTCCTGGTCAAAAATTTTATCTTGAACCCCCCCGAGCTGCAGGAACTTTTAGTTTTACTACACACCGCGCGGAGACATTAACATTGTCGTTGTAGTCTTTTCCTTGTGTTGTTTTCGTCTTGAGTCTCCTATTCCTGCGCTTTCTCGTTTTATGCGAAGTAGATGCCTCTTCGTACCTACAACTTGCTTCTACTTCCAGAAGCACATCGCTGGATGCTCTACTAGTAGCGTCACCATGTAGTTGACAATGACATGTTTGTTGCTCAAAGAACTCTGCTTGTTTGGAGGTAGCAAGAAACATCGACGGAGTCGCTAGGTTTTAGCCCAGGTGTATCTTCCTTCTATGTATTTTGTCGCACTAAGTACCTCGTCGCTCGTCCTGGTCGATGTTTCATTGCTACACTGGGCTTGATGTTGTAGTTGTTAAAAATTGTAGTTGTGTTTCATCGGTATGATCATGTGGTTTGCAGAAGGTGTACTCGTACTGCTGTACTTCTTCTCCTGCTTAGTACTCCTTGCTCATCATCAGCCCCTTCTCCACAAACTTGCTTGGGGTCTGTTTTGGGTTTTTATTTTGCATGAGAAAGAAGTGACTACAGATGCGCAACATCACCAGACGATATAGTAGAGGTACGGCTACTCAAAATAGAATTCGTTCATATATCATCTTTGGCATGAGGTGGACACAGGCAAGTGTAGCAAGTAGTTACCTCGACGCTGAACAGCGCGCAGAACCCGGTCAAAAAAATCATGATCCACAGCAGCAAGGCGAAGAAGGCGGCGAGCACATTTGGTGATGGCGTCGGAAAGAAGGTGTAGCCAGTCAACTAAGGATTTATTTTGTTTCAGTGTTTCTTGAATGAATCAATGCACTGCTTTAGTTTGTTTCTCATGCGCAGGGAGGACGAGGAGGCAAAAAAAAATGGTTTTAGCATGATAATCTGCATCCATTTGGAGGCTGCAACACGAACGGAAACGCTTCTACCCCAACGACCGCAACTTTCGCTGCTGTTCCAGCTGCTGAGGGTGCGCTAACCAGCATTTCGGCCGCCGGTACCCCCTTGCTCACATCGAGTGCTGGTGCGGCCTGGTATAATTTGACGTTGTGTTTTGGTCTTTGTGATGCGAAACTATCATCGGAATCCACACTTATGCTTATTTCCCTGTCTCATGCATAACATATCTACTTAATTGAAAAAAGATGGAGCAGGCCTGCTTTATACCGAATCCTGGATGCTGGTTGCCTCCTGCGCCACTACCACAATGGCCAAGAGAAACACACTTCTGAGTAGTTGCTGCCACATCTTTATCTTTTGTTTATTTTCGGCCCCAGGAATCAACTCAGGCACCTTTTTCTTTGATCCCTTCACACTAAAGCAACATGGGGTTCTCCTCGTTACATCATAACAATATTCTCAAAACGAGAAAGGTAGGACTAGTGGCACGTTAAGCTGTGCTACGAAAGCAACAGAACAAAGAGTTTCTGTCGAAAGGAATCCATGGCTTCCTCCGCAGCCGGGGGCCGCTAGTTTTGTTCGTCGAAAAAAAAGACGGAGACGCGCGGGGTCTCTTTTTAGTCGCGCACTACTACAGGAGTTTGTACAGCCACAGCAGTCAAAATGGTAGAATGAAGCATCGTTCAAAAAAGAACACGCCTTTTTTATTGATCGATTTAATTCTAATTCCTCCATCGATTGGAAGTAGCAGGTCGACTATTTTCGTTGTGTTTCTCTGCGTCAGCATGCTGTCGCCTCGGTGGTAGAATTAAAATCTTAATCTACTATCACGCTTTTTTCATCACTGGCACGATAACTGGAAAATCTGTCAGCTTCATCACTGCGTCAATCAGTGTGTCTTTCTTCCTGACCATTCTTGCCACCGCACTATTGTTTGACGATTGCAACGCTTTTTCGCCTGAAATGGTACTGGCAGCGGATGTTGACAGGAGAAATCCTAGACTCAGCCCACAGGCTAATGTGCACAGATTCTTCACGAGTTTCGCAGACGAAGACGAGATGAATAGAGTGGAAGCAGTGCTATCGTCTTTTTTTGCTTGTTGTACTGCCTCAACCTCTTCACCAGGACTACAAAAGAGCGCTTTCTTGCACCACGTAGTTATAGAGGCTGAGCTGCTTGAAGATGAGAATATCTCTAATCCCCAGCTCAGCCAACCCCTCTTCCTCTTCTTCACATTGCCCATGAACTCCCGAAAACTCACGGCCTTCACGTTTGCCATGTGCAGCATTTTCCTGGCGGCAACCCAGCTGTCCTTGTCGTGGTATTTATCATCCCCGTAGACCACCCGTTTTATTCCCGTCTGAGCGATCAGCTTGCAGCACTCGTCGTTCGGGAACAAGGTTGTGTACAGTGTGCACTCTTGCTCCAGATTCGACTGCGAATTCAAAATTGCGTTGATCGCGGCATGGCAAATGAAGGGGTATTTCGTGTCCAGCCAGGGTGTGAGTGGTTGCAGATCTTCCGCTCCTTCATTTTCCGTGTCTGGCTGCGCTTCTGGTCCTAGTTCGCCGCTGCTTTTTGTTGCCTTATTTGTTGTAGCGGTGGTACTACTCCTTCCCGAAACCCACGGGAGGTCCTTATCAGAGCAGCCGGTCGGGAAACCATTGTAGCCGATGCCGATGATGCGATTTTTGTTATCCACGATGCACGCGCCGACCTTGGTGCTGGGGTCTTTGCTACGGAGGGACGAAAGGTAGGCAATGCTCATGAAATATTCCTCCCAGGAGAGGTAGTCTGAACGCGGACCGTCGACCGGCTTCGGGATGGTTGCACTGGAGGTAGTGGTCATTTTTTGCTTCCAATGCCTACAGCGCGTTGGCTCGGTATCTGTTCTTGCTCTGAAAGTTACGCTAAGGCATGCAAGTAGGGAACAAGCTAGAGACCCAGACGAAAAGATCAAAAGGTCATAGAAGTAAAACTGAATCAAGACCACGAGCCACACACGAATATACTAGGGTTTAACTACATTTCGACTAGGCGTGCAGCTACTTCCTGATGAAGCTTTATTCATTGGGAGCTGAGAATACAGCTAGAGGTAGAGTGGACCACGTAAAAAATATTTGGATCTTTCGTCTAGACCAAACTCACCTGTTGCTGCAAATACATAGTGCAGGGAACAATGTACTAAGTAGTGCAGTAAGTACGACTTGTGTAGTCCGTACTTAGTTGTACAAGACGAGGCATCCTCAAAGCCCAGACCCGGGAGGATCACTAAAACTAGAATGAAAGAAGTCATCGATTGTAAAGAGTTCGACGGTGATGTTCATCGGCGGCCTGGGGCCAGAGTGATCTTCTGTCAGAATCTCCTTCGCAATAGAATTGATGGCTGCGCCCCGGCTCCCTGAAACAAAGTCTTTAGCAACATTGATTCCCCACGCAGCTCCTTGTCTGCTATCATCGCTGCGGCGCAACTCACGGCCTTCGACATTTTCTCGCGGTCTTCGGTTGTGACGTTAATGTAGAGCAGTTGTTTTTCTTCCGGCAAATTGCTCGTCGCAGGATGTTCGGAAATTTTTTGCTTCAAAATCTTCAAGGTGTCTTTCTCCAGGTTGATGTTTTCCAGCGTGAACGTGGTGTCTTTGTAGGAGATGGTCAGCTTCATTTTATACTCTTTATTGGTAAAAATGATATCGACCTCTGGGCGGTTGACAGCACAGATTTGATTTTGCAGAAGTTGTAGACATTTTGCGATTGCTGTTGAAGACACCTTAGAGAATTAATTTGAAGCGACAATGAGCACGACGCCACGCCAGCGCCAGCATGCGTTGACCGCATGAAGCAAGAGGAAGAGATAGCAAAAAACTCAAAACCGAATCAAAATGTAAGAACATGATTGATGACTGCGTTTCGCGCCTGCAGGAAAGACCGACGTAGCAGGCCAGAACGAACCAACTAGCTACCACAGAATTTCAGTTGTTGCCGGGAAAATCCATACCTTCTTGGTTATCGCAGCGGTAGCCTCACGGTGAAATCAGTTTCTCAATGAAGTCTTTATTCTCATGCAACTACACGAGCGCTTCTACATTGATTTGTGTATAGCCGCTTTCGGGACGAGAGCCGAAAATTTACTGCATTCAGATTTTACAGATAAGCTCAAGAACTTGTCCTCAACAGTGCGATCATACAAGTCAGTACGTTTCTACACGAGGAAACCAAGAACCGCACCTCACGCCTGGCCTTTCCCACCACCGCCCAGCACCCCGCCCGCACAGTCCCCTCCGCAAATATCCTGCTTCGTCCCGCTGTGCGCCAATTCCGGCAGGAACGCACACGCTGCACACTTCAATCCGGGTGTGGCGTGGGAGATTGTGGATTCGATTTTCCCGGCCTTGTCAATCATCTCCTTCTCCTGCACGTACAACTTGTTTAAGGTGTTCAATTTCTTGGAAACCTGCTTCAGATCGTCCATCCGGCTGGAATACACGCTCAGCAATTCCTTCACGTACTTTTTCTGTTCCGGTTCCGGTCTTTTCGCAAAGCTCTTTCCACCGCCGCCGTCAAACTTTTTCAAACTGCGACCCGGAGCCGCTATCGATTCTAGCGGCTGCGGATCCATCGCCAGCCGCTTCGCCGCCTCCTCCTGCTCTTCGACCGCCTTTTGGTCCAGTTTCTTCGTCAGAACGCCGTCTTTGCGCACGTCCTCGGCGGCGGATTGCTTCGAGTCCAGCGGGCTGGTTGCCTGCCCATTCTCGGCCTTGGTGTCGTCCTTGGATTCGGTATCGTTTTCCTCGGGGGCGGCGCCCAAATCCTTGGTGGTTTGAGCGTCGTCCGTGGCCGGAGGAGCCATTTCTGGTGAGGGAGGTGGGGGAGGAGAGTCAACCTCTGCGACGTCTTTCTTGTGTTCTTCATCTCCCTGCGCAGCGGGTCCGGGTGGCTGATCTTTATGCTCTTCTGATGGTCCTGGTCCGGCCGCAGGAGCCTGTCCTTCGTTGTCTTTCCCAGTATGCTGCTCACCAGCTGCTTGTTCTCCCCCGGGTGCAGAAGATGGTGTAGCATCACCTGGCTCTTCGCTTTTCACGGCACCCTCTTCCGCTCCTTCCACCCCCTTCTCCCCGGCGGGTGGTTGTGCTGCTGCATCTTCTTTCTTTGGTTCATCTGCAGCGCCCGCATCCGGACCGCCACCACCTGCTCCGGCCTCGGGGTTTTCCCCTCCCGTCGCTGGCGGCGATGCAGTATCGTCTCCAGCAGGCGCATCATGTGCAGGAACTTTATCACCCGCGGCTCCAGGAGGAGGATCACCGGGAGCATCTTTACCAGCTGGTTCTCCTTTAATATCTTCTTCAGGAAAAGCAGTGCGCAGCTTCGAAACAACCGATTCTTGGGTGTTAGCGCGTTTTGCAGGCCTCAGCAAGCTGGGATGCACGTGAGAAGCGCTGACATCAGTGTTGGCTTTCAGAAAAGCTGTGCTCGTCGCCTTGATTGAATTGGTGGAATATCTCCTTGTCACTCCCGCAGACGTGGTGATCGAGGTAGGCAGGTTGCTCCAGGAGTTCTCACATGTAGGACGGCTCTTCGACGAAGGAACAGGCGCAGGCCATATTAGTTCGGCTAGAAAATAGTTTACTCCGAGACCCATGATTTTGAGCTGTTTCTAGCTACTGGCACCGGATACGTTAACGTTTTTCTTCGGTTCTTCGTATTTGATACCATCATGCACCTACAGATTTTCGCATTACTGATGCCATACTTAGTTTTCCATCAGTGGAGTAGTACAGTTTAGCTACTTAGTTACAACTCACACAACATTGGGATCAACGTAGCGCCGTCGCCCTCACACGACTGCCCACACTCGAGCACAATCAGGGTAGTGGTTGTCTTTGTAAGTACTATCAATTCGTGATTTATAAACGACTGCGACACCATTCAGCTAGACTCTGCTCTCCATTTACATCACTCAAACTACTCTTCCCTGGGCCTCGCCGCTCGTCACTCGAACGATATATGAACATGATGAACACACACCACATACACGGAAAGTCAGCGAGCAGCTTCAGGTGTGTACAGCGATGCCTTCATGCGCCGATGGCGTTCGCCACCGCGCTGCCGCTATCACGTCAGCGATACCTACGAGAGGACACAAAGCGCGTTCTGCGCAGGCCGACCCCATACTGCGGCAAGATGGGTCCACAAGATTGCCGACACTGCGAACAACGGCTAAGACTGAAGGAGGCGTTTGTATGGCAGCGCCGAAAGCGAGCGCGCCAAGCCAAAAATCAGACCGCCCTGCGCGCCACCGAATGCGCGGAGGGGCGCAGGGCCGCTTGCGGGCCTCCATCCAAACTCAACTATACCCGCGCCCGGTCTTTCTATCTGCACCACTGGCACAAGCGGCCGGCACCTGCGGAGGCCCATACGCCACGGCGCCAAAGGCCACAATGGGGGCACGCCGAGGCCCGCCTAGCCCGGCACTGGGGCGAGCGGCACCGCCCCCACACGCGGAGCCCTTCGACGCCGCGCGGGCTACCAAGGGGCGGGGGCGGCGGGCGCGGCGCCGTTAGCTTTCGGCCCCCCCCCACACAGTACTGGCCACCCGGCTGGGTGGCTCCGAAGACAGTGACGAACGTGGCACAGTCGTGCACCAATTCGGCCCGCCGGCGTTCCACTGGCCCCGCCCCTCGCGAACCTCGGGCGCTTTTCCCTCCCCTAAGACCACAACGATGGCGGCACTGCTTCCACCCTCGTACGCATCCACCGCGCGCAGGGTGTTCGCGCCGGGTGGGCGAGGGGGGGCGGGGGCCACCCGCCCCGGCGGAGGGCGGGGGCGCCAGCGGGGGCGCGGCCAGTGCGGGCGCGGCCGGGCGCTTTGCTTCATTCCATCCGATTCGGCCGCGCCTGCCGGGGCCCCCGCCTTGGCGGCTTCGCGAGCTAGCCGCAACAGGAACGCCGGCGGTAGCGCAGGCCTGGATCATGATGCCAACGCGCCGCCCGCCCCGCTGCGCCCGCGGGCGCACTTCGCTGCAACTCTTGCCCATTCGCGCACGTCCGTGTTTCCACTTTGCGGCCTGTTCCTCGACAAACTTCCGCGCGAGCACCCACTCCGCAGCCACGTAATCTGTCTGCGTTAGTGCTTACAGGTTCAAGGTTCAAGTGTCGCCCTCCGGGCTCTGATCGCGCCCCGCGCGCGCGCCCTCCCTGCGCACCGGCCCGGGGGCGCGGCAAGGCCGACAAGACGCCCCGACGCGCGCCCCGGGCCTCGCCGAATACGCAGCGCACCGCTGGAGTGCGCTCGGGGGCACAATTCCCAGGGCTGCAACCCGTGGTGGAGTTGTGTAGTTGAATGGGTAGACTTCACATCCAAAGCGGGCTCCGCCATCTTGCTCCTCGATTAGAGCCAGACAATCGTCAGAACATTTGAGATCCTCTTGAAACAGCCGAGCGAACACACGGATTAAACAATTCGAGTGCGGTACTTCGGCGTACCACGGCACAAGACGGATGCTCAGGTTATGTGCCGTAATTGCAATTCATTGCACCTCACGGGGACACCGTGATTTACTACAATTTGAGTCGAATTTCGATTTCCGGAACTTATGCGGCAGTGAAAAATTATAGCTGAGCGTCTGCATACCGCAGGGATGCGCACAGAACTTTGTAGTAGCTCAAAAACCACAAAAATGATTTACTTAGCATTGACTGGGTGCGCTTCTACTCGTTTTTGTTCTTGTAGACAAACGGCACAAATACCTCACGGAACAGGGGTGGGTAGAAAATTACAGTGCAGTAAGCACATACAAGCCTCTGGAGCTTCACGATACCGTGCTCCTAAAGAATTTTGGTTTTGCTACGAACAAGTGGATGCGAATTCATAGAAATAGATCCTGAAAATACTTAAATCCTCCTGAGATCCTCGAAGACCCCGTTCAGGCTTTTAAGCAAAATCGGCTCCGCGTTCTCACTGGACAGCATGACCGCCCGGGTCATGCGCATCTTCTGGATCACGGACTTCTCCTTCTGCCGCAGCGTTGAAGCCGTGGCGTTCGTGGCACTCATTCTCGCCGACGGTTTATTTCTCTGCGACGCGGAGCCTCTCGCCTTTGTTTGACTGTCGTCGCCACCAGACGTGTCCTTCACGAAGTAGTCGCTGAGAAAAGTTGCGTTCACACTGGGCCACTGCACGAAAATGTTCTGGTCGCGAGATTTCAGAAACATCTTCTCTTCTTCGGTAAGAGATTTCATCTTCGCAGCGGTAGAAGGAGCGCCAGGAGCTGCATCTTTGGGAGTAGGTGCAGTTGCTTGCGCAGCACCAGCAATGGGACGCTTCGGTTCCTCGGCTCCTGCGTCCCTTGTCAACGGCACAACAGGCGCAGTTTCTCCCTCGACCTTTCGTCGCTGGTGACCACTAGTACTTCCCGCTTGTTGACCAAGAAGAGCTCCCATACCGCCGCCACCCTTCCTCCCTCTCATTGTCTCCCCGTTTCGGAAGGGGCTCAACCCGCGGTTTTTCGGGGGCAGACTGGTAGTGCCGTAGCGTCCTCCCCGGTTCGCCATGGCGGACTCCTCGTGCGTGGTCCACAGCCACTGGGACTTTCTCCCACTCAGCACCGTACATTCCAAGTCCAAAAACCCCGGAAAGGGGCGCTTCGTCCCGAACCTCTCTGCGAACCGCCAGTCCGCGGCCGACCACAGCACGTGGACGCGCTCCGGATCGTAAGTGTTTAATACTTGGTTCTCGTCTTCTTGCTGCTGGTTTGGAATTACTGAGGAGGAAATCCGCGTGCCGTCCATCGAGAAATCGTAATCTTCGACCTGCGATAAGTAAAACCCGGGGGAAAGCTTTTTCGAGCGGTACAGAATGCCACCAGTTTGCTCCTCGTCCTGGTAGTTGTTCTCGCTGTCTTCAGAGTCGTTGTATCCTGTATTTTTTCCTCTTGACCCTTGGTTCACCCTGGTAACCGGCACAAACTTCTTCGTCATGGCATTCCTCTGCATTTCGAAGTTTTCCGAGTTCAGCTGGAAGGTCTTGGTGTTGTTTGCGTTGCTGCTATAATCAACGCCGGCGATGTTGATGTTCTCAGAACCAACGACCTGCTGGGATGATTTTTGGATGGCTTTGCTGGTCGTCGCTGTTGTTCCCTCGAGCAATTCCTGTAGCTGACCTTGCATGGCGAGCTCGCTATTCACTGCAGCATTCAGCAAGTCCGTCAATGCGTCGTCCAACATGGGAACGCCCGATGTGGTCGCCTGTTTGGAACTCGACTTGGAGCTTACACCAGATGGCTGGCCCAATTGAACCGCGGTCGGCTCGGGGTAATAGAAACGAAGAAGCTTTTGCTGTTGCCGCTGCTCCACTGGTGATCCAGCAGGACGAGCGTTGTTGGCCATCTTTTCTGCCGCGGAACGCTGCTCGTCCAAAGATTCTGCTGTTCGCTCCGCAACACCAGGAGTGCGACTTTTCGCAACTTTCGTTCTGCGCTCCTTGACCGCCCTCTTTACCTTCATTGCAGAGTCCAGCTGCGCCGTTCTACTTGCACTAATAGGGTTTTTCGCGGCCGCAGTAGCGCCTTTCCCCGTCTTATGTAGTACCTTTGTTCCCTGTTTTCCTGACAGCAACAAGGCAGCCCCGTTTTTCCGACTTGCCTTTGGGTGCGGAACTGGGGGCTGGTCTTCGGTTCCTGATATGGAAGACCGACTTCTGGAAATTTCGTCATCTCTTAAGCTGGTTCTAATGCGGCGACGTGAGCAGGAGCTCCGCTTTCGACGATTACTACTACTTGCCGGTCGATTTTGAACATTTCTTGCAGCTTTTCTAGCACGACCGCTATGTCGCTCATCTGAGGCGTTTTTGCTTGTCGCTCTACCAAAGCCCGCACCCGCTGGAGCCCTGCGCGATCGCGGCCGAAACTCGCGCTCTCCTTGACAGTCTGCTGTCTGGGAACTCTGGCGTCGCCTACTAGTAGGAATGTTCTTGCCACGAACTACTACAGGACCACCTTCTGCTCCATGCAGTCGGTCCTCCTGATAAAACGCGAACTGCAACTTTTCTTCATTTCCGGAAGTTGTATTTGTGTTGCTGTTCTTGTTGGCACCAGTGCGAAGAATTCTACTTCTCTCCTCGTCCCTACCGCCAATCTGATGATCCGGGACGTCCTGCAAGGAAAACATCTTGCCGTCCTTCGAGAAGGCCTCATCGTGGACCACCACCGGGTGCTCGAAGTTCACCACCACGTGCTGTCCGGATTTCACTTTCTCGACGTCTAACTTCCATGCGTCTTCCCGTTTCTCGTTCTCCGGCTCCCAAATCCACCCGCACTCGGCAACCTGGTAGGTGGTGGACCGTTCGGGAGGCGGGGGCGGCGCTGCATGATCTTTAGTATCCGAAGAAGTAGACAGCGAAACCCGATGCGCAGGGGAGAAGCCGATGAAGCGCACCCGCGCGTGCCTCTCCAGTTGCCGTCCGCGGGAATCGGTGCAGGGCGACTTTTGCATCGCCTCCTTCAACAGTTCTTCGTCGAAAAACGCGGCGCCGCGGACGGCGGAAACAATCGTTGCAGAAGATGAAGAGCCGGCACTGTTGTTCGGGAAGAAGCTGTGCTGTTTCAACCTTTTTTCCATTTCCCGCTGAATCTGCAAAAGCTGCGCCTCCGTCCGAATTCGCGGCGCGTGCGCTTGGCGGTCCAGCGCCGACGTTGTAGTTCCCTTCTTGAAAACGTTCAACTCCCCATCCAGACTGTGGTAGTCCTGCTCCAAAAAACAGCCGAAAAAGTCCAAAACCGACTGCGCGGCGTAGCTGCCCTCCTGTCAAATGTAAAAATGTCTGGGTCTGGAAGATTCTGAGACTTGGTTGGTTGGTTGGTTGGATAGCGCCTGTCGCCGGTGCAGGTCCCGCCCTCCATCGATTGCGATCCGGAGTAGCCAGAACACAAGGCCCTAGTGGCACCATGTTTTGCCTGGGCCATGATGTCTGTGATGCATGCCCTAGCATCACAGATTTTTTGAGGGCTTCGCGATGCCTATTCCGCATGACAAATGCCCTCTCCGCGTAGCAAAAATTACACTCCCTTTGCTGCTCATGCAATACAGATTTTTGTGGAATTCAAATTCAGCATCACAAGTTGCATTCTTCCAGACCCACACATTTTTACATTTGATACCTCCTTCCAATGAACCACTTGTTGCTCGTTTTTGAACTGCGAAACCTCGTAAACCCCGAGCATGTGGTCGAACTCCGTGTGGTAGTTGGAACTGTTCACCGTTGGGCTCGCGTGGAGAGATACAGCTACGCGGTTCGCGTGCAGCAGGTGAAGCTGGAACGCGTAGTGCAGATCAGAAGTATCGGTAGGATGATCTTCGGTTTGGTTAAGAGATGCTGATCCGTCTAAATTCTTGGACTGCTGCTCATGATCCAATTTCAACAGTCTGCGACTTTGGTCCTCAGGGTAATAGAAGAAACGAGGGCTGCTCATTTTGGTGCCCACTAACTCGGCGCTTGGACTTGTGTCCGTTGTGACCACGGGAGATGGATCCTGTATGAAGGTGGTAGTTGTAGGTGCTATTTGGATCAAGTGAATTTTATTGCTAGATTCAACACAATCTGATTGTGTTTAATAGATTTGGATCCGGTTGTTCCTGCTGCAGTACCACTACCAATAATCTTCGTGGGCATCGCATGAAGCGGAATCAGGCGAACCTATGCCCAGCGGCAGCAAGCGGCTGCTAGTATTCCTTGTCCTTCACACAATAAAGGACGATGCAAATTCTATGTCAAAACAAGGCGTTATTCTTACCGCGTCCTCTCCCCGTCCAGCTTCAGCATCCTTTCCGAGGAGTTCTTCCAAAAACAAATCCAACTTCTCACAGATTTCCTTCACGCCCGGCACTCCCTGCGACTTGTCTTTGTCATGCTGAGTAGCATCGATAGAATCATCAACACTCCCGTCCTCCTCGTCATCCGTAGGCTCCTGCGATTGGTGTGCGCCGTCGAAATACTTCATCTGGTTTATCGGGTTGTTGGCAATGCTGTTCTGCAGAGAGCGCTCGTCTAATTCCTCTTGCTTCGTTTGCATCGCACCGATGTTTTTATTGGGAAGATTCAGATCCCTCGTGCTACTCCCGGTAGACGAGATGATCTTTTTCCCATTAACGTGGTGATGCACTTCCAGATGCAGCTCATCCTCGGACGAGCTTGGAAAGGCGGCACGCTGAGAAAAATGGTTCTGGCTTTGGCAAAACTGAATCTTTCTGTTTGTGGTGCTGGTTATTTCCACGTTCTGCTTCTCCTGCTCCTTGTGTAGCATGACAGGCGGAGAGTCCAGAGCTTGTTTCGGAAAATGGTGCGCGACGTCCAAGTGGAGCTCGTCTTCGGAAGAGGAGTGCTGTACTGTCTGCTGGAGGTTTTGCTCTTGCTGTCCGCAGGTCGGTGCTAATGCAGGTGGTGCAAGAAGGTGAGAATGATCCAGATGCAGTTCGTCTTCCGAGGATGACAAGACACGGCTGGTTCGTGACGAAGTCTTCGACGCGAGTTCTGGAAGTAGATGTTGAAACGACAGGTGTTCTTTCATCTCATCCGCGCCGGCAAATACGTCTACGTCCAACTGCACGGGCTGGAGTAGGCGGAACGACGAAGGAGGTGCAACTGTATCTGTACCACCAGCGGTTGTAAAAATTTCTTGCAAGTCCACCTCTTGTTCCCGTTTCTTGACATGATCTCCTTTAGCAAGATGAACTCCTGTGCTTCTAGCAGTCGTACATGGTTCTGCAGCTTCATCATCTTCCGGTTCATTTACTAGCACTTCATCCAGCTGCGTGTTTGCCACCTCCCGTTCTGATACCATTTGTTCGCGGAAATCCTCCTCCGGCTGCACGACGGTGGAAAGACCCGTAGACGGAAAAGAGTACATCAGCTCATCGTGATACAGGTGGTCATTTAGCAGCTGCTGCTCCAGTCTCTGTTGCTGCTGTTGCTGGAGGAGGGCACGAGCGCGGTCTTCCTGCACTTCTTGTTGCTGCACTGGCTCTCGTACGCCTTGCTGCATTTGTTCCTCAGGACGATCCTGGTAAGAACTTCCCTCTGCCGCAACCGCAGCAGCACTCTGAAAGGACGAAAAAGAAAACATCAAGTGGGTCGGAGATTGTTGTTCTTGACCTTGAGCGGTCTGCTGCTCTTGCAGCCACCGCATGAAACTACTACTGTGTTGAAGTTGATCTACTACTGCTTCATCGGGCGCTGCTGATGTTGTGAGGCGGGTCGCTTCGTGCTGTTCAACGTGTTCATGTCCTAGCCCTACATGATGACCTGAAGTCGCACGACGAGAAAAATCCTCCTCCTCCTGATCGGACACCAACTGGTGTTCCAGTTCGTGTTCCTCCATTTTTCGGGCTTTTTTCGTAACCAGATCCACCTCTTCCTCCTCGAAGTCGTCTTCGCACGAACAGAACAGGTCGAGATGTGGAGGTAGTCGTGGCGGCCCGACATTGTTATCAAACAACTGCTGTTGTTGATGCTGCTCTAGCTCTTCTTGTCCTACTCCCAGTCCTCCTGCATCTCTACTCCGATCTGCTCCCAGCTGCAACAGGTCATCTGCCAAAAATGCGGGCCGTTTGCTCAGAAAATAGGTGGACGCTGCACTATGGTTACCACTGCTTTGCTGGCCACTCTGACTCTGAGCCGGAACTTCTACAGGCCGCGCTGCGTTTGTAGTTCCCCACTGGGGATTTTCCTCTTCGTAGAAGCAAATCGCGAGATGAAAGGGATTCGAATTTCCCTGAAGAAGGTGCTCCGACGTCGTGAAGAAAGGACTTTCGTCGGTGCGGCCTGTGGTTGCAACACCATGATTTATTCCGCGAGCGCGTTTCCGCTTGTTCGTGGGGCTGGACGGAGGTGTTGCGAGATAGGTCGGGGTTGTGTAGTAAGCTTCACGACCTCCATAGTCGTGGTGTGCGAGTCCACCTGGAAGAGGCAACGACACAGGAGGTTCTTGTACTTCGCCTGCGGAGGACGAGAGGAGTCTCAAATTGTCCTCCTCCGCTCCTTCCCTCTCTACCTCCTCGTCTACCACCTCTACTGCGGCGCTGTGAACCTTCAAAAAGTCCAAGTTCAAAGGCACCGGAGCCGGACAAGCTTCCCGCGGCTTTTCGTGGTCGTAGTTGTTGTTTGTAGTTGCGACCAGGACCTCGTCACCCTCAGTTGTTGTAGTGGCGGTGGTCACTTCCTTGTCTTCTCGCACGTCGGAGCGAGAAGCAGGGTCACGCTTTGCGTAGTTATCGATATCTTGATCTCGGGACAACGTCGAGTTCTTCTTGTCTTCTACGTCTACCGCGAAGATCACGCCTGCGGCCGAACACGGTTGTACAACCTCCTCTTCCGCCGTACTGCTTGTACAGGAACAAGAACTGGACGACCCACTAGACGCGGACGAGTTCGCCAAAGAGTTTGTCGCGGTTAGAGAGACTAGCTCCTCAGACTTGTTCGGTTTTTTCACGCTCGATCCTTGCTGCAGCAGCCCCTCGTCCGTCAAAACCGGGAGAAAATTCTCCTCTTTGATCAGGGAAAATTTTTCCAGCACAAACCAGTCGTGCTTGAAAACGACCACGTAGGAGTTGAGGAAAAAGCTGCAGGAGTGGGCCGTCGGTGATGATGTGGCGGTTGTTGTAATAGGGACAAATGCCCCGTTGGCGATGAGTAGCGGCAGGTCCTCCATGTAGTACGTCGGACCGTCGGGGTAGGCGGTAGGCTCCCAATTCCTCCGCCTAGAAGTTGTGATTTTTTCCTTGTACATCTGCAGGGCGTTGACGTATCGCGTTACGAGGGGGGCGAGGGGATTTATTTTCGATACAGAAGGTGCCGTGGACGACGATGGCACCACTGGTTGCACCACTGGAAGCTCCTGCTGCAAAGTTGCTGTGTCGTCACTGCTGCATGCCACGACTGTTCTTGGGCGCTTCTCGTTCTCGTTGCCAACTTCCGTCGCTGTGGTTTTATCGTGAAGCATATTTCTTCTCCCATCATGGTCGCTCGCGCCGGGAGCGAACCTGGAGAACAAACTTCGTATCATTTTCCACAAACACCGACTTTGACTTTCAGAACGTACCTACTAACGTCGAGGTCGAATATTCTACTTTCATAAATTTGCGAAGCAAATCGGGAAAATCGTGCCACGGGGTGCAGCAAAAAAGGACTAGCACTTCCGGGGTTGAAGTTGTCCAGGTATCCTTGTTCGGATTCGTAAAAGCAAGAGGAATGTCGACTTCACACGACACTACACACAAAACCGATATAGAAGACGAACGAAAAGGAAAAAGGTTCAACGAAACAAAAAAGAAGCACGATTAGGACGAAGAAGAAAGTCGAACAAGATGTTTTCTAACACGAAACGGCAAACGAATGGGCAGTGAACGATAGACCGTTTTTACGATTGTGGACGAGGTGGACTGCGTCAGGAACTAGGTCAGTAGGCACCAACTAAACCAGCTGCCTGCGCGGGCGAGGTACGAAATCCAAAAAGCAAACTGTTACAACGATACACGAATTACATATTTACGAAACAAAACAAGGCTCGTTGGTGTACGTGTACTCTGTAATCACTACGTACAGAACATCTTCACTTGAGTGTACTTCTTGGCGTTTAGCTCTGCAATGTCGCAACAAACACCAGCGTCTGGTGTCTGCAGTCCAATCGTCGTCGCAATTCTCGACTAAAAGTTGAGTTTTCATGCACGCTACTTGGTAGATGAGAAACGCTCCCGGGCGTCAGCCGTTCCGCTGACACGTCAAATAATTTTGGTGCAATTATAGTTACTGGCACAAATCACTTTTTCGCTACTGCCGCTGTTTGATCAGTTTCGCCTTCACGAGGGCTCACATCATCCCTATCAACTGTAAAAATGTCTGGGTCTGGAAGAATTCATGTTTGTCATGCTTGTCTGGCATGACTCTTAAATCTGTCATGCACGTGACCCAACAGCTCCGTTTTTCTGTGATGCAGAAGAACAATTTGTCATGCAGAATAGGCAACACCTAGAAGCTCAGAAACTTGTCATGCTGAGCCAGCACTTGTGGCATGATCATGAGACGCCGCCCAGCATCACAAGTTTCCAGACCCAGACATATTTGCATTTGATAATCCCCCCGATCGAACCAGTAGACCGGAATTTCGTCGTCTTCATCATCGTTCGCCAGGTCTTCCAGTTCTTTCTCCTTGCTCCTATCGTCTTTCGAAGCAGAAGCAGTACCACCAGGCTGCACATCCGCTGTATCCTCGTCCGGGTAGAACACGACCAGAAACCCGCTTTTCTTTACCAGCCCGTCCGTCGTGTTGTCCGGACCCACCGCTGGGCCTGCTTCAGCGCTGCAAGACGAGGAGGAAGATGACGCCGTTTGTTTCCTCGTTTTCACTTTGCTTGTCGCCGGCTTCTTATCTCCATCCTTTTGTGCTGACTTTATACTCCCCCTCGACTTCCCGCTGCTTGCCTTCTGGTCCACAATTTCCCGGCGGATACTTGGGAAAGTCTTCAGCTTTTCGTTCTTTGGCAAGAAGGAGGTTGCGGACTCTTCGAGAATCTTCGCAATTTCCTCCTCCTCGCCGGGCTCCGTCACGACCAAGGCTTTGCGGGTTGTTGCAATTTTGGACGTCGTCGAAGTATTCGTCGCGTTTGAACGCTTGCTGCTCTGAGGACTAGCGCCCGGCGCGCCCGACATCTTTATATCTTTGAGGATAGTGATGACTTTGACTCTCAATCGCCGATCTTAAACTTGATGATGGCGCTTCAACTCCCTCCCACAAACCTACCATGTTTGTAGTTGCTGGCTCTCTTTTCCGATATACCTCCATTTGAAGTTCTGCCCCGAGAACTCGGTGCGGGTGCATTCTCTCCCCGTTTCTTGAAAACAAACTTCACCGTTTCGAGTTCGACATCGACATCGACTTCTCTCATTTGCAACATTACTATGCGTGCTCCTGCCGGTCTTTTCTATTCTCTCGTGATCGAAGCACTGCGTTCCTGTCGACGAGAAGCAACATCAAGGATAAGGAGGACCCAGCGCGGTTCCTCGCACTCGCAGAAACACTTCTTATTGATTACGAGGAAAAGGAATGATCGTGATCTTGTTCGTTGTTCATCAATTTCAGCACCGGTGGTCGTGGTGTGCAAGTCCGTGCATTGTCGCTGTACTTGGGTGAGCAACGCGCAGGTCGTGGCCTTTCCCTTGTAGCAGGCACTGCATATTAGCCATGAAAACGTCTGTATCTCATCTCGCTGTGCGGTTCGTCGCACATCACTGAGCCTTTTTGTTTTCCACCGCCGGTTCAGGTTCTACCTCTCGTTCTTCCCGCAGCACTGGAAAAAAACCTCCACGTATCCACTGCAGCCCTACTGCACGACGGGGCAACATCTTCAAAACAGCGGTCGTGTCCTGCTCGACCGCAGCATGCGTCTCCAACGTTCCATGCTTGTTTTCGTTTGTTCCACGAACCTTGTTTCCCCTTTCTGTTTCCAACGCACGTTCATCTCCAAGACGTCGAGCAGGTGCAGTTTCAGTTTGTGTTTGTTCAAAAGCAAAGTGATACGCTTCATTTCTCTTTTTCAGTTCCAGCGCGAGAACGCTCAGATTGAAACCGACGGCCACGAGCAAGTGCCATGCCCAGGCGTGGGTGTGGAACGGGCGCACGAACGGGCACAGAGTCATCTCCAGGGACCAAAACACGATGGCAGTCACGTACGCACACAGCCCGGGCACGGCCAGCTGCCGGAATTGTGCTTTCCATGAAGGAGATGAATCACTCGTTCTGTACCTTCGACAGAGCCACGCGCACCTTCCCAGGGCGTAAAATTCGATGGGCGTGAAGAGAAGGTGAAAGACGACAAACAGCTCAAAAGCGTCGTACAGGAGGTAGAGAAGAATTCCGGTCGCGATAAGGCTCGAGGCTAACTTCCGATTCCACAGTTGATTGATTTCATTCGTCTGACTTGAGGAGGACACTAATGTGGCAGTTTTCTTGGCCGTCGTGATGGAATCACTTGTGCCTCCCCCTTGCTGATTACTTTGTCCTTCATAATGGGTAACGTCACCTCCATCATGATGAGAAACTTTTACGTTATCCGAAGTAGACAGAATCGGTTTACATTCCAATGCGTAAACGCAGCTGAGGGCGCAGATGGCCATGGGCACTTCGTCCAGCTTTTGCCACCTGCGGTCCAGAAAAGCGTGCAGGCCGGCGGAGCCGATGCTCTGGACGCAGAACGCAGCGTAAGTCATCTTCGTGCTAATTGAAGTGCGAGTACTTGCGATAGTTCTTTGCGGGCCTGCCAAGCTCCGCTGTTCAATTTCCAACTTCTTCGTGCGCTCAAGGAAATCGAAATCACTTTTCGGCAACGCGAAAAAATAAAACGAGAGACCGAGCGCAAGCATGCCCAACGCGGAAACGGTGTTCCAAAACTCCGCCACATATTCCGTGTAGACGTAATTGGGCTCGCAAAAATCAATCAAGGCGGAATGCGGTTCCCAGTAGCCCCGCTGGCCACTAAAGTCCCGGTCGAGGTCGTTCATGTTCTGTTAATGGGATAACAAGTTTCTTCATCCATCAGACTGCACGGGGTAAGTAATCGTAGTCTGCTGAGGCTCGTCCAGAATCAAATATTGTACAACATAGACATACTGAAATGAACTTTGGCCCTGAAACGACATTCATGTAACTTGCTCTCAAAAAGATCACAAGCAGACGATGGTCAGAAGAATCTATCAGAAGCGGCCAGGTCTTTCTTCGTTACCGATGGGTGGTGCGCGCATGTGGTAAGGCTTACATGATCCCGTTGCAGATTTATCGTCGGATCCAGTTCCTTGGGAACAATTTGTACTGTTCGAACGACTTTGAACCTGTCACCTCTAGAGCGAAAGAAGAATTATGCGGCGAGCAAGAGTGTAAGAAAGTGTAACGAAACGAACCTCCGCAACCTGAATTTGAAAAGATTCTCCGAACTACAGTTCGAGAGGTCGACGTGAACAGCAGACCCGGGTTGGCGCCTGGACCATCGTCTGGCGCCCTAGCGCGCTTGCCGGCGGGGTTATTTTCTTTGTTCCTGATGGTGTATGTCATGTGGGATAGAAAAATTTACCTTATGCTAGTCTTTGGCTACTTCCAGAAACGCTTGGAAGTTGGTAAGGGTGGTTGATACGTGTGGGTAGACAAAAGCAAAAGCGATGAGCGCAAGCTTCTTGGACTTGACGCAAATGAGAAAAAACCAAAGGCGGCGCCACAACGGCGTGCAATTGGAAGATGAAGATGAAGAGAATTTGTATTTTGAATGGCATGAGATTAGAGGCCGCAAAAAAATAGACATAAGTGAGAGAGAAAGGAGTGGAAAGATGAACACGACATCTATGTACTTAAGTACTCACAGAAGTACCTTCGCGCACCAGTGTAGAAAACTTCCTGGCGCGGTCCACCACAGTAGAAATTCGTTACATCAACTGTATAGCCCTCTATTCTTTCCGTCCTTCCGCATCCCCCGTGCGTTTTGCATCTAACAGCTCCTGCTCCCGCGCGAACTTCAAAAAGACCTGTTCCAACGTGGGCTCCCCAAACCCGTAGTCCTCGATGTACTTTTTCATGCTGTTTTCCAAGCACCAGCGAAACACGCTGGCGAGATGGGGCTTTTTCCCGCCCCCGCCGAGCGTAAAGATGAGGCGGACGCGAATGTCGCTAAACGGCACCTTCTCGAGCAGCCGGATATCCTCCCGGGCCAGCGACAGGTCCGCGCACTCGGCCAGCAGACTGTCGACCACGAAGCACTCGCAGTCCTCCATCGTCATGGTCGCTAGTGGTTTGCCCTTCGCGCTCGTTACCTTCCCGTGTTCGGACTTGGAAAGTTTCACCTGCTGGTCGAAGCTCAGAACCTCCACTTCCGCTCCACCTGCCGGCTTTGTTTCATTTTTCGCTTCATCAACATCCGCAGTCGGAGGTGCTAGTACTTCTCCTATTGCAGTACTACTATCAGAAGCTGCTTCTGCCGCGGAGGTCCTCACATTTTTCGCGGCAGCGGCGGTTGAATTGCGCGAGCTCCGCTCACTGATTGCGTTGCTGTGCCCGGATTCGTCGAGATGCAGCACTGGGTCGACGGTGGCCACTTGGACCGACTCGATGCCCACATTCAGGAAGGTCTTGTCGTCCGCCGCGTCAGAGTCCCTCGACTTTCGATTTCCGCTTTTCAAGAAGGACGCGTTCGTGACTTGCAGGGGAGTCAGACTCGCAGTCCCCATCGAAGACAGGAGCCCGGACTGCTGGGACTGCAGCTTCATACTACCTGTTTCGGCGACGTCGTTGCCTTCCTCTAATACCGGACTGGGCCGCAATAGGCTTTCCAGCTCGTCCATCGGGTCTATCTCCTCCGCTTCGGCTTGTAGTTCCCCCTGCTGCACCTGTGATTCGCCTTCTGGTCGGTGTCCTGGTCCAGCGGCTTTTTTACCGCCCATGGTACTAGCTGTTGTGCCGACATTCGACCCCACACTGGATGTCGTGCTCTTCAACAGCTTACTATTTCCGCTCGCTGCGAGCTCGCGCGCCGCGGCGTCGATGGCGTTGTGCGCCGCGATCTCGCCGGCGCTGAGTTGTTCGGTGGTGCGCGTTCCGGGCTCCTTGTGTGCGACCTGCGCGAGCACCTGAGGATAGTCAGCCACCTGTTCGGTCGTCCGCGTCCCCGGTTCGTGGTGCTGCGCCGCGAGGAGGTGGTGGTGTGAAGAAACTTGTTCTGGGTACAACTGGCTCTTCTTCGACACACGAGTTCCAGATGTTGATGGTTTTTTACCAGCATTTGCTACCTCGTCCCCTGGGGCTGCTGGAAAGATCCTCGCGGCCGCAGCTGTGCCGCCGCTCAAGTCGAGGATGAGTTCCAGGTGGTAGCCGTCCCCATACAGGGACTTGATGCGGCTGGTGGACCCCAAGCACTTCAGCCTGCCGCCGACCAGAATGCCGATCCGCTCGGACGTGGCATCGGCCTCCATCATAGAATGCGTGGTGGATATCAAGTGCAAAAGTGTCTGGGTCTGGAAGAATGCAAGTTTGTCATGCTTGTCTCACATGACTCTAAAATTTGTCACGCATATTACCCAAGAGCCCCATTTTTCTGCCATGCAGAAACGCAGCTTGTCATGCAGAATAGGCAACACCTAGAAGCTCAGAAACTTGTCATGCTGAGCCAGCACTTGTGGCCTCCTCACGATACGCCACCCAGCATCACAAGTTTTCAGACCCAGACATTTTTGCCCTTGATAGTGGAAATGATCGTCTGATTCTTCGGCCGATTGATCAGCTTGTCCCACAAGCTCCGCTGCGCCACAATGTCCACGCCCGCCGACATCTCGTCCAGAAAGACGATCGATGGGTCGGTGATCATGGTCATCGCCACGGAGAGCTTGCGTTTCATCCCGCCACTGTACTCCTCGGCCGGCCGGTCGGCGTCCTTCTCCGACAAGGACACTTCGCGCAGGAGCCGCGAAATCCTCGCTTCGCCGAAGTCGTGCAAGGGCGACACTTGCTTCCACAAAGGATTCGACGACGTTCGTCCTTGGTCTACATTATTTTCCACGGAGGAATTTTTCTCCTGCTCTCCCTTTATTTGGTCGCCGTGGTTCTCTTTCTTGTTTTCGACAGGAGTTCTTACGAGATGATCTTCTTTCGCTGGCGGGTAGTAGAAGCCCGTGCATTTGGCAAACAGCCGCAGATGCGCGCGGCCGGACACGTGCGGCCAGAGCTTGTCGAATTGCGGCGCCAGGCCCGTGACTTGGTTGGCGCTCGCGAACCCGTCGGTGCTCGTGTCCTTGCGCAGGATTGAGATGGTCCCCAGGTCCGCCCCGCCGATGTCGTCGTTGCCCGAGATCAAACTGAACAGCGTGGTTTTCCCCGCGCCGTTGGGGCCGAGCAGCCCGAAGCACTCGCCCTCCTTCACGCGCAATGTGACACCGTTGGTGGCCCAGTTCAGCTTGCTCGAGGTTTGGTCCCGAAACTGCTTGTACACGCTGGTGACGTCTAGCGCAAAATCCTCGCTGTCCCGCTCCTGTTTCGTCATCTTTTCCTCTGCGACCACGTCCTGGTCGCGTTGCGCGTCCGGCTCCTGGGGCGGCACCTTTTCCCCGCAGGCCCGTTCCAGCTCGGCGACCGATTGGTACTGCAAGCCCACCATTTTGTTGGGCAGATACCAGAGCTCGTAAAGCAGAAAGAGCAGGGAGTAAAAGACCAAACAGTACAACGGCTGCAAAACCTCCGCGTGCAGCACCGTCGCGAAGTATGGGGCGCCGCACTGGGCCGGGTGATCCGAAAGTGGCGTTTCGTGCACCAGCTCCTCCAGTGTTGGTTTGTAACTTTCGCTTTGCAGCTTCTCGAAAACCTGCACCGGCTCTTCCCAAAACGCGGGATTTACAGACAATAAACGAACGTTCTCCGGGAGAACCCCGAAGAGGTAGAAGCTGAGCCCAAAACTGGTCGAGGAGGTGGACAACTGCTGTTCTTGACCGGCCGTGCCGTTCGGGTAGAGGATGTCCAGCAAAGTTGCCATCTCGAACCCGACCTGGTTCAGCATGAACTCAAACGCGCCCCAGATCGCGTAGATCGCGTCCTTGGTCTGCCGCTCGTTGATGGTCACGGTTTGGTCCAGGCCCCAGAGCTTCTGCAGCCCCAAAACCGAGTTCTCGAAGGCCACATTGGGGAACAAAATCCCCAGGAACAGGAAGAACAGCGGCCAACTGGTCGGAAACCCGAACTTCGTGGCCTGGTCCGGCAGTCCGGAGCCACTGGTGTACTGATTGCTGAAAGTGGTGCACAGCGCCGCCTGCGATTTCCGAAACTCCTCGCCGCCCTCCAGCCGGTCCGCCAGCGAGGCAAGGGAGAAGGTGTCAGTCAACACGCCCTCGAGCACTTGCTTCAGAAATCCGGCCTGGAACACCATCATTTGGTAGAAAATCAGAAACCCCGGACTGCAGGTCGACGCGAGGTAGAGCGGGACGAGAACGGTGGAGATGACTGTCGGGATTAGGGCGTGAAAAACGAACGCCAGGATGATGCCCGTATTGGCGGCGTACACCGCATCGATCAGTGTCCAGAACGAGACGGCCAAGGCTACGTAGCACGGACCCGTCAGGGTGCAGAGAAAGTACAGCGCCGAGCCAGCGTGGTAGGCGCTCCGCTTCACGCCGTGCATGGACAAGTGGCGGGCGAGCCCGAGCTGTTTCTCCGGGCTGTACGCATTCTTCGCCATGTTGAATCCGAAGAACAGGAACGCGAAAGGGAGGAGAATCCCTCCGGCAAAATTGAGAACCATTCCAAAGGTGGACTGCTTCGGTTTCAGTGGTGGGAGAAGGTCAACATCTTCACCGGCGTCGCTGCTACTACTACTGTCGTCCTCATCGACCATAAACTTGAGCAGCCCTGCGAATGTGTACCAGAAGCCGAGAAACAGCACGGCGGACAGATAGCCGCCGAGATTCCGCGCACTCTCCTCGCGCAGCCGAAACTGGAAAATCGCCCTGGTTTGCGGCCAGAAGTTCAGTTGCCGGGGCAGCAGGGGCTGCCGGGAGATTTCCTTGTCTTTCTCCCGTTCCCGGCGGGCGGCTTCCAGTTGGTTGCGCTCTTCCACGGAGAGATTCTCCAGCTCGCCCTTCTCCCCCGCGAGCGAAAACACCTCCTCCATGGTGGTCTGCTCCACCGTGAACGTGACCGCGCTTTCGTGGCCACCCGCCGCCTATCAAGTGCAAAAATGTCTGGGTCTGGAACATTCTAAACTTGTGTCTGTGGATTCTGAAAAAATTTGTCTTGCATGACCTTCTTTACCCCTCAACCACTGTACCCCCTTTACGATCGCTGCCTCTGGGCAGGACCTCGGGGGGATAGGGCACTAATCATAATTTGTCTTGCATGACCAGCAAGAGGACTCCAGTTTGTGCTACGCGGAGAGGGCATTTCTAATGCGGTAGAGGTATCACAAAGCGCTCCAAAAATCTGTGATGCTACGGCATGCATCACAGACATCACGGGTCATGGCAAATATGCATGACAAATCTAGAAATCTTTCAGACCCAGACATTTTTACATTTGATACCGCCGCCGCCTTCGCCAACGCCTCGAGCACCGCGGGCATTTTCGGGGCCTGGGCCCAGGGGATGGAGTAGGCCAGGAAGAAGGCGCTCATCTTCTCGTTCTTGGTCTTCACCTCTGTTTTTATTTCGGCTGCTTCTAGCGCGTTCTGGATCACGGGGACGAACCCCTGCAGGATACTTTTCGCGGTTTCGCTGTCCTTTACCTGCGTCTTGTCGACCATCCCGAGCACCCAGTACCCGCAGCCCCACTGCCGCTTCAACTCGGGGCTCGTGCCCAGTGCCATCACCCGGCCGGCGGCCAGGATGAGTTTCCGCTCCGCGAGCAGGTCCGCCTCCTCTAGGTAGTGGGTGGAAAACACGATGGCGCGGTTCTCCTCCTTCGCGATCTTCTTCAGCAGCACCCAGAAATCCCGTCGGGCCTGCGGGTCCATGCCGGACGTGGCCTCGTCCAGCAGCACCAGCGGCGCGGACCCCAGCAGCGCACACATCACCCACAGCCGCCGCTTCTGCCCGCCCGACAGCTTCTCGCAGTTCGTGTTCAGCTTCTTGTCCAGGCCCAGCATCGTCGCGTACTTCGCCAGCGTCCTCTGCGTCTGCGCGGGCGGGAGGTTCCGCAGCGCGGCGAAGAACTCCACGTGCTGCCGCAGCGTGTAGGCGTCCCACATGGGGTTCACCTGCGGACAGAAGGCGATGCGCTGCCGCACCGCGGCCACGTCCGCCTTCACCGATTTGCCATCCACGACAATGTCGCCGGAGGTCGTGGGGATCAGGCACGTGATTTGGCTCTATCCTGAGTAAAAACGTCCCCACACCAGAGTCAAGATGGGAAATCTGCTAGACAAATGAGCCAGCTTTGGTTGTTTCGCATGACAAGTTTGTCCTCGTAGTGTAATCCTGTTTAGGTACTTCAGAAGCATCACAGATCTAGCATATCATGCTGATTGTAGCATCACAAAATCCGAAACACAGCCGGAAAATGGTTCTCATGTGGCTCCGCATGACAAACTTTTTTGGCATGCAGATTTGCATGACAACTCTGGGGTGGGGACGTTTTTGCACAGGATAGGCTCAGCATGGTCGTCTTCCCGGCGCCGTTGTGTATCAAATGTAAAAATGTCTGGGTCTGGAAGGTCGGAACTTGTAATGCGTATTTCAGAACGCAGAAAAGTCTCTCATGCATACGTAGCAAAAGCTGCCCACCTTCTGTCAGCAAAATAGGCAATTTGTCATGCGGATTCGGCATTGCGGAAGCTTCTCGAAACCTGTGATGCTAGAGCTTTCATGCCAGACCTTCTGTGTCATGCAAAAACAGCATGACTTTTCATCCAGACCCAGACATTTTTACATTTGATATTGTGGCCGAGCAGACCAAAGATTTCGCCCCGCTTCACGGAATACGTCACGTCGTTGTTCGCGATCTTTCTTCCCCGGTCGAACGTCTTCACCAAGTTCCGGACCTCCAGTGCGGCCGGAAGTTCTTGAAGATGATCCTGATGTACAAGGACGTCCTTCTGATTTTCATCCTTTATCATTTTTCCGTTGTTTTGCATTTGCATTTGCATTTGCTTTGCCTTTGCCTCCTCCTGCGCAGCAGCAGCATCAGCAGCAGCGCGTCCTGTTCCCGCCGCCAACTTCTTCCCGTCGCCGGATTCCTGTTTTTCCCGTCGTTTTTCACACACATAGAGGAGGCAAAAAGCGAAGACCAAGTTCAAGAACACGGCCACGTAATCGATCAAAACCACTTTCCAGTACTCAGTCCCCAAGGTTTCCGCCAAGTCCGCCGCCCCCGCGCGGTTCGCCGCGCGGAGCAAGGCGTGGCCGTTCTCATAGTTCCACGCGCCGGCCTTCAGCTTCGCGGCGGTGCGAAACAGGTAGAAACTCGGCTGCGAGTCGTCGGGAAGTACTAGGTACCGCAAGGACGTCGATGCTGCTCCGGGCGCTTCCTTCTGCAGGTCGATCCACTCCGCGGGAGGGAAGGGGGTGTTGTCCCGGGCGCAGTAGTAGGCGGAACTGGCCTGCAGCTGCGGGGTGCCGAACGCCTCCGGGAAGGGGATGACGTTGAACAAGCTGTCGCCGAGCCGCCCGTCCACGGCCTTCACTTTCTCCGCCAAGCTTGCCTGCTCGAAGAAGCCGCTGGCCGCGCTCGAGTGGCGCATGATATCCCGCGAAAAAAGTGTTACAGTTACACATTTGTAGTCAATTCAGCAACACAAATTTCTCTGCCTGAGAGAGAAAACTTGTAATGCAGAAATCCTACGGGAAAACACCTATGAAACGAGGCTTCTATGCGTATCCGGCATGGCAGAGCTTGTCTGCCTTGCTTGGCCTGCAACACAATGTGTAACTGTAACACTTTTTTCTTGCGATACATGAAGGTGAGGATGTAGTACAGCTCGTACCGCCGCATCAAAATCTTCATGGCCGAAAACCCCGGGACCAGCACCCCGACCACGCCCGAGTATCCTGAGTAAAAACGTACCCACACCAGAGTCAGGATGGGGAATCTGCTAGACAAATCAGCCAGCTTTGGTTGTTTGGCATGACAAGTTTGTCCGCGTAGTGTAGTGCTGTTTGAGCTAGTTTAGCAGCATTACAGATCTAGTATCTCGTGCTGATTGGAGCATGACAAATTTCAGAACCGCACTAGAAAATGCTTCTCATGGGGCTCCGCATGAGAAACATTTTAAGCATGCAGAGTTGCATTACAACTCTGGTGTGGGTACGTTTTTACTCAGGATACCGAGACGGCCAGGTTCACGGTGGCGAGGTCGTAGTTCGGGCAGTTGACGTGGTCCGCGCGCAGCGCCGCCCGCTCGGCCGGACCCGAGAAGGCCGGGTCCCCGTGCCACTGCGGCGTCCCGCGGTTGCTGAACATGGCCTCGATCCCCTGCGCCCAGAACGACAGCCGGGTGGGCAAAAACATCTCGCACACGATGTACACCGCGACCAGGAGAAGATTTACCAGTCCGGTAAAGAAGCCCAACATGCCCTCGAACTGCTCGCGCTTCTCGCACAACACGGTAAACGCGCTCGCGTACAGCATGATGGACAGCGTCACGGCGAAGGGCGCGAGCAGAATCCACAACGCCTCCGCGCGGGCGTGAAACGGGCCGTACAGCTCGTTCTGCGGCGTGAGGCCCGCGTACACGCTCGCGTCAAAGTACCACAGGAGCGCGTAGAGCCAGAAGAACAGGACGTAGAAAAAAGAGATGTTCGCCAGCCAGTAGGTCCTTTTCGGAAGGCCGTAGATCAGCTGCATGTCCATCATCTTGGTTTCCCGCTCCAGAAAGGCTGCGTTGCCGAAGATGTTGTACACGAAGCTGAGCGGGATGAGGCCGGATACCCAGAACCCAAACAACGCGGACAAAACCAGGACGAGAAACAGGAAGGCCGCCTTTGGCGCGCCATCGGTTTCCCAGTGGAGCTTCGTGTCTCTTTCCTCCAGTGGGAGCGCGTACCCCTTTGCTGGATCCTCGTTCATCGTGTAGGGCTTCCCGGCGCCTGGGGTAGCCAGCACTTCCTCGGCGGCAAAGGGGTTCTGGTGCAGCTCCGTGAGAGGCCGGGTCATCAGTCCGTTGTCGGGGATGGCACCGTTCTCCGCCTCTTCGACATAAAAAGACGTCATCCAGCCGAGCCGCGCCAGCACGACGCGGTCCATTTGCGCGACAAACGGCTGCAGAAGGCCAGCGGTTTCAGTAGAGTTTGAGTTGCTTGCTCTTCTTGAGGAAGCTGCAGTCGTTCCTTCACGTGTAGTAGTACCTTCTTTATTGACGAGGTGTTGTTCATAATGTCTGTACGAAGTGGAAGTTTCACGACCGCGACGTGTCGTGCTGTGGGACGCGACGTCGAGGGTTTGTTGCTCGCTTTGATGCTGTTGCTCCCCCGTCCTCGCAGTTATTTTTGAGTAAGTTTTCTGGTGCAACAACTTTGTTGCCCGCTTCGCAGCCTTCTCCTGCGAAGAAACTTTGCTTTGTAGCTGCAACAGCGCCGTCGCTTTTGGAGATGTTGTTGAGGGTGGTGAACTTCTTGAAATAACCGGCGAAGTGGAAGTAGACACGACATCAAGGTCCTCCGTGGATTGTCCAAGGAGAAAGCTCACACCCTCGAGGAAAACAAGCTCGTCGTCCGGGTCCTGATTTACTGCGTCATCTTCAGTAGCACTAACGTCTGAGCTGTGCCGCGATGCTTGTACTTCCTCGTCTTGTACTAGTTCTTGCACCAAAGGAAGATCGTTTATTTTTCCCCGTATTATTTGTGATCCACCACTCTGCACGACACGAGGGGGCAATAACTCCCCGTGCTGGATATGATCCCCTTGTGCTCGTTCACGTCCTGCTCCTGCTACTCGACCAGCACGTTGTTCACTGATAATATCCGGGTTCTTTTCCACATCACCGGCCGTCGTCAAAAACGACGAAGCAGGAGATGCTGTGCCATTGTTCGCTGCTGCCGCGTCGGAGGACGACGACGGGGACGTGGTGCTAGCAGTTTGATGCTCCACTTCTTGTGCAGCCGTCGAACGGACTAAAAATTGCAGGAGTTCGTCCTTGCCCACTTGCATCATGGTGCCTGCTTTCTCCTTTAATGCCGCAAAGGTCGCGGCGTCGGCCCCGGTAAGGATGGAGTCAAGCTGCTCGATTACCAGCGGCTGGACCTTGGTGGTGATCTCCTCCAATGCGGCCGGAGAGAGCTGGAGCAGGACACTCAGGTTGTCCATCTTGAATAAATTCTGCAGCAAAATGTAGTGGAGCTGTTTCTCGGTGACACCGTGCTGGACGAGTACCTCATTGGTGGTAAATTTCAGCCCCAGCCCCTTAACCGCCGCCAGCTCGGCCTCCGAAAATCGAGTCGCCGCAGAACTGGACGCGAAGGGCAGGATCGCGAACTCCAAAATCTCCGGCACCGAAATCTGGCCCGCACGCCACTTCTGTGCCACAGTCGGAGAGAACTTTTCCAAAACCTTCAGCAAATCGAAGTAGTGCAGGTAATTTTCAAATTCTCGCCCCAGGACCGCGTCCACCGATTTCCCTAAGGCTTGGTGCCCTTCAATTGTAGCCACCGGGTGCAGCAGGCTGTACAACGTAAACTCGACGAGGTGCTGCGCCCCGATGGCGTACAACCGCTTCAGCTCCGCCTGCCGCTCCTGCAACTGCCGGAAGGCGGCGGCACTTCCGAGGGTGGCGGCATCGCTGTCAGGCGCGGCGAGCTGTTGCGGTCGTTCTTGTGTGCTGCCGTTTGCATCTTGATGTTGTTGTAATAGTTCCTGTCCGCTTTCTTGTTTTAGTACTTTCCTGCTCGACGTCTTCTTGGTTTTGCCGACGGACAAAAAGGCACTGGAGGCCGTTGCGGTACTACTAGACTCCACATCAACCTCCCCGGACGCGGTCCGAATCACGCCGAGGGTCTCATAGTGCGCCTTCGCTTCTTGTTCCTTCAGCTCTAGGTACTTCCAGCCCCCCTGCAACGAATTCGCCAGCATCGTGAACACCTGCCCGGCCGTGTATTTCTCGGTTCCCAGAGGGTCATCAGCGGCACTTGTCGAGTTGGTCTGTTGCTGTTGCAGCTCTTGTTCTACTACGTCGAAGTAGATATTGTCGAAAAAGTAGGTTCTGTCGTTAAAGTCGTTTGCAAACGCGAAGGTCTCCCGCGACGCCCATGGCTTCTCGCTGTTGGTGCTGGCCAAGTGGGGCACCAGCACCTGGGAGAGGAAAAATACCACCTTGGCCGCGTCGTTCACCGCGAAATTGTACTGCGCCACCTCGTATCAAATGCAAACATGTCCGGGCCTGGAAGAAAGCAGACACTTGTCAAGCAGTTTTGGCATATGCAATAAGTATAGTAAGTCTCTGATGCGTTCTCGTCGCACAGAGCGTGAAAAATTGAATGATTCTGCGGAGACTTGGACTTCTCCATGGCTAATCTGCATGAAAAATCGCTCCCTCCTGGGCTGCTCAAAAATCCCGTTATGTTTTGCTGACTTTAGTACAACACAGCTTTTATTTTGTATCTTCCACAATGCGCAGCGCAACAAGTTCACACTTTATTTCCAGACCCAGACAAATATCTGCAATGCATACGTCGACTAGCCGCGCGTTGGGGGTCTTCTCGCTGACCGGAGGAGCGAGGGGTCCCGTGAGAATGTCCTGCTCAAACGTTTTTTGGTCAGTGAAGTGAAAAATGGTGGCATAGGGGTTCTTAGTAGACGTCGAGGAGGCCGGTGCCCCCGCACTGAGATCGTAAAGACCGGTGTCATCTGTCCACTTGGACGCCACACGCTTGTAAAAGTCCTCCAGGATCAGATTCAATCCCGGCACAGGAGCGTACTCGACGTCAGCGCTGCCACTCGTAGAAGTGCTGGCATAATCCGTGAATGGGCGCATCTTATCTTGCACCAGTATCGGCTTATACTCCTCCCAGAGGGTCTGTGCAGTTTCGTTCGACCGCAAAAACTGCAGAAACTGGCGCTGCTGACGGTCAAAGTCCTGCTTCGTGGTCTTCGGATACCACGCGGTGGCCCAGGAGGTGGACAGCTGCTCCACGTCCTGGCCGTAGTTCTCCTCTGTGGGGCTTGGGGGGAAGCCGTGAAGCAGGTTGGGCGGGGGACGCGGGAAGGATTCCACCGTTGGGTGTAGGTATTCCGTCCGCAAAGGGATTCGCATGTCGTTGGGGCGGAAGAACATCTGCAGCAATTGAAAACACCCCAAAGCGAGAATGAGGAGGTAAGACCGGCAGAACGTGAGCCACCGCAGGTTCAGCCAGTGCACGTCGCAATTCTTCTGCCACAGCAGCCCGCAGTTGCCGCACCACCGCTTTTGGCAGCAGCAGCAGTAGCACCGGCAAGGCGCGGGCGCAACAATGGGATGCAGCACCTCTCTGTGGTCTCTTTTTTCTTTCCTCGGACCGCGCTGCTGTTGTTCATGTTCTACTTGCGTGCCACTGCCACCTTTCTTCCTACTTTCCCGCAGAGCAGCTCCGGAAAGGGGCGAGCGACTGGTTCTGTTGATGGTACCACTTTCCTCCTCGGCAGCCCCCGCAGCGGCGGCGACAGGGGCGCCCACCACGAGTTCTTGTGAGGATTTTGTAGTAGGCTTCTCCCCATCGGCAGCGTCTCCCGGAACAGGGGGATCAACATCGCCCACTGTCTTAATACTTCTTATCATCGATACCTTCGACTTGGGCCGGTCGACGATCTGCGACATCGCTTCTACTTCTTCAAGATCCACTTCTTCAAGATCAAGATGCGATGTAGAGATCAGGTCATAGCGAAACAGGTGCTGAGGGGCTAGACTTAAATAGGATGTGCGTGGCTTTCTAAAAACGTCGCGACGGCAGGGTAGTACTTGGGGAACCAAAACAAAAAGAAAAAATTCCTAAGCAAGGAGACATCACAACGAAGCATTGGGGAAAGAAACCGAACTACCGTTGAGATGAGACTTACTAATGCTGGTCTGGATAGTAGTGCTGGTGGAATTCAGCTGGGGCAAAAATCGTGCAGATGTTTTTACTTCATCAAACTCCGAACTTCATGCAAGAAGAACGAAAATGAGGAACGAAAGACGCACGATAGCACAATGAAACGCGAGTAGATAAGAACCATCGACTGAAGGTGCACGGCGGAGAACGTAACTGAGGACGTACAAGGCTGCGAATTTGAGCAGAATCAGTCGTTTCAACATGAAGAACGATTTAAAGACGATGAATACGAATTTCAACATACGAAAATCAAGTACAAAGACGATGACATTATAGCCTGTGGCAATTTGACATGAAAATCAATGCACGGAATCTTTACACTGTCAGTCTTGAGAACCTCCTTCTATGCTATCGGACGCGATGCTTGTGTTTGTGAGGAGCAGGATGAGTAAAAAGCTGCAGAACATTGTTGTTGAACCACACAGGAAGTTGTTTTTGTTGCCTACCTGCCGGCGTGCCTGTGCCTACCTGCTCAACATACTAGCTGCAACGACAAAAAATATCGCCTCCTGAAAGCGCAAATAAACAACCGGTCTCAAATTTATTTCAAAAACAGCCTCCGCGAACGGACATAGTCTGCAATCATTCAAAGTGAAAACGTACACGGTGCGACAGCAGCGCAAGCCAACAAGAACTGAAACATTTCGTTAAGGTACAGTGAATTAGGGCCTTAGCCTGTTTTCTTTATGCATAGTAAAAAGTTAAAGCTAACAACGAGCGAGCACGATGATGTTTGAAGTTGGTATAATCGGAAACACATAACATATTCTGGATAAGTAGTTTCTTCGTGCGAATAAGTCTCTGTCTGATTGTGGCTGGATTTTATTTGGAAAAATTGCTCCACCTGATAGCATCTTCCAGCACCATCTCACTGGAGATTGTTTACTTCAGGTAAAATTCATCGTGAGAAAATGTTCTACTTTTACATATACAGAACTGGAGAACAAGAAGTTGTGATGTACTGATTTTGGAGATGCTGTCGTCTCAATTTCTACTGCTGTCCTGCAACGGTGGACGAGATCTTTTTATCAATTTTCGACAAGACCTCGAAACAAGGACCTCCTCACCGCGCAACCCAAGTGCGCGCATTGGCCAGCGCCATGTTGAATCGGTCCCAGCCACTGGACCTGGCCCCGTTGCTCCGGCTAGTGCCTGCATTGGTGGTGGTGGGAGATGACCGCAGAAAGTTGCTCCACCGCCTCGCTGATGTATCTCCGTCATCGCTCTTCAGTTTTGCGTCCTCCTTGTCATTCCGCAGCTTCTCCGCAAACACCACACTGAAATACTTGTACTGCATATCCTCAGTAAAAACGTACCCACGCCAGAGTTGTAATGCAGATTTGCAAAGACAGGAAGACTTGTAATGCGCATCCCCATGCGAGCCATTTCCAATCGTATTTTGGAACTTGTGATGCTGTTAACAGGATGAGCAGATGAATCTGTGATGCGGCTGCACTTGCTAACCTGCACTACGCTGCATAGTGCAACTTGTCATGCGTGACTCACAAAACTCCTAGGCTTGTGTTGCAAAATCCCCATCCTGACTCTGGTGTGGGTACGTTTTTACTCAGGATACTGCAGCAGTTCTTTTTGCTGCGGGTCTGTCAGATACGTCTGCTTGAACACATTGCTGTTCTCGATGGCTCTCCCGAGTACTTGCCCCGTCGCTTGTTTCATGAGGTACCGCATGAGCAGTTCCATCGGTGGCGAGGACGGCGGAAGAGGATCGGTTTTGGGTAGTTGGTCTTGTTCCGCCCCATACGCATTTTCAATATTTGTTGTTCGTCCAGAGGAGGCACTACTAGTTGTACTAGCGACCCCCTCCTTCTGGAACCTTTTCTTGTTATAACTGCCGCTCGACACGGCTAGCGCAGATGTTGAAGTGCCACCCTGTTGCCGTAGATCCGCCTCGACTACCTCCTCCTCTTTCAGATTGAAAACTTGCAAGAACTCGTTCAGCGGCAAGATGGCTTGCAGCCGCGTCTTCAGCTCCTCGAGGCCGTCGAACCACTGCCACAGCGCAAACAGAAAGGGGTAGAAATTCGCTTCGTCAAAGTCAAAGCAGTGAAAGTATTCGAGAATGACCTTCTGGAACACATCCCGAAAGACCCGCTGCTCCAGTTCATTCTTCAAGTTGATGCGGTTTTGCAGCGCGAAACTGTACGTCAACAGATGGCTCTGCTTCTCCTGGCTGTGCTCGCTGGCCCAGGTGGTGATGGCGGCCTTGCCCACGTCAAAGTACTCGTTCATGATTTTCGTCTGCAGGCGTTCATCGCACACAAAATGGCTTTTTTTCTTATTGCCCTTGCCCTGTTCATCAACATCATTCCGCAGCTTAAAGTAAATCCCAACGACGTGCTCCACGTTCTCGGCCCAGATCCGCAGGCGGCTGTCGTCCGCGTCGCTGACGTCTATGGGTCTGGCACTGGCCAAATCCGGGACCGGATCTTCGAACGCCCCCAGCAGCGCAGCCTGCTTCAAGGCGTGCGTTTTTGCGCACAGCAGGTCGTTGTGCAAATCCGCACTCTTGCTGGAAAATTTCCCGAAAAAGCGCGAAAGAATCGACTGCTTCAAGCGTCGCGCCTTCACGACCTCCTGCTGTGTCTTTCTGTCATCATCTTGCAGTTTCTCTTTAGTACCTTCCGACGATGCAACAAGGGACGACGCAGATGAACCCGACCTCGAAACAGGTGCTGGTTTCCGCTTGTTGCGCCAGTAAATTTCAGGATCCGCAAAGGTGACGCTAACAACCCGCTTCTTGGTGGGCTTGGAATTAGTGTCTGAGTGCGCCGCCCACATCTTCTTATTGCTGCCTCTCGACGCAGGAGTTGCACCAGAGTCCTCGTAGAAGTGAAAAAGCAAATTGGACAAATCCGGGCGGCCGTGGAATGCCCCCGCTTTATCCTTCATCTCGCGGCCGGGGCAGGCTTCGTGAATCCAGAGCCGGAACGCTTGCGTGAAGGCGTGCACAGCCGACGAGTAAAAGCGGATGCGCAACCGGTGGTACACTCTCTGCGCACCGAACCCGGCCGCCGCACTGCGGGTGCTTTCAACAAGGTTGGGATTCGAGGCGAGACTGAACCTTGCCATCATAGCAGTCTGCTGGTTCTGGTGTACGACCGCGGCCCGCGGAACAGATGCACCATCTTCCACGGTACCACTACCGGTCTCGTCGAGCGCGGAGGGGTCGGAGATTCGAGCGTAGGTCAGGAACTCGCTGCCATCGACGGTCTGGTGTTCCCCATGGTCGTCGTCGAGGGATTCAGCATCCTCGTCCGGGGGGCGGACCAGCAGCTGGCTGTAGTGCGACCTGAGCACGGAGACAATGGGGTCGTAGTACCGATCATCCAGCTGAATGCGGCCTCCGGCCTCGAGGATCTCCTGCTTCGTCTATTACAATGAAAAATGCAGCCCCCACCCCAGAACTTGCAAAAGTTTCTGATGCAAAGTTTCCAAGTGAAAACTCTCTGTCTTGCATGGAAGGACTGCGAGTCTTTCTGATGCAGAATCTAGGTGCGCAAGGTATCTTTTGCATAAGAGATCCGGCTGCTGCTGGGCTCTTTGCAATACAAATTCATTGAGCTATTCACCATGGAAAATTTGTGACGCTGCTATATGCAAGACGAAGACGGGAAATGTGTCTATTGGAAAAGTTTGCAATACAAATGCTGCCAAGTAGTTCTGATTCGGGGCATTTTTCGTTTGCATATCGTCCGCGGCTTCCTCACCTTCCGCATCGCCCCGGTCAACTCCGCCCCGAAATGGTCCAGCTCCGTGGGTGGTTCCACGCCCGCGCCGGAGGCCTCCACCGCGAGCGGGTTGGAAGAAAACATCTTCAACGCCTTCCCCTGCCGCTCTGCAGCCGCGTCGAGAGTCGCCAGATGTGGGAAGGGCATTTGGAAGTCGTACTCGAGCGACTGACCCTTGTGCCAGGGAGTGCGCACCCGCAGCGCAAACCGCATCTGCTGCAGAACCGCCCTTTCGCTCTTCATCCGAAGCCGCAGCAACACCCCTACGGCGTCTCGAAAGGATCGGAACCCGTTAGCCAGTACGAACACCGCCTGTCCGTACCGCGTCCGTGCCTCGCTAATTACGTGCTCGCGGCGCTTGGTCGTTTTCAAATGATTGGCCTCGGCAATCTGCGAGGGCACGCCAAGGATTTCTGGCAGATACAGTCCCTTCTGGAGCAGGTTTTGCCGCTGGTCCTGCTCCTGCTCTTCCACAGCAAACAACTCATGTAGATAGGCACGCTCTGCCCGCAATTTCTCGCGGAACACCCCGGGGCGAAGCATCTTTAAGACCAGATGTTCCGGCGGTAGCACGACACTGGACTCCCAGGATCCGTCGCCACCATCGGGCATGCGATCCCCACCAAGTAGATCATGATCATGATCAAAAAAATAGTGCATGTAGCCAGATCTTCTTTGACTTTGTACTAAGAACGAGCTGCTGCTCGTCGCTTCTGTCACTTCACCACGTGGCCCGTCCGTGGGCCGGGGCGACGTCCTCGCCGTCTCATCTCCACCTGCTGCGCCCTCTTCTGGCTGTTGTTGAATCAGGTGAAAGCTTTCCCCGAAAGCAGAAGCAAGGTCGGAAATGCGCAGCGGCCGTTGATCCTTGTGGGATTTTTTGCCCGTGATCAGCTCTTGCAAATTCACCACGAAAGTGTTATCGCTTGTCTCCTCCACGACACAATCCTCGAAGAGCGATTGAAAAGTGACTTCCGTGTGATACAGTCGCCCAAAAATGGCCCCCGCCGACGTGTCTGCATCACTCGCGGTGCCACTTTCACTCAAAGCGCCACTTCTTGTTGCCCCCTGAGGAATATAGAGACGGTAGTCATAGTCCTCGTACATCAAACAGCCGTCTTCGTCCTTCTTGTCGCTCTGCTTGTACCTGGGTGCTGGGGCTCCTGTTCGTGATGTTGGCTGTACTTTTTCGTGCAGTTGCCCCAGCCGTGCTGCCAGCGTGCTTTGCACAACATCAAGGGGAGACGGCGTAACTTCTTGCCCACGAAACTCCCGGTTTACCACATTCGTGTACTTCCAAAGGCTCCGGCCGTGATTCACCTTGACACCAAACTGGTGAAAAGTAGACAACAACACCGGGCCGGAATCCTCAAAAATGCGCACCAGCTCGAAGCAGGAGTTTGCTTCTAGGAGCCGCACGCAACCCTGCGGGGGCTGTCCGGGCGACGACTCCGCGCACGCCCCAAGCGCCACCGAGGTCGCCTCTGGGGCGGTTTTCTCAAAGTAGTACTCCAGGTAGGAAAACAGGATCGGAATCTTCACGGACAGGTGAATTTTCTCGAAATAGTTTTCTACGAACGTCGGGACGATCGTCTCAGTAAGCGGATCAGCAAGCAAGACGTTCTGGCCTTTCTCTTTTTCGCGAAAAAACTGCTCGCTGTAGATGTTTTTTTCTAGTTCCTGCTGGAAGAGACCGGGAAATGTTTCCGCGCACGGCACCACGGTGGGCTTGTGATGATTTTTCATTTCCGCCGGAAGAACATACGGCGCCGCATAACTCGCGACGGAAACCGGTGCGGCTTGCAGCAAATCGCTCAGCGTCAGTTTCTTCAACCGCGCCACACTATGGAACTGTCAGAATCGAAATCGACAAAGTTGAAATGATTTGTCATGCATAAAATGGATGCCAGTTGGAGCCCAGTTTTCAAGTGGCGCATGACAAATTTTGGTGGTTCCTAAATCCAGTTTGTAATGCTGTTTGGGTAAGGAAGACGCCTTTTGTCATGCTACTTCCGCAGCTCTATTTCTCCCCCTCAAGAGGCTGACAATCTGCCTCCGTTGCCTACTCTGCAAGACAGACACTTTGTGGGTTGCATTTTATGCATCACAAATTTTTTCAACTTTGACGATTTCAATCCTGACGCTTCCATACACACTTTCCGCACCGTAGAATTCCGCCAGCCTCTTTTCTATCAAATGTAAAAATGTCTGGGTCTGGAAACTTGTGATGCTGGGGGGCGTCTCATGATGAGGCCACAAGTACTGGCTCAGCATGACAAGTTTCTGAGCTTCTAGGTATTGCCTATTCTGCATGACAAACTGCGTTTCTGCATCACAGAAAAGTGTAGCTCTTGAGCAACGTGCATGACAGATTTAAGAGTCATGCCAGACAAGCATGACAAACACGCATTCTTCCAGACCCAGACATTTTTACATTTCATATCTTCTACGTTGGCGCAACTGGTGTCTGGGCCGCAGATTTTCTCAAGCAAAAGTCGCGGCTTCGCGTCGCCGGCGAGAAACGCGGCGGGAAGGAGCGCGGTTGTACTATCAGCGGCCGTGCTTTCCTCTCCTTTTCCAACCTGGAGCAGTTGACTGCTGCTGCGCGAGGACGAGGATCCTTGTTCCCAAGAAGAACTCCCTCTCCACCTCGAGTTCGTGCCACCAACGGTCGGCGCGTATGTCGTACCATCTCCGTCGACGTCCTCCACATCCTCGTCTGCCCCAAAAGTTATTTGATCCTCGTCGTCTTCGTTTCGGTTGTAGTTCCCCCCGTCGGGATGGATAAGAACCGCAGAAAAAGTAGGCCCACGGTGAAGACGTCGATGCTCTTCGTCTTCTGCTGCAGAAGTAGATGCTGTTGTACCTGTAACTGTCTGCTCGGTCATCTCCTGCTGTTCCTCTTCTGCCGGTTTTGAAAACACTGCACTTGTTATTTTACTGCCATCTAGTAAAGCGAGTAGGAGACTGAGAAAACACGTTCTTGACGCCGCCGCCACCGACGTCCAGCGCGGGGAGGTGGTCCACGCGACGTGCTCCATGTTCAATACACGTGGACGAGAGGACGCCACTTTCCTTCTTTCAAAAACTTACTGCACTTTCTTTTTCCTTTATATAGGCAAAAAAAAACCTCCACCTCCTTGCGGAAAGGAAAACAACATAAAATTCATTGGATTCATTCTGTGCTGGCATTTATACAAAATGGCACACACTGCTCCTCTTCGTAGATTTAGGCTTGAGGGTTTATTTTCTTTTTGTTTACCACGACCCGGCTTTCAAATACGATTCGGACTCCCACGAAGCAATATATTTGTATTTAGCACGACAAAAACAGAATCTGCACGAGCGGATCTATGTATCACAGTACCACAGCCATGTGCGCGCTGGCATAGTACCTGAAACAGAAACTTTTGCCAATTGTTCTTCCGCGCAACCATTTACGAGCATGAGCACCACGCTCTCCCCTATATATAAATCTCCTGACAAGTGATGAACAACATCATCAAGTCGTCAATGATAGATCAACACCGACATCACTAAGAGCACCAGTGCACTTTACGACGAAGGGAAAAGAGTCGAACTAGATTATCCTCGGGTATAGATAATACCGTGTAGTATACGATAAACGTACAGCGCCCCGCCTGCACAAGAAGAATTTCACTTACTTCCGCCTGCAACACGACACGAGCAAAGAAGATGGCAGCCACCAGAGTGGAAGTTGAACTAATTTAGTAGAACAACAGGGGATCGATGGCGATGGAATCTTGTTGCGGCTTTTCCTCCGGACGAAACTATCGGGCGGCCGTGTATGATTTGTTCCTAGGAAGTCGCTTAAAGTTGTTGCTCAAATAAAATCTGTTTTCAAATAAAATCATCAAAAGATTTTATTTTCATTATTTCCACACGGAGGAACGGGTGGTCGTGACTACACACGAAGTCGCTACACTTTTACTATTGTACTCACTTACTTCAATCACAGTCGTTGATGTCATTGTCGCTTTTTGAAAAAATCTCTTTCGCAGGAGCTACTCACGAGTCATATTGCGCTCCTCGTCCTGTAGGTGCAAGAATTAACATTTCCTGTCCTTCTAAAAGCAAAACGTAGCCTACGTCGTGTGAAATAAAGATAAACCAACTTTCATCTGCTTCTTGACGGGCGGCAAAGAGCTGGCATTTTTGCGGTGCTCTGATTTTTTCAGCTGTGGTCTCCTCGTCAATGCTTCTTCTCCGCTGCCGCCGCAGGTCGGACGCCGCCACTCGACGAGGACGCAGAATTTGTTCGCGTCTTGATCTTTTTTCTTCGGGAAGCATGATAGAGGTCGCTCGTAAAGTCGTAGGGAATGGAAATCGCAAAGTTAGAACAACTCGAAGAGGACACTGTGTTGGTTGTACAACTCATCGACGCCCTCTTGTTCACGTCCTCGACGTCGGTGCTCCTTGTTGACGTTGAAAAGGCAGCGGCATTGGAAAGCACCTTCCGACGCTTCAACGCTTTTCCTTCAGTGTCCTCGTCCACCGCAACACAAGAACTGCTAGTGAAAGAAGAACCAGCAGCCGTCTGGCCATCTTCCACTTGACAGTCTGCTTTGTCCTGTACTAGTCCATCATTCAGATGACGACACAGACGGTCTTCACAATCAGCTGGTTCATCTCCGTCCGCAAGGATGAAGGACTCTGTCGCTGTACTAGTGTCAAACAGTGCAGCCCGGCGTCCCTTGCTTCTCTCCAAGAAGGCTTCCATTTTCGAGACCACCTCGTAGATGCGCTTCGGGAATTTGTTGCGAAAGTACTCGTCGCGCAGGCAGAGATTCACCGTCTCGATGAAGGCATACTGCAGCCTGCGCAACAGATCGGATTTCCGCAACCGCTTCCAAATCTCGTCCACGTCCGCGCCCAGCGACGGAAAAAAGGTCAGGTCCGACAAATTTTTTCGCAACAAAGCCGTTCTGATGATCTTGGAATTCTGCACGCCTCCTCCAGTTGTTGATGTTGTCTTCGCGGTAGTTGTTGGCGCACTAGCACTGAGTGGTCCTTGATGTTTCATGTGCGCTGCGCCAGCTGCCCGTGCTTTCCGTTCCAAAAAGTCCTGCTCCTCCTTTTCCAAAACCGACGCGACACTATCCAAGGGAAAAAGTAAAAGTGTTAGTTACTTACTAGTACTACACCAGTGCAAAATAAACAGTCTGCATAGAATAAGCATTCATGCGACCGATTTGGCATAGAAGATTCTGCAGTGTGTAACTACAACACTTTTTTCTTTGCATAAGTGACTACGTTCATGTAGTTCGGAAACTCCTCAGCCCAGAAATAGGCGCCCTCGATCACAAACTTTTCGAACGGGTCGATCTTCGTGCCTGTCCTCTTTGTCATGCTGTTAGTGAGGTCGTTGATAATTTCATCTTCGTCGCCTTCACCACCACAGGAGCTGCTGATATTTTTACAACTACCTGCATCTTTATACAAACCACGTTCCATGTCGGCCACAACATCGTAGTGCCTCGAGGAGGACGTCGTTTTATTGTCGTCCAAAAATTGTGGTCTCTTATCGCGGAGGTAGATGTGGCAGTCCTCGAGGTAGTCGACCGAATCGATCCACCGGTCCGCGATGTCGGTCAGCCGCTCCACCATGTCGTCCTTCACGTCCTCCAGTTCGTTCTCGGGCATCGCCATGTCCTCGTACTTTTCCATGCCGACCGTGTCGAATCCCTTCCACTTGTTGCTCATGGACAGGAAATGCGCCACGTGCGTCTTGTTCAGTGTGATAATGTATCAAATATAAAAATGTCTGGGTCTGGAAGATTGCAACTTGTCATGCTAAATCTGCAGCATGCAAAAATCTGTGTTGCATGCTTACCAAAAGTCGCCCAATTTTGACCAAGTCGGGAGGTAGTTTCTCATGCAGGATAGGCATTAGAAAGTTCTCGCAGAATCTGTCATGCTAGCTCCGGCATTCCAGACCTCATGAGTCATGGAAAAGCAGCATGACAAATCGCGCATTCTTCCAGACCCAGACATTTTTACACTTGATATAATGGATTCGTACGCGCAGATGTTCAGTTGGTGGGTGATCGTCGGTGTCGGTGACAAAGAAGTCGGTGGACAACGGCTATGAAGTAGACCTTGGTGGTCCTTCTTGTTTTTGTTCGCCCCTGCAGCTTCGCCCTGCTCTATTTGAAGATGTCTTTGTTCATCATCAGGCCAGCACCGTGTTTGCCCTTGTTCCACCACCGGGGCGGGGGGCTCCGTGACCGACAGCGTGACGTGCGGAACGCCGCCGGTGAAGTAAAACACATCGCCCGGCTTGATCAGACAGACCGCCGCGGCCTTCTGCAGCAAGGACAGTTCCAGGTCCGGCAGTTTCATCTTGATGTTGTTGACTTTTACTTGTTTTTCCGTTTGTTCTGTAGTGTTGGTCCGCTTGTCCTTCAGTTTTTTAGTACCTGCATCCTCTTCTGCTCCTTCGTCCATCACCCGTGGATCCTCTTGTTCGCCACAGCTTGATGTTCTTTCAACTTGTTCAACTACGGGGACCCGGGGTAGAAACAGGCAGTCGGACACCTTTGTCAGCAGCTCACTGGTGGTCTGCACCGGCCACGCGGCCAGCAGCTTGTAGCCGGTCCAGTTTTTGCCGATGTTCTGCCACAGAATCTGGTCGATGTGCAGCGCCTTGCCACTGCGGTCGCCGCCGAGAAACACACCCTCGTCGTACCGGTCCCAATACAGCGTGTAGTCGCCGTACTCCGCGCACACGTCGCGCATGTCCCGCTTCAGACTCGTGCGCACCTTCTCCTTCCGCTGCAGCGGGTGGTAGATCTCGTGGTTGTACCGCAACTCGGTCATGTACAACGTGTTCTCAATCTTCCCCGCAGGTTTTGCGGACGTCGGTGGCGACGTAGTAGACGTACTAGCAGTGCCAGCATCATGATCCGTACTAGTAGTTTTACTACTTTCTCGTTCTCGCTGCAGCAAACTTTCCAGTGCGGTAATCTGCGAACTCAGGTCCTTGGCCTTGCAGACCTCCTTCTGGTACAGAAGCTTGCATGAAGATGTTGATGAGGCACAATTAGAAGTAGAGGTAGCAGGAGCAGTAGTAGTTTTATCTGCCTGCAGTCCATCTGTGCTTCTGCTTTTCGGAAGCTGCAGGCTCTTGCACTGCTCTGGCGGGTCCTCCCGGTCGTGCTGGTAACTCTGACACGTCGTAGGTTCTGTCTCCGCCGGGCTCGCTTCCCCCTCAGTGGTGGAGGTCGGGGACGGAGCGATAAACGATCCCGCTGTGGCCGTGGTCGCGGCACACGAGTACAACAAGTTCTTCTCCGCGAAAACGTTTTTAGTACTCGCATCTGTTGTAGTTCCCTCCGTGGTTCCTTCGCCCCCTCTTGCAGGAGGAACTCCTCCTGCGTCAGCACCACCATCATCCTCACAGACGGTGACTGGTTCTACTTTGACGTCCTTCTCCACCAGGTACTGCACGCGGGCCTTGTACTTTTCCTCCAACCCGCGCTTCCGAATCTCGAGCAGGAATTCGCGCACATTTCCCGCCTGCAGCAGGCACTCCGCGAGCTCGGGCTCGAAACAGTCCTTAATCTCCAGCTGCAGCTTCCGACAACCGTCGCCTGTGTTGAGCACGACCGAGGAGTTGGGTAAAGATGCAAATAGGATAAACCAAGTAGAAGTACACAACTAGACTGCATGATATAATGGAAGCAATATCAAAAACTCTTCCACGTCGGGCATCTAATGATGAGCAAAACCAAAAAGTCCTTCGTTCGTAGTTCATGTGTAAATAGCGCAGAAAAACTTTAAATATAGCAATACGCAAAACGCAGACACCGTGCAGGAAGTCTCCGGTGAGCAAGTGGTCGATGAATTCCACGGGATCGTCAAAATAACGGGGTCTGTATTTTTCGAACAATTCCAACGGCCATAGGGAGGCCAACCGCTCCTCTGTTTTTCCGGATTAGGATGAAAACATTTTGAAAGTAAAATTTCTTTTCATGCTTTTACCCGAGCCCGACTACGTGAAAAAACTAAAACAACCTAATCTGAAAACGTTAAGGTTAACAGCACGACAACATATTGTCGTGCTCGATTTAAGGTTTAAATGGAGTTTGATGTTTACTGCCGCACTATCTACAGCATCTCGTCTCTTCAAGGAAACTACAGTATCAACTCGTGAAGTAAGTACCCTGTTCGTTTGCAAATACGGAGTCCGTCCGCGGCGGCGCGGCGGGTGGAGCGCTAGCATCCCCCCCGGAAGCGGCTATCGATGATGCGGTCCTCCCATGCAAAGCTGCCATCGCTGACGCTCGAGAAGAAGATGGCGACGCCGAGGATGTTGGGGCGGAAATAGTACTTTTGTCGGCCAACACGTGGATTCCAGTCCCGGTGTCCACCTCCTCACCGATCAGCGCTGAAGCTCCTGTTCCTGCTCCTTCATCTCCTTCCAGTACCTCGGGTCTCATTTCCAGTGTCGAGCAGGAAGTACCGGCCATCTTTGGGGTACGAAATCTGCTGGGACGTAGGTCTTGTAGTTCTAGCTACAAATGGCGGAGGTCCTAATTACTTTAGTACGTTGCTGGTCGTCTCAAACTTGTGGAATTATATCTTACTGCAAGGCGACCTAAAATGTTCTTCAATTTAGCTGTCGATCACACTCGCCCGCAATGAAGGCACAAATGAAAATCAGCGGGACCGTAAGACATGGATGAAGAGCGGGTGATACAGACATGAACATATCCATGAAGATGAGCCGCAGGCACCTGTTTCAATATCAATTCTTTGGTAACTTGTTTTACTCTTCAACTTCAAACAGAAATTGAAAGCTGCTTTGCCAGTGCTTGATCCCGGTTCTTTTTGCGATCGCCCAACCATCAAAACGAGCACCATGATAGAACATGTACATGCCATGGGAAAACAACTTCTACAACAACTACAACACTGAGTCATATTTATAACTTCTCCTCGTCTTGGACTGGCTGCATCCAGCCTCGTGGCATCAAACACATTTCTGGAATAAGACACGAACTACTTTGTCGATATCGGATTTTTCGTCTTCATTTTTTTGTACATCGATCTCGCGTTCTTGATTTCGAAAGAATTTTAATTTTCTCCCATGCATGGAAAGAAAACAAGATGCAAAAATTTATAATTAATAGAATAAATCAGGCATCTCTAGTTTGTCCCGTTTGTGAAAAGCCTTTCTTGTTTATCTTGTACAGAGGGACCAGCTTGTCATGATGGCTTGGCTTAATGCACATTAATTTTGATTTATGTTGAAGTTTATCATTTACCCGCTGCAGTATGCAGATTCTTTGTCGTCTCTCTGGCTGCTTGATGCTTGTGGTACAACATGATCGGGCAAGAAAAAACAACAAGAGTATTTTGTCTGGTGTGGACCACAGTGGTTTTTCAATTTACATTATGTCTTTGGTTTTTCAATCATACGTGTTCATCTAAGATCGATTATACAGTTTTCTCCAACATATTAAGTATGTTCTGACAAGGCACGAAAGCTACAACCCTTTGCCCTCCAGTCCCTCCCTCCTCGTTCTTGTGCGTGCCGTCACAAGTTCACTGATCCTCGCTTCCCTGTTCCGCCGGACCGACCGACAACGCCGCATGATTCGCCGTGGATTCCTCCTGATTCGCGTCCGTCCTGGCCCCGTCGTTCACCACGATTTTTCCGTCCGTGTCCTCGTGGTATTCCTGGTCGTCACTGCCCATGCCGCCGGCTTGCTCGTCCAGAGTCATGACATGTCTCTCCCCCGGCGCAGACAGCTGCAGCTTTGATGTGAGCCCCTCGGCACGACCTGACAGATGCACATAATTTTCTTGCCGAATCCGCATGCCCATGCGTGCCGTCAGCACAGCCGACACTGACACTGTTCAAACTTTCCAAAGCTGTCGCGATTTGCGAGACCGCTCACCGCCCAACGGCCAACGGCAGCCGGCCAAATCGCAAACGGCCAACGGCCAAATCGCACGCGGCCAATGGCCAACGGCCAACGGCCAAATCGCAAACGGCCAACGGCCAAGGGCCAACGGCCAAATCGCAAACGGCCAACGGCCAACGGCCAAATCGCAAACGGCCAAATCGCAAACGGCCAACGGCCAACGGTTAACGGCCAAATCGCAAACGGCCAACGGTTAACGGCCAAATCGCAAACGGCCAACGGCCAACGGTTAACGGCCAAATCGCAAACGGCCAACGGTTAACGGCCAAATCGCAAACGGCCAACGGTTAACGGCCAAATCGCAAACGGCCAACGGCCAAATCGCAAACGGCCAACGGCCAAATCGCAAACGGCCAACGGCCAGCGGTCATATCGCAAACGGCCAGCGGCCAGGCCGCAACTCGCAAAATAGTTTGCAACGCGACGCCAAGTATTCTGTAGCTTCAAAGATTTTGCGACAGACTCAAAATAATTCGCGAGTCCAAATATTTTGCAACGCAAAAAGTGTCTCAATGAGCTGCGCGCGTTAAAACTTTGCGACGGGGAGGAAAATCGCCCACGCCGGCAATTTTTTGAAAGTTTTGAAACTTTCCAAAGCTGTCGCGATTTGCGAAATCGCTCACCGCCCAACGGCCAACGGCAACCGGCCAAATCGCAAACGGCCAACGGCCAAATCGCACACGGCCAATGGCCAACGGCCAACGGCCAAATCGCAAACGGCCAATGGCCAGCGGCCAAATCACAAACGGCCGCCGCTTAGCGGCCAAATCGCAAACGGCCAACGGTTAACGGCCACCGGCCAAATCGCAAACGGCCAGCGGTCAAATCGCAAACGGCCAGCGGCCAAGCCGCAACTCGCGAAATATTTTGCAACTCCAAACATTCTGTAGCTCCAGAGATTTTGCGACAGAAAAAAAATACTCCGCAAGTCCAAACATTTTGCACAGCACAACACTTCTCAACCCAAAACATTTCGCGACTCCAGAGATTCTGTAGCTTCAAAGATTTTGCGACTCAGAATATTTCGCAAGTCCAAATATTTTGCAACGCAAAACATTTCTCAACCCAAAACATTTCGCAACTCCAAACATTTTGCAAGTTCAAATATTCTATCGCCAACGGGAAACGGCCAACGGGAAGCGGCCAACGGGAAGCGGCCAACTGGAAACGGCCAACGGGAACCGGCCAACGGGAACCGGCCAACGGGAAACGGCCAACGGGAAACGAAACGGCCAACGGGAAACGGCCAACGGGAAACGTACGGCCAACGGGAAACGTACGGCCAACGGGAAACGGCCAACGGGAAACGGCCAGCGGGAAACGGCCAGCGGGAAACGGCCAACGGGAAACGTGTCGCAAAGGAAGCGAAATACTTTGCGGCGCAAAATATTTCGCAACGCAAAACATTTCACAACTCGAAAAATTTCCCAACGAAAAATATTTTGCCAGCCAAAAACCTCGCAAGCCGGAAAATTTTGCAACTCGAAATATTTCGCAAGCCCAAAAATTTTGCGCGTCGAAATATTTTGCACGCCCGAAAATTTTGCAAGCCCAAAAATAAACTTCGCAAGCCCAAAAATAAACTTCGCAACAACCTTCCAACCAAACCGCCTCTCCCATTTTTGCAGCTTTGAAGGCGGGGGGCACGGGGGGAGCGGGGAACACGGGGAAAACGGGAAGCACGGGGAAGACTGGAAACACAGGAAAAGCGCGCGGGAAGCCCGGGGGAAGCGGATGGAAAGCACGGGGAAGGCGGGAAGCGCGGCGAAAGCGGCCGGGAAGCACGGGGAAGGTGGGGAGCATGGGGAAAGCGGAAAGCACGGGGAAAGCGGGAAGCACGGGGAAAGCGGGAAGCACGGGGAAAGCGGGAAGCACGGGGAAAGCGGGAAGCACGGGGAAAGCGGGAGGCACGGGGGGCGGGGCCGCGGAGCATCGGCCCAAGGGGACAGCCGCCCGCGCCCCAGCACCAGGCCCACACGCGAGCAGCTGCCCACCACCCTCCCCCGGCGCCCCCCCTCTGCTCACGAGGAGACTGGGAGAGGGCGCCACCGTCCGCCTCTCTGCCTGCCCGCCTCTCTTGGATGGAGGCTCGCTCGCTCGCTGCGCGCGAGGGGAGGCGGGGGCGGAACAGATTGCGCGCAAGCTAGCGCGTGGGGCGCCGTTGTTGCCCAGGGGTGCGGGGGGGGGGCGGTGGGCCCCTACGCCTGGAAAGCAATGAATGCCCTGCCCCGGCGCCCGTCCTCGCTGACTCTACCCAAGCGCGCAACAGGGGCCCCAACAAGCACCGGCCCTGCAAGACCGCGCGCGGGAGAAGGGCGGGGGGGGCACCAACGCGCAAAGGAGCAGGGCGCACCGGCAGGCGTCACAGACGGGCCACAAAGCAGACGCGCGGGCGGGGCGTGACGCGCCAGAGCCGCGCATGGCGCGGGCTGTGCTCCTGCCTCCTACCTTCCCCCGCCCACTGGCGCCCGCCCGCTGCCGCGCTTTGCGTTGTTGTGCCTAGGGCTTGCCGTCAGAAACGCGGGCCCAATACGGGCGGGGCCCTCGCACTCACACAACGACGGAGACCACGGGCGCGATGGCGCACCGCCTTCGTTCTTACTTTGAACACGAAGCGGCGCAGAGGCTTGGCCCCGCCCTGCATCAAAATTTTTTCCCCTTGCCCCCCCTCTGGCGTTTTTCTTTCCCCCCTTTCAACTCGTTCACCCTCCCACTGCGCGACATAAGCTGCGGCCTTGTAAGACATGTTGGTGCTCAGCACTCCTTTACAGTCGACAATAACCGTCGTGCACGACGCAACTACGCACTGGTGATACCCTGTACAGCACGACCACAATCATCGAAACAAAAAGCTGTGCCAGATTTACAATCTACCTATACCTGGAGACACCGGTCCCGCCCCGCTGATCGATAGAAACGAGAGGAATTGCTCTTCGTGCACCGGCGCGTTGGTATAGCCGCGTGGAGGAGCCACGGCGATTTCGCCCGAAGCAAGTAGCACATCAGAGGACTGGTGGACGCGACCGGACTTTCCACCACGATGCAGATGGAGTTGACTGGCAGCCTTCGCGTCCCCCGCGTCCGGACGATTCTCTGCAGTCGTTGCGTCCGATGTTGAAACACCTTCCCCAAGAAAGCTGCTGCTGCTGCTGGACACTCGGTATACACCAGGCACCCCTTTCTTGATTCGGTCGGCGTCAATATCGGCTTGCTTTGCTCGAATATCCTCAGCATCAAGACTTTGACGCACCGCGGTAACCCCCTCAGTAGCAATCCGTTGATGCAGCGCGGTCCTCCTTCGCTCCTCGTCTTGACGCCTTTCTTGCAGAGCGGCGTACTGCGGACTTTGCTGATATTCTTGAACAAGAGTCGCAATTTCGTTTTGGAACGACGCTTGGCTGACCGCAATCGGACAGCCATTAAAAGGGTTCCAGGACTTCGGTGTGCGCGTGCACCGCGAAAACTCAGAAAGCCCCAGTGTCTCTATGTATGGGAGTGTCAGGATTGAAATCGTCAAAGTTGAAATATTTTGTCTTCATGCTAAACCGACCGAAACCACTACACAAATAATCGTTTGTCATGCATAAAACGCAGCCCACAAAGTGCCTGTCTTGCAGAGTAGACAAGTGAGGCAGATTGCGAAAAGCCTGCTGAGGAGCAGTAGAAATAGAGCTGCTAAAGTAGCACGACAAAAGGCGTCTTCCTTACCCAAACAGCATGACAAACTGGATTTCGGCTCTGCCCAAATTTGTCAGGCGCCACTTGGAAACTGGGTTACAACTGGCATCCATTTTATGCCATGCCAAATCATTTCAATTTTGTAGATTTCAAACCTGACGCTTCCATACTCTCCCTCCAAAACGTACAGCATTCACTGCTCGCTGGCCTGGCGTAGTCGCCATTGTAGTGGCAGCCACCTTGGTCGCGAGGCAAGCCGTACCTTTCGTAGCTTAGGTGAGCGCAGGTAAAAAAGACTCCTGGTCCTCCTCCTTCATACGTCTGCATCAAGCCGGAGGTGCTGCTCACGTCGGCGCTAGACTGGATGGGTATCGCGTCGACAACAGGCAACCGGTCATCTGGTTCGACCTCCGCGACGTCGGTCTCCTCCGTTTCCTCCACCAGCTCCGCGGTGTCCAGAACGTCCACGTCCAGATCGTCACTGCCCATGCCGCCGGCTAGGCCGTTGAGAGTCATGATCTGCCTCTCCCCCGGCGCAGACAGTTGCAGCTTGGATGTGAGCCCCTCGGCCTCGGCACGACCTGAAAGGTGCACATACTTTTTTTGCCGCATGCGCATGCCTATGCGTGCTATTAGCACAACCGACACTGTTATCTCAATACTCCTGCTGGTGGTCAGCACTCCTTTTCAGTCGAAAATAATCATCGTGCACGACGCAAGAACTAGGCACTGGTGATACCCTGTACAGGAAGAGCAGCAGCAGCAACACGATCATCGAAACAAGAAAAACAGACTGTGCCAGATTTACAACCTATACCTGCAGACACCGTTCCCGCCCCGCTGATCGATAGCAACGAGAAGTGTCCCCCGGATGTCGCGTCGTGGACCGCAGCGCCAGTGTCGCTGGCTGGAGCCGCCGCCTCGGCGTCGCCAAATGTTGCAGCAGATGCGAGGCTCTTGAAGCCATCCTCGGTACGCCCGGAAATGTCGCCACGGCTAAGTAGTTGCTGCCCAGTAGATCCCGTCGCGTCTGTGGCTGCAACCTGTGGTGCGGCATCGCCGTCCACGAGAAAACTGCTCTGTGCGCCCCCACGGAGCCGGGGCGGGTTGGCACGGGGGGGGGGATTGGCACGGGGCTCTTGGACGAGGCCGTCACCACGTCGAGACGGCGCCCTCGCTTGCATTTCCTCGAAGTCGAACAAGACCCCTTGTTGTAAATCTTCCTGCGATCCATCCGGCGCGACGGGACGTCCCAGAACTAGGTCCTCCTGGTGTGTGCCAGCGAAGCAGCCATCCCTTACTGTACAGTACGTGGCTACTCGGCGTATTGGTCGTCTTTGCAGGCCTCGCCGTTGTGCGTCGGCCACCGCTGCATTCAGAACGTCTGCGGAGTCCAGCGTGTAATCTGAGCCGCCGTCAACTATCGAGTACTGCCATCGGAAATCACGGAAGTCTGTAACTGGGATCGGACAGTGGCGCAAAACTTGCCACGTCGACGGCGCCCTCTTGCAGGTTGGTTTCGAGTACACATCTTTCGGCTCCACCACTACACAACACTGCGCGCTCGCCATCCTCTGCAGGTTGCCTTCGTAGTAACAACCGCCGTCGGGTTTTCCAAATTTCATGTACCAACAGGTAAACAAAAATTTCGGTTCAGTGGTCTGCATCAAGCCGGAGGACGCGTCGGCGCTAGGCTGGACCACGTTCTTCGTGACGACATCAACAGGCAGCCGCTCATCTCGCTCGACTTCGATCTCCGCGCCGTCAAGAAAGTCCGTTCCTTCCATTTCCTCCACCAGCTCCGCGGTGTCCAGAACGTCCACGTCCAGACTCGTCGGCTCCTGCTTGGCGGTGTTGACTCGTCCCAGCGACCGCGGAGGGAGCTGCCCATGCGCAGCCGCACGTGTAGGCGAGTGCTCGCCCTGTTGTACCGCCCGCACCGCCTTTGGTTCTCCCGCTGCGACTTGGTGGTCTTCACCGGCTTCGTTTCGGGTCGTCGGACCAGTTTGTGCGGAAGCGAACACGAAGAGAAAACCTGAAAATTTTCGTCAGGGTGGAAACCTCGCTTGTATATGTATTCGCGCAGTTGTATTTTGTTTCTGCATCACATGTCCAGCAAAAGTTAAAATATATCCAAAGCATCATCCTGCATGGACCGACAAACATCAAGATAGGCAACCACCACACGAACTAACTACCTATGGCGCAACACGGATTTTGCACGGCCAATCCGGTCCAGGTGGAGATCGGTGCAAGAATTGTGACAAATGGCTTCCAGGAAAACAGCATCTTTAGCAAGCCGGTGGGGTACTTGCGAAGCAATGTGGAACCTTCTTCACAGAGACGAAGGCGAAATTGCACGTCGTCGAAGGATTCTTTGTCTTTCGAACAAGTCCGGACCTGCTCAAGCCTACTTCAGATTGTAAGTGCGCCCACCGAGGACGAGAATTTCTCAGCGAAATAAGCTTGACTGGTGATGAGAATGCTCAAAATCCTCCGTGCAGCAGGAGAAGGAGCAGTGTAGGCAGTGGCAGAGTGATTTTCGTTCGCAAGATCTATGCACTGTTTCAGATTGATTTGTTCCTATTTTTATCAAATTAGACGAATCTACTTATGATATGAAACGGTGTTCGCCTCACGCAGAAAAAAAAATGAATCTCCATCGCTTCCTAAAAGGGTAGTTGGTGGGGTAACCGATTTCCATTCTCAACAATGATTTTCTCAACAATGATTTTTTCATTTCAAAGTAGAAGTACGTGTACATACTTGGTTAAATAATGTATTTTGTTCCGCTCTGTGTCTATTTGGGTTCGGCGATGTTGAAGACGACCCGAACGCGAAATCATACGACAACTAAGCAAGGAAACAACGCGGCCCAAAGCCCAGTTTGGTTTCCGCAGCTTCTACAAGAATAGAAAAGCGAAATAAACGATATCTTCATGACGTTTGCTCCCTTACGACCGCACGAGGTGAAAGAGACGGAACTACCGAGGCAGACGACATCGACGAGACAAAAGACGGTGCGCATCATCGACCACATAACATTCTATCCGGCACAGGGGGTACTACTTGACGACGTACTGACTCGATGATGCCACGCGGGACTCTTTTTCTGATGTTTTCTTTTACGCGTCTAATTACACCAGCAAATGCAAAAGCCTTCTAAAATAACACTACAGCAAAATTTTTGAGTCAGGTTCAGCAAGCGACGCACCTTCAGGAAAGGACGGAAAAATATTCAGGATGTGAACCTTCTTGTACGTAGTTCTGCGAATTTTCAAGCACAACTCCATCGTGATTTCTTGTACTTCGCACTGATTTCATCCCTTTTTCACGAGAACCTTCAGTCATAACGAGAAAGAACGCACTCATAGCTGTCTTGAGGACCAGCACCACACGTATCTCACAGCCGAGTCAGTGCCTGCTCTGGCTTCAGCTTCACAAATAAGAACCCGAATCTTCACATAAAAACTAGTAAGTAGAACAAGGCACGAATCACAAAACCGTATATATATTTTCTGCTGAGAATCTTCATCCCCTGTCGTGCGTGCACTGCGCCAGCACCAGCCCTTGCTTTTCCTCCCCCATGATGCCGCGTGCCCGGGTTTTCAAGTAGCACATTTTCGCGCCACTCGCGAACACGAAGGTATCGCACTCCTTATCGGCCTGGCAGGCGGCCTGGTACTATGCTGTGCATAAGTTAGTGCTATCGCGCTTGTAGACGTAGACGTAGTCGTACGAATTGCAATCATGCATGACAAATCGAAATCTGCTTCCTGTACCTGTTCCGTACCTGAATCTGCATGACACAGCGCTCTGATTTTCCTGCTTTAGCAGAATATTTGTAGCGGCACTTTATTACATCACTAATGCGATACTCATAGGTGCACTTGTGCATTGCATAGACAACTCAGAATGTCGATTTTCGACGTTGCACCACCAGAACCGGTGATGTCGTAGCCCTTCACATCCATGTTGTTCGTCTGCTTCCAGTATGCATTGAAAATATGTTGCCAGGGTCTGGAGAAAGATTGATGCGAGATTCATTTGTAATACTCGGCTGCAGAAGTGCTCGACAGGTTGGTCTCTTATGCAAAAAAGCTCCTTGTCATGCGCAATATCCAAGTAACAAACACATCCATGAGCACCTGCAGAACTCTTGTTCACACTCATCTGCGTATTACTGACATCTGCTTTTTAACATTGACAAAATAACACCACAACAAGTTTCTAGACCCAGCCTGACGTTTTTGCAGTTGATACGAACTCTTTGCAATTTGGCACCTTCCAGCTCGTCTGCTTTAGATGTTGACTGAACTGCTTATCCCAGGAAAAAACTGTTGAGTCTCAAGCCTGTGCAGACTTAGCAAAACAAAATCGCAGCCCTCCACGAAGCACAAAGAAAATCTGTCATGCGTCAGGCCCAAGACAATGAGAAAAAGGCGCTTTTCTTGCCTGTCGATTAAAACAAAAAACTGCATCGAGGAGTTTCTGTGTTACAGGTGGAAACTGGGACAGTTTTTTTCTCGCGATACTGCTGCACGCCGTTATACAAGATCGGATACCGCATATCGCGAGAAAAAACTGTTTCACGGTGAAGTTGGAAATGCAGAAAATATTTCGCGCAGTATTGTTTGCCTCGCTACGCATGCAAGATAATGCATCTTCAGCAGTGATTCATGGCAAATGTTCTGTCGTATAGAACAAACTGAAACTCGGAAAGATCAGAAGATGCAAAACATGCAAATTCCTTTCCAGTGAAACACACTTTTCGTACGATACTGCAGGTACAGTGGCGCGTCGCTGTTCGTGCGGATCTGCTTCGAGTGCCATGAGAGCCCGAACTGGAAGGACGTGCTGGCGGCCTCGGAGAAAATCAGCTGGTGACTGGACGTATCCATTGCAAATAGATACATCTGGGCGGTCTGGGACAATCTCATGCTCAGCTAAGTGCAAGACTTGCAAGTCTGTCATGTGCGTTGTGCAAGCCCTACACTTCTCTTTCATGCAGAAACGCACTTTTTTATGCAAAACAACTATACCCGTAGCAGCTCAAAAATTTGTCATGCTTGGCCCTGAGCTAAAGTCAAACTGTCGTCCTGGCGATTTTTTATCCAGCATCACAACTTTCCCGAGAACCCAGACCTTTTTGCAGTGGATAGGACGACCCCGCGTCCTGGAGGGACAGGGCGTGGAATATCAAAAGGAAAAATGCCCCCTCCCCATATCGAAGTGGAAATCTGTGACGCAGGATTTGTGTACGCACATCGGATTTGCCTTGGAGTGGAGGACGGCAGGCCCATAGCATGCCAATGCGGAGAGGTTGTGGCCTAGGCACTTAGCATGCGGAACGTCTATGCTGTAGGACCAACGGCATTACAAACCGCCTGCATAATGGGGCGGCGCCTATGCCGTTGCTTTCTTGCAAGACAAACACGATTTGGGGTCACGAATCAGCATCACAAATTCTGTGAGGCGTTTCTTTTCGTTATGGGGAGGGGGGATTTTTCCGTTTGATATGGAACCCGAAGTAACGGCTCAGCCGGGACGTGAACGCGTTCCACACGGTGTCGTACGCCATCCCGCTCGGCCCCTCGGCGTTCTATGCATTGCAAATTTGTCTGGGTCTGGAAGAATGCAAACTTGTGATGCGCATTTTAGAGAATAGAAAAATCTCTCATGCATAGGTAGTAAAAGCTGCCCACGTTATGTCACCAAAGTGGGGGATTTGTCATGCGGATTAAGCAATGCGGAAGCTTCTGGAAATCTGTGATGCTAGGGCTTCCATGACAGGCATTTTGTGCCATGCAAAAACAGCATGACAAAAATCTGCATTCTTCCAGACCCAGACATATTTGCAGTTCATACGTTCAGGTTGCTCGCAAAAAGGAAGCTCCCGCACTTCTCGACCAGGAAGTCTAGGCCGCTGAGCCACCGGAGTACCTCCGGCGCGCGTCCGTAGACAAACGCCGCACTGCCACCGGTAATGGCGTATCCAAAGTAAAATAAAAACAGGTACCCGCCCCGCCTATACTTGTTGCCATGCGATTGCACATGCCCAGAAAGTGGTCTCGCCCCATGCGGAACTTTATGTTACTGCGAAGTATTTCTACTTACCGTCATCATCGAAATTCAAATTCGTCATGCGCTAAGTACTTAAACTTAATCACGATCATAGCCGCATGCGCATCGATTTTTGAATTTGATATACCTCCTGCATTAACTTACTGCGGCGCTATCGTCCCGAAGTTATCTTGTTGCGCCGCAGCAAATCACCAGAATTGATTCTCTTCTTGACAACTATCGGGAGGAGGTGAGTACGTTTTTACAGAGGATACAGCGGTCGTCAGGTTTTCGTCATCGCCGACAGCCATTGGTGCCTCACCGCGGGTGGCGTGCTCCACTCTGGTCGCTGGTCCGGACGCTGCTTCGCCGCGAACTGACCCTGCGGTCTGGTGAGCTGCATGTCCTTGTCCTGCCAGAGGGTCTAATATATTGCCCGTCGCACTCGCTGTTGAGCCGCTATATCTTGTAACGTGCGAGAGTTCATGTTGATGTGTCCAGGCAGCACCTTGCGCACTTGCATACAGAAGTTTACGCAGAAGTCGTAGGATTATGAGAATGTCCCACAAGTGCGGCGGCACGCGACTCTGAGACTCGCCTTCCGCACTTCCGGGACATTGAGAAGCAGGACGAAAACTTCAGATTCCACAAAAAAACAGCCACGTAATACTAGAACTTTTGTCCTGCTAGCGCAACCTCCGGTCTTCAGGTCATAAGGACTCTCGTTCCGCTACATCCTTATCGCGTTCTTCACACGTCAACATCACAAAATTGCAATGCATAGCAGTGTCGTGGAAAACATGCAGCGCATCACCCCCGGGGTCGGCTTCCGCAAGACACCGAGCAAACCGGTGCCTCCTGACGTCAAAAACGAAGCTGCTGTCGGCCAGAACGGCACTGGACGCGGCCGCGGCGCTTTTGCTCTTTGCAGTGGACTGCTCCGTATTTGCACTACTGCTCTTGCTCGGTGAATTTGAAACCACAGGTGGCGGCTTTCCAACTTTTGACGCACCGTTGAGCGCGTTTGCGGTCACCGTGCTCCAAAGAAACAAGTTATCTTCGTAGTCGGAATAGGAGAAGGTATGGAAAGTTTGAAATAAATCAGTTCCGACAACATCATCCATCGCAAAGTAGAGAAAGAAAACAGTAACTGGTGAAACAAATGCTGATACAAAAAAGTATTCCTCCGGTCACAGACCTCTTGCACTGACAACTTACACCAAGTTTAGAACTCGTGAAGTGGTGCTGTGCCGCTGGGATGTGCGCAGACATCGACACTACTGTGCTTCTCATGATTTTTCTGCGGTCCTACAAATGCAAATCACGCATACAAAAATTTCCACTTTGACACTCTAAAACAATGTCTACTGTCTTCGCGATGGAGCGAAACGACCTCGTCGCGAGCTTTTTTCCCTGATTCCATAAAAGTGCTCGGAGTGGTAGTAATTAAAAGCCGGGTCTACGCCGTAGTCGTCGTTAGCAACGGAAAGCTGGGATGTTGAACCACTGGGAGCAGGAACATCACCAGCGGCAGGGTGCCCGTCAGCCTCCCCTGCTGCTTTATTTCCTCCAGTAGCGTCCACACCGTCGAAGCCCCGGATCCGGCACGTAACCCAGTTGAATTGGTTTGTCCACAAGTTGGACACTTTTCTTTCCAGCAGCTGCTTCCGATTTTCCTCCGCGATCTGCTTCAACTCCGACCTGGAAAACGCGCTGCTCCCCCGCGGCTTGTTCATCAGCACGGCACTGTTTCCGCCGGCTTTTCTCAGTTGCTCGGCCAAATCGGCGCCGAGAAATTCCACTTTCTGCTGTTCGCTATCGGAGAGACCACCCAGGTCCTTCGCGACAGGACGATTATATGGCGATGGTTTGGGGAAGTACTCCTTCATCACGTGTAGGTCTTGCCAAATGTTCTCGGACTGGATGAACATCTTCTCGGTGAGCACGAGTGCGTGGTCGAGATTGGGTAATTTTTCCTCTATCAGGTTGGGCAGAATCACGTCAGCGTCGTAGACGAACGCGATGTCGCTCAGGTGTCGCGCCCCCGAAAACACCGGCGGCCCGCAGATGTCGAACAGAATCAGGTTCGATACCTGCCGCATCTCCTCGAACAGTCGAACCAAATCCTGGTGCTTCTTCAAAAACTGCGGACTGCTCAGGTTCATCTCGCCGTCGTCCGATTGATGCCCTCGTTGCTGAACTTTCATTGCATTGGATGACCCGCCAGCGAAGCCGGTACTGGCACTTGCTGAAAGCGGAGAGGACTCGGGGGCTCCCGAAATTGTGCTAGATCCTCCACCCGCACCGGACATTGTGGGCGGCAGCAAGTACACCACGTACTGGACTTGCCCGCTGGGGTCCCGCCAGTTCTGCGCCGCCTGTTGGAAAAAGCTCGCCAGCTTCTCGTGTTGCGCCTTAGTGCTCGTCGAAGGGGTTGCACTTCCGGAAGGCTGCTGCAGCGGTGCGACGACCGTTCTTGGCACCTCGACAGCGTCGGGATCTTCCTCGGGACCAGTCTGCTGTTCTCCAGATGTCAAGACTCTGGGGCGCGCCTCCTTCCGGTCCTGAAACACATCAGCGCGGATCAGCATATCTTTCTTGTTATCATCTCGTTCCGCGGCGGAGTGTTCTACTTGTTCGGGCAACTGTGACTTTTTCGTCCATTCTTTTTGCCGGTGCGCGTCGTGGGTCTTTCGGGGCAGCTGCTGGTCTGACTGCTTCACAAGGACCTCGTCAACGTCGTTGTTCTCGGCTCTAGAAGGATCGCTGAAGATTTGCTCTTTTCTTCTGTTGTCGATCTCGTCACCATGTTGCCGCTCAGCTGGAGTTTTTACGACTTCCCTTTCTTCATCAACCGCTCCTGCTTTTTCATTATTTCCCACTCCGGCTGCCCGCGCTGAAGACCAGGAGAAAAGATTGAAAAACTTGCCGAAATGCTTTCGAAAAGATGTAGCCCCGTCAGCAATACAACCAGGAACAAGGTGCTCGGCTTCAAAGGAGCTGCCAAATGTTGATTTCCTTTCCGTTGGTATCATCGGAAAAAACTTCTGTTTGAATCTCCGAAACCAGTCGCTGAAAAAACTCCCAACCGGATCCAGCACGGTGGATCGGAGGGGATAGTTGACACGCCTCGACGCGCGACCGATCGTGAACAGTTGATGCAGTTTATCTTCCAAGTCTAGCGAAGATATCTCTTCGTCATCGCGGCTTTCCTTTTCTGAAAAACTCTGGTTTGCGTTCTCTTCAAGATGAGTATTCATCTGGTGGCTCCTCCGCGCATTATCATACCGGTCCTCGTGCTCATTTAGATGGTTTTGCTCCGCGACAACGGCCAGATCGTCGTCCATCAGGTCCGCATACTCGTACAGTGCGTCTTCGTCCTCGCTCGCGTGCATGTTCACTGCAGCGAGGGACGTAATATCAGCGGTGTTCTGGTGGTACAACCCAGCCCCCAACTCGGTGCGCTTTGCATGATCTTCGTCGTCGTTTTTTGATATTCTGTCTCTGTAATTATTGCTGTAATGAGAAGCTGGTGGAGGTCTATTTCCTTCGACCGGTGCATCCTGCTGTGCTGGTGGGCCGCCCCTAGCACTGCCGTTGCTGGTCGCAGTGGCTCCTGCAATAGAAATTCTTCTAGTGCCGTCCCTTATAATTGAAGGGTCAACTACATACTTCTCCGTTGTTCGCCTCTGCTCGTGCAGCGTTCGGTCGACTCGCGAATCAAAATCTTCTTTTGCGTCGTCCATCCGGAGGTTGCGCTCGTCGACGTCACTCCCATCTTCCTCTTCCTCTGTGTCCTGGTTCGTCATGGTATCGCCCACAGCTGTCCCTGGCGATGAATTGGTCGTCCGAGGATTCGGATCCGCTTTCGCCACCACAAAGGGACTTTCGTCGCGCCTTCCCTGTGGCAACGACCACAGCACCGAGCAGATGTGCTTTACAACTTCCGTGCGGTCGCTATTGGTGGCGGAGATCAAAGACACGATCAGTTTCTTCTTCTTCGGGTTCGGTGCAACCGTGTTGAACGAAATGCGCTCCTTGCGCGGCCGATGCAGTACCTGCTTGTAGTTCCGGGTGTTTTTATCTGGTAGTGTCCCCTGGTTCTGGGTCGCCGATGATGTTGAATCTATTTTTATTCCAGCACTACTTTCTGCAGTAGAAGTCTCTTTATCGCCATCAACATGGAAATTATCTTGTGGATCTTCATCCTCTTCGACGGAATTGTAGAGCAGCGTGTGATCTTCTTTCTGCATGTTTATTTTATGCGATGAAGCAGGAGCACTATCTGCACTTTTGCTTTTCGCTGTTGTACTACTTGCGCCGGCTTTTTTTACATCGTCTCCAGCCTGCGAGTCGTCCTCCGATGTACGACCTTGATACTTGTTTCGCTGCGCTGCATCTGAGTCCTGCGCGGAGGCCGTGTCCACCGGCGTCGTTCCGCCGTCGTGCAGTACTGGCGCAGAGGTGGCACTGGAAGCGCCTGGGCTCGCGTCGCCATTTATCCCTCCTGCTGATGATGAGGTTCCAGTGCCACCCCCGTCTCCAGCGTCATAGCAGTTCTCTTCTTCGCTGGTTCCGGAAAGCGGTTCTCATGAAAGTGCACAACCCCCCTTCCACAACTTTTGAACGGCAGCAACGGCAAGAGAATAAACTGGCACGAAAAACATGCAGCTTTTGCATGTTGACAAGTTCATCGTGCGCAGCAACATGTAGTACTGTTTGGGCTTCCGGATGAATCTGTCATGCAAACCGTGGCCCCAGGCAGCGATTGGCTTTGGGATTTGGCAGAACAATTGAGGGGGATGGGGATGGGGAGGTAATGTGCACTCCCATATTTCTTCCCCCAACGACATTCCCCCAGCGTGCAGCAGCCCCCCGTCCTTGCTGAACCGAATCCACTGGGATAGCATGCTTTTCCCCATCTCCCAGGCCATACTGGAGACGTAGTTCCTATCCGCCTTCCCTCTCGCGGTCGCCCCATTTTTGTTACTGTGCAGCAGCTGCTTTTCTAGCAGGGCCGGCTGCGACTCTTCCCCAGGCGGGTAGGAGAAATAACTCAAATAGAGCGCCAGGAAAACCTGGGTCAAAAACAGCACGCCGAAGCAGGTCGCGGTCACTGTCCGCACGGAGAAGACGGCTTTCGCCACCGCACGACAAAGCAGGGAGGCCCAGGGTGGAATGGTGGCAGAGAAAGTTCTTGCAGACGAAGAGGCCGGCGGTTGCTGCGAGAACGAGGACATGTCGTCAGTCGATAACGGGAAGTTGATGTGGAGATAATACGTAGCGCCCCCACTTCGACTCTCTCCAGCAAGAGCGCACTTGATGGCGAAGAAAGAAAAAAGGAGGGTGTGATATTTCTGCAAAAAGAAAAACAAAATGACAACTGTGTCCTCTTTTACATTAAAGCTGCAAACGCGAACGGAAACACAGAAAGTGACCGAGAAAATCTTCTTTCAAGTACAGGATAGGAAAAAGAAGAAATAGATACTGAAACAACAAATACTAGACGTTTTCACCCGAACACCAACACCATCACCCCAAAAGCCAAACAAACAAGACCACTCTGCTGCTTGGTTGCAGACGCATGTACTCGAGAAATCAGGTGCAGCAGGCAGACTTCAGTGCGCATGTCGGAGGACAACTGCAGCCTTAATATTTTGCTTCATTTTTCGATCCTACTTGGAGTAAGCTGAGGAAAAGAGCAAGCTGTTCAGGTCCCGGCCTCTTAACCATGTAAATGCGAAAGTACCCGTGCTATACCAACTTGAACTCTCCTAATTGTGGGTTTTTTTGTATGTCTTTCTAAGAAAGTGTGAATTCGGTAATTTTGGAAAACATAGCCGCCTTATTCCTAATGCAATGAAAGACGTCCGCGCCTCTGTTTTCAAGTTTTTTCGTCGCAGCAAATTTTAACTCTCGACAGTGACACAAAAACTACGAGAACTCTTTTCTAGAAGGGGTAGGGAGACAAAAAATACCCAGAAGTATAAATAATGAGGGGTTTGCTATTGCTGGGAAAAAGCACGACTAAACAGTGAACAAAAATCAAAAACAATGCGTAAAAGCAAAACACAAAAAACAATGTGCTATAAGTACAGAAAATAAAGCGAAACTGGAATATAATCACCGGAACGAAATAGAACAATTATTGCCGCGGGGGGAATAAGTTAGTAACATCAAGACCGGACCAGGTCCTATTCCGACACGGTGCCGTACAACGTCCGGGCCTTCAATAACCAGCGTCACTGGAGGCGCTGCTGCTGGCCCCACTCCCATACACCGTGGACTTGGGTGATTCCTCCTCGCCAAGATTGAGGCCGCCATGCTGCTATGCATTGCAAAAGCATATCGTACTAGTACAAAAACAAATTGCATGACAAATTTTTATCAGAAAAAAAAATGCAAGATGCAATGCTGATTCAGCTATACAAACTAGATTTGTCACGCTGCACTGCAAAATTAGTACGAGTACGATACTTTTGCAGAGCGTAGCTGCACCGGAAAGGTGATTTTGCTGGGGTGTCGGTACTTCTTCTTGACCACAATGCTCTTCCCCAGCGCGCTCCTCTCGTCTTCGGACGCACTGGTATCCCCATCGGCCGTTTCGAAGATGATTTTCTGCTCCTCCGCGGTCAGCACGAGTTCCTCCTCCTGTGGATCGACTTTGTCCACTTGGCGGCCGAAGGCGGTGAAAAGGAAGCACCCGGCGCTGACGATAAAAAACGCCAAAATTTGCCACGAGGTCACCGCGTTGTGAAAGATCAGGACGGACAGCAGGGCGGTCGCCGGCGTCTTCAGGTTTCCCACCACCATCATGGTGGTGGGCCCCACCCGGCCGATCAACAAAAAAGCCAGCAGGTTGAACAGTGCGGCGAAGGACGCGGACCCGGCAAGCCACAGGGCCCCAGCGGCTGGCAGCTTCGTCATTTCCACCCAGGGCCGGCCCCCCTCGTAGTGGGAGGACGCCAGGAGGAACAGGACGAGGGACAACGGCGAGGAGTAGAACAGCAGGGTAATCGGGTCCAGCTTCTCGTGCTCATTCGTTCCGTCAATCAACATGCCCTGCAGCGCCGCTTTCAACGCACGCAGGAAGGCGGAACTCAGGCTCACAATCACGCCGACCTGTGAATGGGTTGAGAAAAAAATTCTGGACGCCTTCTTCATTCGCGCAAGCAGATGATGCTGAGGCAACAAAGAAGTAGTCGTACTCAAATTCACAAACAACTTTCATCAGGCGCAGGCCTGCTTCAAGACAAAGGCACAACACAACCTCGTCAATTTCGCCGAAGTATAATCTCTGTCGTAGCTAGTAGTTATACCGGAATTTATTTTATTGGTGAAAAATAAGGACAAGAGCTCTACAGCTAGTGTCGAAGTACATTCATTAGTATGAACAACCCAATCATGATCGTTCATAAGTACCCAAACGAACGTTTTCTCCGCGGACTGTTCGCCCCAGGCCGCCAAAGCACCGCCGGCGCACACCGGAATGAGGGCCAAGTAGGCCATATCAAATGTAAAAATGTCCGGGTCTGGAAGAATGCCAGACTTGTCATGCAGGTTTTTCATGACCCATGAGGTCTGGTATGTAGGACATAGCATGACAAATTCTGTGCGAGTCCGAGTTCTTTCATGCCTATCCTGCATGAGAAACTGCCTCTCGGTTAGGTCAAAAGTGGACAGCTTTTGGCAATCATGCAACACAGATTTCTGCACGATCCAGATTTAGCATGACAAGTTGCTTTGTTCCAGACCCAGACATTTTTGCATTTGATAGGCCACCAAGTTGTAGCGCTTGGACATCAAACTGACGGCGCAGAGGACGGACCAAATGGGGGTGGTGTTCTGCAGCATTTGGTGCAGCGACGGGTACAGGTACAGCAGCGCCACGTTGCCGCAAGCAATCGACAAGGCACCCAGCACGCAGAACGGCGCAACGCGGGCGGACGTCCGGAAGTACGCATACGCTTTCTCGCCGAAGGTGAGCGGTAGTTGATGTTCGGCGGAAGAGGAGGTGGAGGACCGGGCCGTGTTACTATCTTGGTCCGTGATCGCCGCCCGTCGCTCTCTCGCTGCCGGCAGCTTGTCTTTCTGGAACCACGCCACGCAGATGGCGGACAGGACAAAGGAAAACAACATGTGCACAGTATCGAGCGCAAATACCTCGTCTGGAAGATCTGGAATACTGCCATGCTTGTACTGCTTGTGCTTGTCCGGCTTTGGCATGACAATGATTTTCACGAACACAATTTCAATGGCAAGATGCATATTGCGGAAAAGCGGGAATTTCGTTTCACGACTTGCCGTGCGCAACAGGCAGCTAAAAAATGACTCAGCGGAATTGCATTAGACAATTTTAATTACGGTTTTTACTTCTTGTCGTGTAGATATTTCTATGCCTATTCGCAGCCGCGCGTGCAAAAAGAAGTAGCATCACACCCTTCCAGACCCAGCGGTACTATTTGCGAGGCATACATGGATGTGACAAACAAGGGGTACTTGAACCCATGGGAAACGTACAGGATTTTGACGGACGTGGACATGAACATGGACACGAGGAAATTCGCCAGCACCACCAGAAGGGTCGTCCGCAGGTCATAACTCTGATGGTTGTACGTGTATTCGAATGAGGACCATCGTACCGCACTGGTGGGAGCAGCCCCCGTGCCCGCCGACGCAGCTGCTGCTCCCGCTGCTGCAACATTAATATCCTGCTCGTGGTTGATACTTCTGTAGTTATCCGCGTCCTCGGGGCTGCCACTGCTGTTGCCTTCGTCCCTGCTCATCTGCTCGCCCAAGTGGCGAATTCTATTTCTGCTCGTACTTGTGGTGTTTCCCGAATGGACAAGTTGTGCACGACTTCTGTCGAGATCTAGATCCTTCGCAGCGCTATGGTGCATGTAGAATTCATGGGGTTGAGCAGCAGCAGTACTGTTTGCACTTCCACCGCGGCTCTTGTTCGGAGTACCAGGGGGTGCCCTGTGGTCCTCCTCCCGCTCGCTCGGAGAGGTTGACAACACACCCCCACCAGCATTGATCACACCGACCGAGATCTTGCGCTTCGAACCCTGCACCGGGGTTGCCAGGTGCAGATTCATCGCACTCCCGCGGCCCTGAAACATTTTGATTTTCTTAGAAGTGTAAAAAACTCTATAATGAGACTTCGCAATGATCAGGCTGACGGCAAGATACAAAGAGAAACAAACCGTGACTTTTTACACAAAAAAATCGTTAACAATGGAAATGGATTCTAAAGGCTGTGGGAATAATGAGTGAATTTCTAAAGAAGTCATGACTTTTATCAAAAGGAAATGTAAAAGGGGTTGAATCACGTTCCACTTCGAGCAAGGGTGCCCTGTAGTCCTGGAGAAAATAACAGCTCAACAAGCACAAGAGCAAACAGAAGAAGAAGACGAAAAAGGGTACTTAATACATTTTACACAAATATCAAGATTTAAGCATTCATTTGCAACGCACGATTTGGTGGACGAAACGAGAACGAGGTCTTTTATGCGACAACTACACCAATTTCAACCGACAAGAAGCAAAACCATTCTGACAAATCATCATTCGCGCACGTCGCTTGGAATTCGGACGAGAAAGAGAGAAACGAGTCTCAATTTTGATTTTTTTTCACATGTTGGGAATAATAAATATGTGAAATAAAACGAAAAAGTTGTACCTATTGAAAAACCGAAAGAAGAATCGTAGAAACCGAGAAAGCAGGAGATCAAGATCCTGTGCCGCCACGCGTTTTTGTGCCTTTCGTAGCGAAGATGCAAAGAGAACCGAGAAGAAAGAAACCGAGATGTACAGAGCGAGACGAAAAGCGAACGAGGTTGCGAAGTCGTTGTACGAAAAATAAACGACCGCGGTCCACCTTCAAACGAATTGTACCGGCAAAGTAGTATACCTGCGAACGAAAACGCAGCGCGTCGAAAGAAGACTGGCTGAAGCAATAGCAGTGTTCCTGACAGAAAACGAAGACGAACCCAACCAGAACAGAATCAATACGGAAATAATAAAACACGCAAGTTGATGGCATTCAACTTCGGCACCTTCAAGATCGGTCTTGACTATATTGTTCCATAATTATCCTCTATTTGTACATCTTCAGGAAACGTCGACAACCAAGCGATCCTGCCTCCACGTATCATTTTTGCCTTCTACTTTCGACGATTATTCTGGTCGTGACAACGAAGTTGCTTGGACTCTTAAGTGCCACATTTGAACCTGAACCATCAATCTTTCAAGTCGAGATTACGTCTCGCCAAAAGCATTTTCTACTGTACCTAGTACACGACCTCAAGGTAGGTCTAGCTCCTGTGAAAGTGAATCGTGCCGCGAAAAATATAAAAATATCTTACACGACCCGCCCGACCGCAACATCACCGAGTTCCTGTGCGACTTTTTGTTGCGTGCCGACACTCGCGCCGCGGTAGGAGGCGGGGATCAGGGCGTTGGCAAAGTCCATGTCGTTGTTCACTTGTTTGGTGTGGATAAATTGGGCCATCTTCATATTACAATGAAAAATGCCCCCACCCCCGAACTTGGGAGCATTTGTATTGCAAACCTTTCCAAATGAAACATTCGCCCTCTTGCATCTATCAGCATCACAGGATTTCAATCGCGAATAGCTAAAATTTGTATTGCAAAAGACCCCAGCAAGAGCGGCACTTTTCATGCAAGCGATGCGATACACGCCTACATTCTGCATCAGAAAGATTCATACTCCTTTCATGTATGACAAAAAATTTTCATTTGGGAACTTCGCATCACAAATTTTTGCAATTTAGGGGTGGGGGGCACTTTTCACTGTAATACTTCATCGCCTCCTTTAGTGTCAGCTTGTACCGATCCTCCTCGTCAAACTCCTTGTACAGGAGGTACCTGTTGTGAAAGTGGTGATACTCTTTTGCCTATTGTTTCCATGGTACCCATGAAGATGCAGGCAGCAGCAGGAAAACGAAAAACGAAACGCAAATCAAAACTATAACCGCCTAGGAGGACATCAAGCAATCAAAACATTAACCTGTTTGCTCTAGTACCACTGAGTATTTGTCAGCGCAGGGATTGGCACGTCGAAGTATGAAAAGAAAAGGAGACAAGAAATACTAAGTCACCCAACACTGTAGTTTTTCACTGCCGTTGTCTGAGTTCACAACAAGAGCTGAAATTATACAGATGTTGACGAGAGTTGTGGAACGAGTCTCAAGCTTCTCCCACGCGGCTGCACGGCAGATATCGCCGATGAATAATCAGTGCTGGTGCCTACTTACAAACAAGACCTATACACAAGACCGTCACAATTACTGTGATCGGAACTGATAAATGCAAACTGACTCGCAGCAGCAACTTTTTTCGGGTGTGGGTGTCGGTCCTTGTGCTGGTTTGCCTCTAGTACATATGCATCAAACACCAGTTTGGCGAAGGCCGTGATCTCCCCCTTATTCCACGTGATATTGCCGTCTCTATCGCTGTCATTCTGTTTTGTATTTGAAAACAACAATTTGCATCACGACACACACATCTAGATAGGAGCTACCTACGCAGATGCACAAGATTAGAGGGAGGTGAGAAACAGAAAAGCTTCTATTTCGTCCGAACAGTAGATCAAGGTTGTTGCGTATTATATGTTTGGAGCGAATACCGCCTGAAACTATCAAATGTAAGAATGTCTGTGTCTGGATGAGTACAAGGTTTGTCATGCATATTTTCCATGAGGCATGATGTCTGTGATGCATGCCTAGCATCACAGATTCTGCGAGAGCTTTCTGATGCTCCTACCGCATGAGAAATCCCCTCTTTGCGTAGCAACAAGTGGACCTCTTTTCCTGTTCATGCAATATATACAGGTTTTTTTTAGCATCCAAATGCAGCATCACAAGTTGCACCCTTCCAGACCCAGACATTTTTACATTCCATAGAAACAATCTGGTGACTATGTCAGTGTCGCCGGTGCTCTTCTCCCAATCATACATGGACTTTCCGCTCAAGGTGCCCCTCGTCGCCTCGTATCAAATGTAAAAATGTCTGGGTCTGGAAGAATGCAACTTGTGATGCTGAATTTGGATTCCGAAAAATGTGTATTGCATGATGAGCAGCAAAGGCAATGCAATTTTTGCTACGCGGAGAGGGCATTTGTCATGCGGAACAGGCATCGCGAAGCATTCAAAAAATCTGTGACGCTAGGGCATGCTTCACAGACATCATGGCCAATGCAAAACATGCATGACAAGTCTCAGAATCTTCCAGACCCAGACATTTCTACATTTGATACCTCGCTCATCCGTTCCATTTCTGCTGACACCGGCTTGGACCCTTTAGACCCTTTTGTTATCTGTTCGTGCAACGGGATCAAGTGGTGCTGCGACGACATCTGCGAGATCGAGGTGCGAATCGTGTGGTGCGCGTGGTGGTCGGATATCCCCTGCGCCTTTTCCAGCGACGCCCGAAATTGCTATCCCGTGGAAATAAAGCAAAAGGAAAAACAAAACGCGTAAGAACCCGCGGGAGTCTTATGTATGATCGACCCCAGTGTATAGCCAACGACCAAAGTCTTGACGACTACTTCTTGTGGAAGCTGCAAATCCAGAAGACGATTGGCATGGCAATGCCAAGTGCCCCGCCGAGAATTATTGTTCTTGTTATAGTAATTCCTCTCTCTTTCCAGCACGTAGCTGCATCAGATTGTTTTCCCTCGCGGCCATGCCGACGCCGTGTATCGTGTGTAGGTTCGCGTCGATCTCGTCATCCCCCGTGTTGATGGTGTGCGGCTGCGGGTGCAGGTTCGTGAGGAGATTTGGCGCGTTTCCGGCGTTTGTTGTGGCGGAAGTGAGCTTGACAATGGGTGGCAGGTGGGCAGAAGGGTCATCGTTATCGTTCACCAGCGAAAACCTCGTCGGCAGGGAATTCAGCTGGATCGGCTTGGGCTTGTAGTCAGTGAAATTCGTTTGCACCGCGTACGCAACTTGCAGACGAGGGTGCTGGATCACCTGGGAACGGGAAGGAAAAAGAAAGTGTTTTCCATGATTACACGGAGGTTGTGCAAGAACTACGGGAAAAAAAGTCATACAAATTTAAGTAAAATTCATGATCTGGGTCACACTGTACAGGATCATGCTGACAACATACAATGAAAAACACAGTCCTCGCACACTACAGCTAACAGGTACTGGCTGCATCAGTTGCGGCAGGTCACCGAAGAGACTCGGGGTTTCGTCTGTCATTTTTTCTTGTTGTGAAGCTATAATGTAACTCAGATTCTAGATAATATCGGTATCCGTATGATCATACAGGTTTTTCTACTTCTTCACGGAAACTCCTAAAACTGATGTACTAGTAATTCACTCTTCCACAATCACCAGATTGCGAAAGAACCAAAACCAGCACGTGAATCGGCCAAGCAATTCGCCAAGCAGTAGAACGGAAGAAACTTTAGCAGAGACCTCTCTTGCTTCGCTCAAGCAGGCGGAAGGACGTAACAAGCGAAAGCCGCCTCAGGAGCTGTGCCGCCAGTGCATAAACAATATCCAATGGCAACGGGACTGCTTCCGCATGTTTTCTTTGATCTACATAAGTAACGAAGACACACGACAGTACGCAAGACCTGGAGTGATGATTCGAACACGGAAAATGAAGATATGGTCGCCAGACACCATTTTCTCCTGCATCAGATGCACAGAGCGGGCGAATCCTACACATAATGCCTCGCGTAGAAAGGAAATGTAGACAAGGACAACTTGGTCGTGATACAAACAGTTGTAGGGGTAGGTCGAAGGGGGCACAAATACCTCTGCCTAGGAGGCCCAAAAGACCGTTTGTTTTTTCCACTTTTTGGCGTCGAGTTTGTTCATCCTATGTATGTTGTAGTTGAAGTCCGTGTTTGTTTGTTGTCGTCAATACGCCACTACATTCTCCTCTCTGGTGGCTTGCCGCAAGGTTGTATCATGGCCTGGATCTGGTTGTACCGCACTCTTGCTATGCTTTCGTTTTCTATCACCGAAAACAAAGCGCACCGGTTAAACCTGATGGTGTAAGAAAGAGTGTAATTGACTTGTTTCACATCGAAAGAGTTTCACTTTCGTTTTTTTCGAACGCGCAAGCAAAGAAAGTGCATGTTACTACATCAACTAAAAAAAAAACTTACCTTGATGCGTGGCTGGCATGCGAGTCTCGGTGCACCGTGGTCATCCATTCCCATTTCGTGGTGTCTGGCCCCCCGCACCCGGTGTACTTACTCTGGATGTGCTCCATCTGGGCATGGAGGTTGAACTTCTTCAAGCCCATGTCCACATTCTGCTGTGCAACGTGGACCGACATTTTCGGCTGTTCCCTTGTGGCTTAGCTTTAATAGAGTTGTAGGTACGCAGAATTTGATAGAAATAACCGAGTCAGAAGACTCTAGCTATTTTTCGTAGAGATAAAAAGTAATTGCGATTCTGGTCTATTCTTTGGGTATAGTACAAATTCAATCAACAGGCCACTGAAACAATCTATCAACGCGCGGCGTAAAATGTTTTTCGTTTCCATACAGCTCACTTGCGACTCGCTTTTTGAACTTTCAACTTCCTGGTGGTGGACGGGTAATCTTATTCTTCAAGCATGATGATCGCTGCAAACATTACGAAGGAAACATATCTAAATCTATGGTTCTTTGATACAAAAAAGAAGGAACCTGGGCGGCGCAGGCCCGTGGCCGAAAAAATAGCGATTTTGAACTTTTCGAATGAAAGTAGGAGCTCTGCAATTTGTCTAGTATTCCTTCCTTGAAGAAATGTATTTCACGATCGCGATACATTTGGCCTTGAGCGTGGAAAGAGTTGCGTCAGAGCAGTCAACTTTCGACCCTTGGTTTGAGTATAGAACGAGGATCTGCGAAATCAAGAAGGTCGATCTGTCCTGAACTGCAGAATGTCGATGTTGTTGCAGCGCCGCATGCCAAATTGAAATTCTCGATCGATCGAAACTGGTTTTAATGATGGTTTTTCTGTAGTAGTACATCCAGGCAAGTAGACGACGAACCAGAAGCAATCATGGCACCAGAAAGAACTCGTCGTCCCCGTCAGAAATATCTGCCATAAGGACAAAGAATTTGCTTCGCACTTCAATTCTTCATCGTACAATCATGATCATGCGCAGAAGTTCCAGTTGTCGCACCAAGAATTATGGAAAACTATACTTACTCTTGTTACAGCCACTACTTTATAAATATGCCACCATCAATGTCGCCATGTCGCTTTTGTATTTTTGTCGCGTGTTCATCTTGCTCAGGGCGTCACCTGTTAAAAGTGAGGCTGTTGAGCTCTTTTCCACCTGATATATGTTGCGTCTTCTACACACCACAAGCCGGTCCCTTGAAGAGTAAAACGTCAATGGCATTTTGCCCTCTCTACTAAGTACTTGCTGGTCTCTTGTCCACTACTATATGGTCTATATTCACGGCACTACTTTTTATTCACCGCTGCTGAATCATTGTAAGAGACCTCCATGCATGCGGCTTTTTAATCATCCTCGTCGTGCTTGTCGTGGTCCTTTTTGGTATCAATACCAGTTCTAGTTGTGGTTCTTTTTGCTCTACTTCTACTTGTCGGCCCGGAGCCGGAAGCAGAATTTCCCTTACTGCTCTTGTCTTGACGCCCCTTCATCTTGCTGCTCTGTTCCACAGCTGCTCCACCGTTGTCCTCGGCCGAGTGACCTCCTCCTCGTCCTGGACGGTTTTGGTTTTTCATCACATGAGGCTTTTTCGACGAAGTACCTCCTGAAGTGGACTTCTCCTCCGCCAAAACGTTGTCGGTCTGGTCAGGTAACGTGATTTCTTCTTCGGTACAACTTTCGCGAATTTTCCTCTGAATGTCCTCCACCGTCAAGTCGTCCCGAATCGCGTCGATCACCCGGTCCACGGTGTACTTCGCATTCGGAAAGGCCTTGTCGTTCCGCAACTTGTAGAGGCAAAACCCGTCTCGCGCTTGGTCGAACCGGCACTCCCAGACGCTACCATAGGACGAGGTGGTGTCACCGGGACACGAAGAACTGCCGGAGGAAGGCTTGTTGTTTTTGCGCTGATCAACAAGAACCTCGACCTCGACGTCAGGCCCAGTTTTTGTTTTATTTTGTTCCGCAGTGTAAGCTCTAGTGCGTTGCTTGCAGAAAAGGTTTTCCATCATCAGCCTGGCCGCAACGTCCCACTGCCGCAGCTTCTTGTGCGTAAAACCTGAACCAGAAGCGAGGGAAGGACAGCTGTTTTGCTCTTCACGATTTGCAGTGCTGTTCATATTTCTTTTTCTTTCCTCCTCCTCTGCCCAGACCAAGTCGAAGACTTTCGCAAGCACCTCCTCTTTGGTGGACTATCAAATGTAAAAATGTCTGGGTCTGGAAGATTCTGACACTTGTCATGCACGTTTTGCATGAGCCCTGATGTCTGTGATGCACGCCCTAGCATCACAGATTTTTTGAGAGCTTCTTGATGCCTATTCCGCATGACAAATGCCCTCTCCGCGTAGCAAGAATTACATTCCCTTATGGTACTCATGCAATACAGATTTTTTTTGGAATCCAAATCCAGCGTCACAAGTTGCATTCTTCCAGACCCAGACATTTGTACATTTGATATGGACTTGCAGGTTCCAAACTTCACAAACTCATTGTTGTCCACGATGAAAAGGTCGAGGGAAAGAAGGGACGAAGCGGGTGTAATCATTTCTTCGTCTGCATGGAGATTTGCTCCTCCTTCTTCCATTTTCAGCATCTGATTGATCAGGTCCGCATCGGAGGAGGATGACGACGTTTTGACAGCGCTAGTGGAGGTTCGCCGACTCCGTCTGGTTCTTTTAGGACTTCTGGTCACTCCTTCGCTCCTCCTTTGCCGTCGCTTTCGTCGCGAAGATGCTTTTCCGTCCTTCTCCGCCGCTTTATTTTGCGTTTGCTCGCTGTTGCTGCTGTTCTTTTCTCGTTCATGTCGCTTGCGCTTGCGGGCTAAATGACAATGCCCTACATCTTCCAGCTGGTCTTGGTGAAAATCCAGAGTGGAGCCCTCATCTGCGTTTATTTCTGCCATTTCGTCGTCGTTTTCGAGGTCGTGACTGTCATCTTCGAGAACTACATCATCATCCCTATCCAGGTGGTCCGAGTTGCTCCTATCGCCCGAAAGAGACCACGACCTTGATTTCTTTTCCACATCACGATCTTCTGCACTATCATCAGATTCGTCTTCCACGTCGTCACAATCCACATCCACTTCCTCTTCAGCCGAAGTGTTGCAAGAAAAGTCCTCCGCTTCGTCCTCCAAATCGGTTTGTAGATCGCTTATCTCTTCTTCATCACTTTCCTGCGCGGACGAAAACCGCACCAGAAAATCGACCGTGTTCAGCTCCATGGGTTTCCACTTGAAAGCCGTCTTGACTGTTTGGCACCGGTACGGTTCGTGCAAGGGGGTGAACACAAACCCGTCGTTCTCGTGGTTGGCCCGTTTCGTCTCCTCCCGACACTCGTCGAAATACTTCATCTTGTAAAACTGCTTGCACCGGACGTGCAGGAGGTTTTCCAACGGGTGTTTGCACGTCTTCATGTTCACGTCGTCGTCATCCAGAGGGAGTAGTACTTCATCTCCCTTTATTTGCCGTACACGCAGCGCAGCCCCGCTGGAAAAATTCTCAACAGCAAGCTCCTGGTCATTGCACACTTCTCCCACACCATGTTCCAAAACGTCTTGCTCGACTTGAGTTCCAGTTTCCGCCCCGCACGATGAACTGCAGCCTCTTGCTGTTCTCGCCCCGAACGGTGATTTCATATCTGCAGAGGGAGCGGTCGCGGTTGTGCCCTTGTTGATATTATTTTTGCCCGCACACATCCGCAGAATGGCGGCGCTCCACTCGTGCTCAGCCTTGAGGATGACGGGCAGCGTGTGCTGGCGGTTGGCCAGGTGCGTGTTGAATCCCGTGTTGCAGCGTCGCGAGGCCGCGAGGAGCGCGTTTGTGTCTTCCAGTGTTCCGTTCAAATCCGAGAACACAATGCTCCACACCGGCTGATACGTGGCGGCGGCCTTCAACCGGAAATCCAGGGGCAGGTAGGAAACATCCTTCCCGTCCTGCACCACGCAGTCAAAAGCTAGGAAGAAGAGTTTATTTTTTCTCTGCTCCCCCGAACCCGTGGAGGCGGAAGCATCTGGGATTCTCTCGACACACAGCTCCCCATCCAGGAGCCAATCCGGCTGGAAGCAGTACCGGAGAAACTGGTTTAGTCCTCCTCCGCCTGCACGACGGCGGCCCCTGCCATCCTTTTCCCCCGCCCGGTCGTCGACCTCGTGCACGACATCAGCAGCCAAGATCGTCGAAGCAGTACTGGGCCCCGTGATATCGTGCTGCTGGTCCCCCGCGTCAGTTGTGCTCGTCCGCTTCTTGCACGAAGTTGTACTAGACCCGCCCTGGTTATGGTGCAGCTTCATGCGGTGCTCGTCGTGGTTCTTGTCGTACCACCTGATCTCCTCTATCTTGCATTTTCGGTCGATCAGAAACACTCGCGCGTTCTTCTCCAAGAGAAAGTAGCGGTCCCCGTCCGTCTTTTTATGGAAGCGTCAGGTTTGAAATCGTCAAAGTTGAAATACTTTGTAATGCATAAAATGCATGACCCGAGGTACGTGTGTTGCAGAGCAGGCAAGTGAGGCCGATTGTAAGCCTGTTTGGGGTTACAGCTCGAGCTGCTAAAGTAGCATGAGAAAATCGCTCTTCTTTGCCTAAACAGCACGACAGACTGGATTTGGGTGCTCGCGAAATTTGTCATGCGCCACTTGGAAACTGAGTCTCCAACTGGCATCCCATCGATTTTGTGCATCACAAATTTTTCGATTTTGTCAATTTCGATTCTGACACATCCATACTTTTCACAAACCGCGTAGTCCTCGACTTGGAACGCAAAGGGTTTGGTTTCGGGTTCCCCGTCCCGGTTGTACTCCTTTATCGGGACGGTGTCGAACAAGAATTCCTTGGTCAGCGACACGGGCTGCATCCCCGGGAACTGGAGCCGCTGGTCCCCGTACCGCACGTAGTCGCAAATTAGCTGCAGCAGGAAGCGCCGTTCCTCGGGGCACGTCACCAGGCTCAGGTAGCCGTCCAGCGTTTGCTTCTTAAACGCCTCCAGAGAGGCCGTTGCGGTGGAGACGACGACCTGGGGAGGTCCGGACGGCGCAAGAACTACGCCGTGGGACTTCGATTGCAGTTCTCCTCCACCAGGGGGGCATGGCATGGCTGAGGGGTGCTGCATAGTACTCGCGCTCTGCCGCCCGGTCATTCGCAAATAGCCATGAGTCTACTTGCGGCTAAAGGTTGAGAGCAGTAGAGGCTTAGGCTCTACCAACTAGTTCACATGGGACCACATCGGTGAGCATCACCTAGCCGCAATTGAAAACTTTTCACGTTCTACTGGGTAGATCACACTTTTTTTCACTTGAATAAAATAGTACGTGTCTTATATGATTGAGTAGACATGTCCAGTAGCGAGCTCGCGATGTCCTTGGAGCAAAAAAATGAAATTAGTACTCGATGGGCAATACTTCCCCTAAATGTCTAAACCTGAATCTATCAGAATTATGCTCCTCTTCTGTTAAAGTCATTTTCAAAGAAGCATGTAGTAGTAGAAGTGATGTGCTGTCAAGCGTATCAAGATCCCAGCGACTCACTTTTTTTTTTCTGCCTTTTCTCAGTCTTCTCAAAAGACTGGGAAAATCGCTTTGATCCTGACGCACATTCCGTGTCGTTCATTGCTATTTCAACATAGGAGATTTAGTCACACGAGATCGCCGTAGTCGTGATCGTGCCATAAATTGTTTGTCGTTTTTCCAGATCCATCGATTTTTGTGTGGAGCTGCAGATCGGACCAAGTAGAAGTTGCACGCACGACATCTTCAAGGATCATTCTTTACTGTGGTTCGCCCAATAAACTGACTCAGAAATGGAGATTGAGGATCGCTCTGCGTCGTTCTTCTTTTCGCATCCGAGGAAGGCATGCCAACGTCGACGCGATCCAGGCGAAATTTTACCGGAGCCAAAACCGTAGTCACATGCTGGAGATCGCAACAAGGAGCTATTAGCTGATCGAGCCTTTTTTTCATTGTCAAACAACCAACCGACGGCGAGAGTAAATCTAAGACAACGATCCGTTGTTTCCTGCACTAAAAAGGAGACCACTTTGGATCTCTCACAAAATGTGTACAAAAACCAGGATTTTTGAAGCCGAAGATAAATGAACGCTCGCGCTCGGCACGGCCACGTGATAAAAAGACGGAAACGGAACATCTTTCAAAAAATTTCAAAACTTTTTGGTCAACAGCTGTAGTAGTCGTTCGAAGATTTTTTCGATGAAGAAATTCACCACATTCCTACTTTTTTTCCTATGCGAAATCTACTTCTTGCAATCGCTTTGCGATTATATATTTCTTTTCGACAATGTGTATCGGTTTCTTCCGGCACGCAACCCAGCTTCATCGATTTTCGCGCGCCTTGGTGGAATTCTAACTATGTAAGTACATCCAAAATAATCGTCATTTTTGTACAGGTGCTGGAGAGGGAAACTTTGCAAACGTCCCTGTGGGGATCAGGACTGGTATTCAACTCATTGCAGTGAGAATGACATCGTGATGCTCGCAAATTAGTTGATTCTCCTCCTGCATTGTAGGACGACGAGAGAACCTACTTCTGAATTTATTAGAAAAAAGCCTGCCCGACGCTCTGCGTTTTTAATTATTGTTCTGAAAACCTCCCCTGCCCCCAGAGCTCTTCGAAGTGTTTGCATTGCAAACTTTCCGCATGGAAACCCCTTGTAGGATTCCATTCCGAGGAGGCCGCCGACACAGATGTATCGCCACTTACGGTCGAAAATTTGTCATGCTGATAGCCAATGCACGAGAACGGACGCGGCAGATGTTTCCATGCATAATAGAAGGGGATCTGTGCATGACAAAGATTTACTCCCCATTCTGGGGACATAGGAGTATTCTCCACGTTGATAATCAGCGGCATCTCTTCTATTTTTAGAAGTGCGTAGAGTTTTAAAAAAAGCTGAAAGCTCAAAGAATTAATACTACGGCGAAGTCATTGCTATATCTAGAGATGACAACAAGCACACCCTGCATACCAGACTTTGAACTCATTGCAGTCTTCTCTTGAAGTCCTCTTTGTTGCGAACTGTTTATCATTATGTGCAAGGGTGGGTTACCTGTAGCACGTGTTTCTTCGGAAACAAGTTAACTTAAACTTTTTTGTGTTACATCATTGACTATGGTTACTAGTAGCCAGCGGTAGGGTAATATTTATACATATAATTCGACAAAATCCAATCACAACAAATTCTCGGAACAAATGTTTTTGCTAGAATTAGGAAAAAAGTTGAACGAATAACGTAGGTCTCTACCACCAACCTTAAACTTTTGTGAATTTCTCAAGCAGCTTCTTCGTACAGCGATGAAGCTTTGTTCTTTGACTCCCGTTTCCTTGTTTCCTCCTCCGCACAATGAAAGAAGGGATACAGAAGTATAAACGTATCCTTTTTTTCACTTCTTCAAGAACGCGTGGAACAACCGATTGAATACTGCCCGTCCCGGCGTCACCTCGAAAGTTGCCGTCTTGGAGGACCCCGGTTTTACGCTGAAGCTCGCTTTTGCTACTTTTCGCCCGTATCAAACTGAAAGTGCGGCCCCACCCGCATCCCCAAAGAAATAGAGCGGGAAGCATGTCGGACGCAAAGTCTCTGTCTTGCATGAAAGGACTACGCATCTCGCTGATTCAGCTTGAAGCTTGTTCTAGGCATGCAAAGGATCTTTTACATGACAAGTTCTGCTGTTTTTGCGAGGCTATCATCATCATCATCATCATCATCATCATCTTTCTTGCATATGGAAGGGCTGCTAGGGGTTTTTGGGACTTGTCCTCGTTATCGTTTAGCGCAGCATTCGAAGTACGGGTAGTGCAGAATACAAATTTGGATAGCGCAGCATTCGCTTTAGTAAACACAAATTTTTGCTCTTCTGCAGCGCAAACTTGTGATCCTGATGTTGCAGGCACTGTGGCAAATGTTTGCGTGGGATTGCGAAAGTTTTGCAATACAAACATTTCCTTCTCCTGGGATGGGGACTACGCATTTCCTGTTGATAAACTAGCTCGCTTTCTCACATTGAACGTCACCTTCCTTGCAGTTGGTGATGTCCCCCCGGCTATATCAAATGCAAACCTGTCTAGGTCTTGAAAAGTGCATGTAATAATTGTCATCAAGTTTCTACGTCACCCAGAGGCCCTAGTAGCGTAAGTAGCAGGTTTTGAGAACATCATGCTCAATTCGCATGAGATTAAATTCCTTCTAACGACTCTTTCTGGACACCTCTTCATCACCAGTTTGCATGACTACTACACCCCCAGACATATTTGCAGTTAATAGAGCAGCTGTTCTTGCTTATTCTTTTCCATGTTGCCACTCTGCACGTTCTATGCATTGTTACAGTATCGCACTCGTACTCATCGTAATGCTGATGCTGCATCACAGATTTCTGTCTCGCATATCAACATAAAAATGTTCTTTATGAAAAGTACATAATTGCGCTGTGTTCATCTCCCTGCCGAAACCTTATTTCATGCAATCCCTACAAACGCGATACTTTTGCACGGGGTACGTTGAAAGTGAGCTGCTTGTTGGTAGAAGATCCAGAACCAGCAGCAGCAGCACGGGAAGTTCTTGTAAGACCCGCTTCCATCTTCTCGTCATCGTCCTCACGAGGACCAGGCCCCGTTCGCTTTGCAGCTTTCGTGTTCAACGTCGCTACCTTGGCGGAGCTGCTGTCGTGCGTGGGATCTGTAATTGTGCCAACAAGTAGTCCGCCCTGATCATGAGAATTCCCAGTGACTAACTGCGTCCGGCTTGTCAACAGGGTGACTGGGGCAGCGGTTGTGGTTGTGCCATCACTGTCACAATTTCCATTGTCCACCGGGGTCTGAAGACACGGAATCGTGGGCTCCATGGGATCGTCGCAACTCCCTGCAGTATACCGCAGCACGGTGGGAGTGGCAGCTCCTCCCGAAAAATCCCCGAAGATTTTCCATCCCTCGGAGCCCGTCTGACCGCTCTGCTCCTTTGCGCGAGGCATTTGCCCGGTGACGCGAGACAGAATTTCGCACGCCGAATTTGGCAGAGAAGTGCCATTATCTGTATAATTTTTACGTATTTTTTAAATATTTTTTCTCGACGTGACCGCCAACGGTGCACACTACTTGCGCTAATCATGACTTACTCGTCCTGTGTAGTGCTGCGCAGGTACTATGCATAGGCTTGAAACGGACACGACAAGCACGAGCGGAAGTAGAAGAGATCGCTTCTTGTATACCAGCTCGATAGACAACTACAGAAACTGAAATCACATCAAACTAAAGTTGCGACAACATGATCATGATGCTCCTGATTGCGTACGTGTAGAAGAACCTACCGCCGACAAGAAATAAAACCTGACAACTTGCAAGTGGATGAGTAAGCTATACCATTTCGCACCACTGTCGTTGTCCGGAAGCCTCGACAATCCGAATCCGAGACGCAGCGCGACTCACATTCTTTTGTGTTTTTGACGTCGACGGGGTCCAACCCGGCCTGTAAAAAACTCGTCCGTGACGCATGCTACAGAAAAGCACACCCATACCAGAAAATACTTACTTATAGTATTTCTATTTGTGTTGCTAAGAAATTGGTGTCACTACCTCTCTCGCTGACGCTGAGCCAGCAAGAGAGGTGCTTTTTCGCCACTTATCAAAATGCATATCATCGTGGGATCGATATTATGCGGATCAAGATCATTAAAAGGGGCGACAATTTTCTAATTCTGAACGCAAAAACGTTGTTCTTTTGGGTACGCCAGAAAATCCTGACAAATCGACGACGAACAGGTATGCGTGTGCTTTTCTGAAGGATATGACTCCATAATTTCATACTTGGACGTATCAATCTCATACCACCAGTCCCATTTGACATTACATGTTTGAGTGCGAGGCGGCAGGGTTGTGGTTGGACAGATCGTGGTGATACGCGCGAGTCCCAAATTGGGACTGTGGCACCATATCCACAAAAAAAACCTGTGTTAGCGCATGAGCTGTTCTACTAGTAAGAACTTTCCATTGCCAACAATGCAAGAAAGATGAACGATTTGCTATGCTGGACATAATCCTACTTCAAGGCCTCCTTTGTTTTCTGAATGCCGAAACTTGTTCCATTTGCCGCACTAGCAGTTGGTGGATTTTTTCTGTCATGCAGGGAATATTTGGCGAGAAGATGCTGGCGCCACTTACTGTCTTCATCAAATTACACTAACACCGTTCTTTTCTTCCTCCGGGATACAGCAAACCTGCACCCTATTATACTCGTCGGAAAGCACGTCGGAAATTTCCTTTGTTTCTTTCACCCACGTGCTGTTTTCAAAGTTGCACTGGTTCTTGAAGCACTCCACCGCCTGGGCAGGACGCGAGCACTTCAAGGGCACAGTTTCCGCCACCGAGACCAGTCCATTAGGAGGCGAGTAGGTTGTGGTCGATGTGGTCGAGGTGGCTGGTGAATATTAACAGCTAGCTTTATGATGCAGCTCGTGTTCTTGGAACCGTTAACTGCCCGGTGGATGACGATACAGAACAACAACAACAACAACAATTAAGTACAATAATACTATGTGTATGACCACAACATCATGCACACAGAGTGTAGAAGACGGAGCGGATGGAAAAGTACACAGGCAGAAAAAAACCAAAGAATATGAATAGCAATATCGTTTCATAAAAAATACTGGTTGGGCAGATTCCGGGAATGTTCCATCCGTACTGATTTTGGGGTTTGTAGCAGCACTGATCCACGATCGCCTCTTGAAGTTGGGACACCAACACGTTCGCGGTTCCATTCGAAACCGAATCCACTTTTTTCAAGTCCGACGTCCAGCTCGCACTGGCCGAGATGCCAACGTTGTCTCTGTCTCGCACGTAATTTGTATTCACACCGTCAGCGAGCAAAATATCGGGTGAGACCACCTTCAGGGGGTTCGCGTAACTCAGCGGCGCGAAGTACTCCGTCTTAAAGTTCAGCGTGTATTTGCCCGATCCTGTTTTGTGGGCCTCGTGCATGCCGGACTGACCGTTTTTGTCCGCGCATTGGTTGATCAGGCAGTATTCCAGTGGGTAGCCCACGACATCATCTTCGTCCTCACAAGACTGCATCCAAGGAAAAAACACCGCGACAGTCACAGTTTTCACATTTTTGCACCTCTAGCATAACATATTGCGGAAACACAACAGACACATGGCGATGACACGAATTTTTTGTATTGCAAAACTGTGCAAAAGTGAACATTGTGAGTATGTTTTGTTCTTGGATAGACTTGAGAGTCGTGGTACTCGTTGACGTTGTCGTTGGGCATTTCTTTATCAAATGCAGAACTGTCTGGGTCTACAAAGATGCAGGTGTTTGTCATGCAGGCTTTGCATCGCACGATGGATCTTAGATGCACGCAAAACCACTGCAGGTTCCTCGCCGCAGGAGCACGCCTCTTAATGTCAGTCTTACACGAGAAATGCGCTACTTGCGTAGCAGACATTCAGCAACTTTACTTCGAGCTCATGCAACGATCCAAATCCAGAGTTCCCATTACAAGGTACTTTTTCACTCGTCCAGGCCCAGAGATAAGATATTTGCACTCGATATTCTTGTTCTCTTCCCAATTCTTTGGCTTTTGGCAGCACACGTCTATTGCAGTGGCCATCACGGAAATACCATACACCGGCTGGAAAGTGGCTCCGGTAGTCTCAACGCCGTCGCATTCGTTTTCACTGCAAAGGGTCTATCCAGTGCAAATATGACTGGGTCTGGACGAGTCATGCTGCTTTTGCATGACGCAGTAGGTCTGGCATGGAAGCTCTAGCATCACAGGTTTCGAGAAGCTTCCGCAATGCCGAATCCACATGACAAATTCCCCATTCTGGTGACAAAAAGTGCGCAGCTTTTGCCGAGATTTTTATGTGTTGCGAAATGCGCATCACAAGTCGCATCCTTCCAGACATCCAGGGATATTTGCAGTTCATAGGGTCACGACATCGTTGTGAGAGCAAGCGAAGGTGGTGGTGGTCGTCGTGGCTGTTGTTGGAGCACAGGTTTGATGAAATTGGAATGTCAAAACCGCCGGGACGTCGGGGCGCTCCTAGAAATCAAACCTCAGAAGTCGTGAAAGGAAATAAAGGACCAATGGAAGATAATATTGTAATTACTACTTAGCACTTACTTACTCGTCGGGCACACACTGCCGTCATTCATCTCCGGCCGCCGACAGCAGTTCTGCACAATCGCCTGCTGTATCTCTGGCGACTGATCCTCCATTTGCACAGAATCCTGGTATGCCAAATTGCTCTTGCCTTTGTCATCGAAATCAAATTGTTTCCCGACATCCCCTATGAACTCGCCTTGAATGGGAGCCGGGTAGTTTGGATCGACTTCGAAGTAGTGATTTCCCGTGGCGGCGTCGGCACATAGATTCAACTGACAAGCGGCATACGCGTTCGGTAGTGCCACCCTACCGGCCACATCCCCGCCGCACGTGTATAAGTGCGTAGTCGAGACCGCACTTCCTGCGTTGACTTTTTTCCCCAGAAGCCGTGCTTCGGTACCGGACCCTTTCGCCTCCAAATTGAAGTGCAGCTCACTAGCATCAGCGGGAAACACAGTGCCCCCGACTTAGATTGTTGGAAAATAATTGTTTCCGATACTTACACAACCACAAAACCACCTTTTCGATGCAAAATTTCCCTGCGAAAAGAACGTGTCGAAACTCTACTTATCCGCGTTACACATATTGCATTATCGAGTCGATATCTGCCTCTGCCGTGTTGATTGCAATATACAAAATCGATCTCGAAAATGAAAAGAAGTGCGTGGCGTTCCTTTCTTGCGTAGAGATAGACAAAAAACGACTCATCATCATTCATCCTGCGCTTGGAATGGAAAACACTTCGAATTTCTGGGGACAGTGCAGTTTCCGATAGCGTAATTGGTTGTCGACTTCAGCTCTTCCCCAGTTCTTATCTTCCTCGCCAATGCAGATTGCGCATCCTTCACGTTGTTTATGTCGTACCAGGAACTACTTGTCGTGCTTTTTACCACGTCGCTTATTTCCTGCCCACTTTCTTTGTCGTTGTCCCCCCGCTCCCCTGGCTCTTCTTCCACGCTAAATGTCAGCTCGGAGGTTGACGACTGCAAGGGCTTCCCTGCCTTTATCTTTTATCAAGTCCAAATATTATGTCTGGGTCTGGAAGAGTGTAAGTAAACTTGTCGTGCAGAATTTCCATGCCCCATGAGGTTTGGAAAAATGCCGGACCTAGCATAACAGATTCTGCGAGGTCTCTAACTCTATCATGCCTGTACTGCATGAGAAACTTCCTCTGATGGTGGTCAGAAAAGGGCACCTTTTGGCGATCGCGCAAGACAGATTTTTGTGTGATCCATCGGACGCATCACAAGTTCGATCCTTCGAGACCCAGACATATTTGCATTTGATATCTTTTTCACCAGCGCCGATTGCGCCTCTTTCATCTCCGCGGAAGTAGAGGGAGTTGTATCTTCGGACTTCTTATGCACTGCAAATATGTCTGGGTCTGGAAGATGTAAAGTTGTGATGCGTATTTCACATGACACACACATCTCTCATGCATAGCCAGCAAAAGATGCCCACTTCCTGTCACCAAAATGGGGGATTTGTCATGCGCATCAGGCATTGCGAAACCTTCTCGAAATCTGTGATGCTGGGGCTTCCTTACCAGACCTTCTGTGTCATGTTGGGAGACTAAGGGCAGGGCGTCCCTGTTTAAACAACGAGACTACAAACTTAAACCGCGTACTCGGTAAACTCTAAGATAGAAACTTGAACAGCGCGATTTCTATCGAGAGACAGCAACAAAACCTCCTGGGACGGCTGGGACGTGAGTTTTGTTTCTATCTAGGTAGAAATAGCACTGTGCAAACTTCGTATCCCAGCACCGAGGGAACAAAAAAACCGTACAAAAGGAGTGAAGCGATACGCTATGACACAGTCCCCCCTACAGCAAAAAACCATCCTAAAAAATGGTATCTCGTATTTCTAGCAGAACGGTAAAAAGTCCGGAAGAGGAGTTGCGATCGTAGCACCAGCGTCCAAGTCCAAGGACTATCATGCAAATGGCCAGGTAAACCTCGAGGTCGGTATGACAAGCATGACAAACCAAGACGACCAGGTTAGAAACGTGCTACGAGAACAGAGGTGAGCATGACCAAACCGAGAAACCGCATGACAAAAAACCGAGAAACCGAGAGACCTTCTGTGTCATGCAAAAACAGTAACAGCACGACACCTTCCAGACCCAGACATATTTACATTTGATACTTCGTTCTCGTCGTGTCTCCTACAAGCGAGGAAGATTTCACAGCTTTATGCGCCTGCTGCTGTGCAGCTTCATGCTCGTCCACAGAAGCTTCCAACTTGCCCACGGCCGACGCCAACACAGGGGGCTCACCAGACTTTATCTTCTTTGCTAGTGCAGCCTGCGCTTCCTTCGTGCTCCTGTCGGCGATCGAGGTGGAGCTGAGTTGTGCTCCTGCAGTAGTGCCGGTCTCCTCATGGCCCGCCGCGTCAGCGTTCCCTTGGAGTTCTCGTAGTTGCGGTTGTTCCTCGTCACTTCTAGGTTTTGCAGCTGCTGAGACGCCGCTCAAATGATCTTCTACGGGGTTTCTAGTTGTATGTAGCTCGACCTTCATTTTCTTCATTGTCTCCTGTCCCTGTCCTCGTTCCTGTGCTGCTTTACTAGCGGGGGTCAAAGCAGCAAAAGACGACGCGGAGGCTGATGAAGAAGAGGCCAGTGTTGTTGTGCTGGGCGAACTAGTACTTTTAAGGCTTTTCTTTGAGGAGGGATTAGTAACTCTCGTACGAAAAAAGTGTTTCACTGCAAGTACTTACTTCGCAAGTTCTGCATCGCAAGTTCGTTACACATGATAAACAAAACTTGCCATGTTGTGTGGTTCCTCAAAAGAAAATCACCGAGATTTTCAACAATATCTTGCATATGGAGCACGCCAAATACAACTTCTGTGCTCCGTTCTATGCGTCACAAGTTCACGGCGAAACAGTTTTTTCTTGCAATAATACTCGGCGGTGGCTTGATGTGCGCAGTGCCAGTCACAACCGCATCGGTAGCCGTATAGAAGTACGTCGTCGAACTACACAATGCTGCCGCGAGGCCAGCGCAGGAAAGGAGTTTCTTCACCCTAAGTGGTCGCCCCCTTGTTCTAGACAGGCATTTTAGAAGAGGCTCCACCTTCTGCTTGTGGCCATTTGCAGCAGAAGAAGATGTTCTTGTCGCGTGCGGCCTGCTCCTCTCTACTAGTACTACAGGAGAACAAAAAGCTGCGCTACTTCGGTGCTGCTTCAGAGTTTTTTCTTCCCGCCGCCGCTCTCGTCGCTGGTGCCGGTGAAGAGTTACAAGATTGCTCTTTCCCCTCGGCGGCAAAAACTTTTGCCACTTCGTGTTCTTTCTTGGGTGATGATTTTCATCCTGCTCCGCGTAGAAGTCTTGTTTCATCCTACTATGACGCGAACTAGAACTTTCGCTCGGTTCATTTTTAGTGATGAAGCTCAGGAAGGCCACACCCGCGGGGATCGTCGCTGTCATCTCGGGGGCCTGGACCGCTTGTAGAATTGTTTTTTTAGAAGTGGTTGACGTTCCTGGGCCGCTTGTTACCATGCCAGATCCAATTCTTTCTTTCCGAGGAAAGGAAAGAGTAAAATCATCCCGAGCATTTGCACCTCTCTGGCTACGATGCTCCGCCGGCGTGGGCGCCGTAGATTCGGTCACAACTTGGCTGAGTAACGGCACAAATGCAACATCCGCGTCTGAAGTTTCATGTCTCGCTTTTCTTCCTCTTTCCCTACCGCCCGAGCTACTTGCCTCCATTGCTTCACCGGAGCTGGGCTGCGCGCTGCAGCCTCTGGCAAGACGGCAGCCCAGGAAAGCGGGAAAGCAAGCGCCTCAAATAATTCTAAAAGTTACCCGCTGAGAACTCACTATCGTGATTTTGATCTTCCGTGTCTCGGATGGATGGTGGTTTGCCTTCGCTCGTCGCCCTTGCGGAGGTGTAGTACCTGCCTGATTCATGCTTTTCCGCGCATCACTCCCTCAAACAAACGCTCAGACAGTAGTACAGTAGAGCACACTCACGGAACATGATCTATCAGCAGAGATAGAAGAACAAGCCTGACACAATTCGGCACCAGAAGCGACTTTCCTTTTGAATCGTGTCGCAAGTGTAGTAGGTCATTTGAGTCGTCCAAATTGTCGCACTCGCAGCAATAATGGAGTAAAAGTCGCCTATTTCGTCAGGGTCAGGGCTTTGTTCGAAGTGGAATGAGCTAAGTGAGTACACACGTCCTTAGCATCACGGTGATTCTTTGGGCTCTTATTCAATCGCCTCCCATAAAGTTCGATGCACCAGATCGAAAGATATTGATATGATGATGCAGCTTCACGCTTGACTTCTCTCTATGCATGTAGTCCATGAACATGAAGAATGGTGTACATGTCAATACTTAAATGCTGAGGGGCTACCTCGTGTTATCAGAGTCAGACCTGTGCCTGTTACTGTCTCAAAAACAAGTATAAAATTGATATTTGTTCTTTCAACTTCCACTTTCTCCAAGCTATTGCTGAGCTGATCTTGGCTGCGCTGTTGGTTCGTAGTAGATCAAGCATTTTCTGCTCGTAGGGGAATGGGTAGGACGAGAAGAAAGATGTTGAGCCATCGTTAACCACAAAGGCTTAGCAGCTTGTAGGTACCTACTTACTGTTACGCTGTAAAAAAAAAAAACGAAGAGGATGATCATGATCGCGAGGGTACAAAAGAGCATTTCTTTATTCGACGCTGCTAGTATGCACAATAGGCGATAGGCGAGAAGCGTTCGCTATGAATGTTGACCAAATATTTTTTCCGCAATTTTGCTCTTCGTGAAGTCTTTGTTCAATATCAAACCGTCCTTCGACCCGGGAACCTCTCCCGCTCCCGACTTTTCCGTCCCCGTCCCTCCAGCACTTTGCGGCGCTGAAATTCCAGAGTGGCTTGATCCACGAAAATCTCGTGCTCGGGGAAGAGCGAGTGCAGCTTCCGGCCGGAAATGTAGTAGAGAAAATTTTTGCCCTGGTCGTCGGTAGTTTCTGGGTCTTCCTGTTCCGACGGCGCGTCGTGCTCGTCCATATCATCGCTGAACTCCTCCTCGTCCTCTTCATCTACTCCGCTTGTTTCCACATCGTAAAAATCCACCGACGCAGCAAAGAACTCCGCCTCACGCTGCGGGACGCGAACAGGTCGTTGCAGCATATCCTCACCGTCGTGCTTTTGTTGGATGTTCATTTCTGGTTCATGTTTATTTCCACTTCTTGTCCGATTCTTTCCAAAAGCTGCGCCATCTTCGACAAGACCCTGCTCCTGTAGGTGGTCATGCTCTACGCTTGTACTACTAGTCTGTTCGCTGTAGGTGTTCGCGGAGGAGGATGAACTGGACGGGTGATCGTCCCGTGTTGAATCGGAGGTCCTCGCACTTGTTGTATCACTTGTAAGGCAATAATTCGTTCCACCAGCATAGTGATCGGTTCTATAATGACGCCGCGGTTTATTGTGAGCACCACCTTCTCCTCGCAAGGACGTCGTGAAAACCTCATCGACGCGATGCACAACGACGTCGACTAACAGCGTCTGATCGTCAAAAATTTTCTCACCCCGAACCACCAGCGGGCCGGTGCAATTCTTCTCCAGAAACGCCATCATAAACTGCTTCAAATCGTAGATCGTGTGGCGTTCCCGCAGGTTCGAATCCGCTGAGCTGGTGTTCAGAACATAGCTGTTGCCATTCATCTCGTAGATGCTGAACGGCGGTAACAGACTCCCATACTGCTGCTCTAAATCCACGCATGCAGGAACAGTTTCAACATTCTCTGCTTGTAATTCCTGTCTCCCGTCCACCGGGTTCTTGTGCTTGCCCCCGTCCCTGCATTGCACTGCGTTTATTGCATACGGGTCGTCAAAAAGAACCTCCACACCGCTCGACGTAGTCACCGACCCGTCTGCGCTTTCAACAGCATCTGCTTTCAGCACCTGCAGCTCGCGCAGGACGCGGGAAAACAACGCGCGTTCGGCCCGGCCGGGGGGCTGCGCGGGGCGGACGGGACCGGTGCGGCGACTCATTCGATACTGTCGCGTAGGAGTTCTGGGGGAGGCGGTTTTATGTGGTCTTTCTGACTTCTACTAGACGGGGGCGGCGTCTGCTTTTGTTCTGTTACGTCGAAGGAAGAAAACGGAACAACTGCGGGAAGGAATAAAATGTCAGGTACTAGTTAGAGGGTAAAATGGTACACAAGTGCGATGTCGGAAGTAGAGCAAGGGTGATAGGGTAAACGTGGGAAGATCACCTGCCTCGTCTTCTGGAATCTTTATTCGGGTAGCTAGCGTAGACGTCGCAACAGAAGTACGGCAAGCAGTTCGTTTCTACAAAGATCGAACTCTTCTCACTTCATAAGACAAAGATTCATATCCTGAAAAAAGCTACGTACTTTTGCAGGTGGTGGGGGAACCACGGGGTGAGTGAGCGGGGGACTCGGGGGGGGAGGGGCAAAATCTGCAAAAACCTGTTTTTTTCATCGAGGAGGGATCCGTTTTTGAGGATTTGCGTGAAGTTGCGATTTTCTTTCCTCTGCAACAACTCACACTCTGCAGACACTTCTGAATCTGCGACTGCTGGCTTGGCAACTGCAGCACTCGTCGCATAAGAACAAATTTGGTACCGATGGGCGTGTATTCGCTCCTTTTGTGACCGATTCTTGAGAAAGACTACAAAAAGAAAAAACTACCAAACAAAAAACGGATCTTGGGGCTCGATTTCATTTTTTCCAAGGGATATCGAATCGAGCGATTATTTTCAGATCATTTTTGCTTTCGGATATCTTTACCGAATGAAAAAGCTCTGCAGCAATGCACACCAGAAAAAAAGACGGAAATTTGTTGAATTTCCTCAGCGGCAAGCTTCTCACAAATAAAGAACCCGTAGGTCTGGGCCTCTCGTTGAAATCTTTCCAGCAGCGGTTCTTACACCGACAGAGAGAAGTACAGCAGTCTGATAGTGCGTAGTGTTTGATAAAGCAAAAGTTGCCACCAGTATGTGATAAAACAGAAAGCTTCGCACATGAAACACTTGCACGTCCAACAGACACCGTCGTCAGAGAAGAAAGATGAGGAAAGGAACAACTACACTCTCCTCGTTTACTGTACATGCACAACATGATATACGGGAAATAACTGAGTACTTACCGCTGGAACTCGCACTCGAGATACACTTGGATTTCCTGCATGCCGCAATCCCAAATACTATATGAATGACCTGTCCTTCTGGGTAGAATATCAAAAACTCAAAATTTCAAAACGTGAACTACCGGCGCATCGTCCTACTGTGTATGACTCGGAAACTCTAAAATTCCTCTAGAAGGCGAAGCATTCTTTATTTGTTTTTCGACATCATCTGAAAAATGCGTGCGACAGATCTTCTGTCGCGACATCGCAACCCTTCAGTAGACAATTCCATTCACTTTCTTCCACGTCCTAAATACCTGTGCGCACTGGTCTTTCAAAATGTTCATTTTCGGCTGGTTTCGCGTAAGGTCCTTGCTTGCCTCCTCGTGGCAATTGTGTTTCCGGTGATGGTGGTGACGGTGCTTTTTTGACGAGGGGTCCTGTTCTTCGGCGCTATTGCTTATTTGCTTCACCTCAGACGAGATAGCAGTGGTGGACTGTGGCGCGGCGCTAGTAGATGATGAAACTCCGGGGATATTAACATTATCTTCACCAAGAACGGACATTTGGACTGCTCCGAGTTCAAGAACTGGAGAAGCCGGGCGAGCCTGTTCGTCTTCTGCTCTGCCGTGCTCTACAACGGCTGCAGCAGTTGTAGTCGTACTACTCCCCGTAGTTGCAGAGGGCGTGGCAAGAGCTTGTTTCGTTTCCACAGTAAAATTAGCAGGCTTTTGTTCTGTGCTACTCGCCCCCGCCCCCAAGCCTTCGTACAGCTTGACCCTTCCCACGTTTGCCCAACAGAGCGCCGCAATGCTCATTTCGTTCAGGTACATCTCGCTCCTCTCGAAGGCGCAGTGCAGCACGCTCGTTTCCTTCGGCAAGTGGTGCTTCTGCAACTTCGCACAGGCCAGCTCGATGCAAGCCGTTATCGGGGAGATGGTTGGGTCCTCGCCCTTATGTTCATCCAGAGATGTTGTTGAGCCGACCACCTGCAGCGCTTCCTCTGCCCGAAACTCCTGCCCGTCAACAATCAACACGACCGCCGGGGTCCCGACGCTACTTCGCATTTGTGCCGGATCTAGCGACGGGTGCGTACTGGAGTGGTGGTGGTGTTTTTTAGCGTTAATATTCTTATCTTCGTTTGCATAATTTAAATTCTTCCCTTGGAGCTCCTCGTTGCTTTTCACGATTTCGATGGTCAAAAACTTGCCCCGAAACTTGCTGTCCTGCTTTTTAGAAGGAGCTGGGGATGCGGTTGAATTTTTGGTACTAGTAGCACCATCAGCCTCAGCTTTAGTAGTAGTGTCCACTTCTGGCGATGCGGCTGCTTCTGATTTATTTTCGACGGCATTCACTCCAAGACGACTCGATGACCCCTTATCGTTGCTGGTCGGGCCGCCTTTAATATTCCCTTGCTCCGCTTGTCTTTTATCCAGCCACTTTTGTACCCCGTCCATTTCGTCGTAGAAAGCCTTGTCGTTGAAGCCGAAAGCCGCAGCGGTGTCTCGGTCCACTCCCACATACACATTGCGAATCCAGGGCGCACGCGCGATCGCCCCGCGGCACATCGGACACGGTTCCGCGGTGGTGTACAGGTCGTAGGAGGGCGTTTTTGTAGTACTGTTTTTCAAAATTATATCGGGATCAACTACATCCCCGCTGACGGCTGAAGTAGTCGGGTTCATGTTATTTGCATCGCCGCACACTATTGGTGAGTCAGCGTCTATTCCCGTCGTAGTTGATGAAAAAATTCGGTTCGCGGCCACACGCAACGCGTTCATCTCGCCGTGCCGGGTCGGATTGTTTTCCAGCAGTACCGTGTTGTGCTCGCAGGACACCAAGCGATTGGTGCGCCAGTTGACAATCGAGCAGCCGAAGGGCCCCCCGTCTTTCGCAACGACCCCGGCGTAGGCACTGGCACAGGCGGCGAGCATCCATGCCTGTTCGGTGTCATTACAGGAGGCCGTGGCGCTGCCAGCACACGAGGAGAAGCACGGCAGTGGCATGTTGTTTGTGCTAGTTAGAAAGCCACCAGTTGCTGGAATTTACATAAGTACTTACAATGCAACGTAGTCTTCTGGTGCGTGCGCGTGGTGCGTTGTAAAAAGGAACTAAAAAAAGCGTGGAAAGTAGAGACAACTGCAGCGTCACCCGAGTCCTGTTTAGAGCCGCTTGCTTCAAACTGATGCGACAACTTGAAAGTCGCTTGTGGCCTCTAAGAAAAATGGCGTGAGGCTTATATCAAAAACATGAGAGAATATCAGGTGCGCAGGGGGATACGATATCCCTGTACTGAGTACAAACGAAAACCGAGAGGCCACAGCATATCTATGTATGCAAACTTGGACGAGGTAAGTACTACCGCACGACCTGTTAGTAGGCAAGGGAATTTCGGCCGCCACGATTAAACGTTGCACGATGAAACGTTGCACGATAAAACGTTGCACGATTTTCGGAAAAAAAGATTTTCAAAACCGTGGTGCACGTGCTTGTTGATTACTATACCGCACGAAAGAGACCACAACGAACGAGCAACAGTACGCGAAGACTTGCACGAAGACGATGGATATAGGCGCACGCAGCGATGCAACAACAGTACTGGGGACGCCGGCTTCTATCTGCACTTTGAACTCCTCAGGGGCGCAATCGCGATCTGGTATTCATAGTCATGTAACAGAACGAGATCATGCTGAAGTGCGGATGCCGAAGCAGAGACGCGAACCTATAGGCACGAGTGTCTGAAAATCATATACGAACCTATGTACTTTTACACGACACTGCAAACGCTGGAAAACCGCGACGCCATTGTGCCCAGAGCAGCCTCTATAATCGTAGTGCTTCTTCTTTCCTACGGCCTGGGCCTAATTTTTTCTTGTTCTGTGTGTGTTCCTTTCACGACGCGTTTGACCGCATCAAACCAAGTGAGAAGATTCTACCAGCACACGATGGCACAGTATCCACGCAGCGGCCTTTTGTTCTCACTGAAACTGATGACCATCAGATCATCTCAGTAAAACCTCAGTCGGGTGAATATTTCGTTGATGCGCTTCGGATACTCGTCGTGCGAGGCGACCAGGTCTGTATGGAAGCAAAACACCGAGGAGTCTGAGAAGTTTACTCAACTTTGTACTTTTGCAGCTCGGGGCAACTACACAGAAATGACGTCGAAAAACTGCCTTTAGCAACTTCTCGAACGAACGAAACCGATTCTACTTGAGAGACTTCTCTACTAGACTCGCGATTTTTTCACCTCCATACTCAGACAGGTCGTGGTTCTCAACGCCATTGATCTCGGTCACCGGACCCAGGCCCGCAACGGCAATCTTCCACTCCATGTAGCGGTAGAGAAATCCGAGAATCCAATCCGAAGTGATGTATCAAAAGGAAAAATCCCCCCTCCCCATATCAAAGTTGCTATCTGTGTTGCGGGATTTGTGTACACAAATCAGCTCTGTCTTGCAGTAAAGGACTGCAGGCACATGCGAAGCCTGGAAAGGGCTGGCGGCAAGTGGGCGCTCAGCATGGCAGACCTCTGCCCTGTTGGCGCAGCAGCATTACAAATCGCCGGCGTAAAGCGGCGGAAGCTCTAGCTTTGCTCTCTTGCAAGACAGACCTGATTTGTGACCCCAAATCAGCATCACAAACTTTCAAAAGGATGCCTTTTCGATATGGGGAGGGGGGATTTTTCCTTGCGATATGATGTAACCGTTGATCAGACGGCCGGAGACGACCTGGAATGCGAATGATAAAGATACAATATGGCCATACTAACTACGGATTTTCAAAGTAGTCCAAAAAATTTCAGGGTCTCCGCGCGTATGCCTCACTGTGTTGTCTTTGCTTATGCGAAATCTGTCGCCCGCTAATGAGGCTGTGGGTGCGCAGATTCATTGAACTAGTGAACTAGGCAGGTTGCTACTGGGGCCGCCAGTTTCTGGAGCTGCGGACCCGGGTCATGTTTGAATCTTTCGTAAGATCCTCTTGGTCGTGGAGGCAATCGCACCCCCAAGAGAAGCCAAGGGGCTTCCCACAGCTTCTTGCACTCCCCATGTGCGCCGGGGCTGTAGGTGATGGCCCCGAACTCTTCGACGAGGCAGAAGGCGTTGAAATTGTGGCCCTGTGTCACATCCACGATGGTGCTGCGCCGTTCTTCCGACACGTCCCGCGTAGCCTCTTCGACAGAGGATGGGTGGCAGACCCAGTCTTCACGCTGCTCTTTTCAACCCACCACCCCCCCTTCGCTGGAAATATCAGCGCCCCCGCCTTCCCCTTCAATTTTCGTCCTAGTCCACACCTGCCGGGTTTTTTGCTTCTGCGCTGCGCCCGCCTGCTTTTGCATAGAGCAGTGGGCGCCGAACCAGGCGGGCCGCGCTTCAGTAGCGCAGCCACATGCGGCACAACTTCACCGCGCGAAGCCCGCAGGCGGCAGCCCGTCCATAACAATGGCCGCGAGTGTCTTTGGTGTGGGGAGTTTTCAAGGCCGTAGTGTTTTGCGCCTTGATTTAGCCGACACGAACTGCAGGGGGCGGGCGCACTGGAAAAAGGCGAGCGAATCTCTCGGCGGCCTATGAAGGACAATCCAGTGGCCAACCGGAAGTCCAACACAGTAGGGCTTCAGCTGCGCTGGCTCTAAACCTGTACATAGTACAGACCTACGTACGTATGCGCCACACCTTCTCTTATCCGAATACAAGACTCTTCCGAAGCTCAAGCAAAGCGAGAAAAACGAAAGACGCAAGCGAAGCGCGATCCTACTCGGGCATGCGAATCAGGTAGAAGAAGGGAACCGAAAAAGGCGAGCTTGTCCGAGGACCGAAAAAGCATATCTCATCCTCACAAAGCCAAAACTCAAATCCCTCGGCTTCACAAAGCCAAAACTCAAATCCCTCGGCTTAATAAAGCCAAAACTCAAATCCCTCGGCTTAATAAAGCCAAAACTCAAATCCCTCGGCTTAATAAAGCCAAAACTCAAATCCCTCGGCTTAATAAAGCCAAAACTCAAATCCCTCGGCTTAATAAAGCCAAAACTCAAATCCCTCGGCTTAATAAAGCCAAAACTCAAATCCCTCGGCTTAATAAAGCCAAAACTCAAATCCCTCGGCTTAATAAAGCCAAAACTCAAATCCCTCGGCTTAATAAAGCCAAAACTCAAATCCCTCGGCTTAATAAAGCCAAAACTCAAATCCCTCGGCTTAATAAAGCCAAAACTCAAATCCCTCGGCTTAATAAAGCCAAAACTCAAATCCCTCGGCTTAATAAAGC